CTTAAAAGGCAGGGAATTAGTACTAATTAGTATTAATAAAAAGCTTTACTATTATATTATCTTTTAAGATAAAATATATTTACTTTTAAATTACTTAATTTATTTAATATCTTTTAAAGAAATCTCTTACTTAGTAAGAATCTCTAAAGTAAATAGTATTAATTCTAAACTTATAATTATTTTCTTATTATTATTTAATAGGAAAAAAGAAGGTTTTTTAAAAAAGATTATTTTTATATAGATAAATATACTTAAATTTAAGCTTAATTTAAATATAATATAATATTATTTACTATTATTACTTAACTATTATTATTATCTTCTACGTTTATATTATTAACTACTACTAGATAAAATATGAACTTTTTAACTCTTTAGAACCTTATATTATCTTAATAATAATAATATTTAATTTTTTATAAGTTTATATATATTCTTTATATTTTAAGATATTATTTAATAGTAGATTATAATTTATTTATATCTTTACTTAATAAAAAAAGTACTTTTAGATAGTAAATAGAGATATTTTAGTTATTAATATATATAAGTTAGATATTTATTACTTTATTATATCTTTAGTTTCTTTTATTATATTTATATTCTTTATTTTATTTCCTTTATAATTATTAAAAACTTTTTATTTCTAAAAGAAGTTTTACTAGTACTAGTTTATAAACTTATATAATAGAGATTTAAGAGATAATTAAAGAGAGTAAGTTATCTTAGTTAAAAGTAGAACCTTCTTTAAATATAAACTAAAGGTTATTTAAAGGGTAGTATATAATCTTACTTTTAGATACTTTTTATAATATATACTTTTAAATACCTTTAAACTAAACCTTAGATTTTAATATAGTTTAATATATACTTATTATTTATTTATTAATATAATATTAATACTAAATAATAATTACCTTATATTATAAAATAAATATATTAAATATAATAAAGTTAACTCTTAAAATATAATACTAAATTTATTAGTATTATACTAGTAAATAAATAATAAGTATATATTAATATATATTAAAATCTAAGGTTTAGTTTAAAGGTATTTAAAAGTATATATTATAAAAAGTATTTAAAAGTTATAATATATATACTAGCTCTTAAATAACCCTTAGCTCGCATTTAAAAAGAGTCTACCTCTTAACTAGAATTACTTATACCTCTTAATTACCTCTTATATTTCTATAATATAAGTCTACGAACTAATAAATAATAATAGCTTCTTTATTTTTTTCTTTACTTAATTTTAGTAGAGAGCTTAAATCTTAGTATTACTTTTATATCTTACTTAAAAATCCGATATAGCTAGACTATATATTATTACTTTAGAAAGTAATATAAAGTATTAGTTCTAATCTAAACAGGCCCTTAAGAAATATTACTTAAAGATCACTAGAAGATTAAGGTACTACCTAGTAAATTTAAAAGTGTTTCTAGAGATAGAATTCAAGTTTTATTACTATATATTCTGAAAGTGATATTTTTCTCCTTTGAATCGGCGAAACTCTGTAGCCGATAGCCTACCTACGTAGTAGGTACCTAGTTACTAACATGCCCTGGCTCGCCTGGCTGTAGTAGAAATAAAGTGGATCGGCTTGGGTAGCAGTTCCAATTTAGTGCTTAGGTGGTATCCTAACGCGCTTCTATAGTCCCCTCCCCCGGTTTAATTGTCTAGCGCTTTACTTTAACCTCTAGTAGCTCTACTAGCTGCTTTTACAGTTAAAATCAGCTCTTAAGGCTTTAAGGCTTCAAATATCGTTACTTTGGTAATAAATCAATAGAGCCGCTATTAATTATACGCTAAGTAAGGCTCGAAATCTAATAATATTATATTATTATTATTTTATATCTACTACCTTTGTAAATATCTTATAAATACTTTATAAATAAGATATTAAGACGCCTACGATCTTAAAGTAAGTGTAATTACTTTTATTTTTTAATAAAAGATCGTTTTAAATCGACTTAATAATATAAAGCTATCTAAAGAAGGTTTTAGAACTAAGGATAATAATAATACCGTATTATTTTAATAAGGAACTAGAGTATTTCAATACTATAAATATAAGGGTTTTATATAAGAAATACTACTAGAAACTAGAAATCAAATAGCTTAATAATAATATTATAAATACTATAGATATTAAAGTAAAGTTAAGCTCTTAAGAGTAGTTAAAATTAAGTATAAAGCTAACTGAATCTCTAGTTAAAAGAATACTTAGATTAGTATTAAATAGTACTCTTTTATAAGTAAAAGCTAGTATTTAAATACTTACTTTTTTTATATCTTTCTTCTTATATTAAGATATTTCGGATTTATCTAAATAAATAATTTCTAGCTTAAAAATAAGATAATCATAGTACCTCGGCTTTTTAATAAGACTAATAGCTCGTACTACTAGTATATTATATTAATCTGTAAAAAGAGAACTCCCTTTAATACTTAGTTAATAACTTACCTTAGTTAGCTATTACTAAGTTAGCTAACTATATAAGAGTTACTTAACTTAAACCTATTAAAAGACGTTCAAGTTAGCTAGCTATTATTATATAATTATTTGACTTAGGAACTCTTAAATTAGCGCTAAAAACTACTATCTAAGACTCTAGCGTATCTACTAACCCTAAGATTAAGTCTATAGCCTTACTAAAAGTATTAGAGCGTTAATTTAAGTACTTAGTTATTAAACAGGACGCGCTAAGAGACTCATATTAGAAGAAGTATTAATTAAAAACTTAAAAAGTAGTAAGGCTTTTAGTAAAAGAAAGTCGAATACTTAAGTTAGATAAAAAGACCTTTATAAGTAAGCGGAAAGAGCTTTAATAGAGGTTTTATTAATAAGAGCTTTAGAAACGTGATTTTAGTGAAAATAAGCTATTAAGTAACTATTAAAAATAAGCGTTTTTTTTATAAGAGATCTTACTTAAGTTATATTAACTTTCAATGGATATCGAAGAGAGCGAAGATAATAGTAATAACCTTAACTTACTCTCTTCTTTATAATAATATAACCTTCGATTAAGTACTTAATAAGCTTACGCTAAGTCTTTAAAAGAGACTACACCTCTTACAGCTTCACTTTTAGACTAAGAAACAGATAATAATAATAATAATTTAGCTGAAAGTTTAGTATTAATATAGCTAAAATACTAGCTATAAGAGTATATACTATTAATAAGAGATAAACACGTAGAGATTCAATTATTATAGGAGCTAGGGTAGAGATATTATACTATTATAAAAAAGGTAAAGTGCTTTATTTAATAAGTCTTATATTCTATATAAAAATAGCGTCTTAACTTAAATATCTCTTCTACTTAGAATAAAGAGTCTTATATAGTTTAACCTTATTATAGCGTTAGACCTTATTCCTATAACTCTCGAGGCTATAGATCTCTTTTTAATATACTAAAATATTATTAGCTTATTTCCTAGCTTTAAGAATTAAAGGCGAATTATTATATACGCTAGGAGCTTATATTATATATTCTTAACCTTCGTATTAAATATAGAATTTATATATTAACTACAGTTATAAATAAAGAGGGTTTTTACTATTATTAAGCTTAAATCAGTCTTAAACATACTATATATATTAAAGCCTTATAACTAAGGTTTACTCTTAAATATTAACACTAGGAGTATAAAGACTAGTTGAAAATCTTATAGTCTAATAAGACGTAGTTTATAAGAGGTTAATATAATATAGTATAAGTTACGAGATAAGAGAGTAAAGATAAAAAGTAAGAAGAGACTAATATACGAGAGATAGCTCTTTATAAGCTTAGATAGATATTTTAGGCTTGTTTTATAAGAAGAACTAAAGGTCTAGCTATTATATAAGAGAAGGATTAAGGTAAGATTAACTTAGAGACTTATTACTAGTATATCGTACCTCTTATTAACAGCTAGCTAAGACTTTATAGCGATAATAACTTGATTTTTATATATAATAACGCCTTTAGCTATAAAGTAGAAGTTACTTAATAAGAGCTTTAAGAGCGTGAAATAAGATACTTTAAATAGCCTCTATTTTCTCTTAATCTTAATTTAATCGAGTATATTTAAAAAGTGTTAAAGGACTAGATTAAGCTAAATATATCTAAGCGCCTCTTATATAACTATTTAAAAGTAAAAATACTTAAGGGATAGAAGTTAATTAATCCTAACTATTTAAGGCTTTTAATAGAGAGTATACTAATACAAATTCAAGCTATAATTAATACTAAAGGAGGCTATATAAAGTATTAATATTTAAAGGTTTAAAGGTTTCTTTTTTATTTATATAATTCTTATCTTTCTTATTAATTATCTTTTAATAGTTTTTAAGTAGTAAAATAGTTATAATAAGCTACTTATAGTTATATATAGAGTTCTTATATATTTAACTCTCTTTTACTATATTAAAGTTATATTATAAAAAGTCTTATAAGTATTAATATAAGACTTTTTAGTTCTAGCTTTTAAGTAGCTAAAAGTCTGTATTTACGCTTATATTTACCTTAATTAGCTGCCTTTAGGCGGTATAATAATAATCCTATTATAGTAATTCAGCCGAGGTTACAGGGGAGCGTCTTAGTATAGAGCTAGACAATTAAACCGGGGGGAGAGGGACTATACAGTCCCCCCCCCGGCTCCAATGTAAAAAGTGGGGCAGGCGTGAGCTAGCCGCTTTTGTGTTACTATCTGTTCCCCTTACAGTTGCTATATAAATATAGTACTAAATTTAGTGAAGAGTGACATGATTAACACCAGATTTCAGGGCTACAACTTAACCTGATTCTCTAGAGCAGCGCTGGATTCTTACTATACACAGCTAGAGGAAATGTGCCGCCCGACCCACTTTTTACATTGGAGCCGGGGGGGGGGGACAGTATTAATTTCTCATGTCTTATTCTTTCCCTTTCCTCCCTCACTCTTCTTTGCCGTCGCTTTCACCTTGACCTCCTCCACCCTCTCATCCTTGAAGCCACCCTTCATCAGTGGCGCGATACACTGCGCCGGCCTGGCATCGGAACTTCCAAGGCTGCACGCAGCACGAACTGCACTGCTCTGGCCGTTTTGGAGTATTCCATTCACTCGTTGCCAAACCGACTGCAGCACCGCAGACCAGCCCCCCACCAACGGAGGAACCTTCATTCAACAACACGGCTTTTGATAGAAGCAGCAAAGAGGCAGCTATGGCGATCATAGAGAATGTTACTTTTGCCTCCACTCTAGCAGATGCTAAATTTGCGCACATGGCCAGCAGTCCTCGCATCAATGGTCTCTTGGCAACTCTTTCAGAACTCAGCGGCTGGACAATTGCCCTGACCCTACTTGCCGTGATGGTTGCATATGATCAATGTCAGCACCCGAATTTTCTCTATACTCTGCCCAACAGCTTACCATCTCACAGGCAGCTATCTTTGGCAGAAGGGCTCAATTCCTGGTCCGGCATGGAAGATACCGTTCATTGGCCCTTTTCTGGAGTCCGTGAATCCAAAATTCGACGAGTACAAGGCGAAGTGGGCTAGTGGTGAGCTCAGCTGTGTGTCTGTATTCCACAAGTAGGTTTCAACAGCACATATAGGCAAAACAGGATTGATATGTTTTAGATTCGTCGTCATTGCCTCAACCCGCGACATGTCTAGAAAGGTCTTCAATTCTCCAGGATTCGTCAAACCATGCGTGGTAGATGTGGCCCACAAGCTACTTGGCAAGACAAACTGGGTTTTTCTTGACGGAAAGGCTCACGTTGATTTCCGAAAAGGCCTGAATGGCCTTTTTACACGGAAGGCTCTCGAAACATACCTGCCCGGACAGGACGCTGTTTACAATGCCTATTTTGAGAGGTTTCTAAAGGTCACGGAAGATGCAAAGGGAAAACCAGTGCCATACATGGCCGAGTTTCGTGAAGTCATGTGTGCTGTCTCGTGCCGAACTTTCGTTGGCTACTACATATCGGATGAAGCTATCAAGAAGATCGCCGATGATTACTATAACATCACAGCAGCCCTGGAGCTAGTCAACTTCCCTATAATGATACCATTCACGAAGACCTGGTACGGCAAAAAGGCAGCTGATATGGTGCTCGAAGAATTTGCCAAATGTGCTGCAAAGAGCAAGGTTCGCATGGCTGCTGGAGGTGACATAACCTGCATTATGGATGGCTGGGTCAAGGCTCAACTCGACTCGGCCAAATATCGCGAACGCCAAGAGAAAGGCTTGTCAATGGAAGGAATCGAGAAGCCGTCGCCCATGCTTCGCGACTTCACGGACTATGAGATCTCCCAGACTGTCTTCACGTTTTTATTTGCGTCCCAAGATGCTACGAGTAGCGCAGCCACATGGTTATTCCAAACTATGGCCCAGAGACCTGACGTACTCGATAAAGTTCGCGAGGAGAACCTTCGCGTTCGCGGTGGCGATCGCAACAAGCCTGTAACGATGGATATTCTGGACGAGATGGTCTACACTCGTGCTGCTGTCAAGGAACTGCTCAGATATCGACCCCCAGTCTTAATGGTACCATATCTTGCAAAGAAAGCCTTTCCAATTAGCGACACCTACACTGTTCCTAAAGGTATGTCTGGGTCTTATGTACTGTGTTGATGCTGCTAACTTCCTGTAGGTGCCATGATCATCCCAACGGTTTACCCAGCGCTTCGCGACCCCGAAATCTACACAAACCCTGATATCTATGACCCAGATAGATACGTCACGGGAGATGCAGAAATCAAAGGCGCAAAGAATTTCTTGGTCTTCGGAACTGGACCTCATTACTGTCTAGGTCAAGTGTATGCACAGCTCAACCTGGCTCTCATGATTGGGAAAGCAGCAATGCATCTTGACTGGGTTCACCACCCAACACCACTTTCCGAAGAGATCAAGGTCTTTGCCACAATATTTCCCATGGTACGTCGTTTTAAGCTCTCCTTCATCATCTAGCCCACTGCTAATATATATAGGATGATTGTCCTTTGACTTTCTCGAAACGATCTTGAAAGACTGATTTCAAATCGCCCCTTTACCGCACCTGAGTTTTCAGGTCAATCCTGCACGGCCATGCGATCCTTTACAGCATTTGCAAATGAGGATGAGTTCTCAAGGCGTTTTGGAGCATTGGAAATTAATAGTCGCCAGGAGAGTAATAATCCTTTGTAACATCATATCTAATACAAATGCCTCAAGTCGACTTCCTTAAACAATACGTTCGTATACCTGTGCTTGTCTCACCTTAGCACTATTGACACAGGATGAGGCACGACCTCTGTATGTACATACTTAGACTGGTGCTTCAAATTCTGGACTTACATCGAGAAATAAACGCATGCCTGCATAGTTGAGAGGGAAGCCACTCGTGCATCACTTCCGCGAAACCGGTGAACCGCATTGCCAGAATGCTTGGGAGTCTTTGCATTTGGATTTTTGCTTGACTGTTTGTTATTCCGAGACGGAGATATACATGAAGCCCGCAAAGCGAACAGCTGGGCTTTGACCAGACTGGCTCAAATCGTAAGTATCTCTGCCTGCTTCCTCGGTGGAGAATCAACATCTGCAATTGCCAGCTCTTGACGCGGGGAACACCAGTTGAAGACTCCACTTCTCAAAAGATGATTTGTTGCCCAAATTCGGACTATACCAGAGGCTAGAGGCGGAGTTGTGCACGGAGTCGTTGGTACTGTCGGCATCTTTATTTACGCCGTTATTTTGTCATTACTTTGGACACTTGCAATGACGTGATTTCTGTTGTCACCGTAGTTGTGACTTAGAAGCATAACGACGTTCAGATCAACACGAGGTAGTACCTGCACTATCACTTTGACAGGAAACCCATGCAGCTTAACAATAATGTGGACTTAGGATCTGAGAGCTATGTACAAAAGAGCCCGGAGTTTAACTCGTTACGCAAGCTTTCCAACAGTAACCCGCATGCGGAGTAAAACCGCGTGGTAGAGACTCATTACCTACGGTCGATGCTTCCAGTGTCACAACGATATTCGTCGTTTGATGGCGAGTTTGAGGATTCGGGATTGAGTCGAGTGTCGGATGAATACAGTCGATATGGGCTTGGTTAAACCTGACAGAGCCACAAGGACAACAGCAAGCAATGCTCCATAGATCTGGAGGCTGTACCTAGACGACGCAAACCAGAAACAAACCAGTGGACAACTCGACATGTCTCAACTTCCAGCTCTCCCAGAACCAAGCCACATTTAACTCACCAGACCTACTACAGTAGCTTGATTATAGGTGAAAGTCAAGACAAACAGGGCGTTTCTTACAACAGCTTGAGTCACACCGGTGGAATTCCTCTTGGTGCTTACTTGGGTATTATGTGGTTGATGCGGAATTGGCGGAGCTCGCTTACTGACCCATTCGGCGTTCCCCTTATACCTACCCACCTACCCTTTCAACAGAAAGGGGTCCTGAACGGATGCAGAGTGCGATTCCGGACAACACATTTCAAGAGGCCGGCGAGGACATGTCGGAGTAATGATGCAAGAAGGTAAGAGTAGATCGATGACTCGAAATGAGGATCTATATAAGTGCTGCTTCCACCCAGAGAAGCGTTTTCCTCATGACCAAAGCACCGCAACTTCTAGACAAACTACGTCTCCTTCCAAACCACATCTCACCGGTCAGGTAGTCATAGCAAGGCCAGGTAGATAGGCCTACTAAAACCCCAAAGCCTATGCAAAATGTCGAGCGGTTTCTCTGTTTCTCCAAAGAGCAGTATGTTACAGTCTGCTCAGAAAACATCAATTTACCTAGACCTGATATGAAATTAGCATTTCCCGACGAGGAGCCTCCGACCCTATTCCACCCTGCGTCACCAAGAATGAAGCCCGTCAAGCAGCCCCTTGACGACGGGGACAGAGCGTCCATCTCTACTTCTTCGACGTTCTCATCAAAGATCGGCTTGCTCAAAGATACCGTAAAGAGCAAGATCCCTAGTCCGTACAAGGATTACCGAAGTCGTAAAGAAGCAGCAGCCCGATCTACTGTCACGTCGAGGGAAGTTAAGAGGCTACCGTCTGAAATGAAAACTCGTAAGTCCTTACCAGACTATGGTGGTGAATGTGAATTAGGAGTGTGTAGCTGAAAGACTGGGAAGATAGCATTTGCTAACCGGAGCGCAGCTAGGCAGGCTACCGCCGAAGCTTACATGATCTGGGCTGCGATACGATGAGCTTGGCGGTCGGAGATTTGTTTATTCCATATTTCTCACTATATGAAAATTAGCAATTGAAATCTGGGCACAGATTTGGGAGACATGGGAGTTCGTGTTTGGGACCGACAACCCCGGTACAATCGATGCTTGCTCACCGACGGACCGATGTTGACTTCTGGGACCAAATCTTAGCACAATCTTGTATTTGATAATTTAAGAACATGCAATAGTTTTATCAAAAGCTATCATCAAGCCCATCCTTTACTGCCACCATGCTGGGGCTGTCCTCCAGATCGTCTGTTCCGTCGAATCCGGCCCCGGCAGTAGTGAGCAAATCTTCCACAATACGTTTACTGGCCTCCCTTGCTACGAAAAGTTAGCATTGGAAACTGAGTTTGAAAGGGAATTTACCTGGTGTTTGAAGAAGTCTCGACTGTGGTAAGGAGAACTGTATAGTCTTGGGCGGACTCATGCCTAACTCCCTGTAGACGCCTTCCGCATCTTCATCGCTGTCGCTCTCCCAGCTGATCTCATCCTTCTTCGCCGGCCCAGAAACCAGCTGTTTCTTGGCAGGAGTTTGGACACTAACACCAGGAGTTCTTGGCACATTTGGCCGGCTGTACTGCTGGCGGAAGGGAGAACTAAAGATCTCCGCATGAAGCTGCGGCACGGCTGCAGGCGGCGATGACATGGGCGAAGTCGTGTCTTGCCATGATGGCTTATTTGCAGGCGTCTTCTGTTCCTTGCGACTGGTATGAGGCGTAGCCTGGATGCGGTAATTCTTGTCCAGAACTCTGTGCAATAATGGATCTGCCGCCTTGCGATTGGCAGTAGACTGAAGATACGACGTTGGGTCGAATGGGGAAGACATCGGCGTCATTGACATGTCTGGAATTCTGGACTTGGCTCCTGGGGTTGAAGGCAACTCAGTCTCGTCTCCTCTACCCTGCCACTGAGACCCTCCCTTCAACTCCTGCTTTAGTTCTTCGTATGGAGAAGGGTACTCTGCGAATCTTGACTTATTAGAAGAAGAGCTCTTGGGACGTGTAGCCCGAGGTGTGCTGCCACTAATGTCGGCATCATCGAGCAGAGAGTCATCAGTTTGATCATAGACATCGTGTTGACGGCTTGGGTATCTAGCGCTATCGTCTCCTTGCTGCAAGGTTGCATAGGTACTGATGTCTCCATGGGATTGAGTATAAGAAGCGTCCTCCTCCTCTTCTCGCTCCTCGACCCCTGATAGGGACACGTTGGCGCTGGCTTCGAAGAATTGCTTCCAAAACTACCCCGATATCAGGGGGTATCTATCTCTGTGATGGTGGCCATTTACTAACCTTTGAACCTTCCCAAACTGCACTTGAGCGTTCTACATACTGTTCAACGACTGGCAAGATGCTCGATGTTACAATTCGATGGGCTCGGCTGAAGTTGTGGTCGATTTCTAGGACCGTTAGACTGCTCCGTTACTAGATTTGAAGGAGGTGGTGGCTGTTTTGACCTTGTAATGTTAGCGTAATAGATTGCTCGAGTTTCTCGAGCTCTTCAGTCAGGGACAAAGGTCGAACGGTAGAGGTCGGACGAGACATTTTGCTCGGTGGGGTAGAAGAGTTGGGCTAGGAAGGGGGCAGATGTGGAAATCAAGTCGACTTTTCTCCCGATTGAGGCGACGCGGAAGCTCAAGCGCGTTTTTTGGGTTGCATGCTCTGGACCGCTTCAAGCCCCAGTGCCACAGCTGCCTGCAGAGAATAGAAGTCTGTCCAGGCTATATCTTCTGGATATATGAAACCCCATTTGGCTGTAGCTTGGATGAGCAATAGCTACTAGGACAGTTTACAGTACAAGAGCCTACTATAATTTCAGTAAGGTAAGATTATTGGCTGCGGAGCTCGTGCGAGTCTAAAGGCATGATGTTGTTTGTACTTCTATGCGATTTCGCCTTGCCGGCCTCCCGTGTGAAGGGGAGCGGAGGCGCCAGCGAGAGGGGTTGTCGATCGCTGGTGATGTGGAGCTGTTCCTCTATGCTTCATGTCAACACCCGCTCGCCTCAAGGTATTGTACCAGCAACATGAGTACGCTTCAAGCTGCGACCTCTATTGTTCTTCGGACATCACGATGCTCAAATTTACAAGCAGCTCGACAAATTAGAGTGCAACCACACCTCTTTTCCAGAGTTTTTCCTGACGTTAGTCAGCCTTCATACTCAAGATTCTCCTCGCAGACATCACCTAGTAGCAAAATTTACTCCTTCGAAGATGTAAGGTATCGGCCTCCCTTCTGGGTTTCCGTGTTGACAGACATTAGGTCAAATCTTTCATCGAGAAACCGAATACAAATCGCATCTTAATCGACAGTCGGGAACCAGGAGAACTGCAGGCTACCGGTACAATTCCTGGATCTATTAACATACCTATCACTTCGAAGCCAGATTCGTTTTTCATTACCGCAGAAGAGTTCGAGGACAGATTCGGATTTGAGAGACCAAGCAAGGAGCAGGAGGTCATCTTCTACTGCAAGTCAGGGGTAAGAAGTCGTGCTGCGGCAGCATTGGCGCGGCAAGCTGGCTGGGATAATGTTGCAGAGTATCAGGGAAGCTGGCTGGATTGGGATAAGAAAGGAGGTGTAAAGGAGGGTGCAAGGTAGTAGCATAGATGTGGGTTTGGCCTGATAGCCGCTGGTCAAATATCTTAATGAAGGCATCTGGTCAAGGACAGTGGGTGGCATACTACGAGAAATTTGGGCTCATAGGTGTCAGCGAGATGCAGATCCTAGTAGCTTTTGGCTGTCTTGAGCCTTCCCAAAATTATGTGGACTTGGGAGACCTACAAAGGCTGCTTGATTGAACGTAAAAGAATTTCCATAGGAATCGCGAATCTCCTGTCACTATATTCTATCATACACTTCAGGTACACTATTGTAATGCCCTATCAATACATGAATAGGCGTGTTGCTCCTTCTCTTGCCTCTGGCGCATCTTTTGGGGTCTTCGCAACGGGACTGCCATGAGCGAAGAACAAGACTTTGATGGCAATAGCTAATCCAGCATGGAGGCAAACCACAAGGATTAATAGAGCTTTGCTTGTCTGCTTGTCCGTTGCGCTCAAGATTGGATACAGGTTCCTGAGGAGAAAGGCCACACTGAGACCGAATCCAACAGCAACAAAGACCCAGTTCAGTGTTGTAATAGGGGACCAGGAGATCAATGCAACGGGGATCCAGATGAGATTTGAGTATCCATATAGAGCCCAGCATTCGAGTAGATTGGCGGATTCGCTCCCAAAGTACTTCAGAGCGAGGAAGAGTGCGATGGGGATGATGAGGGTGTAGCCGTAGATGAGGCCGGCGGCACCTTTTGAACAATCAGTGCATTCTCTAGGGACAATTTCGGAACTATACCTACCGCTCAAAAGTCTGAAGTCGTAGACGAAATGTTCACTCCCAGTCTCTGCCAAGTATTTGCTGATTGTGCCCCCCAAGAAGAGTATAAACACCACAGTGGTCGCGATCCAGATCGGCCCGTAGAGATCAGCGTTGCCCTCGAGGACATCGAGGAAGTTTGCTCGTGGATATAAGGCCGCCCAGCACCTTGAAAGGACAGAGCTGGTATCAACATCGAAGAACTGCGCGTAGAAGGATAGTGTCCAGAGGTAGCGTTTGGAGGAACCACTTCCAGATGTCACAGGCGCAGGGAGACCGCTTGATGAGCCTGGCAGCTTTCTTGAGTTGGTAGGATTATCCGTATTAAAATTGGAAGAATGAAACTCAAGATCTTCTTGAAGATCGGTGTGACCAAGCTGATGTAGTTAGCAGTGCACGTAATGCCATTCGTGTTAAAAGCAGGAGAGCATACATCCCCCTCCTCGTCGACATCGACCACCACATCGTAACCGGTACCTGGACCTGGACCAGACATCGTCTTACGGTTTGAAGCTTGGAGTGGTATCGGATAGGTGAATTGTCTTATGTTGCGCTTTGCGGGTTCAAGCTGTATGCCCTTACGTGTGAGAGCCTCGGAGTGTCTGGTTGTGGCAGTTCAGTTTGACAGCTACAAGTATTTACACTAGCTGACAACCCCTGAACACGAATATATACCCACCCTGCGGTCCTCACGCAACATATCCATGCCATAAGAAGCCACCCCACCATTGGACATTTGGTATCAGCAAAGCCGCATATTTCTTTGCCAATTTCACTTCGAACCTTGAGAGGTATAGGTTCACATGACTACAAGCGTGTAAAGACAAGTATGGACACCGGATCCCCAATAATGGCTGAGAAGGCATTCCCACTGGGCAAAAAGCACACGTTGTAGTATGCCACAGGAGGAACATGGTAGAGAGCAGCTAGATTTCGAGTGGACAAGAACCCCATCCGACGACATGTCATGGAGCGGATGATCTGTGTCGTTACAGAGGATGTGGTTCCCGGCTTCTCTCGATGCGAAGTGCGAGCAGAGGCTGCTCCTAAAGCACTACAGAAGCTCTAAAGCACATCATTCCTCTAGCAAAACCCAAAATGCATCGAGATACCCCTCTGCAATTCCTAGGATGTCACATTGTTTCATTGCAGGCCATTTTTGGTCATTGTCCTTCGTATTGCGTGCTCATGCTATTGTGAGACTAATACAGCTTGCAAGCTCACGAAGCCCCAATTTCCTGACCATCTGACCGTCTTCCAGAGCCTCCAAACGCCAAATGAGCGAACCGTTTACTTCAGCTTCTTCTTTGGTCGGAGTTGGTTGGTGTGACCGCACTTCTTCTTTCTGCAGTTGGTGGCACGGGGAGGGAGACGGGCCTGTAGAAAGTTAGTTTGACGGACAACCTGTTGTCGAAGGAATGCGTACATAGCACTTTCGGCAGATCATCTTATCGCAGTTGAACTTTGAAGCGAGGGCTTTGAGCGATGGCTCAATGATACCACCACGGAGACGGAGGACTAGGTGAAGAGTGGACTCCTATTGAATCGTTCTTGTCAGCTACCACTGACGCACTTAGAAACCTTTGCTGCAGCCCAGTAACTCCCCAATCCATCATATTTACGCTGAATCAGAACCATGGGTGCATACCTTCTGGATGTTGTAATCGGAAAGGGTTCGGCCATCCTCAAGTTGCTTTCCCGCGAAGATCAAACGCTGCTGGTCGGGTGGAATTCCTTCCTTGTCTTGGATCTTGCTCTTGACATTGTCGATGGTATCAGAGGACTCTACTTCAAGAGTAATAGTCTTTCCAGTGAGGGTTTTTACGAAGCTTGAAGGTAGATGTCAGTCTTTCTTCGATTCCAGAGTCGTTTTTGCATTTGCGGTACTTGGTGGACGTGTGGGAGGTTTTTCGAGGACTTACATCTGCACTAGAAAGAGGGAAAAGTTAGCGATCATGTCATTATGGGCAACAGCCAAACATTGGCAAGTAGGAGGAACTTATACATACTCTTGGCGGTTTCGTAAGGCCGTCGTCGTTGTTGTCGCGATATTAAGATCTCGAACAGACGAAAGTGACGAATATTCGTCTGCCGCCATTGTGGGCACAAGCGAGTTGCCCCACTTTACCTATGTAAGGTAGGTAGTACGAGTAGGTAGGCTCTTGATTGTTTTCACGTGATTCAACCCGGCAGGGGCGTTTCATACCTAAATGGGACTGATGAATCTAATGGGGACTGCGCTTCTATGATTTCACCTTTTGATTACTTTTTGACATTTCCGAAGTCTCGCTTGCTTCTTGATTTTGATTCTGTGTGGCTTGCGTCATGAGCCAGTACCCATTGCAGTGCATGCACTGGGTAGCGCGAATCTTCCTTAAATAATAGTAAAGACGCTGGCGTTGCTGATGTCTTCCCATATCGAGTATCAACGTTTCCACCGAGGTGAAAGCTGCACCGAAGAGGGATGTCGAGCCCGTAAGTTCTATATCGAGGACGGGAAGAAATTCTGTCAAACGGGCCATGAGCAGGCGGTTCGTTCTTCACCTACCTACGCCAGTTTGACTGGACTTGCGATCACATGCCTGACACAATTGCAGGGATTTACTCAAACTCAGCAAGATGAGGATGATTGGAATGCACAGGGCAAAAGGTCTCGGAAGAGGAAAGAAGAGAGAGAACGCGTCGAAACAATCCTTAATGGCAGAGAGGCAAGGGAATTGTATCTGCAATGTTACCAGTTGATTTTGTGGAAACAATGCCATTGGCTGGTAACTGACTTGGGTTTACCAGAGGACCTTCGGATCATCATCCGAGACCTTTGGGAGCTGAGACTAATGGTCCTCGAATTGCCTAGAGATGAGAAGAGTGGTTACGGCTCTGGGACAGGAACGATGCTCTTCAGCTCTGCAAGTGAAGGAAACAATACTGATACTGACGGCATGACACACCAAAGTATAGGGTCAAGAAGGAGCAGAACGAGTGTGATGATGGGAGAGAAGCTTCCCAGGCTAATTGGAACGCTGGCTCTATGCTACTTAGGAACGCTGATGCTCAACGTTCCTATTAGCATAGGGGACTTCCACAAATGGGCACTTCATGGTAGAATAATCTATAACCGTGCAGTAAGTACAGCTCAGGCTTGTAGACTCTTACGCTGACTATCACTTAGATCAAGGAAGTTCCCAGCGAGATGAGATCTAAGCTTCCAGCACACTTCCATGCTGCACTCGAAATCAGGGCGCCTTTGGATGGCATGAAGCTTCACAATAGTATAGCGCAATTGGCCGAGTTCTTTAATATTGAGTACGAGATGCAGTTCCCAAAATTAAACGTACCCTTACTCTTATTCCGATACATGAAAGAGTTGTGTCTTCCTGGTGAGTCAAGAATTCTTGAGCCTACGAATTCCTGCTAAATCAACAGTCGAGTTGTATCCTGCGATTCGTCGATTGGAAACCTTGCTCCAAGTGGACTTTACATACCCTACGGTCCACAATACGGCGCGGCGTGGCACTGCTCATCCAGAGATACAGCTGATGAGCCTGATCGTGATAGCAACAAAGCTAGCACACCCATTCGACAATGTTGATCGGACTCCCGAGAGCTATTCCGATCCCTCAGTAGTCAAGATAGACTGGTCCCAATGGACCAAAGCAACTGCTCAAGAATCCCTGCGATGTGTGGAGAAGGGTGAGGTATTCAAAGTCACCGATGCGAATGTCTGGAACATGAGTGCCCGGAAGCTGGATGATTATCTCGACTGGTATGAAAACACCTGGATCGACAACAGAGACGCGAAAAGTGAGTTCTCGCTGTTTAGAGCATTCCAGTCCACTAACATGCTTTGTAGTATCAGAACAAATTCTTCAGATATTTCCTATGTATAAATCGTCTCCCCATCCACGCAAGGATAATTCACACCACGAGGATGCCACAGCTAGGCTTCGGTCTATGCAGCAAACTCTTATACTGCAAGAACCAAGGCCAATCGAAGGGGATAGTGGCTGTGGGGAAGTTCTGCGAGCTGGTGAGCTCTACAAGCGATACCGAATGGACGAGGAACTTCCAGACGAAGCTAGTGCCTTCTTTGAGTTAGCTGGTACGTTGTATGACTCGCAAATACTTCCGCGGTGCTAATCTAGTACAGCATCAATTGTGTGCATCTCCTCGGAACAGCTTCTCAGAAATGTCTTTCGTCTTGAAGTCCATTTAGAGACATGGCGACTTGCAGACATTAGGAGACGGTCCTTACTGGAATCAGAGAATGGATAACAGAATTATAGCAGGTATACCTGTTGCGAGTCTTGAATGGACTCTCTCTGAGGCAATGCTCTCGTGGGAACATTTATCAAAGGCGTTAACTTGAAAGTGTCCCTGAAACGTCAGCAAATTCTGGCGCTATTCTGTGCTTGTTAATGGTTGAACATCCAGGTGAGTAACTGAATCAGTTCGTACTTGCCTAGCTTATGTTGAAGCTCTTGTCGTTGTCCAAGGCCTGGCATAACACAAGTGCAACTTCTGGCATATGTAATTTTACGTATTTATTCTCGAAGACATAGCTGCACTCCTATGAATATACATATATATGTGTTCATTCACGTTATCCCACACTAGTGATCTGAGGCTGGCTCAAGACCTGCTTACTGCTGGAACATGTAGATTGGGAGCAAACATCGAGAGGGACTAGCACCTGGAACTCAGGAATACTCAACGGCGTTGGAAGCCTGATTCGCAATGCCCGAGGAGGCAGGGCTTTGTTGCAGAAGATGTAGTGTTAGGTAACAAAACAAGTGGCGAAGACAGAGATACTAGAGATTCGACCATGTGCCTTACTCCAATGAGTCAATAAACTTCACATTGGAGCAGCATCAGGCAAGCTCCTTTCACAAAACCATCGATTTCTACGGATATGCTATCTACACATCCCGAACGTCCATTTTTTGACTACGCCGGCCAAATAGTGGTCATGTAGCACCGATCAAAGACAAAAGGAAGAAGATGATTTGCAAAGCCCAGGAAGTATAACCAGTGTAGTGCCAATGTGTCCAGATAGCCTCCCACGCAACGACTACTAGACTGCAGGTACCATAGCCTCGAGATATTTCTTGATTCAGCATTTCAAAGCCACGAGTCCGCAGACAGAAGGTACGTCACTGCTGGCAACAAGGTCGAAGTCAAAGTAGTGGCTAGAAGTCATTTAACCGCGAGGAGCTTCCTTGGCTTCAATGGCAGCTTGTTCACCCATGGCAGTAAGAACGATAACGTCTAAATGGAATCAGTTATTTTCCTTTTTCCAATTGGAGTGGCAAAACTCACTGGTGTCCTTCTCCTCGGTAGTGAAAAGCTTCTCAATCTTCTCGCCAACTTCTCCATCGGGAACCTTGACATCATCCTTGGTCTCGCCATCATCGGCCATCAGGGAGAGGAAACCATCGTCAGAGACGTCGAGCTACAAGGGCAGTTTTAGCAACGCAAATGAGAGAGTGTGTATGCCCACGACCTACCAACTGGTATTCCTTGCGGGTGACGTTAGGGACATCCATGTTGTGGGTGGACGGGCAAAGTTCTTCGAGCTTCTTGCCAGTGAAGATGTCGATGGCGACGAGATGGACCTTGGCGTGACCATGCTTGCCAGTCTTGGAGGTAGACATGTCGACGATCTTGCAAGGGCGGTTCTTGATCACGACGAAACCGTTCTTTCTCAAGGCAGAGCACTGCATTGGGAAAGTGGCAGATGCGCCAGCGTCCGCGACGGCATCGAAAGTATGATCATGCTGCAAAGACATACAGTTAGCATTACCCCCCTGATAGACTCCTTGTGGTGTCGTGCTTGTGACGGGCGATTCGAGGTCGCTGCGCCGATATTGTGGTTTTGGTCTGAATGGTGGGGCGTGTGTGGTGCGGGGTGTATGCTGGATAAATTCTTGCTCTGTGTGTCTCTCTCTCTCTCCTCCACGCCACGTCTCTTTAAAAGGGCATGAACGTACCTGGGCATCGTTGTCCGCCATCTTGAATGAGGGTGAGGCGAAGTGAGTGAGGTTGCGAAGTAAGGATGGAGTGGGCGCAGGAGGTGTGGGATCGCAGGTGAAAAACTTGGAGGAGTAAAGTGAAGTGAAGTGGTTGAGAACGAGGCGAGGAGCACAGAGGATTCGGCGTGCGGTGCAGAGCAGACCTGAACAGAGCAGAAGTCTAGTCTTTTCCGAGTGGGTGTGGGTGTGGGTGTGGCACTGTGGGCACAGGTGAGGAAACAGAGTGGAAGTGGAACCCAGCCGAGAGAGGAAGCGAGCCAGTCAGAAAGAGCATTGCTTGAGGTTGTGCGAAAGAGCGGGTCTTACTTGCAAGCCTAGCCAATCAGGCAGGTCGCGGTGCAAGCCCTCGAGCGGACGGCAGCGACCATTCCTTTCAGGCTCCCTTCCATCCAGCTCCACTCCCGCCATGGACACGGACGGGGCAAGGCCAAAGACCGCGGGCGCAGGCGCAATCGAGCCTCTCTACAGTACAGCGTAGCTACCTACACTCGCTACAGTGAGGAACTCATTACCGCCCATGGTACCCTGCCTGCCTGCCCTGCACGGCACTACACCGTACTAAGGTATTATAGTATTTGTGCAGCACTGTGCTGTGCCTGCTGCGCAGGCGTACTGGACTGCACCTACTGTACCTACTGTACCTAGCTGCCAGCTGCACTGTACAGTAGCTCCGGGCAGACATATCTCCATCTTCTCTCTCGTCCTCCCATGTCCTCCGTTCACTCCTCACTGCAATTCTACTTCCACGCCTAATACCGACCCCCCAAGCCAACCCACCCCAACCCCTAAATCAGCAACATTGGACTCGATTGAACTCATCGGCGCCTCGCCCTGACACCAATTACCTACCTATCAGGTCTCCCGGCCCTTCGACCTGTACTAGTCGGCAGTTGAGTCATTCTCCGGTGCGCTCTGTCAAGTGCTACAGCGATAGCGATTACCAGAGCTTGACGCCACGCCCTACAGTCCTGGGCAGCACGAACACGATCATGTCCCAGGTAATCATACTCCTATGGGCATAAGAGCTCTCAGAGCTTGTCTCATCTTATCTTCCCACTAAGTCGCCAATCTAGAAAGCCTCCAGTTTGAAAGGGGATTGGCACCACAAAGTTGGAGGACAACACACGTCGTTCAGGGAATACAGCGACGTTGTGGTCGATTTTCACTTAGCTCGTCACCCGCATCTCTTCTCCAAAGGCAAACATGTCATATTCTCCAGTACCAAGGAGGCCGAGTCACCTTGGTCCAGTATCTGCTGTACAAAGACCCGGATTCAGTCCACGCTCGTCTTCGCTGTCCATAAATTCCAATGACTCCACAACGTCGTTATTAGCATCCTCTCGCAGAACCAATGGGTCAGGACTGAAGAAGTCATCGACAGTGCCTGATTTGCCTGGCCCCTTGGATGCGCTGGAGAGTTTACTGAGCTCTGAGGGTAGTGGTTTGGCAGTCTATGCGGGGAATACAGGTCTGGATGGGTATGAGAGCGAACTAGATTTTGAAGGCCTCAACCTGCGACAATTGATTTCTCCACCTGCAATGGATGCCGAAGAGCATCTATACACTACGCAGACAACGGAGCAGTGTATGTTGCATCTGCCGCTTTGTTTTCGTATACTCAGCTGATCATATTGGTAGTCGAGCAGGACAAGGCCAAATTCGAAAATCTTCACCATTCAATTCGTGCTTGTGACGACATACTCAACTCAGTCGAGATCAACTTGACGAGTTTTCAGAACGACCTTGCTGCAGTGTCAGCAGAGATAGACACATTGCAGGCTAGGTCGTCCGCGCTGAGCGTCAGGTTGGGGAATCGAAAGGTCGTGGAGAATGGATTGGGTCCGATAGTAGAAGAGATCAGTGTTTCCCCTGCAGTTGTAACGAAGATCGTTGAAGGCGCAATTGATGAGGCTTGGGTTCAGGGTCTCGCCGAGGTTGAGAAAAGATCCAGATCCATAGAGCTTAAGTCCAAAGAGAATCGCAACATCAAAGGCATCAACGATCTGAGGCCTTTACTTGCAAATCTGGTTGACAAGGTAAAGGAAGTCGATATCCTTGGCAGCTTTTATTAACACCCCACTCAGGCGCTCGAACGAATCCGGGACTTCATGGTAGCCCAAATCAAAGCATTGCGATCGCCGAACATTAATGCCCAGATTATACAGCAACAGCACTTCATCCGATACAAAGACCTGTTTGCTTTCTTACATAAACACCATCCTCAGCTGGCCGAACAGATTGGCCAGGCTTACATGAACACCATGCGGTGGTACTTTTTGAACCAGTTCACGCGCTACCACAAAGCTCTTGAAAAGATCAAGCTCCATAGCATTGATAAGCACGACGTGCTCGGCCAAGATGACACAAGTCGGAAGTCGAATATCCTGTCAGGTGCCAAATCAGCCGCACCTCATGATGCTTTCAATTTGGGGCGTCGAATCGATATGCTGAAGACGTGGAGTCAAACCGCCCTCTCTTCATTTAACGCAGAGGAAGACAAATCGACTCATTATATGGAAGTCCCCTTTAGGAACTTTAACCTTGCGCTGGTTGACAACGCGTCTGCCGAGTACTCCTTTCTCACGACCTTTTTTGCACCCTCGTTGTCCTATTCTACCATCTCGCGGCATTTCAACTATATATTCGAGCCCACATTTTCCCTGGGCCAAAGTTTCACGAAATTTTTGACGCACGACACGTTCGACTGTCTCGGCCTTCTACTCTGTGTAAGATTGAACCAGCATTTCGCATTTGAGCTTCAACGTCGGAAAATACCCGCTGTCGATGGATACATCAATGGTACCAGCATGTCCCTGTGGCCTCGCTTCCAAGTAGTGATGGATCATCATTGTGAGTCTGTTCGGGCAGTCATCAATGGTGTGTCAACCAGAAAACCGTCTACGTCTGAGCAAGCCAAACAATCTGCTGCCCCTCACTTCATGACTCAGCGATTTGGCCAGTTCATGGCAGGGATCTTGGCCTTGAGCACGGAAGCAGGAGACGATGAACCGGTCTCGGCAAGTTTAATGAGACTTCGAAGTGAGACCGAGGCATTTTTGACTAAAACTAGTAAAGTCATTGGGGACTCAAGGAAGAGGGAAAGGTTTCTGTATAATAACTACTCCTTGATTCTGACAATCATTGGTGACGTTGAGGGTAAGCTGGCGTTGGAACAGCAGGAGCATTTCGAAGGACTCAAAACGGCGTTTGGAGAGGATGGGTAGTGATGCTAATTTTATAAGCTTTGATGCACAGGATAATATCTACCATATTTAGGCTATCTGTAATTCGTCCAGATTGATTTGAAACAATTCAGTGACCGTGATGACCCGAGAATTGTCTCCATACCATTCCGAGGATCCCATACGGGCGCCCAGATTTCTTCAACCAGAAGGAAACGACCTCGATAAGAACAGCTAGCGCGACGGCAGAGGCGGGTCCTCGATATTTCCACAAAGTTTTCAGCATCTGCTTACGCCGCTCAGCCCACTCAAGTTCTTTGGACTGCTTCATAAAATAACGCTGTCCTTCCTCCATACTTTGACTGGACAGTTGGTCATGCCAACGAGCGGTCTTCAGTACGCTTGAGCTTGAGATCGACCACCACATCCTCAAAGATTCAGGTGGATGATCTTGGAACAATTGGATCGTGTTCGCTATTAGTGCCTCGATATCCAAAGGCGCTGGTAGTTTTGAGAGAATAGAATGAAGCATTTCCGGTTCGTCCGCTGGAGTCTCAAATAGCTCACGAGATCGTTGCAGAATGATTTGAGTGAACATGTAGACCGAGAAGACTGCCTCCCGTGCAAGGAGGACATCAAACATACGTGCTATCTCACCATATTCTTGGATATCATGTGCGTACATGGTAAGCGTACCAGAAAGTGCGAAGAAGGGCTGGGTCAGCGACAGATGGTCCCGAAGCTTGGGACTGGCGGTGCTGAGAATAGCTGGAATCATGTGCAGTTGGGTCAGTGCATGTGCGAATGTAGGTAACATGAAGTCCCTTATTCGTAACGCAGAAAGTCGTGCTACAGCCTGTGCACGGATTTCTGGTTGGAGGACTAAGAGGAAGACCTGGCAGATGTCATGGTATCCTTGAAAGTAGGAGAGATACGGTTGCCGGCGAAGAACCTCGGTGATGAGGTCCAACAACTCTGCTTTGCGGAGTTCGAGATCTCGAGGGGTTTGGTCTGTGCAATAGTATCAGTAGATAACACACTACGATGCCGAAAAATCGTAAAAGTGCGCACTACGTACCTTTGGGGTAAAATATGAAAGACCTGTCCACGTCCAGCTGGACTTGATCTTCGTCCCGGTGTTTGGGCAGTAACTTCCAATGCCTACATTCAGATTTCTTCGCAGTAATGTTGTCTTGGTCCTTGCAACCAAGGAGCAGAGGCCCTGTTGTGATAGTCAGCCATTGCCCAGGCGCCTCCCTAAATGATACTAACATGCCTGCTGGCGAAGCTCGTCCGAGACTAGTCCTCCTTCAGAAGCTGCCAGTAGCCTCAGCGTCTCTACGTCCATCCGTTTGCAGGAGTTTAGAATCTGTCCAGCCTTCGCACTGTATTTGGTCTGCGCTGTATGCTTTAGAGACGAGGGCATGGCCAAGCTGGCTGCTCTACTCTCGATATCTGTAGACACGGTTCCGCTTGGCTCCATTTCAAACGACACTTATGGAAACGCTGCGCCCTTCATGGCCACACAAGCTGCGGCGTGGAAGACAAAGGCTCGGCACGATTTGTTGGGTGTAAGAAGAGGGATGAAGTCTGCTGAAGGATGAGAGCAAGCGCTGGTACTTGCAAATAACGTGACACGAGTGGAGAGTATGTTAGGTAAGGTAACTAGATATAGTAAGGTATGTTTTCTCAATCTAAAGTAGGTAGGTATGATGTCTTCGTCAGCCGTGCGGTAAGGTACAGGTACTTATGCCGCAATAATGGGAAGCTGCCCTGCCCTGCGTAGGTATCGTACAGTAACTTTAAACCACCCACGCGCCCTCCCTGTTTGTTCTCTTAGCCGCAACCGCAACCGCAACCGCAACCGCAGCGGCAACTGCAGGCTATTCTCGCCTTGTGTCAGCGCGCTGATGTGATGGAACATGGCCCACGGCCCACGGCTTGACAGCCTCGCGCGTCAAGGCTGCAGCACCCTTCAACCCACCCGACCACAACCTCCACACGAGGCTGGCAGGCTGGCTTCCATTCCATTCAAATCCCACTCCACCCCACCCCACCACACTCCACTCCACTCCACTCCACATCCTCTTCTCGGTCTCCTCTCGCTGCGTGAGCATCCAGGGTGGCAATCAGATATGGCGCGATAGACCATTTGAGATCTGCATAGCTCCTTCCCCCCCTTTTCTTTTCATACAGTACGTCTCGCCACTAGTTCGAAGTTTGACTCGGGGCTGGCTCAGAGGCATTTGGTACCTTACCTTAGCCATCATCGTTTGCCGACTCAACCCAAACTCGCCTCTGACTCATGGCATCAGCCTGAATCCTCTTTCAGGTGTGCCAGAATGGCTCTCGCAACCAACACACTGATCGATGGACAGTGGGTGACCAGGACTCTTGATGTCAACACTGTCCTTCGACACTACGACCAACAAGACAAGGATGCGGCGACAACACTTAGGGAAGTTGAAAAGGCACCGAAGCTTGGCCTTCTGACCCAAACGGTTATTCGCAGCCCTCTAGTGCACTGGATACTACCAGCACGACTCAGAGACAATCGCAAGAATGACGTGGCTTTCATTGGGGTAAGACTAGTTCGTTTCAATTCAAAAGTCATCTTTTTCCAACCTCGCAATGCTTTGGGGGTTCGAGGGATCTCCTTGGTTTGTTTATGGTTTCACATTTCCAATAAATTATCGTGACAGCCGACAGCTCTCACTATCTGCCGGATCGCTGACTGCAACAGGATGACTTCGTGCAGATAAAGGAGCTTCGATGCGACGGGCTCCTGTGGGATGTTATTCGGAAAGAAGATTTTGGAGCTCGTATCCGAAACGCTCGTGTCATTGGATCTGTCAAAGCATATGAGGCCGATGCGGACGATTGTGCTCATTCTAGTAGGGTGACGAGTGAGCGTTGTGATGACGACACTCCCATGAGCGACGACAATACTGGCCCCAACACATCTCCGCCGTCTGACCAGCACTTACTTCCGCCCCAGTGCCTCTTGTTGCAACTCGATACAGGTGATTCGGTGTTCCTGACCTTGCGCCGGTTAGAGAATGGCAGAGTCGAGTTTGTTTCGAGCAGATATCGCGTATCGAAGCCGATGTTGAAGTTGCAGCCAGGTATGCAACTTGCGGTGGATCCAAGTTCTCGCTACATGGTTGTTGGTTGCTCTGAGGGTGTCTTTGCAATTTATTCATTGCATCCAAGGAGCAGTCTCGCCAAACACTACACGCAGACGTCAAGCTTGAACCATGTTGAGTCAGAAACGCAAATATACCCTAGAGGAGTCATTCTTAAGTTGGAGTTCTTGTACCCTGCAACCGATGATGAACAACATATCATTTTGTTGGTCCTGGTAATTCTCAAGGGCAAGATCCGAATGCTTCTTTATGAATGGGAGGCTGGTAGTGACCTTAAAAAAGTCACAGCGAGAAGCTCCAGGGGTTACCTGCTGGAGAAGTCGCGCCAGGTACCTCTCTTACTCATCCCATTGACGATCAAATCATCTTTTATCTTAGTGTACGAAAGTTTCATGGCTGTCTGCCAAGGGATCCTTCATGGCACTCCCAAGTTGATATACTTCAACGAAAGCGTTGACAGCCCAACAGCTTTTCACCATGGCCTGGGTAATCCGCTGTGGACCTCGTGGACTCGCCCGTCCCGGCTCGAGAGCCACAAGGTGACTCGAGATGACCTGTTCATAGCCAGAGAGGACGGACTTGTTAAGTTTCTCGAAATTGACTCGGAGGATGACGATGTTGTGACTGCTGATAACAATATTGGCGAGCTCGGAGCAAACTGCGGCATGGCATTGGCAAGTCTTGACTATCCAAGGAAGAATGCAAAGAGTGGTGATTTGTTCATCATGGGCGGAGATGCATCCTCAGGTGGAACTTATTTGGTGAGATCCTTGGGGTGATTATTTTATCGATGTTCTTTATTTCGCGTAGCAAATTCTGCACCTGGCTTGGAGTTTCAATACTGACATATTTGCCTAGCTCCAAGCGAGACAACATCCAGTTTTGACCGAGCCACTCCCAAATTGGTCTCCAGCGCACGACTTTGTAACTACACACAGGCCCCGTTCTTCGGAACTCGTCACAAATGGAGCTACTGGGAAACAAGACGTCGAGTTGATCCCACAACCTGACCGAGTCTTTGTTTGTGTGGGGAAAGGTTCAGGAGGGGGAATCGCTGAGCTCAGACATGGGTATGAGGCAAGCATTGGCCTGGAGGTTGACTATGACAACACTATCATGAGTGCTTGGGCACTGTGGCCTACTTTAAACGTCTTCACTGAAGCTGACCCATACCTTTTCCTACTTTCTACGGGAGATCGCTCCGCAGTTCTCCAGCTCTCGGGAGATGCTGCTGAGATTGTGGAGCTGGAAGAAGAGGCGACAAGACTAGACTTGGTCCATCGAACGATTACGGCAGTCACCCACGGGCAATACATCATTCAGGTGACCGAGAAGACCATCGTGGTGACAGATATTTACACGAAGTAAGTGCCAAAATCATTGAGATAATACTAGATGTAATTCACTAAATAGCTCTTAGTGGCCGCGTGTACACAGTGGAGGACCTCCTCCAACTCAAACAGGGAGAAGCTTCGGTTGAGCATGCAGCTGTTGAGGATGGTCATATCTTTTTAACGACCCGCTTGAAAAGTTCAAAAACGCCGACGCTTCTTCAGGTTTCGAACCTTGTCTTGCCACTCATGAGTATGGACGTCAGCACGGGCACAGGCTCAGGCCTTACCGCCTACACCCTGTGCCAAATTGATCATGATATCAGTACTATCACTGCCGAGCGAATTTCAGGCAGTCTTTACGCAATCATGGCTGGATGGAGCAAGGAAGGGTTAGTTATTTTCACATTCCAGCCCCTTGGCGGAGGTCCAAAGTCAGACGTAGTTGTGCCGCCCCCGTCCGATGATAAGCCCAGCCGCTTCGACACAATAGCTAGCATCGCAGTTATACCATCCTCTAACGGCATCTTTCAACTTCTCTGTGGAACTCGCAATGGTATGGTAGCACTTTTCGGTATCTCAGAAGCTAGCTTCCGCATCCTTTCAGCAAAGTACACACGCATCGGTGCTACTCCCGCTATGGTTGTCAGAGATGAGTTTTCCATTTCTGGCAATACGTTCTTCGTGAACTGCGATCTGAAATGCTATCGCCTGTCCTTAGAGGCCCGAGAACCTTCTCTCACGCCTGGCGATTCCCTCACCATCAATCAGATATGGCTGTCTGATGCGTTGAAGCCTGGTATGTGTCAGCCGAAGATAAATTCGATCGTAAAGATGCGCCCACCCTGCTCTGGGTCCACAAGTGGGAGTCTTCTCGTTATATCTGGCTCCCAGCTGTTGATTACTAGCTTGAGCAAACAAGCAAAGCCGGTCACTCGGCACATGGCCATTGGCGGAACCCCAACTCGCTTGTTGTATTCTCATACTTTGGATCTCATTGTCGTGGCGGCCTCCGTAAATGGGAGATCTACCCTCATGTTCATCGATCCTACGAGCGGGGAGGATATCTCTCACCCTCTTGACGAAAAAACAAAGGACATTGTCAATTTCGCGTCAGGTCTTGGAAATTTCAACGAGAGGATTTTCAGGCTATTCGAGTGGTCCTTTATGAAAGATAGTAAGACCTGGAATTTTATCATTGCAGCTACAAGTACAGGGCGTCTCTTGATCATCTCTTTTGAAGAACGTCGAGTGTCAACGATTGACACCCAATCCAATCAGAACCTTCAACGGGATGAGGCTGGCAACCAACGACAGATAGCTTACTATACACGTCACAAATTTAAGTCTACCGACCCCGTCTATTCCGCAACTGGTCTCTCGGATGGTCTCCTGTGGTGTGCTGGAACCACATTGGCATATGATACTCTTGACTTGACCGAGAAGAAATTCAAACGTATGACTGATTACGAGCTTCCATCCCCAGCTACGGACATTATCTACGAGGATGGAACCATATACGCACTGACCACTTGTCATTCCTTGGAAATTCTAAAATTAGTTCACAGTGGCTCTGGGGGATGTCGAATTGTTCGCACTCATGGCGACCAACTTGCCCGTGATAGCCTACATCAGTTGCTATTGGAAAGAATCTCACAACGTCCAATACATCTGGTTTCCGATAAACTCTCTTCGGTTGTTGGTCTCTGGCCAACCCATAATACCAGAGCCGATACCCTGGAGCCAGTGTTCGAAGCAGCACTTCACTCCTCAATCCTCCGGTTTCGGTTTGGGCAGTGTCGCCCAATGTGGGATCCTGTGTGGCCACAACGCAATAATAGATCAATATCAACTTCGCTGACCAAACGTGAGGCATTAGGCTTGTCTATAACTGGATCACTCAGCCACTTTACAGTCCTTGACTTCAAGACCTGGAGACTGCTGAGACTTATCATGGACTTGGCGAATCGCTCACCAAAGATCTGTGAGTTTACCTACAGGGATGATCCAATGCCATTGGACACCATGACCGAGCCAAAGACCATGATGCATATTGATGGCGATGTACTGAAGACGATCTTACATGGACGCGGTTTGAAGCAGTTACTGGGAACCGATTTAGAGACGGACGAGTCTCGACGCACTCTCCAGAGGTTCATAGGGCTCCTCCAAGACGTCCATGAGGGGACACTGGATCAGGATGGCACGATCGCATATTACATTGGCCAGACATACACCGACCTTGAGTTCTATCTACGACCTGTGATGTAAGGATGGAGAGAGATCTTCCGAGCTAGGTTTTATAGGCACCGCGGGCCAGGGAGGGTCGTACCCACCAATCTGCCGCTGAAGTGACGAGGATGTATCAAGTGTGTACGGTACAGGTATATTTGGTCATAATTCCCTTGCACGGGATGTGGGAAGGCAGTAATACTATCCGAGGAGAACTTTGTAGTGTTGAACACCACCTGACTGAGCATCCAACATGGGCAAGCGGCTGCGAGCTGTCTTTTCGGTATTGTCCTACCATGACACAGACCGATGTAGATGGAGAGCTACGACCAAGAACAAATATGAATAAAACAACTCGCGCGTAGGTACTGTCAATGATACAAACCAAAAGGTTATGGAAATGCACCTATCTGGATACCCATTATGCTACTCTTCCGTACAAATCTTGCTTCTTAAGTACTGGCTCAGTCGGAACAAGACACTGGAACTGGAAGATGAGAGGACGGAGAGGGGGCGGGGCTGAGGGGCTGGTGCACGTGCCCCTCGCTTAGTTGGCTGACATTAAACTCATTGCCCCGCAGCTCAGAGGTCAACACTTGGGAATAATCTCAAAATCAATCCACGTACCTTTCTTCGTGTGACCAATCCACCGCGACTGCAGCAACAGTACAGGTAGATTTCAACCACAACAGTACGGAGAATTTCGAAGATTCAAGTCATCTTGGGCCCATTTGAGTCGCATCATAGGCGCTACGCAACGCCTAGATTTAAAACTCAACTACCCAGCCCATCCCAGGCAGTCAGCTTCTGCCTTCACACCCCACTTGCCACCAAGGTATCCTGCTGGCAGGTCGATATATTCTCTTCACACATACGCAACAAGCCACGGCACATCTCAAGGCCTTCTAATCTACACTATTTATAATGCCGCCAAAGAAGAAGTCGAATAAGAAGGGTGACGACTGGGAGTCGGAGTTGGGAGAACCAGCTGCCACAGCGCCGCCACAAGATAACGCCGACACACCTGCAGAAGCAGATGCTGAGGAGGAGTTCCCAGCAGGAGGCCTCATGGCCATGATGAGGAAAAGACAAAAAAAGAAGAAGGGGGCCCAGCAAGAGGACTCTTTCCAGGGAGAGGATGCGCCAATGGAGGAACCAGACCTGGCCGAGAAAGCGCCCGTTGAAGCTTCATTAGAAGACGAGTTCGCTCTTCCTGATAAGAAAGGGAAGGGGAAATCTGCATTGGATAAAGCAGCAAAAGCAGCAAGAGCAGATGACGACGACGACGAGAGGGGGGCTGATGGCAAGGTCCTAACCAAAGCTCAGAAGGAAAAGCTTAAAAAAGAGCGCGAAAAACAAAGAAAGAAGGAAAACGTACGTTTTTGTCCCGGTATACATATTTCTTGCAAGCTCTAACGATCTGACAACAGGCCGCTAAAAAGAAGACTCCTGCAACCAGTGCAAAAGCTCCTGAAAGTGTCAAGCCAATCCCAGATGTAAATGTCGATGAGCAAGGTCCTATAAAGACCCCTGGTGGTGGGGTAAAAGGGAAGAAACTTCCTGCTGCGTTAGCCAAGCTTCAGCAACAGCAAGAAGAATTGAAACGTCGTGAGGAGGAGAAAGCTAGAGCTCTGGCAGAGGAGAAAGCCCGGATCGAGGAGGAAGAGAGACGAGAAGCAGAAGAGGAGAAACGAAAAGAGGAGGCTAAGGCGCTGAAGAAACAAAAGGAGAAAGAGAGAATTGAGCAACAGAAGAAAGATGGCACTTATCTCACCAAGGCGCAGCGGGAGGAGAAGCTCAGAAACGAAATGAAGCTGAAGCAGATGATTGCTGCTGGTGTTAAAGTTGGCGGCCCCGAAGGTGGAGAAAAAAAGAAGGCTGTTTATGACAAAAAGAAGAAGGGTGGGCGGAAAAACCCTGAAGAAGCTAAGGTATGTTGTCTTTTCTGAGCTGACATGAACTGCCTCTAACGCCACAAAGCTAGAAGAAGAGAAGGCTCTTGCGGAAGCTGCTGAACGGGCACGCAAAGAAGCTGAACAAAAAATTGCAGAAGCTGCTGCAAAGGCTGAAAAGGAGGCTGCTGAAGCAGCTGCGGTCGCCGCAAAGAAGGGCGACCAAAGTGACCTGGATGATGATTGGGAGGTAGCGGCTGCAGAGAGTGAGGACGATATCAAAGACAGCTGGGATGCCGAATCCGATGTCGAGCGAGAGAAGGCTGTTGCTAAGAAAGCTGCTTCGGCAGGTTCTGGGTCAAAAGAACTGCCAGTCCGTGAGGCCAAGGCCGAGGAATCAGAGACTGAGTCGGACTCGGAATCAGATGAATCTTCTGAGGACGAGGAAGCTACAGCTGCTCAGCTTGCTGCTGCTCAGAAGAAGAAAGAGGCCGCCGAACGACGTGAGAAGGCGCACGAAGCAGCAATGGCTGCTAGGTCAAAGGACAATCTTCGCTCTCCCATATGCTGTATCCTCGGACACGTCGATACAGGCAAGACTAAGCTACTGGACAAGATTCGACAGACCAACGTTCAGGAGGGAGAGGCAGGAGGTATTACACAACAAATTGGTGCTACGTACTTCCCTGTTGAGGCCATACGACAAAAAACACAAGTTGTGAATCGAGACAACAGCTTTGATTTCAAGGTGCCTGGTCTTTTGGTCATCGACACACCAGGTCACGAGTCTTTCTCCAACCTGAGATCCCGAGGGTCGTCACTCTGTAACATCGCAATTTTGGTAGTCGACATCATGCATGGACTGGAGCCACAAACGCTGGAATCTATGAAGCTGTTGCGCGATCGAAAGACTCCTTTCATTGTTGCCCTCAACAAGATCGATCGTCTTTACGGTTGGAAAAAGGTCGACAATAACGGATTTCAGGAGAGTCTGGCTTTACAGAATAAAGGTGTTCAGAACGAATTCAACAAGCGGTTGACTGACACCAAGGTCGCTTTTGCCGAGCAAGGATTCAACTCCGAGTTATTTTACGAGAATAAATCCATGGCGAAGTTTGTTTCCCTGGTACCCACATCTGCACACACTGGTGAAGGCATCCCTGATATGCTCAAATTAATCCTCCAACTCACCCAAGAGAGAATGGTTGGCTCTTTGATGTATCTTTCCGAGGTACAGGCAACTGTCCTCGAAGTCAAGGCCATTGAAGGGTTTGGCATGACAATCGACGTCATTCTCTCCAACGGTATATTGCGAGAGGGTGATCGTATAGTTCTCTGCGGTGTAGAAGGAGCTATCACAACAAATATTCGCGCTCTCTTAACCCCGGCGCCCCTGAAGGAGTTGCGTCTCAAATCACAGTACGTCCACAACAAGGAAGTGAAAGCCGCTCTGGGAGTTAAGATCAGTGCACCTGGACTGGAGGGCGCAATTGCAGGATCGAGATTGATGGTCGTTGGTCCGGATGATGATGAATCTGATATCGAAGAAGAGGTGTTATCAGATCTGGGTGCGCTCTTCAAGCGTGTGGAAAAATCAGGTCGCGGTGTCACCGTCCAAGCATCCACTCTTGGCTCTCTCGAAGCACTGCTCGATTTCTTGAAGGTATCCAAAATACCTGTCGCCAACGTCGGTATTGGTCCGGTCTTTAAACGAGATGTCATGAATTGTGGAACCATGCTCGAGAAGAACAAGGAATACGCCGTTATGCTGTGCTTCGATGTGAAGATCGATAAGGAAGCACAGCTTTACGCGGATGAGCAAGGAATTAAGATTTTCACCGCCGATATTATTTACCACCTTTTCGATGCTTTTACGGCACACATGGCGCTTATCGCGGAGAAGAAAAAGGAAGAGTCCAAGCACGACGCCGTATTTCCGTGCGTTCTCAACACAGTAGCTGTGTTTAACAAGACTGGCCCTATCGTGGTGGGTGTGGATGTCGTCGACGGTAATCTTAGGATGCACACTCCAATCGCTGCGGTCAAGCAGAATGCTATCACCGGAATAAAGGAGATCGTTGGCATTGGTAGAGTGTAAGTTGTTGACGCATTCCAAGAAAAAGTAGACAGCTGTTAACATGCAGTAGTACCGGCATTGAGCGCGACCATAAGCAGATCCAGATATGCAAGAAAGGACAGCCATCTGTTGCCGTGAAGATCGAAATGTCTGGCCACCAGCCAACATATGGCCGACATTTAGAGGAGAAAGATACCTTGTACTCTCTCATTTCCAGAAAGAGTATCGACGTACTGAAGGAGTTCTACAGGACGGATGTATCAAATGAGGAGTGGCTGCTGATCAAGAAGCTGAAGCCATTATTTGATATTCCTTAAGTGCGATTCGGCCTGGCGGAGATGATTCTACGACGGGGACATTGTACACATAGCGAGATTTGATCAATTATCTGTTTATTGTTTCCTTTCTGCATCGCATGGCACAATAAAAGCTGTAGATAGACATCGTTTCGGTGGTCAGAAAGACAATTTCATACTCGTAGCCAGTCAAGCCTGCCCGAGCCTTTCATCACAGCAAGGCTGCCGGCGTATCTTGATCTTGACTGCAGAGCTTGAGCAGACAGTTCCTCGGGGCTGTATCGCATGTGCCTGGACCTATGAGCGGTCCTACCATGTTGAGCCTCTGTGCTCTTTCCTATACGGGCATGGCAAGTAGAGGTACCTTAAGTATGTGTATGAGTTGGCTGGGCAGATCTTGCCAATGGTCCAACTTTGCGAGCCCAGTGTGTTACGCTCGACTGGTGATATTTTTCATTCGATACCCATCACACAGGTTGCCTGAAATATCCTTATCACGCAATCCCTATACCCTATGAAAATACTCTCTTGCGCCTGGGTATTCCGACCCATATTTTGGATATCGTACTGGAGCGCCCATCGCGTTCAAAACACCAAACGTCATGAGAAACAACGACCTCGTTCCACCTCCAAGGACAACCCCCGTGGAAGCTAAGAATCGAGAGCTCGACCTCTCAGCATATTTCCTCGTAAGGCGAGCATCCACCGAGTCTGATGCAGTATCGCCCAAATTTGGGGGTTCTAGAGCTCCATCGTATCGAAAATCGCCAAAATCGCCAAAATCAAAGTCGCAGAAGTCAGGCTGCTCAAGTCATGGGCCTCGTACGAAGAGAAACTCCATCAGTTCGGCACAATCCATTATCGCAAAGAACCAAGCCATTCGAGACTGGAACGACAAGAGCATAGGGGTGACCAGCCCATCGTCTGCAGGCTGCTTATCGAGCCATTCCGTAGATCCACCTCGTCCACCAAGAGCAGGCTGTGAGTGGGTATGGTTCCCGGAAGGTTATTGGGCGGAGCGTGAGGTCACTCTTCCAAGGAAGGCCGGATCGCGACAGAAATGGTGGAGTCGGTCTCCTGAACGGAAGAGCAAGAGTTCGACGACGACACAGCCCAGCGAAAGAGCCCACCCTTCAACCGAGCTGCCAACAATCAAAATTGGGAGTCTAATGTCGAGAAAGTCGTCAACGACAAAGAGCCCAAAGGTCGAGCATTCGTCTTCGACGTCCCGGAAAAGTAGCGGTATTCGTATACAAAGCATCAGACACCAATTTAATGTTCAGTCGAAGAAACCCGTGCCGGCATATTATGGCATTCCTCCAGATGAGCACTTGGGCCTGTATTGCAGAGCGAAAAAAACAGTTCGGTCAAGGTTTATGCAAAAGGCAACTACTGTAAGTCACAAGATTGCTATACGACTTGCTCCAAGCTTAAGGAAATACAGGTTGATGACTCGGGTATCGTCGACGTGAACAGGATAACCTCGCGGACAACAATGCTACTGCAAGGGACTTCTCAATACCTGGACCGAGCAGAGCAAGAAAGCTGCCAAGCTTCAAAACCATGCCTGCCTCCAGAGGCTCCGCAAACGCCAGGTTCGTCCAGTCTCAGATCATTTCGGCGATTTGGTCTGGCACCATGGCACCGTAAAACCTCCCACGAGTCCATTCTGTCTGCTTCAAGTTCTGTCTTCAAGTTGCTACTTGGCAAAGCTCCTGCAGTAACACCGAATCCTGACTATCAATACGAAGGAACAGATGGGAAAACGTACCTAAAAGGTCAGTCGGATTCTGGAATCGGGTCAGACTTGCAGTGCTACTGACACATAGTACACAGTGGACATAGCAAGCCCCGATCCAATAGAGCCCACATTCCTCCCATCTGTGAGTATAACGGGTACATTCGTGTTGGTCAAGTAGATGATCCAGAGTGTATGATGAAGATGAAGTGTATCTCAACGAAATCCCATGCTGCAGCTCTTGCATGTAGATTACAGGCGTAAACTAACTACGACTCTGTATAATAGGAAGCAAAACGTGTCAACACACCACCAATGTTTCCTGGTACCCCAGACCTCCAGCCCCGTGGCTTTTTCTTTGATTTGAAACCGCGGGGAGAAGGCAGTATAAGTACAAGCCCAGTATCGAGCAGCAGCAACGCTGCAGCGAAGAACCGATCGAACGGTACCTCGCCAAGCATTGAGTGGTGGGAAGCCGACACTCAACATGCAAGCACGGGCAATAAATCGGCGCGCCTTCTCAACATAGAAATAGATGCACCTATGAACCAATCACCCCGGGCCTCTTTCGAGCTGAATCTACCAGAACACCTCCCAAATAGCCCTCTCTGCCCAAAAAACCCTATGAATGAGAGTGGAGGAACCGTTATATGTCCGTACCATGGGCGCAAGAGGAGAAACCACTTGATGAATATCAACCAGTCAGAGTTGGAGTCGCAGGACAGCAGCACCACTCCAAGTGGAAAAACCTCGACAAGGAACATCATTGGCTAGGTTTATGGAGCCAGGGACGATGGAACAGAGAGGAAGGAGGCGTCTAGCACAGAAGCGCGAAGCTCGAAGGGTGAAGGTTGAACGTCGAGGCATGAAGAATGGATAGAAGACATAGCAGGGCTGGGGTTGTTGACGCGAAAATCAGATAGTGCAGAGAAAGTGGCGGGAGTCGTTGACATCCATTGCAAACCGACAACCGGAATCAAAATCATCAGCTGATTGCGTCTTCAAACATGAAAGGGTTATGTTGTAGTGTGAGAGGAGTGATATGCTTTGTATGGAGAGAAGCGGGAACCCGGAATATCGATGTTGACGGGATGTTGTGAGTTCATTGCAGTGTCGCAAGCAGTTGTAGGTACGCAGCTGCCTGCCTAACTTACCTGTAGGTTAGATAGGTACCTACCTTAAAGGAAAAGGCAGTTGTAAATGAACCGTCCTGTTACAATTCTAGGACGTTTCTCTGAAAGAACAGCCCTTAACTGAGAAAACGTTCCTCGGATCGCCTCGGGACGGTTTCTTCGCTTAGGGGCAGCCGCCTAGATAATCCCTTACAGTAATCTGATTACTGCCCTGTAGCAACCCTTTCATACCTAGCTCACATGTTCCAACATGAACTTTTCCTGATACATCGATTGATGTTAGTATCGTACCGGTAGGGGAATTAGGTAATTTACAGAACAGACCAGTACAGTGCAGTACCTCCCACCTTACCTAGGTAGTAGGTCAAGAGGGCGGCCACAGATTTCCGAACCCTACCTAAGGTACCTTAGCATTTGTAGAAAGTTAAATATTTAGTTCTGTAAATAAACAGAATCGCCAGGTTTTGCAGTAGACTTCTTGATTGTGGCTTTATTCTATTTATATGATTAGAAGATCGTACCTAAATCATTTAACCAATTAGAAGTGAAATAAAGCTTAATGGAGCGGAGTTAGCTGAAATCAGCGAATCGTATCTGACGATATAGACCAAGTTATGAAGTCTCTAACTTACCTTAAGCAACAGAATAGCAACGGGCGTCCAACGGGCATCAAACCCCTCGACGGCTCGGAAATCTGTGGCCACTCTCTTTCCATTACTTAGGTAGTCGTAGGTACATTGAAATAATAGGTACCTACCAAGATACCTACTACCTTACCTTCGGTACACGAGGCACAGTCCCAAGTACCCTGGCACCCTACCAACTCGCCCACAGCCTCCAGCCTGGCTACCCTGGACTACTGTACAATTTCAGCCGCTTAACACATCGCAGCCTCACCTCACCACCTCACCTCACCTGCTGCCTCCAACAACCTTGCGCGTTTCGACAACAACTTTGTCGCACACAGTCGGCAACATGGCGACAACTGGTGGCGGAGGTCTGCATGACCCATTGCTGCTCTTGAAACAATCGATAGCGGCCGGCAGTCCTATCATACCGACAACCGCTGCGGATGCATCTTCTGCTTCTGCAGTTGATCTCAGCCTGGCCAAAGCTACATTCCTTCACTTCTCGTCGCCAGCCCAGGTCTCAATCGAACTCACGACACCCACACGTTTCTTCTCCTCCGAGAGACCCGTGGACCTCCGAAGCATCTTTTTTGCCTGGGAGAAACGGGAGACTGCGATCCCGGAGTACAATGGGGCGGCCCAGGAATTGAATGAGCAGCTCCGGGCTGGCGACGGTGCAGGAGGGGAGGTGCAGAATTTGGCTTTCGTTGAACGATTGGATTTGATTACTTGGCTGGAAGGCGCTTCCGAGGAATCTGAGTATATCAAGCCTCTGGCATCAGATACGTCAAGCGCAACATCATCAGCGCAAGTCGCTTCTGGGGTCAAAGGTGGTATTGTGCCAGTTACCAGTGGTAACCAGATCCGTCCAGGCAAGACCATTGATCCTCGACTGGCGGAAATCTACAATGGTGAAAGACGTACGGGAGACAGGAACAGTGTCCTTAGGGGCATCAAACCTACGGTACGTGTCTACCGTCACATGAAGTCATCTTTACCCAGAATCTGAATTTCAGTAGGATTTCTCGCACGTCCGCAAGCTGGCAGCACCCTTCAATGCAGGCAAGGCTGCACAGGCGGCAGCAGCAGCAGCGGCGGCAGCATCAGTGAATAATTCCATATTGGTACATAATCCAAAAGCCTCTGTCCGACGCCCGGATCCCATCATCCTGCTTTCACCATCTGCCTCCTCTCTCCTCCGGCTTTCAAACATCAAGGCTTTCCTCGAGAACGGAATATATGTCCCACCCGAGTCTGTCAGCGCATCGTCTAGCTCTTCTTCCACACTTCTGCATACCCAACGCTTGATCACCTCCATCGACGCGACTCGCCCGATTCGCTTTATTCTCGTGGATACACCGGAGCAATTCAAGCCGGAGTACTGGAGTCGGGTTGTGGCTGTCTTCACAACAGGCCAGGCCTGGCAGTTCAAGACCTATAAGTGGCAGCAGCCTACCGAGCTGTTCAAGCATACATTGGGTATTTATGTTGGGTGGAGAGGAGATAGCCCGCCAGATACAGTCAGAGGATGGGGAAGGGGCGTATTTTCTACTCAAGTTGACAAGTACAGCGCAGGTGCACCACCATCGAGTCGATGGCGAGACAGAGAAGTTGTGGAGAGTATTTGGAAGGGGATCGAGGATAACATGCGGCAGAAGGGGTGGAGGAGAGATTCCGGGCCCATGAATATCTAAGCAGACAGGGCTCGAGGAAAATCGTGCTAAGCGAAAGGCAATGGCGTATGGTGTTTTCAGACTTAGGTGCGAATTTGACGGATATTTGGAGATAAACATGGCCTGGCCACACAAAGGTCCAAATTTGATATCCAGGAACTCGGGCTTTCCGAAATGCCTGCAAAAACTTATGCCCGCTGACTTGTCTTGGAAGTAGTCAACGGTTCGGCTCCTAGGGCATTTACACCCGTTGTATACATGCATCGTTTCTGCGTGTTTGCGGCCAAGCGAACATGATCATACCTGAATCTCATGGAGCACAATGGAAGCACCTCTTGCTCAGGATTGCTGCTCTTAGATAATGACATGTTACCTCTACCTCCTTCGCCCTTCTCTCCATGTCACCTGGTCGGGCTAAGAAGGTGGCGATACCAGTACATGGATGGGGTGGTAACTGACCCCTAATTTCACATCACACTAGTTACGATCATGGAAACGTTCCTCCTGAGAACCTGAGATTTTGTGAGATTCTAGATACTCTTAACAGCCTACACATTTACTCCTCGTTGTTTAAAGGAACATCTGTTGGTGATAAAGGTTGTTCCATGTTTGTATTTGCCGAAGCTCTTTGGAATTCCCAGAATGATGATCAGGTGGGCATTATGATTCAGCCAAGTCTGTGACGCGGGGGTAGGAGTGCTGAGATGCTCCCCGACGCCAGATTATTCCAGAAGGCTAACGACTAACTGTTAAGGTTTCCCGTCCGTACCTCTCCTTTTCTTCCGAGTTTCGAATCGCAGTGAGACTTCTCGCGCCGTGACACTGAGGTCATCTTCAGTCTGTCAACTCTGTACAGACACATATCGGCGCAGTCAAGTCTAGACTATGTAAATCTGATCAACTCTACTGTATGTCTGCTTGCTTCACTAGATCTCCAGGCTCTCGGACAATGCCGGACATTCATCAGCACACCCGTAGCTTCTAGTTTTGTTTGGAGGCATGGGCCCAAAATTTGCTCTGAATAACGCCTGAAAATAAAGGAAGAGCCCCCAGTATTGCAAATGTTTCCTAGAACTTGAAGCCACAATCACAAAAGGTTTCGGCGAGACGATACACAACACAGCGTGACTGGAAGGTACCGGCGCACATTGGTAGCCACGCCCACCACCTCTTGGACTTAGTCTCGTGGGAGGGACGCCTGCGGATGGCGGTAGCTAAAGGGTGGAAGCGGGCTGAAATGCATGCTGAAGCCGATAACGATGTTTTGACTGTGACACTTGGCGCTGACTGCGGTGGCAAATTTTTACGCTGCCGGACGCACAACATCTTGATCCGAGGAAGACGTCAAATTTAGTGACAAAAAAGTAGCAGAGAAATGCTCGCAGTCAGTGAACTTGGTCATCTACAACGAGAAAACCAATAACTAGGCAAGTCTTGAGACATTGTACCGCTATTTTGTGTCCAATGCTGCTGACCTTGACGTCTAGACCTGGATGATGGTTGAGACTACCTTCAAACTCCAAGCGCGATGTCCGGGCCGGCGGTCAGAGGAAACCAACTAATGTACTGTAATAGCAACAGCAACGTGGCACTGGAACAATCGCATCTCGGGAGCGAGATTGAGTTTGTCTGATTTGCCCGAGTTGCCCTCAGCGGTGGACGAGTAGGGTAGGGTGGAGTTCGGCAAAGCAGAGAAAAGGAGGCTAAGGAGCTAAGGATGTCTCGATGAAAACTTCTGGAAACGCCTCGGAATGGCTGTGGAAGGAGCGAAGAAGAAAAGAAGGAAATGAAAAGGCTTGAGAGGTGGAGATGTGTGGATAAGCGGCGAATTTCTGGCGATCATACCGGGATGGTTCCTTGCCATTACTGTATTACTCGCAGCCAAGGACTGTCGTGGAGGGTTCAATGGGAAGAAAGGGGCAAATGACAGCCACGGTCGTTCGTAATCTACGAGAAGTGCAGCGCAGCGTCAACCTCAAGGGCCGCGACTAGATTCTGTCATCACCAGTCGGAGATGGTGGGTACTGTACAGTAATTTACGTGGAGGTGCGAGGCTAAGGGTGCAATTTGGTACCCTGTGTGGAACTACAGTAATGTGGACATCTACTCCGCCAGGATAACACACAACTTCCGGCCTTCTAGAAGGTTGATAGAACAATTCCAATATTCTTGGACGATGGAGACTCGTTAGCCCTTATCATTACCTGGTCTGGGCAGCCAAGAGTGACTTCTCAGCAAGGTGGACCAGTAAATTAGTCCGTGTTTGCTAATGTAGTCAGGACATTTGATAGCTGGGAGTTGAGGGTGGAATGTTGAAATGTTTCAGGACCCGTGAATCTTTCATTGGATGGAGATACTTGCACTCCACATCAAGATTCGCCCTGCTGCGTTCTGCTCCTGCTTCGTTTTGCAATGTAATTTACTAATCTAAATGATTTGACATGTACTATCATAGCTAGATACCTAGGAGGGAAAGGATTGCTGGTTATGAAATGAGGCCGAATTGAGGCAAAGTAAATTATTCTGGGATGCACCAGGGATGATACCCGTACATATTTTTTAGACACAGAGGTAAGTTATCTGAGGTTATGTACAGGGCGACAGTACTGTACTGTAGTAATTTAGTTTGCGTCGCTTCGTTTCAGCCCTAGGACGGGGACAAGCAATGCAAATAGAGCCATAGGTTCGCTGGCATGGGCCTCCTGGTTGCGGCACCACGGTCTGTCCGCCATGCGAGAATGCAATTGGAGTTAATCAGCGTTCCATTTCGACTGGATGTTCGGGACGCACCAGGTTTCGGAGATATGTGGTGGGAGGTGAAGATGCAGGTGAGATGAGGAGAGCAGAAGGAGAAGGAAGAGGTATGGCGAGGAAAAGGCATGCCCTCAATCCCACGCAATAAAAGGGTGGCTAGTAGGTAAGTTACCTACAGTGTACAGTGTACAGAGGTAGCTGGGTAGTCGAGGGAGCAGAGGAGGTAAGGTAAGGTAGGTATAGCTCGGGTAGGTAAATTTACTTCAGGTAGGTAATTTATCTCGATCCCTGGCTGCATCGTGACAAAGAAAATGACTAGAGGCTTCGCTGGCCAATGATAATCCTGACCTTCCATGTGGTCTGACAGAGAGAGCGCACCTCATGGCATTGCATGGGTCCTGGGTCCTGGGTCGTGGTTCCTGGCTGATGGCTGATGGCTGGTGGCCGATGGCTGATGGCTCCCCACTTCGAATCGCCCACAACGTGGCAAGTGGTCACATCGGAAACAAGGCTTCGCCGCCGCCTCAGCTGCCCTCTAAGTTACCCACTGGCCACTTCCCACGTCGGCTAAAGCTAAAGCTAAAGCTAAAGCTAAAGCTCTTTTAGTTCCCAGTTGTCGTGCGTGCTCAGTGCTGTGCTGTGCTTTGCAGTAGTGTTCTGTTCTGCTCTGCTCTGTTCTGTTCTGTATCGTGGGATGCCGGTGCTTTGTGCCGCCGCCCTTGCACACGTGGGATCGTTCTCCAACGATGCTTTATTTCCAACTCCAACTCTAATCCTCTCTTCTCTTCGCTTCCCTTCTCTTCTCTTCTCTTCTCACACCACAGGGTCTTTACTCGGTTGAGGCGTGTATTGTTGCAGTGAACGGTCTATTTTAGCAGTAGCAGCAGTCTCGCTAGCCCTTTCACACCGCAATTTCAACACCAGGCTTCTCGGCATTATTCTATGACGCGACGTGGCGGCATCGCCTGTCGCGACTCGCGAGTACCCTACTGCTTGCAAGCGGAGTACCAAAGTACGGATTATTAAGGCAGGTCAGCGAGGAGTCGAGGACAGGTGGCTGAGAGTTCGTTTGGTGGTGGAGTTAGCTACCTGACGGCAACGGTAACGGCAACGTATGGAAGCTGGCCGCCTCAACTGCGGAGCGGAAACATCCTCGGGCGCGCGCGAGTAATGCAAAAGTTAACATCTCGTTTAATGATTCGTGACGTGTGCTCACCGTGTTGTCCGTCCATGCCAGCGTCGCATGTGCTCACTTGCTACCTTAGTATAAGGTAAACTCACTTCTGGCATTGTCAGGATGAGTTCTCTTTAAAAGATCGAGCTTTTTCTTGCGCTTGACATCCTCCCCATCTTGGTACACTGGAGCTGCGTAAGACACGAATGACCTCAGATGAACGAGCCATATCATCTGAAGAAGAAAAGTGGTGTTTCAATCTGACCCTTCGGATATCGTAGAGGGGGGATTCTTTTAGAAGCGAGCGAGTATTTTCGCCCTCGTCCAAGTCCAAGGCCTCCAAGGGTACGCTTCGAGCACGGTAGCTTCCTGCACAGTATGACGTAAATCACAAATATGGCCCGCATTTCAATGTGTACGCGTTTGCGTGGCTCTCAGAGCTGCCAAGCAAAGACTGTCTTACAGATGAAAGCATCTGCAGCATACCACAGTTCCGCTGGATAGAGCTGTTCTCGCTGTTGTGAATTGACAGTTTTTCTGGAGCCCCTGTCAAGGGACAAGGATCACTAAGTATGCACCTACGGGTTTTTTCACACCAGAAACACAAACACAATCGATCCCTTGCCCGGTTGTGAGACATTTATGCCATTTCTCCTCAGCCCTGTCATCCAACGCTTCTAGAAGAAAAAGGATCGACATGTAGTTGAGCTTGATACTTTCCGAAGCTCAATACGGATGTGGATTTCAAGCTTCATCATTATCTTTACGAGTGTTCTGTGAATAGAGATGAGAGTCGGGAGTATTTCATGTTCTTTCCACCAAATTCGTCTGCTGGCTTGTGGCCATTCTTATTCTCTCTGTAATTTACAACAATGAGGCTTCTCGTTCCGCGCTAATGTCAGTTGACATGGCATGGATGCGGAGATTTGAAGAAAGGTATGGAACAGGGAGGATGAAAGGCTTTTTGTTTGTCTAGTCAAAGGACCAAGTGGTCTCACATATCTTTTGCGGTGGTCTCCAGTAGGTCGTTTGCACGAGACCATTCATCGAACAGGATGGTAATATACCTGTCACGGAGACGAAAGGTCCTCACTTCGGCGTGCCTCAACCGAGCTGTCGGAGTATACCTACAGTAGGTATGTTGTACGGCAGGAGAATGCGACTCAAGCTATGAGTGCAAATGCCTTGGGCGATGTAGGCAAAAAGTCCCCAGAAGTACCTGCACCACAGACCAACCTGTCACATACATATACGAGTTTGAGCTTGGGGCTGGTCGATCCAAAGCAATTCCCTTGGCTCCATGTTCTTTCGAACCGCACTTATACACCAAGACTGGAGTGCAAGAAAACCGCCCTCAGTTTGTCGCAGGGCTCGGAGCCAGCCACGAAGGCCAATAGTGAGAATCAATAGATAAGACCTGTGTTGAAGTGAGCTTCAAGGGAGCTTCGTGGGGACTTCACGACAAGAGGCGATGCGCACCCTACCACACTAGGAGATGTCGGTAGTTCCTGAGATGTCAAGAAACCTGTTGCGTAGAAGGTTCGAGGGCAGTGCTACAGTATGTCAATTTTATCCTCCCGAAGCTTGAGGCCGTCCCGTCCTTTCTCTCCGACGTAAATTCACCAGCCCCTGCATAAATACATGCATGCATGGCCCCCTTCCTTTCATTCATTTATTCATCACGTCCACGTCGACCCATATCCAGGTCCTTGTCCAAATCCAAGTTCATGCCCATGCCATGCCACGCACACGCGCACGCGCACGCTCACGCTCTCGCACAACCTCACGCACTGGGTAGTGGGCTGTTGTCCGGTAGGCTAAATCGTGGGTGGCAGCGTGGCATTTCTGACTTGGCATGCAGATAGAAGGTCCTCCGAACAATTCCATTCGAGAAATCCAAACGTCAGGGGCCTGGGCGTATTGAAGCGGACGAAGAGACCGCAGGGGTGTAGCAAATAGCAAGACATGAGTGGATCGGTTAGAGATAGGGTCCACGGTGGCGCGACCTGCAAGTTACGGGGGTATTCCCTGCTGCCACGAGCACGCTCGATCTGCATAATCGCCCTGCCCCCCTGCCTTGTCCATGTCCAGGTCCGTCCTGCGTTGGAGGACGGAGAGGAGAGGAGAGGAGAGGAGAGGAGAGGAGAGGAGAGGAGAGGAGAGGAGAGGAGAGGAGAGGAGAGGAGAGGAGAGGACGGGAGAGGAGAGGAGTGGAGAGGAGTGGAGAGGGGACCAGAGGAGAGGAGCGCACGACAAGTTTATTATTTCTTGTACCTAAAGTACAGCACTGTAGGGCGGCGAGCCAGCAGCCAAAGGCAGGCAGGGACGTGATGTACTCCGGACAGTACTGTAGGTAGGGGCCATCCGAGCCAGAGCAGGGCATGTCCATTAAGGGGAGGGGAAGGGAGGGGAAGGGAGGGGAAGGGAGGGGGCGCCTGGCAGGGACGAGAGAGAGAAGACACTCGCTCATTCACTGGTGCAGGAGCTGGTTCTGGTGCCGGTGCCGGTGCTTGTGCTTGCTTGTGCTTGTGCTCGTGCTCGTGCTGTTGCTCACACTACCTTATGCGGGCTCTGCGCGGCGGCCGGCCGAAAGCAGCTCCCCGTCGCTCTGGACGACATCGCAGGACACTTGATGATATCTTTCTATCCTGTCCTGTGCCTGCGAGTGGTAAAGTCGAGCTGAATGCCTGCCGACCATCCCCTCCAGTTCCAATCCCCCTTTTCCCCTCTGCTTCTCCTTCTCGCATCCAGTTTGCCTCCAGACTGCACTGGTGGTGGACCTACCTCCTTTACCCTAAACTTCCATAAATCTCCTTCCACGCCAGACTAGCACGCCGCTCGCTCGCTCGCACTCCGGCCTGAACCTATGAGCCTCCTCTCCCTTCTCCTCTCCTCTCGTCTGCCTTCTATTCCCTGCCGATTGCACCTGTATTAGTCACCTCTATCCACCCACCCACTCCAGGACATCAAGACAAGCATTGCCTCTTTCTCAGCTGCAATAATAATTGCTCCATTCCATTCCCGCGCCTGCAGGGAGGAGACAGTAGCAGGAGACAGGATTCGCACCAGACACAACAGAATACTTCGACCACAGGAGAGCAAAGTAAAATTTGCCTACAGTGCATGCCCTGCCTGCCCTGCCCTGCCCTGCCCTGCCCTACCCGGCCTTGCCCGGCCCTGCCATGCTCCATACCTACTCTACTTTACTACTGTACCTAAATCACGTCTGGCCCGACCTGGTGGATACTTCTACTTCAACTTCAACTTCAACCCCCCCCGTCTCCATCCTCGTCCTCGTCCCCGTCCCCGTCTCGTCTCGTCTCGTCTCGACGTCGTCCTTGTCCTTCGATCCTACGCTTACCCTCCTTCCCCCTACAGTACGGTCCTCCTCAGAGTCTCAGACAGACTCTTCCCGTTAGGCCCACCATCCATGTGCATCATTCTCCACGCTAAACGCTAGGTAGGATCTTCACTTGCTTGCTTTACTTTGCTCTGCTTTTGGTGCTCTGCTACTGCTTGGCGTCCTTCCTCGTAAAACATCCTTTCACCCCAACCAACCTACGCTTCCACCTCCTTGTCCCAGGACCTTAGATGGCCGCCATCTCTCAGTCCACACAACCTACCACTACTCCTCACTCGCTTCCTCAAGCATCCGCCGACCACCTAACATCTCTCAAGCGCCCCTCCTCGTCTTCATCTAAGGACTCTGCAGCCGTCCAATCCACTCATTCGATCGCAGATCCAGCTACATCCCCTCCTGCTACAGCAGTACTCCTCAACACCCCCAATCGCCTGAGCACCTTCAGCAAGAATCGCCAGTCGACGCTCTCCCCCGTGTCGTCCAAACAGAATCGCGGTGGGCTGTTCTCGTTGGCAGCATTGGCTCTAGACAAGACCTCGAGTGCCATTGCAAGCTTCTCCGAACCGTCGATCCGAAATCGAGCTTCGACCGGAAGTCTATATCGTACCGCACAGAATTCTCCTACACGCGAACCGAACAATAGCAGCACATCTGCGCACACAGCTACGCGGCACAATAGCACCAGGGACAATAGCAACCCGTCAACGAGCCACCACGATATTTCTACCCCGACCGCATTTCACAACAGATCAGAAACGTTGAATACAGTCACAACTCGAAAGTCTTTGCTTGAGACTAATCCCCCTTCTCAGGCGTATTCAAATACAGCCTCTGATACCCCTGCTCCCATCGTTCTACCACAATCAAACTTCAACAAGATGCACCAAACTTCCTCGCGCTTGTTGCGCATGACGTCTGATGACAGACCGTTTACAAGAGTAAGGGAGATCAGATACAGGCTGTTTATGGGGCGCAGGTGCTAATTTGCGTGTAGGATTTCAAGGACCTTTTTGCAACTCTAGTTGTCAGCCTTCCACTTGCTCCTCATCGCGTACGTCTAACGCGAGTTGAACACTCGTTCTTGTCAGAAGAAGCAATAAACAACCTGGGATCCCTCAAGTTCTCCCAGTCAAACCGCATGCCAGATCCTAAAGATCCCTCCCGAATCGTCACGACCACGACTACGACTACATTTTCTATGGCCCGTGAGATGGCACGTTCTGTATGCCAAAGATTTTTGGATGCAAGATTCATCGAGTCTGCGGATGGCAAGCAAGCAAAGGAATTTACAATGAAAAGTTCGGTCTGGCAGTTAACCCCCAAAGGCATTCATGTCTTGGAGAGATTCTGTGCGAAGAATGGAATTCAGCAGAAGCATGTCACCGAACTCGTGAACTCTTCTAGGAACACAATGCAACTAGTTATTCTTGAGCGAGACTCGACGACAGATAAACTCTCTTCCGACCGTAGTACGATCGAAGTCATTTTTCGAAGATTTGTCGGTCAAAATGGTCCAAACATTAAGAGCAGCACTAGCTCTGCTGATTCAGACTCGCTCAGTGAGTACAAGGATGGAATTGCAGGCGTGAGAATGGCCAACGAGCGCAAAATTGGGTCGCCTCCACGGACCATGTATCAAACATTCACTGGAAAGGCTGCTACAGACTGGCTGATGGATTGTTGCACAACTGTGGACCGTAGAGAAACAGCCGAAATTGCGACTCTCTTTCTGGAACAGGAGTTGATTTGGTGTGTTCAGCAGGATAGAGCTTATCTGGCTCAATTCTCGCCACAGGAAAGAGACAAGTCGGCAATTTTTCAGCCAACGAAGCATGGAATTTACCAGATGACACAAAAGGGGAAGGACGTCGTCAATATGACATCTCGGGAGCGCACTTCTGAGGGCGGAGAAGGCTTGAACACAGCCGCGAGAGCTGGTGTATCTCGGGACTCTAATACTCAGAAGCTTGATAAGATATTGAACGACCCCTCGCTCCGCTTACTCTTCCGAGAGAACCTGCGGGACACCCATTGTGAGGAGAATCTCTCATTCTACCTTGACGTTGACGAATTCCTTAAGTCGTGCAAAATCGCGATCAAGTCCAATTCTCCATCGAGAGGCAGTTCGGGAGGCAACCTAGACTCTGTCAAGGAGACCATGGCCTCTGCATATGGCATCTACAATGCATTTCTGGCCCCTGGTTCCCCTTGCGAGCTCAACATCGACCACCTCTTGCGAAACCAGTTGGCAACCAGAATGACCAAGGCAGTAGGACAGGACTCTGCGATGATCGAAAGTCTGAAGGAAGTCACCAAACTTTTCGAAGAAGCACAGTTATCTGTTTTCAAGCTGATGGCTAGCGTGCGTGCTCCTTGATTTCCCGTCCTCTACCTGCCTGCTAACCGATACATAGGACTCCGTTCCCAAGTTCATGAAGAGCTCGAAGTACGAGCAGACGCTCAAGACTTACGACTTCGATTCCATCGCCCCCCGCAACAATGCCTCCGGGGCACCCGAACGTAGCATGAGCAGATCAAATCGGTAAAGCCCAGAACGGCCATAATCCTCACTTTTACAAAAGTTTTTCTTGTCTATTCACGGGCAGCCAAGATTGTCAATTCCCTCTATTGGAAGACTCCTCGATCGGTATCATATCATGGCCATAACGACTTTGTTTAGCGATTGCATAGATTCCCCATGCCTTTATTACCACACCGCCAAGGAGCGACTTCTTTAATGACTTCCAAGGCGGAACACTCTGGATACACTTGCATCTGGAGGTCTCACTGGATACTCTATCCTGGCTTTGTACATGCATTTTCGGCGTTCTGGATTTCGAAAGGGTTCGGCATTAGACAGAGACCCCCATTCATTTACACGATTGTTTTGACCTCTCGTGATAAAGATGCCGGATTGTCAATGGAGGAGCATAGAGAGGGTCAATGACCCGTTGGAGGCTGGGAGCATGCAATTGGTGCCTCAAGTACCTACTCTTGTTTGTACTTAAATTCATCGGCGCAAGATCGCATTATCGAATGAAACCACGCATGCAACCAAAGCCGCGTCGTCGGCGCGTCATATGGACATCGTCATCAAGTCTGAGAAGTCTGAGAAGTCTAGACTGCTGCTTCATTCCTTTTAGCGGGTTGTAATTTCGATATGTGCGTGTTTCGGCCCTGTGACGGCTTTGCTGGCGTTCACATTCCGTAGACTAACAACAACAACCATAAAGACAAGCTTAAAGTAAGATTAGATCGCTGAGGAACGCGCCACAGATCATTCCTTTCCGAGATTGGCTGGTGTCTGTGATTGGCTGCTGGCTGGTAGGACAAGTCACAAAAGCCGGCTACTGGCATTGGTGTTTGTGGCTAGCACACTTAGATGAACTTGACCAAACGCCTATCGAGCAGTGATCCGGATCCGAGATGAGAGCAGCAAAGGAATGAGGACTCCTAATCCATTCTTTAAAATCAGTACTTCCCCCACCCTCCTCTTTTTCTTTCGTGTTCGTCTCATACTCTTGTCTACTGCCACCGGTCACTCTTTTTTCCCAGGTCAATTTTGACTACCACGCTCTCTTTATCCTTACATTTCCTCATCCACCATCATGAAGTACGCAGCAGCTATTTTGGCTCTTGCCACTGGTTCTATCGCCGCCTCCTACGGCGAGTACTATCCGAGAAACGGCACTGTCTATGAGACAATCACCACCACAGCAATCACTACCTACTGTCCATACCCGACCGAGATTGTGCACAACTCCAAGACGTACACCGTCACCAAAGCTACCACTTTGACCATTACCGACTGCCCTTGCACAGTCACCAAAGTCAGTCTCCTTTGTCCTTCTCTTCCACCCCAACATACTCACATTACTCTAGGCCGTCTTATATCCAACAGCCTCGACTGTCCTGTACACATCTTGCCCACCTGGAGCTTCGTCTAGATCACAAGCTCCTTACCCAGAGCCACCCAAGCCAGCTCCACCGACCTACAGCAACCCATTGACCGTGGTCTATCCAACTCCCACCGAGAAGAAGTCGGAGGGCGTTCCCGTCCCCACTGCTTCCTACACACCAACTATGCCCACATACCCAGCAGAATTTACCGGCGCTGCTTCCGCCAATAAGATAAGCTTTATTGTCGGTGCAGCAGCCCTCGCTGCTTTGGCTCTGTGAAGGACTTTCATCCTCCGTGAGGACTTGGGCTGGAAGCAATGGATAAAGAGATGATTTCCATGCCTAGTTCCATTCGCAGTGTAGATGGAGACTTTGCGTATCCAATCTGGCGAACCTTTTTGGTACATTGAATCCGAATGATGTGTTTAGTTTGTGCCATCGATGGTATTATTATGAGCGGGGCACGTTTCTTGTCGTTGTATATAGCCACTCGGATCTAGTTATAGGCCGGCTTGTTTCTTTCTGTATATGGATGCCGAGGATTGCTAATAAAGCCTGGATGCCAAAGACCAATTGAAGAGCTTCTCCCCGCCGCCACTTACGGCTCAATCACTGTTGGATTCCATGCTGGTGATTCTTATTCAAAGCTTAATAATCGTTTTGCATTGGCAATGGCGTTACCAGATTGCATTATTGTCCGAGATGCCTTGAGATGTTTGGTGAGTCTAACACAAAGCTCCTTTGGGCAACAGCACCAATATATCTATGGCTGGCACCCCCGTGGCACAAGATTGAGGATATATTGAGGGCGTACGTGAATCAATAATGGTTCCTTCGCCCATGGGATGATCAAAGGTAAAGACAATCCATTCAACTCAATGATTCGTCAGTCGACAACTCATGAGCGTGGGCAACAAATAAAAAGTACTCCACACTCTCATCCAGAGTTTCAGGTTCGCAATAAACCTGTCTCGGCCTTAGTTCTGGACACGAAGATCGCCCTGATGATAAAGCAGATGGACCGACATCATGGGATCCAGTTCTGCAGCTTCTCATCATTCACCTTACAGCTGGTAAGTATAAGCTGCGGCTTTGAGACAGGGTGAGCTTCCCGAGACTTAATGATTCCCTTGGTTGTAGTAGTGAGGCTGAGACTTGTTCGTATTGGCACTGATTGGAATAAAGTGCAATTGTGCTGGAGCTGATACTATTCTTGGCTTCGTGCTACCAAATCGAAGGCTTCTTGAGGTTGTCACTTTCTTTAAGAGCATCGTAGATAAGTAATGAGAACATCTTGTCTATAGCTCTGATCCGATAATTGGTTTTCGTATCATTATAGACATCAGCCCCGGATTATAATTAAGATTGCTCGCCTTATCGGTCAGCTGGCACTTAGCCCTGCATAATTCACAATTACTGTTAACAATGTTGGCGGTGTGAGCACTTCGCCCGAATCGGGTTTTCCTTGATGCGAGAGAAGAACGTGGCATTTGTCTAGTCGAAGCATGGTTTGATTGCGAGTGTCTCCTTGGGTCCAATCTAGATTGAAGACCGAGGGACTCCCAGTGGAAACACACCCTATCTCAAACTCAACGATCAAGCGATCAAAAGTGACTCGAGAAATTCCGGGTATGCCGCTTTCCTTTCGCAATATCACCGATCGTGGTCACTTTCTTGAAGGTCATGGCAATTTGCGGAGGTAGTAGTAGCAGCAACTTGGGGGCAGGCCGATAAGAATAACAGCTTTTGGTATAGGGGCGAGCATCTTCCAGGTACCTATAAACATCCAATCACACTGACATTACTGAGAACAGGTAGCACATGTCTTCATGTTATCGCAACAACCATTACTGTACAGATGGCCCAGCTCCACAACCAGATTGTACACCACATGAGACCATCAGTAAGAGTTACAGATTTTGCGAATCCGGGGTGAATGGGCCCAGAATGGTGTCTAAAACGTTGGTGTATTAGTATAGCAAAGTTGTCTATAGAAACGACTCTGCCTGGTTTGACTTACGTAGTAATTGCTGGAAGTCTCCTAGCTCATTTTCTAGCAGCAGAACCAAACGGCTTCTAGAGTTTTAAAGTTCAAGAAAGGTTTCTGTGATCTTCTAGCACATGTGTTTGAACACATTCGCCATATGGTAGATAATGATGGTATGATGCAACGCGAGAGGGAGATGGTTACTACGCGAGTGAGGCACAGTGGGATCGGACTTGGCAAACAATGTTGACGTTCGACAAGCGAACCCTTTTTCTTAGTCCAGAAGCGAAAGTGCATGGGCACAATACACCACACCATCTTGAGCGATCTTTAAACTTTCTCACATGAAATGCCTATCTTCCTTCACTTGACGCACATGCTTCTACTTTCTCGTACTTGAAAGTGCCAATAGCCATAGCCATATAACTCGTTCCCCGAAACAAACCAATGATGATGTCTTGACTGCGAAGAACTTCAAAACATCGATAACCGCGAGACTTGACCTGAGTAATTTCAAAGTCGAAAAGCAACGTCTCCGGAAGAAGATCGCGAGGATGGTTCTAGAGATTAAGCGTCGTCAGCGGCAGCGCCCAAAGCCATAATCTGCCCTGAAAAGAGAAAGCACCACACCGTTCCCGTAACGTACCTACGAAGTCTTTGAAGCATCCTTGATCTTCTTGGCTCCGAACTAACAGCACTCTCGCTTGAGACATGAATATAGCACGTATTGTATTGCTTGCCCCCGGGAAATGATACTTTCAGATTCGGCCTCCTCAGAACAATGAGCCAGATGTTGTAAAGCCAGATATTGAACATGGACAGACGGCGAACTCGGAATGAAGACTAGCTTCATGAATAAGATGTAACAGCTCACTTACGATGGTGCGTGGGGAACAGAGTACAGTTTCTTTCCAACGTCTTTCCTGGTTACTGAGGCCCATCATCAGTCGAATGGACTTCGCAGCTTCCTTAATACCATCATCCAGTATAAGAGAAACCGCTATGCAGCTGAGAGACCTATGGGCTGGTATCGATAGGACCTAGAAGCCGGACTGCTAGATTATGGACTCGGGCTGTCGCACTTGAACTTTGACAGCATTGCTAATGCTTCCTCCACTTCCTTTGCGGCAACTTTGATTACAAGCTTCCCTAGCCATTCAGACGCCGAGAAAATCTTCACGAGCACCTCTGTCTCTATCACTGCTGGATCGGTGGTCAGTGCGAGTAGTGCGGCGACTTCAGCAAAAGTTCCTAGTTTCTTCATTCATCACGGGAGGGTCGGCAAGATCAGCAGCACCTGTGACCGCCAGTTTGAGCAGCTACGGGGAAACCATGCAGTACGAGCATCGGTTCCATGGACGTCGCTTCTCACGCAGGCTCGATGGATGTTTGGTGCAGGCCGATAAGGCCATCCCCTCAAATGCCGAAAACACACTTTTCCATGGGCAACCCTGAAGCGGGGCAACACATTTGTTTACCTATCCTACCAGACATGGGCGTACTTTAGGCGTGCCATACTTACTTAGTTAGTTATAGGGCGTTCATTCAGGCCATCCATCCCATTGCGCCTATGTGGAACGCGTGTTTCGTTTGGCAGTTGAGGGGATAGGGAACACCTCTGCGAAGCTTGCCTCATATCAATAAAAGTTACGCCCAGAAGTATATCTATACTCAAAATTGGGTTGCTGCAGAATACCTGAAACAACCAGAGTGAGGAGAACTGGAAATCGTGGATCACTACCAACCAAGCGTCTTTATAGTATCTTTCAACAGCTCAAGTCGTGAGCTAGCTTCTATTCAACGAGCTTACTGGTGAAACTTGGAGTTGCGAAGGAAATTCGGTTCTGGAAGCCAACGAAAAGTAAATGTATGCCTGGCTCGCTGGCTGTCTTCCCTCTCCGCCTCTTCTCTTGAACGTGGGATGCGATGATTTTCCGTCGCTTGGGGATCGCTCAGTTGTCACGCGACAGTCCAGAAACACCAACAGCCGTGCCGGACATCGATGATCTCAGCTCGGCTCTGCACCGAAACCAGGTTGCAAAGGGGTGTGGTGGAGGTAGAGGTGGAGGTGGAGGTGGAGGTGGGATAAGTTACCTGGGAAGGAGAGTGAGTGTTACGGGAGTTTAGGTATGGACGAACACAGGTAGGTGGTACCTTAGTGATATAATATACGATAGTAAATACCTTACCTTACCTTACTTCGTTAGCCTGTCTCGCCTGTCCACCGTTACTGTACTATTGTATTGTTCTCCACTCCTTGGCAATGCAACGCCCGGTCATCACTTCTCGTAAACTAAGGAAACCGTGCATTTGATCCTTTGTCGCTGTGGACGCAGTGTAGTTATACGTATTTCTTTTACAAGCCACATACAACAGCCTCTTCTCCCTTCGAACTTGCTTCCTTGTCTATATTTGCAATTTTATTTGTCTCTTATTACCTGCCACTTACGATAGGTACATCCTGACGTCCAATCTCCAAATCACCCCACACCTTTCCGCGATACCAAAATGTCGAGAAGAACGGTCTTCACAACACTTACTCCTTTGCCTTCAGGAATCGGTCGTGACGTGGTCATGGAAACACTGAGAAGCCACACGGAGATGATAGATCTGAATCCCCTCGTCATAGAGAGACATCCGATCAAGCCACCGCCAAATGCGACCCCCGAGGAGTACCATTGCGACTGGTACTCATTGACGGACCGCGTCCAGTATCTTCCTGGGGGATTAGCATCGGGCCAAGTTACCTATACATGTTGCTTTCACGACCTGAAAGATGGGTTGCAGACGCACTGCTATGCGCCGATGGGACTGGACATAAAAGGGAAATGGACTCTTGGAGGATCACTTCCTGGTGAACCTATCGCACCGGTGGAACTTGGGTTAGGAGCGCCTTTGCAGGGACTGTGGTTACGAGAGGACGTGGATGTAAATGCTCTTCACACGTCTACACTTTGGCTAGTGCTGATAATCTTCTTCAGATGCGTTGCAATATCATGATGGGTGGGTTTGTGAAGAAGACGCTTAAGAAGGCCCATTCGTCGCTCGTTGGACGTCTGTTAGTGAAGTCGCAAATCCAGGAAGAAGCTGCCAAAACCGGTGCCCTGAAGGAGCACACCCTCAGTGACTCTTATACCGACTCCCACGCATCCACCGAATACACCTCGAGCGATAATGGCTCACAAAGCATGGCGGGCGGCTGGAAGCCCCAAGACAATGCACTTTCCGGGTCGCAAAAGTCTCCAATATTTCCCCTCCAGAGCATCTCCAGCTACCGCCCCGATCAGTCAGGCTCGCGGACTAGCTATGAAAGCAAATTACATCCCACAGCGCTTAATATACGGAAGTCGGGCAGTTCAGGCGCATCGCAGAAAAGCTCATATTCAGGCCCAGAAGTCGCAAGTCAACAGCCAGGAAACAGAGGATCAGAGCAGATTTTGAGTTCTAGCCAAAGTCCTCGCACGGAAACCGTCGAAGCGGCCTACCTACCATCTAGTACAAGTCGACAATCACAATCACAGCGTCATACTGAGCTGCTGACACAACACGCACAGGATGAAAGGCAAATTTCGCCGATGTATGGACAAGGACAAGGACAAGGGCAGGGTTGGAACCAGGCTCAGAAATCCCCGCATGGGCTTGCGGAGCTGGAGTAACAGACATTAGAAATAGAGGTAGGTACCCCGTTTCGCACTATGATACCCAGGAAATACGGAAGAACTTGGGGATGTTCGAGAATTTCGGTTTGTAGCGATGTGCTTTGGCGTCCATCATACATCTGCTCCTACGAGCAATGTTCTTTCAATCCAAATACAGAACGATCTACGCAGTACTATCTATGCAGTATCGGTCGCCAGTAATTTTATTTGCTGTAGGACTGACTTCGAGGGACTGTTACTTGAGAAAGTTAGTGTATAATTCGAGGGCCGTATGATTCCGAGATTGAAAGATTCATTGTTTGGGTATCTACGTACAGTGTTTAGATTACAGGTTCTATGCAACATCACATCATGACCCTTCTATTTCCTGTCCATCGTCCACCTTCTCAGAACCTGCCTTCCCAACCTGACCCTCTTCCGTCACCAGCCCCTCCTCCAGCCCCTGCTCGTCCCCAAGCTTCTCAAGTACGGTCTCCTCAACACCCTTTTCTGGAACCTGGCGGTCATCCTGCTCAGCAACCAACGAAATCAGGGCGTCTTCATGAAACTCATCCAAAGTTTCTGCATCTCGGTCTTGCTCTTCTCTGTCTTCCAGGGTTTGCTGCCTCGGCTCTGACTTCTCTTCTAATTCGGAAGACATGCTGTCCCATGACGAAGTTGATTCGGCAGGGCACTCAGGCTTTCGCTCCACGTCTTCGGCTGGTGCCGGAACTGGCTCCTCTTCTCGTGCCTGTTGAGGTTCAGCCTCCTCAAAAGACTCTACTATGACTGGAATTTCAGTCGCCTCCTCATCTTCGTCCTCCTCCGTGATCTGCAAAGCTCCGAGCGTTTGAGTGACGTCACCCTCTTCCTCGTCGGATTCCAGTACAGTTGTTACTGCCGATCCAACGGAAGGAGATTGTCTGATATGACGCCTGGTATTTTTCCGACTAGAGTCATCGTCGGCCATAAATATGGTGCTTGGAGTAGGCGCAGCTTTCATTATCGATGGAACGGGAGCTCGAAGATCCTCTGCAGGCTCCAATCCTTCCGCTTCAGGGGGCAATTTGTAGTTCTCCGCTGGGAGTAGGTCATACGTATCGCACACAGTCTTGAACAGAACATACAAGCCAGTCTGACCTTCCACTTGCCAGAACACCCCCCGATGCTGGAACCATCCATGTGCAAAAATTCGATGCAGGCGTCGAAATATGTTCGTCAAATGTTTTACGCCAGCTCCTCGTTCATCCACGGCATCTCCTGCACCCAAGCTCAATCGACTTGGAAATATCTTCTGGCTTGTGACAATATTGGTAGCCCAGTCAAGTGTATGGCAGCAATAATCAATAGCACAACAGCTTTTTGGAGATTCGTGTACAGCGCAAAGGAATTGCCACTCACTGGCTCGCATCTCGGGGCATGTTGTAGCGGAACACGGGGGATTGTCAAACAAGAAACCGATAATAAGATCATTACACTTGTTTATGAGAAAGCGACAGAGTTCGTAAAGCCATAGAGCACGGTCGACGCCTTCAGGCTGTGTAGCAATGAGGATTGCTGTCTGACGGGAGATGGGAATCGTATTTTCGCTGTCTAAAGGCTTAGAATAGTGGTAGTGTAAAGCCTTCAGGTGTTCTTGAAGTTGGAAGGCGGAATCGAGCTTTGGAAAGGAAGTGGTTAGTGTTATGCCAAACACTGGAGAGTCGCAAAGACTGACCTCGTTGAGGGGGATAAGTGGAGGACCAGCTGCCATATCGGCAGACTTGGTACCTGGGTGTATTCTTCGTTTCGCATTTGCATCTATGATACTCTGCTCAATGGTGGGTTCTGACATCAAGCCACCCGCAGATGGTGATTTGGGACCAATCTGAATCTCCGTTGGCGGAGGAGGGGAAGGGAGTCGAGGTGAGCTCGGTGGTAGCGCCATAGCAACAACCCGTCCTTCAGCATATGCTACCCACAGTGAGCATTGAGTGTTCGCAGACCTGCTCTTTCGAGCTCCGTTAGAGTCAAGGGCGTTGTTGGAATTGTGCAGCGTTGAGGTTGGGCAGAGTTGACGTTCGCACCCCCCTACATTGCTAGCTTGCTTGTGACTTCGCGTCAGGCTTTCGGGGCCACTGAAAGGCGCTAGGTAAGCTGTGCCTGGCGCCTTGCCCCAAGGCTGGCGAGGTGTTTGCACGCCGCCTGACCCAACTCAACCAAACAACATCCGACAATCAAGTCGCAAATCTCAAAATGGACTTTGACGACGAAGAACCTCCTATGTTGGTAGACATCAAAGAGCATGAAGCCAAACATGCTCTCGAAGACTCCAAACCCATTAAAGTCCCTATAACTATCGTGACAGGCATGTCAAACCCAAAGCCATCAAGAATGCTTCATTGACAACAGGTCAGGGTATCTAGGCGCGGGAAAGACAACTCTGATGAACTATATTCTGAACGAACAACATGGAAAAAAGATAGCCGTGATCTTGAATGGTAGATATGTGCTTGTCATGGCGTCGAAAACAATAGCTAACTTTTCGTTTCAGAATTTGGTGACAGTGAGTGATACGTTGTGGTCTAGTGAAGAAACTCAACTGATTGTGCAGCGATTGATATCGAGAAATCTCTGACAGTCAACAAAGGTGGTGAGAAAGTCGAAGAGTGGCTTGAAGTTGGCAATGGCTGCATATGCTGTTCAGTGAAGTATATTTCCTCACATGTGTGCCGGTACACTGCTTACTTCTGGTTAGAGACTCCGGAGTTAATGCAATTGAATCCTTGATGGAGAAGAGGGGTGCTTTTGACTATATCCTTCTTGAAACCACGGGCCTGGCTGATCCAGGGAACATTGCTCCCCTTTTCTGGGTTGACGAAGGCCTCGGCAGTACCATCTATCTTGATGGGATTGTCACTCTTGTTGACGCCAAGAACATCCTGACAAGTCTCGATGAACCTATTCAAGACACTATTCAGCATGAAGAGCATGAGGGCCATCATGGGCCTGCTTTGACAACAGCACATCTGCAAATCTCACATGCAGACGTTCTTGTCATCAACAAATCAGACCTCGTTAGCGAGGAGGAGTTGAAGGCCGCCAAAGAACGAGTACAGGCTATCAACGGCCTCGCAAATCTCTACATAACCTCCCAGGGAAAGGTACCGCGACTGGAAGGCTTCTTGTTAGATCTCCATGCATATGACGATGTGGGAGCTTTGGACGTGGCGGTTAAAGGTCACAGCCACCTGGACCAAGTAAGTTACAGCTTACCCGTTGGGGAAAATGACCAGTCTTTAACAATGATCAAGACGATTGCAACCATTACCATCTCCGTTCCAGTACTTAAGCCTGAACAACTACCTCGTATTGATGAGTGGCTTAGATCAATCCTGTGGGATTCTAAATTGCCATTTCCTGGCGCAGGCGAAGAAGATTTCGACATCCACCGGCTGAAAGCACGATTGCCACTCACAAACGGAGATGTCAAGATTGTTCAAGGTGTTCGGGATGTCTTCGAAATTGTGGATGCGCCCAATGCTAGCGAGTCAAAAGGAGCAGGCCCAAATCTGGGTGGAAAGATTGTATTGATTGGACGGAATCTTGTTGATAAACCATTCGAGGAGTGCTTGATCAGTATAATTGGTTTATGATACTTTCTTCGTTCCGGTTGTGACGGAGCTATTCGGCGGACACGCAGCGGATCCCTCTTTGACTGGAGGTGAGTAGAAGCTTTGGCTCTCTAACTCGTTTTCAGATGTGTAGATTGTGCAGGAAGGGATTGGCAAGAATTCAACGTGTGAAGTCCTAGTATGCCGCAGTATTTGCTTCTAGGTATGTTCTGGCCAATTCTTCGGCGCCATAATAACAGAATAGCGCATTTCAACCTGGGGATCGATGCTTCAAGCAGCCAAGGACACTGCTACCCGACAGTCTCACTTTACAGGAAGGTGTTCAAGTAGAGAACAAATATTGCCTGGCCGTACATAACCACATATATACCTACCTACCTAGACATGAAGTATTTCGAAATGTTGAAATTTTGATAGGATTGCATTTTCACTTATCTGCATTTGTACAATTGGCCCGACCCACCTGTATCGTCATCCTGCCCACCTCACCTCCGAGAATACCTTAGCAGCGGCCTTCGCCAACGCCGCCCCAGCTCAGCGAGGGGCAAAGTAACCCCACGCCACGTGACTCGCGAGTTGTTGCAACTGCCCAGGTGAGGCGAGGGGAGGGAAGGGGAGGGAAAAGAAGAGAAGAAGAGAAGAAGAGAAGAAGAGAAGAAGAGAAGAAGAGAAGAAGAGAAGAAGGGAAGAAGGGAAGAGAGGAAGAGGGCAGAGGGCAGAAGGTAGAGGAGAGGAGAGGAGAGGAGAGGAGAGGAGAGGAGAGGAGAGGAGAGGAGAGGAGAGTTAGATTCTTTGCTCGTTCCAGAAGTGTTCAGCTACTTAGAAAGGAGGCCGAAAGCCAAACAGGCACAGGCATAATCCATAGGTAAAATCTTTCCTGCCTTGCCTTTGTTCTGCCCTGACTGTGCCCTGCCTTGCACTGCGTTGCGTTGCCTTGCGTTGCTCTGTCCAGCCAGACGCTGTGCCGTGCTGTGCTGCACTGCACTGCACTGCTGAAGTGACGAGCGCTTTCTAGAAACTAATAGTCGTTAAACGAAAAAAATCGTGTTGCCGCATTCAGCGCAAAACACCAAAACACGCAAAACACAAAACTCCCTCCGAAAGCACTTCAGCATTACATCCCTCTTAAACACCTGTATCGCAACCGCAGATATCCCCCCTCTACCAAGAAAGTTTCCCAAGACCTCTATTCTGCCCTGCAAGCCGCAAGCTACCGCAAAAATGAGTGGTAAGTCAATGTCCATCCCACCACAGCCTGTCTTTGAGTCCTGCTAACAGCTATCTTCTCTGCAGTCGTCGGTGTAGACTTCGGAACGGTTAATACTGTCATTGCCGTCGCTCGGAATCGCGGAGTGGACGTCGTATGTGCTCCTCCTCCCCTCTTCCAACCTGTGAAAATACTAATGGTGGGCAGATCACAAATGAAGTTTCCAATCGAGCCACACCGTAAGTTGCACACTCTCTACTCACTCGATTGCCCCACTAACACAATCGGCAGGTCCCTGGTTGGTTTTGGTCCTAAATCTAGATATCTCGGCGAGCCTGCAAAGACACAGGAAATCTCCAACCTCAAGAACACCGTTGGCTCCCTCAAGCGATTAGCAGGCCGGTCATTCAGCGATCCAGATGTTTTAATCGAGCAAGATTTTGTCTCTGCCCCTCTCGTCGACATCAGTGGCCAAGTTGGCGCGGAGGTTACATATTTGGGAAAGAAGGAGAAGTTCACCGCTACGCAGCTGATATCTATGTTCCTTAGCAAGGTCAAGCAAACCGCCTCTGCAGAGTTGAAGCTCCCAGTCTCCGACCTGGTTATGAGTGTTCCAGCCTGGTTCACCGATGCCCAAAGAAGAGCTCTAATGGATGCTGCTGAGATCTCTGGCCTCAAGCTTCTTCGCCTCATGAACGATACCACTGCGGCCGCTCTTGGTTACGGAATCACAAAAACCGACCTCCCTACTGGTGACGAGAAGTCCAGACGCGTGGCATTCGTCGATATCGGTCACAGCAATTACACAGTCTCTATCGTTGAGTTCAGAAAGGGCGAGTTGACCGTGAAGTCTACTGCCTATGATCGCCATTTTGGTGGACGGGATTTTGATAAGGCTATCGTGGATCACCTTGCCGCAGAATTCAAGGAGAAATATAAGATCGATATTAAGAGTCACCCCAAGGCCCTGGTTCGTGTTCATGCTGCGGCTGAGAAGATGAAGAAGATCTTGTCTGCCAATCAACAAGCCCCGGTCAACATCGAATCTCTCATGAATGATGTCGATGTTTCAACCATGATGACCCGGGAAGAGCTTGAGAATCTTGTTGAGCCCCTCCTCAAGCGTGTTCAAATCCCTTTGGAGCAGGCTTTGGCTGAGGCTAAGTTGAAGGTTGAGGATATTGATATCATTGAGTTAGTTGGTGGATGCACCCGCGTTCCTGCTCTCAAAGAGCGAATTCAGAAGTTCTTCGGTAAAACGCTCTCCTTCACCCTCAACCAAGACGAGGCTATTGCGCGAGGTTGTGCTTTCAGCTGCGCCATTCTGTCACCCGTCTTCCGTGTCCGTGATTTCGCCATCCATGACATTGTCAACTACCCAATCGAGTTCACTTGGGAGAAATCGCCGGACATTCCAGATGAGGATACCAGTTTGACCGTCTTCAATAAGGGCAATGTTATGCCATCCACCAAGATTCTCACCTTCTACCGGAAGGAGACTTTCAACTTGGAGGCCAGATATGCGAAGCCCGACCTCCTCCCTGGAAAAGTCAATCCCTGGATTGGTCGATTTACCGTCAAGGGGGTCAAGGCCGACTCAAAGGATGACTTCATGATCTGCAAACTGAAGGCACGTCTGAATTTGCATGGTATCTTAAACGTGGAGCAGGGTTACTACGTGGAAGACGTTGAAGTAGAGGAGCCTATTCCTGAGGATAAAGACACAGAGAAGAAAGACCCGGATGCGATGGATACTGAGGAAAAGCCAAAGACGCGAAAGGTCAAGAAGCAGGTCCGAAAGGGCGATCTTCCTATTGTTTCCGGCACATCATCCCTCGATGAAACGATCAAGGTAGCGGCGGCTGAGCAGGAATCCAGCATGATCATGGAGGACAAACTTGTCGCTGATACTGAGGACAAGAAGAACGAGCTTGAGACCTACATTTACGATATGAGAAACAAGATCGATGACGCCTACGCCGGCTTCGCTAGCGACGATGAGAAGAACAAGTTGAAGGCAAAGCTTGAGTCCAGTGAGGTAATTATCCTACAGTTCATCAAGAATGACAGCAGTAAGCTAATATTCTGACAGGACTGGCTCTACGATGAGGGTGATGATGCTACCAAGGCCGTCTACCAAGCCAAGTACGACGAGATCCGTGCGTTGGCTGGCCCAATTGCCCAACGCTACTTCGACAAGGTCGAGGAGGAGCGTGCTGCTGCTCAGGCTATTGCGGATGCCGAAGCAGCCAAGAAGCGAGAGATGGCTGAGGCTGCAAAGAAGGCTGCGATGGCTCAAGAGGCTGCCACCAAGGATGAGGAAATGACTGACGCCGAGACGATCAAGCCGGATGACGTTGTTGAGCCTGAGGAGAAGAAGTAAATTGTTTGCATCAACGAAATTAATGATATGATGATGGTGGGTGGTACATTTTGGGTGAGCTCGGCCGAATTATTATGCTCGGGTATGCTCTGGCTTGGCGATTCCCACTGTGGCCGCTTCATCTCTTGCGAGAATAGCTTCTCTTGGTTTGGTGCGCGTTATAGAAGGCGATGCAACAAGGATAGAAATCAAAGTCGTAAAATTGTCTAGCCTACATCTTTGGCATGGCATTGCCTTTCACACAGGCTTTGTCCGCTTTATCACGAGTGTCTTGTTTTCGGTCGACCCCCTTCTGAATTTCTCCTTTTACTTCTTGCGGCTCATTGATCTCCAGCAGATGAACACAGGTGTGATCAACATTGGAACTGAGAAATATTTGGCTAGCCTCCTGTTTCAATAGGAACTTTCACATCAGTTGCTTGACCCAGCGTTCTGGCAAATGGGCACATAGTTCCATCGCTCATGCAGGCGGAACCACAGGTAAAGCCAAGCACCGGGCAATGCCCCAGGCGATTGTAACACCCAAAACCCCAAGTCTCGCTCTAGATGTTTATGTTTACTAGACGAAATGGGGTCATTCAATGCCTAATTACTTAGATTCAACGTATGGAATTGCCATCGGTAACCTCTTTGCCAGGAAAGCGATCCAGCACCTGTTCACTCTTCATCGCAGCTGCAGTCCCGGTAGGCACGAACAGCTTCCGACTTCACAGTCCGATCTGAAGCCAGCTTAGCTGCATTCGTTGGCGATCCAACATCACCCGTGGACCAACTCTACGAAGGTAGATGGTCCAGCAAATCACACTCAGTAAATCTGGACCGAAAGCCTTCGCCACAGGAACCAATCCCGCATCCGAAATTGCCATAGAACCTCTTCACTCGGGTTGAGACTGGGAGATTTCTTTCTCTATTGCCGAGCATCGGTTGAGAGGACATGCATTCCCAGAATGGTTTGACTGGATGTGGTTGAGCCATATGTCCTTGCAAATAAAGACCTTGTGACACTTCTCACATTTTAGGATATTGGCAGCGGAGGTGGGCTTGTTCACCAAAATGGGTTCGTAAGTGACGTTTCAAATCAAAGTTGCTCCTGGATGGTGTCCTATGAGGACAACGTGAAAAGCTGCAAAGTAGAGGGCATACATGGCTATTTTCAAGACGGGTCTGGAGTATCCGCTGTGACTTGAAGAGAGCCTTGGAGGGGCATGTTGGCCACGAACAACGGCAAGGCTGGCTACTCGTGCAATTGCCAAGAACTTGGACTGCGTGGTTTTTGAGATGACTTTCGGAGTCACACATCTTGCAAAATGGGTCGGAAGTGAAACCAGAGTAGGCGCAAGGGAGGAGCTGTGGAATTGGCTTTTAAGTGGAGAGAATCACTAAGTTGTTAGGAAGCCTTCTCCCGAAGCCGAGAGCGTCCGTAAACTGATCATCCTCTGTAGTTAGGCAAGCCATGCCTTGTTGGTAGTCCACGGGCTCATTAAATATACATGCATCTCTAATGATGGAGTCTGCTGGCCATGTGGCGTCAAAGGAGGAGGGCAGTGACCTGAATAGCGGAATGCCCTCCCCTTCGCCTTGTCTAGGGATAGCGCGGAGATGGCTCACCTGTTACCAACAGCCTCGTCCAAGCCAGCCTCGTCGAAGTCAGCCTCGCAGATGGTATTGGAAAGCTGTGTATACGCGTAGAGCCCAAATATGGAAGGCTCCAGAATGGTACAGTCCAAGCTGTCGGATCTAAACATCCAGGAGTTGGCCGGCCTGGTCCATCTCTTTCGAAGGACACAGATTGACTTCTTCTCGAGAGTAAGGACAGACTGATTGCAAGGCAGAGCATAAAGAGGCGAATGTGAACTGGTCAGTGAGACTGTTTTGTGATGGTGGAAGGGGGAGAGGGTAATATACCCAAAGTGCGCCACCTCTTCCTGGGTAGACCCCTCCCTTGACCCGGCCAATATGATCCTGTCGTCATGTCTACGCCCAGCTGTCTCTACGCCCGAGACACCGAGCGGAAACTTTGCGATGTTGTGTCATGAGAACTTCTTTGAGGTTAACCGCTGGTTGCGTTGAGGTGATTAGACTTCCGGACAGAGGCAACCCGGAAGTTCGGGGTTGGTTAACAAATTGTTGACCAAGCTCGAATGGAGATTTACTTGAAGCCTTGGTGACTTGCTGGGATTTTGAATAACAACAAGAACTCATTTAATGAATGTCGTGCATAACCATCTGAATGAAGAGCCAAACATTATGTTCTTTCATCGTGTTATCATCATACACATATTAATGACATAATTCATCGAAGCACTCGTCTCAGCTTAGCCACTGGGTTTCCGCAACCCATAGGAGAAACACAAGCAAACACGATACATCTGCAGAGTGTATAAAGGTAATCAACTGAGCTCATGACATCCATCCAAGAAAGCAATCGCAGGTATCAAGTCATCGTCAATCTAACCATTGCTGGAAAACCGAGCATCTACTCTACCACGGTACTTGGTGTTACAACTCATCGGGTACTGAACAAAGAATATAAAGAGGCGGGCGGAAATGCTTTACAACGTAGACTCGTCAGTCGGACAAGATAAGTACGAAAAGTAGCCATTACGAAAAGGGAAATAGCCCCAGAACTATCATCATTACGCTCAACTATCGGCGGTAACCTGTTTTGTGTTCGTATACTGGGCAACTTCTCTGAAAGATTCGAATAAAAGAGGGCAATAGAAGCAGTTGTATGGAGCATGATACTTTCCTTCGTGCTCCTTCAGCTTATCCTTTCTTCTGAACGCCGTAATTCGAGCAGCGCAACCTTCCTTTGAGCATATGAGCGGCTTGTCAGATTTGTTACCATGCCTGGTCATGATGGAACGCTTCCAATCGGGTATGTTGCCAAAGGTTCGAAAATGCGGGCACGACGGAAAGTTGAAGAATATATTTTTTGACTGTCGAGAGATGCGCTCGAAAGGACAGAAAGGTACTGAGTATGTAGCCCTTACTGCACCCATCTATATAGCACGCACCAGGCTGATGCATGCGTCGAAATCGATAATCGTCCTTGACGGCGGATGTTCTTCAATAACAGTTGCTGTGCTGATGTCATCGTAATCTATGCCGCCACTAGTAACGTTCATGTCATGAAAATATTGTGTTTCCATGGAAATGGATTCACCGAATAGCGCGGTGGAATCTGGGGTGAGGTCAGTGACAGTTTCTCTGGCAGTCCAAAAATCCATTCACTCTGGGAAGGAGACTCCTTACTGTGTACAATTATTGGTTTATCTCTCCTACACTGCTACGTCAGCGATGTGTTCAACTGAATCTAGCTCTTTGCATCCTCGAAACCAAGTATCTCGATGCTTGAAGCAAAACAAAGGACGAAGAACTCAATCTCATAAACTGAGGCATCGTTCATATCTTGTCTGCAAACTTTTACCCTCCCTGTGTCATCGTGGTACCCAGCCCGTTCAGAGTATTCTGTGGATTGCCTTGAAAACTTTTTTTTCAGGTATAAAGCCTGATCTGAACAAGTATTCGCCCCTTGGAAATTTGCTGGGCTGTTGGTTCCACGAGCTGGTATGCGTCCCTGTGACCAATAGTTGAATGCCTCGGACCCAGTGCAGATAATCTTGGGCTTAGAGGGAAGGTAAGGCCTTGGATCGGAAGCTGAAGATGCAACAGGCTGTTGTGCAGAATCAAAGAATCGTTGATTCATACTGCGGATTGAAAGCCAGTATCGAGCTCTTCGGGCAAGGGCAGACAATATTTGAGCGATGTGGATCTATGGCGGGCTTTTGACGATGCCATCTCATTAGCAGTGGCCACGATTGGAAAGCAAAGTACTTATTTAGCAATACGCTTGCTGAAACCAGCTGGGGTTCTAGGGGAGGCAGCTGTTGATTCGATACACTTACGCTACAAAACAAAAATGCAATCCTCTGCTTGATACTGTTATGCGCCAGGGAATCTAACGGAAGATCTAGCTTTGACAGGTGTTATAAATATTGAGTTGGTTACGAGAGGCACTGCTAATCGGTGAATCTGGAAAATCGCCATCATAAAGCTTTCCTGGCCTCAGGAACGTAGCAGCAGTACTAATAACAAGCTTGTAACTGCCTAATTATCTGGAGAGAAGCTTGCAGGACACCCGGATGACAGAAAGTAGAATCAATGAAGAAAATGCACCGCCATAAAGCCAGGCCGAGCGGGAATGACCCGTGTCCTTGTAAGCCCGTAGCAGGCTGACGCCTACCCAGAACCCGAAGAATGTTTGCTGTTGACACTGACTGAAGCAATGGAGAGACGGTGGACATCCAAGGCGGTCAAATCAGAGGAGTCCAAAGCCAGTCACCAGGGACGCCACGCCGAGAACAGCACAAAATAAGTCTACTGCTTCTTAACATCAGTACCGCCGACACTGCTGGGTGATGTAGGGCGGCGGATGAGTATTGGCTAGATTGGCTAGCTCAACCCCAAAGGACCACATGTATATTGACAGAATATGCTAAGACTTTTGTAAGACGAAGATCATCTATATCACATGATAGCCTGTTAAGTATGGCACCCATGATGTGATTTTTGTCTGCTTGATCGCCGAAACGAATCGATCTACTGCTTCTAATGTTCGGCCTATGTGTTCACTGCTCAATTTGTTTTGGCCCCCTCTTGAAGGGAGCGTAAGAAGCGAAGCATGGTATGTGGAGGTAATGCTTCCTCGTGGGAGAGCTTATCAGCAGTGTCCCTAAAGGGTTCCAACTTTGGTAGACCTACAGTGTCAACGCGACGTCGACAGGTTCTCCCGAGACATGCATACCAAAGCAGGGCAGACAGCAAGCCAAGCTGATGAGAAGGCACTCTGGCAAGGCTCTAAATGCCCCGCTGAGGGTGGCGCGTAGTGGTTACCGAGAGCTCAGGCTATTAGTGAATAGCCAGAGCCCCCGAACGAGCTTCAGAAAGAAGGAGAAGTTTCGGTATTTCTGCGAGGCAAAGCACCTTCCTTATCGCACAAGAACGGGGCGCTTTCACAGCCAGCTCATAAGGCCTCTATCAGCTACGGATGAAGTGTGGTTGGCAAAAGCGGTATGATTGGCTGACTTTGAAATCAATAAAACACACCTCGCCTCAGAGTTATGCTGTGATTGGTTGAGAAGCGAGGTGAGAGGATGTTGGTGCAAGGTGAAGTCAGCTGGAACAGAGGCCCAAATCAACTGAATACAAAACTGATGGGGATGGGGAGGATGAGCATCCTTAAATATGACTAAAACTCCGGAACGCTAGGCTGTCTGTCGGTCCACCGCGGTTGAAGCTTCTCAACCGCAGTAATCTTCTCATGCCTAACAATCAGTATGGCGTTGTCACTACGGTGGTAACAGCTCTCCATTCCAATGGAAATATTCTCTATAAATAGGGAGGTATTTTATAGAAAATCTTTTTATAGGAATGGAGAGTCGTCACCTATAACTATAGAGAATATTTCTATGATTATAGATTTCATGCCATACAAAATGAAACATGGAAATATCTATAAATCTATAAATCCATAATTACGGATTTTCCTCTATTTTTATATATTCAGTTCTATGGATAATATTTATAGTTTCCTACTCCCCCCTTACCCCGCCCCCTCCACCTTCTTACCTTAGCCTCCCACCTTCTTACCATAGAGAGACCTACCGTGGCGAGACCTACCGTGGAGAGACCTACTGTGAGACCTACTGTGAGAGACCTACCGTGAGACCTACCGTGGAGAGATTGGAGAGACCTACCGTGGAGAGAGACCTACCGTAAAGAGACCTACTGTAAAGAGAGATAAAGAGAGAGAAAGAAAAGGAGGGGGGGGGAGGGGATGATATGGAAGGATTAAAATTTAAGTATAAAACACGCTTTGACAGAGAAAGTAGGTTCTATAGGTATGGAAAGAATCTCCATGGGTATGGAAAGAAACTCTATAAGGATAGAAATTATCCTTAGGTATAAAGGGAATCTCTATAATTATGGAATAATCTCCATAGGGATGGAGATTCTTTCCATGCCAATGGAGATTCTTTCCATGCCAATGGAGATTCTTTCCATGCCAATGGAGATTCTTTCCATGCCAATGGAGATTCTTTCCATGCCAATGGAGCTGTTGCCACCGCAGTGTGTGGCAACTGAATAACCGACCGACTTTAAGTGAGCTTGATGGTGAGCCAATTGATGCGTAGTGCCAAGAGGAAAGTTGGAATCAACGGGAATGTTACCGTCGCAGCACCGAAAAGATTGCCAGGAATGACTGACTGGGTCTTGGATGTCACATAGCGGTATAGCTCAGAGACGATTGAGCCATAACCCTGGCACGCTGACGCTTTGGAGGCTCCAGTGGTGTCAATGTTGCATTCTCTGCCATTACTCGGATATCCAACGGCTACAGACCACAGAGAAAGTCCAGGAGGCAAATTGAGTAAGAACTGCACGTTACCTGGCTGACGTCCACGTACGGTTTCGCATATTATCCTACGCTACAAGTCAGCACCTGGACGGCCTGCTGGCCAGTCTTTGCGAATCCATATTACTTCGAAACTGTCCCAAAGGATGTTCCAACAGTTCCAACAAAGATTGACCCTCGAAGTGAGTTGGGAGATGCCACAGAAAACAGAAAACAGCGAGGAGGAGTGTCGTGGAGCCTCTATGCCATTGGTGATCACACAGATATAGAAAGGAGGGATCATGCTTACTAACGTATACTCGAAGCATGGTATGCAAGGACAATTGCTGGAAAGAATCTGCCGTGTGGCATCTCAATCTACGGTTGATACAGCAGCCCGTTTCATGATAGACAAAGCTACTTGGGGACTACACACTGCAAGCTCCTGAATGCTTTTCATAGACCATGTTGAATTCAATGGGTTATTCTGCCTGCGCTCCATTTGCAGTTTCAGCCGCTAGTTTTGCTTCCATCTTCTTTCTCGCTGCCATGATCATTTCTTCTCTCCTCCTCTGTAACAATGCCTGTCTCTCTCCCTTATTCGCACTCCAAGCCTGGCCTTGCTTTTGCTTCGCTGTGGGCGCAGACATTCCTTCTTCCGCTGATGTCTCCGACTTACTAGCCTCTTCTGCAAGTTTCGCTTTAAGGTTGTATCGTGTGATGAGATCTGGCTGAAGTGGCTTTGCTTGTGCTGGAGTTGCAGTAGATGCCGCTGAAGAAGCGGCAACTGGTAGAGGAGGTTGAAACGATTGCGGAGGCTAGCAGTTCAGACGTAAGCATAGGTTCTTCAACATGTATACATACACCTGGTGCCGGTCCAAGGCTGTGCAATGTTTCCGCTGCCAGTTTGCCCACACAGAACAGACCTACCACTTCCAAGCCCCTTCCACTTAGTATCCTCTCCGTCGTAGCTACGACATTCCCTCCGTTCCGCTGCAGATCCCACATAATACTTCGCCGTGATACCTGTGGGAACATCTGCTGTATTCTCTCTACATCTGCCTCTCTTGCGCGGACATTACTCGCAGAGTTCGAATTGCGACTTTGCGACGCGGAATTTGTTGAAGAAAAGAAGAAGAAGCGGATGGCCAGACCACCGAGCAGCAGTATGAGGACCAGTTGCGGGATATTGATCGTCTGGTCGGTCATTTTGTCTTATTGATAAAATGGTGCAAGTCAGTGATGTATGTTGAGGCGTTCTTGGATGTCTGAGGGCAGACTGATGACAATGGAAGTTGATTTGGCAGGCGCGTCGGCGACCTCCACCTCCAGTTCAAGGCGCGGACTTTAGAAGTGGACGAGATAAGGTGGGAAGCCGCGCACAGATCGGTGTTATGCGGATAAGATTTGACGATTATATGGATACACTATGGGGTCGTGAACGTCGATAGATCTTGAAGAGAAGGATTGGCGCGCGCCTGTGCATGAATTCAAGATTGTCACGTGTCATTGTCTATCAGGTATCAAACGAAGTAGGTAGACCAGCAAGAGGAGTTCACAACACTTCATTAAGCTGCGCTGGCCATTTACTTCCAATCATTATGATCTCGAATACACTCATAATCGATCTCGTTAGCAACTAGGATGCAAACCTCGCCGGGTTACAAAGACGCCCCCAAAAAGACACGATTTTGCTCAACCATCCTTGGGCTGTCGACTCCATTGCCAGCCTGTGAATGAACGCCGCCTGTCAGGACTATGCATCATCGTTGAACTTCGACCCAGGACAGCTTCCGATAGCTCTGCAAAGTAGGCCCCCGAAAGTTCTGCGAGAGTTTTGCGATCAACAGCGCTAGCTGAGACGCAAAGAATGTTTATACAAGAGCACGAGGAAGTGCGTTAGGTAGGGAAGGGTTCTCAAGATCGTCATAGATGAGGGTGAACTCCCGCTATCGCAGCGTTAGTTTCAATGAAACAGATGGGTTCGGTGAGAATAGGATGTACTCACTCGCTCGCGGTGCCACTGCTTGATGTCGAAGAAGATATAATAGCCACGCTCGGTACCGTTGCCCATGGATTGTGGAACCATCATCTCATCCTTTGTCAGCCAGAGCTGTAACTTCTTGTGGTAGCGCCAATTGCGATTGTGACTGCGAACCGTTAGCCTTGGAAATGGCCAGCTTGGGCTTGTTATTTCCTTACAGCTCTGACGCCGCCATTAGCTGCTGAACATCTCCTGGATTGCTGTAGAACATGAAGATCAACGCCTCATCATTGAAATTAGACATCTTAGTCTCCAGAGCGGCGACATTTCCAACGGTGTAGCATTCTGGCAATGTGAATCTTGGCACAGTTGGTCGAGGAGGTTCGTTCTCCCACAAAGAGTAGAGTTGCGATGAGATATTCCTACAGACTGTCAGCACGTGATTCACGTCAAGGTCGTACTTGCTTAACGCACTCGTTGGAGTTCAGATCGAATCCGAAGTTAGCCATGTCCGCTCCAGTGACAAGTGCAGCATAGTCGGGAAAGTTATTCATCATGACAGAAAAGCCTTTTAGACCCCATCTATCCATCTCGTTCATGCCAGGCAGGGGATCTTGAACCTCGAGGCTCGACTCGTCAGCATTGCTCTGTGTAGAGACAGTAGATTCCATGGTTTGCGAGCGTGCCGGATCCTGTTGTGGTGGTCCGTCTGTTCTCGACATGACGGAATGCGTTATCGCGTCTTCACGTTGGGGATGTTGTGTTGAGGAGACGAATTGTGCACCAGAGAATGACTGGAAGTTTTAGCCTCGCGATGACCGGTAGACGCACATGCACTCACATTCGTGTCGCTCTCAGGCACACCACCGGAAGCTTGGCGGTTCCCTTCAGCTGAAGATCTCGACGCTGAAAGACCTTGATAGATTGTTAGTGCCAAGTGACCTTGAATAGAGCCGATTCACTTCTCACCTGATACGCTTCCCGGTGACGCGACGCGAGTTCCTGTTCCTACTCGATTGCTCCCTGACAATGCATTGAGCAAGCCGTTGTTTCGATTCGGCTGAGGTGGATTTGCCGTACCAAAGCCTAATCCATTCGACTGAGCTCCAAAGCCAACGTTAGGTATTATGTTGGCGCTTCGGTCCTGACCGATTTCCCCATTCGCGTTCCTGTTGAGAGGTGGGAAGTCGTCCACAGGGTTAGTCTGTGAGGATTGGCCAACAGCATTTTGGCTACCAAATCTGAATCTACCCTGACTACTTGGTAACTGGGAGGATGAACTGAACAGGTCCTCCTGCTGTTGCTGGGTTTGCTGCTGGTTATTCAGTTGTTGCTGTGATGACAGTCCTGACTGTTGTTGCAGCCGCACATTGGTTGACGGGCCCAGATTTCGAGTTCCAGATGCAGCCCACGCTGACTGGCTTGGCTGAGGTTGATTATTGGATAACGATGGAAACTCGCTGGTGAGGTAAAGTAAGCAGCTTGTCAAAGTTGCGATTGCAAGAGAGCTTGAAATTCTGGCTGCAATTGCACTTTTTCTGGACAGCAGAAGTCCAGCGTATGGACTCAATCACTTACGAGAGGTCTAGGGCTGTTGTAGGCTGAGATGAACCACCAATTGTCTGTGCAAAGCTCGTCATGGGAGGATTACCAGGACGTGAGTTTCCTAGACCTGCACTTCCCATGGGCACTCCACCGCCAAATCCCCAAGTTGCCCCATTACCAGCTATGTCACCACGCAGTCAGCACACCTCGGCTTCGATGTCTAGGATCTTTATAAGGGGTTCGCACCCATCTTTCCGCTGGGCGGTAGCCTGCTCGATACGCTCCGATTTTGCGGTATCTGCTGCTGCGCTTGGAAGCCATTTGGCATACCTCGCAGAGACTGGGGTCCGACGGCTTGAATAAAGAGTCAGCGTGAGATTCTCATGGGACCACGATTCTTGACAGAACAACAGCCAGCATATCCAGGAGAGGAAAAGAAAGAAGTCGGCAGTGCGATGGCCACCAAATACTCCAGCCCGGGTACAGTCTCGTAGGTACTCTCTTCCAACTTCACGTATGAAGTGAATTAAGCTACCAGCAGTTCAAGTAGAGCAGGAGATATGCCATGGATTCGCAGAGTAATGGCATGCCAGCCTGCAGAGGGTCTGCTGGCGGTGCGCCTCTCCCTCCCTCCATACATTTTTGGACAGGACAGCATTCGCATGTTCCCAGCACGGCAGATGTACCACAGAGATTCCAGGTTTTCTGTGTATGATGCGACCCTTTCCTCCTCCAAATAGGCCCAGCAGACAGGTTGGCAGCCAGTAGTTCGCATGCGGCGGGGCTGTTTGTGGAGAAGAAGGAGCATTCAAATCCATACCTGGTCGATTCATTGTGGGTTGAAGTGTCTGCCCGGCTATCAGATCCAGAACGGCGGGCTTTGCGAGCAGGATGGTCAACCGAAGGTGTCTTATTCTGATGCTTGTTGTTGGTTCTGTAGAGGCGAGTTGCCCAGGGCTGCTGGGCCAAGTACGAGGCAGGTAGGTAATTCTAGGTCAACCTTTCCTAGTTCGCTTACTAAGCCGCTTGCAACGACCACCAGGACCAGCACCTTACCTTCCCAGGATGCTTGGACACGCATGAATGTGTATGTATTTGTAGTTGTATTTCAACGCAGCGAAAGCTAGCCTCGACAAGCAAGACAGTGCAGTGTGACTCTTCTACAAAGACTGAAGTGCGCATACCGTAGTGTGCTCTTAATTTCTTGTCCATGAATGAGCAACTCCCACGGGATGTCAGCTCTCGCACCTTGGTAACAAAGAGAAAAAAAGCTGGCCCAGTACCAGCCTCTTCATCTAATCATTGCCGTCAATATTTGAGTATATCTCTGGTAGTGTTTTAAATTCATCTTCATAATATCGTCATATTCTCAAAGGATCCACAAACGCAGGCCAGATCCGGTGATCCTCCGATTATGATGTTGCCTTGCGGACGGTGCCACCTTCATTCCCTGCTTGAGTGTGCACATTCCGGTCGCTACCACTGTCGTTCTTCCAATACCTGCAGAGCAATCATGGCACAGAAACAACTCATCAACTTCTGTCATATTTCTTGCAATCGTCTCATATCCTACGTTCTATTTCATAGACTCGTGCTCTTTAGGTAGTACAATCTGACTCGCCCTTGGACAGTCACCACATTCCCTCCATGGTAAGTTAAGGTTCAAACCAAGACATTCTCAGGCATGAGAAGCCAAAGCGACCAACATTGTGCTAGTATGACTAACCAAAGTAGCCTGAAAGTTGTATCGAAAAGCTTGTCGATATCATGGAGTCGATCCGGTAAGGTCACTTTTGGTAGAATTTGGCGGGTGGTGTACTTTCACTGCATGTTTACCTCATCATCGTTAGGGTTCGCTGAAATCTATTGATACTCCGGTTGCCTAGGGAGCCCATAATTTTGTCGATCCTGACCTTCAGCCCAATATCCCTGACTGTCATCAAAGCCCAGAGAGTACGGGCCGTCTTGTCTTGTGTTAGGGCTGATGCTACTCAAGCGCTCCTGACGGACGGACGAGTCCTGATGAGAGACAAGGGCTGAATCGGTTGACAAACACTTCTCTTCATCAGTTATTGGAGGGAAGCTGGAGTCATCGTCGTTAAGCTTCAGCGATGCAAATATCGCCTTCATGTCTCGCAGGTCCTCGGCTGGCTCGTTCTTTGCTTGCGATGTGCGTTCTTCCACGAATTTTCGAATTGAGCGTACGATTGGTGGGTAGTTCTCATCGTTAGGAAGCCACCAGTGCATACATGATCGGTCTTGAAACAGGTCGGCCATCTTGGTCCGAAAAGTGTAAGGATATATGTATCTGGTCGCCCGTGTTAGCAAAAGAATGACCATAAACATGGCAGAAAATACCCGTTCGATTCAATCGCCGCCAGCTTCCTGCGAGCCCACATTGAATGTGTTTTATCTCTCGGCAGAAATAAACAGGCTATTCCGAGACTTGCCTGACAAGCTATTACCGTACCAGGAGGGCTCTGAGGCCAGAATTCAACAGCTTCAAATAATTGGCAGCTTGCATACGCTATCAAGCCGAGGTCAGGGCTTGGTTGGGTCTTCATCGTAAGAGCTGTCTGATATTTGTGCATCATGTCAATGGCATACCAGTCAATGATGGCTACATTCATCACCCATAAAGGACCACTATATATGATACCGGGTACGTATGGGTTGACGATGTCTTCAGGGTCGAGTGGCCGTGCTCCCGAGAAATCTGTAACGAGGTAACGGGGATCCTGCAGAGCCGGATCCATTTTGTTCTTCCATTCTTCGATTCTTCTCGCAATTATATCATTCTCAGCAACAAATTGTTCATCTGACAGATCACCCTTCCCTCTCCTCGCGAAAAGCAGGGACATGTCTGTTGCAACAAGACGGTGTTGTGCGATTGCCGACTCAATTTTCCAGTCCAGTCTATCAGGCTCGATCGAAACTCGCTGTTGAAAAAAGTCCTGGGCATAGGAAAACCATTCCCTGGACAATACGGTCTCAAACCCACCCATCAGGCCAGCAAAGACGTCAAATCGCATATACCACCCCAGAATTACACGTGTCATCGGGTCTTCCATGGCCGTTTCTGGTGTATGTAACTCGGTTAGAATCTCATACGCTGCTTTTTGATGCCCCAGCAAGTTTATCCAATCTCCCAGGAATTCCTGCGCAATCAGTTCGAGTCATTTGTTCATCGCGGCAAACAAACTCACTTCTATTGTTGCGAGCTGGAGAATAGCCAGTATAGTACCATTCGTATGTCGCTCGCCTCGCTTCAACGAGTTTAACAGCAAAGACACGGATTTGTTGTAATACCTAAGGGGCCAAGGGATCAGCTAGCCGGCAAGAGCTGTGTAACATTTGAGGAAGATGCGCACTATTCTCTGTGTGCGCAGAGAGATGGTGGGACTGGAATGGCAACTTACTGAAGGAAGTCTTGCATCCTACCTCGAGACGTCTGCAATGTTCTCTGAAATGCTGAAAACCCAACAACTGCAAATAGCAGGGACTCGTTTCTCAGCGCAGCGTCTAGGAAAGTCGTTCGAAGAAAATTGCCTGAGTCGAACTTCAATGAATAGTGGAGGTGCGTTATATTTTCGTAAAAATAAGTCAGATAAAATTGCAGATCGAGAGGCAGATGCGACCAGTCGGTTCTGAGGGCACCTGGGTTGGAGGAAGTTAAAGGAGCTCTCATTCTTTTCTGTCTCGACATTGCCATTGCGTCGTGTGCAGAGTAGCCGATGGACCCTTCAGTCGATGGTGTTGGAGAGGCGCCTTTATCCTGGATTAATGAAGGAGTCTCGGAATCGTGTCTAGTACCACCTTTCTGGCCGCTCATGAATTGACTATTGCTGCCATGTCGCATCCCATACTTCGACAAACTGTTGGAGCGAGCATAGTCACTTGAGGTTCCGTCCTCATCTGGTATCGCCTCCAAATGCTCTTCGGCAGCCTCTTCATCACCAAACTCGTCAGATGAAGAACCGGGGCTTTCTTGCGAAGAGGGATTCACTGTTCCGGAGGCTGTGCTCCTCGAGGCTTTCGCGGTCGTTGACGTCTCTGGATAAACGCATTCTCGGCCTCCTTTCTTGCATCCTAATGGAAGAATCAGTACCCAGGAAAGGACTTCAGCGCTTTTTACATACTCTCGCAAAGAGGGCGGTGCTCATCACACTATAAGATATAAGCATTCAACACATCAAGCCAACGCAGGTGATGCTATGTTCTACGCACCTTGACACGACGAGACCGACAAGTGTAGCAACCACTCCTGGTCCGGCGGTGTTTGGTTTGGTCAGGATTCGCGTTGGATTTGCGTCTATTCCTGTTTGTTTTGGGAGTGTTCATCGTTGTGTCTTGAACGCCGAAGAGATATTGGAGATCTGCGTACGAACTTGCAGAGCTCAGGTGCAGTGATGGAGGAGAATCCCGTAACAATGGGATTTCAGATGATGACACCTTCGGGCGCGAACTGGCTCTTTCTGCTGGATACTCACTGTTGTAGTAGGTCATGACGGCCTAGCGGAGAAAAGGAGCGCCTTAGAGATGATTCAATCAACAAGTCAAAGGTCCTTGAGCTTCGATTCTCTTGTGAGGAGGGATACTGGTAGTCCTTAGACGCACGTTCCACATGGGACATGGGACCCCACTCACACAAGGTACAGATATGTCGGGCAGCAGCCGGGCCGTTTGGCTCCTTGATCGTACAAGCAAGTCTAGACGGGACCAGAGGACAAGTAAGGGATAGTTGCTTAAGAATGATCGACTAGTAACGGACAGCCCAGAAGAAGAAGGGCCCTGCTTGAGGGCGTGAAAAATCTCTGCCGGGACTATAGTTGAGGACAACCTTCTTGGCTTTGGCCAGAAAAGGCAGTATAGCCTTCAGTGGCTTTCACTTATCCAGCGCCTTCCTGTAAGAGTTTCAAGAGCTTACCGATATTCGTTGTTTTGGGAACAAATAGCCGGCTTGCCTCGGGGTTCTGAAAGGTGGCCCAACACCTGTCTCGAAGGTGGACGTTCCTAATGAATGTATCTGGTGCTTTTAGGAACAGGGGACGTATGGAATTTCTGAACTCGCCGGATGTCTCTTTGATTGGAACGACGAAGATTGTTACCAGAAAGGGATTCTTCTAGGAATTATGATCTCATACCATGATCCTGGACAGCACGGAAGTTGGCAAGTGGGACGGACAGTGGCGTCGTTGAACCCCAGTGCCTTCGAGGAAGGTAGTGGTGCTCAGCCAGTCGTTGAAGGCGTCAATTTCCCGGCAAGATTCTTCGCAGCAAGGTGGTATCCGGCTTCTGGAAATTTGATACGTACGACGGAAGGCTTGCGAGTCTTGTATGGCAAGTTGGGTACAAGCTGCTCAACGCGCTGTTCTGATCCCTGATGGTCAGATGGCAAGGATCTCGTCGGATCTCTCAGGGCATGGATCGCGGTGTGTGCGCAGGATGCAGATCAGCCAGGAGTACGGAGGGAGGGTTTCTGGTCCTGGTGGGTGAAGATGCATTTATCTTCTGTTCACTAAAGATGGCCTGGATTAACAGTGGAGCCTATCAGAGAATTTTCAGATGACACCTCAACATTAAGAGCACTACAGTACAGACTTGGTGCTACGTAGTGCAGCTGGGAGCACCAAGAAGGGCGATGATGCTCTCAGGGATGCCGAACAGGCCTGGAAGTGGAAGTGGAAGCAATAACAACAATGGGAGAAGACAGAAGAAGTGTTGACAAGGTCGTATGCAGAACCACTTGGAGGGTGGAGATGCTCCAGGGTTTTTGACGGAGAAGGGCTGTCTGTGCAGACAGCGGCAAGGTCAGGGGCGCTAGCCCATGATCAGCAAGACATCTGGTCTCAAACCGAAATAATCTCCTAACTTATGATGAGAGACTACTACTGTACTACTACTGTGAGGCGTTTTCATTCAATTCAGAAACCAGACGAGGCTGCATGTCTCAGTCGGGGCCTTTTTTGAGACAGCGAAAGGACCTCACCTCTTCAGACTTCAGTCTTCGAGCTTCACCCACCAATCCACCCCAACCCACCCCACCCCACCCCACGGGGTCCTATCAAGCTGTCAAGGGCAAACCCACCGCCAAAGGCTGCTTCGAACTCTCCGCTTCACTTCTTGGTCCTGCAGTCACCCAAGTAGTAGTTGTAGTAGTAGTCATCGTCTTTTCCTGCGGAAGAGTCACCGAGCTGATCCTCGAACAGGATAGTCCATGGCAGGCAAGCAGGGACGGCACCGTCCAGGGTCCCTGATCCAAGCAAGCTGGAAGGGCGAGGGCGAGTAGTAGAGTAGTACGACGACTCGGCGAGAAGGGGGAGAAGGGGAAGGCTCCCAGCTTGCAGCAAACCGATCATGATGATGCCTGTCGATAGGCGGCGGAATATAACCTTCTCCCGGCAAGTCTGTGATGGGGCCTGGATGGGCACTGATGGCGAATGGATGGTTCCACCAGATCGGTGGAGCAGGGGAGCTACAGAGGCAATCGGAGCTTGGTTTGTTGGGGTTGTCTGGTTCTGGTTCTGGTTCTGGTTCTGGGACTGGTTCTGGGGCTGGGGCTGGGCTGGGGCTGGGATGGAGTACGGAGATACTGAAGTAGTCTCGAGCGTGCGGTGTGTGCGGTGCGGTGCGGTGCGGTGTGTGCTGGGAAGCCTGGTCCTGGTCCTGGTTCTGGTCCTGGTCCTGCGGCGCAAGGAGGGAAGGGATGGAAGAAGGGAAGGGAAGGGAAGGGAAGGGAAGGGAAGGGAAGGGAAGTGATAGGGATAGGGACGGGGAGGGGGACGGGGACGGGGACGGGGACGGGGACGGGGAAGCCGTCCAGATTCGGCACGGCTGATGATTGCCAAAGCCAAAGGCGGCCCAAAAGGACTGACTGACACTGACTCTCAGTCTGCCAGTCTCCTTTCCTTTTCTTTTCTTTCCTTTCCTTTCCACTGCTTCCAGTCTCGATTCCGCCAGACTAGGTATTGTATTGTATTGTAATTTAAAGTAAATCATCTCGCTTCGTCCGCCATAGCGTTTGTTGTCTCCTTTGCAGCTTTGCAGGCTTTCCTTCAAATGCAAACCATGCTGTGGTGAGCTGCGCGGCGGAGCAGATAAATTACTGTACAGTACAGTACTGAACTGTCCTGTACTGTCCTGTACTGTCTTGTATGGTTATGCATGCCATGCTCCGACGGTGCTGAGTTATTGGGAACTAGGTACCTACAGGCGAAGCAATGTCAGTTGTACCTACAGTACAGCCCTATTCGGGAACCGGGCATGGTAATTCAATACTGCTGCACGGTAACTCTCCCACCCCCTGAGCATTGCATTGCATAGGCAGGCAGGCAGGTAGGTAAATCAATGACCTTACCCAGGAAAGAGAAGAAACTTGTATTAGCCGCGGTCCTGGGGGCCGAGAATTCGGCTTTGTTGAGCTTCACCGCCAGCCTCATTACAGCAAATAATCCAGTCGTGAATTTTGCAATTTCCATTTTGCATTTCGCATTTCGCATTTTGCCTCCGGGCGGACAGCCGTGTTGTTCTGGCATACCATACCTAAGGGCCCGTTTGGATCGGAAGTGATACTTAGGAAGTGATACTAAAACTCGAAATAATAAAATCGTTACTTTTATCACTTTAAGAAATAATAAATAAGTAATAATTATGTTTAGCTCGATTTTATTACTTCTAGAAATATCTGTTATTTCTATTAACTTTAGTTATTTATTATAGTTCTTACTAAAAGTAGAAATCCTATAAAAAGTATTACTTTACTACTTTATATAGCTCTACAGTTCTATAGCTCTATAGCTCTACCCCCTTTTACTACTACTACTACTATAATATACGCTATATTACTATTAATTGCTCTATTAATACAGCACTAGTATAGGAACTAAAGAATCGCTTATTTTACTAATATTCTAGTTATATTTATAATATTTATTTACTACTAGAATAACTTTAAATAGTAATAATAATACGATTCTAAGCTCTCTAGGAAGAAATAAATAGAGAAGCTTTTAGAGGGCTATAATATACGTATTCGAGATAATTTAGGCGTTTCTAAAGATAGCTTTTACTATATTAAAGACTTCCTGATTTAAAAAGGTAGCTAATAGCGTATATATTATATAAGAACTATAGAATAACTAGAAATCTTCTTATACGTAGTAGTTACGGATTTATTAATAAGGAAGCTTATAGAACAATTCTAATATAATATAGAGATAATTAATCGGACTTATTATAAGATTATATATTGTTTTTATTATAAAGACGTGTTTAAATTAATAGTTTTATTAGTAACTAATATAACGCTTATTCTATCTTAGATACTCTATAACTATTAATATAAAAACTATTTTAAGTATTATATAGGAGTAATTAATAGTATATATATTCTAATATCTCCTCTATCTAGTAAAAGAGCCTCTTTTAGAGATAAGTCTAGAAACCTTACTTAAAACGTACTTATTATATATAACTTTAATATAAGGTTTACTAATCTTTTAACTACCTAAAAAAGTAATATAGTAGATTTAGTACTATAGATTAAGGCTTAACATAGTAATATTATAAAGATTCTAATAAGGAGATATACTCTTAAAGATACTAGTTTTATAAATTACGACTTAATATTAATACTATATTAAGCGGTTTAATATTACTTAAAGGAATTGTTAGTATCGTACCGGTAAATAAATAATAAGTGTATATTAATATATATTAAAACCTAAGGTTCAGTTTAAAAGTATTTAAAAGTGTGTATTATAAAGAGTGTCTATAGGTTAAAATATATATACTACTATCTGAATAACTCTTAGTTCGTATCTGAAAGGGGTTTATCCCTTAACTGGGATTACTTATACTCCCTGATTTCCCCTTATATTTCTATAGTAAAAGTCTGCGGACTAATAGGAATAAGAAAAAGCGAATCGTTATCCCTAAAATAAAGAAGAGCTCTTTAACTTATATTATTTAGCTTTAAGGAATGTTATTAAGTGTACCTTTAGAGTACTTAAAGCTCGGTTTAAAATCCTTATAAGACTAAGAGCTTTTAAAGTTATAGTATAAGTTCGAGTTATTATTATATTATATATATTATATAATATCCTTTTAGATATTAAAGAGATTAAAGAGGTAGTTAAAGAAGAAACTTATAAGTTAGAATTATAAGTTAAGAGTTATAATTTAGGATTAGGTTATTATATTTCTAGAAGAGAAACTATAAGAGCTAACTAATATAAAGATAATATTACTACTTAAATATAAGAGGATTATATATTATATATAACTAAGGACTAGAGATCTACTTTATCTTAGATAATTCCTAATTAATCTAATACTATTTAATTATATCTTTTAAACTATTAAAACTTAACTAAATCTTACGCTTTAGCTACTGAATATAAAGCTTATTTACTTTTAAAGTAAGATATATTCAAGTAGTATTTTTAATAGTTTTAAAAATAGTAATAAAATAAAATATTCCCTCTTATATAAGGTATATTTTCTCTTATATTTTTATAATTACCTACTACATCAGCAAAAAGATCTGGCTCCAGGTAGCCGCCGGCTAACCGCTGTAGGCGCTATTTTCGCTATTCTAGCCTAAGTTGCATGTCGATTAATTTAACAGCTAGCGACCCCTAAGGCCGTATATAGTAATTTTAGCCGGCGCCCCTAGCGCCCTAGGCGCCTTCGACGCTAGTAGTGCTTATAACGCTAGATTAGGACTAGCGTATAAAATAAAAGTGAGTCCGATTTTTTATTTATTATATAAGATATATTAGTAAGCTTAGAAAGCTTAGTAATACTAAGAATACTAAAGATATTAAAGATACTTATAAAGGTATACCTTATAAGGGGGTATTATTAGGCTTATATCGCCCGATTAGGCAAGGCGGCAGCTCACTCTTACATAGAATTTACCCGAATCGAATTATAAGTACGCTAGCGATTTTTTAGTATAGATATTCATAGTATTAAAGGCTTAGCGAGACTAGTTTTAAGGATATACGTAGAAAGTATAAGTCTTTTTAAATTCTCAGTTAAAATCCACGCTAGTCTAACTGTTTTTAGTTAGTTTAAAATCTAAAAATAAACTTAACTTTTAATTTTTAATTCTAATTAAAAATATTATATCTTTCCTAATTAGGTCTAGCTTATATATAAAAGTGAGTCTTATAAAAAGCGCTTAGAGCGTATAACGCGGCCTCTTATTTTTTAAGCTGACGTATAGCGGCCCCTTATATTTTAAGGCCGCTTTAGGCGTAAGAGGCTGTCGAATAGCGAAAATAGCGAGTAGCACGTGCACCCGGCGCCAGAATTTTTTATTGATATATATTACTCTTATTTTGTATATCTAACTCTCTATTAATATTATCTATAAAGTCTTTATAGCCTCTGTAAAAGCTATATTTACTAACTAATAAGCTATCTCTTATAATTTTTAAGAAGTTATTAAACTAAGGGAAAGGTTCTATCTACTAATATAACTTCTTAGGATAAACTTATTATAGTTAGATATTATAATAACTTATAAAAGCTTCCTAATACTATAGAAATTTACTCTTAGACCTCTAGCCTTATAGTCGGAATATATAAGTTATTATCTTATCTAAAGCTAGAGAGCTCTTAGAGTGTTTTTACCTCCTTATAAGCCTTCTTTAAATAGCTCTATTTTAACCGGCAGATTTAAAGCTTTAATAGAGGCTTAAATAACTTCCTAATAGCTATAAATACTAAGTCTTTAAAGCCTTCTTCTAAGGAGGCTTTATTAATTATTACTTAGATAAGTTATAATACTATTAAATTAATATCTTACTTTTTTTATTTTATATTAGATATATATATTTGTATTATAATACTAACTTCTCTTAAAGGATTAGTAAGTAGAACTCTCTTTAGTAGTATAAGAAGTAGTTAAGGTATTTAAATTAAAGTAGTTTATTAATAATTATACTTAGATATAGCTATTAATAATAATAATAGCTTCTTTATTTTTTTCTCTACTTAATTTTAGTAGGGAGTTTAAATCTTAGCGTTACTTCTGTATCTCGCTTAAAAATCTGATATAACTAGACTATGCGTTATTACTTCAGGAAGTAACACGAAGTATCACTTCCGATCTAAACGGGCCCTAAGGTACCTAAGCAGCAGCAAACTTCCCGCTGCAGTACTATCACCGCCCACCACCGCCGGCACTGTCGGGGCAATGCCCGCCCGCACGCCGTTGAAGGCAAAAAGGGGGGAGATTCGCCAAGTTGGGGTAAATAAATGAAGTGAGGTGAAGTTCTTTTCAGCTCAAAAAAGACGCCTCAGCCATCCATGCCTATGTCTGCTGCAAGGGGCGGGCTGATAGCTAGCTGTGGCTTTGTTGTTAAGTTACATACCAGAATCTACCATGTTCTGCATGTCCTGGCTGTGCGAATGTTCTGCTACGTCTCGGGCCACACGTAGGAGTTGGCGAAAGGCTTGTTGACACAACAATCAGAATCAAATCAGAATCAAAATCAGAGTCGGAGAGGAGATGCAGTCAGAGTCAGAGACAGACACAGGGCAGAGAGCTTCACAAGTTTCGAAGAAGCAGTACTGTACATCCCCCCTTGGAAGGCTGACGAGTTGCGCGGACGTTGGTCTTTGGCGACAGAAGCAAAAGAAACCGCCAAGTCAACCATAGTATCACCAGCCGGCCAGTGGTACTGTATTGTAAGCAGGTAGATCTACGTTATGTGCGTCGTCTCATTGAGCTTGCAAACTGTGACCCCAAATGCAGCCAGGTGCTTTGCTCGCAGTAGGATGCAGCATTGGTAGGTAAATGATATTACATAGGTAGGTCCCTACCTAGGTACGCGTTTGAGATGCGGTCTCTCTTTTGGGCTATTCAGACCCATGCCATGTCATGTCATCACTGGCCTGCTCCTTTCTTGTCTTCCGTCGTTCTCCTCTGCCTCTGCCTCCTCCTTCTTGTCTTATTGTTTTCTCGTCTTGTCTTGGTGGGCTTACTCCTGCAGTCGTCCCCTACTGGTGCCGTTATGAACAATATCAACCCCCATAGATTTACCTACCTCACCCGAGCACAGGAAGGCATGAAGGGCCTGCGGTGGGTGGATGTGGAGTGCTATCCTCTCGGGACCAAACCAAACCTTCCAGAAAGACGGATGTATTCCACCACAAAAGTAGTGGATGCGTTGCAATACAATGCATGCCCGTAGCCCAAACCAAGCTGCGGGACGATGTAAACAAATAAAGTCAAATCTTGCTATTAAACCCCGCTTGACTTTGGCTGATTATTGCAGCGGTGTTGCTTGCCGCTTTGGTGTCTGCCAAAGCCAAAGCCAAAGCCAAAGCCAAAACTCATCCTCTCATATCCTATCCCATCCTCAAACAGGCAGCTCCAGCTCCAGCTCCGAGCTGACTGATTCATCTGATCGAGTCGGGTCTACTGTAGGAGCGCACGGCACTCGAAGCCCAAGTCCCACGACCTAAGTCTACCGTTCCGTCCCTATTCGCACGAATCGCATCTCAGGGACTGCGACAGCCATGCAGCTAGCCGTTCCGTCTGCTCATGACAATCGCTTCAAGCTTTGACATGCCGCAACTCAACTCCACTCCACACCCGCCACTTGACCCCCGACAAGCAATGACACATGATGAGTATTCTTTGGGCCGTTTCTTTGTCTGGATGAGATAACCTACACAATATTGTACTGCGCTCAGCCTGCAAGCCAGGTGTCCCTGGATGACCGCCGTCCTTGATGTATCTCGAATTCAGAGAACGAACAGTACGAAGCTATAACATATTTGGCTTCGTTGACAAGTAAGTTTGCAGCATCTAGCAGGCCAGGGAGAGCTTTAGTCGACGAATCTCGAGTTTGCTTTAACTCTTCGTCCGAACTCCGAACCGTTAGAGCGTGGTCTGTTTGAAGCTAGGTCGACGGGGCATCTTCGTCTGACACTCGTTCGGTATACGCCACAAAACTCTATTGGAACCAGTCAATGAGTAGCCCCTCGCCGATGTAATGCTACCTAGCGGGGTAGTCTTAGCCTATTCGACTACAGTACAGCATTTTGGATAGAAATGGCAACCTCAAGCGACAGTCTTTGGCAAATGGAGCAAATTATTGAATAAATAGTCTGATCCATTCTGCCTGAATGTCGATCACTGCACGCCTCCCAGTTCAGTATGATGATTTCAACTACTAGTTCTAGCTGAAGCATGAGATGGCACAATTTGGATGCCAAAACTCAAAGCTCAGTGATCTCTCCTCCCTGGCATACGTCGTCACAAACTCTATTCGCGATCGTAGCATGAGTCTAGGTCTTCATTGTACTTCTCGTTTCGCAAACAATCCCCTTTTGCGAACAAAGTATAGTTATTGATGGAAGCTAAAGCTTATGAGTTTCTGAATAGCTGACACGAGTATCAGATCAAAAACTAGTGCCGATGCACGAATATGGCGTAGGTTTATGAACGTGGGTGAGATGGATGCATGAGGCAATCGGACAATTGCTGATGGTACTACAAGGATTTGCCTTTGACGAGATCCTTGGGTGCTTTTCGACCAGGGCCCAAATAGAAGCAAGACTGGTCTGATCAGTGGGTTCGAGATGGCTCAGATAGGGGCTTGAAAGCAAAAACACCAATAGGCTGCTTTTCCGTACTTTCATCGAGACATTTCGGTGTTACTTAATTGATTTGCAGCGCCAGATATCCTCAGAACTGAAGTTGGCGCTCAAATGGTGCAGGATGACTGATCGATACTCAAGATAATGCCCCAGCGAGCTGAAATGACATGATAAGTGCTATCGTTTCTCTCCGAGAAGAGTATTATCCAACGCCGTACGTGCATGTCACGATCGAACAAAGACCGTCTTTGCCGCAACGTCGGCAAGCATAGCAGCAGTATTGGTCATACAGTGCCTTACTAGCTGTCAGCTCGGTCCTATCAGGACATCTACTGTACATATATCTACCTAGCCACAATTGGATGTACTCGCCCCAAGATCATGAGCTGATCGAAAGATCGATCTAACAATTATGGTTCCGGGAAGCTTCGCCTGTTGACTCCTTCTGTAGTGGATCGTCTGTCCAGCTCATCTATCCTTGCTGGTTCTTCCTGAAATCTCCAACTGCTGGGACATAACGTGGCCAAACCCGATACAGGTGGTTGTTTAAAAGTATGTCCCTTGAGACTGGGAGACTCGCAATCATTAGTGTCTGCGATCTGGGGAACATGAGCCTGAATACTTTTACCCTAGCTTCTCGATGATGTCGGGATATGTGCATTTCTGTCTCCCATGCGACCGAGCGTGTTTAGATTGGGGTTTTCGAGGTGTTTTCGGATTTGGAACGATTCGGGGCCTTCTGCGGACCGTGCTCGCTCTGGTCACGGGTAGCCCAAGGGCTGAATTGTAAAAATTTCATAGCCGTGTATTGAAATCGGCCCCCATGATGCCTTTCTAACTTTCAAGCTAGTCCTTCCCTCGTTCTTTCTTGATAGCAACTTCAGAACATGTAGCAAATCCACACACCTATGGTCGTCGGCAGAACAAAGCAGGCTGTAGCACGCGGCTGCTACTACACAGCAGCCGTAACATGGAGGAGCTCTACGTCTAGTGACTAACGGCAAGGAGATTAGCATTTGTGATAGACATCCTGTAAACGTCTTCGTAGGCTTTCTTCAGAGGGGCCCGAAACACGCCACGTGCCCGATTTGACTTGCTGAGCATTACAGCAATGTGTGGCTGATTTTGGCGCTTTGCCTGAAGGTGAATGTGTCGTGTTTCCCTTAACTGCATATAAATAATGGGTAGAATAAATTTTAGTTGATATAAATATGGTGTTTTCGAAAATCCCAAAGACGAAAAATCGTCTGTATTCTTATGTGTGGTAGAAATTATTTTCAATGCTTTGACTTTAGTGTTCCGCATATGCCGCAATCGGTCATACACTTCTGTCTTACCTAGTCACATTGATTGGCACCTTAATTTCAAGCCAGCGTTAAACGCCACAGGATTTCAGCTTTTCTTTGAAAACTTATTGAGTGGCCCGAATATAGAATGATTTCCGGCCATATTTGATCAGTAAGTAGTATGCAGTTTGCGCGAAGAAATCTACTCAGAGTAGATTACGATAACCGTGGAAATAAGTGAAGGCAGAGGCACTCGAAACCACTCAAGTGTGGTAGCAACAGACTAACCAGAATCCTATTCACCCAGGCTATACAGATACCTCGAGCTCCTGGGCGAGCAGAATTTGTTCGCTACTGAAACTGAGCAGTTCAGAAACACCGTCAATCTCTTCCCGCAGTGGAGACCTTCACCTTGACGACGCTGCTTCTCTACCTATACAAGATACTCTGATGTATCACTGTAAACATAAGTCAGCATATCCTACAAACGTATTATGATACCTTGTCGTGCACATTCAAGTGTTCTGGGACATTGTTTTCAAACACGGTCTAAGGAAAGGGACACTAAGCGAATCTCGCTTACATCTCGTTTTCGAGGCCTTTTCACAACTTCATACTTGTCACTGAAGTGGCCCTCGAGCGACAACGATTTACTGTGCAAACAGCATCTAAGACATATGACCTTCAACTCTGGTGTATCGAGCAAAATCTATCGGTAAACCTGGTAATGTATCTTCGTGGAAGAATAGTTGTTGTGGAATGGGCAGAAGCCGTACCACAAAGTTGCGACTTATCATCGAGTCCAATAACTACTCTGAACAGCTTCGCTCCTCTGTATAAGACGGCACAGGGGCGTATTATGTGCCTCTCCCCGAAATGGTCTTCATCTCGACCCAATGGCGCAAGAGGACGGCGCAACTACACAGCCACGAATCAACCGAGCTTCAACTCCACGCCTTACCGAGATTTGTTTCTCTAATCTTGATCAGCACCAATATCCCTATTGACCGCAAGTGATTTTAAGATATGGTGCACGGCTGGTCGACCATGTACAATATGTTCCTTGATGATTCACTTCGGTTGCACAGAGACAGGAACCAAAAAAAATAACCCGGTGGAATTTACAAAGGAGCTCTCGTGCCAGGAGAAATTTCTGATTCTCTTCACAAGAGAAAGCATTGGCGAAAATCTCCAAGGAAAATCCACTTCGCCCTATAAAAATTCGGACATCGTATCCGCTGTCGGAGACACCAATAAGTAACAAACGAAAGGCAAATAGGCAAGGAACAAGAGCTTAATGCCTCGTTTCCCCCCCATCAGAAGCACGACAAAACCAAATTGCACCCGTGCGGCAGACTTCCACTCCACCCAACAGCTCAAAAGGGCGCCGGAGCACGCCGGGTCTATCGTGACTCGTGACAAGACACTGGGACCAAAGCAGACTCGACAAAGCGCAGAAACATCACTAAAGGACCAAAAGACGCTGGGAGTGGCCGCCGCGGGCGATGATAAGAGCGCAATCGATGATAGGGCAGAGGCATCCAAAAGACAGCGGAAGGCGAGCCGCGGGGTTGTTTTCTCACAATGCTATTTGATCTCGCACACCTATCGCATGCGCTCCCCGCTCATCGGTACCAGCCGCCTCGGTGGGCTCCCACCCAAGCGACGTTCATTCGCGATGTCTGTCTACGTGAAGTGCTTTTTTTCTTTGTTTCGCCGCATCTGTGTGGACGGAGGCTGGTGGAGCCTAAGCTTTGGCTGCGACTAGAATGGCCGGCTGGGGCTTGGGAATGTTTGGTTTGCGGCGATCGAGATAAGGAAGGCAGAGATTGGGATAACGGAGAAGAACTATATATGATCTCGTCGTGCTGGCAATTCGATGCTGGTCTTGGGCGATATCACCACATCATCACATTGGCAACCATCATCCTCAGCCGGTTGGATATCAGCCGATTGGATTTCTGCGTCTCATTCCTTTCCAGCAAAGGTCCACCTTTCGAGCCAAGTCTTAATCAGGTTCCACTCAACCCTAAAAAGTTCAACACCACGATTTGTTTCCTTTCTCCGGTACCAGACACCACCAGAAAGTAGTGTAAACGTCACTGCAATGGCTTACACAGCGAACGACGGGCCTCAGGACCTCCCTGACAGAATTGGTGAGGAGTCTTCTCCCCAGCGATCTATCGGGCAGCATGTCTCGCACATTACCAAGGCATTTACGACAAAACAGGGTTTGATTGGAACATATGATTATGGTGAGAATTGACCACTCCCTGGAAATTCGAAACAACAGCTAACAAATGCCTAGCCTTCCTTTTCAAGCCCAATTTGCCATTCATGAAGAAACCCACCCGTCGAGCTCCTTTCTTCGGACTTCAGGATAGCATGCCAGTTGTTCTGGCGCTCTTGCTTGGGTTCCAGCACGCTTTGGCGATGCTGGCTGGTGTTAGTAAGTCTCCCAGAACTGGATGTTGATGTTGGCGGTTGTGGTCTGACAGGTACTCTAGTAACTCCTCCGATCATTATTTCCAGCTCTGCAAACTTCACTGCAGCTACGACTCAGTATTTGATTTCCACATCTTTGATTGTATGCGGTATCCTGTCTTCGATCCAGATTACCAGAGTATGTATATATTCCTCCTTCTAGATCTGCATTCAGTGGCCTCCTTGAGTGCCATGGATATTTAAGCGAGACTGGAAAGGAACGGTTTTTTAATTTGAATGACAAGTCAAAATCACCGCTAACCGCTCTTACTCGCAGTTCCACATCTACAAAACTCCTTACTATATCGGCACTGGTTTGATCTCTGTTGTCGGTACCAGTTTTGCCATCATTCCTATCGCAACCAATGGCCTCGCGCAGATGTATACGAATGGTATGTGCCCAACTGCAGCTGATGGCACAAAACTCCCATGCCCGGAAGGTTACGGTGCAATCCTCGGGACGGCATCTCTGTGCGCCTTGCTCGAGATTGGACTTTCTTTCATGAGTCCAAACTTGCTCAAAAAGCTCTTCCCACCAATAGTCACAGGTCCAACTGTCATGCTTATTGGTGTAAACTTGATTGAGAGCGGCTTCAAGGGATGGGCTGGCGGCTCTGGAGCCTGCTATGGTCGTCCTGAAACTGGACCTTTCATGCTCTGCCCTTCTAACTCTGCCCCCAACGCGCTGCCTTGGGGCTCTGCTGAGTTCATTGGACTTGGTTTCTCCGTTTTCGTTACCATCATCCTTTGCGAACGCTTCGGGTCGCCAATCATGAAGTCCTGTAAGCTTCTCGGTTCATTGAAAATAGAAAGACTCAAACTGACATGTATCCAGTGAGTGTTGTCGTTGGTCTTTTGGTTGGTTGCATCATCGCAGCTTCCACTGGTTACTTCTCCAAGTCTGGCATCAACGCAGCACCAGTTGCATCGTTCATCTGGGTGAAAACATTCCCTCTTTCTGTGTATGGGCCCATGATACTGCCTCTAATGGCTGTGTATCTCATCCTCATGATGGAAGCCATTGGTGACATTACCGCCACCTGCGATGTATCCCGTCTCCAAGTCGAAGGAAAGCTTTTTGATTCCCGTATCCAGGGTGGCGTCCTTGCCGATGGCCTTAACGGAATGTTGGCTGGTCTCTGCACTATCACTCCCATGTCAACCTTCGCCCAGAACAACGGTGTCATTGCCTTGACGCGATGCGCTAACCGAAAAGCCGGATACGCCTGCTGCTTCTTCCTCATCGTTATGGGTGTTTTCTCTAAGTTCGCCGCGGCTCTTACTTCGATTCCAGCATCAGTCCTTGGTGGAATGACTACCTTCCTTTTCTCCAGCGTGGCAGTGTCAGGTATGCGCATCGTGTCCACCGTTCCTTTCACGCGACGCACACGTTTCATCCTCACTGCCGCTCTGTCCCTCGGATTCGGTGCCATTCTGGTACCAAACTGGTTCTCGTATGTGTTCACTTATGAGGGGAATAACAAGGCCAAGAAGGGATTCTTCGATGCCATTGCCTTGGTCATGGAGACTGGTTTCGCGCTCACGGCTTTCGTTGCCCTAGCTTTGAATCTTTCCTTGCCGGATGAGGATGCAGGAGAGGAGACAGAAAGCCTCGCTGGTGATGAGCAACGGAGTGATGATGAGGTCAACAGTGCCGAAAGTCAGACATACACTGGCAAGCAGGCTGAGGGAAGCGCAGGGCCCGGTAGAGCTAGTGGAAGTGCTGCTGACGAGGCAAAGCTATGATTGACGAATCGAAGCCACAAGTATATATTTGACTTATGAATTTGGAATTGTGAAGTGAGTCGAAGAAACGTTATACCACTATCACTAGAAATCAATGTGAATGTTTTGTCGTGCTTAGAAGACAATCCCCTACGGCACTCGAGTAACCAGTGAACTTCCCTCACCCAGGCCACGTACACCTCAAGAGCATTCTCTGGCACTCCTTCGCAAACCCACTTGAAGTTATGGCTGTGCCGTCGGAATTGGAAAATCAAATTTTCAAACCATCAGGTAGGATTAGACAATCTAAAGCTCCAAACTTATATGAGGGAACATGAGCTTTGGAAATTGACAGCCCATGGCGGTGCCTCACAGCGTACCTAGACAGCAAACAAACACTCTCAGGAAGAGTTGCTGTCCTTGAAGAGTGACAAACAAAAGGCTCGATCGGAATGGGTATGGCGAGGGGCAAGGGGGAGACATGAGTTTTTGAGAACTTCTATGCTCTTTTTGTCAGAGAAGTCGTAACTTTATGGGTGCCCTGGGCGCCCTGGTTCGGGGAGAGTGGGAAGCGCAAGATCAAGAGCAAGAGCCAAAAGTACGGTACTACACGTGCTTCTGCATGGGTACCTACCTACTCACGAAGTACCTCCCTCGCCTGGCGATCTGAGGCGGAAAGCTTGAAGATGGGAGCTGATGCAGGTACAAACCTCTGTCCCACCAAGGCGACGCTGTTGACTTCGGGACGTCTCGTCTATTCCGCTCCGTCCCGTGCCGTCCTCCCAAGGTACCTGAGGTAGGTAGGTATCTTCGGTAGGTACCACCTACCTTAAGGTAAGTACTCTCGCTGAGGGCCTCTTCGCACAACATGGGGGGTGGGGGACGGAAAGGTGCGAAAGGTGCGAAAGTTGCGAAAAGTGGCAAACTCTCCTGTTAGATACAGTATGTTACAAGTACAGGAAGGAATTCAGCCACGGCGCAAAGTATGGGGGTGGCGTACGGGCGAGGGCGCAGGGAACTGGAGCGAGAGGCGGACACTGAGACACTCCCACCACCAACATACATTTGACCATGTATCTTTTCCTTTACCTTTCAATCTATATTGAATTGTAAGTTGGCTAAACTTTAATTGAGAAGTACTTTCCTACTTTTCCTTCTGCTCATGCTTCTCATTACTATAATATTTTAATTCAGGAAAGTAGTGACGCTCCGCTGGCCCTCCGGGGGCTGCTCCCGCAGGGGGCGGACGTAGAACAACATGTCTGTCTTACTCCTTACCCATACCTTAAGCAGGTTTGCAGAGGAATTAATAATTCGCTTGGAATGTTCTCTGCAGTTTTAAGTGAACATTATTACTTAGCTACCTAGCCAGGTAAGGTAAGGTATCAAAATTAGGTACTGACCTTATGTCATGTGCGCCACTCCAGCTCCAACTCCTCCAGAGTTGTTGGGGCAAGCCAAGCCCAGAGTAGTTAGATTTTCAAGGCCAGAGTTCGCTGCGGGGCATGCTGTCCGATGGGGGTCGAGGGGGTGAGGTGAGGGGTGAGGTGGGCCGAGACTTCCATTCCATTCCATCAGGTGCAGGTGTGCAACATGTTGGTACCTTAGGTATCAATCAATAATGTCCAATTGGCAGCGGCCAGAAACGATAAAATACCTTAAGGTACCTCCGTACCTTAGCTATCAACATGTGCATCTCCCGCCTGCCTATAGTAGGTAGGCGAGGTAGGTACGAGTTGATGCGAGATCTAGGGAGGTAAGGTAGTTTACTCTCGTACAGTAAATTACCTAGGTAAGCCGAGAGCAGGCAGGCGATGCCACACAGCTACCTAAGATACCCGGGTCATACGTGGTGAGCCTGTGGCAATCTCATCTGTCTCTATCACATGGATGGAAGGACGAGGACGACACTCCTCTCCGTCGCGCACGCTCGCTCGCACGCACTCAGGGACGTGAGGGTGGCTAAGCGGATGCCTTAGGCAAATTTCCCTTACGGTACAGGACAGAGGACCCCTAAATGCACGAGTGAGCCTATCTTGGAATAGATTACCTACCTAGATCCCGGCGGTTCCTTCATCTAGTGGCGAGCTTACCGTTCGGTTGGGCGCACCCACGCACCCACCAGATCAGACGAGCAGACGAGACGAGACGAGACGAGGCGAGACGACAATATCTGTGCGAATAAATCCACGAACGTCATTATTGTGAAGTGAAGTTGCAGTCGCAGGTCTGCTTTGATCCGGAAATCCAGTAGATTGTGTCATGGTCATGATCATGATCGTAGTCGTGTCGACCAGGATAGATTTACCTTACCTGTTTTCGCGACGTTCCGAATAGGGGAACGAGCGATCAGAGCTTTGGCCAATGAGATCGCTTTGATATTCTGTTGGGAATTTTGAGAGTCGAACCCCTTCCCATTCCCTTGCCTTTCTCATCCCATCCCCCCATCCCCATCATTCATTGTTCCTCGGCACAAAATTTACTGACACGTTTGCTTGTGAGAGAGCACCATCCGTTGTTTACAATAATTTGTCGTCTTTCAATTGGCGGAACTCGAGGTCGCGACGGAAACTAGACCTCGAATTGCACTCTGATTTTCCGATCCGCAAAGCAAAGCATAGCAAAGCAATATCGCGAGCTAGCCCAAACCTATCCCATCCCACCCGGATTCTCAAGACGCAAGACGTCCTCGACCGAGCCCCTCCAAAACTCCACCGGACCCAGTGCCAGCCCTGCAAAAGTCTTCTTTTCCCCACGCCATTTTGCCGACGGGTCCTGCTGGTCCCGCTAGTGCACCTGCGAAACACATACAGGTATATATTGCCGCCATCCTGCTCTTCCTTCTTCTTCCTCCTTCACGACACAACTTGCACACCGCCATCACTCACCATGGCCTCTCAAACACAGCAACCACCGTCTGGCATGGCGAAGCCACCGACCAAGAAGTTCGATCCGAAGAAACCTCACATCACCGAGGAGCCCATCACTAGGGCAAACTGGTACAAGCATGTTAACTGGCTCAATGTCACATTGATTGTGGGAGTACCAATCTATGGTCTCATTGCCGCATACTGGACACCGCTCCAGCTCAAGACTGCCATCTGGGCCATCTCATATTACTTCATGACTGGTCTGGGTATCACAGCTGGTAAGTAAATCGCAAATTCGTCCTGGCTGCAAACACGTCACTGACCCCAACTCGCTCTAGGCTACCACAGACTCTGGGCACACACATCCTACTCGGCCCGTCTTCCTCTCAAGATTTTCCTTGCAGCAGTTGGAGGTGGAGCTGTCGAAGGTTCAATCAGATGGTGGTCGAGAGACCACCGTGCTCATCACAGATACACCGATACCGACAAGGACCCATATTCTGTTCGAAAGGGTCTGCTCTACTCGCATATTGGATGGATGATCATGAAGCAGAACCCAAAGCGTATCGGCCGTACCGATATCTCCGATTTGAACGATGATCCGGTTGTCGTCTGGCAGCACCGGAATTACATCAAGACCGTTATATTCATGGGGATGGTCTTCCCCTGCCTTGTCAGCGGACTCGGCTGGGGAGACTGGAAGGGAGGATTCATTTACGCTGGAATTCTCCGAATTTTCTTTGTCCAACAAGCTACATTCTGCGTCAATTCATTGGCGCACTGGCTCGGTGATCAGCCATTCGACGATCGGAACTCTCCAAGAGATCACGTCATTACCGCTCTCGTCACTCTTGGTGAGGGTTACCACAACTTTCATCACGAGTTCCCTTCCGACTACCGCAATGCCATCGAATGGCATCAATATGATCCTACCAAGTGGTCAATTTGGTTGTGGAAGCAAATGGGACTCGCATACGACCTGAAGCAGTTCAAGCAAAACGAGATCGAGAAGGGCCGACTCCAACAGCTTCAGAAGAAGCTCGACCAGAAGAGACAGACTCTTGACTGGGGTATTCCTCTTGAGCAATTGCCAATTATCGACTGGGACTCTTATCAAGCTGAGGCTAAGAACGGTCGCGCCCTCGTCGCTGTTGCCGGCGTTGTCCATGATGTCAGCGACTTCATCAAGGACCATCCAGGTGGGAAGGCTCTGATTACCTCCGGTATTGGAAAAGACGCTACCGCCATCTTCAACGGTGGTATTTACAACCACTCTAACGCTGCACACAACTTGTTGTCGACGATGCGTGTTGGTGTTATCCGAGGTGGATGTGAAGTCGAGATTTGGAAGCGAGCCCAACGGGAAAATAAGGACATCTCCTTTGTCTCCGACTCTGCAGGGAAAAAGATAATTCGTGCTGGCAGTCAAGTCACTCGGATAGCCGAGCCTGTAGCATCAGCCGATGCTGCATAAGCTATCTCTCCAGTGCTGTGCTACCATGCACATTCATTAGTCGATGACAAGTGCTGTCTGTCTGGCTTAGAAAAAAAATTGCATTTTGCTGTCTCTGAGCGTGGGCTTGTTTATTAGATCGGAAGGCGTTATTGGCGGGGGCTGAGAATTGGTCTTCCGTAATTGAAGAGAGTGAATTACATTCGGGCACTCATTGTAAGGTTGGCTCTCCATCAGTACAAGATGCGAGTTTTACGCCTGCGGGCAAAGAAATATGAAAATATACATACATCATCCAAACGAATCTCATACCTCAACGGTATTGTGTAGGAATAATTGAGTGAAGTGTCGAAGGTCAACCGCTCTTTGCCACCATGTAATACATCAAAACCACCCAATATACAACTGATCAGGAACAACCTTCACATTCGTACACCACTGATGCCCCAGACTAACATCCAGCAAAGCCGCGGCGAACTATCAGAAGCAGACCCGTATTCACATGTCGATTCTCCTACGCTTGCCCTTCAGGACTGATCGAATGCCACGTACCACAATCTCGTCTTCCTCCCAATCGGTCCCCCCCTCAACGGAAACCATATCATATACGTCATGATGATATGACCAAAGACCCCTGAATATTTGTCTATTGAAACCGAGAACAACGATTATGGCTACCGCTTGTGGCAAATTGCTTTTTCAACGTTTCAGGGTTGCATGATTGAGACATGTGGAGATGGAATTCTTACTCAACAGTTTTATTTCCTGGGATTTAGATTTGAAGCTGGAACAAGCATTTAGGAATTGGCATGTGATTTCCAGTGAGGTTTAGTAGGCATTGCTGGTAGGTAGGTTGTACAAGCTATTGCAGTGAGGTATATGTTCTTTGTCATGAGTTGTGATATGATTTAAAGAGTGATACAAAATAACATATGGACGCTAAGAATACTTGAGCGTTTGCCAGGATAAAAGACTTTGGCGTACAAATCAGTCCAGAATTTGACATCGTATACGGCTTCAGCGTATACTCTGATAGCGAAACCATGCAAGCAGCTGATTACCAGGAAGAATGATTCGAAATACTAGAGCGTGGTAGGGACTAACTATCGCTCCAATAATAGGGGCCAGTCTATCGTCACATCTCTAGCATTTCTATATGCACAGTGTATCTCCATTCTTCACACCCATGGTCGTCTTCCCATGCTCCGAAGCAACTCTCTGTACTTGCGCACCAGAAACGCCAAGCAGCTGCCGACCCAGAATCTCATATTTTTGCCACTGGTGGATCAATACTGACCTTTCCATGCTCACAGGTGGCCAAAACGGCACCATCACTGGCCCTCTTGATCGTCCCCATCAAGCTACACAACCGCTTTCCCGCATGTACCACCTCACTCTCGATCAACACCTTCTCGCCTAATGGCACCGGCCTGATATACGTGACATTCAACGTCCTCGACACGCCTGCATAGGCCCAGAATCCTGGCTTGGCAATGGGTGCCAGTGTTGCGGTAGTGCAGAAGTCGAAGATCGTGGATGTGCACCCACCGTGTAGGTTACCGAGGCGGTTGCAGTGGGAGGGTTGGACTGTGTAGGAGAATACTGTACGGCCAGGGTTCGAGGAAGCGGATTCGAGTACGAGGTTATCGCGGAGGAGGGACGCAGCCCATCCCTAGCAGAAAATTAGATGAATATGTACAATCGAGGAGTTGAGAAAACAATTTGGGATTAGAGGACGCAAATGGGAAAGTGAGACGTGGATGATCGTCTGGGTGGAACGAAAGGAAGGCTTGACTCCCGGTATGGGAACATTACTCGGACCTGCACCAAAATGGAACATTGAATCGAGATAGAGACGGAATTGACAGCAAACGTAAACACAGCAGTTAGAAATCAGATATTATAGCGATGCAATGCAAGACTCACTTGGTAAATGTCAGCAGCCATTGACCCAGTAAACAATGCTTTAACTCTATCCTCTGCTGACACATCGTCGCCTGTCGGTACTCCAACCAATTCGTGATCGTCCGCTACTCCTGGCATAGAAATTTTCGTTCTTGTAGGAGCCATTGTATCTCTGTTGAGTTGACAGAAGAGAAACACTGAGGTGAGGGAGGTCATCACTCCCAAATCTGGGGTATCTCGTTACCGAGTGATGACAGATGCCGAGGTCCCAATCACGCTGATTATGCATGAATGCCTTAGATAATGTTGATGCCTTATCAACTACCCAGCGCGTTACCAATGTTTACTTCGCGTTGCGCAAACCAAAATAATCGACAATATCGACCAACAACGACAACGGCCACCCCATACCGCCAAAATGAGGATCGTAGAGGTTATTATAGACGTATGTTTCCCTTACGCTAGCTCTCTTATATCTCCTCACATTAGCAGGGTTTCAAATCGTATGCTGTACGGACGGTCATTTCAGGATGGTAAATAAACAATGGCAACCACCACTTCCCCGTTGCAGAACTGACCCTGCAAATTAGGGACGAGTCTTTCAACTCCATTACAGGTCTAAACGGAAGTGGAAAATCCAATATTCTGGATTCAATATGTTTTGTCTTGGGTATTACGAACATGACGACGGTCCGCGCACAGAATTTGCAGGTATGTTTGTTTTTATAACCACAGAGCTGCATAGTACTGACTCTGTCCGAAGGATCTCATTTACAAGCGCGGGCAAGCCGGGGTAACGAAAGCCAGTGTCACAATCGTCTTCGATAACCGCGACAAGAAGAAGTCTCCCATTGGCTTCGAAGAATATGCGCAAATCAGTGTCACCCGACAGATTGTACTGGGAGGAACGAGTAAATATCTGATCAATGGCCACCGGGCCCAGCAACAAACAGTGCAGAACCTCTTCCAGTCTGTCCAACTAAATATCAACAACCCCAACTTCTTGATCATGCAGGGTCGCATCACGAAGGTTTTGAACATGAAGGCGGTCGAGATTCTGGCCATGATCGAGGAGGCTGCCGGTACGCGCATGTTTGAGGATCGGAGAGACAAAGCTTTCAAGACTATGGCGAAGAAGGAAATGAAGGTTACAGAGATTACGGAGCTGTTAAAGGATGAGATTGAGCCAAAATTGGAGAAGCTCCGTACAGAGAAGAGAGCTTTCCTCGATTTCCAACAGACACAGAACGACCTTGAGCGGTTGACGAGAGTAGTGGTAGCACACGACTACGTCAAACATCAAGAAAAGCTCAAGCAATCGGCTGGTGACCTCGAGCTCAAGAAACAACGACAAAAGGATCTGGAAGAGAATGCGGCGAAGTTGAAGAACGAAATCGAGTTTCTCGCCGAGGATGTCAAGAAAGTTAAGGCACAACGTGAGAAGGAGCTCAAGAAGGGGGGCAAAGCACAAGCTCTCGAGGCAGAGGTGAAGCAGCACTCCAATGAGATGGTACGATTGGCTACTGTAACGGATCTCAAGAAGTCCAGTTTGGCCGAGGAAAAAGAACGAAAGTCAACCATCCAGAAAAACGTCAAGGAACTCGAGGCTCTACTAAAGCAAAAGACTAAAGTCTATGAGAAGCTGCAAGCTCAATACGATACAGCGAAAGAGGAGTTGGAAAAGCAAAGTCAGGAAGCCGAGATCAAGGAGGAGCTTCTCCAAACTCTCCAGACTGGTGTTGCATCGAAAGAAGGACAAGAGAGCGGTTACCAGGGACAGCTCCAGGATGCGAGGAATCGTGCTAGTGTAGCATCGACTGAGCAAGAGCAGGCCAAGCTGAAGACGGCGCATCTCGAGAAACGTATCAAAGAAGAGGAGCCTCGGGCCAAGAAAGCCAAGGAACAAAATGCTGGTCTGCTTAACGATCTCGAGGGACTCAGGTCACAGGCCCAGAAACTCGAAAAGGAATTGGGTAGATTGGGCTTCGAGCCCGGAAAGGAGGATGATATGTACAAGCAAGAGTCAATATTGCAGCAAACTATTCGGAAGCTGCGTGAACAGTCCGATGGACTGAAGCGGAAGGTCGCCAACATCGATTTCAATTATGCAGATCCTACGCCTAATTTCGACCGCTCGAAGGTCAAGGGCCTGGTTGCTTCTCTTTTCACACTTGACGAAGAACGAACCGATGCTGGAACTGCTCTTGAGATCTGTGCTGGAGGTCGGTTGTACAATGTTGTGGTCGATACTGAAGTCACTGGTACTCAGCTACTGCAGAAAGGTAAACTACGAAAGCGAGTCACCATAATCCCTTTGAACAAGATCGCGGCATTCAGAGCCTCTTCTGAGAAGATTGGCGCCGCGCAAAGGATTGCTCCAGGGAGGGTCGACCTTGCACTGTCACTTATCGGTTACGATGATGAGGTGTCTACAGCTATGGACTATGTCTTTGGCAACACGTTGATCTGCGCCGATGCAGCCACGGCCAAGAGAGTTACTTTCGATCCAGCGGTTCGAATGAAGAGTATCACGCTAGAAGGAGACTCATATGATCCATCTGGAACTCTCTCTGGTGGTAGCTCTCCTAATTCAAGCGGCGTCCTAGTTACTCTTCAGAAGCTCAACGAGCTGACCAAGGAATTGGGTATCCAAGAACGGACACTGGCAGAGCTACACGCTACGATGGCACGTGAGAAGAAGAAGCTTGATCAGGTAAAGAAGATCAAACAGGAACTTGACCTCAAGTCTCACGAAATCAAGCTTACCGAGGAGCAAATCGGAGGCAATTCCTCGTCATCCATTATCCAGGAGGTTGAGAACATGAAAGCGTCCATTATTCAGCTGAAAATGGATCTCGTAGAGGCTAAGAAGCGTCAAGACGAGGCAAACAAGGATATCAAGCGCATCGAGAAGGACATGAAGGACTTCGACAGTAACAAGGATGGCAAGCTTGTTGAGCTACAAAGTTCTCTCGATTCTCTCAGGAAGGCTCTCACCAAGAGCTCGGCATCTGTTAAGGTCTTGCAAAAGGAGCTTCAAGGCGCGAGATTGGATTCTGAGCAGGTTGGCGGTGACCTCGCTGCCGCCCAAGAACAACTTCAGGAGGTTGAGGTGACGTTGAATGGCTATTCGGAAGAGATTTCCGCTCTCGTGGCAGAACAAGCTCAAGCCAAGGTGAGTAGTCTCACTACCATGTCGAGTACCATTGCTGACAACTCAGGATACACACGACAATGCCCAAGCACATCTCGATGACGAACGTGCGAAGCTGACTGGCTTTGATGATGAACTTCGCTCCCTTGAGGAAGCTTCTAGATCCAAATCGTCTCGGATCACTGAAGAGGGCCTTGAGATGCAGAAACTTGGCCACCAAGTTGAAAAGTTCCACAAAGAACAGCAAGCAGCAGTTCAGACAGTCGCTCACATGGAGAAGGAACATGAATGGATTGCTGATGAAAAGGACAATTTTGGCCGAACAGGAACGCCGTATGACTTTAAAGGTCAGAACATCGCCGAGTGCAAAGCGACCCTTCGAAACCTCACAGAGCGATTCCAGGGTATGAAGAAGAAGATCAACCCCAAGGTTATGAACATGATTGATAGTGTGGAGAAAAAAGAAGTCGCCCTCAAGAACATGATGAAAACTGTCATCAGGGACAAGAAGAAGATTGAGGAGACTATTGTCACTTTGGACGAGTACAAGAAGAAGGCCCTGCACGAGACTTGGTCCAAAGTCAATGGTGATTTCGGACAGATCTTCGCAGAGCTCCTTCCAGGAAGTTTCGCTAAGCTCGATCCTCCAGAAGGCAAAACAATAAATGAAGGTCTAGAGGTCAAAGTTTCACTAGGTTCGTAAATCCCCAAGATATCCGGCTGGCCGCAGCCTGCACTGGAAACAGAAAGGCACTCCCACTAACTCTGAATGAATGAATGAATAGGCAAAGTCTGGAAACAGAGTTTGACAGAATTGTCCGGAGGTCAGCGGTCACTGATTGCCATCTCGCTCATCATGGCGCTGCTGCAATTCAAGCCGGCGCCGATGTACATTTTGGACGAGGTGGATGCGGCTCTAGATCTCTCTCATACACAGAATATCGGACGGCTCATCAAGAATCGCTTTAAAGGTAGCCAGTTCATCGTTGTCAGTCTGAAGGATGGTATGTTTCAGAATGCGAATCGGATCTTCCGGACTAGGTTCTCGGAAGGCACTTCGGTGGTTCAAGCACTTACCGCGGCGGATTTCGACAAGTAATCGTTGTCATGGACGGCTAGGGATCGTGGTGGATGATGTATGCGCTGCATTTTATCTGATTACGGAGATGGAGTCTGGTCTGGTTTGGCATGGGGTGGGGTGGTCGTTTTCGAATTTTGGGTATTGGGGAATGACATACCTGGGCAGGCTTAATGACTGTATGAACATGGAGCAATGAACACTTTGACGACTGTTACGTCGAAGCAGTTACTCGCGAGAATGAATGGTCACACGTGATCCTGGACGTTCAAAGTACCTAGGTACCTTACCTATCACGAATCAGTTGACCTCTCAACTGACAGTAACTTCAGAGCAGATTTCAAGTCGAGAGGTCGCAAGGGCAGATCGTCCACACCAAGGAGAGAAGCATGGCATTTAGAAAATCCCCTCTCCCAAAGCGCTGAAATGCAATATCTCAATACCCAGCAAGCCCAAAGCAAGCAGACTCTCCAGATCATTGGCCAAGGATCCTGTCACGAGCCAAAATTCGAAGTCAAACCGGCGCTCAAGCTGCTTTGGGTGTGCCACCACCGATGCGTGAAGGGGGACGGGCTCCATCTCCGGAGATTTGGGCGCGATGGACCGCATTCTAGAAGAAGTAGCAATTGGAAGGCAGGTCGGATTGCATGCAGATAGGGGCGGGCGGGCGCAACATGGAATTGTGGGATGTTAAGGTAGTTCTCTCGACGGGTGGCGGGGGGGGGGGGAATGATAAGGTCATTTAAGATGCACGGAAAACGCAATTCAAGCGGTAGATTGGGTGATGTTTGCTTGGCTTTGGCTTTGGCTTTGGCATTGGCGTTGTATGGGTGCTTCTTACCTAGGTACTTGCGCGCTCAACTGTCCTGCCCTCGGCTTTGCTTTTGCTGTGCCGGTCGTAGGTAGCGCTTGTCGCATTGCCGTATCGCTTGTCGTATAGATAAATTACTTAAGTATACTCATACCGTAGGAATATTTGAAAGTCGGGTGCATCGTATTTCATAAACCTGGGGTTTGGACGCAATCAAGGTATTGTTAGTGATCTGGGTGAGTTCGAGCTGTGACAAGTAAAATGATGAATTCGGAAGTGCCTGAGAGGCCGTAAGCTTAGCTAGCTTAAGTGCTTGATAAAGGTATCGTATCGTATCGTATCGTATCCATGGATGGCTGTAGCAAGCCAGTTGGTGGCAATGGGGCCTTTCACCACGAGGAAAGAGGTATGAAGTATGAAGTATGAAGCATGGAGCATGGAGCATGGAGCATGGTGACCGAGGGTGAGTGGTGAGTGGTGAGTGGTGAGTGGTGACTTAAGTTGACTTGCATCTGCATCCTGTCTGCAGCCAGGGACCCCGAGAAACTCCAGGGTCCACACCACGCCACACCAGTGACACCAGTGCACCACACTGCACCGTCTCAACCCCCCTGGATCACTGGCACTGGCACCGAACATGGATCAATGATCGATGTGAGACCCCTAAATTCCAGAACGCGCGTGTGCGTGTGCACAGCACAGCACAACACAGTACCTTCGTACAGCACGATGGACAAGTCGCTACCACTGTGGTTGGGATCGAGGAAGGGAAGGAGGCTGCCGTCATATTGCTGCATCGAGGCCTGGATGGCTCGGGCAGGGCAGGGCAGGGCAGGGCAGGCAAAATTTCTGTATTCCATCCGGGGCATTTGCCTCGAGGATACCTTACCGTACCTTGGTAAATCTACCTACATATCCTCTTCCCTCTTTCCTCTTTCTTCCCACCTCATTGGTACTTGAGGCCACCACACCACAGCGCAGCGCGCCTCCTTCCTTGCTCTGGCTCTGGCTCTTGCGTTGCTTTGCTTTGCTTTGCTCTGCTGCGCTGAGTTGTCTCCCACCCGGTGCCATCTTAGCAAGTGGCTGGCTGGCTGGCAATCTGGCTTTCGTCATATGTGAAGGTATGCTGTGTGTGGCATCATGGCATGCCTTATGTAGACTCACCTGGGTGGACAACGCAGAGCGGGACTGAGCAGGACAGCCCCGGGCGTCTTTCCACGCGCCGTTCTGCGTTCTGCTCAAGCTGCCCACGCTGCCCTCGCCGGCCAAATGTCATTGTCTTCCTCACTTACCTAAGGTAATTTACAATTGTTGTCATGGGCTATCCGGATGCATCGACGCTGTGGCCACGCTGTAGGAAATCTGATTGCCTTGGTCTGGGTTCTCTTCTTGATCTGATCTGATTTGACCCGGGCTCGGGCTCGGGAACTAAACTTTTGGCTGCAGTCACTAACAGCTTCCCCTGTTGCCCCAATCCCAAAGGGGTATCGAGAATCGACGTCCCCTGCTGCGCTTGCCCCCTTAGGCCCTGGCTCGCCTAGCTAGTTAGGCCCGGCCCAAATATTCCTCGAACTGCGACAGCACTGCACTGCACTGCACTGCATTGCACTACACTACACTGTACAACCATCTCCACAGACGCATTTCCTCACCTCACCTCACCTCATCTCACCTCACTTGACTGTCAGGAAACCAGTTCATCACGTGTGTTCTTGACTCCTCTTTTCTTGTTCTCTGTCTTATTTCCTACCCGCCCTCTGCTCTTCTTAGGCTCGTTCGGATCTACTTCATGTACATTGTTAGGTACGTCTGGCCCCCATCCCGTGTCTTGATACACAAGAAAGGAGGCTAACATTTCTTGCGACGTCAGCAGATAAATAGCACTTCTGGTGCTCTTCTTTCCTCTCCCACGTCACCCAACATGTCAGCCTACATAGAGAAATATCGAGAGCTCCTCGAAGAATACTACGACCTATACTACGAGCAATTGCTCGACCAGATCCCTGTCATCTCCACCCAAACCTACGTTCTGACAGTCTTTGCCATCTGCATACCTCCAATAATCGCTCTGATATTTTACGAGCGAGAACAAGCAAGGCTCCGCGCTGAGGAGCCCAAGGGGTGCAGAAAACTTGGCTTGAAGATCGAGTCGAATTTGCTCAATGAATTCGACAAGAAGTTCTCCGAGGGACGACCGCCGTCTACCGAAGAGACATCAGCAGAATGGTGGCGGCTGAAGAGCTTATGGATCTACCCAGTGAAGAGCTGCAGAGGTGTAGAGTTGAATCGAGGCTCAGTGATTGCGACTGGTATGGAATACGATCGCCAATTCACATTTGCTCAACTGAAAAGCCCCTTTCCCGTCAATGCTGCCACCCCTGAGAAGGAAAAGGCGGCACACAAATGGGAGTTCATCACCCAAAGACAGTTCCCTCTGCTGGCCAAAATACGGACCGAGATGTGGGTTCCGGATCAGTCTGTGGATACATACACACCCCATGCTGAGGATGTTGAGTCTGGGGGTGTCATAATTTTGAGCTTCCCATACCAAGAGGCTGGCTGGAGAGGTATCATGGCAAAATGGGGAGCTTCGGTGAAGGGCACGTATCCCGAAAAGCAGTTTCGCATTCCATTCGACCCATCTCCAGTACAGATCGAGAAAGCTGGCTACTCCTACGAGAAGATGACGATCTGGAAGGACACAGTGACGGCGCTGAATTTAGAAATCGAAATCCCAGACGAATTGAGATACTACCTCGGCATCAGCAACAAACTTGGACTCTTCAGGATCGACAACTCGAAGTTACGGGAGGTACACAGGAATGCGCCAACGAAGGCAGAGTTGGGATATCAACCAGTGACCGGTTTTCAAGATGCTGTGAGTTGAACGGAACTTGGCTATAATCCAGTGCTAATAATAACAGTATCCCCTCCACCTAATCAACCTTGCCAGTGTCCGCGACGTTGAAAGCCAAATGCCTAAAGTCAAGGGTGCCCCACGCCTCTCCGCTGCCCGGTTCCGCGCCAATCTAATCATTACCGGTCCAGATGCCTACCACGAAGATACTTGGCGGCGTATCAAGATTGGGTACTACGAATATGACGTATCATGCCGGACTGCTCGCTGTAAGATGCCAAATGTAGACCAGATTACTGGCGAAAGACATCCCAGCGAGCCTGATAATACCCTACGAAGTTTCCGAGCCGTAGACGCAGGTACTGGACCAAATATCGGCTGCTTAGGCATGCAAATGGTACCAGTCGCCAAGGAGAGCAGTCTGCGCGTTGGAGATGAGATAACAGTTCTGGAAGTCGGAGACCATGAGTATATCAAGCAATAACGGAACTTGCTTTAGATACACATTACGTCTCCGATTTGCCAGAGAGAATAAACAAGTTCAATTAGGTTTTCTTTGTTTGTGAATGAGGATACCCCATAGCTCTTGTCTGTTTGTCTGTTTATCTATCTGTCTGATGAAGATGAAGCGAGTTTGAGCGGCCAAAAGAAACACACATGAGGGAATGACTGGGACAATTAACAACTTTGTAATAGAGAAACAACGGGCCGGAATGATCAAGGTCTCTTTGTTGGGAACGGGTATAAGTCCTGCTTGTTGTTTATAGTATTTCGTTTCTTACTTCCTAGATTTTGCATTTTCGCGGATCATACATACATACAGGGAAGGGAGGCAGAGGGTGTTCCTATTTCGTTCTGTTATATCATTGTTCGTGTATTATTGTCCTGCAATGTTGGGAGCAATGGGTTGGAGTTGGTAGATTGTGGCTGCATAAATGGAATGGCATCGTCTGTATCTTTGAACATATAGCTGGCTCTTACTCTGGGTGATTTGATACGATGTTGTTTTATGTCATGGTTCTTGGCCTTGGCTTTATGTCATCAGCGGGTACGACAATCAGCACATGCTCAGGTTCACTAAGGATTCCGTCCTCAACAGACATAATAACCAGAAAGACACAGTAAAAGTGCACTCCTTCGATCAACAAGCTCAACAACCAAAGAAGATCAAAAAGAATGACGTGAGGAGAATGCAAAGAAATCGGGGTCGGATGGTCATCTCTAGCGCTCAACCTCGACTTCCTTGGAATAGGGAAAATCAAAAGCTGCGGGAGTTTACTGGTCCCTATTCAAATAACACACTCGTCTACCATCTCACACCGCTCTAGACCAATTCCAAAGAAATGGTGCTGGGTTGGTTGAGAATGGATTTGTTATTTCGTCATGTGAAGATGATGGTGCTTGATGCGACTGGGCTTGATGTCAACATGAAGAAGATGTACTTGTGAAGGAGTGGAGGTCTATTTGCAGATTATGCTCCCCTAAGTCTAGCCCCGGCCCTAGATTCCGATCTTCTCCAAGTCTCTATGGCAGTACCGTACCAATTGATACCCGGCTCACTCACACGACAAACGTCGCGAACGCCTCAAAAGGCCTCAACGACAGTACCCCATCCATTTCCATCACGCCCCCGTAACCACTAACCAGAACACCCTCTTTTACCAACTCCACTCCCCCAGGGAGTTTCCATTGCACGTTCTCCGCCCTGAAATTAGCCACCACCAACACAGTCTCCTTCCCAAAAGAGCGTGTATAAGCAAACACATTATCGTTCTCCATGTCAAGCATGTGGAAGTTGCCGTAGATGAAAACTTCTTTATGCTTCTTTCGCAGACGTAGTATTGCGGCCCAATGTTCGAAGACACTGTTAGAGACACCGACTTGAGATGCGGCGTTGATGCTGGTGTAGGATTCATTTTCGCGCTGCCATGGGGTCGCGGTTGAGAATCCTGCGTGAGGTTCGTCGCTCCACTGTTTGAATGTAAGTAATGTACCATTTTATGGCGAACCATTTAATCTGTGAATTGCGTACCTGCATGGGTGTTCGTGCATTATCTCGAGACTTGAGATTGATCTCTCTCTTTGTGATGCGGTGAAGTTCTTCGTCATCGGGGAATTCAGCCATCATGCTTGACAATTGTCAGTACAATACTGTGACGGTGTGAATTGAACGTACTCTCTCCAAGCGTTAAGCGTCTCCAGATCTCTATACTCCGATATGTCTCGCTCAAGAGGCACGTTGATCATTCCCAGCTCCTGGCCCTGATATACAAATACAGTCCCACTCTGCAAAGCCAGGAAAGTCGCGAACATCTTCGCAGCAACAGCTCTATACTCGGGCAAATCCGATCCCCAGCGCGAGACTGTTCGGCTCTGATCGTGATTCTCGAGATACAGGGCGTTCCATCCATCGTTCTCGATCATGAAGTGTTGCCATTTGTTGACAATACTCTTCAATGTCGACATCTCCCACTTTCGAGGAGAAAACTTGCCTTTGTCGCCAATATCCATGTTCACACTCCATAATTATCAGTTGGAAGTTCTGTACGATTTGGCAGAAGGGCTCACATCTCAAAATGGAAGATCATGTTCAACTCTCCACGATCGAATCCAACTGCATCCAGAATATCCTTCGGATCATCCACTCCAGGCATCTCACCAACAGAAAAGGCATTGTACTCTTTCAAGATCTTGCCCATGTCGAGCAGGTACTCATGGAGTCTGGGACCGCATGCAAAGTACTTGTGGCCAGACTGGAATTCCGTATCTGGTCTGGTGATTTCGGCATCGGGAAGTCCTGGGACCTTGCTGATGAAGTTGATGACATCCATCCTAGTAATATGTAAGATGATGCTAACTTGCAGCATTTACAAGGAACTCACCTGAACCCATCAACACCTTTGTCCAGCCAGAACCGCATTATGTCATGGACGGCAGTTCGAACTTTAGGGTTCTCCCAGTTTAGATCTGGTTGCTCCGGGGCAAAAACATGTAGATAATACTCATCTGAAGCTTCGTCGTATTCCCAAGCACTTCCTGAAGACTTTCTTAATACATTGCTTATCATGTCCAGAACTCATGGACACTCACCTCCCCAAGCCGCGGCCCAATTGTTGGGTGGCTGTCTCCTCCCTTGTGCATCATACTTGGGTTTCTTCCACATGTAGTAGTCACGATATGGATTGTCCTTGGAAGACTTCGCCTCCAGGAACCACTTATGCTACTCACATACATCAATGAGTATAAATTCCATCGATCACATGACAATTTGCTTTCCCTGCAGATGAGACTTACCTGATCACTGGAATGGTTGACCACCAGATCCATCACAAACTTCATGCCTCTCTTATGACACCCATCAATCAACTCATCCACATCCTTTAGCGTGCCATACGGAGCATGGATGTCTCTGTAATCGGAAATATCATATCCCATATCAACCTGAGGAGATTTGTAGATAGGGCATACCCAGACTATGTCGATACCTAGAGCTTTGATGTAGTCCAGTTTGGAGGTGATGCCTGGGATGTCGCCAAGTCCATCGCCATTGGAGTCTTTGAAGGATGAAGGGTAGATTTGGTAGACCGAGGACTCTTTCCACCAGGCTCTTTTCGGGGCGGAGAGCGCTGTCATGCTGCTGAGAAATCCGGTTATGTCCTGGGGAATTGAAGAATGATCGAAGTGAAGGACCCTTCGAAAATATTGGCGGGCGAAGGGCTTATATCTGTATTGGTAGCACGAGTGTCGATCTTCCACTAGTCAGCTGCCAGTTGGGTGCATCATAAATAAAAGAAATGCGGACAAGGTGCTGCCTCAAGTGGTCTAAATTATCATTTATGAACCCCCACCTTGCTTGCGAGGTAGGTCAAACTGGGCAAACCAGTATTGATTTGGAGCTCATGCAGTAGACAGACGATCGTGAGATTAGACGAAGGGAGGTTTATGGTACAATGTTGATTCGCTCGTTTGCGACGCAAGTGGATTGAGGGGTAAAGCACATGTGGTACAGCATGATGGCCGGGACAATGTTCGCTCAATTAACCATGTTGGTCTGGTTCCATCTTATTCCACATAAGGTATGACTTTTTACAACCAATCTTTGAACGAGTCAGTAAAATATCGACTTCCATTAGTCAGCGGCAGTTAAAGGATTCGCAAATTCGAAAGGAGTGTCTGCATTTCACAAACACTCGTGGACGTCTTGGAGCTTCCTGAGGAGCTTATATCGACAGCGAGACCTGTGGGAATTGATATCTCCTGACGACCGATGTTTACACATGAAGACAGCACATAAGAGAGCTGGATGTTGAAAGAGAGATTTCATTTTCTACCACCGGTCAACGTTTGTCGAGCTTATAACTCAGGAGTTATTGCAGTGCTCGAGAGAGGTGATACATAGACTATGCAATGTTGATCTCAAACTAAAGTTGGATTGGTAACAACATCTACTACTAATGACTGGCAAGACAGAGTAAGAAAGTATCAAGAGTATACATCAGTGTCCTTCGAAGACTGGGAAATGAGAAACAATGACCAGTAACAGAGACATAAAGATACTGTGGTAAGTGATGCCCAGACTCATCAATTGTTGTACCCTTACTTAATATCCACGACCAGCCAGCCAATTGTGAGCAACCTCAAACCCTCCTTGTGCTGAGTATTGATGCTGCCAGCAATGTCCGGAATTGGGGACGGCGTACCAGGAGTAGTTGCTGGCACGAGGGTATAGAGTCTGGGTTTGTGCAAGAATGCTGTATGCACCTGAGCCACAATTTCCAGGTCCGCCTCCTTCGAACCCAAATGAACCACAGAAAACGACATCTTGTTGTCCAGTCATTACGAATACCGCGCCGGTGTATCGATTTGCTGTCGGGATCAGAGCACTTGAAGCAGCCTCACCGACAGTGAGAGTACCTCTTCTCTGGTAGTCTTGTTGTATGAAAGCAGGATCATAATTGATCCCAGGAGGACCATAGAAAAGCAAATACTCAATGCCCGATTCTGAAGTCGCTTGAAGATATCCAGGCGGCAGCGAAATACTGGGCTGGACGAGTTGTGCAGGTAACAGACCAGCAGTAAGTGTAAATCCTGGAATGACAGTTACCCACTACGCACCGAATTAGTATCGTATTTCCCAGTAGAGCAGATGAAGGAGTATTCTCCGAGTGACGGTGACAAGAGATTGGATCCGGCATACCTGCTTGCTGAACCCTGTAAGAATCGTCGCATCTACATCTGTCGGATACTCAACATTAAGAACGTTGGCCATCAGTGATCCCATACTGCAGCCGACATGGATAATCTTGTTGAATGTATGCGGGAAAGGTGACATGCTTGCTGGGCCACCACGAGCAAGCTTGATAATCTCATGCACAGTTGCAGCTTGAGCTGGCATCTGGACGACCGCAACTCCATCAGGCTTGGTGGAGTTGCCATTACCCAAGCGGTCAAAAGCAAATGTCGGATAGCCCTGCTTGGAAGCATACGAGACCCAGCTGTATCGCTCTCCATCGAATCCCAGTCCTGGGTAGTCGCCGCCGGACCACTTCAAAGGTTAGCAGATATCTAACCAACTTGTGCCAAGCAATCGATATCCCTCGAAGTTGTGCTGAGCCTGAATGGGATTACCTACGTAGTTACGATCATATGTCGCTGGGTGTGCCAGGAGTTGGAGAGTGTTTCTCCGAGACGGGATGTTGACTTCAGGTTCGCAATATCGACCAGCAATATTGTAGGTACCACGAACAGGTACAGAGAATATTAGGGTAATGACACTTGAGAGAAGGCCAAACAAGGAGCTAAGGTCTATGGTTGGATGAACGACCTGTAATCCTAGTTAGCAGAGGCATGCATATCTATGGAGGAGCTTACGGCATTTTGAGTATCTATTGTAACAGGAATAACGATTTCCTGGCAAGTCGGTCCTCGTTTCTCCAATGGCGACGATTCAATGGGCAAGGCCATACCAAAGACCACGAGAGCTAGAGTCTGGACGAGATGAGCGGGGAGGACCATGGCGATGAGAGGTTTGGTGTTATGATAGCAATTGCTACTTGAAAAAGAAGTGGTGTATGCAAATCCAAAACTGTGCAGTGATGATAAGAAGGGAAGAATCGTTTGGGCGGGAGAGGGAATATATATTCACGACTACCTCTTCGCTCCTGCCATTCCTGGTACCGTTGTTGCTACCGCCTCCTTGACGATGAATTCATTGCCCGCAACCCGCCTGGCACCATTAAGTGGTGGTGTCGAAGGAGTCACAGGAAAAGCTGCACATCGAACCCATTCATGAAGTGTTATTGACCGACGATACAGCGGATAGTGCTAGCACTCCTTCATCACATGCCCTTCTTTCAGCCAGTAAACACAGTAAACACAGTTTTACATCCCTTGATTGTCTCAGCTCTGACAAAAATGAGGCTGGAGGATTTCTTCCCTTGGACCAAGCATGGAGTCGATCGTGATGTTTAGCGCCATGGTTCAAGATCTTGTCTGACCCAGCATCATCCAAGGCCCTTACTGAAGACCCGATCCTTGGACCGGGCTGATACCAGATCATCTGGTCATCTGGGGCTTGAAAAATAAGAAAATGATTGCATAGATATTTGGGGGGCTTGAAGGACATCGAGAAAGTTTTTACCTGTATTACCCGAAGAACGAGTGGTTGGTACGGTACACGCACTCCATCCCATGTACATCTGAGGAACAGACTACTGGATCTGATGCATCATATTGTAAGAATGAACTTTCAAAACCCATGCCACTATCATTTCCTGTGCTTGCAAGTCCTCATGGCTCCTTTGCAGAGGCAGTGGCATCTCCTGCCTGTTCTCTCTAATCCTGTACCTTTGAAGAAGCTGAGGAGAGTGATGCTTTCTTGGTAACCCTCAAAGCAAATGTACCAGTTCCCTCTATCATCTTGCAATATGGGGAGCATTCCCGAAGGTGAAGTGGATCGTATACCGACAACTTCACTCCACTTGATCTGAGTATGGCTCCAGATCATCGCGAGCTCACTCTGATTACGAATCTTGGTAGCTGGCTATTCCACATGCTCAACAGTAGAATGTCTACAACCGCAATTCACCAAGGCTGACATCACTTTTCTATTAGAACACATGCTTGGATTCGGGTAGGTTCCAGGACCTACAGAATAAGACAACATATCAAGTGAAGCAAAGCCACTGAGTGCTACGACTTGGACCAACACGCGTACGGCGTTGCTCGCAGCTAGATTTCTGAGGATACAGAAACCCCCATCGCCACCGGAAATAACCAATGATAAACTCCGTCAAAATGGCTCGTCATGAGGACAAAATTTACAGATGGAAAGCAAACGCTGAAATATTATTGGAAGCTTGGCACAATCCACAGCTGCGCTTATAGTCTCGAGGTGTTTGAATACCTCAACGTGAAGTTGAAAGCCCGAGGGTGAAACAGCGAGCTTAATTTGTTCATGAACTTACAAGAGTGGTTTCAAAACATGCCACTTGGAATTCGTGTCCGAGAATCCCAGCACGAGAATGTTCCTGGAGATGTTCCCTCCATGCTCTGCTAAGGTTCCTTAAGCCACTTCCTCTTCTCTCTCGCCCCGAAGGACACTCAAGCTCTCTCTGCATCTAGTTTCTAAACTGCATTGCCAAACAAGCAAATACGTAAACATATCAACAAACGACAGCAATCGAAGCTGAAACTTGATCCGGTGACCAAGTTTCACCACTTTTGAACTCCTCTATAGCAAGAAATCGAGTATAGGCTCGACTATCTCACATCGTTTCAATACATATGACTTATATTCTCCTTTACGGTGGCTTATTTAACACCGAACACTCCAGTACACTCGGTATGGCGCTTCAAGACCAGAACACCAGCCTCGCAGCCCTGTTTGCTCAATACGGATCTATCAGATTTCAGCTTTAACTCTCAGAATACCTGCAAAATTCACCATACACCAATGATCATCTTGCAAGGACAATTCCAAATTTCTCCTTGGCCACAATTTTCTCGGGTTTCTGTAGTGTTACCACACCATTTTGATCCTTTCCCCCGAACACGGCTCGACGACATGCCTGAATCCAGACCTTCTTAACCAGGACCTATGCTCTCAAAGTCCCCACACCATCTTTTCTGTTACTGGCGTTTTCGTGCAGCACTGCTTCTTGTCTTGGCGCATGCTCTGCTTGGAGAGAGCTTCGTTTTCCAGCTCGTGAAACAAAACAAGGCGATCAAAAACCTGGCACGCAGTAATACGTACAGCACCATTCATGTACACCCATGTTCTTAGTAACATGTTTCTCTAAGATGCGAAGACGGAGTGGCGGCTCGCGCTCTTCCCACTGCATTTGTCAGGCTCGAGTGGCTCACTCAGTCACGTAGTAGGAATAGCAACATCAATAATTCCATTTGCTACCGTGGCTGGCCCGGTCAGAAATTATGAATAGATATTGGCGAGGAACTTCGCCAGGTAAATGTACCGCCCACAGACTAAGAGAGTCTTACCTAGAACCTTGTAAGGGCGTCGAGATTAGATTGTACGACGTAGAGTATCAAACGAAAGTTCGTCCGTGCCGATAATTGGCCCAAATTCTATACAAAGCAATTCCGATACTCTCACAGCTTCGGCACTATGGCCCCGGAAGAGCCAAAGACGGAATGATAGTTCGTTGGCGCATGTAAAGTCACGAAATGTGCGTACAGAAAACCGTGACAATTTCACATGGAGAAGAACACCCCTTCAAGCCCGCAGCAAGGAAAGTTGATGAAATTGTGGACGAGATATAGCTGTGGACTTGAAGCCTGTCAAACATTACACCTCAAGGCTATTCGGAGATTTTGCATACCTCATTTCCTTATACCCCGTCACTTTATCTGTGGGAATTCCCTTCTATTTGCGGCTTTTTGCTTGAATCGACGGAATTCACAAGATCATCAAGGACAAGAGGCGATGGACTCGTGTCACGCCTCATCCTCTTCGCATATTTACATATGGTGACACACGTTTGGGCGTACCTCAGTGGAGATCTAGGGTCCTTTGAAGCTATAGTTTCTTGAAGCTCTCCATTGGCCGTTGATAGCAATAGAAAGGTATCCGCATCCGAGAAAACGAGACGAGCTGGGCAGGAAACGTAAGCTCTCTCAAGTACTTCTGGCATGTGAGGCATTGAAGTGCTCTCTCATACCAGTAGTCCGTCCCACATGTGTACTTAGTGCCTTCTCGAGCTCCCCTGGCCCCTGGTCACCTATACACCAATCTGCATATTTACCTTCGGAGGGAGATCGAAGTGCTCATTTACTTAGGATAAATCCATCATTCGAAGGACTTATAATAACGACGCCCGATTCCCGCCACCTCGAACTATGCAGTATTTGTTCCTCCTGAAATGAAGTGAGCACCTTGTTCCACTTTTGAGACTCAAAGCACTTTACAAATATTGAACGAGGCTTGATTGAGTTGTATGGCGCTATGCTTGAAGCAAACATGTCGTTGCTAGCTGCTCCATGTGACCTGCAAGCTACAGTGGCACCACATCCCGACGTCCATCTCATCTAGACTCGGATATGACTGGTGGACCCGCTAGAAAAAGCTGGCCAAAGCAAGCTTACTTCACCAAGAATGTTTTTCAGTTGGAACGAATGGGCTCGATAGAGTTCGGAATATGGCATAGACAACCAGCAGAAGATGAGCCCAGGGATGGCAGCAATCTCACGATCCTCGCCGAAGGGGACGAGAGACCGGGGCTGCCAGTGGGGCTCTGGGGCCGCCACTGTTTGAAGTAAACAGAAGCTGGAGATTGGATATGTCCTCACCGCAGTGAGAAAAAGCTTGTTTCTATATAATTACTGTCCTTGTTCTGTGAACCTGCTTTCTTTTTATTCTTCTCTTTATCTAACTTCTTTGGCTATTTCACTCGTTTCCACACGCTCCTCCTACCTCACCACTGCTCTTTCAGCACCCTGCTCCTAGTTGAGCTCGACACTCTTTTCAACTGCACGTATCAGTCTTTGCGGTCGTGCGTAGCGCCTTTTCGGTTCTACTTCGAAGTCCAAAGTCCAAAACAAGCCCTACCGGTTTTTCAAGATGCAACTCCCAACCAGAACCCTCCTCGCTCTTTTGCCATTCTTCGTCCAAATCCAAGCACTTGCTTCCGGGACAGGAACCACGACTAGATACTGGGATTGCTGCAAGCCATCTTGCGCCTGGCCTGGAAAAGCCGAGCTTGCTTCGGGATCAAATCCTGTCACAACTTGTGATATCAAGGACAGCCCACTTACAGACTACAACACTGGTATGTAGTTATAACTCGTTTCTGTTGAATGCGCAACAGAACGCTGAAACGCATTATAGCAAGTGGATGTAATGGGGGAGGAGCATATCAGTGTTCGAACGAGTCGCCATGGGCAATAAGCGATGACCTCGCCTATGGCTATGCGGCTATGCAGCAGTCAACATTGCTGGCGGCTCGGAGTCAAGCTGGTGCTGCGCTTGTTACGAGTTGACTTTCACCAGCGGCCCAGTCGCTGGGAAGAAGATGGTCGTCCAAGCTACCAACACGGGTGGTGACTTGTCCGGAAATCAGTTCGACATCAGCATGCCTGGTGGAGGAGTCGGAATCTTCAATGGATGTACGCAGGAGTGGAGCGCTCCATCTTCAGGATGGGGTGCACAATATGGTGGTATCTCTGCAGCATCGTCGTGTGCAGGCTTTCCTGCCGCCCTCCAAGCTGGTTGCAACTGGCGCTTTGAGTGGTTCAAGGTTCGCATTCCTGCCTCGTCTTTTCGAGGCCTGTGGAGTTCGAATCAAGTCAGTACTGATTCCTTACTAGGGCGCTGACAACCCAACCGTCTCCTTCAAGCAGGTTGCCTGTCCTGCTGCCATTACAGCAAAGAGTGGCTGCACCCGAGCAGACGACTCGTCTGCTCCCAAGGCTGCCACCGGAAGTGGCAACGCTGTTGAGGCTTCATCTTCCCCTGTCGCTCAAGCAACTCCAGTTGCTACTTCAACTGCTACCCCAGAAGCTGCTGAGAGCTCTTCCCCAGCTCTTTCAAGCGTTGCTCCCATTATTAATAGCCCTGCTCCTACAACCGCAACTGAGTCCACCACTTCATCAGCTCTAGAAGTCGAGACACCATCCGCTGAATCCACAAGTGTACCAATTATTGTTAGCCCGATGACCTCAATTGCTGCCTCTGCAAGCCCCGACATTACATACTCGAGAACAAGCAGCGTTGCGAGCGTGAGCCCGACCGCAGCCCCGGTGGATGATGAAGATGATGCTTGTGAATTATAGATGAGTGCTCATGGATGAGATTTTGAAATGGGCTGGAGAAAATATTGACTGTGTATTCTTATGTATATATATTATTATTGAATGGATGTGGACATCAGTGTCATGTTGATGCATTCTCAGATGAAGGATTGCCCTACTTGCAGTACTTTAGGTTCTCAAATAGATGATTGATGACGCGAAGCTACTTAACATAGTTCACCAAGCTAGTGGAGCGTTTCCTATATATGAAGTGAACGCAGCGCAAATGACTTGTCATGAAATCCAATTAACCAACATATAATATTCATTGCATATAGACCGAGAATGATGCCTGGGTATTGTGAGCAAAAAGCCAGAAGAAGTAGAACCTGCGCCTTGTGTAAATTTTGACAAGCCCCAACAGTGCCAGTATCGATATAGATATACAACAAGCAAGAATATATCAGATATAACACTAATCATGTACACATTATCGTATCATCTTTCAAGACTGTCCCCCAATGAGGGAGATGCAGTTGTTAAGGAGGAGTGCTGCTTCGTGAAGAAGCTCCCATCTCGTCTTCTCGAATACCGTGCGGAGGACCATCAACATGCCACTGCAGCCGTTGAAACCTCGCAGAGATTTGAGCTCCTCTGGTGATGGGACACTACTGAGTTTCCGGAGGTATGCTCGCATGTCACTGACCTGACCCTCGAAGTCGTATGCGGCTGGAATAGGCGCTGTCGAGGGGCCTTCTAATGCAAAGCCGTAGGACCAAACAATCAGAGCGGCGAAATACATGACCCACGGTCTATTGAGCAGCACATCATCGCGAGCGGAATAGTCAAATGGCGGATCCTTGTAGCCACCGCGGACGGTGGATGAAGCAGATTCTTCTGGTAGGAGAACCGTGCACAGAAATCGTAGAGCGTACCAGGTGGCATCTCGCGCTTTGGCTGTAGGAGCCCACGTATCTTTCATGCGACGCTGAGCGCTGTTCAGATCCTGAGAGCCGATGGTACGGCCCAGTAAGCGCTTGGCTCTGGCAAAAATCTGGCAATCGACAATATCAACGTGCATAGCCATATGGGCTAAGTGGTGGAGTACGGTTCTTCCCTGGAATACCACATTGTCCTCCTTCTTATCAGTATATATGTACGGGCCAGGAATCGTATCGGAATTTCGGCCCAAAGACCTGTCGAAATCTGCCATCCATAAGTCAAAAGCTCTGGTAAGCGAGCCTCTCCATTTGTCTCTCCCACCAAGGGCTTGTGAAACGCCGAGGGAATTTACTTGGAGATCACGCTGGTTCATGTGCCAGCTAACGCTGAGGAGACCAGCCATAAGAATGGTCCTGCCAAACGAGTTTGTACGAACTTCCTGGGCATTGAGAGTTCTTTTGAGACCTTCCAAAAACGAGATTGGCTTGACACCATTGGCCTGGAGACTAGCTTCGATTCTGCCGACTTCTGCACTGTTTGTAGCAGACCATAATGCTTCGTCGCATGGGAGCGGAAGCCGCATTTCATGAGCAACCATGACTGTTGAGTGACCAAACATGGTAGCGTGAGTCGAGTCAATGACGAACGCGGCAAATGCAGCTCGTCGCGTTGCCTCGTTCGTGATCCAATGGTTCCACCATTCATCAGGTGTATTCGCCCCGGAAGTGGAGGACTGCCGAGACCCGTTCTGTCCCTGCTTGTCATCCCGAATGCTAGGAGGCGAGTCCAAAGCCGACCTTCCAATGAGAGAGCTGCCACGGCGCATCAGCGTTATGGTGGTAGCATGATGAATATGGGCTCTTTCGTGCAACGCTCTGGTCGAATACATCTTCTCATACAGCTCCAAAAGTAGAAGGGCTTGGAAAACCCACAGCTTCGCCGGAGGTCGGAAGTGATAATCGCTAAAAATTTCCCACCTCAAATGCCAGGCTAAGAAGTTGGAAAGCTCAGCGCCTGCTTGGGTCACGTCGTAGCCATGAACCTTATCGAGACAGGATGCTCCGATGGCCATCATAGCTATCAAGAGAAGATTTGGAGTCTTGTCCGGAGAGAAGGTAGGCTTGTGCACTAGTTTGTCCATTAGTAGCCATTGTTGAAGTTCCAAGAAGAATAAGCTTACAAATAGGTACTTGCTCACTGAAGTGATACCAATAGCTACCGATGTAGGTTTGCATCATTTTACGGCTTAGGAGATGATTGTCATCGCTGCGGTCACCTTCCAACAGTGCTTCCTTCTGCCTTGCAACTGGCGCGTGATCGGTTTCGTTGAAGCGTTCCTTGATCAGGTCCACTATTTGCTGGCTCTTCTCTTCCGATAGGATAGTCTCTGGCAGAGTAGTGTCGAGCAAGCTAGTCACGGCCATAGGATGATGAGATTGCTGATTAGTCGGGAAAAAGCCACCAAGATTGATGTCATTAGGATAGAATTGTGCGAAGTACTGATTTTGAGAGTCGGGATAGCTAGACAAATTAGTACTAGATAAAAGAGGAGGGGATTCACCTACTTCGCGTAACCCTGCTGTCCCATCTGACCCATTGGTGAAGAGTTCTCCATTTGCTGACCGCTGAACAGGTATGCAACAAAATCTTCGGGAATCGCAAACGGTGATCGATTGTAGCCCTCACCACCGAATACAGGCATTGTATTAGGCACTGCCATTTGATCTAGCAGCATCATATCCGGACCAGACTGGGAGTGATGAGTAGTTTCGCTTGGATAATCTGTTGACATTGAAGTCGGGTAGGATGGGTCTGACTCGCGTGTTGACGAAATAGCGGTTGGCGCAGTAGAGAACCCTGGAGGAGGTAATGTAAAGGGCGTGAAATTTTGTTGGCTCACGTACGGCTGTGGACTTGATTGACTATGCCGAAAATTTGAGTTGCCTGGAGCAGAAGACAACAGTCCATACGGGCCTACACTGCTTTGCAGATGTGGTCTCGAGAAATCAACAGACTTTGAATCAGAAATTCCAAAGCTTGCATGGCGTTGAGTTCTCCCTCCTGGAGTCATGTTTGGAGTCTCGTTCCGAGGGAGGCTGTCGCTATTTGATCTCTTAACCCCCCCCCCTTGAAAGTTGTCGGCTCCGTTAGAGGAAGCAGCGCCAGAGTAAGTCCCAGAAGAGGGGTTGGTAGCTGGTGAATAAGAGCTAGGATTTTGTTCCTGTGGTGACTGGTACTGGATCTGGGTGGCCCGTGACTTGATTCCTGAGAGGTTTGGTCTCATGATCTCAGGAGAATTAGAACCGTGATTAGACACCGGTCTGCCCGATTCTGTCCCTGGTGAAGAAGCATGGGCGTGCCCAAGCATAGAGTCTTTTCGATGCAATTGGGATCCCTTAGCAGTGTGTCTGTCTTTGTGGCGGTTGCATAAGTCCTGGCGAACAAATGTACGGAGGCAATCAGGGAAATCACAATTATATATCTGTTTGGGCGTATGATTCAGTTGATGGCGATACCTGGGCTACGTTAGGCGCCATGTTGCGCTTGAAGAAGATCTGAGGCTCTTACAGATGCTCGGCTCTTGAATAACTCTTCCCACAGCCTTCTTGGGGACATTCGAATTTCTTATCAAGGCCTTTACGGCTCCTCCGGCGTTTCCGTGAGGGGCCATCGGTTCCAGACGAGTGCCCATCTGCAACTTCCCCTGGTGACCCGTCTGCGCTACCTTCTTTGTCCTTGTCCTGACGACTTCTTCCCCGACCACGGACTTTGTCTTCACCTGCAGTCTTGGCCTTCTCGTGCTGGGAAGGATTACGCGCCTGAGCCCTTCCGGGGTCGTCCATTTGAGTCATGACGTTGTTCGTCGGAAACGAGAGAGGTTGAGCTGCCAATACTGAAGTCATATTCCCAAGCCAGTCGGAGGTTGCCTGTGGAAGTGTATCTAATTCTGGCTTGAAGTTCACATCGACCTTTCTGCGGCGCACTGGCGGACGCGCAGATCACATCTGCAGCAGAGGGAATATTAGAGGTTGCTTCTGAGAAATGCCAAAGCAAGACAACATGCGCCGACTTACACTATTCTGCTCACAAGAAGTGATATCTACTTAGGTTGGACGGACACTTGCGTAGAAATACGAAGCGGAACAACGAGCGACTTCTAATCGGCAGTACGAATGAATCGGTAATCAGTCATGCCGAACAACCTGCTCAGCGCAATAAAAGATGAATGGGCAGACGGTGGTTCTCGCGTTGGCAGCACGGTGATGCCGTATCGAGGGGCGGCGCACGTTGCACGCGGAAGCTAATTGCGAATCGTGGAGAATCCAGGAGGGGAGGGTTATGGTTGTGGAGAAAGATGAGGTGGAGCGTCAGGTAAGGTTTGACGTCCTGGAAGTTTACTGCTGCGGTGGAAGGCCGAGTGACATGAAGTGAAGTGAAGTGAGGTAAGGTGAGGTGAGGTGAGGTGAGGTGAGGTGAGGTGAGTAAATGGCAGCCAGGTGCAGTGATGCAGTGAGGTTGACACTGACAGTGGGGGTTTGTTCTATCAATGCCAGTAGTTCCGCGACGGACGCGGGATCTCGAGATACTTATGGGGCCCCAAGCACGCCAGCCAGGCCAGCCGGCCAGCTAGAGCAGAGGCGTAGGGATAAGTGATGTGGTGTGCATGCCTGTCAGGGATGTGCATTGTGCAGTGCTCCTCTCCTCTCCTGTAGGTAAGGTATGCTCGGTATGGTAACGAAAGGTAGGTAAGGTATGGATGGACTCTGCAATATATGGGGCTACGGGGTGAGCTAGTCGTGGAGTAGAGTAGAGTAGAGTGGAGTGGAGAAGGACAGGGCAGATGGTAGGCTCGGTAGGTAAGGCACGCATGCTGTGTGGCTACCCTAACATCCAAACCCGACTACGGGGAGATGGGAGGGATAGCTCGGATAGGCACAATACAGTAGCGCGAAGCGGGAGGTGGAAGCAGAACAGAAGATGGGGAGAAGCCGTGGAAGAGTATGAGTATGACCTCTTGATGGCGCAGGCGCAGACGACATGCACTGCTACTGTACTGTACAGTACAGTAAATTTACCTCAGGTAGGCCGTAGAGCTGAGAGCCCAGAGCCCAGAGCCAGCAGTCAGCAACGAATCAGTGTCTGTACTCTGTTGCTGGCCGTCGTTCAAGGCCGAGATCTTTGTCGAGTCCAGCCAGCCAGCCAGCCAACCCGACCCCCCAACTGCATCATCGTCCCGGATTCTCTGTCTGTGTGATTATTATTATTTTATTTGACCATGCGCCGCTGCAGCGCGCGCGGTTGGCTCCGAGAGACGAGTGAGTAGTGCTTTGGTAGGTACTCTTGCCTTCTGCAACATGAAAGCCCAGGTTAGCACCGAAAAGAGGGGGTAAAAAGCAAGCCACTTTCGCCTGGTTAAAACCCGCAAGCATCAGCAGATTCTCCCATGCCGCGTGTCTCAAAATACTGGCTACTTTCTGTTCGCAGAATTGTCCACCCTTAGCCAGATGTAGCCCCTCTGAATCTCGAGCGGACCTATCCTAGCCAGTGACCCCCATGTGGAGATAGATCCATCCCACTCCGCATCGTGGCATTACCTCCAGACACTTAGTCCATCGGCCCCCTCAAGTAATGTCTGATACACATGGCAAACGCAAAGGGTTTGACTCTCCCTTTCTTGTAGCACCGTTGGGGTCTTCCCCATGCCCTCGTCTTCGAGTGACAACCGGTGGTAACACTGGCCTTAGCACCTGAACAGTGGGTTGCATCCCCGGCTTGTGTGGAGAAGATCTTCCCATGTCATGTGCTTCTCAGTCTTGTCGACCCAGTCTGTTCTTTCCAGAGCAGTCTGAAGACAAGCCCAATATTTTCCACGCCGATGATCGATGAGACTAGCACATTTCTTCTTCGTCCATGAACCTTTGCACTTTGAATCAGCACCTCATTGCGGATGGTTCCAGTTCTCAGTGTAGAAGGTTGAGAAAGATGTCATCAAGCTACTCCATGGTGAGTCTAGTATGATGACAGGGTCCAGGTGGGTATCATTAGCTGAACATCACGGAGAATAATGGGAAAGCATAGCTTGTCGATCCAGCCATGGGAAGTGCATTAATATTTCCCAGCTTGAAGACAACAACAGAGGCTTGACCTTGGGGAGAAAACTGACAGGGAAGAAATTGCTGTTGAAGATTTGATTCTCCGGATCGGTCCACACCGCGCCCACAAATGGGGCATGCCGCCCCAAGACAGCTCCCGTGCAGGACTTGCTTTTGGGGAAAATCCTTTCTTGATGGCCCCCTTGCTCTTCGTCAGCAACCCGCACCTTGACCGTTCTAAGGCTTACCCCCGTAGGTGAACAGGCGGCGGCGGCAGCATCGGCTCTCTTCCCTCGCCTGGACCTGCACCAGAGGTCCTGCGCTAAAGCCTCTGGGGAGAGGCGGCATGGGGAAAAGTCTTCACAAGCTTCTTCATCTGACCACAATGTGCTAGCGGTGATAGGCCAGGTGTTGACAGCATCTCGTCAGGGCCACTTGGCATATGCATGAGCGACAGGATCCGGAAGGCTGAGACAGCGCGGGACGCCTCAAAAACCGCATTCCCCAAAAGTCGGGGTGCTAGGCAGGGTTAATGATCATTCTCATTGCCTCATGAATGAGAAATTATTACAACAAATGGCAACGAAGATCTGTTTTGAGGATGGGACAGTAAGCTGAATGGGCGATTTGAAAAGATGCTCTGAAGTGCCTTTGGGGCTTCTCAGCGGGAGGGGAGTTCGGCTTCGGGTGGCGATCGGAAGGAAAAACTACCCGGATAAGCGAACGACTCCAGTCCTTCCCTTTGGAGCTCACTCGGAATTACCTATCTCCTAGCGTGTCATGGACGCGTGAGGTCACCACACGTTTCCAGCCGCCTCCATTATCTCTCAATTGCAATGGTTTAAACCCGACCACGAATCTGAAGTTCACACTCTCACGCAGATACGCGGCTATTGAATTCAAGTATCAATCTATATTACGATTCTGCATGGCCCCTCCAAGATCAAAACCTCAGCCAGACGATTCGAGGTCTGAAGCGTCAAGTACGAAGGAGAAGGCCACCACAAGCACTGCGAATGCCACGAATGGCAAAGGTCGACGCGTTGCTGGCAATGCAGCTGGCGGAAGCTCTTTGAGAGATGTTGTGACTGCAGGGCCTAGTAGCACAGCTGCAGGAGCTTCCATGACAGCCGTTGCAGAAAACGCTCCCGGTGTAGGTTGCCGAATTGGCGATGGATATATGCCACTCTGCTAACATAGCTCTTCAGCTTCAATGGTCTACCTTTGATGCTGCAGTTCTACACGGTTACCGATTTGATTATCATTTGAATACGCCCGCCGCATTCAACAACCCCTACAATCAACTTGTTCTCTCCCGATCTCCTATTGGTCATATGTCACCTTCAATGTCACGTCGGAAAGAGCAGCGCAGGCAGAGCAAGGAACAGTTAGCGAATACCGTAAGAAAGCACTTCAACAGTATGGGTATCGCCGAGAATGAAGTCGTTGTGGACTTTCTGTACAAGGTTCGATGGCAGGGTAAGTCTTTAACGGCCAAGCGTCTAGCACAAAATTCCAGAATTATGGGACTAATAGAAGGTAGACAAGAATTTTCGTATGAGATTCTATCCCCAGCGACCTCGATGAAGCAGAACTGTATATTCGTCACGTTCGGTCATTGTCATGGCGTAAGTTTTCTGGATGGCGGCGTTGGAACCGGGGCGATGAAATAGATTATGATACCCTACTGTGGAATCCAAAGAATTGTATGGAATTCCTTCAGATAGCACACAACCACCTTACACACAGAAAAGTTTGTTTGCGACCAATCCTTAAGGTATTCTTGGTAGACCGACGCTGTGTGTATTAGCCCTGTACTCATATGCAGGATTAGAAACCTCTTCACTACAATATGACTTACGCATTTGGCGGGGGGGGGGAGTCAACTAAAAAATTGCCATACCACACCTTTTGCTACCACAATTTGGTGAGGTTGTGAAGCAAGCCCATCTCGTGTTAACAGAAGCTTCGTGCTTCATCTCGGCATTTCGGTGGACTAGCCCCCAGCCAATCAGAGCCGTTGCGAAATGGTGACTGTCAAAAAAAGTTCAGAACACAACCACAGCCGAGCTCAACACAGCAGTATTCTCAACCAAAAATCAGTGACCCGAAACATCAGACTTCCTGCACGAACTGAAGCCCGACCTAGACTCTTGTTTCAATGATCTATTATAACATACCATCATGAACGCTGGGACAACAACTATACTCAGCAGGGCCGCCACAACAAGTCGAGTACTGTGCCCTGCCAACGCCTCCAGACAAAATCGATTTCAGAACGAGGTCTCGAAGAGACAACCATCACGGGCACTATGTTCAACGGTGTCGCAGCAGTCAAGGAGGCCCGGTGCTGCTGCAAGACGGTCGAAATCTCTAAATGCGGTCTCGCAGAGAAGAGTAGGCTGTGTTTGAATCAAGAAGACTTGGAATTCTACTAACTTCCACAGGCTTTCCATCCAACTTCGAGCCTACACGCCACCAAGAACCCATATACTGTCCTAGGCGTCGACAAAAATGCTTCAGCGGCCGACATTAAGAAGGCTTACTACGGATTGGCGAAGAAATACCATCCGGATACAAATAAGGATCCGACGGCAAAGGATAGATTTGCAGAGGCACAATCCGCGTATGAGCTTTTGACGGATGCTCAGAAGAAAGCTGCATGGGATCAATTTGGAGCGGCAGCTTTTGACCAAGGCGGGAACCCAGCGGGACCTGGAGCTGGTGGTGGAAGTCCGTTTGGAGGTGGTTTTGGCGGTGGATTTGGTGGGGGTGCAGGGGCTGGTGGATTTCCTGGTGGGTTTGGAGGAGGATTTGGAGCCGATTTCAATTTCGAGGACCTGTTCAAAGGATTTACTGGAGGAAGAAGAGGCCGCTCGTCGCCAGGTCGAAATCCATTTCAGGAGGAGATTCTCGTCGGAGAGAACATCGAAACGCAAGTCAATATATCTTTTATGGAGGCCGCGAAAGGTACAAGTAAGGCCATAAACTTGACGCCATTGTCGACTTGCAAGACATGCTCTGGAAATGGACTGAAAGCTGGAGCGAAGCGATCCGAATGCAGATCTTGTGGTGGTACCGGAACTCGGGTTCATTTTGTACAGGGTGGATTTCAAATGGCGTCGACGTGTAGTGCCTGTGGTGGGCAAGGAGTCACAATCCCCAAGGGAGGAGAGTGTAGGACATGTTCTGGGAATGGTGTAGTGAGAGAACGGAAGACTGTCACTATTGATATTCCAGGTGGCATTGAAGACGGGATGCGACTTCGACTCGACCGTGAAGGAGATGCAGCGGCAACTGGAAATGCTGCCAACCCAGACCAAAGATCCATGCGAGGAGATCTGTACGTACTTGTGAGAGTCGCAACGGATCCAAAATATCGCCGTTCCGGATCCGATATTCTCTACACAGCCACGATTCCTCTGACTACTGGCTTGCTTGGTGGGGAAGTCAAAATTCCTACTCTGGATGGTGATGTCAACGTCAAAGTAGCTACTGGAACTGGAACTGGAGACAAGATCACTTTGGGGGGTAAGGGCATGAAGAGGCTGGACGGGAGAAGAGGTGCTGGCGATCTAAAGGTTGAGTTTAAAGTGAACGTGCCGAAGTATCTCAGTGCCAATCAGCGCACAATTGTTGAGATGCTTGCTGACGAGTTGGGCGACAAAACCGCCAAGCGAATCATGAACGTCGGTCGAGCCAGGTGAGCATCATGACTGAGCTTCGGAACAGAATGACGCTAACTGTTTCAGCTCTTCCGACTCTGGATCATCTCTAAAGCATGACGGATTTCTCAAGTCGGTTTGGAACAAGTTGACTGACAATGTTTCTCATCCTAAGGATGGAAACGAAGAAATGTCAACAGATGTCTCCAAAAAAGGGACGATCAAAGATGAGAAGGACCCCAAGAAAGCATCCGGCACTGGTGCTTAGTCCACTGTACAACATTATTGATTCTGTGTTTGAGTATGTACTGCATCAGCGTGGTTGGAGATCGTGGTCGTGGGAGGGAACGGAGCAATGGCGTCTGTATGATAGAAAAGCTAAGGGTTGTCCACATATCCAGCATGTACAACTAGAATTAGGCCAATGAGAGGAGACTCTGCTCAACTAATCAAGCAAAAGGAGGAATCTCCTCACGCAATCTATCAAAATACTTGTCTGGAAGTACTGGTTATGTTTATGTCGATGAACTATTGATTGATGCATTGTTTTCTTACAGAAGCCATGAAATGGTTGGTGGAATCATGATTTCAATAAACTTTGCTCCTCGTCCTCCATTCATTAGTGAAAGTCTCTTTCTCATCGAAGCCTCTCCAGCCACCCGTTCATTGGTGAAGCCACGCACTGTTTCTCGTTCGTTGAGCTTGATCCAAGAGCTCTCTCTACTATCGGCATCTTTGCCCGAGGCTGGTTCAAGTACTTACTTGACCGCGTGCTCGTCAGCCTTGCACAAAGATCATGTTGACCCTCCTTCTGGATCAACCTCTGACTGGTATTTGGGGGCTGAGATCGGCATATTTGTCCTCGGATATCCCCCGACAAGAACAGCAGATGCCGTGCGTATGGTTGAAATCGATCACTGCACAGACAGCGGCCTGCTGCCGGCCCTCTCAACCCAGCCTGTTTCCCGCCCATCAACTCTCGCCCAATAACATGGTGAAAAAGGCCTGAGGCTATACTACTGGCTCGCAGTGAAGTTCCAGCACCCGCATATGCCTTTGTACTGGGTACCGGGTACAGACAGACGGACGTACAGTCGCTATTGAGACGCCTTTCACAGCACAGGAGACAGCCACCAGTGGACGAAGCTCCAGCAGCTGATTGCTGAAAGCGGAAAATCACACAATTTCTGTGTCGGGCGGCTACAGGAGAATGCTCCTGCTCTGTCCAGCAACCATAAAATTGAAGTGAATACACCTATGCACTGCGACTTTGTGACTGAATGAGTCCGCGTATCTACCAGCGCTTATCTCTCTGGCCCTCCCTCGTGCTGGTCGGAGTCGGCACTGCACTCGAGCTGGAGCCTGGATCCCAGGCCGTTCAAGGGGCCGCCCTGCTGCAGGCCTGCCGCAACCAGAGGGCTTCAGATTTAATCATTGGCTTCCGGTATGGGCTTGAGAGGCAACTCTACGTAGGAGCTAACACTACCACTACCTTACCTACCTACATCCTACGTCCGCCTTGCCTCACGTTTCGACAGTATTCTTCAACCGACCCCAACTTCCAACCGCCCCCGGGCATCCTGCTGGCAACCTACCCGATCATGAATGATGCATCGCATGCGTGAACCTGGCCCATCGCTAACACCAGTTGAACACTGACCGTGTTGCACAAACAAGACCACCCCTCCTCCGCATTTCGCAACAACACGCCAGAACGCTCAGGGATCCCCCACCACCAGCTCACAGGAACACGACAGGACCACGACACCCTGAGAACCATTTGAGAACTGCGCTTGGAGAGAGATATCTCCTTAGGAAGATAGACATACGAAGTGGTAGGACAGTGGAAGGCACCGTGAAGGAGGACAGGATGCAGGCACCCATGATATCAGCGCCTCTGAAGGCGACAAACGAAATAGACTGGATCCAGCCCCTGAAGCAGTATATCCGGCAGACATATGGAGATGATCCAGAGCGCTATGCAGAAGAGTGCGCAACTTTGAACAGGTTACGGCAGGACATGAGGGGGGCGGGGAAGGATAGTGCTGCTGGACGAGACTTGTTATACAGATACTATGGGCAGTTGGAACTACTCGACCTTCGATTCCCGGTTGATGAGAACCACATAAAGATATCCTTCACATGGTATGGATACCCGGCCAAGGTGGACATTGTAATCAGCTAATAAGCCCCCAAAGGTTTGATGCGTTTACACACAAACCAACTTCGCAATATTCCCTGGCATACGAAAAGGCTTCTATAATCTTCAACATTTCTGCTGTACTGTCATGCCATGCAGCGCATCAGACTCGTTCCGAAGACTCTGGCCTGAAGACGGCATATCATTCATTCCAAGCATCGGCGGGCATGTTCACATATATCAACGAGAATTTCTTACATGCCCCATCTACGGATCTTAGCCGGGATACTGTCAAGACTCTCATACAGATTATGCTTGCACAGGGCCAGGAGGTCTTCTTAGAAAAGCAGATTGCTGATGGTAAGAAGGTTGGGCTATTGGCGAAGCTCGCAAGTCAAGCGGCATATCTCTACGCACAAGCTGTCGAAGGAACTCAGGAAAACGTTAATAAGGCTATTTTTGAGAAAGTTTGGCTTTTGGTTGTTCAGGTAAGGATCATTCGGCCCTTTCTGGCCCAAGAAGTAGGGGCGTGATGTCCAGCAATGCTGGCCCAGCTCTCCTTATGTGTTTTGGATGCGTCTGATACCCCACTGACACAATTCGTAGATCAAATCCAACTACATGGCTTCATTAGCCCAGTTCTACCAGGCGATGGCTGATGATGATGCAAATTCCCATGGAACGGCCATTGCGCGACTACAAGCTGCCGAGACTGGTGCGAAAGAAGCTCATAAGCTGGCTAATAGCTTTCCTGGAAATGTGCCTGCAAACTCAAACTTGACATCAGAAACGGGTACCGCCTTGGTTGAGATCACCAAACGTCAGCTTACAAATGTCCAAGAAAAGCTCACAGAGGTCATCAAGGACAACGACTACATTTACCACCAGACTGTTCCCGCAGAAGCTGCTCTTGCTGTCATTCCAAAACTTCCGGCTGCAAAAGCAATACCAGTTAGTGAGTTGTATGCTGGTCAGGATATTCAAAGAATCACAGGACCCGACATTTTCCAAAAGATTGTGCCCATGTCTGTAACTGAATCAGCAAGTTTATACGATGAAGAGAAAGCAAAGCTGGTACGGGCCGAGGCGGAGCGGGTGGAGACAGCTAATAGCGAGATGGCTGCCAGCCTCGACTATTTAAGGTTGCCTAATGCTTTACAGGTACTCAAGGGCGGGTTTGATCAAGAGTTGACAGCGGATGACGAATTCCGAGGCTGGTGTGACGATGTGGCAAATCATGATGGACCGGCTTCGACGTTTGATTTCTTGAAGTCAAGTAAAGAAGGTATTGTGACTGTCCTAGACAGAAGTACGAGGCAGTTGGACATGGAGGAGAGCGTGTGTGAGAAAATGCGGTCCAAGTACGAGGGAGACTGGACCCAGCAACCGAGTTCTCGTTTGACTTCGACCCTGAAGAGCGACATTCGGAACTATCGAGATGCTTTGGATGAAGCTGCCCGAAGCGACAATCAACTATACTCCAAAATGCGGCAGCATGAAGTTGACTTTGACGAGATGCGGTCAGCTGGTGAGATTGGTGAAGCGGATGTGCTGTTCCAGAAAGCCTTGATACAGGTGGGTGGCAAATCGAAGAACGTTGGAAGTCCAATAGGGGGAGAGGGCAATCTGCTAGATGATGATTTCGAAGATCGAGGTCTGAGTGTGATGGACCAGATAGCAAAAGTGGAGGAGATTCTGAAAAAGTTGAACTTGATCAAGCGTGAACGGGCTCAAGTGTTGAAGGATTTGAAAGAGAAGGTTCGTCTATTTAAGGTTACTCGGATACAAGAAATCACTAACGAAGATCAGATTCATAACGACGATATTTCACAGGTGCTGATATTGAACAAAAAGTCAATTTCAAATTATGAGAATCAACTATTTCAGGCAGAGCTGGAAAAATTCAGACCACACCAAAGCCGCCTCTTATCAGCGAACCACAAGCAGTCATCTCTCATGAAGGAGCTCACTTCAACCTTCAACACATTACTGCAGGACAAGCGTGTCCGATCAGAACAGAGCAAATACGAAAGCATAACCAGGCAAAGATCTTCCGTAATGTCCAAGTACAAGCGAGTGTATCAGGAATTTCTCGATCTTGAGGCCGGACTTCAGGCGGCCAAGCAATGGTACAGCGAGATGAAAGATACGGTGGATAGCCTAGATAAAAATGTTGAGACGTTCGTCAATAATCGACGATCCGAAGGAGCTCAGCTTCTTAGCCAAATCGAGCAGGACCGAAATCGGAATGCTAGTGGCGAGGCAGAAAGGGAACGCGAACGTCTGAGGGGACTCATGGAACGCATGTCAATGGATCCATCCACATCACCGTCAACAAACAAACCTCCTCGAGCACAGTCAGTCTCCTACAACTCTTCCTCTCCATCTGCCAGATATCCCCAAACCAATCTCGCTGGGCAGTACCAAGTTCCAACCTCACCGCCACCACAATCGGCACACCCTCAGTCGGCCCACCCATCATTTGGTGGTCCGCAAAATGGTTCTTTCTATCCCACGCAACAACAAGCAAGGCCAGATCCATATGCTCAGAAGCCAACACCACAGCCTCAAGATGGCTATAACCCTGGCATGTACCCACCGGTATCGCCACCTCCAACTCAAACATCCTTTTCGCAGAGCCAAACAAACTTTCGACCGATGCATCAGCCACAAGGTCAGCAGCAATATCTTCCCCAAGGATACATTCCGCCACCACCCCCTCGCGGCCCTCCACCCCTTGGCCCACAGCAAACTTTCCAGCAACCTGGAGCGCCTCAAGGCGATTATGGGTATGGTAACCAGCAACGACCTAATCAGCCACAGCAGCAACAGAGCTCTAGTGATCCATGGGCAGGACTGAATGCGTGGAAATAAATGGGGTGACAAGGTCAGAAACGCATACAAGCATCACAAGGAGCAAAGGTTGTTTTGGGGACCACATCGTTCATTCTCTAGCGGTGATTGAAATCAGGGTATTTAGACAATAGCTTAGGTTAATGGAACTCTGGGGTGAAAGAATGGATGCGAGTATACCAAATGTGACTCGCTGAGTCTACGAATAAATCTGGAGTGATCGAGCACTTTGCGGGCGTTGGAATAGTATTCATTATCTAGTAAATGAGGGGAGCCGCTCTTTCCGAAACTTCATTAATCAGCTGACAAAAGAATGAGTTGTCGCGAGTGTAAAGCCTGGTTTCTACATAAATGCTCGTCACTTCGGTTGTTGACAAAGAGGGGGCAGGGCGAATCTTAACCGACGCGCTAAAGGTTCCATCGGCCTTTAAAGCGCCGGCGTTTGAAAGCGATGATGACAATTCGACTCGGGAGCTTGCGAAGTGTTGATGCCTCGACTTTTCGACATTTTTAACCCTCGGCTTCAACAATCTTTTACGCGGCCATTCACCCTTCACATCAGACTACCTCAGTCAAGACCCGATCAAACATTGCTTCTCTGAAGCGAGATTCCGTTCAGAGTACGATTTCCCTCTCGAAAAGGTCCCGAAGTTATGCTGTACAGCCAGAATCTACCATGGCGGCTTGCGTTCCGCAACACGACAAGAGGAGCTTCTAGGCGCAGTTCGAATGTTTCTAGCAGATTATATACTACATCGCAAAGGAGTCGCATTCCTGCCGCTACTTCTCCTTCCTTACGACCGTTACTTCCAATCCAACCATTATGGGCAAACTCAAGATTCTCGACGTCTCCTGCGCGGAGGAAAGACGCAAGCAAGCCGGCAAAGGATGCGGTAGAGGAGGTCACAGAAGAGCATGCAAAGGATAAAATCGAGGAGCCCAAGGAAGTCAGTGGAGACAATGTTGCAGAGACCAAGACCAAGAGCCCGGAATCGATACCTTCAGGTGGTAATGCCTCATCCGGTAGTGCGGCAGATGGCAAAGGGAGTGCCGCAGCGTCAGGAGCAGCCGGGGACTCTGGGAGCGGAGATGGGGGAAAGAAGGGGCGGAAGCCATCTGCTGAGAAAGCATTGCAGAAACCCACAGTTCCAGATGTCTATCCACAGGTCATGGCACTCCCAATATCAAAACGGCCCCTCTTCCCTGGGTTTTACAAAGCGATCACGGTTCGAGATCCCAATGTTGTCGCCGCAATACAAGATATGATCAAAAGGGGCCAACCATATATTGGGGCATTCTTGTTCAAGGACGAGAATGCGGATGGGGACATAATCGAGAATGTGGACCAAGTGCATGATGTTGGAGTTTTCGCGCAGATCACAAGTGCATTCCCAGTTCATGGAGATGAAACTGCCCTGACTGCTGTTTTCTACCCTCACCGCAGGATAAAGATGTCTGCCCTGATAAGCAACGTCGATGGAACCACATCCGTTGAGGTTAAAAAGGGGGATGGGTCAACCCCAGATCCCCCGGTGGTGCCAGATATCATTCCACCAAAGCCAACCAAAGAGGAGGGATCACAGGAAAAGAAAGGTGATGTTGTGGCTAGTTTCGAGGAGGGAGCAGTTGTGCCAAAGCCCGCCGAGGTACCAACTCCCTATGACCCTACGTCTTTCCTCCGAAAATATCCAGTCAGTCTAGCCAAGGTAGAGAACCTGACGGAAGAGCCTCACGATCCTAAAAGCGCTATGATTCGGGCTCTCACGAATGAAATTATCAATGTGTTTAAAGAAGTTGCGGCCATGAATACTCTTTTCCGCGATCAGATTTCGAGTTTCTCTATGAGCCAATCTGCCGGAAATGTTATGCAAGAACCAGCCAAACTTGCAGATTTCGCTGCCGCGGTGTCAGCTGGCGAAGTTGCTGAGCTACAAGAAGTCCTTGAGACCTTGAATGTCGAAGACAGGCTACAAAAGGCCCTCGTTGTGTTGAAAAAAGAGCTCATGAATGCTCAACTACAGTCCAAGATTACTAAGGATGTCGAGAAGTCGATCCAGAAGAGACAACGAGAGTACTGGCTCATGGAGCAGATGAAGGGTATCCGAAGGGAACTTGGCATCGAATCTGATGGTAAAGACAAGCTCGTAGAGAAGTTCAGAGAGAGGGGCCAGAAACTGGCAATGCCAGAGCCTGTTAAGAAGGTCTTTGACGAAGAGCTGAACAAGCTAGCCCATTTGGAACCAGCTGCTTCCGAATTTAACGTAACAAGGAACTACCTAGACTGGTTGACACAAATTCCCTGGGGCCAGCGCAGTGCTGAGAACTTTGGAATAAGCAATGCCATGACGGTCCTAGACGAAGATCATCACGGATTGAAAGATGTGAAAGATCGCATTCTGGAATTCATCGCCGTTGGAAAGCTACGAGGCACGGTCGAGGGCAAGATCTTATGTTTTGTGGGTCCTCCGGGGGTTGGAAAGACAAGTATTGGAAAGAGTATTGCAAGGGCGCTCAACAGACAATATTACAGATTCAGTGTTGGAGGTCTCACAGATGTTGCAGAGATCAAGGGTCACCGAAGGACGTACGTCGGTGCTCTCCCTGGGCGAATTATCCAGGCTCTGAAGAAATGCCAGACCGAAAACCCTTTGATCTTGATCGACGAGATTGATAAGATCGGACGAGGCCATCAAGGCGATCCAGCATCTGCCTTGTTGGAATTGCTTGATCCCGAGCAAAACAATTCATTCTTGGATCATTATTTGGATGTGCCTGTTGACCTTTCCAAGGTCCTCTTTGTTTGTACCGCCAACATGACTGACACCATTCCCCGACCACTTCTTGACCGAATGGAGATGATCGAATTATCTGGATACGTCGCTGACGAGAAGATGGCAATCGCAGAACGGTACCTAGGACCGGCAGCGAAGGACTTGGCAGGCCTGAAGGACGTCGATGTCAACCTCAGCAAGGGTGCCATAGAAGAATTGATCAACAAGTATTGCCGGGAGTCGGGAGTTCGAAATCTGAAGAAGCAGATTGAGAAAGTGTATCGCAAGTCTGCTTTGAAGATTGTGCAAGAACTTGGCGAGTCCGTCCTGCCTGAAGCAGAGGCTTTGACCGAGGAAGGCAAAGCGGCACAGGAAGAGTCGAAGAAGGACGAGACTGATGTCAAGGTGACATCGGAGAATATCGAGAAGGAAACCACAGAAGTGCCACGAGTCAGTCTTAAAGTTCCTGAGACCGTTCACGTAACTATCGACAAGGAGAACCTTAAGGATTATGTTGGTCCTCCAGTGTTTACCTCTGATCGATTATATGATATAACACCCCCAGGAGTTGCCATGGGTCTCGCGTGGACACAGATGGGAGGAGCTGCGCTATACGTCGAATCCATTTTGGAGAGCGCACTCAGTCGAGATTCTCGTCCTGGACTTGCAACGACAGGAAATTTGAAAGCTGTCATGAAAGAGTCGACCTCCATCGCATACTCTTTTGCAAAGTCAGTAATGGCGAAGCAATTCCCTGACAACCGTTTCTTCGATAAAGCTAAGGTACATCTCCATTGCCCAGAGGGTGCTGTCCAAAAGGACGGACCTTCGGCGGGTATCACTATGGCAACTTCGTTATTATCTCTGGCTTTAAATCAGCCGCTTGACCCTACGATTGCGATGACTGGCGAGCTCACTGTCACCGGCAAAGTTCTGAGAATTGGTGGTCTTCGAGAGAAGACTGTGGCAGCTCGCCGAGCTGGGTCAAAGACAATCATTTTCCCAGCAGACAACATGTCAGACTGGCTAGAGCTCCCAGATGTAAGTATCGCTTCCCCTTGTGTCTCAGACAGAGGTTGACATTGAACAGAACATCAAAGATGGAATCGAAGGTCATCCAGCGAAATGGTACTCGGACGTCTTCGATTTGGTCTTTCCACACATCGACAACAAGAAAGCCAACAAGCTATGGAAAGACCAGCTTTCGAAAAAGAAGGACAAAGATGAAGAAGAAGACGATGATTGATTGAATAGCCCGTGTTATAGATACCTTATTCACCACTGTCTTTCAAACTGGATCGGAGCATTAGAACAGGTGGGGCGTTCTGGCGTTGAGCTTATGGGACGCGATGATGACCCTCAGGATTCTCTCCTCTCCACATGCATCAAGACAGACAGATAGCCATCATGAGACGTCACGGAATTGCATCATGTAAATTAGCCAGCCAATGTACAATTCATTTGAGGGGCCTGAACGCGAAGCCAGACAGGTGAGCTCGCCTAGCCCTCGCCCCCTTCATACCAAGCGAGATGTCTTCCCTTCCCAGTCTTGCTTCGGGTCAGATCCTCCTCCTGGAATCCCAACTCCTCCATCCTGCAGCAACTGAGAAGTGAAGCTTGAACGTGCACTAGCGACTGTAACGGAGCCTAACTGAGGATTAGGGCCGCATGGCATAGAATAGCATGCGCAGACGTTTAGCGGGCCCTGACATCCAACGACAACCACTGGGTTTCTAGGGCTTGACCTTCTGATGCACGTCTCGACGCGGCGGGCTGGAGAGTGAGCGGCCAAACGGGAATACCCTCTAGCTTGTCCATCCAGTCCTCCAATCGTCCAGTCTCGTAGCGGCCTGGCAGTAAGCCCAACCAACCCAGGTAGCTGCTGACCTAGCCGTGCATGCGTTCAACTGCACATGCAGCAAGGAAGACGCAGAGCCCGCCTGCACACAAATCCCCAACTCATCAAGTTCGTAAGTCTGTGTCCCCGGCTGCGGAACCAGCTGCGAAATAAGCCGAAGAGAACACCGTTGGGCGGGCGGGGGAAGGCGGAGGAGCACGAGCTTATAGATGATGGATACGTGTAACACGCAGCGTGGACTTTCGGTCACCAGCCTCACTGTACCCAAAAGAAGGGATGGGATGGGCATGAGGATGAGGTTGTGGTTGATGCCCGATGGAAGAGTGAGTTGTTCCATTCTCAGTTTTGCTCTGGTCGCTATGCCAGTTTGTTGCTTGGAAGCGAAGTGAACTTTACCTACCAAGCAGGACAGGTCATATCTGTTGCGAGCGTGGGCACCTATTATTGTTGCGGGTAGGTAGGCGAGGGCTAGGGCGAGGGCGAGGCGAGGATTTGAGGAAGCGAGGACTGATGAGTTGGCATTGGGAGATATGTTGCCGGTGAGGAAAAAGCAACGAGCAATGCGGTCGATTCATGTGAGTGCTAAAGAGATTCGAGAGAAGTGCAAGCGATATATAAGTCCAAGGTTTGTAGGAGACTGTGCAGTGCAGAGTGCGATTGTGTGCGAACTGTATGAAGAATGAGCCGAGCGGCAGGGTGAGGTCGCATGTTGACATTCATGCCCCGGAGCATGGGTACAATCCATATACCATCTGCGCTGAGCTGCTGACAGAGATCTCTACGGCGAGTGGTAAAGTAAAGCAGTACAGTAAGTGCTACGGAGATGCTTCCTTTTTACAGTACTTAAGCCCCCTCCTTTCCACCTCGCGACCCGAACAAGACCGATTATCTACAGTCCGATGACTTGGGGTGCAAACATGACTGTCCGGCTCAAAAAAGGGGCCGGTGGAGGGCACTGCGCTCATCACTTTTACTCTCGTCGACCGTGTGTCTCTCACAATGCACTGAGATCCAAATGTGGTAGCTGGGAGGGAGACGGATGCAAATCTGAACAATAAGAAATATGATGGTGCAATTGTGCCCGTCACGCGGGGGTACCTTAAGGGCCCGTTTGGCTCGGAAGTGACACTTGGGAGTGACACTAAAGCTCGAAATAACAAAATCGTCACTTCCGTCACTTTGAGAAATAACAAATAAGTGACAATTCTGTTTAGCTCGATTTTGTTACTTTTAGAAATAACTGTCACTTCTGTCAACTTTAGTTATTCGCTGTAGTTAATACCAAAAGTCGAAATCACGTTAAAAGTGTCACTTTATCATGTCCTTTGAAGCTCAACTAAAGGACGTTCTTTTGAATTAAATATAACTTTTTAAGTACAATATTTAAAAATAATCTGTTTAATACAAATGATTTAAAACGTTTTAATAACTAAGTGCATCTAAGAAAGTTTTTTTTAAAACACGTAAATTACAAGATTTGCGATTATATTAAAACGAAGTAAGAAAGTACCCTAAAACTTAAGTAGTTACCTCCCTGAAAGTGAGTTTGTACTACCCTAATAAGGTACTCACTACAGGGCCTTTAGGAGCCCTTCTAGCGCACCCTCTAGCGTATAATCCACTGGAACTAGTACCTATCAAAATCGGCATCAATGCCTTGATGACACGACTTAATTTCTATTCTTAATCCCTACTAAATTTCAGTGGGACAAAGGAATCTTAGCGTTACTTTTGCATCTCGGTTAAGAATCCGACATAGCTGGACCGTGCCTTGTCACTTCAGGAAGTAACACGAAGTGTCACTTCCGAGCCAAACGGGCCCTAATAAGGTAATGTAATGCGGAGAAGTGGTGTGTGGCCCAGTCCCAGTGCCCGACAGTAAATTTACCTTACAATCTCGTAAGATGGCATCGCCGCGTTTTCACGTTGCCCTGCCCGACATGCACTCACTGCCAATGATGAGATGGAAGTGAAGAAGGGTTAGGTTAGGTTAGGTTAGGTATTCATGCTTCTGCCAATGGGACAATTTGTCCATTGTTCAGTTCTTATAATTTACCAGACCCAGCCCAAATCAGATATGACTCCAATTGAGACAGGACAGGTGAAAGCAAAAGTACAACTATGGATGGATGGATACCTTGGTAGGGTAGGGTAGGGTAGGTACTCTAGGGAGCCAAGTAGCCAACGAAGGTACGGAGTAAACAATAAAACCTCCAGGCTGCCCGACCCCCCCCCGACCCTCCCGCTGCCGGCACCATCCTGGCCAATATTATATTGTATGTATGTCTCTCCTTCTGCCGTCATAAAGTAGATTGTTTAGCTCCAATATTAGGGGAGCAGCTCGAGCCCGTCTTCATTACATTACATTACATTACATTACACTACACTACACCACATTACATGACATTACAGTGCATTACATTGCATTGCATTGCATTGCAGCCTCTCCCATCTTCAACCCAATCTTCAACCCAATCTTCCACCCTCCCCTCCATTCGCTGCTCACTCCCATCTGCGCCTCCGCACACTCGCGCCCACCCCCCCTTGCCAGTTTGCCTTACCTTGCCTTATCTTGCCTTGCCTTGCCTTCCTTCCCTCCCCTTTGTCCTCCCTGCGACCTGCACTGCCTGCCCGTGTCACCTCCAACCCCACGAAAAGACAGCTGAGGCGACCAACGAAAGGATGCCTTGGCCTTGGCCCAGCCTGCATTTGCGTTGCGTTGTTCGTCCGCCTGAAAGAGAATAGCGTGGATCTCTGACCGACCACCCTCCAACCTCACCAGTCACTCAGTCAGTCAATCAACCAGTCAATCCTCGACGCCAAATAGCCTCGAGGCGTTCATATACCCTTGCCGGCCCTGGACACGTCCGCCTTGTTATCGATTTTGCAATCCTTCGTAGTCACCGTCCCAATGCAATGGTCCGGCCATACAAGAGCATGAGAGTGCCGTTGCCCTCGACTGTATATGAACGAGAAGGGTAGCTGCATGAGCCTTACTCGTACCGCGACTCGCTGATCATCTCGCTGAACTTCAACATCGTGCAAGCGATCCCAGACTGGTGGCAAAAGCACGCTCAATGTTAGTGCTCCCTGCAATTCAGAGCAGTGCTGCTGGCAGGTACTGAAGCTGACGATCCACCAGGTCACCTAGGATCTCCCTGCCACCACAATGACACAAACGGAAAAGACCCATGCGAGGACCCCATCTACAGATCAGCGAACCTCATGGTCCTGGAGAAAGCTTTTTGGGAAAGAGGACACCACTCCAGTGGCTCCATTGACCCCGCCTCCAGAAGAGGTACAAAGACCTGGCATCGCTCGAAGGCTATCGCGAAAGGTTGTGCCAGGCCTGCCTCGACCAGGAACCTTCAAGAGACAACAGTCGGAACTTCGAGATAGACTCGAACCCTCCAAACCCAACGCAGACGAACGACGAACTGTATCAGTAGATCGCCGCCGTAATGCTCCCATACGAAACTCCTCGATCGCAGTCTCACCGCCTCCCAGGCTCAGTGCGCCAGAGCTTCTGGACAATGCAGCTACAATTGATGCGGTGTTGGAATCCTCGAACACAGCGGCTGCAAGTGATTTGGAAGTGAAGGATGAATATGTTCAGGTCTCGAAAGAGCCATCTTGTGTGGATGCACAGTCAATATCCACGGAAGCATTCGATGAGATGATACTGGAAGAGCTAGAAAAGCGGTGGATTCTGAACCTGAGTATGCACTTTAGGGATAAGTCTAAGAGAGAGAAGTTCTTTGTCACATATGCACAAACTCCTACTCATTGGAGACGAGTCACGATTTCTCTAGACTATAGGCAAGCTCCCGAAGGATCCTTGGAAGAAGAACTGCAGCGTACCCGGTTTCAGAGAGACAAGAGTGCTCGTATTTATGAAGCTATTCGCGATTCGTTGGCCGACATTCAGTTTTACGACACAGTCACGAACCTCAAACTCCAAACAGAAAACGAGAGACTTCACGTCCACGTGGTTGAGGATGTTTCAGAGATTATCCAATATCCGCCGATCAAGGCTATCAATCATCTGAGTTGCAGGAGAGTCCGTGAAGATGCACTTGTGTTTGATTCCCATCTATCAGGTTTCGTCTACAAAGTGAGGGTTGATGGTCAGGTGTTTATCAAGAAGGAGATCCCTGGTCCGGATACAGTGGATGAATTCCTATACGAGATAAATGCGTTGCACCAATTATCTGGCTCTAATAGCGTGATCCAATTCGGTGGAGTGGTTCTCGACAACCGAGGCGAGTTCGTGAAAGGGCTTCTCATCAGCTTTGCAGAGCAGGGAGCCTTGATCGACGTAATCTATGATGGCGAGGGTAGAATTCCCTGGAGACTCCGCGAGCGATGGGCGAAGCAAATCGTGCAAGGTCTCTCTGAAATTCACGAGGCCGGCTTCGTTCAAGGCGATTTTACTCTGTCCAACATCGTCATAGACGGAGACGACAACGCGAAGATCATAGATATCAACAGGCGCGGATGCCCCGTTGGTTGGGAACCTCCTGAAGTTGCTGCACTAATCGAGAGCAATCAGCGGATTTCGATGTACATCGGAGTCAAGTCAGATTTGTATCAGTTGGGCATGGTCTTATATGCATTGGCAACTCAGCAAGACGAGCCAGAGAATCATCGCCCGCTGGAAATTTCATGCTTTCCCAGAGAAGTTCCGGACTATTTCTTGGACTTGTGCAGTCGATGCTTGGATGACGATCCAAGGCGAAGATCCCAAGCGTCAACACTTCTTACATTGTTTCCAGCTGTAGGAGAAAGCCACCAGCAGAACGGTCAACCGATTCCAATCGTGGTGGATGCTTGCTACAATGAGATAAGGGCCCTACCAAATGGACACCAATTCGCGGGTCACTTGACATTGCATCCAAAATACGCCCATGGGGGCCAACTGGAGCAGCCCAAATATTTGTATGATTATGCAATAACAGATACTTCGGAAGAGCCTGATTATCCAAGTCGGGGTAGATCCCCACCAGCGCATTTTCGACCGGATAGGGCTCCTTCAACAATCCCACTGCCGGAATCCAGCCTGACATCCGACCACTACAACAACAGTAATGATGGTGAAACACCTACTGCAGATAAAATGGTTGAGCCATCAGTCCTAAATCTTAATCCAGCGTCAATATCGAACAGAGGTGTCGACCCGTCAACGGTACCTTTACCACAATCCAGCGCTGGGTCCGAAAATCTAAGCACGGAAAATCCAAAAACTCCCACCAATGAAGTGATCGAACCCGAACCATCAGTCCTCGCTACGAAGGGCTCAACCGTCGATCCGAAATCCACATCTGATATGGAAAAGCAGACCATAACAGACACCCCAGAGCCGCGAACAACAGCAGCGGCAAGCAATATACCACCGACAGGATACCCAGATCTCGCAGGCATTGGTACTGCTCACGCAGGATCTCCTTTTGAAATTCCATCAGCGAATTTAGATGACGATTTGACGACTGATACGCATAATGACAGATATGTTCTTGAGAGTTCAGCAACAGCGGTGGAGGTTTGAAGGCGTTTGATCATTACCTTTCGTTCTTTGCATGGCGTGGAAGTGTAGGTCTCGTTGAGCTTGAGGAGGGAGTAATATAGCGATGATCGGGGTTGGTCCTGGTAACAGGATGGGTGGAGGGCTGGAGTAAGTGCACTTTGTTGGAATATGATGGAGATGGTCGTGTCTCTAATGTAAAATAAACTTCTCAACAATGCCCATCAGAAATTGCCGAACACTTTGGATCTGCACGGTGCGTGCTTGATGTTCTGCTTGCAAAGGGGCAGTGTTGCCGGCTTTGTTTGGACTTTTCAGCAATTCCAAGGTGTGAAACACACAAGTGACGCGAAGTGATATGGTCATCATTCTTACAAAGAGTTCACCTGTTTGAATGGGTAGAAGACATCGGGTCTTTCAAAAAGGACAAATAACATATTCCGAGGCTCTCAATGGTGTATTCTCAAGCACGCACCCAATATCATGACAATGTCTTTAATCACGACAACACTAGTTCGATACGAGTATCGAGAAGATGTATTATTACATCAACAGTCATATGTCCCTGAAGGATTACAATCCCTGACCCTGAACCCGCCCGCCCAGCCAAATTTACCTTCCCGAACCGACCTGGGTGGTAGGTACCCCACCTACAGCCTCACTCCTTCGGCCTCGTGCACGTCCCACCCCGCCTTAACCTCACTTCACTTCACTTCATTATCTCTTGGGTCTCCCTGGGTCCCCGAATCAAAATACTCGCCCCCTTCATCACTAACTAACCACAATAATGCCGCCGCTCTCAGACGCTGACCCGATAGATAGCTCATATGATGGCTTCTCCCTCCTGCAGCACGGCCACAAAGATATGGTGCAAGCGACAGCCTTCAATGCGTATGGAGATCGATTCGCTTCGAGCTCGGTCGATGGGAAGATAAAGGTGTATAATAGACATAAAGACGGGACGTGGAATCTGTGCGATACTTGGGGAGCGCATACCGCTGAGATATTACAGGTCGGTTCTTTCCTAGCTTCTGTACCTTTTTCCTGCAGGTGAAGTTCAATAGAGTTACCTTCAAATTGGTTTCGTCAATTTGTTTCGATCTACCTCCATTCTGTATCCCAGAGACCAAGTGAAGTTTCGTATAACGACTTAATTACTGACATCCCCACAGATCCAATGGCTCCCTCCCACAATCCACCCCCACCTCATTGCCTCCATCGGAACTGATGGACGCTTCAAGCTCTGGGTGGAAGACCCTACACTTCCCCCCTCCAAAGGCCGCCGCTTCAACTCTCACAGCAACAAACCAGTCTACGAACTACGCTCCCAGTCCCGCGCCCCCTACCTCTCCTTTGCCATAACACACAACCCCGAGACCAGGCACACTTATCTCGCACTCATCGATCGTAACGCCGTACTGACAGTCTACGAGAACGACGAGCCCGAGAACCTAGAAAGCTGGAACGATTTAGATCGTGTAAATGTGTGTGAGAAGCCAGCTAGGGGCGAAGAGGTCAGTTTCAAAGTGGCATTCGATCCGAATCTGGAACCATGTTATATGGGGATTCGGCAGGGTGTGGCGAGGGATGCGTTGGGCGTAATAGTGGCTAGTATGAACCGCGCCAGTATCTGGCGGACGAAGGAGATCAGCCACAACGTCAGTCTTGGCTCTTCGACAACGAAAGAGTTCTATCTCGCTGCGGAACTGAAGGGCCATAAAGGACTCGTGAGGGACGTGGCGTGGGCACCGGGCAATATCCGCGGCTTCGACATAGTCGCTACAGCTTGCAAAGATGGGTTCATCCGTGTGTTCCAGGTCACGACTCCGGGTAAGGGCGGCCGATCGTCAACATCTTCCTTGCTGCGCAGTAGAGATTTCTCGAAAACCCCAGAGAAGGTCGTCGTACAGCAGCGGTCAGCAGAGAACGGTAGCGGGTCTCGGGTAACGCCCAGCGGGATTGGCGCTGGACTACAGTATACGCGACCGAGGAATCCGGATGGCGCGCAGGTCAGGGAGGGTGAGGTGCTCCACGTTGCTAAAGAGGTCTCGAGGTTGGAGGCAAATCGGAATCCCGTTTGGAGGGTTGAGTTCGATGCTGATGGGCAGCTGTTGGGGAGTACGGGTGATGATGGGAAGCTGATGTTATGGAGGAGGGAACCGAGTGGGGTTTGGAGTAAGAGTTCAGAGTTGGCGATGACAAGGACTGCTGTTTCTTGAGAGAGGGATAATAGCCGGTTCCCCTCCTCAACCTTCGAGGACTCAGGTAGAGTCGGTGAAAGCAAGTGTCACGGGAAAGTAAGTGTCACGCTACGATTAAAAACCTTAATAACTTTACAAGTACTTCTGTTATAATAATAAAAATTAGTTTTATGAAAAGCCCTACTTTTAAACTTTAATATTATAATAATTTTATTAGTATATCTAAAAAAGCGCAAAAGTTATAAGTAAAATAGTAAAAATTAAGAAAAGTTCCTAATTCTCGCTTAATTTTACTAGTACAACTATAGGAAAATTAAAATCTTAGAATTAAATTTTAAATATAATATATTCTATTTTTAATTAATATAATAAATCTAAAAATATAATAGTAAATAATAAATAGTATAAATAATATATATTACTAACTTAAAATTTAAAAAACTAATAAGTAGTTATATAATTAGAAGTTTTCTATTTAATTTCTAGCGTGACACTTGCTTTCCCGTGACACTTGCTTTCACCGACTGTAAGCGAGAGCTCGCAGCCTCACAAAGGGGAACCGACTATTAGAGATGGAAGAAAAGGTGGAACTGGATTAAGCGAGGTTCGGATCACCTAGAGAAGGACGGCGCTATGGAGTTCTCTGTTGGCATATGTCACATATCAGATAGATACCCCTGTAATTTAATGTACGAGACCAATCTGATTCTCGTTCTGGTCAGAAAAACAAGCTACCAAGGCTTTCCATGCCTTCCTTGTACTCCAAAAAGCCCACGAGTAGACTTCAAAACCAGCCGTCCGATGCAAACCAGTCCTTCCCGAGTCCGATCCAAATGCAATCCCCCTAACCAAGCCCAAGAAAAAAACACAAGTGATTACCCAATCATTCAACAAGTCCCTCAACCAGTGCATCAAAAATCTGCCCACAGTCCGGCATCCTCCACTGCCACCCCCGCCCATCCCACCAGCCCTTCTCCCCTCCACTGATCCACTTCTCCTCCAATACCTTCCTAATCTTCTCATCGCCACCCAAATTGCCTCCTTCTTTCTCCATCCATCTCCTCTCGGCCTCCTCCTTCGCCTTCCTAACCACCACCTCGTCATCTTCACAACGGTAAAGATCGCACTTCGAACACTCTGTGCATCCTCTCCCTCCATTGGGGCGGAAATGCTCACAGAAGTGCCGGTATCCTTCACCGTTGCCAATGTCCTTCCGGCACACATAGCACATCTGGTAGCCACAGACACAGGTAAGTTTGTTGCAGCCAGACGACTTGACGAAGGAGGTATTGCAGCGCGGACATGTCCGTTTGATGGCTAGGGACATAGCGAGCTCGACTTGTGTTCTTAAAGCTTGGAGCGAGGACTCATGGCAGATATGGATATCCGTCCAAGCTTTAGAGCATGAAATGCAGGATGCTCGTGCGCATTCTTCATTCTGGCATGTGAATTTTAGGCCGAGTCTTTTACGCCGAAGGCGAATGACAGAGGCGTTGAAGTGCCCAAAGGCGAAATCGCCGAATGTCTGCCGTGAGGACACAAGCAGAAAGAGAAAGGAAAAGAACAAGAAAATTGGTAAAAGAAAGGGTATCATGCCAACGCCTAAAGTCAAAATTACAAGTGTGTATAGGTCAGAAGCTCCAACTCGTTTCAGTCTCCAAGAATGGTGAGCTTCGGGTAGGTACAGCTCGTCAACTTCCGCGTAGGGGCAGAAGGGGCAGCGAATCAGTGGGAGTTGGGTCTTAAGAAGGTTGTCCTCCGCGAGACGTTCGTCTAGTTTACGTAGGACGTCTTTGCCGGATTTTTCTTCGAGAAAGGCTCGTCGGACGAGCGCTTGAGGGATGCAGCCTTGACAGTCATCGGCCATGGCAGCTACACAGCGTAATGTGCCGATTTTGAGGTCGATGTTTCGTTGCCATCCTTGTCCGAAGACTGCCTCATTAACTGCATGACGTACGCACTGGAAACAAATGAAATGTCCTCCATCACAAGCCGAGAGCTCCTCGAATGCTGTAGACGTATAGCAACATTCGCAATCACTTAAAGCCTCATTTGCTTCTGCCTCAGTATTATTCAGCTCCAAAGCCAGCACATGATCCCTCTCCTCTCTCTCTGCAAGCATCCGTTCTTTGAGCGGCCGTATGAGAGATTCAAAAAGCTCCTTGTCCAGCTCTGGAGACCCAGTGGTTTTTAGTGTAGGGACTATAGATCCTTGACCCGAAGACTGCCAAATAACCAAAGGATGATGTTCTGCTTCCGAAGAAGACATCGGTTTCCGCCGCAAAAAGAGCGATGATAGAGAGAAGCGCCATGATTTCGAGGATAGAGCAATAAGCGTTGGTCGTGACAGGGTATAAGAATGGTTGAACTCGGCAAGGACAGCATTAATCGTAGATCTCGACAGACCCTTGAACTCATGATAAGCCACCACCTTAACAGCCTTCTTGTAGTCTACGCTCCTGAACTTCTCTTCCTGAGAAACAAGTGCCTCCCCATCAGTCTGTATAGACATATCCGCAAACGGTTTCGTCGTCTGCTGGGCTTTCTCCTTGCATGTAACTCTGTATCTGCCTCGCACCCACTTCATCTTATGCTTGAGCAGTGTCTCCGTCACAACTGCAAGTCTAGATTCCTCATCGAAACTCGCCAGCATCTCCCGGAAGACCTCAACCTGCACATCGGGGAAGATAGCAGCCAGAGCGGCGAGGCTGTTGTTCAGCTCTCGCAAGTCCGGATCCTCGGGCTTGGGTATAGAGATATAAGTTTCCTCGCGGATGAAGCGCTCTACAGGAGGTTCTTTCGAGGGGCTTGCTTCGGAGCTCTGGTCGGACGAGGTTGCTGGCGTGGAGACCAGTGCGGAGGCGCGGCTGTTGCGTCGAGGTTGTTTGGGGCTGGATGGTTTGAGGAGCCCTGAAAATGCCATCATGGTGGGCTGCTGGTGATGAGAATCATTGTTCTCCTTTCTCCCAATTCTTATTTACTCCCCAGGGACGAACGATATCGATCCGACGCGTGGTTGTTGTGTTTGTAAGGATGACTGGAAGAAGCGTTAAGATGACGCCCGAAGTTGGTGCATCGGCGAAGGATTCCAGTAAAGGGTCCGTGCATTTAGAACCACCCCACCTGCACTTGACTCAAAATCTGCCCCCCTTTACTGGTCCACCTTCGCTTCTGACTCGAGGGATACATTGGAGAAGACAAGGTTCACCTATGTATTCAAAGGAAAGTATAGACATATCTCAAACAATCCTCTGTGCACAAGTCGTTTCCCATTCATAAGACTCTCAATCACCATGAACATAAGTTTGAAAGGAATGGCAGGAAAAATTTATTATTCTACCGATTTTGCGGTCCACTATGTCCCTACAGTCACCGACGTGTTATCTAGCTCATGCAAGACTATGATCTAAGCCCTAACGTCCAAAGGTAAAATTTCTCCCAGCTTTCAGTACGCCAGGCTATGCAGTTTGTATACATAAGCAAAGGAAATAAAATGCCTGAAAGGCGGGTATAGTAAACACCGAATTCTTTAGCTCCATGTTCATATCGGCAAATCCATTGTAAGAAAGGGAAAGACCGTGTGAGCAAAGTCAACGACTCACGAAGCACGAGATCTCCGCGGCTCCTGGGGCGATCGACTCGGTGATTGTGATGTTGTTTGAGGTTGTTGATCGTCGAGCTCGATGGCAGATCCTGCACTAGAAGGAGTTCTGATCAGGCTGACCCTAGCCAAAGGACTTCTCCCACTTCGTCTATTCTGACCGGTGGTTGGTGGAATCATCAATGATCCTGAAAGGGGTGCAGTCTCTGAAGTCGATGCCAGTTCTGGAGGGGATTTTGCGCCATCATGATATGAGCTCAAGGACTCAATAGAGGATTTCCACTCCCCCTTTTTGAGCTCCGCTTCTGTGAGCTCGTACACCTGGCCCGACGGCCCAGCGGCTCCTGTCATATATGCACCGCCAGCAAGCTTTTGACTTGCTTGTGCCATGGCATACTTTTTCTTGTCTTCTTCTCCCATAATACTCTCAACACGGCGTGGCATGTACACAGAATTCGTGTACGTTCCAATGGAGACAGTACTGTCAAAAGAGTCTCTAGGGTGGAGGTAAGGTCTGCCTCCTAAGCCACCAATGCCACCTGGTGCCATGCTGACCAAAGAATCATTCAATTGCTGATACCATCCGCCTGGTAGCCTTTCAGGTGCAGTGAAGCGACCTTCGACCCGATCAGGTGGCTGTAAAGGTAGGGTGATCCGGGTAGGCTGGTTATGTTGAGCTTCAGCAGCCGGCTTGAAGGTCTCTGGAACGATATTGAGATCATCGCCTTGTGCTGCCGCTTTTTCAATGACCTCTTGAGGGCTTGTGGAAGCATCTGCCGCACCAGCATCTGCTCGTGGGCCTCCCCATGTTCGTTGACCTGCGGTGAAAATTCCGTACACCATGTAGTACCAGTTGAAGAACGGATTGACAATGAACATTAGTGGATAGAGCCAGATTTTGTACCGTTTCAATTTGATGCCAAAGTAAATCATCATGAGCCAATTCAGACCCAAAGAGATGGCAATGAAGCCGACCGGGAGATTTTGAATCTTCTTCGAGGTACTAATAATGGAGATAAACATGATGAAAAAGAGTAAAGCTGTCGTCCGAATGGTGTTCTGCATGAATCGGACCAGCGCCAAGATCGGGTAACGCTTCCAAATTCTCATGTCTGTCAGCATGCATACTTCGTTCGTGATAAACCCTAAGAACCATCGACGACGTTGTTTGACAAGTGATGTGTAGGTTTGAACTGCCTCAGTTTTGCAGAATGCAGAAGTACACATCTGAATCTGGTACCTCTTCTTCGCACCTATCATGAAGAGATGAGTGAGCCACCTGTCTTCTCCGAGGTGGCACTTTCCATAGTCGAATAGATCCTCACATTGTTCTGCCTTGTCCGCAAAGTAATATTTGGCCATTCTTCGGAAAGCCGAGAATCGCAACATCGTCAAGGCTCCAGGCAAACAAGTGACAGCTCCACATCCAGACTCGACTGTTCGTTCAAACAGCTGCCCGTGAATGTATTCCATATCTTGCAGAAGAGTAATCAGACTATGCTTTTTGGTGGTAGCTGTGATCACTCCCGTCATTGCAAGCATATCCCGAGCATTGCCTGGGCTCAACTCCATGTCATAGACGAAGTTTTGTAAACAAACGCGATCCAGGATGCAGTCCGAGTCGATGAACAGGATAAAGAGGTTATCGTTTCGCTTCAGATACTCGGTGTATACTCTGTCAATGAGCTTGAATGTTGCCTTTTGGCAGTGTCTCTTTCCACCGTGAGGGAACCGGGAAACCGTGACGCGAGCAGTTCGGTAGGTTACATCGATACTCTTCGGGTAGGAGTCGAGTGATAGCGGAACTCCGAGCTTCTCGATGGTGTTGAGATACAGCTCATCTTCCTGGTCGCCGTCGAAAGAGAGAAAAACATGGATACATGAAGGGGGATAGTCACAATCAACAACTGAGTCAACAGCTGTCACCAAGACATCGGGGTCCTCCTTGTAGCATGGCATGACAATGACCACCTTGGGTGCTGAGTGTTCATCCAAGACCTGTTTTATACGCTTCGTTCGTCCAAGGGAGTGCGTGACCAGCTGATACACACAGAACAGCCATGGGACTGTCAAGAGCCCTGCGAACGACCAGAAACCGAACCATTGGAAGAAGGACACCATCGACTTTGGGAAATATTGAGTGATCTTATCGGGTAAGGGAAGGGTCACTACCATGATAGGGAGGAATATGAGCCTGAAAATCTAGTATCAGTACGGCCCGAAGTCTTTAGGAGCCAAAGACGTACCTCAGTGAAGTGAATGCAACGGCAATCAGGACGGCTAGAACCTTGACCGACCAATGCTCAGCCTTCTGGTAGACTTTCACTAGGCAGTACATGAACGCTGCCAGCCAGAGAAACCATTCTAGAAAAGCAGCTATCATGACCGAGCCCACAATCGAAGTGTATGCAATCTATACCAGTGTTAGTAATTCCCAGACATAGTGAGGCTGGGTGCCACACGTCTTTGGCCGGCCATGGTGAAGTGTCATATTGCATGTTGGGCGATACTGTGCCGAACGAGTGTGGTGTTGGAAAAGTAATACGAAAGCACTCCCAGAGCGTCTCTCAAGATTTCGACTTCCTCAAAGTGCGTGCTTTGAGTGACTTGAAACCTGCAGCTTCCCGCAAAAGAAGATCTGGAGTAGTGGGTAGCTGCATTTACACGCGTCAGTACCCTGATCCAGGATTGGTTCTAAAAGCATCTCAGGGTCGTAATAAGCTGGGACCCGCTTACAGATTATTCGCAGACGAAGCTCCCATTCGTCCAACAGAATCTGGTTGGTGGTTGGTGCCAGGGTGAATCAGCCAAAAGAAAACAAGCTGTGAAGCAGAGTATGTTGTCAAGCCTTTGTTGCTTCCAATACTTGATTCCTTTAGGTTGCAAAGATAAACCAGTGGACGGCGTCGTTGTAAAGAATCCACAGCGGCTGTTGGTGAAGTTGTGTGATGAGGCGAGTGTTGAAACCTGAAGGTGAAATTCCGGCCTGCAGGTGGTAGAAGGTTCAGGTATATCAGCCGGATCAGAATGATTGCTACAAATGGAAAGTACGATTCTTGGTCTGAGCAAAGTCGGCCTGAACGAAATAGCGCGAGGTCAAGTGACTGAAGCGGATGTCGATGGATGCAACAAAGCTATATGAGGAGGGGAAAAGACGTTTATGACACAGATGACATGTTGTTTGGTAGATACACGGGACGAAGACGGAAATGCAAGTCGATGTGGGAGAAGTAGAGGCAGAGAAGTAGGTAAGGGAAGAGAGAAAGAGAAGAGAAGAGAAGAGAAGAGAAGAGAAGAGAAGAAGTGAGATGTAGAGGAAGGAGGAAAGCAGGTGAAGGTAAGTGCGAGCACCAGCACCAGCGCGCGGGGGATATTGGGTGTGCACTAATCGAATTCACACCTGCTTGAAGGGAGAGAAGAGAAGAAACTTGCCTGCATCCGTGCTACTTCCTGACAATCGTACTTTACTACTACAGTAATTTACATTACAGCGACGCAGGATGCCACGAACGACTGGAGCCAGATCGACTTCGAGGCTACAGAAGTTTGAGAAACGCCTGGATGCTTGGCACCCTTGTGGCCATGCCCCTATAGGAATGGGGTCGGATGGGATGGGATGGGCGACGGAATTAGAAAGTTGCAGTTCCTCTCTGGGTAACGGTACCGGTACCTTGGGTAGATTTCGATTTAGTTTAGGTGGAGGTGGTGGTGATGGTGGGAAAGAGAAGAAACAGACCAGACGGGAAGAGAGAGGTCCATGCCATGCCATGCCATGCCATGCCCTGCCCTGCCCTGCCACGCCCATACAGCACAGTTACTGTAAATTACTACGGAGGTAGTACACCCACACCCACCCACCCCCTCTGCCCCTGTCTTTCTCGGAAGCACCCAGGCACCCGAGGCACCTCACCTCACCTACAGCCTCCTAACTTAAGCGAAGCGCGTTCCCGTTCCCTCCCCGTTCCCTCTCCCTCTCCCTCTCCCTCTCCCTCTCCCTCTCCCTCTCCCTCTCCCTCCCTTCCCTCTCCCTCCCTTCCCTCCACAGTGTAGTGCCCAACCCGAGCCAACCCAACTCACTACTACTGGCACTACTGCTGGACCCTGGCAGCACATCGAAGTCCACATCTGCCCGCAACCCAGGCCAGTTCCAGTTCCAGTTCCAGTTCCAGTTCCAGTTCCACTTATACATACGGCCAATGCATATTGCGGCCATTAAGACCTGATACTGCATTACATTATGGCCATCACGACATCAGTCCCAGTCGACGACCAAATTTCAGCTGCATGTCGCCGTCCGCCATCTCAACTCTCCACCCCACCTGTGCAGATGGCCAGTCTGTGCAGTACTGTGCCCAGATGCACCGGCGATGCTTCGCTCTTTTGCATCCTTGATACTCGGGTCGATACAACGTAATCGTCTCCCCGTCTCTTCGACAGGGACACAATCCAGCCATAATCTGGCATGGTTGCCACGATCTTTCATTTCTCCTAGTTCAGCCTCAACACACCGTCACTGCCGTAGTGTGCAGACGGGCTCTATCATGGCCGCCGTCGCGAACTAATTCAGGGGCATCAAACTTAAAACAAATGATCGCAAGTCAACCTCGGAGTATTTTTTCCACTCGTGAAGAATCGGAAACATTATTCTTCAGGAAGATACCAGGCCAAGCCGGGATGACTCCCCTAGGGTTCTGGAGAACATCTTCTCGAGAGTCGAGACCGAACCGGAAGTCAGACATTTTGCGACGAGGAAGAGAGCGGTAATTCCTGCATAACTCTCCACTGGTCCAACTATGCAACGGACAACAAGATGCAGAATTTAGTTCCTCAACCCTTCACTGATTCACAGACCACGCAAAAGTCAATAACAGAATCTATTTTCACATTCAATCAAAAGGCAACATACGTCACGAGACTACATGCACTGCCATTGTTGACTGATACTCGCCACGTCCACTCAAAACCTCCTAGGTCCAGTATTGCAACATGAAGCTGCAGCCAACAAGCACACCCGCCCCAAAGGCTTCCCTAGATAAAAATGCAGTATAACAGATCCCGACCCCAAAAAAGAACAGAAAAAACCCTCAAGTACAACCTTCTTAAATGTACAAAGACCAAAACTGCGCCTCGCCCTACAACCTTGACGGTATTCACCCCTCGCTAAAATTCCCAAGCATAGCCCCAACCTCCACCACATCCTCCGCACCAAAGCCAATGACGATCTCCTTTCCCGTTACCTGTCCAAATTCAATAATGGCCCATCAAATCAGCAAAAACCCCAGGAACCAACATCACATCATCCGGCCCAGGTCCGAAACGAAACACGGGGCTCGGTTGGGTTGGTTATGTCTGTGCTTTCCCATAATTAGACACCACCACTTGAGACATGAGAAGCAAGCAAGACAAACGGCAGCCACGGCACATGTGGGTTGAAACAACACGACAGCGAGCCTGAGGGGGCTTTCACCCTGATACTGGCAGTTGTGGCTTTTCTTTTCTGGTTGCAACACCAGCTGTGGTGAGATCAATCAGTTAGGAAGTGGCAAATTTTGAATGTTCTGATGCGTTTGCATTGCATTGCGTTTTCAGGTCATGACTTGTGTTTTCAGCTTTGAATTGCACCTCGATCTTCTACCTTAGCAGAGACTGAGATGCAATTACGACGCAGTGAGTGAGTGAGTGGGTGACTGGGTGAGTGGGTGAGTGAGTGAGTGAGTGAGTGTTTTTGCTAGCAACTCCCAGGACGTCCCTCTACATGTGATCCTTCAAGAAATTCCTATTATTTGATGCAGCTCAGCGAGAGTAAGCTAATCCCACCGTCTCTCATCTTTCCCATCAACAATTTTGTAGACCAGATTCGTTTTCTCCATTTCAGTCACGCCATCTACCACGCATCATCTATTGGCATGACCGACACATGGACAGGCTCACTATTCCTCCTGCGTCCTCCCAAAATAAATCAACAGCTGCCAGCTTTCGACTTCTACATTCCCTTCCTCGTTCGCAGATAGCAAGATAGTGGGGCGTGATCGATGTGCGTTTCACGAGTGGACTCTCCTCTGCGATGAAGTAGGCTGTGTCCACAGATCTCATCGTCATCCGGATCCGTCTATGAGGTGAGTGGGCGGGCTCGTACTCTAGACAGTCCTCGTGTCCATGAGAATAAAATCTCAGACGATGGTTGTCATTGAATCGAGCTTAGAAGCATTGCTGGTGATGAAACCAGATCCCAAGAGACGAGAAAGCTCTCCGGACCTGCATAACAAGATTTGTCTAATCATGACCTAGGGAACCCCCCGAAGGAGGTCGTTATCAGCACTGATACTTCATCTACAAAAGAATTACAAGACAATAGTAAACAAAGAGAATCGGACTGGTCTAGGAGGCGCCTCGGAGCAAGAAGGCTACTTCTTGTTATCAAGATTCCTGCCAGCGGCTCGTGAAGCGTGTTCAGCCAGCATGGCCTTTCGAGTGAGTCTGCCAGCTGGGCCTGTGACTCGTGCTGCTGGAACCACAAGCGAATGACTGCCCAGAGGAGCAGAGCTCTGCCCAGGTCTGTTCCCAGGCCCTGGAGTCAAGCAGCTGCCCTTCTTTGCGGAAGATTTGTTGTCAACATGGGAAAAGGTTGGTTTGTCATACCAGTCGACATCACTGAGTTGTAATTTCCTGGTGCGTTGCGCGGCGCGAGTGTTGCCAGACCTATCGGCCCTAGCAAAATTCATCCCGGCTGTGTTGTCGAGACCTATGTTGATTCCGTGAATATTGTAATTTGGGTTGAGGGGAGCCAGTGTAGAATCACCATCTTGTTCCTCTCCTTCACGAATCTCATAATTGAGAACGAGATCTTTGATTCGCTTCTGTTCTTCGCGATCAGCAGCCTGTTTGGATTTCATGGCTATGGCAAAGTTAGAGTCCGAGGGTAAAGCCACTGTGCGAGTCTGTGAGAGGCCGTCAGCAGATTTCCGTCCAAATTGGTTCGACCATGTTTACCTGTTGGCGATTTCCACGCTTGGTGAGTAGAGAGAATGCCATAGTGTTTGACGTAGCGTTGCTACTAGTCGAGTCATCTGTCCACGACTCATTTCCAGGTAATCCGGGATTTGGAGCGTTTTCTTTGCGTCTCATGGGCAGAGGTACGTCAAAGGTTGGCTTGCGCTCGTGCTTTCTGGAATCTAGACTTTCAGCCATCAGCTTCGCCAACTCACGGTCAAAGTCTGCTTCATCTTCGGGGTCAACTTCCTCCTCCTCGCGCGTGACCACAATGGATTCTTCTTCTGAGTCCGTGCCAGGGGCAGACAGGGCATTGTCCCCATTCTCGCCGTTCACGGTGGCCTTCAGCTTGAAGTTAATTCTTGTCCTATTGAGAGCAAGGGGACTCTTACGTCAACTTCATCATCCGATTCCGAATCTCCGTCAACTTCGGCAGGGGGAAGACCAATATCACCCATCTCATCATCTGAGGACTCGCTATCGTCCGCCTCAGCTTCAGCCTCGAGAACCTTGTCCATACCAGAAGTCTTTTGGTCTTGCGCCATAGCAAGTTGGAAAGCTTTGCTGGCTTCTTCTATGTTTGATGCAAGCTTCCACTGAGGTCGCGTTAAGGCGAAAACATCTTGGACAATAAATTCGATATCCATCGGTAGGGGGTCTTTCGTGTAGATGTAGTACTGATAAGACAGGTTAGAAGCGAGTAGAGCCAAGCAGTTTTCTCAGTCTTACTTGGAGGAAAGAGAGGAAGTAATCCAACTTCTTGCCAGACGCGCCACGGTTGAAGTATACACCGCATGATTCTAGAATAGTTGCTACAAGACGAATCCGGAAAAAATCGTCTGGCATGTCAAATGAATTTAGCCGACCTGGAATAGGAGGTCCACCTGCACAGTGATTAACAAGGATCAGCTTCAAGAATTTGGCTCCTACTCACCATGACCAAATGTCAAGATTCTATAAAGAGTGTCGAAAATCACAGGATGATCAACCATGCGATAGTTGTAAAGCTCGCCGAGGTACTTGACTTCGGCAATTCGCCGCTGGTTGAACTTAAAGTCATTCTGCTCCAAGCCGAGCACGATAGATTCCATAACATTGTCGATGACAGTAATGACGAAATCTTGGTAGTAGCGGTACAGAGCACTGGCCAGGATAGCAAGCAGATGAATGTTGCCATATTTTACTTTGCCAGGCTTCGAAAATACTTTTTCAAGGATTGCAACAACCTTTAACGTTAGCAGTGTGTCCAGCGAAATTGGTAAATGATTTTACCTCTGTCTCCTCCCAGTGAAGCTTTTTGATCTGTTTGAGTATTTTGGTATAGTTCCGGGTGTTCATATCAAGATACACGAGCTTACGAATGAACAAATCGATCGGTGTTCGCTCTTTCTGCTGAATGGCGGCTCTGATTGGAGGATCAACATAATATACAGCATTTTCGATGAGCATACGCTCTTGTTGACCAATGTGCTGAACAGACTTCTTACGCTTCAGGGTCTCAAGGAAGGAAGCCATTCGGGGAGAAGTCTCGGGATTTCGGAGCAGATACCGTCCACAGTTTTCCAAGAGGTTGCAGATGATCTCGATATTCATTCTTGAAAAGTCGTCAAGACTGACTTTGAGGCAGTGGAATATGACATGCTCAGGGACAACTCCAAATTTCGTAAGTTCGGCAAGATAGCGAATGTTCCCAAGCCGAGCTTGGCCAAGAAACTCCTTTTCCTTTCGGCGCTGAAGGCTGCGAAATTCTTGATCCAAATGGTCAACAAGTCCCTTGGTAACATCAGGCATGTACTTTCCAAGAGTTGCTACGAGTCGAGAATATGCAGGTAGTAAGTCGCTGCGGCCTTTAGGTATTTCCTGGACCGCCTTCACAAGACGGTTTCGGGATGCCTTTGAGTTGAGAAAGCAGAAGTCAATAGCAGCTTGATCGATCAAATCTTTACTGGTGAGATCGGGCAGACGCGCTAGAAGTGCGTCAACCTGTGCACCGATCGTCTTGTTGGCAATTGCTGTAGACATGTCGTCTTCTTTGGTACTCTGAGAGTTGGCATCGGCAGTAGCAGCATCAGCTGGATCAATCTTCTTGCCAACCTGCTCATCTGTATCTACTTTCTTCTTCTTGCCATCTTCAAGGAGCATTCCCGGAACTTTGCCCTTCAGATCTACAAGATTTTCGTAGAATCTGCGTTCCTCTTCGTCTTCCCAGATCCCGGCACCGTCACCTTCGCCCCGCAGGTACTCACCAGTCTTGACCAGACCGATACCTCCATTCGTAGTGCCTGAATTGTCCTCGGAATCTTTCAAATCTGGCATCTCTCCACCAATAGCTTCGGCAAGGACCTGTGCATTTGCGACCAATCGTTCTTGTGCCTTGACAACTTTTTCGTAGTTTGCTTGTCGATCCTCGAAAACCTGGCCAGATTTGACGTAGGCTTCAGCATCCTTACGTGCTTGTTTACTGAGTGCCTTTTGGTCGCGAAGTAGATGGGCTTTAACGTCCTCGAAGTAGCGCTTTAAGATATTCCGGAATCGTTCCTGGAGTTCTGCCGAAGCAAGAGGTGGATCGTCACTTGCTACCTCAACGGGACCATCTTCGCCAGAGTCATCATCTCCGTCACCATCACTGTTTGCTTCCTTCGTAGCTCCGTCTGCCGCTACGGTCTTTCGGCCTTCGGATCCAGCTTCCTTCACACCTAGTATGTCCCAGCCAAAAGCTTTTACGAAAATGACAAGTAGAGGTAAGTTTGCATGCTCTCGGTCATGACCTAGCAGGTCTTTCAGAACCTCCAGAGGGAAGGGTTCCGCGCCGCCACCCTTGGCTGTCGTACTAGTTTTCGCCTTCACATCAGCTGCCTTTCCCGAAGCTCCCGACAGAGACTCCTTGCCCCGAGAAGTATCATCGGGACGGCTGACATCATCCAGTGTTCTAAGAACTCCAACCAGCCATAGCTCCGTGACAACTCTCAAAAGCACTCTTTGGCGTGTGATCCGCTCCTTCTCTTCCTTCTCTCTTGCCTCAGCCGCAAGACTTTTCAGTATCGATTTCTCCGGTGTAGCCAGTCCCTTGCCCACTAGCCAACCCAAGAACTCCGTGAACTCTGCAGGTCCAAACCGCTGGTGCAGCGCGCTGACGATTTCTACTCCAGCTTCGATCTCTCCCGGCGACTTCAACTTGCATAGTCCTTCATAGCATGCAGATATGATCTCCGATAGGTACTTGTGGAGACTGAGTGTGCGAATCTCTTGCAGGAAGGTGCTCAAAGTAGCTGCGGAAACTGCAGTTCGAAGTCGTTTGATGAACGCGGTATTCTTCTTCAGAGATGAGTCGAGGGATTTGTTCACTTCGTAGACTCCTGCCATAACCAATCAGTATATTGCCCTTCCACATGATCCATCATCTGGCCACTAACCCTTCTCTCCATTCCAAGCACGGCTGTTCAATTCGCGCAACTCGCCTGCGAGCCACAATTTTAGTAACTTTTCATGCGCGAAGGGCCATCTGCCTGAACTTACGCTTCCTCTTGCGATCCATGAAGAGCAGCCTGAGCCTGCCCGGACCGGACCGTGGTAATGTAGTGAGATATGTGTACCTTGTGCCCCCACATTCGCGACTTCTAAGGGAACATGAAGGTGCAGTGGAAGTAAGATTTTGTCGAGGCAGTGAGATGCATCGGTATCGGGGAGCGTCTTCAACGGAGAACTCTGCTGACTGACGTGCAATATGTCCAAGTAGGTTGTGAAGTCTTTGTCGCTGTATCCTGCAAAAGTTTGGGCAAGATGATAATGAGCTACCTATCTCCCAAGGTAAGTATCGACGTAGGGGCAGGCTTTAGCGCGGTGCCTTTCCGCTAAGGTTAGCGTTTGATCCATAGCTTTCCCTCGCTCTTTCATCAACCACAGCCCTGTCAATGCATGGGAGTCACGGACAAAATCAAGATCAAAATTTCCTCGTCAATTTATCAGGTGTCGAGGCTATTTTGGAAATCTCTCCTCTTATCAATAATGTTCCCCAACACAGCCGCAGCCTTGCCAAGGTCTGTTAGCCCCTCCTCTTGGCTGCCGCAGACGACCAGCCAGGCCAGGCCATCGGGGCCCTGCATAAACATTTGCTGAAATCAGCTTTCCTAACCCAGTTTGCTTCTGGTGTCTTTGTCTTGATGTCCGAGTGAATTACCAACCAGTTCAATTTATGGCTGGCAAAAGTTGCTGCTGGTATGGCTCGTTTGCTAGCCACTCTTCCAGACATGTAGTGCTTTGAATCAGTGTCGCTGTTCCACGACAGTAGATTTCTAGAACTATGGAAGCATGTCTACCGCACTCTCAAAGAATTTTGAATTGCCATGGCAAACTGTTGTCCACAATCACTGACCATCAAGAAACTCTCATCTTTCGTGGAAGCTTTTGATGCCTTTCCTGGCACGTCTCTTCAACCTCCATCCTGGTGTAACTAGCTTTTGCCCAGTAGAAACGTACTTATTATGCTCTTTGTCCCAGTGACGGAGCTATATCTGATCAAATTTTACGAGTGTGTATATCTCTGGACACGGTTGAAAACTACGAGGTTAGGAATCCGTAGCCTATCCGAGCTACACATTGAGAATTATTCTCCACCATTTTGAAAACAGTCATGTCTCCCTGGCTATTCTTTTTCCTTGTGAAGTTTTGTCTCTGGTGCAAGAAAGAGATATGCCGCGCAATCATCTTCTATAACATGGGGACCGAAATTTCAGGGGTTTATACCTCATCACCAGGATGAACTGCTGGCAACTTCCATTCTGATTTTTGGGTATGAAATCATCAAGAGATTCTCCATGGTATCTGAAAGTGAAGAATCTCACGGTATACAGAGGCATCTGGATAGTTCCAGACCGTAGCCTGTAGCTCGCTGGATCACTGCTCCAAAAAAACGTACTTTCCTCATTCAAACCCCCTATGCAGATAGGGATTCAATCAGGCAAGTACTTCAAGCTCACAGCCTCTCCAGGATGCATAAGCATAGCTGAAATCTGGCACTGTGGTATGACCGTATGGTTTCTCCAAAATCCTGCATTCTACTGCTTTAAATATGACAAGAAAGCTCTTAATCGAACCCGTGGCCCAGGAAATTTTGAGGTAAGGGTCGGCTATGGGAAATGTAAATTGTCTCATGTGCTCAGCCTCCGATGGCATCTTCATATGTTGCCAAGTTCCGAAGAAGTATCGCATATTTTGACTTTGCCACTCATTTCCAAGGTAGACTTACTGAATATACCCTGGAGATCAGGGAATCGTCCTTGACAGCGATACTTGTTTGACTAGAGCCCCCTTCCAAAAAAAAAGACCAATTCCGAGTCCTCAAACATTTCCGGGGTATCGAGTGACACATTTTGCAAGTCAACAAAGCAGGGGATCAACACTAGGTACACGAAAAGTACCAATCGGCAGCGGGTCGACCAGGATGTTTTCTCGGATATCAAGAGCACAGCACATATTGTTTTTGCCATCACTTACAACCCAAAGACAACTTTGCAATAGCACGAATACCGGAGATCTCTAGACATCTTGACGACACCAGTTTGAATGCTTCTTCAGTCCATGGATTACATTAGTTTACCGAGTAGCCAAAGATAAGACTGCGTGATGCTGGCTTTAGCGAGTGCCGCCCGGAGAAGTCTGTACCTCACCACGGGATCGTAGTGGGCCCCTAGACCAGCAGACCAATGAAAAGCCTCTGCCCACAACTTTCTTGCTGATAAGAAACCTCGTCGACTCCAGCTTGCCCGTTCCACTGCCAGATATCAAAGCCAGCCGAATCCCCATCTGATGGAGATCCGCGGAAGTGGCTGTTACGATGCAGCACTGCATAGCCCAACCAGCATCCTATCTGCATTCTGAGAGTCCCAGGCCCACCGGTCACAGTCCTCCCACGAGACCCCAGTTCCGCGCAGATAATCGTCACTACCTGGGTAGGTCATGTTGTAAACCGACTCCCATTATTGGTAGGATCCCATCTTGGCTCAGATGGGAGTTTTCCTTTCTCTATCTATTTCTCCACACATGTCTGAACTCCTCAATCCTTCTCCAGCTTGTTTTTGGTCCCGAACGTGTTGAACTTGTTTTCGAGGTTCAATAACACTCTCCTTTCGCCCCTGGTCATATTGCATTCACTGTTTATCTCGAACATTTGGTCTCCAAAGTGCTCACGCCATAGTCGGACTTCCCTCACCACAACGTGACAGCAACAACATCAACAGGCCATTTCTCGATACTCTCGCGTTATGTCTATCAACATGGTCCCAATAGACGTTTTGACACCTCTCTCGACGGCTCCCCCATCTCCAACTCTACAGACCAGAAAGCCAGTTCGAAACTTATCGTCCATATCCTTCCAAATCCCACCGACACCACCCAAATCAGAACATAGTGGAAGTGAAGTCTCTGACGAATCATCACCCAATTCAAGAAGGCCTAGTTCGGCAGTACAACCCCGATACCCACTTCCTCCACCGTCCACTGCACCAACCGAGATCCTCAAGGACGATCTCAAGACTCCAGATAACCATGTCCCGAGAGATCCTCGACTTATACGCCTCACTGGCATACATCCATTTAATGTCGAAGCACCACTTAGTGCTCTGTATGATGAAGGATTTCTAACCTCTCCGGAGCTCTTCTATGTTCGGAATCATGGAGCAGTACCACAAGTCGACGATGCCTCCATTCCAGACTGGGAGTTCTCGATAGAGGGATTAGTGAAGCATCCAATCACTATGTCTCTCAAGCAACTCATCACAGAATACGAGCAGATCACAGTACCAATCACCCTTGTCTGTGCTGGCAATCGACGGAAAGAACAGAACCAAGTTCGAAAGTCCAAAGGATTCTCATGGGGAGCTGCTGGTGTTTCTACCGCGCTGTGGACAGGTGTAGCTATGGGAGAGCTTCTTAAACGAGCAGCACCACTACGAGGAGCGAAATATGTCTGCATGGAGGGGGCCGACAAGCTTCCAAATGGATATTACGGAACGTCAGTAAAGCTCAACTGGGCTATGGATCCAAACCGAGGGATCATGGTAGCTCACAAAATGAATGGAGAGATGCTGCGACCAGATCATGGAAAGCCATTACGGGTAGTCGTTCCGGGCCAGATCGGCGGCCGAAGTGTGAAGTGGTTGAAGAGACTGATTGTTACTGCTGCGCCAAGTGACAACTGGTACCATATCTACGATAACCGAGTTCTCCCTACGATGATCAGCCCTGAGCAAAGTGCAAATGAGCCGAAATGGTGGATGGATGAGCGATATGCCATCTATGATCTGAGCACCAACAGTGCCACAGCATATCCAGCTCACGATGAAAAACTGTCTCTCATAAACCCACCAGAGACGTACAAAGCCCGCGGTTACGCATATGGCGGAGGTGGCCGACGGGTCACGAGAGTTGAAGTGACTCTGGACAAGGGAAAATCCTGGGCTCTCGCAGACATCAGATACCATGAAGACGATTACAGGGATCAGGCAGACGAAGACGAGATGCTATTCGGTGGGAGACTAGATATGGGCTGGCGAGAAACATGCTTCACTTGGTGTTTCTGGGAGATCGATCTGAAGGTTGCTGACCTTGCGCTCGCTGCAGATGTCATGGTGAGAGGCATGGACGAGAGCATGAATGTGCAACCACGGGATATGTACTGGAGTGTTCTTGGCATGATGAACAACCCATGGTATCGGGTGACGATCACTAAAGAAGCCGATTCGCTTCATTTTGAGCATCCCACCCAGCCAGCTCTGACTCCTGGAGGGTGGATGGAGAAAGTAAAAGCCAGAGGTGGGAATCTCGCCAATGGTTTCTGGGGAGAGAGTACGGGCGGCGAGGAAGAAAGTGGTGTTGCTGAGCCGAAGAAGGAGATCAAGATGATCAAAGATGGGCTCCGTAGGAACATCACCATCAACGAGCTGCGCAAGCATGACGAAGATACAAGCCCCTGGTTCGTAGTCAATGGTGAAGTGTACGACGGTACAGCATTTCTCGAAGGTCATCCTGGTGGAGCCACAAGTATCATCGGTGCAGCAGGTCAAGATGCTACCGATGAATTCATGGCGATCCGTATGTCCCCACCCAGTTCAAAATCTAGCCTTTATCCCATCTAACAGAATCATAGACTCCGAAACCGCCAAAGAAATGATGCAACACTACCACGTTGGCTACCTCGACGAAGCATCTCGCGCTATCCTCCTAGACGGCATTGAAGAAGCTCCTACAGAGTCCTCCGCACCTCGTGAAGTCTTCCTCCAATCCAAAGTCTGGACCAAAGCTCTTCTCTCAGCCAAAAAATCGGTCTCATCCGACACGCGAATCTTTACCTTTACTCTCGAGCACGAGAACCAAACCATTGGTCTTCCCATCGGCCAACATCTCATGATGCGTCTCCGAGATCCTGTTACACGGGAAGCCATCATACGCTCTTACACGCCCATCTCAGAAGGTGCTGACAAAGGAACGTTGCAAGTCCTGGTCAAAGTCTACTTTGATACCGTTGAGCGCGCTGGAGGTAAGATGACGAAGGCACTAGATGCCATCCCCGTCGGACACTTTGTGGATTTCAAAGGCCCGATTGGGAAATTCGAATACCTCAAGAATGGCCACTGCACTATTGGCGGCAAGCCAAGATTCGTAAAGAGATTTATTATGATCTGTGCTGGCAGTGGCATCACGCCTATTTTCCAGGTCCTCCGAGCTGTACTGAGCGACCCTGATGACACGACGAAGTGTCTGGTGTTGGATGGCAATAGGCTTGAGGCCGATATTCTATGCCGAGAAGAGATGGACAGTCTCGTCAAGGATCAAGAAGAGAGATGCAGGTTGCTCTATGCATTGACGAAACCAGATGAGAGCTGGACGGGTTTGAGTGGTCGTGTGGGCAAGGAGTTACTGGAGAAAGAGGTTGGAAAATGTAAGTCGAACGATGGGGAAGAGTTGGTACTGATCTGTGGGCCCGAGGCGTTAGAGAAGAGCGTGCACGGGTACTTGAATGAGATGGGTTGGAAAGATCAGGATATGTTGTTCTTCTAGTTTATTCTTTAGAGCTTGAGCAGTTTGTACATAATGTTGCCACAAAATCGTAGGCGATGGAGTTAAATGCGATGAATTAGCTGCAATTCATGACTTATGCCAATTGTCCTGCTCTATAGCAATTTACTATAGTATTTTGCTGCCATGGATGATTTTCAGTACATGTCACGGCTCCTAAGATGCAAAAAGCCAGTTGATATCAGCAACATGTAGTATGATTCCGAGACTATCTGCCGAAACCAAACCATCCTTTCTTCTGCTGCGGAGCCTGTTCAGTCGTTTGACCCTTGATGAACGGCTCCGGTACAGAGTTGCTCTCGACCTTATCCTGAATCTCTCTTCCTGGATACTCGATATAATTCCACGCCGCATCAAAGAACAGCGGCTTTACAGGGATAGGCTCGAGTTTTGGCGGGTACGTCACGAGATTCTCAAAGTCCACGTCCTTTACTGGAAATTCGTGGAGCTTCTCAACCAGAGGTCGGCGACTGGCTTGCTCCTCAGACTTGATCGTGCTTTCATTGAGATTGGATAGTTCGACGAGGGCACGGTAGTGTTGCAGCTCGCCGTCTAGAAGGCTGTTCAAGCATTGAACTTCGCTTGGAGAGATAGTAATGTTTGGCGGTGAGGAGTCCGTTGTGTCCATGGTGAATTCGAGCTGTGAGTACGCAGCATTGCACTTTTCCGAGGCGCGGGCGAGAAGAGCCAAGGCGTTCTTGGGATTCGAGAGTAAAGCGTGTGAGCGGGCTATCGTGAGGCATCTGAGCGTGTCAGTAAAGATTTCACTGGTAATTAGATATTGTGGAAACCGTACTTCAAAGCTGAGAAGTAGCTATACTTTCCATCGAGCTCTCTCAGAAATTCTGTATCTGCAGCTACTCCAGGCAGTTCCTTGATCGAATCCAGACTCTGCAAGATGGAATCATAGAGGACCGCTTTCTCGCGCAGGTGTGCAAGCTTGCGGCCTGTTCCTTCTTCCTGAACTGGTTTCTTAGTCTTTTTCTTTCCTTGCTGTACTGGTGTACTTTCGACCACTGCTCCGTCTTGCTGTCCAACCAATACTCTATTTCGTCCTATTCGCCAGCTGACCATGTCGTAGCTAACCGCTGTCCGAGTAATTTGTAGGCTCTGCATCCGTCTATCACCTTGGCCAACCCCTTCTCCTGCTAGTTCGTCAATAGCATGCTTCGTGGCATCTACAGTGTCTTGACTTGCGATGAGAATCTCGTCATATGCAGACGCTCTTTCTCTCGCCTGTGCAGCTGTAACAGATGCCAGTGTCTCTTCCAACTTCTGAGCTGCACTATTCACGGAAGCCAAGGCAGTTGCAATGGCAGCATCCTCCAAATCCACTGTTCGCGACCTCCAAGTTATGGTCTTGGGAATGGTACCGGTTTCTGCAGTCGTTGCCTTCGCTCTTGTTGGTCTTTCACTCAGGACATCGGGATCTAACTTCTCGACTTGGGAGACTAGTTTGTCATCAGAGGTTGGGAAGTATTTCCGTGCTATAGCTTCAATGGCAACGGTTCGTGGTAGTCGCATCTGGTATGCTCCATAGCGTATACTTGGATCAATGGGGTCCGTCAGTAGATCCCTGAAGACATCGTTCGTCGTAGATGTAGCTAGCGCGCTGTATATGATCCTAGCTTCCGAGTAGCTCTTCACACAAGGCTCCCAGTTCTGCTTCTCGAATGCAGTTGCTCCGGAGAGGGAAGCTGCATATGCACGTGCTTCCAAAACATCCTCGTCGACTGCTCCGGATGTCGCTTGGTCGGCAAGAAGTTGGAACAGATGATTCGCGTATATGGTAGCTTTGTGTAGACGGGAAATGATATGTGTGCGAGTCGAGCCCGTGATGCCTTTCTTCTCTGTGGAATGGATCTCCCTCATGGACATCGCATGTGCCCATGCTCGCTCAGAGGTAAGTAACAAGAGACGGACGAACCTGGCAGCATATCAGTACAGAGAAGTCGTATAGCGGACTCGTGGAACATGTTAGCATACTCCTTGTTGCGCGCAATGTCCTCAACTGACACTGTCGCCTTGCTGGAATCGTACTTCCCGCGGGGTTTCTGTGCGGTCCCAAGCTTCGTTCGTAGATTATGGATCCGGTTTGACAAGCCTTTTCGATACGATGCATAGTCACCCTCAAGCTTCGCCTTCTCGCGCCCGGATGCGACGAATTTGGTGACCTCCATCTGTGGTTGTGGAGGTGAGGTGTTGTTCAAATCGCCAGCACCCTTCAGATCAATTGCAATAGCGGGTGGGTGTTCAAGTTGTTGGTGGGGTTGAGAGTTTGTGGTTGGCTAAGTTTGCCGAAGGAGCCCCAGCCTGCCAGCCTGATCCGAGCCCAAGCCCAGGCGGAAAGCTCCAACTCGTACAGGGGGTTAAAGTGCGCTAAAAATGTTGTGGTCCAGGACCTCTCATGGACCTTTTGCCTCCTATCCATCAACAAACCTTTCTCGCCGCTCTCGAGAATTCTCGCACATCTGGAAAGCCGACTGTGCAAGGGTAGCTGCCAGGGCGCATATCAAATATCCTATCAGTTTCAAAGCATGTTCTGCAGTATGTTTGAATGGTGCTTGTCGTCTTCTCCGTGGCGTCTCTTGCTGACCTATTTGCAGAACCATTTTACTCGTTCGATTCCTTAAGGTGACACTACTTGCGACGAAATCTTTGACCTGGAAGCTTCGTTGGCGCAAATAGGGCATGCTGGAGCGTACGGCAGGATGTCTAGAATCAGGCAGTCTCCGGCGCCTGCTACCAGCATCCAAGAAGGCGATGAAGAGTCGCCGAACACTCCACTCCTCTTTTTGGACTCACGGTGCTAGCGATCTGGAGACGTCTTCATTGTGGACTGCTTTAGTCCAGATAGCAGCTCCTGCCGAGCAGCTTGGAGGACGAGATGTGCAACAACAACAACGACCAGCTGCATTGGGAAATGCAGGCTTGCTTCTGGACTTTCTATACCCGGCTGGAACATTGAATTTATTGCGGCAGTACTCGGGATGGGGGCTCGACAGAACAGGTGGTAGACTTGCCAGGAATGGGCTGGAGAAGTTCGGCCACCGCCGATTTACGTCCTCCGCACAGGATACGACCACGACTTCGAATTCGCATTCTTCATCTCGGAAAGCGGTGGCAGTAGAGGATGAGACAGGTGCCGAAAATAGAAGCATGGCTCTGCTCTATGAGAAGCTTGGGCTGACCAGAAACTACGATTTCGAAGAAGCTTGGCGGCAGTACTCTTTGCTAGAAGACGAAGAGCAGCAAAACCTCCTTCGAATGCCTCTCATGCGCTATCTTTCAATCTCAGAACGACTTGTTGATGCTGAAAGAACAATACAGCTATTTGGAGTCTTGGAAGAGGAGCAAAAGACACCTGTAATATATCGGCATACTATCAGAGCGTACCTCAAGATGCGCAACCTTGCAGATGCGATGAGATTGTATGCCATGGCTCTCAATGAGGAATCGCCGGCAGGAGCCGAAGAATTGTTGGCATATTTGATCAAGAACTCATCATGGGGCCGGGCATTCTCTGTATGGAACGAGTTCAACAATTTCAGAGCTCAGACACCGGGTCTGAGTTACAACATATTTGAAGTCCTCGACACGGATCCCACTATCGGAAGTCAGGCCATTGAGTTGGCAGGATATGTGAACAGAAAACTTGATAACCAATCCCCTGATTCTGCGTCGGACGTACCCCCAGAGCTTTTGAACTTTGCCTCACGGATTGTCCGACGAGCTTTACTGAGCACTCAAGCTTTCAATTCTGCAAGGTTCACTAGTCTTTTGACGATTCTGGAGGACTGGAAGTTGATTAGTCCCGCGCTTTATGAGCAAGTAAACTTCATGCTCTTACGTCTGAATGAGACAAAACTGGCAATCAAGTGCTATCGTAGGATACGACACTCTAAGGAATTCCGATTCACACGTCCAACACTTCACTCGCTCTTGAAGATTTGCTGTGACTATCACAGCGTTCTTGGCATGCAACAAATCCTGGACGACTTCTTTCGAATCTACTCGAGGCCAACGCGGACAGCTTATAGGATGTGTATGAGCGAATTTGCTGCTCAAGGCGATGCTGAAACGGTCCACGCTCTTTTTGATCAATTACTCGAACGAGACGACCAACAGAGATTGACCAGCGTTAGCGAGATCACACCAGTACTACACGTACATGCAAAAAGAGGCGAGGTTCGAGAGGTCGTCACATATTTCGACCAAATCCAAGACATTTACCGCTTGCAGCCAAACCTACTTTGCTGGAACATTCTTATAAACGCATATGGCAAAGTTCATGACGTAGATCGTGCTTATGATTGTTTCGAGCAGCTCATTAGCGACGGAAATCTTCAGCCCGATCACTACACCTTCGGCACTATGATGGGTATTTGTACCACTCGTGGTGATATTGATCGTGTCATTGGCCTTTACATGTTCGCTCAGGAGCAGAAGATTGAGATCAGCGCTGCCATGCTTGATTGTTTGGTCTTGGCCCATGTGCAGGCGAGGAACCTTCAGAAAGCTGAAGCCATTTGCGAAGACGCTCTTAAAATGGATATCAAAGGTTCTCGGACTCGAATGTGGAATTACCTTCTCACGGGACATGCGTTGAATCGTAATCTCGTTGATGTCAATCGCCTACTTCAACGTATGTCAGAGGCAGATATAGAATACGATACATACACATATTCGGCATTAATGCAGTCATTAGTAATGGTCAAGCAACCAGACAGAGCGTTTGCGGTCATGACTGATGTAATGCCGCCGGCAGGAGTCCAGGCAACAGATTTTCACTACGCCATCATCATGGGAGGCTACCTTGCCAATGGAGAGATTGACAAGGTCTTCAAGCTTCAAAGACGAATGGAAAAGCGTAATGTCAGAACCTCAGCCAGCACGAAACTCTTGACTTTGAAAGCCACCGTCGCTGATGACGAAAAATTGCTAGAGGACGGCAGTAGTGAAGAAAAATTGAACCGCGCTTTGGAGATGTTTCAAGAGATTGTGACTTCTATGGACCCGCAGGATATCGCCAGCCCAGCCAGGAAAGGTATCAACCGACTGCCTGCAGACATCGCGTACTCGACCATGTTCAACCGATATATGATTTTCATCCTCGGCCGTTACGCGGAGTTTTCAACGGCGGACAGCATCTATGAAGCCTATCTGAGATTTCTCCCTGCATCGCGAAAGAATCAGGTCCCTCTTGATATGTTGCGGACTATCATGGAGATCAAGTCGCGAGAAGGGGACCACGAGACAGTCCGCCAGTGCTGGGAAGCTTCCCTTGCGCAAGCCAAGCGACTTGGTAAGCCAATCGAGGCTGAGTTTGGAAAACTGCCCGAAGATCATCTCATTCAGAACGAAAGGCATGCTATTGACCCAGCTCGGCAAATGGATCTAGCAAGACATCTGGGCCTATATATGCAATCACTCCATACCCAGCGAATGACCGATAAGATGATTGCAACCGTAAATGGCCTTCTGAACGACGGATTCGCGCTCGACAATCACAACTGGAACTCTTACATTGAGTTCTTGACCAAAAGAAACAAATACCAGCTCGCTTTCCGACTTTGTGAAACCTATCTCATGGACCAGTGGACCGGCTGGGCTCGCATTCGATGGACACTTCCAGAGCGCAACCGACTCCCGACAGACCTTCGGGCAAAGAGGAAAGACCCTCTGCACTTACGACCTAAGTATCTCACTATTTTGCATCTGGCAAGGGGATACCTGGAACTTCAGTCGATGGCAGCAGAGTCAGTACACAGCGGAACTCTTCTCACCGAGCTGGAGCGGGATTGTCCTAGGGTCGTGAGAGCCATTACGACGATGCAGCGCGTTGATGATTATCTCGAACGAACTGTACTTAGAGGATATTGAGTGTACTTTTGGATGATGAAATGTTTAGACTGTACTATATTGTATCTCATATCCTTAGATGTTCTCTAGAGTGGGAACTGAATTACCTTTCTCTTCGGATCTCCACCTGTAATGTCCTTTTCCCTTTTCACAATCCTGGTTCCATCTTAAAACCAAATATTATTTACAATAATACACATATCTCGCCCTTTTCACTCCAAAAGCAGAAGTGGGCAGTTTGCGTTGCACATCCCCGCAACAAAACCTCGCTTGATCGCTGACATTTCTTTCCTTCCTTCGTTCCAAAATTAACACTGCACCACTCCACCACTCATCCCTCAATCCCGCTCTCATCCATCCTCATACTCGAGATCCCCAACTGCGCCACACTCCCCATCGCCCACATCGCCGCGCTCCTCGCATCCTTCGCATACGTCAAATGATCTTTTAGTACCGCCTCTCCACCCTTACATATGATATCGGCAGCATGGCAAAACGTCCTTATCCTCGCGCTCTCCACGCCTTGAATTGTAGTCCCGTTCTTCGGGTCGCCAAAGAGAATTATGGATGCTATCTTTGAGGCAGTATCAGAAGGGAGCATCGACGTTGCGAGGTGGACGAGTTGTGCGCCTTGGGAGTATCCTGAGAGGAGCAGAGGGGTGCTGGGACAGGTGACAAGGGTGCTGTTTATCAAACTTGCCCTAGACAATTAGGGTAATGTCAGGTATGCTTTATGGGAAGTAAATTACGTGAAGGAAGGAGAGAAACACCAACATCATTGTAGCCCCTTTGACTGATCCACCGGCAAGGAAACCAGCTGCTTGTGCTTCGTAGTTCACACCCTGGATAGCCAGTTGATTTGTGCCGTTCATATACTCTGCGATAGCTGCAAAGAAGGGTGGACCAGCTAGGATACCAACATTGCCTGTTTATTGTTCATTAGCAAAGTGATTTCTTCAACCGAACCAGCAAAGTAGCAAGTGTTCCCAAAAGCGCCAGGATCAAATGCCAACTCTACAAGGACAAGATTCCCGTCACTCCATCCCCGATCTCTCGAAGAGGCTTTTCCAAAGCTTTTGCATGCAATGGTTGAGAAAGCAATGAAGACAATACCAACCAGGCTCACTAGCCCCCTTCGCAAAAATAACAGCCATCCTAGGACAATGCCTCGTCGTTCGGTTTGTCTTCTCATCCATCAAGCCATTCTGAAATATAACTGATCCATGATCGCCCAACAAAGCCGTCAGTCCAGCAGCCAGGCTGGAGTTAGTCGTACCTAGTAGACCTTCGATCGTATCTAAAATTCCTGAGCCGATGAATGGAGCAGCTCCTGTTAGGGTTGGGAGGAGAAGAAATAGTAGTGCTTGCAATAGGAAATGTGGAAGTCTTCGATTATGCATTTTCGGGAGTCCGAGACTTTGCATCTGTGTCTTTGACTCTGCCAGATACTAGAGAGTCTGCAAATGTGACAACATGGACGGCATGGCAGAGCGTTCATGACACGGACTGTACTCCTCAATATGTGCATAGCCGCATCGTGATTGAGGCGCTTGAAACAGAACATCCAAACATTTCAAGCTTCAGGCGACGTCATGCATCTGGCGGTCCAGACCGAAACTCGACCATTGCACATCGAAACATTTCGTCTGATCTCGAGAACCAGACGACTATCATGCGAACAGTTTAGAGATAGACGACAATCTGTAATTGGCTAGGTAGAGTTCGGAATGCAGGGGTATGGCAACTTCACCATGTAGCAAGGGAGAGCGACGTCCATGATTTGTGAAAGGAAACCGCAGAAGAGTGTAGAGGTTGAATGATGGAAGATTTTGACATTGTATGTAGAGGTTATGTGCAAGTAAACAAGAAAACTCCAGATCAGCCAATGCGACTGCACTTAACCAGACCAATAGTACCCCAATCCTTGCCGTATATCCAGGCCCCATGCTCCAAACTAATTCCGGGTATTCCTATAAACAATTTACTCCGGCAATAACTCATATACCATCCAAATCATCCTGGGGAGCTTTCAACCCCACGCCGAGGTCCCTCAACTTCTTTGCCAGCAGCCCTTCAGCTACCACTCTGCCGTCAGGCGATCCAGTGAGGAAATTGCCACCATATCCAGCATCGCCTTTGCTGAGCTTGTCATAGCCACCAATTCCAGTATTGTTACTGTCGCTGTTCCAAGACATGGCGGTCCCTGAACCTCGCGACCTCGGCGGCTGACTACTCTTACTCGACGACGGGGATTGGACATCAGAAGGTCCTTCAAGTACAGTATCCCCATTTCCTCGAGTAGCTTTGCTGCGCAGACTGAATGGAATGGGCTGAACAGGCGTAGTGCTTGCACCACGGCCAAATTCAAATGCGGATCCGCCCCCAAACCCCTTCTCTAAAGCCAACGCAATTCCATCCATTGAGTCAAGTGCTCGATTGGACTGGCCGAGAGGGAAACCTGACGACCTCCTTCTATATGCTTTGTCGGCTGCCAGACTTGCGCCTGCGCCGCCATTAAGAGCAAGGCCAAGACTAGAGTCTCGACCAGGCTTGTATATACTGAATCGTGGTTCGGGTAATGAGACCTCGTTCCTTAACTTTTCCTTTCCGTCTGGTACGCGATTCGCAAAAACAACTCTAATACTTTTGTAAAGATAAAATCTTCCGCGACATGGTGAACATATGTGCAGATGTATTAGGTAGCGGAGTGTTGGTCTGTCTAATGGGTTCGACTGTACGGCTGAAATTGGCATGTCAATGATTGGGCCAGCAGAGTAGCTTCGCTGGCGGATGAATGTTTTCGTTCCCGGTTCCATCCCAGTGAGATCGTAGGGTACAAGAAACAATTTGACAGCGGTCTTGTTCGGGTTCTTAATAATGATTTGAAGCTGGCCTGTCTCAGGGATTCTGTAACTGCCTCCTGGTGGCGCTCTGGGTGATGTCGATCTTCTTTTCTGCTTCTCAGCCCTCCGTATTTCACGTTCCGTAGACTGAATTGTACTTGGACCGTCGATCATATCAATATCCTCAGCACGGGTGCGAGATGAATTGCTGTGTCGTTTCCGTTTTACGTCTCGCGCCTCGTCCGGATTTGGTAGGCTGTTCTCGAGATCTATTTGGCCAACATATGGACTTGGCCCATCTTCGGATTTTGGTGTGCGGCCATGGCTCGTAGTTTCATAGCTGTAGAATACTGCGGGGAATGGTATCGTCACATGAGCCGGGCAGCGAAGATTCGACTTACACTTGCCGAGACCCAGAACACCGATCTGAGCCACGAAGTCCAAAGGTCTCGATGGAGTTGTTGACATTCGACCACGAAGAATACTCTCCTCATAGGATCCTACCATTGATGCATGATGAAGTGGCGAGCTGTCCGACGTATATGATGGTCGTCTGGACCGCAGGAATTGTGGTGTTTGGGGAGAGGATGTGGGATGGGGCATTTGACTGGAAGTGAGTGATCTTCTGGGTTGGTGAGCTTGATAGGGGTATGTGTTGTCCCTCTTAAAATGTGGCGGGGGTCGGCTAAAAGAAGCTGACGTTGGGACAGAAGGTATGGAGTGGATCGAGTGTGAGGCTTGCAAAGTATGTCGTCGATGATATCTCTGTGAAGGTGGTGTGATATCGATCGGATTCATACCGGAAGAAAAGTCCAAATCGTCGTTACTTTCTGATTGGACTAAAGGGCTCGTCGGCGGCTTCAGTACGAAGCTAGAGGAGTACGATGAGGACAGTGAAGGGGCTCGAGACCGTGGCCTGTCAAGTAGATCTGGAGGAGGAAATCTTGGATCGAGTTGGAAAGGTGAGAAGTGTCGAGGAGGCGAGGTTGCAATCCAGGATGTTTGTTCCAGCCTATTCAAAGCAGACTGTGGTTGCAGCAAGCTTGTGTCATTTGATTGTCGTATGCCTTCTGTAAAGTCACCACTATGTAATGCCGAGCGCGGCCGCTCAATCTGCAATCCTGCCTGGTTCCTTTCTCTCTCGGTTGTAGAAGGACGCTTCGAATCAGAAATGTCTGGCGAGGGTAATAATGGCGAACAGTTCGAAGCAGTGGGGGACGGCTTTCGAGGAGTTTGGTCATAGTCTTGAATAAGAGACTCCAACTAAAATTACTTGTTAGTAACGGCACCTAGAGTAGTCGGGGTACCAAACTCTTCATACATTGCGATTTGGTAACCAAGTCGGGCTTTCTCCTCGCTTCAATCTCTCGATAAGCTCGACTCTGTCCGACGTTCCAGTTTTGGGGAATTTGAAGTTGGATGCCAGGCCAGCTGTTGCAAACTGTCTCTCGTCTTCTGGACTATCCGCGACCGGTCCTTCGCATAATTCCGTGCGTATGCTCTCTTCCGAGACCTTCCTCTCCATCAAACTTCCACCCTCGGGCGACTTCGATGGTCGAGGTACTGTCATTTTGGGGGGCGGCGGGGTGCCTCGGCGGCTGCCGAAATCATCTTGGAAGATGGGCATTCTGAAATTGGTTCAAAATGCTCCTTTTACTGTCATACATACATCGCGTTGAAATAGAAGGTTGGGAGCAGGAGGTCGGTGAAGCAGTAAGTACAGCAGACGCTGGTCGTGTTGTTATAAAGCGGGGGGGACGGCTGGGGCGGTCCTTTGTGATTGCTCGTGCAGCTGCAAGCCCTTCCCAAAATGACTCAACCAATCGTCTCAGTTCCTGGAGGAATAGTAAGATATATATACATATGTATATAGAGACGAGATATGTGCAAATGAATTAGATCGCGCTCATAGACTGGTAGCAAAGAACGATAGCGAGTGAGTGTCAGGACGTTGCGGAAAGGAATGATGTCCTGGTCAGGTCAGGTCAGGTCCGTAGATGTGAGCGAGTGACTTATCTTTATCGGAGAAAGTCGTCACTCGGTACAGTACTAGAGAGAGACAGCGCTTGCAGGGATACTATCGATTTCTTCCCGGCATCGGTGTGTGTCTAGCGGCCGCATCAGATCAGATCTGATCCTGATACTGTACCCCAGCAGCCAGCAGCCAGCCTGCCAGCCCAGCAAACCTTGAACAATTTGCTCCGCTCCCAGTCGCCTCTACATTCAGCCTTGAAGCTAACGACGACGAAGCGCTACCACGCTTGCTCGCAGCTGCAGTACATCTACTCTCACACGAATCTGACAATGGCTCCTAAAAGACCTGCAGAAGATGGGGCATCAGAACCTAGGCCCAAGAAGCACCGTCCAGGCTTCAAAGTTGGACCAGACAATCTTCCTGATGGAGTACACAGGCGCAAAGGTAGACTTTTTTTCTTCAGCAATCTATTCAGCTTCTATAGAACAATTAAGCATACTGATCCATCTCCCCAGTCATCAAAATCAAAAAAGACCTTATCCAAAAAGCCAAAATCAAGAAGTCCTACGCCAAAATAAAAGCCCAAACCGCTCTCCCTCCCGACCCAATTCCATATACGCCCCTCGAGCCAGCCTCCCAAGAACTGCACCCTGACCGTCAAGCCATGCTCGATGCCCCCGAAAAGCCCTCCCTCCTCCCCAGCCAAGAACAATCATATTCGCAGCGGCCACAGCAGCAGCAGAGAAGAGGGAAGAAACCCGCATATTTTGAGAAAGAACAGGCGTTTGCGGAGCAGAAGAAGGCCGAGGCTGAGGCGAAGAGGGCGGAGTTTGAGAGAAGAGAGAAGGAGAAGAAGGAGAAGATAGAGGAGAGGGAGAGGTTTAGGAGGACGATGGCAAAGGCGAGGACGGGTGGGAAGAATGGTCAGAGGAAGTTAGGGAAGGAGAGTCAGGTTTTGTTGGAGAAGGTGAAGAGGATGATTGGGAGTTGATGAATATGTGTTCCCTGATATGAAAATCATAATAAGCTCTTCCTTTTAGCTGGGAGATGGACATCAAACCTTCCAAGGAAAGTCATACTGTGGGAGAGGGAAATATTGGGATTGTTTGCTGCAGCCCTAGCAACGAGATGCCGCAGGATACTGGGGGAGCACAGAGGCAGGAAACCGATGGTAACTTGACTCGTTGGGCTTCAATGTCATGACATTACTATCAACCGCTTACTACAAGCATAATATGACACAAATTCAAGTGCCGGACCGTTCTGATAAGTGCCGTGCAAATACCTGCACTGAGTCATTTTATCTCGGCTACTATCTTGTACATACAGAAAGCAAAGTTGGTTTTCAACGAAAATTACCGCAACTAGGTGTACCAGATTTCCGCCTCCATCTATCTTACAATCAGCCCCATAGCGGGACTGCAAATATGCTTCTGCAGACCAGAAGTACCATATTTGGTAGTGCCTCTGATATCTCTCAATGTCATATCATGAAGCCACCATCCTAGAGTTCACAAATCTCCTAGACCTCATCCGAAATTGCTGCCTTCAGATCTGTCAAAGCCTTCGCAATTTGGGCCTTTCTGTTTCCGAGGATCTGAATACGGCCCGCGTGCCGAGACAGATTTGCCTGTTTCTGCTCCCTAGTAGTAACTGCTACATCCTTCTGGTCTTGAATTTCTCTGATTCGACGATCGAATTCATTGATTTCTGCCTCGACGTTCTGTATCGCAGCCGATTCTTCTTCACTCTTCCTCATCAGGCTTGCCATCTCCTCGTCGATGCTGCTGACTTTCGTTGCCAAGATGCTCTCCATCAATTGATCGTCAGCGGGAACGTTACCAGCGTTTGGCAGTGAAGTGTTCGCTGAAGTAGACGATGTAGGAGCTGTGCTTGGAACATTAGAGGCTTCACGTAGCGACGAGTTTGTTGGATCCAAAGACAGCCGGGAACTCGACGATCTGGGTGGCTCTGATTGACGAGGGCGTGACAGGTGAGGTGGAGGAGGATTAAGCGGAGAACCGTATGGATTTGGAGATGCCTTCAGCATCGAGTCCTCGTAGCTGGGTGGTGGCAATAGTGGTAATGAAGGGTCTCTCATGGGTGCTTTTCGTTTGAGCATGCCTGGACGGCTCTGTTGCTTGTTAGCAATAGTCAAGAGGGGCGGTGAGCAGACACATACGCCGTAAATCTTGTCGTCTGGGCTTACATCGACATCTGCAGCTGGTTCATAAGACTGCTTCACAGAAGGTTCCACTACTAGGGGTTCATCGTCAGATCCGAGTGATACCATGGATGAACGCTTGCGCTTCCTGGATCGTCTCGTCTTCACACCAATGTCTGGGGTGATATCTGCCATGACTAAAGACGGCTCCTCGGAATCGAATGCCTCTTCCCCACCGACATCCTTGGTACCATTCAACTTCAATTCTGCTTTCCTGGCCTTGAATCGAGCATTGCCAAAGTAACCCTGGCAGAATTAGTCACAGTATTCTACATGCATGAGCGTGTCACAACTTACCGAGACCTGCTGTCCAGTCAAGCCAAGCTCCTGTACAAGGCGTGCTCGAGTCTCAGCATCTGGGTTGAGGCCATTCTCCGCCTCCCTTGCAAGACCTGCCTTTTGGGCCGGGGTAAACTTGCGACCAAGCTTAGGTGACTGAGCTCTAGGGGGTGCCTTTGGGGAAGGAGGTTCGGCTTGAGGTTGTGGTTGTGAGTGAAGGCTGTTCTGTAAACGTTTCGACTTCGTAGGAGTTTCTCGCAGCGTCATAGTTGGTGTATCATCGAAGGGTTTCGCAATAGAGTTCCTACCGCCGGTAGTTGCGACAAGCTTTGTAGACTCATTTCCAGAGCCAAATCCGCACGTGCCAGCGATATTCCTTCTCCAGAAGATCATACAGGAACTTTTCGTTCTATCGATTCCGTAACGGCGCTGCAACTCGGATGAAGCCCATTCGAAAAGCTGGCCAGAATTAAACTCTGGTTGAGAGTTGTCACTCCTTTCTAGCTCCCTCCGCTCCTTGACAACCTCCACGAGCGCGTCGCGCTCTCTATCTTCCCAGCGAACTAGATTTCTGTGACTAGTAGAAGTGGCCCCTTCGCCATCGATGTTGTCATCGCCATTAGTAAAGCCTTCATCCCCTACGAAGCTTGAGTCCAAGCCTTCGTCGAGGTCCTCGGGCTCCTCAACCTCGAGCTTATCCTCTCCAAAAGTGCCATGCTTTGACCTTCCCCTGGTAAAGTTGAAAAGCGACTCATTTTCAGCCCGGTCACTCATGCGGTACCACTTATCTTTACATTGTGTAGAAGATTTCGTGATACCTAAATCAGCGAGCCGTTGGGACGCCAAGTCAAAGAGTTGCGCATAGCTGGTCGGAGCACCAGCCTCGCCGGCTGTACTACCAATCGAAGAGATGATCTCCTGATACTTCTCCTTATCGTCATCGGTCCACGATGGGCCCTTGGTTCTTGGACTCTCAGTCTTAGGAGACAATAGCTCAGATGCGACGTCCATAGTAGCTGCCACCGGCGACCGAGAGGTTTGAGGATCACGCGGCGCCGACGTTGTTCTGTTAATAGGAACGAACATGAGTTTGCAAGAGCCACGAGTGCGGTACAGTGGACCCCGTACTAATTGTGTGGCGTATGGCGTATGGCGTATGACGGGTGTTGAGGTGGGATGGGAGTGCAGATGCGCGAGCAATCTGATGCGCGAGGGTGTCAGTCAGCCTTTATGTCGAATTGATAGTCGTAGCGGCGGGTTCCCGAATTAGCACCAAAGCGCAATGCGAACGTGACAGGTTATAGCATTGTAGTATGGGAATGAGAACAACCCATGACACAAGTTTCAATGACACTTCGCGATGCAATCTCCTTAATGTGCGCCTGAATCAATATTTTCAATATCATTATCAACTAAATTGCTTTTTCTATGACTTCTATATGACACGTGACCAAAATATAATCAGGTACGGAAATGATGAGCCGAATATTTTCCCTCCCATTTCTCGTAGTGAAACCCAGCGCATGACAAATACGACATCCTCGCACGATATCTCACTACTAGTGCCATAATAACTTTTTCTTCCGCTCAGCTTTGGCCAGTGCCTCTCCAAGCTCTACTAACTCCCTACGATTCCCCAACTTCTGCTCAGGGGTCAAGGCATCTCGGATGTTGTTGGTTCCCTTGCCTCCAACATCCGGGAAATAATCGTGTAGCGTTGTACCCCAATGCCCTGTAGTCTTTGTAGCAGGGCGTTTGTAAGTTTTTCCAATCCGCAATCTTTCCTCGCCGTCCAGATCGTTGTCAGTGTGCTGTCGATTGCGCTTCAGGGTACTTCTCTGGCGAAACTATAAATGGTTAGACAACGGACGAGCGCAATGGGAAAATTCAACTTACTTCAGGCCCTGCAACTGCCTTGGATATTTTCTCTGCCTTGATCTTCAGCTTTCTCGCATCTTCGTGTCCGAGAGCCCACAAGTTCTTTAAAGTTTCGTCCATAGTCACTACACATTATTGTCAGAGCAGAACGACTTGACATGTCAAGGAGGGTCCCTACATTTTAGTCGCTTCACTTTTCTATTTTTCTCCTCAGCTTCAAGAGCCGATATTCTTCGAACGAGAGCTCTCTTTTGGTTTCGCATGGCCAATTTCTCATCCGCGGTAGCCTCGTCCTCTCGTCTCACGAGTTCCTCCAGCTCCTTCCTCGTCTCCTCCAAGGCGGGGATCTCTGCATGTTCGGTATTTTGTGCCACATTCTTGCGTTGAACACCTTGCGAGAGCAATCGTCGCAATTTTTCTTGGCGCTCCTCCTCCACGGTCTTCTCCTCGACTATTGGCTCTCCAAATAGGGTGTCTGTCTCAGAGTTGGGACATTCATTTTCGTTTTCAGTGGTAATTTCCTCCATGAGAGGGTCAAACTTATGAGGTTCTTCGAGTGGTGCTTTTGTAGTCGCACTTGAAGTTATCTTTGAGTAAGATCGGGTACTTCTTTCAAGTGGAGCAGTTGAAAATCTGCTGCGAAGGATATCTTTGCGAAGGAAATTTCTGAGGCTGATCTTTGGAGGCATCTTTCCTTTCCCCAATCACGAAAAACGTGGGACTGGAATGAAGTCCATGAACTCTAAGAATAATTATTCATGCCGAGAGGCAGCCTTATCTGGTGGAAGGGTGTCAAAGATCAAAGTGTCTTGAATGGAACAAGTGAATACATCAGTTTTCCTCACCTAGCACCGAAGGAACGTCACTCAATAGAGGCGTATTTTTTCTATGTATGAGAAGTGTAGTTCAGATGAGATTATACTTGAATCTGTCAGCCGAGACAAGATAGTGAAGCCACCATCACCGTACCAGTCTATGGCCACAACGATGCCGTATTCATACCACATATAAAATGATTTCAATAGTTCTAGTCGCACCCCCAAGTCAGTGTAATTCATGTCAACGAAGATTGAGTTTGAAAGTTGTTTCTGATCATGCCGGGCCCCTGTAGTATCAGCTGGATCCTTCCGGGATAAGTAAATTACATTCCCATTCTCCTCAACCTACCAATATACGACCACATATTCCAAACTGCTCAAAGGGTTTTCGATTCTCGCATCCGTCCAGTCATAGAATCAGCCTACCCCACCATTGCAGTTCTCTGAAGGTATTACGTCAATATTCTCTTTCAACATAAAGTAAAAGTACCAAGACAGCGCTCTAGCTTTCGCCTTACCTTCAGTCAATTCTCGACTGCATGTATTGCGTGTTCATTATTATCTGACTCTACTTGTGATAAGGGCTTGCTATGTAAAAACATACGAGTGCAGTTGTTGACAAAAGTGAATCTATGGCGGCACTATGTCTCTGACATTTGACTGTGGAGACTTAGTCTGGACAATGTTTTACTCACCACCAAACGGAAAACAGTGAATCTCCAGGGCTACAACCTCGTATCATGATAAGAAGAGCAATTTCCATCATCCGATGCACCAAAATTTGACTGCAAACGCCACAGCGCAAAGAACAAAAGCTTATCATGCAGGAACCAAGAGTTCCGGTCATATCATTCATCATCAACCGCTAAAGAATACCAAAAATATCTACTACAATGATGCTAAGGGGTCAAAGGTCCGCTGGCCTCTGTTCCTGCCTGTCTTTCATCCCACATGTCCCAAGCAGGAGCAAGGCCACTTTCACCACCGTCACGAACGTAAGTCGAATCGAATGATCGAAGCGAAGCGAGGTGGACTATGACCTTCAGCATCATGATAAATACATATCCCTTTCCCACCTCAAGGAATGATAGAAGACCCGGCGATTTCGTCCTCAACGCCTTCCCGCGCCTCCAAGTCGGGCCTCTATCATCTCCCGCCACTGTCTCTATATGACCACCTGCAGCAAATATCTCCCTCAATCGCGGAACTGAAAATGGATATCAATTTAGGAAACAACTCGCAAGCCCTTCCGGGCCCCACCAAGGTTTAGGAAGGAAGAGGAATGAAGACCCATGCACAAAAACAGCAGAGCAAGAAGGGCCATGAACGCCAAAGTATATGAGGGTTTGGAAACAAAAAGCCGCCATTTGCAAAGCCCGCTGAAGTTAATCCAAACGTAACGCCTGCCTGCCCCCGTGGTCAATCGAATGGCATTGGCGAACAGAGAGCGTAAAATGTACAAGTCGGAGGCAAAATAGTTGCTCCGATTTAAAGTGGAGTGAGGTCGCTTATTGTGAGAAAATTTCTTGGCTGTGCTCGATAATGAATTGCATGGCAGTGTTCTTGGAGTGCATATCAGTCATCTCGCGCTCGAGGCTGTGGTCGCGCATGATTGTTGGCGCAAAAACCACCGCCAGATTCTTGGTAGTCATCTGAAGGTTGTTAGAAAGTAACCTCTGGGTATTGTAAGTCGGGCTTACCAGATTCTCGCCCTCTCGAGTTGCAACTCGAGACAGATGGAACATTAGAAATTCGAGACAGTCGCGATGCTTGTCAGGAAGCATGGAGAATGTCTTCTTCAAATGAGCACATCTCTCCGAGTCATTTTCAATAGCTATAATTGTGTTAGCGTTTTTGCAGAATCGAAATGAGATGGGTTCCTTACTGATAGACTCCAAGATCCGATCATAGACGTCAAAGGTCAAAAGTGGTGTGGGAAGTTTCCTGAAGTATTGCTTGAGAACACTGGTGACAGCCGTGATATCCAATTCGGGGTCAGAAATATCGAAATCTTCAATTCTCTCAAATCCTTCCTGCACGATCTTCTGCTGACCACTTCCACCAGTCTTCCTGTAAATGCCCTCGGTATCCATTCCTCGTAGCTCGACTTCCTCAATGCAACGAGTGACTACGCTTGGGATTTGTCGGCGCTCGTAATCGGCTCTCTCTACTAACTCGGATCCAAAGAGTGTCGACGGAGGCTCTGCCAAGGCAATGCTGCCATTCGACACGGATTTCGGCAAGGCATTTGATTTCTTGAACAGCCCAAATCCTCCTTGCTTGGGATCGTTGGAACCATTTCGAGGAAGACTGCCAGATTGGGGAGCGCCGGCTGGCGCTTCAACTGCCTGGACTGTCATGTTGTACGGTAAGCCAATGCTGTCGCCAGTCTGCCCTTGCCATTGTTGACCTCTCTCCTGCTGTACTGAAGCAAACGCACCCTTGAAGCCCTTGGATACGCCCTTAGCCACAGTCTGACCACCCTTCTTCCAGTTGAATTTTTTGGCCTGGCCCTTACGGATATTTACCACATGTGGTGCTGAAAGAACAGTCGCGGGTTCCATGCTTGGGTCCTGGTCCATAGCTTGCGGGTAGTTGCTGACTGAGCCGAATAATGTAGTACTCGTCGACGGTCGAAGGCTAGCATCATCCAAGTGGACTGATACATTTGACTTGTCTTTGCTGTGGTGTGTGTAAATGCCCAGACCATTCATGGGAGGTCTTGGACTCTCCATCCCAGGGCCACTCTGTGCCTTGAAACGTTCTTGGATTTGGTGGGTCAAATCGTTGTTCATATCGGCAAGCTGAGCATTCTTGGAAGAAAGTTGCTCGAATTCCACCAGTGCTCTGTCGCGGTCCGCAATGATTTGGTTCTTCTCCTCCAGAAGTTCGTTACGCTCCTCATACAACGACTCCACTGCACCAGACATGGTCTGCTTGAGGCGTTCTAATTTTTGTACGAATTCTTTGATGGCCGAGTCCTCCAATTCCGCAATATTGATCGGCTCTTTCGAACCTTTCGCTCTCTCAACGTACCCAGCCAGAACCTCCAGCTGCTGAATCATGATTTCTGTCTGCGAATCCAACACCGACACAGTCTTGCGCTTCTCGATCAGTTTCTTGTTGAGATTTTTGAGATCCTTCTCGCTAATGAATTGACGCTCAAGTTCCGCGACTCGCTGTTCTGAATTTCGTAGTTGCCGACGAAGCAGTGCCGGGTCATCCCCGGATTGAGGAGAGGCAATTGAGATTGGGCTGCTGATATCCTTGGGGGCTGCATCTTCTGCGATGGGTGTTTTGGGCCATCGCGGCGATGCTGTCGTCCGGGTAGTCTCACTCACACTCCGGCCATGGCCTGGCTGGCGTCCGTTGCTCTGTTCGCTGGCGGTTCGGCCATGGCGTACAGCATTCGAAACGCGTCGAAGAATTGACTGCGAGCTTTCATCCGTTCCACCTAAAATCCGTGCCATATCTTCATCCATGGTAAAATCCCCACCAGCACTCCATCTCGGTAGCTTGGGCGATGATGGCTGACCAGACGAGGAACCATTTGAGTCTTTCGGCGTAAGCCCTGAGGCCGTTGGGGGAGCTGGGGGAGCTCGAGGGGTCATGTATGAATCGCTCAGCTTCTGTTGAGGAGCAGGAGGTCGATTCGGTGCACGGGATGGAAGGGCCAGTTCATCTTTCATAGGTGATTGTAGTGACAAAGGTGCTGAGATCGACTTGCCATTCAGTGTTGGTGTAACCCCAGGGGTATCCGAAGAAGAGGCGGAAGATGGAGACGTATCTGCTCCTGAGGATGAGCTCATCGAGCTCATAGTACTCTTCAAAGCTCCTGAAGCTATCTCCTTACGGGGAATTGACCTTGCAGTGCCACCAGAATCCATCCGGCCGATTTGTGGTGGAGAATTGCTTGACTCTAACGATTTCCTCGAGTCCAATTCTTCTCTTATCCTCGAATCTATGGAAGATCGAGGTGTTGACTTGTCTGCATTAAGCATTTGCTTAGGCGAGTCGCTTCGCGGAATGCTAGATGGACCTTCTTTCCGTGGTGGGGCAGACAACCCTCCAGACCCAGATCGAGCATTGTTATTGTCACTTATTTCAGATTGTGAGTTCGTGCTCGAAGTGCCAGACTTCTTTCCCTTGGGTACATCACCTAAGCGAAATTTCTCGCTTCCACTTTGGCCTTTGTTGTTTCCACTCGATGTTTTGGGGGATTGGGCAGCATGCTGAACTCGAATATCATCGCTGCCAATAGCTGGTGACGCCTTAGCAGAGGAAGACTTGCCTCCTGCGGCAGCCTTGCGCAAGCTGTCCCTAATCTGTGCGGATTCTTCCGCAGAAGGCTGGCGACCTTTCTCTTGGAAGGCGATATGTGGAGTCGATGACTCTCTCTGTTTCTGCGTTTCAGTCTGTTGTCTACCAATGCTCTTGGCCCCAAAGTAATCCTTCTCAGGAGGCTTATTCTCCTTTGTTTTCTTTCCTGAATCCGTCCATGTTTCTGAAGTTGAACGTGGAGTCATGGTCGGAGCAGGAGTCGGATCCAAGGCAAGAGGGATAAAGAAGCTCTCGCCATCACCACCGTTGATGTCGGAGGCCTGAGATATAGCAGAATGCCTGTTGTTCCGGTACGTCGTAGTTGGCAGAGTTAAGCCATCTCTGGTCTGTGTGTCACTGGAATTACGCTCTGGTGATTGCTCACGAGGACGTCTTGAGCTACTCCGGGACGAGGAGTCATTTTGTGCGTAGCCCTGGCGCGGTCTTGGTGACAGCTCAGTTGGAGTATCTGTATCTAACGAATCTGGTGTTTCTCGATCAGGAGAAAAAGCACTCTGTAGAATGGCGTTTGGTGGGAGAGCAGGTAAAGATTTGTCCACAAGCATCGGAGACTGGTCGTCTTTTTTCATTTTGGCTGCAGCTCTTGATTTTTTCCGCCGCCGTGCCATTAATGATTCATGACAACTCATGCAAAATATCCCTTGTGATGTTCGTGCATATCTGAGGTTTTCGATTTTGCGCTTACAGTTGCGGCATCGAAAGCAGGTAGCGCAGAACGCTTGATCGCCGGTGAGAATAGCTAGGTCTTCGATTTTGTTGCCACAGGCACTGCAGCTATATGTACAGTTATTGCAGATGAGGGAGCCATCGCCGAGTAGAAGGAGGTTGGCATCTGAATCGAGGAGGGTGCCACAGGTATTGCATCGGAAGCAGTTCAAATGCCATCGATTGCCAGCTACAGACTCATTAGATTTGTTTAATTTCGATATTGGGGACTCCATCATGAAAGGTGGAAAGGGACCATGTTTCGAAATCCCAAAGGATAGCAGCTATTAAAGGATCACCAGAGTTCACTTACCAAGTTCGAATGCTTTGCCTTCCTCGAGAATCTGTGAATCAGGGTCAGTATCACCATGAACCGCAATGACCTCAGCTCAGTCCGAGTGAACGTACGTCTCCGCATCCTTTGCACGGATATGCCACATCATCACCATCCATCGGAGAATCGAGATAATCGGCCGGCGACTCCATGATTGTCAGGTCGTCCTCGAGGACCTTATGTTCTCCCTGGCCTCTCCAGTATCTTTCTCAATGTGTCCAACAGCTCTGCCTCCTCAGTCCTTGGCGTGGCAGACGTTCAGAACATGGAAGTGGAAGATGCGATCCCTCGAAGTCTCCGTGTGTGGGAAGAGGACGCACGGTCGCAGGAGGATCGAGTAGGCAGGTCGCAGGGGAGGAAGCTAGTCGAGGGATCTCCAATCGAGTGGAGTGGAGATGCGCGGGCCGAAAAATGAGCGATGTTGATTAAAAAAGAAACGTTCGGAGAGGAATAAGTATGTTACAGGAGGATATCCAGGGCATAGGGCTGTCGGCCGTGAAAGAGGTTGAGGAGGGTGCGCGCGGAGGAGGATGGGTGACAGCGAGTGGAGTGGGGAGTTGTTCGAAGGATGGAGGTTGACGAGACAAGAGCAGTTCGGTCCGTGGTCGATCGAGCGAGCGAGTGAGTGAGTGAGTGCGTGAGTGCGTGAGTGAGTGAGTGAGAGAGAGTGGGCGAGATGTGCAGAGGCTGATGGATCCTGGTCACAACATTCCAGACGGGCCAAGCCTCAAGGGGTGGAGGAGAGGTGAGAGGAGAGCAGCGCAGCGAAGTGCAGTGCAGTGCAGTCTCACTCGCAAACTAATGGGTAAAATGTCTTTCAAAAGTCGCCAGTGAGGGACGCAGACGCAGCAGCCAGTAGCAGAGTCCGCGAGTGGTGCCTGCTGCTGCACCTACGGGACGCCTACACTCTGGAGTGAGGTTGGATCGCTGCGCGAGTGGGAGTGGGAGTGGGAGTGGGAGTGGGAGTGGGCCCAGGGGGCTGGATAAGGTAAGGTAAGGTAAGGTACCTAAGGTAGGGTAGCTACTAGCTACTACCTACCTTAGCTAGCTGTACCCGTACCCGCAGCGGTGACTGCCCTGGGCAATGGGCATCTATGGTCTATGGAGGTGGTCTGCGAATACTGTAGCCTCTTCTGCTTCTTCTAGATGTCCGGCATCGAAGTGAGAGTAATAAATCGCAGTCAGTGTCGCCATGCTAGGGCAAGGCCTCGACGTCGACACCTTGAGTTTGCACCACTACTGCGCCGGTCCAACAAAGATAGACTCGGTAGGGTGCTGGAAGGAGCAAAGTGATCTGTAACTTCGTAAACTGTAAACTAACTCAGACGTCTACCTACTCATCTCGGCATGAAGCATGCGAAAACCTAGGTAAGAATAAACACCTACAGTAGAACGCCAACACAAGTCTACTGTAAATTTACTTGACCCCTGAAGCAAGTCCAGTCAAGTCCACGTCCACCTCTTCCTTCCGCCAGGATGTTGACGTCCAAACACAGTTAAGAGGTTGGTGGCGTACACACCTGGTTTCAGGTTGAGTACCGAAGAGCATGCGCCAGAGGACGATACAGTCCGCTCTACCTCCGTACCTACCTCCGCACACCACATAACGTGAATCATCCAGCTGCAACGACTTTGCTTCAATTTTGTTTATAGTCAGTCATTGATAATCCTCAATCTTCATGAAGTATCAGTTCCAGGGAGTATCTTATCTTTGGGAATGCCACCCTGTCAACCTGCCGCTGCGACGGTGCGATGCCGATGCCTTTATCCCGATTCTCCCTCACTAATGCGGGATCTAAGAAAATTGGATACACCTAAACTCCATTCAACATTTGTAAATTTGGACCGATCCCTGGCACCATGAGTTCGACAGACATAAAGGCTCGTGTTCTTCGTATCACAAGATGAATTTTACCCCTTGACCGCCTACCAACTCAAGGAACACCGTGACTTACAAGGTTCGGAGGATACAATGTCTTTGTACTCTGAGGTCGCATCGGAGACTTGTCAGGAGGCAGGATGAGATGCCAACAGTACCTGTGGTTGCACCTGTCTGTACGTTCCCCTCAAGCAGGAGTTCGTGGAAGCCACACTCGATAATGTATGGCTCGACACATGGCAAATTGCTGTGCGCAACGGTTCCAGAGGTGCATGCGTCTTAGGCTACGATTCTCAGAATCCTCAAGTCCAACGTCTGTCCATTCTTCAGCGGCTTGTTCAATATTTATTTGGGCGTATATAGACCTGAGACCTCCTGAGTCTGATCTGATCACGCCAGACTCTTACAGCCCAGTCACCGCAAGATTGGAAGAAGCGAAAAGAGAACCAAACGACCCGATGATCATGCTGGTCGCACCTGTTTCCACTGATTAAGAGAAGGGCAGTTGAAGCCTGCGCCCCGGCTCCGCTTTCCTTCTCAACACGAAGATGTTCGCTCCAGCGTCTGAGCATTTCTTGACAGCTGGCTCCTGTGTGACCTGATACCAAACATGCCGCCTATCAAAAACCGGAACTTCGCTCCGTTTTCAAATGGTGCAAGTGCTGAAGAAACACAGGATCTCGGATTAGAGTTGAGACACGCCCTATTTCCATTCATTCATCTGAATCCTCCGCGCCACTGCAACTCGAACACAACCTCAAACTCAAACTCAAACTCAAATCCAATTCACTCAATTCGTCTCCAAACACCTTGGCTTGGCCAGCCATACCACACCCAATGAGTGCGCCCAAATCCGAAACACCATGACTCGAGACATCCACGAACAGGTTCAACTAAAACCCATCCATACACACAACTCAAAGGTTCACAAGCGCCCCTTGCGCGCATTATTAAGTTTCAGGATCTCCAATTCCCAGAATCGTCTAATCCGACCAACCACAGCATCGGCTTGTACCATCTCCAACTAGCCTAGCCTAGCCTAGCCTAGCCTAGCCTAGCCCATCACCTCGAGCGCCCCGTTTGTCGATCACTGCCTCCCTTCCCGCACCCCCTCGTCGTCAAATCTTACTGTAAAACTCCAGCCGTCACGTGGGGTCTAGTTCAATTTCTTCGTGTTGCTCCACGGGCATCACCACCTGCAGTGAGCCAGTGCAGCGGTCCACTCAGCGAGGCAGGTTTGATCAGTCCAAGGCAAGGCAAAGAGCACAGATGATTCCATCCGTGCAGAGAACCAATATCTCCTCAGCATCTTATCTCATCTCATCTCATCTGCACAGAATACAGGACGATCGATCTCAGGTCAGAGCGTCATCCGTTCTTCCCATCCATCTATCAAAACCCTTCTCAAGATCTCCCGAGGCCGGCCAGCTCGGAGGTCGCAGCACAGGTCTCCCATCTGGACCACCTCATATCGGGACTTAAATATCGCGGGGTTGGCGAACATGCCAAGGGCTTGTCCCTTTCTGTTCAATATCCCCTGGTCGACATCTCATCTTGTGCCGCCCCCATAAGTTAACCAAGATGAGATGAGAAGGTAAAGTTAGTTAGTTAATTTACTTGTGATGCATACCGAAAGGCAGACTTAGAGCACAGCCATTCAAAAGGCATTAATAATGAACATTGCCAGTGTCCTGGTTCATGCCTACCAAGAAAGGTACGCTGATTGTACCGGTCCAGTAGTCGGTTCTGCGTACCTGAGATGACCAGGGCGTGATCATAGCCCCTGAACCTAGGTACTTTAGATCTCCACTAGGATATGAAGCTCGCATAAAAGCTATCCAAAAGTTCACGAAAAATGTTACCGCCACGATACGCAAGCCTGCCGCTGAATTTCGATGTAAATGCTCATCGTCATTCATTCTCCTGGCCTCTCAAAGGTTATAGCTTAGAACTAAAATAAATTGACATGCCTCTTCATTATCCGTTACATCGTCATGCCACACTATCCTCGCTTGTCTGAGAATAGAGAGAGCACCGCTAATTCAGGGGTTCGGCTCGGTACTAGCACAGAACGCGTTGGCCAACAACACCGCACCACATCAGCATTTCATCGATTGAAGATAGCCAGCCACCAGCGCGTTCGACCAGCTTACATGTTATATCCTCCCAGTAGCGAATACACATGTCTCGAATTCCCTTTGGATCTATATTTAAAAATGATGACTGGTTGAGTGGTCGACCCTCTTATCAAATCCATTTTGCTTGTCAAAAGGTGAGATGGTTGCTCAGCCCGCCTCAAGCAAGATGTTCAGCTAAAAGGAGTGCAGACCTAAACGAACGCCCATCCAGTCACTCACTCACTGTCTTCGCTTCCGCTTGCTATAGCGATTGATAGGTGTGCATGTCAAGTGAGGTGGGCCTCTGCCAAATATTTGAGGAGGGTTGTTTGGGTAGATAAAGTATTTAGCATTACAGTTACTATGAAGCTCATCTAGTAAAGGCAGAAGCTCTCCCTACCTCATAAACAAGCAGCCACGAACGAAAGGACTACCGAACAAGGGCCAGAGTCGATGGCCAAAAAGAACCTCAGTCTCCTCATTCAAACCCCAACTCCAACTGCCGAACACCACTCAGCACATCTGACAAAAATAACCCGATAGCCAAGAATCTATACTCGTTCAACCAAGAAGAGAAACTCCGGCCTTGCCATCCGACCAATATGCTCACTCATACACTCTATGATAATCACGAAGTCGCAGCCAACTCTCTTTGTCGTTTCACGATGTAATAAGTAATCAAGCTCTTCGGATCATCCTTCACGCCACCCAATGCGCTCCAAAACCGTGACTCTCCAACGCGCGCATGCACACTGACGCACAACTGCACAGCATCCATGCGCACGCCGCTCTCCGAGCTTTCAAGACATCGCGCAGCCAGCTTGCACATCTCTTCAACTTCCAAGTCGTTTGGCGCGAAATCCTTCTTGACTTCTAGAAGCTCCTTCAGAACGTGTAGACCCATGCTGAGAGTTCTGCACCCTTCAAGAGTCATCTCTTCGTTCTGGAGATGCGTTGTGATGGTTTCGCTTGTATGCTGGGGGTTGGAGAGAGTGACAAGTTCGTCGGCGAGCAGCTCGAGTCCGCTGACGATGTGCGTGCGAGCATCATAGCAGCTTCGCGTTGCTAGAATAGCTTCCAGTCCTTTGGTCACGTAGGGTCGAAAAGCCTCGCGGTCCTTTTTGTACATAAGTTTGACTGTGGCTAGAATTTGCGCTTTGACGTCTTGGTCCTTTTCAGGGGTGAGATTGGTCAAGCGAGCCTCAAGGTAGTCAAACAAACCAACAAGGAGGGCGTCAAACTTGTCGTCAGACCAAGCTGCTTTGTTATCTCTGATTAAGCCTTGAAGTTTTCGGAAGCCATGAACATCAAGAGATTTAGCTTTGATCTTTGCAATACCGCTATCCAGTAGTCTCGAGCTCTGCTTCAATCGTTCTGGTGACAGTGCTGGAGCCTTCGGAGAATCTGTCATCTCGATTCCATTACGTGCTAAGTTAGCAGCATCTTCGTTGACAGGAACCTCTTCCAGGACAGGCGCAATCATGACTGGCCGAGGCGTCGTATTGTCATTGATGCTCGAAAAGGGATCCTCATAAACTTTCAGGGACTTCAATGGTGTGACAATCTCATCTTCATCTGACGACTCAGGCTCAAGAGGCACACTTTGAGGGTGTGACTCAGAAAGCCCAGAGAGCGTAGGGACGACCATGGTGAAATCCTCATCTGCTTTTGATGGACTCGATGAATTAAAATGCTTGCTCGTAGGCTTCGGTCTTGCTGGACTTGAGCGAGGCGATGGCGCAACTCTACTAATGGTACTCTTAGCAGGACTTGTATGACTAGAGCTTGCGTGGCTAGAGTGGCTAGTATTTGGCCTGGCGATCGGCTTCTTGGGAGGACTCGTACTACTAACGCTTGGTGTTCTTGTCTTTACTGGTCTCATGGATGGACTTGTGTGGGAATCACTGTTGGAAGGGCCATGTCCCGGTCGTCGAACGGAATAAGGGCCAGCAGTTGCGGGTCTTGCGACAAGCTCTGGTCGTGGAGCAGGTCGAAATTTTGTGGGCCGCATTGGAGCTACGGACAATCCACCGTGAGCCACAGTAGTTGACTCTGATCGTTCTTTATTAGATGTGGTGCTGGATTTGTTAGACGATGTGGATGATGATGAGACTGTGCGCGTAGGAGAAAAGGAAGACATGGCTGATCCAGGCCGAGCCGGAAGATTCCTATTTGCCATGGCAGCTTTCTTTTGAGCTAACATCGTCTCCCGAAGTGACGGTTTTGGAGGGCCAGTCGTGCTCTTGCTGAATCCCAAACCTGGCCGGGCAGCCACAGGGTCGGGCTTTTTCGGAGAATTCGGGTTATCAGGGGCGTTTTCTAAAAGTCTTTGCTGCGTAGCGTCCAATGTGGCCAGGATGCTGTCTCTATATCAGTCTTGCCAACCCAAAAATGCTGAATTTGGACTTACGATTCCGCTCTAGCTGGCCAGATCAGAGCGAAGGCCCAATAAGTCGATCTCATGTTCTCTCGGACAGTTGGGTTTGCATCTGCCAATCCTTTCTTCAGACACTTCTCAATCAGGTCCAGCCCGCCTGTATGCTCAACATGACTTTTGTGGTGGGCTTCCTTCTTCAGTAGAGTCTTGAGCCAGCCCGTCGCATACATTCTTGGCTGCACATTCTTGTCCTGACACGCTAGCCATATGTGCTGCATGATCCGTATATTGTATGTAACTCTTCCAATGATGATATCGACGGTCAAGTTTCCGTTCTGCGAGCTGATTTTTTTGGTTCCGCCACACAGCTTGATCAAATTTTGAAGAAGAATCTCAACCATGGGATCCAAACCTGGGCCAGCGGTTCTGGCGACTTCTTGGATAACACTGCAGCCCTCTTTGGAAAGACTCGTTCTCAGGGAGTTCACCGCTTTTAAAATGCCATCTAGGAGACCCTTAATTCCAGCGAGAAAAGTGTCATGGAAGTCGCTTGGTGCGTTTCCAGCATTAAGTCTCCGTAATTTTGTGCAGCTTTGCTCTCTCTTCAACCAATTCGCTTCAGACTCCTTGCCTTCAAAATGTGGGTGCATTTCTCTGAAGGTGTCCTCCAATTCCCTATTCGTGTTGACGTATGAAGGCTCCACGTGCTCGATTTTTGCCTCCTGGACTGGTGTAGATGGTCTAATGCTGGACATGGACGATACGCTATTGGAGAAAGTTGGCCGCGGTGGTATGTCTACTACTTCCGATTCGGCTGGTTCTGGGGGTCCTCCTGGACCAAGGTGGGGTACGATAGCTGCAACAATTGCCGGACGGACATTGAAATTCTTCAATTGCTTTTTCAAGTCGGACTTCGCAGCATTTGGGGCGTTTCTATTGACCGATTAGCTCGTGCTCTCACTTCTTCTTTAGCCCAAACATACTGGAAGAGTGCAATGACCGAATTCCGAGCAGTATCTCGGACCATCCCGTCTGCATCTTCAAGAAGCTCCATCAATGTGGAAACAAAGCTTTTGAAAGGCATGCCATTTTCTTGGTGCATCTGTAGGCTGTTAGTACAGCACCAGAGTGTAGTCTGAGCAGATTAGGCCAGCTTACCTGTACGACCCAGGTCATACATGCTTCCTTCATCCTCGAATTCTTGCCCGCGAGACCAGAATTCTTGACTATTCTTTCCACATCCAGCGGAGTAATTCTCCAGAACGTCGTTAAGCATTGCGCCGCAAGCTGTCTATATTTCTCCTTCAGATCGCCCATTTTCTCGATCACCAAGGGTAAGGTTCGCCCAGCCTCCTTGACAACATATTTTGGCTCCTGTCGTGACAACCGTGTGAGGAGATGGTTCAAAGTAGAGAAGCCAGCATTGACAATTGCAGCGTGCGACGAAGTCATTGATATTCGTGTAGCTTCGAAGAGGGGGAGTATACACGGCTCGGGGACATTGTTCTGCTTGATGCCGGATTTGACATTGTTGATTTGACTAACTTTCGCATCGATCGAGGTATCGGTTCGCAGGACAGCGAGCAGGTTTGCGACCTGCTCTTCATTGATCTTTTCGCCCATCTTGTCGGGGGAGGGGAAAGGCTGCTACGATGTTGAGAGTGTCTGTCGGGCTGTGAGGAACAGCTAGGAGAAAGGCTTCGAAAGCCGAGATCATCCGGCGTGCGAATTAACAACACGAAGAGGCACTTACCAAAAGACAGAAATTGAGGGGGAGAAAAGAGTGTCGGTGTTTGGAGTAAACAAAAGTGTCGTTGCTATTGCGGGCTGTCGTCTGCGCGAACGCGACTAGCGGCACTAGTGGCCGGGGTGCCCACAAGACCCGCATCCCTGACCAGGACCTGCCAGAGATGGTCCCAGCGCCCGAGGGGCCAGAAGACGTGCCGGGCTCGCCGGGCAAACATTATATTCGCTTTGAGACATCTCCGGTTGCACAGTTAAACCCAACTCAATACAACACAGTTCCGCCCTCGTTTTGTATTTGGCAGCACAATATATTCTTTCCGTCGGGACTCTCATTAACAGGTCAGCACGTTTCTTCAACTCATAAGCTGGTTTTATAATGGTCGACATTTCACCGATCCCTCCTCTGGTCTTCATGCCTCCACAGTCATCCCGGACCTCAGAGCCTCCCCCCACCTCAACTTCGATTGCCTCGCCTTCACAGAAACCTCTGTACTCGAAGCCGGAGAAGAAAGTTGACGAATCTGCTTCGAAAAGTGCCAAATTCCCTCTGCCAAAGCTTCGCCTCGAGATTCGCGACCTAAACCATGAAGGATCCCTGACGTTCTTGAAGGCTGTCATCGCCAGCGAAGCGCTCGAGGAATCCGTCCAGAGTGTTCTCTCCCTCCTATACCATTCGCCAGACTCGCAGACAACGACTGTGCCAACGACGCGGTCCGTAACGCTGATCCTAAGGTCTATGCCTGGCGTTGCATACACGACTGGGAGCGACCTTGACGACGACCACAAGGAAATCCATTTTTCCTTGGACTACATACATGGGATATCAAAGTCGCGGAAGAAAGATGAGATCATGGGAGTTCTAACACACGAGATGGTCCATTGCTACCAATATAACGCTTTTGGCACATGTCCAGGTGGTCTTATTGAAGGAATCGCTGACTGGGTACGGCTGAATTCTGGCCTTAGCCCTCCTCATTGGCGACAAGAGGCAGGTGGGAAATGGGACGCTGGATATCAACACACTGGCTATTTCTTGGAGTATCTCGAGCACAGATTTGGTAAGGGGACCATACGGAGACTAAACGAGAAGCTGCGGATTGAGAACTACCATGAGAAACGATTCTGGACCGAACTAGTCGGGCGTCCAGTCGAGCAGCTATGGGGTGATTATTCTGATGTTTTGGAGAAGGAGAAGAGAAAGGCGGAAGACGATGAGTGTGTGTTAGTTGAGAAGGAGGATGCAAGCACTCCAAAAGCAGCCGACGGTTCTTTGACCCCGACTTCGACCTAAGATGACGCAATCACGCTTCTGGATTTCCATCTCATCTTGTTTGGGAGTCGGCGTTTTGGATTGCATATTCTATTGAGCGATATCAGCGCATTTCTCAGGCACGATACCCGGCGCTGTGGTGCCATTCAAAGTCTAGTGCATCTCAATCATTGTTGATCGTCCCCATTTGACTTCACAATTGTCACGAGCAACTCATTTCCTCGTTCAGATGTCCATAGCCTCATCACTGTTTATGCGCAAAAGCTTCACTCGCCTGTTTAACAGCAATAGCCTCCTTTTCCTACTTTTCCCGGCACTGCTACTACTTTCTCGGACATAGGAATCAAGCAGTTTTCGGCAGCCATCATGGTTCAACTGAGAATCCCGCCTACAAGCCTTGGTACTCAGTGCACCGTACACTCGAGCACTCACAGAACTTTATCGTATTGCAACGTAGCTTGATACTTGGTAACAACAGCGATAGTTCGAGAAAGCACTATTGGATAGTCCATGTGAGCTCTCGTATCTGGTCCTCGAGACGTGCGTGGGAGGGGGAGGGGTTAACTACAAATCTGAATATATCTGAAGATAAGCTTATGAGGATGCAATGTTGGACCCAGACAGTAGAAGGCATTTTCTATGGCAAACGTGGTGTTGTCTCGGTACTGAAGGCCGCTCGGTTGAATTCGCATAGAGTTGAAGAAGAGGTCGGTTGGCAAAGTCACTGACAGATCAATGATTTGGCTTATCAGCTGTCTCTATACCTCCTTTTGTTGGAGTTCCCAACACTTTGAATCCATTCGATGAGAACGTTTGGGGCTGATTCTATTGCTTTGCGAGTCTTGGGACATTCTGTTCTCACACCTTCCAAAATATGCTCGACATCCAGACTTTTGCACTACTTGCTCAAAGGCTTATGCCGGTCGGGAACGATCAGTTGCAGCATTTGAGAAGTTTCAATCCACGACCTGAGCGCAAAAAGCATGCGACTTCCAGCACAGATCAACCATCCAGACAGGCAAGCACAACCTCTGCTGTGGTGACATAGCACGGCGATGTCATCAATGTCAACGCGATCCATTCAAACATGCACGCCTAGAACATTTTGGAGGATATGCCTCATCTTCTCTGATCCAGCTGTCTTGGAAGAGGCGCGAGCAGTTGTACTTCCTCTTGTCAATTCGAAGAAAGGTGTGCAAGGCTTGATACAGGAATTTGACATCCGCAAGGTGACAGTGGTCTCCTCTCCTCAGTGCCTCACAAAAGCTTGCGATCCTACGGATCCAGCGCAGAAACTCGGATTGTAGAGGAGGTCACTTTACTGCACAACAAAGTCCTACTCAAGAAGCCGTCTTCGTCTTCATGCCCAACATATCCTAATACTTTAGCCCGTCCGCATGGGGGATTCACGGTCGACGACTTCGGCCCCACCATTTCATGTCATCCAAGAGACGACCAGGATTGATTTGAGGATTCTGAGGAGGCGAGAATCTCTGTTCGGGACGATATTCGGCGATGTATGAGACTCTGGCGATGTGTGCAATGTCTGCGATTCAGTCTGGGATTGAAGCCAGGAGGGCGAGATTAAAACATATACGGCTGTATGTGTCAACTTGTTGTTGCTCGTTAGATTCGCTGACGGAGAAGGTATTTGTCGATCTGGTCTCGAGGCAAGAATGGGAAAGTGGTCGCTGTGCGACGTCAAGATATAGATAGGACCTAAACAGATCTGTATGCTCGACGCAGGCGTAGTGTCCTAACAAAGAGATTCTATAGCCATTCTACAAGATGAACCTCATATCTCAAGTGGCTAACTGTTTGACTGCATGTCCGAAATAGCAGACACATAAGCAAATGAGTTCGGTGGAGATGACTTGGGTCAGGACCCGTTTCGATTCCGATCGGTCTCCGAACCGGGAAATCGCAGTATTATAGCCACATCGATCAGAGGTCAAGATGAATACTCTTTCATTCCATCGCCCTGGTCTTTGAGTTTGCACAGGAAATACGTCCTCGTAGACGCGGGACATGGCCAATCAGCTTCGTCTGTCTGTCAGCCGGCTCAGCAGCGTTCCAATTGATACCCTGTCTGTGAACCTGGTCCTAGTGTAAGCACTACAACAAACTTTCGGCGGCACAGTTTCATAACAACTTCAACGACGAACTCTGCATCTGATGGCTCCTTCACCTTGAAATTATTTCCGCACACTCTTTTGCAAAAGTGCCTGGACAGTCCTCTCTTCCAACCCACCACCTCGTGAGCCTCGGTTCTGCAGGTCCGAGTTTCCTCGCACCCGCTGCAGACCTCTTTTCAACAACCCCAAACTCTACATCTCGGTCCTGAATGCTACGGAAGTAACTATGTCTACCTCCGGTGTTTCCGATGTTTTACTTCAAGGTTACACGCCTTCAATCATCCTTGGTGTTGCGGCTGTTCTGCTCATCTGTTGGCAACGACTATCTGTACAGTGTGATCCTCGCGAGCCCCCTCTGTTGAAACCAAGTATACCATATATCGGCCACATTATCGGACTGTTCCGATACAATGGCGAGTATTTCGAGAAGCTGAAGTATGTAATGTACACTTCGTCGATTTTGTCATTGTTCTAAAGTACCATAGTGCCAAAAAGCCCTTACCGATTGCCACTCTGCCAATGATCAATGGCAAATTGTACATCATCACACAGCCGACATTGATCCAAAGTGCTTATCGGAACAAAAACTTATCGTTCGATCCATTCATGGTTGATTTTGCGCAGCGTATGCTTGAGCTATCTGAGGTACGTCAATTTCCAGATCATTTGTTCTCTCTCCATTCGTTTCTGGTCCCGTCGGTGCATTGGGAGGTCATTTGGTAGAGTTCATTTTCCTTTTTTGCAACCTCATAAAATGGAGAATGAATACTAAGACGCATTCAGGAGGTGATGGTACCGATTCGAGATAAGCCAGAATTTATCCCAGACCTGGTCAAAGAGATCCACGGCTCTATGCTGGGTGAACATCTGTACAAGATGAACGCCGATGCTTTGAACGATGTAGCCGTCACTATCAACGGTCTCTCAGACACATTCAGGCCAGACAGCCTGTATCTTTGGATTCGGGAAACCTTGACTATGGCCACGTGCAACGCTCTTCTCGGGTCACATAACCCATTAAAGGACGACTTGAGCTTGGTTGATGCTCTGTGGGACTTTGAGGCAGGAATGCTTCCGCTTGTCCTGGGTATCATGCCATCATTCGTTGCTCCAAAAGCCTACAAAGCCAGAGCAACCGTCCAAGCGGCACTGCAGAAATATTACGCGAAGAAATATGATCTCGAGCCTGATGTTGCTAAGATGACAAAGGTAAAAAGACCCCAATGCCTGATCATAGCTCTATAGCTGCCGAAGTACTTGATTATGGACACTGACTCTTCGAACGCAGGCCCGTGCAGGAGTCTACAGACGATACAACATCTCATCAGATGACATTGGGAAATTGGAGCTTGCATTATTGCACGTGTCGACCGCCAATGCAATCCCGACTCTATTTTGGCTCGTCGCCTTCATTGCCTCAGACCCTGCTCTTACGGCCAGTCTTAGAGAAGAACTGCCCTGCGTCATCACAATCTCAAAATCCAAAGATGGCAAACGTGAGGCCCGAGTCGATATTACAAAATTTGATCCAGATTGCCCCCTCCTAGTATCCTGCTATCGCGAGGTCATCCGTCTTGTGAACTCACAGCTTGGCAGTCGACGTGTCATGGCAGATACGACCATCTCTGATGGCAAGTCAACATATTTGCTTCGCAAAGGCTGGGATGTAAACATGCCATCCGGTGTAACACATCTTTTGCCTGGATCTTGGGGTCCAAATGCTTCCTCCTTCGACGCAAGACGATTCATGAAGCTGGACACCAAGGGTGCGGCGAGTGAGAAGGAGAAGGAGGAGAAGCGAGCGTATATTCCTTTCGGGGGTGGGAAACATCTCTGTCCTGGTCGGAACTTTGCATTTGCAGAGATCCTGGGCTTTGCCGCTGTGCTTCTGATGGGGTTCGATGTGAAGAAGGATGATGGTAAGTTGATTGAGGTGCCGAAGATTAGGAGGGCCAAGCTTGGAGAGGCAGTTTCGAAGCCTTTTGGGAAGGGGCTTACGATGGGAGCTAACATCACGAGAAGAGAGGGCTGGGAGGACGTTTCATGGCACTTCACTACTTGATTGTGTTCTTGGTTGCGGGTCTATTATGGCCGACTCACAGTTTCCGTCTGTTATATTGACATGATGGTATGTGTTTCAGAGATAAGAATATACAGTCCGGTAGAACCCCAAGAACAACACCCCATGAATGGGTCGGGTTGAGAATAGGATGCATCTGTCACCATCCCTACTTTCGATGGCCAACGAGTGATCACAATACCCACGTCTAGCTGCATATCTGATGGCTGGTAAAAACACAGACTACCGTGAGATATCTAAAGGCGTTGGTCTGGAAATGAGATCCCTTATGTGAGGGTAGTTATTGGCTTCCAAATCAATTGGCAAACATGGGGCTCAAGCGAGGATCCGTAGATAAACAATCAACAATACTTCGAGGGAAATGGAAACTTCGCCGAGCTAGTGCGTGCTTCTAATGAATTGTCAGCCTTTAATGTATCTATATTGCTATATAATCAACAAGTTTTCCCTTACCTTCCACTGCATTCGGATATAGTAATATACTGTGGACAACGAGTAGCCGAACACTCTGCTTCTTTCATTTCGTATGTGTTTGGAGCTGTCAACTTTAGGCTTGTGACGAAAGCTCTTCTCGTTATAACACTCGTTCGATATCTCTAGTGACTGCTGATCATCGTATTCGAAGGCAACACAAGTTTCTTTATTTCCAAGAGATGCAATCTTCTAGTGAATCATGAGGGCAAAGTTTTCAGTGAAATTGAGGATCTGACTCACGATCCTCCTAGCTTCCCCTCTATTACGTTTCATTCAACCTCCTCAGCTAACAGGTTCTTCCCCTCTTCCACATCATAGACAGTCATCCTTTCATGCTTTGACTCGCCAATTTTCTGCCATTGCAGCAATCAGTACCCCCAAGGCCACACTCAACAGCTCCATTTCAATCAACCAACACCTAACCTCTTCTCCAACGACCTCACGGTTTCACGTCTCACTATTAATTGCAATGGCGGCGCGTCACAATTTCAACTTCATTACACCTCTACTCGCCATTCTCAATCTGATTCTGTCGGTCACCAGCGTTCCTGTCACATCATTGCCTTCCGATCTGTTTCCCGAGGATGATAATAAGGCTAGTGCTGAGAGTTTTCAGCTGCTCAGTGGAGAGAATTTTCCATGGGCTCGATTTGTCAACGAGAGGCCAACTGGGGTTCATGACTTTGAGTTGTTGAATGGAGGTGATGTTTCATGGACAAGATTAGCTAAGAACACTCATACTGAAGATTCTGAGTTGCGCCATGGAGGGGATGACCCATGGGCTCGCGCTATCAGGGATGACAAGGCTGCTCGTTCCGGGAATTTCGATTTGAGTACGGCAACGGACGGCCCATGGTCTCGCTCAATCGACAACAGTGCCCTCGTCCCAGCGTCCTCGTCCCCTTCCCTCAGCACCCGCGGCGAACCAGACTGGCTCGTCCAACTCCGTGGTAGATCCTATCATCCACCACCATACTGCATGCAACAAATCCTAGGCTGGTGCTCCCTCACATCCGTGGTCCGTAACGATGGCAAGACTGCCGATTACCTCGTCTTCGATGACCGCTGCACCGCCAAAGGACACAACAAGGCTGAGTTGCCCGTCAAAGCTTTTAAGTTTGGGTCTCTCAACGGGGGGGAGATCATGCTTCAGCAGTTCAGCAATGCAGAACCTCATTCGTATACGTTCCATAACCGTGGATATGGGTGGGGTTTCACGAATTCTTGGTGCTGGAATGCAGGCGTCTCGAATAATTATCCTGGCTTTAGAATGGCGTGTACCAGTGGTTTTGATTGCAGTACACCAGAGGCTTCTGCTGGGAAGGTAGCCCGTGCAGAGGACTTCGAGACGAGTACAGGTGGCGATGTTCCTTGAGCTGTAGGTCTTTGATGACTGGGGGGCATATGATGCTTGAGATGGATCTCCAAGTTCAGAGGAAGACTAACGACTAGACTTAATATTGTCACAGCTTCTATGGAGCTTTATAGAAGTTGAGACACCGGTTTGGGATAGTTGACTATGGGGAGCAATTGCCTGGCTTTTAAGCAAATCTTTCTCGTTTCCTTAAGCATGAGAACTTAAGCATGAGATATTCGGATCGGATCGTACACATTGCTTCGTATAAACAATAAAGTAGCAATTCATTCACACAACCAGACTTTAAAGCCATGTACGACATTCCCAATTTGTAGTCTGAAATATGTCCAGTCCTGTCATAATCGTGCCTTTCGTAAGTCTGTCCTGGACACGTCCAGGGATCGCGACTACTATGCTAATAGGGTACCACTCACGCTTAGAGCAAGCAAGTGTATCTTCGAAATCGTCAAAAATTGCTTTTACAGCTAGGGATTAGAAGTCTAAACAGTGTGGTGATAACACTGGTAGCTCAGGACAGTCCTTGTTATTAGCTAATGATTAGCGAAGCGAGCGACGAGTCAACAATAATATCCCCACACGCGGGTCCATACTATGTACAAACAGCATGATAAACTGTTCAGATCAGAATGCTATTTACAGGTAATGTAAATTTAAAGTGCACAAAGAATGTATAAGTAGAATTTAAGGAAGACCTCCAGAGAAATCAGACTTTCTCAAGATAGACGCCACCTGATATCGAGAAACATCTGTTTCATCAGCTAGTTGACGCCGATATTGAAGTGCAATATCTTATAGATAAATCGAGGGATTTTGCAACTCTAACCCGAATCTCTTGATAGTCTCCCGCTATCGGCAATCGCATGTGAGGCGATGGAAGGAAACTCGCTTAATCAAAACAAACATCAATACTGGGGGCCGGACAGAACTCATCATGTCAAAGAACGGTGACTTCCGCTTCTTCCCCCTGAGTGAATACTTCATCGCTTATAGAGACCGAATCACTCTTGCTACGCTACTCTAACCAGTCAAGCAGGAATAGTAAAGTCACGCAGTGACTGGTACACTCGTCAGATGTAGAAACAGGAGCAATCGAGTTCATCCCTGTAACAGAACCACATTGAAAAAGTATCTCGCTTGCCACACTATGCTATTTTCCGAACTCGGCGACGTGCATGGGAGAACCGCATCGTGGATTGATCTAGCACTGCAGATCTAACCGTCTGCATCAGCTCACATCTGGACGCACTTGCATCGTCAAGAATCCGGATCGCATTCTCAGCTCCCTGCATTCTCCAACACCCGACGGAGATGTCTCCTCTTGACATTTGTCACATATTCTTGATGCCTACCTTCGAATACCTCGGAGCCTAACCAGCTCCCAAGTTCCTCATCTTATGTTCCTGTGTTCTCTTTCTGTCAATTCCCCAAACCTTCATCGCGTACGGAGGATTCCCCCAGATCCGAATAGCCAATTTCGTACCTTGGTTATCACATCTCATATTATCGTAATGAATACCGGATCTGTTCCCGAATAGCATCAATAACCTCGGCACACGTGACCCTCCTCAGTATTGTTTCCATCTCATCCGATCCGGCTGTATCAACCTCGGATGCCACATCCTCACGAAGCGCAACCGGCAGCGACCCACCACGGCATCACCCCGGCATAAACACCCATTGCTTCAACCCCAAGCAACACCCAAGCGAGCCTTCCAAGCGGGCCCCATCAACAATCGTCATTCACGCCTCAAGTCCCATCATACATCCCTCCATTCTTCCCTACCCCATCAAAATCCGCTCCCCCGTAAATAACAGATGAAGGGACTAGACTAAAGCGGACGAAGGAAAAAACTCTCTCCCACCAAAAATACGGGGCCGAAAAGATGGAGTCCTTAAAATTTCCCCGTAAGAAGCACCGTCGCCCCATCGCATCATATCCCACGGTATCGAAAATTCCACCTTACCTCGTCTCCGTCCTTGCCTCTGTTGTGCCATGCCATGTGAATCAAGTCAAGCGAATTTCGCCCTGGCATTAGTGCCGCGGCCTTCCAGACCATGATCCCTCCCCTCTTTCCCCTCTCTCCAAGATTCTATCATCTTGGCAGCTACTTGTAAAGATAAGGCCGCATTGGAATTCCGCCACGGCGTCACCTGGCGCTGCTCGTCCGCATTGTCTTGCCGCTTGCCTCCTTCCTAATAATGTTCTCTTTCCCCTGATGCAGCTGCTGTGCCATGGGGAGCAAAGAGAGGGGCAAGTCTGACACCAAAATCTCAGACAATTCTCTCCCTACCTAAGTCGAAAAGCGGAGACGAAGCCGGGTTGGTCGGCCCTTCAGCCCCGCCAAAAAAAACACCACGTCCGCATGGAATCTTCCTTTTCGGTATCCCTTGCCATGAACAGCACAAGAAGGGAGAAAGAAAGAGACAGGGAAAAGTGGCCTGATGATGCGCTAGAGGACGCTTATGCGGCTATTCATTCTCAATTCTATGTGATACTTAGCGCCGATAACGAGATGTTGCGCTGACTTTGACGACTTTTCCCACCTTGACGATGAGGTGGTTGCTCTCGCTCGCCCTCACCAGGGAAGAAGCCTGCCTTAGCTGGTTAGCCAAGGAGAAGCTAGAATTCTGAAAGAAGGGCCAAGGAAAATGGCATGGAAGGAAGCGGGCCAATTGGATGTTTTATTCGTCTGGTGCGATCTGGGGAAATGGACGATGGCGTCGGGCTTCGTCGGTTCGGTTTGTTGGACTCGGTAGAACGGATACAGGCTCAACTAAATTTTTCTTATCGCCGATGCATACGTGGAGCTTTCGCCATCAAGTGTGAGTTTCGAAAGTACGAATCCTAGTTATTTTGCATATGACGATGATGTTGGATGAGGCGATTTTCATGATATGCAATTGTGAACGAGTCAGTTTAAGTAGAAGAGTTGGCTCCGTTGTCTGCTTCTGGCGCTGTGCAGGGCAGAATGGGTCCAGTCATGATGTCAGGGACGAAATCTGCAAACCTAATTGCAACGCAGCTCGATGAATGTGTAACAGAACAGACAAGTCGGGAGTCATTATTTCGAGTCGCCTTTCGAGACTTTCTGGAACTGTTGAGGACAGTCATCGTCATCATCATATCATACCATGGGGATTGTTCGGCGGCCGCCGAGGCAGCGCCGGCTCTTGATGTGTTTTCTGGGGTCGAAGAATTTGTTTTCAAATGGGAATTGTCCGAACAGCCGACGCATTTCTTTGGAAATTGGAATCAATATCTCGGCCTATTTCCAGAAGCACCGCGAGCTAGAATGAAGTAGTGAAATATCCTTCACTTTCACATGTGCATCCATTTCATTTTGGGATTATGTCGGGGAAGCCGATCGAGAGGTTCGAGAACAAGTGGGGAAGATAAGCTTTGTGGTTGAAAGATGGGGTTGGAAGGAAATTGAGGCTGATTGGAATTTCACATGTCAAACATGATCCATCCCACGGTAGGTAGGGTACGGTGCTCGCGGGTGATGCCCACTCCCCCAAAGCCCGCCCCCTTCGTTTCTCGCTTCGGGTCCTCTTCTGGAAGAGGACATCGAAGTTCGTCAAGTTCGGGACGGCCGACCGAGAGATACCCAAGGGGAAGGTAAGGTGTACCAGTTCCTGCATGGTTTCATAGGCGCGCATGCAGGTCTTGGTACTTGGAACCTTGGTTCCCCTCGCGTTGTACGGAGCTTTGTACCAGCTGGGTCAAGCTGATGAGGAAGGGAGAGTCGCAGGAGCTGGACTTGATGCCTCGGGTGAATTCGGAGCTTGTGGAGTCACTGCTCTCGGTCAAATAGACTGCGAAATGTGGAGGGTGGATGGGAGGATGGATATGTTTACTGAGACACGTGAGAAAGTATCTCCGCACCCGAGCCCCCTTTTCTTGGTACTCAAGCATGCGGATAAACTCAGCCCACGTGTTTCTCCTTTCTCAACCGACCCCCCGTGTTGTGAAAATGCATCAGTGAGGGAACGGACGCCATCTACTGTATTTGCATGGATAGCGATAACATGCTGCAATTTGCAAATGAGCGAATGGCCGTGGCGCCACTGTTGCTTTTCCTACCACAATCTTACTCAGGGTTCGAGGGTCCCATGGTACGATGGTAGGCGTGCCTGTTCAGGTGCATATAATTCGTGATATGATAGGGAGCTTTCGCCCCCCACGCCCGCCAATCCAGCACACGTAACACTCACGCAGAATGTGGTCGGATTCCTATCGCATCACACTCATCCCATGTTGTGCGTTACTCTGCTGGATTGCGACTGTGCCATGTCCCATGCACGGAAGGCTAGGCTCCGAAACCGAATAGGCTTTTGTCTTGGTTTCAAGGCAATTCCAAGCCAGTAGTTTTAGACCTACAAACCGAGAGAACCAAGCTGAGGTGAGCAAGCAAGGAGACTTTGGCGTTTGACAACCAATTGACCATCCTCGAGCCATCTCGCATTACCGCTTTCAAATTCTTCCGGCCGGACGTTGGTTTCCATGGCCGCGTTACCGAATGGAACATGCAGTTTGAATTCCCGTGAACCCCTGTCAAGAAAGGAGGTCTTCTCCACATTCCAGAGTCTGATCGTCCGTCGTCTCCGCATTCGAGATGATCAATTCGTGGAGTCGCGAGTTGAAGAGTTCTCATCCAGACGCCGCGCCAACCAGATCAAACTACTCGTACGGGGTGCTTTTGGGCAGGTTGGGTAGCGTGTAAGAGCATTCCAAATGTGCATACAGCATCGGACAAGTCGACCGTTTAGGCATGTGTCAAATCCAGCGTATTGCTTCTGCACTATTCTGTGCTTGGCATGATAAAGGAACCTGGTCGTCGGACTCGGATGGGTCTCGCCTGCGAACATGTTTGGAGATTTGTACTTTGCATTGATCTCCGGTGCATCGCGAAGCGCCTGTTTCCCCTTCCACTTAGGCTGCTTGTCCTGGGACAAATTAATTGCATTTCCGTACGGTAAGAAGTAAATTTACATGAGTACGGGAAGCCAAGGGAGATGTCCTTGCGTAATGTGATGAACATGCTTTGCGGCTGATGATTCGTTGGCTCGTGGCTTTGACGGCTTCAGTCCTGTCCTGACGATCAAGCCATCTCGATGCTTTGCTTTGCTTTTCCTGCTGTGCTTTGCTGGCCATCCGGTGCATGAGATGATCTCGATAAAAAGCAAAAAACGGCGTTGCGCTGGACGAGACGGGCCGTCGTTGGCTGACCCCACAGGTGCCACATTTCCCCAGCTCACCACTGCGCAACCCCCACGCACCAGACCCCTTTAGTCCATTATTATCGCGGAGAGCCGTCGTGAGACAGGGCTTTGTTCATCAGGAAAGCAACAAAAACCCTGGTCCTGTTCCAAGCTGGCGGATCGTCCAGGCCTGTGAATGGAAATGGTTCAGTGATAGGTTCACGACGGGGCGCATAGCAAAACACACGACAGATTTCGGGGGTTCGATATGTGATGAGGCGTCGTGCTCAGCCTCAGCCCCGGATTCCTGTCAGAAACGCAACCATTGCTGACACAACTGGCCACGACATCAATATCTGGGGCAGGAATGCCAGGGCGGACAACCTCCGAGACAAAGGCTGGAAGGATGATACATTCGGAAGCTATCCGCATCGAGCGAGTCAGCTTCGTGATCTTCATTATTCAAGACTCTCATAAACATTTTGAACGAGGGGAACCCCCTATTTCTCCACACCTTGCGCCATGGTCAGGGGATCAGATAAGAGACGAGACATCTTGAGTAGGGATTTCGACGATCAAGAATCAGACAGCGGCTGTTGGCTAGACGCCTGGAAGTGCGGATGTCGAACTCCATTCCGTCCGTACCGTACCGTTCCGTCCTGTTAAGCTCCACCTGATACAATCGCCTCGAAGTAGATGTTGTCCAGGACTATTGAAGTTGAGTCGTACTTCGTAGCCGCGCTCAGATCCTGAAGGGGAAGCTGTAAAGCCTGAGAAAACAAAACTCCGCTCCAGCATTTCGGCGAAACTAAAGCCTCCAATCCCGCGCCCTAGCAAGAAATCCACCGATGTATGAAATCCAGGGGCTTTAGCGAGGGCCAAGCTGCGGAGCGGAGCGCTGCTCAGGTGCCTATGAAATGCTTCTGGAAGATCCATCGAAGGAATTGGCAATAGGCAAAGTCACGATGTTCCTTTTTGATATCGATTCCAGTTCTGGAATTTCCAAGCGTATGCTGCACTTCCCATGCAGTGTGCAGTGCGATCATGCGAAATCTCGATTTGATCCGCCGGATACCATCGATGGATAGAGACACCTAGCGCAAAGGGCAGCGCAGGGTGCAAATCCTCCCTGGGCAACAGTATCAAGAATTCTTTCTTCGTGGCCCCCACTGTCGGCCCATACTGAAGCGTACCAAAGCGCTTCTGAGCGCAGATTGGGTGCTCAACAAAGGATGTCCAAGGCCTCATTTCATTAATTTTCCTATCTCTGCTCTTCTTCGAGTGCGCATAAGGAGGTCTTACTCAGCGCTGTACCGCTTTACCACTGCAACGTGCCAACAGAAGTTGAGTACATCCCGACCAGAGTGCTGCTTACTGGGCTACCTTGTCTGACATCTCCAGATACACATGTGGAGTTACGCTTCATCCTAGGTATGGTTTTCACCTTCCTACGTCCGTAAGTACCGTAACGGCGTAAACACTACACTCAAAGTCGTATTCGCTTCGCTGGCTCTTAATGAAACGACGTTCTCATCCTCATCCTCATCTCCTTCAAAGGCCGACCTGGAGAAGGAGAGTAGTATTGGATCCAAAAATAGTCGGGAGTTCTCGACGGCAAGCTCTCATGAGACGGCGCGACTGTCACGAATATGTTACGGAATGGGCAAGTAAGGCGAGCCTCAGACCTCCAAGACAGTCCCGATTCTTTTTCTCGCGCTTGGCTTTTGAGGGGTTCTTTCTCCAGAGTGGAGCGACCCCATCGCATCGCATTATTGTTGCATTCAGAAAAGAACCGAGAAACAGGGCCTTCTTCGGGCCGGATGTCCCTTCTGAAATTCATGAAGGGCCCAGAAAAGTGAGGGACTGCGAAATTTGTGATAACGAAATTTTTCTTTCTTTGCTGTCTGTTTGTCCTCTACTGTCTAGATCATATAGTTTGTCACGGTCATGGCGGTCAGGCGGGAGTGATGTCAGTCGAGCGAGGAGCGACGAGAAAAAAAATTGCCAGCTAGCAGGCGCTTGAGGCGGTCAGGAAGATTCCGAGATTTCTCCAGAGTCTGTCTCTCTGGCATCACTCACCCAGCTGAAAGCTTGTCTTGCCATCATGGGCGGGCGTGGAGTCTCCAGAAAGATGACGTTTTGTCCTCTCCTCGAATTCTTCACCTCCGTAAATCGAAAGTCATCTATCCGGTTTCGAAGCACGTGGGTTGGTTACAGCTTCTCTCTTTAGGCGCACGAGTCAGCGGTATCTAGGGGTTTCTTGATGGACCCGCCGTAACCACAAGATCGCACTCTGGGATCCGCAAGATTAAATGGATTCCAGCGCTGCGGCCTCCAGATCTGACAACGGTAAGTAAGAAACTCATTTGTGGGCCTGGTGGATTGACGACATGGTCATGGTTGGTTATGCGTCCAGGGAATCTCTACTCTGGAGATGTGGCGGTGGTGGATTGGATATTGATTCCATCCACCACCTGTGTCTTTTTGGAGGTGAAGATGGAGTCAATAGAACTTGTATTGTATCAATGGTCATTGAAAATTCTTGCGAGCTCAAGGAGAAATTCTATCTGATCTTCTGTTTTTTGACAACGACGGCTTATCCGAGAGGTTACACGATATATCTGGGCAGTCATCAGCCTCACTTCAGGCCTGTCGGAAGTGACCCGCTTGTTCTTCATCTCTGACGCGAAACACGGCAGTCAAAACCTTACCATGATCAACCCAGGAACGCTTGACCGTATCAATTTTGTATCACGGCTTTCTCTCCGCGATGGCCATGCGGAGATAAAGTTAACAAGACACATCCTCAAGGAGAGATGTGATGCACTCCCCAGATTCCGACTAAGTCATGCACACATCTCCCGATATGCGCATCGGCATTGAGAGGTGTGTGCTTGCATAATCTGATCTCCAGGTTGAAGGCGAGGGAGGCGGTCAACTCCCGAGCCTATTCGAGATTGATGCACTCACTCCCCTTCCACAATGCCAGATTCTAGATTTTCGAAGAAGAAGTTGGAAGAAAAGAAAAGAACAACATGATGTGTTGTCATCGTTACCCACAGAGGAAGACCCTTGTTTACAACCTCATGCGCGCGTATCAACTTGTTCTGCTTGCGTGCCCTTCGTAGTTATCTACGTAGATGATTGTCCCCATGATGTGTCTAGAACCAGCTCCCTTTGCTCTTGAAATCGTGATCTGTCACCTCATTTCCAAGCTGAATATCCGCCTTGCTCTGAAGAAAATAATGGCAAGGTGACATTCTTCGCGCACCAATCATAACTCCTCCTTCCAGCTTTCCAAGCGGTGGAGGTGAAGGAGCTGGCACTAACGTAACTATCAGTTGCTGCTAACCCCACATTCCGCCATCTGCTTTACCTAGTGTACCCGGTATGATTTCCTTTGCTTCCGATTTATGGCTCTGCTACATGATTCATATCGTATTTCAGAAAATAAACAATTTGACATACGCGATTGTCTGTCGGATGTGGGATGATTGAACAAAGCAAAGCAGACGGCCGCGGTTAGGATTTCATGCGATTGTGGGGTATTGTTACTTTCCAACCAAGAGCTGACTCGAATTTCTCCGCACAGTGGAGAAAGAGATAGCAAAAGAGAGCTAAACCCCATTCTTTTTCTCTTGGAGAGGAGCGACATGAGATGAAATGAGATGGTATCCATGGCGAGATAGGAACAGGGCTTACTCCGGACTGCATAGAGATAAACAGTACTGTGGGGTAGGAGGTTGACGCTATCACGTTGTCAGTGAATGACTTGCCTTTTTGGGATTTTGATGTACCCCACGGCTCGGCGGACCCCAGATAACGAAAATGAGAGAGGATCTGGTCTGGCCAGATGAGGTAGACGGGGAGGTTAGGATCGGATAGCATGATTAGCTTCCTTCTGGATGGTTCATTGGTTGGTTGGCTCGCTTTAATCGATTTAGCATTTTATTCTATTATGCGTGATGGAGAGATCGAGGAGGTGTGTGTCACATCGAGGAATAAGAAAGGTGTGATGTGGTGATGTGTTCGATGCTGGATTGGTTTTGTGAAGCGCTGGCTGTACTTCTGGCTGGTCGACCGGAGTGGACATCGGAGTGAGGGGCGAATTTTGGGAAATCGAGCATGGTCTATCATGCCGATTCCGGGGTGCATGTTGACGGCATGATATGATACGTAGTACTGTACATACCTAGACGTGAGATGTTGGGGTACAGATGCTAGAGGGGGCGTTGTCATGTCAAGTTGATTGGCTTGCTTACAGTACATCTTACATACTTCATTTACCATGGACTAGGAGATATGGATAGAGGTGTTGAAGGGAGGGAAAGCCGAACCAAAAAAAAAGACGGAATATTGGAGGAGAATGGAAGACACGACTCGTCTGTCGTCCAGATACCGTTTGATAGACATCCACAAACGGTAAGACAGGGGCGAGATAAGAATGGCTTGATATGGCATGGACGACGTCTGTTCTGGGAAGCATGTAGATTAAACTCGGCGGGCATTATCATTTGGGAGACCTTGTTGGTACTGTAAATTTACCAGCAGATTCGTCGCCATGGCATCAGATCACGCCTTCCTGGCGCTTGAAATTAACGTTCCTGTTCCCCGCGTTACTCTCTCAGTCTGGTAGCCCCCACACGGAGCGATGTTGACCGAGTTAACCCGACCAGCATACTGTAGCATCTTGTCTCCAATCCCCAAAATCTCCACGACCCCAGTTGTTGGCTGAGCCATGCCATCATCACCCCAGACGCCGCCCGATTACAGGCTTATGGCCCTAACTTGCTGTATCGTGCTAGAAATTACTGGACAGCTGGACTCGGGGTATTATTTGTCGGTGCCTACCGCCGTCAGCGTACAGTCAGGTTTACGAGGGTCTGATAGGTGTAACAGAGGCAAATGGGGTGCTAAGTACGCTTGTTTGGATGGCTGCAAGACGAAATATATACAAGCTGAGCAGGACGTTTATGCATTATTCAGCTGAAGAGGGAGGCCGAGTCATCAAAGCCTGACGAGGAAGTACCCGAAGACTTGGGTGGGATATCGATGAATGAGGATGGATGAGGAGACTGGAGAGAGACGAATGTCGGGACGGATCAACAGTTGGGACAGCCGGCTTAGGGAAATGTGACGCGATGAAAATGGCTCTTCTAGGACGTTAGCGAGATACATGTACGAACAGAGGGAATTGGAGACGCAATTTTGAATCGAAAATGAAGTTGTGTTGATCTGCTTTTGACGCATGTATCAGGACACTTTTACCAGTCCCGTACTGTGGATGTTGTCTGCGACGGCTTTCATTCCGTGAGGATAAAAAAGGAATATCAAACACCAGCTTGTTGTTGTCCTTGTCCTTCTAACATCTCATCTCCATTCAGCTCATCTTGCCTGCTCTCTCAGCCCAGCCCATCTCACGAAATCCAATCTCGACCTTGCATCTGCATCTCAGCGTGCAGCGAACCTGCCGGCTTTGTGAAATAGTGCCACGTTAGGCTTAGATCATGCAAACTTGAGCTGCGGATTTTCCGTTAGTGTTTCCCCACTATCAGCTCTCCCCACCAGAAAAAGGACGACGGGTGAAAAAAAAGAAAATAAATGGCTTGAAAAGGCAAGGAAAGTATCCACTGGTGATGATGCGATCTTGATAGAGATTGGGGAAAGGGGCCAGGTATGCGATAGAATTATGCCGCCAGGCCTATGATATGCCAAATGCAAATGCGAAGAAGCATTGAAAGGATATTGTGATCGAGGCAAGTAACTGGCAAGATCCCTCAATATTCTGCTCGCCACAGGTTCTATATTGTACGAGCATCGTTTGGTGCAACGCGTCAGTCAAGAGAAGACGCAAAAAACAAGCCCGGTTGATTCAAATTGAGACTTGGAGTCAGGCCGAGTCATCATCATCAGCATCATCATCAAACGTTAATATCCCTTGTTTTCTTCCAATAATAGTGACATCGACCTCACCTCCAACCATACCGCCTGGTTGCGAACAGCAAAGCAAGCAAGCAATCAAGCAGATCTTCCATCCAGACGCCGAGATTCTTCCCCAGGCGGCCCCCATTCGTTGCCCACAATCCAAGCCAACTTAGACATCAGGGTGCAGTTCCATATCGTGAGCGAGCGGCAGCCCAAGGAAGCATTCCATTCGATTCGATCGAGTATCTCGCAACGCAGAGCTCGCACGCGGTAACACTTCCAAGAGCGCTGGATGTGAGGCTCTTACACCACAAGAGCGAAGTCATACACGGACAAGACTGATCAGCCAGCGACGAGCAAAGATAAGCTCTCAAAACAATGTGCATCAAACACCCAAGAAGTGGAAGCAGGCTTCAAATATACACGGAATCCACCCAGGACAAACACAAGGTGCAAGATAACGAACCGGGCTGCACAGTCGGCCCACAGTTCCAGCACTGCTGTGAGAATATCATTGGAGCTGAAGCACGCAGGCAGTTGAAGCAGAGGCTGAAGCACCAACGAGAGGTAAGAATAGGAGAAACAGAAACAATTTTGTTTCTATTTCGACAATCTCGCAGTCGGATCCGTTCAGACCTCTCGTCTTGGGTGCTCTTGGAGTTGGTCTTGTCCGTCTTGTATGCTGAAAGGCTCAGATCATGGGCACGTTTCCCTCCCCCACTTGGACCAGGGCCTGACTCTCTCTCACACTGCAGTGCAGTAGTGCAGGGCAGTAGTGCAGGGCAGGGCAGGGCAGCAGAACTCTGTCCCCAGCAAGCAGCGTTCTCCACAGTTGCTAGTTCGAAGTGGATTTTTATTTAATCCCTTCACACCCCGTCTTGTGCCCTCTTCCGACCCCCGATTCCCCGAGCCTCCAGCACTACTCCAACTCCAGCGCAGGCAGCCCAGACAGAGCAGAGCCACAGCCACAGCCAGATCCAGCATCCCTCCAGTATCGCCTAGGGCACGCTAAGCGGCGCTAGAAGCCAACCCACCAAAATATTCGCATCCCAGCACTCCAGCAAGCCCCCCCTCCACCCTCCCCCCCCGCCAGCGTATTGCGCCTAAGCCTACGCCTCGTTTCCCACTTCCGCCCTCCCCTCGTCCCTCCACTGTTTTTCCTCCCACGCCCGCACCCGCACCCACACCCACACCCACACCCACACCCACACCCACACCCACACTCACACTCACGCCCACGCCCACGCCCACGCCCACCCACGCTCAAACCCGCCCTGCGCTGCCTGTCTGTCCTGCCCTGGCTTGTCCACCCACACCAAGCCCACCCACGCCCACACTTTTTTGTTCCCTTCTTCTCCCTTCTCCCTTCTCCCTTCTCCCCTCCACTTTCTGCTGGGCTGCCCTGCCTGCCCTGCCTGCCCTGCCTGCCCTGCCCTTGCCTTCCCTTCCCTTCCCTGACTCCGACTCTTCCCCCCCTAAACCTACACACCCAAGCAGCCCTGACTGTTCGTATAAGACCCCGACCCCCCTCGGTACTCTCCTCCTCCGCTGCCGTCAGAAGATTTGGACACTCAATACCACCCACCCACGCTGCATCCCACCACATCATTACCACAACCACAACCACTCCCACAACCACTCTATCAACTCTCGACTTCCGTCATCCGACGTCCTCGTTGCGGATTACTCGACTACCACACATACCCTGACAATCCACCACTCATTGCCACCAACCGCCATCTCCATATTGCAACTGCTATTGAGGAGAAAATAATTCCTCCCCGCCACACTCCGCATTCCACCGAAAAGACTTAAAGTGCGGGATCCCCAACGCTGCGGCGGCAATCACATGCAACGCGCGCAGACTTCAGTAGATCTTCTACTGAATCCACAAACGCCCCTCGAGAAGGAACAGGAAGCTGCCCGCAGGAAATTGGCAGAGATTCAGGCGCAACAGCAGCGACAACACGAAGAAGAAATGGCAGCCGTTATGATGCAACCGAATATGATGAGCGGCCATGGCGAGGACCGACAAGATCTCCCTCGCCCATACAAGTGCCCCCTATGCGATAAGGCTTTCCACCGTCTCGAACATCAGACCAGACATATCAGAACCCATACTGGCGAGAAGCCCCACGCCTGCCAGTTCCCCGGCTGCACAAAGCGATTCTCAAGATCAGACGAGTTGACTCGACACTCGAGGATACACAACAACCCCAACTCCCGCAGGAGTAACAAGATGCATCAAGGTGGAATTGAGCACACCGGAGCTATGGCTACCATGATGCCACCACCAAACAAGAGCATGTCGAGATCTGCACCAACTTCAGCCGTTGGCTCTCCCAACGTGTCCCCTCCTCACTCCTACGCTTCATACTCGACTCCCCACTCAGTTCTCAACCCGACATTCCGCAGTCTCGGAGGAAGCCCAAACAACGGCTCGAGTCTCGACATCAATCTCCTGGCTACAGCTGCAACCCAAGTTGAGCGAGAGAGCACCTCTGCTATACACCACCCTCACCATAGCAGCTCAAGACACCACCCATACTACAGCCACAGCAGTCACAGCAGCAGAAACCACTTGCCTTCGTTGTCAGCCTACGCCATGTCGAGATCACATTCCCATGACGACGACGACCACTACGCCCATCGACATGCCAAGCGTTCCCGTCCCAATTCTCCAAACAGCACTGCTCCCTCTTCCCCTACTTTCTCCCACGACTCCTTGTCGCCTACACCCGACCACACTCCTCTCGCTACTCCAGCCCACTCTCCACGTCTTCGTCCTTACGGTGGTGGCTACGATCTGCCCACGATCCGGAACTTGACTCTTCAGCATACCCCAGCGCTCGCACCTATGGAGCCACAAAACGTTGAGGGCCAATACCACCCAAATAACACCGCAACTTCAGCTCCAAGAACTGGTCTGTCAATCAGCGACATCATGTCAAAAACCGACGGCACACAGAGAAAGCTTCCAGTTCCGCAAGTTCCGAAAGTAGCAGTGCAAGACTTGATCAGCTCCGGTGAGAACGGCTTCAGCACAAGTGGACACAGCAGCACAACGGGTAGTGTTGCAGGAGATCCGATGGACAGATAGACAATTTTCCCTGTTAGGGGAAAGGGCAGGAGAATGGGATTGTCTGGACTTTCTGGCGCGATATAGAGGATTTGCTTGACGGCAGAGGAGGGAGTACTGGTACTTGCACGAACACACCCAACTTCGATAATTCACTCGACGACTCGACTCGGAGCAATAAACGCAACGTTTTGGACTCGAGATCTCCACTTTTACGGCTGTTACGGGCGATGACCCATTTGATTTATCTTCTTTCCACGGTGTATGTATAGAACAGCGCGCGCGCAGTATAGAATTGGCTTTTAACCTTTCCCTTTCTAATCTGTTCTTCTCCACTCAAGAAGACAGAAGTCATTTTAGGGGAAGAAGGGCGGTTCAAGAGGAATTTGGTTTCATGACCTGGTGTACTTGAAAGTCGCCAAGGATCTGCTTATGTCTTTGTCCTTTGCTTTGATAGACGGGTTTGCTGTGCGCAGCGAGGCTGGGATTATGATATGATGACGACGGGGTCTTCTCATCATGGAAATTGGAGTACAGCGTTTCTCCTCTTTATTTTTACTTGCTTTAGCTACAATATCCATGAGGTAGTTTCACTGGCTCTGCCGAATGAGAAAATTATACAAAGTCTGGCTCCCTTACTACATCTATCACATGCTATGTACATCGTGATACCTTTCTCACTTCAAACTCAGCCAGCAAATGAGACATGTGAACAGCACCTACCCATCGCATGTGACAACCACCTCGATCATCCACCAATCCATGGATCGCAATGTTTAACTTTTCCCTCAAGATAAAGCAAGTAGCAGCACAAAGCCAGAGTCAAACAGCCCCTCGCCCTGCCTTGCACCCTCCCGCCCCCATCCCCCACATTCTCTCCACACACCGCTGAGTCGCTGACGCCGCAGAAACGCTGATCCCTTGACAACACAAACTCACGGCTGGACGGCGCGGTGAAACCTTATCCCACTATCATGTGAAGCTGGGACAGGAGGGGGGAGACTGGAGAAATTCCTTTCCCTTCACATGTTTTAGATATTGGAGACACCGACTTCCTATGTTGGGTAGGTACATTTCACCTCCGTACCTGGACCTGGCTGGGGCTCGGGAGATCGTGCGGAGTACGGGGTCGGTTGCAAGTGAGGGGGAAAGGAGTATTTACTCAGTAAAGCTAGAGTCTATCGAAGCCCCTGCAACCAGGTAGGTTCGTTTCAGTACAGTACTCGTTCTGGCTTATGAGTTTGCAACCCAAGTCGTGTAGATGCATACAACTACGTAGAGATCTAGGTATCTTCCTGCAATTCACCACACAAGCTCTCACCACGCGTGTCAACGTCGCAGCACATGTACATATCGGCTCCGGGCTTCATCCAAACTCGGAAAGAAGCGAAGCACGCACACACACGCACGCACGCATGCAGAGGAGGAAAAGAAAAAGAAGGGGGGGGAAAGTTCGCGAGGATGCACGACTCCTGCTTCCGGGGCAGGGGAAGCGAGTTTTGCCGCTGCAGGCGGATCTGGTTTCGGCTTTCGGATCGAGAGGTAGCGCTGGCGAGGGTTAGGGAGATAGTATTCTCTTTTCTCATTCTGATCGCTTGCAAGGAGATGAAGGAGTTGGGTGCTGAGGGGTAGAAATGGGTTGTGGAGGTTTGGTTGTGGTTGGCTGCTGGTAGAGGATGTTTGTTCCGGTGTTGTTTACTTCACTTCCTGCTGTGACCTTTCAAGTTTTGACTAGGAAAAGGAATTCATTTCATCCACTCTTCATTTCCATTTCCATATCGCTACACAGAATCTTTTTCCATATCACAAATCATGCATCAACGTACCAATGGGTCAAAGGAAGCATTATCAAGTATTCCCATGTCATTCTCCTTCCTCGTCTCCCGACTTCATTCAATCGCAAGAGTCCCTGCCTTAAGGGGTTCAGGATCAGGGGTCAGCACTCCATTTCAGCCTCTAATTTCATCATAGTCTTCCTCCCTTCTATCCGCGGCTAGATATCCCATTCCATCTCATCCCATGCCTTGATCGTCTCCTCCCTGTCTTCATCCAGCCGAGCCGAGCGGCTGTACAGCAAATGGCCAGGCGATTCCGGCCCAACATCCATCTCCTATATCCCTCATCCGTAATCCTTAACGGTTTGGAGGCTGGTGCCTGACTTTGGGCTGTGAAATAGCCGCCATGTGCCGTGCCGTGCAAACGGTTTTAATATATTTTATATTAGCGAGGGCGGGAGGCGAGGGGGGAGATAGATGAATTGGCGTGGCATGTGCAATCCATACAGATGACACAGTTATATTACAGTGCAGTACCTGAGAAAAATAGGTACGGTATGCAATTATATTGAAGTGCAGGTGAATTGAAGTAAAGTACCGCCGGTACGTACTACCGACGGATAGAATACTACACCACCACGCGAGCGACCGATCGAGCGTCCTGCGCTATGTGTACGTAAGTACTATCTATCTGCATACCATGCTACGTTGGCTGTCGATTACATTTCTCCCGTAGATGCAACTTCACGTCACGGTACCTTGCCACATGTCATTTTAGGTATGTTGTTTGTTTTGTTGGTTCTATCTTGGGTGCACGGAAATCCTCCTTCCTTTCCCAACTTCCATGCTCATTAAACAGAGTTCGGATGAAAAGATCACGTATACGATTTCGTACAGCAAGTACAATGATCCTGAAGTGTACACTGCATTGCATAGCATAACACCGCAAATCCTCCGAGTAACTAACCGACCGAGCAACCGACGGAGAAATTCAAAGCGATAGTCCATAGGAAATAAAGCCTGGTACGGCATGGTACAGCGGTGTAAGGAACGTACGGGACGGGCAGGTATACATGCGTACGTGCATGTACTTTATTCTCGGTCCTTGTTCTGCAGGCGATATAGTGGGTTGATATATTGGGTTTGTATTCAGGCAGTGTTGTGCCGAATTAAGCGAAGGGAGGGGATCCGGAGCCGGGAGTGGTTGAAATAATCGTGAACTTGCTACTGACTATGGGACGGGTATAAGGTGTCCTTGTGATTGCTAGCGTAGATAAACTCAACAGTTCTTTAGTAAATCTCAGGGGCTGAGATAGAAGGAGACGCAATACACGGTGCAAGCATCTCTATTGGGAGTTACCCCTCATTGTTGGTTTGATTTGATGGCGGGGGTGGGGTACAACTATGAGGTGCGCGCAGATCAGTATCAATTCGGCCAGTACCGACGCCACAACTATCATCTAGAGTAAGGAGAACCAAAAGATAGACTGATTTCTCTTGCATTCATGTCGATGTGTGGCGCAGTGTGTCGGCCATAGTACGGAGGACGGTGTTGCGGGGTAAATAGATGTTGAAACTTGAAAATCAGGTTGTTACAAGCAGCTGTGAGGATCCCGGATGAGACAATGGACTGAAGTTATGTCGGTTTAATAATGAGAACAGGATTTTTTCCTTGATATTATTGTGATACAGCAGTCGAAAATTTTAAGTGGTGATATTTCCCGCAACTGGCTCGTGAGATGGCACGATGTCATTTCTCAGATGAAGAGTTTGGCAAGAAGTAAAGTTACGTCGCCGAATTCAGATGGCAGTCTCCTAACAACTTAAGATAACATAAGATAGAAGTAAGCTGAGCCCCATGCACTTTGGTTTAGTCAATAGTCTCCCATCCTCGCAATCCCTAAGAACAACAACAACCTACAAGACAAGGACGTGCAGCAAGTAACACACCACGGCCACTCCCGAATCGCGAGATGCACCCCATCACTTGAAATCAGGGGAACGTACCTGCCGCACCTGTAATGTACAGACAGGTCATGCCGTCGCTGCGAGGTACCTGAGGGTGTGCACTCCTTCGGTAACGAAGGGACTTGGAGCTTCCGTCTCCCCTGAACAGCAATCTGGGGCATCTTCCGGACTCCGTTCCATGCACAACTATTAGCATTCCTGTTTTTGAGATGAAGAAGAAAACTTGCGCTTGCGTGTCCAGGTTTCTGGGATCGAAAAGACCAGGAGGAGAGAGGTGGTTGTTGGTTCTGGTAATATCTCGAAATAAGGGTTCGCGTGGGGGTGAGTGACAAGTTATGTTGCACCTGTCATCCGATGTTTACTCCCACACGGAAGGCATTTTCTGTGCATTCAGAATCTCAGATATGCTGTAATTTCCACAATTTTCGACATTGAAACAAGAGCGGCGAGAAACCAGAGAAGGAGATTTTGCTCCGAAAGTGCACCATTTCAAAGGGGTAGGTAGACGGGACGCGGAAAAAGAGAGGGTTGACGTGCAGGTGCGGCGGAAGGATATGCACCCCACGCGCTCCCGCTGTCAGTTGCGAATATGTGCTGCATAACATGTGCGCATTCATATTCATATCTGCCATATCGCAAATAAACAGTTAGCCTGGCAAATAATGAGAGTTAAAGATATGTATTTACTGTGGATTATACCTCCCTTTTCGCCTCGCCAATAACCGAGCCCCACTTCCAGGTATCAAAACAATGGAGGGGAGAGGCTTGGGATAAACAATCCTTTCCGAAAGTAATGTTCTTAACACCGCAGATGATGAATCATCATGCAGAAACAGGACCAATTGATCGACACTCATCTTGCCTGCTTTCAAAGTCTTCAACTTCAACTTCATCTGCACTGGACTGAACTGCCTTTAGAGAAGCGGCGAAGGTGGTTCCATTCTCTCCGGTCAACGGTACCGAGCCGTGTGCGAAGCACGCCATGCATGTGGCTCCCCATCCCCTCTTCCATTGTGCATCTATCATTGATAAAGATTCCCTGGTCCAATCCCGCATTTTCCACCCCTTCTCCGCATACAGAATACACGGAAAAGTAGTGTCGCGCGAAAGTTTCTCCGCACTTTAGAGTGCAGCAAGCACTAATGCTACCTCCAGAATCCAAGACCCCTCATTAATCATGCCAACTTAAAACGTTCAAGGTGATCGACCAACGCCTCTTCCTTATCAGACATGCTCAACTGGGCTCGAGTCGAGTCAAGGATCGAATCGAATCGAACTCAAAAGATAACCAAGCGTCGAAATTTACTTTCCGAGTACGGTAGTACTGCATAGCCCGATATCGAGTATTTTTACGAGCAGGAACGAGCCCATTTTCCGCTCGTGAAACACTGCTCCTCCTGCATGGTTTACATATTGTAGTCAAAGGACATTGTTGTCAGCTTACCCCACCAACCGGCATGGTGCATCTTTCTTCCTTCCCGTCAGGCGTACAGGAGGATGTCAAGCCCTCAGTTCCTCGGCGCCCCTAGCGGTCTATCTCAGAGCTTCTTGTTTACTTGAACGGGCTATGCAATTTAGACAAGTAACAGAGGAGACCAGGGTTCCCCACATCCCCACTGTGCGAATGTCGGGGAATTTGAGTTTGTATTGGAGAACAGGGAACGTGGTGATGTCGTCAGCTTATTTCTTACACGAGGCAGTGATGCCATGAGTCAATATACCAAATTGCTTGTGCTGAAACCGCAGTGTCACCGACATGTGAAGAGATTCAGTACAAAGGGAAGATGATTAAGCTGACTCAAGAAAAAAAACCTCGGGACGGGGGGCATTACTATTCCAAAGGATGACTTTCCGGGGAAGAGAAAGCGTCCTTGTGCTAGCGCAAGCCCTCCTTATCGCTGAGCACAATACAGTGTATGGAATTGAGTGGTAGGGGAGTTCTGGCATTTGATTACCTTGCACCTGTCTATTGGATTAACAGCTGCGAGGAGTCACAGGTGGGTAGCCTATGATAACGAGAAGCTCGCACAGTCAGTTCCCAGCGGCAGCCTCCCCCCCGAGAATTTCATCTGAATCCTGGAAACGAAGACTAAATATACCTTCCAATCGTCATCATCACGAACTTGGTCTTCTTCTAGTTAGGGAATTATTGGAGGCAAATAACCTTGGTGTCAGCCCCGGATTTCCTTATCTTTGATCGACGGAGCCACCACAGGCTTGTCTATCTTTCGAATAATGATTCATGGGCGCGCGTCAGATACGGAGGCAGGAGTAGGTAAGACAGTCAAAACGATTAGGCTCTGATTATCTACCTACTGCGCTGAGTGGAGAAGTAATAATAATAACAATACGATCTGATGGGAGCAAGCTCAATCAACATTCTCAATATGGCAAGAATTCCAGAATAAGAATGAGCTAGACCAAACCAATTTCTGCTTGGTCGTGATCCTCAAGTCCGCGCTACCGTAATGCCGTCAAGCATCCCGAACCCCGTGGGGTCAGAAGATGTGGGGAAAGATCCCACCTTGATGAATAAGGCAATTTTCATCATAAACTTTTCTGATAGCTTTTGTTGTCTGATGTGGACTCGACACCGCTGTTTCAATCCCTCTCGTTGCTTCCCAGCAAATGATGGACTTATCGTCATCCCTCAAACCCACCATCTCCAGCTTGGTAGCACTCAGAGTAGCTCTCCTGAAGAGTAGCCTCTGATGTCAACAGATAAGGAGAAATATTCGCACAGTAGTTCGGGTACAAGAATAATGCACCCGACAGGCAGTACTAAGTCAAGCTAAAGGAATGCATCTGGAGAAGGGAAACTGGGGAGACACTAAAGAAGAAGGGCCAGCCGGACTCTCCCCGCAACTCCACACATCGCCAAGTCGGCATATCTGATAGTGAAAGCCTAGCACGACTGTTGACACTTGCTAACGGGATGATACGGAACTCAGGGAACGCTTCATTTTCACTAAGTAAATTATTTGTGTTATCACCTAATTCCTTCTTCATATCACGAATCGAGAGCGCCGTATGGGACACGTGCCATAATACTGGAAAAAGAAACCTGGATGGGAAGGCAAGGAGGGTAGGTGGCCGGAGTTGGAGATGGATCAGGAAGGTTACTTGGAACTTTGTTGTTCCTTTTCCTTGGAATCCTCTTGAGCTCTCGGGTGGGGATTTTGGAAGGGAAGGGCTGAGTGTGGGGGTACTCACGTAAGGTTGGGACGACAAGGCGGTACCACAGCAGCGGGATATGACAATACTTGCTCCAAGGATGATCCGTGAGTGGACGGAATGGAGGTCAAATACCAAGCCAGGAACAAATTAGATAGCGGGGTTGGAGCCTTGGAGAGCTGAGCTGAATGTGGGGTGCCAGAAGATGCATCACCATCGACCTCACAGATGTGACTATGCAGAATACTTGCTCAAGTGTAAAAGTTAGACAAACCTTATTAGGTAAATCTGAAACAGAAAATCATGACAAGTAGTGACACTACACATGTAGATATCACGTTATCCTGTGCATATTCCCCCTTCCTCGAACCTAGTCTCTATCGGTTTCAATGTTTTCCCATTTCCAATCCCACGGAAGTCTGCATACCATCAGCGTTTTCCACCCATTCCTTGCTTCACTTGAGCAAGCTGAACTGAAAGCTGCAGCCGTCTGTGCAACACACTAATGACGCCTCTTAATATGGGGGAACTCGGCTTCCTGCAGCCTGAATGCAGAAGGTGAAGAACGAAAAAATTCCTTCAGTGTCGGAGATGGGACCGGTTCAGGGCATATTTTGGTAAAGTTGCTCGGTTCAGCCGGTCATGTATGTACGCAAGTACCATGATCCTCCCTGCACAGCTGCCAAGTCTGTTGATTCCGGGCAGTCATTGATTGACTGCAGGCCAGACGAGGGGAGGAACGGGACGACATACATGATGCAAGGTTGCTCGAAGTTTATATTGTGTTGCGGTTACGATGCGATGATCCACTCGGACCGTCGGTGGAAATGACTTGCTGAGAAAAGAAGAAGAGATTTTCATCTTTTCTACTCAAGAGTCCAAGGGTTCTGAGTGTGCCAGGCCTCGAGTCGTTCGGTTGAGACCCGACATGTACTGCGCCGCAGGGAAATCTGCATCTGGAACACACGACTGTTGCCATTTGAGATCGGACCGCAGAGCCGGGCTTGGTTTGCCCCAAAAGCGGAGTTGAGAACGGGAGGCGTATCTGGGGTCCCCAGCGAAGTGCAGCGGGACGGAAAATCTGGAGAACGACATGGGATGATAGGGCTTTCTTGTTCGCTTTGTGCCGTGTTAGACTCTTACCCTTGATCATCTCGACCCCATTTGTGTGACCCTCGGAGGCATGGAGTGGACCAAAGGATGGAGAGAAGTCATATGTCTGTTGTTAAGATGCCGGATTGGGATGCAAATATGGTGGTCGCGGCAAAGTTGCTGCTGGTAACCGGTCTATTGGGGATATGGGAGATTTCTCTGATGCAAGCTGAGTCACCATGAGCCATTGATGTTTGGGATTTCTTTACCTCATCGTTCAAAATCCAAAGTCTTAAAACTTCTTTTGGGGAAGAATACAGACACACCCTTCAGTTTATTGCAGTTAATTATGCTGGTTGAATTCTGGAAATGGTCTCGGCTTCCATGTGAGCTCGTAACTATTCTTGACTCTCGAGGCAAGCCACTGTGCCGTGATGATACTTCATTGGCAAATACTTGTCCTTCCTGAAGAAGGAAATGGAAGAAGACCTCCGCTCAAAGTGCAACACGGAGCAGCTGATAGTGGAGAAACACGATCGTCCTGGCTCAATTGCAATTGATTGCTTCAGTTTGCAAAGACGAAGGACATATGCTGTGCAATGAGGCGAAATTGTGTATTTCTGACAAACATCTAAGGCTTCGACTCGACGTTTCACAGGCCAGACGCACACTCGTGGTCATGTACCTCAGGTAGATTGACAGCCACAAGGTCCATGCCCCTCTAAGCAACAACCGCTGCATGTTACTGGAAATAGACATTATAGAGGGTGAATATACGAGCTTCTAATATATACCATAGTTTTGGGGGACTGCGCGCTGAGTTGCGATGGTGGCACGATATGACAGCTCATGCGCCTGTGCTTGGACTCTCCAGATTTTGGGATAAACGATGTCACCCTATCGGTGGGACATGGGATCAAAATGTAGGTGAAGATAAGGTTGAGATGGGAGTATAAGATAAGGGCATCATTGGTGGAAACGAGACTCTGAGCGGTGAGGGGACATATTCAGGCTGAATGGTGATGCTGGGGGCCGCAGCGCGGATGAGGTTTCATGTAATCAGAATGCAGGTGATTGTCATTACTATTACTGACAGTGGAGCTTGTCTGGTGCTTCCTGATAGACGGTGACGCCAGAAGATGGTCAGAGGATGTTTTATCTTGAGACGGCAAGGATGTGAGAAACTGTTGTTGGGATTTGATATCTGCAAAGCCTAATGTGGGGATGCAAACTTCAGAGACCGAAGATATTTAACGCCTCATGTACTCAGACCGTGTAACTTGAGATAGGTAAACATCGGCAGTTAAAAAGCTGGCCGCGTTCAATGAGAACATTCAGATGTTTGGAGAAGTAGGATGATTGACAGCTGACAGGTGGAGGCAACCTCTCGCGCTGTTGCTGATGGCATTTTCTCGCATTTGCCCATCATAACATGATGCTTCTACAGTGTGTCGCTCTGAAGCTTCTCATTCATCCCCACTTCTGCATTACCATCCATCTGTAAAGGTAAAATGACTTGTATCTGATGCACTCACTTCGCTGGATGGTGCGTGGCACTGATCAAGAAGCGCGGTCGTCACTGTCAAGCAGGTGCCAGCAAATACTATGACACCAGAACGAAGCACGGTTGCCTAGCGCGAGGAAACAGATAACAAGTCAAAGATAAACCAATTTCTTCAAAGTGACCATACATTACACGTTGGCTGCTTCTCGGAGTGGACTACACTTGTAAGACCAACAACACAAGCGAAGCGAGCCTTTATTGTTGTTCAAAGCGCGTTGAGATCATGCAGGTCAACTTCATGCAGTACATAGGAAATACGTGGCTGGGACCGGCTGATATATGTCACCTTTTTGCTTGCATACGAAGTATGAAAAGCGGGCAGCGAGCGTGATAGTTCGCCCTCGATCAAAAGGAAACCAATGCCCTAGACAACACTTTACACAAAACTTGTTCGTTAGCTCAGATGACCGATAACTTGTTAGTATCACCAACTGAAATCAACTGAAACGTACACTAGACTTCTTAAAGAGATGCGAGATAGACTGAGATGTAGAACCAATCGCATAAAATTATTCCTCGTTGTTTTCAAGGATCGTGTGAAGCCGGAAGGTCAACGTCTTGACTGAGCTGATCCCATACACATCCTTCGAAACACATATTGGACTTGCATGTTAACATGATTTGAGCAGAGATAAGAAGAATGCTGGCATAAGAAGATGCAAGTATAGAAGGCTTATTGTTCCGGGCAGTCATGAGGCACATCTGAATTATGCTCTAAGACTAACGCTGTTTTGAATGTGTTCTCTCTGCTGAAGAACACCTTCAGTCATCGTGTCACCGGATTCAACCAGATCTTCTCCTCCAATGCGTACAGTACCCCCTTGAAATCGATTGTCAACATGCCACACCTCCTCTTCGGCAATGACACGGAGAATTAAAACAGACATTTTAACCACTCATCGCAGCGACAAGACTGTTCAGACAATGCAGCACCATTTGCTGTCTGCTGGGAAATTGACGTTCATAAAGTCGATCATATCGTCTATCCCTTCACGCGACATGACCGAAGACAGGTTGTGGTCGTACTCCCTACGGTTTCCACTTGCACCCTTCTTTATCAGAGCTGTGTACAAAGTCTGCCCGGATAGCCTCGAAACATTCTTGTCACCTCTTGATTGGCCGATGAGAATTGTAAGTCCTCTGAGAGGGAGTTGTTCGCCGTTGTCACCAAATTGTGGGTTGCTACCGGTCGTGGAACTGTCTTTGTGGCTTTGTGGGCTCTTGGGGGTTTTCAGGCTCGAGGTGTTGACTAGTGCTCCAGGTCTAGCAGGTTTCTCATTCAACAGACCATTGGAAAGATTACTTCCTAGATCATCTAGATAGCCTAGCCAACCACCAAAGCCGATAAAGCCACGAATTGTAAATGCTCCATTCAAGAGTGCACGGCTCGCAGCTGCGCAACCACGCCCGACTCCACAGAGAATTACATTTTCGGTGGTCAAATAGGCTAGCTCGCCCGTGATGGCCGTTTTTATGGTATCGATGCTTTCACGCAAGCCTCCGTAGGTCGAGTCCGCCCTTTCGAATCTTATACTATGGTCATGCAGAGTCAGCATTGAAGCTTCATATACAGATCCAGTATATCAGAAATGATACGGAGATTGGAAGAGCGTTCATTCTGAAGCTCGCCGTCCACAGCCACGTTGCATATAGATAGCCTGGGGATAACTCACTACCACGGCTTCATATTCTCTTTGCCCTCCTCGTTGTTCTCGATTGAAACAAACGATGAGAGAAACACCCATTTGTGGCTTGGAAAGGCTTCAGGAAGAGTCTTGCCGTTCGAGCTCCGATTACCCAGCACCTTATTTGGGAATGTGTCGATACCATCATGTAGAAAGATCACTGTATGCGTGTGTTTTGTGCTGACTGGATCCACGGCTCTGGAGACGGGGGTAACGGTAACGCTCATTTCGACTTTAGAATGCAGATGAAAAAGATACGTTGAATCGAGTAACTGATTGGGAATGTTGTTTGAAGAACAGCTGGCCACTAGAGACAATGACTTGAACTGAAATCAAGTGCTAGGTGGTGGAGTCAATGGAAGGTGCGACCCTACTGACGGCGGGAATGATATGGAAGCTTCGACTTATCAACTACCTGGCAAGAGCAGAGGAGGGGCGACTATGTCTCGCGAGGTGTTTGAGCCTCTAGCAACTGTTGATGCTCAGAATGTGATCTCTCTTCGTTTCGTAATTTGTGGTTTGGTTTGTATCTCAACCATTCTCTCCTTCAGAAACGCTGCCAAGTCGTCCACACCTTCGGGCTTGTTGACCCGGCCAATGACCTCCTTCGTCTTATTCCTTCCACTCAACTTCCCAAAATCCAATCCCCTCCTGCAAAACTTTCGATGATGCCCTGCCGTTACCGATGGGAACGACATCGTCATCTGTCGAATGTGACAAGAAGATAGGGGTCTGTTGCACAGATTCCGAGGACAAGTCTGTAAGATCTCAAGGAGGATTTGGCTTGTCCGGGTAGAGAATGGCGCGAAGTTGCGTGATGAGTCTGGGAACTTCCAAGTATCTCGCAAGGGGCTCATTTCTCACCTGAAATGGCATCCAGCAACAAAATCCAATGAGACCCCCCAGCTTAACCCCACCATAGATTAAAGCTTGGATAGCCGTAGCACCTCCTTGGTTGATTCCTCCAAGGAAGATTCGGTGCACTGACACTGCTGTTGCCTCATCACGAACGATATTGAGAATCTCTGAAACGCTCTCCCGCATTCCCTCCATCTGAAGGGGCATGACCTGTTATGTTCTCTCGATGGACTAGATATCGAACCCTGAGATATCTCAACTCTGAAACGAGTTGACCATCGTAGCTTTGACGTAGGGAAGACCCATTTGGCAGTGGGAAATATTTCTCGGAGTGTGCGGCCGTCGGATGCTTGACTCTCGAAGAACTCTTTGGCGAATTCTGAGGTGATGCTGCCTCGGCCATGGAGTAGGATTATGGTATGTGTGTGGATCTGTCATGAAGGAGAAATCACGTATGTGTTGCTTTCCATCATTGATGCCGCCGTCCTAATACTCTGGCATCAAACGGACGTACTGAAGTGTATCTTCAATATTGGCGTTGCTCGAGGAAGCTAAATAATTTCAGGTGAGAAATGTAGACAGAGTCTTTGTGACCAGTCGCTCCTACTTCATAAAAAGGGAGCTGTCTTTGATGTTGAATATTAACGACCGTGATGAATCATAAGAGCTCATGTTCCATTCTTATAGGCTGTGAATCTCTATTATCAGTCATTTTGACTTGCTTGACATGTCAGCAATCAATAGAGAGCGGTGACCGAATTTGAACATCAATTTTGGTTCCACAATGGAAATAGGTACACATGCCCCATCTTCATCGAAGATTGAAATCCCGATCTGATACAAATCGACATAAGCAATCTGAGAATCTTGAGTGCTCGACCAGTATCGACAAAACTTTCTCAGCTGAAGGTCGCAATGCTTGATCTTCAGCTAACATCTTCGAGATTAAAGAATATGACCAAGGATCTGCATCTGATTCGAACCAATCCTTCAATTTGTGCGCTGTGGCATAATAGCAAAGGGTTAATCGATCAGGTTCGTCCGGAATAGGTTCACTCCGAAAGTCATGAAAGTCCTCGATTGCTCTCCGGCCGACAACCGTTGCCATCTCCGCAAATACGCAGCCAAGTGAGTAGACATCTGCTGGCCTGCCGCGTCGATCTAAGGATATGACTTCTGGTGCACTATACATCTTGGTGATACCAGCAGCATAGCCCTCGGTAGAACTGGTCAGGCCAGCACTGAATTGATGAGCTGAGCCAAAGTCCGTAAGGAAGATTTCACCACCTTTGCAGATTGCATTACTGGGTTTGATGTCCTTGTGTCGAACATTGCGGGAATGAATGTACGCCACAGCCGATGCTAGACAATACTGCCATTTTACCAGACGCTGCAAGTCCTCTTCTGGGAAGTCATCTTCACATACGCGCTCAAGGTAGTGGCTTAAGTCCTCATCTCCGGCAGGTGAGAGAAGGATTCCGAACTGTCGAGGTGCTGAGGTAGTCTCGTATGTGCTGATGACTTGGATGATATGTTTGTGTCTCAGCTCTCGTAAGACGGCCACTTCTTGTTGTATAAGAGGGAGCAGCCGTTTCCGGGCCATATTTGGCAGTCGGATAACTTTCCGAGCCAGAATCATACCATCTGCATCACCACTATGACGGACTGCGTCCACACTTCCGAGTGACCCATGGCCGAGTTGCTTGACCGTTGTGAACGGAACCACTTTATGGCTTGCGTATTCGGAATGGCTGAAGCCAGGCTTGTTCGGTGATTCTGGAACGGCCTTGTGATGCTCTGATTGTCCGGGATCACTTTGAGTCGTCTGGCTTGGCGAAGATTCGTGACGCTCTGCTTTCTTTACGTCAATTTTGTGCTTCACTGTAGAAGACAAGGAAATAGCGTCCTCAGAGCGTGCTGCAGCCGAGGCAGCCCCTTTGGTACTTCCATCAGCGTACTGGCGAGGCGAGACTATTCCAAATTTCTCAAGGAGACCGCCTCCCTTTGGAACAGTGTTGGTGGATATCGACTTTCGAATGTGAACACGTTCCGGTTCACACTCTTGATTGCAAGTTTTACACGTCCAGCCGTCTCTCTGGACAATGATGCTGGGACCTAAGCATCGAACGCATCTCCACCACACAGGCGAAACGATCCGGCTAGCCCACCATTCCTGCTCTCGGTTCTTCTTCTTATGCCTCTTGAGCATGTCTTCTAGATGGTATTCCCGAAGATGATCCCTATACGCGTCTTTCCTCGTGAAGGGATCGTCTGATCTCTTGCACGAGTCGTAGCTGCAGGGGATCGTCTCATCTTCTATGTGAGCCGGGTGAGAGTGTTTATAATGGTGTGCAAGATCTGTAAAGATATTGAAGCGGAATTTGTCTCTGATGTCCCAACAGCTAGGGTGTTCACAGCGGAAAACGCCCCAAGAACCCTCTCCGGAGCCAACATCCAGAATTTCTTTCTCCTCAAGGGAAAGACTTCCTAATTGCTCCGGGAAGTCGTAGTCATTGGCTAGAACATGTTCGATTGGAATGGGCCTGTTGGGCACCTGGAAGGTGCTTTCCAGGACCACAGCCCCAGTTCTGCTTGATTTATCTAGTGCTGACCCCGACTGAGTTACATTCCGCTCAGTGGATACTAGAGGGTGCTCACGGAACCCGTCTACTTCATCCAAAGGGATGATGTGATTTACCTCGACAGCATACAGATCTGGTGCAACAACGGGCAATGATACACCAGTCCTGAGCCCATCATCCTCAGATTGCACAATCTCCTCTGCACTTCGCCCCTTAAGCAGGGCGAGGTTATCCCCGCTTCGGAGTGAGCTGGCCATCTTCAGATGCCAGGTATCTTCTTCCTATGGTCATCGTCGTCGTCGTCGTCTCACCCCGTTGCTGACCAAAACCCAAGGAGGTAGATGAAAGGCAGAGCTCCGAGTGGATGAGATTGAGATGTTGTTCAGCTCCGTCCAGCTAGGCCCAATCGAGAACCCCTCCCATGTCAACAACGTGACTCGATACACGTGCGGTCGATATCTACAATTCTGATCTTCCTTCGATAGATCCTTCGTGTAAGATGCAGTCTGTGGAATTTAAGGAGATCAGGCTTTTGTTACCCTTGCCAATTCCTCATACACTACAGTACCCACCGGATAAACCCCTAGCTGCCCTCTCGCTTCGGCATCCAACTACAGTACCGAGCACTCAATCAATATCCACGATCAATCAAAACACGCATATATTACCATCTGCCAAATACGGCCCCACAAGATTGATCACAAGAGAGACCTACTCTACGCACCGGATAAGGTTATACCAAATCTTTTCCTTGGATGAGAGCTTAGCCATACCATTCATCCAGCTTTTTCTGGATATAGACATGACTGGACACACTTCCCTGCGTTCCATAAATACCTTTCTCTTTCTCTTCGTCTATCATAGGAACAGTTTTTCAACCTCTAAGGTTCTTTTCTCTTCTTCTCTTCTGAAACTAAGACATGAGGTTGCTTCCTCCTCTATTCGCGATTGCAATTCTTCTGTGTACAACCATTTCCATCCCAGTTGTCCATAATGATGTTGAGAAGAGAACAGAAGTCGGTGAGGGGTGCTCATATTGCAAACCAGGGCCATGGGTAACTTCTGCTGGTAAGTTTCACTCAGTCGTCTGAATATACTCAAAGCTAAAATATCATAGCATGTAACTCCTACGAATACTTCGCTGTGGCAAGCAGTATGAGAAATCCGTATGCTCCTACCACCCCGTAGCCTTCCTATCATACTCAATGTTGCAGACCCGATGACATCAAGTTCGACGCAACATCATTCTGCTCCGAATTCCTCCGCCCTTTAATAACCGACCTTTCCATCGTAGAAGTGACAAGTGCAACCACGACATCGACATCCGTGGTTATAAGCCTTGTCTACGCATCACCTGAAACGACCAAACCATCGTAAGCGCTTCCTATCATGACCTAGCTAAGATGGATTCCCGCCCTAACCATCTCACTTCACAGAACCCCCACCAAAACCAGCCCTCCCTCATCCACCGCAACACAAACTTCCTCTCGACCCATCACAACCACCTCTCTCACCTCCATTGTATCTCCCGCAAACTATCTTAAGAAACGCAATTTCACCGTTCCAGAGTATCTCGAGCCATGGTATTTCTACGGCCGTCTCGACCCCGGCTGCTCATGTATTATAACGAGTGCTGATCCATCGATACTGATCTCTGCAACAGAGACAAGTACAATTTATCAATACACTGTGGTGAGTGTTTTCGCCTCTCTCCTAGGGCGTTTGTTTCGGTATCGGACTGATTTCCCTTGACACTTAAGATGGGGAGTGTCGCATTTGAGGGGTTGGTAAAGGGGTGTATGAAGCTGACGGGTACGTGATGTAGTCTACGACTGTAACAGAAGTCTATACCATTTATCCTGGTATGGATTAGGATTTCGGAAAAGAATCTGTGAGCAAACGCAATATGTGGCATAGAGCCCCATGTCAAATCACCTTTCAAACAATATTCTCTCATTCCAATATCTGAACCGAGACATCGAGAGTTGCGGTTCTATATCATGGAAGGGTGGTTTATCAGCAAAGAAACTGCTCTCCATGAAGAAGGCCAGTACCTGGACTGTAGGAAAGAGAGTGGAGTTATGAAATGAGTCCTAGTATATCGTCGAGTTCTGAGTTCGCTCTAAATTTTGCACAACGAGAAAAAGGCACCAGCCTAACTAAGCGAGTCTGTTTTTTGTCAGACTTTCGTAGTCATATCAAGCAGCGAAACCGAGATTCCAGATGGGATTGCAGCAAAAGTTGGGTTCTGTTTGGAAGTCATCCATTCTATTTTACCCGTTGGACAATCCTATTCTAGAGTACAATTCCCTCTTCGGTCGTCACTCCATCACTGGCCCCTCTTTACATTCTCTCTTTTTACAATTTCGTCTTCCCATCACCCACCAGCTCAGCCGCTGCCCCACTAATAGCCAACTTTCCTGTTTCCTTGACCTTACTCTGGAACACGACCTTCCCACCCTCCTTCCACATCTCTGTCACAATCGTCTGCCCGGGTAAAACCGTCCCCGCGAATCTCACCTTAATATTCTTAAATGCACCATACTTCTCATACACAGCCTTCGCCGAAATACCAAAGAAGCAGAGCCCGTGAAGAATGGGAACGCTGAAGCCTCCCATCTTCGCGAACGCAGGGTCGACGTGCAGAGGATTGTAGTCACCGCTTAAACGATACAGAACAGCCTGTTCCTCAGTAGTCTTCTCCTCAGCCGTGAAGTCTGGTGCGCGAGAAGGAGGCTTGTTGGCTGCTGTTGAGGCGCCCCTGTCTTGAGGTTTCTTGACGCCACCGAAGCCGCCAGAGCCACGGATGAATACAGTGCTTTCGTTGTAGAAGAGTGGCTTGCCGGTTTCTTTGTTGATGGTTGTTACGCCAGATTTTACAATAGCGGCGTTGCCCTTATCGACTACTTCGAGAAGGCGTGGTTTGGAGACGAGAGTTGCGGATGTGGGGATGGGATATGAGAGGATCTCAAGGTATTGCTCGCCGTGGAGAAGCATCATGGGGCTGAAGTTGGGGACGATGTCCGCGATTTGGTATGGTGTTTCGGCGCTGAAGAAGGGGATGACGCCGAATGTTGGGAGGGCTTGGAAGTTCTCATCTCCTTCACTATAATCAAAGCATCGTCAGCCAAGGTCAGCAGCAAACAAATTGGGGGACGCCTTACAAAACGTAGGACAAGTCAGTCTTCTTTGCTCCAATACCTAAGTTGTAGAGCATGACATCTCTTTCTTCGTACTTGAATTCAGTACCCGAGCCCTCTGCCTTCTTAGCTTTCTCAATATTGGCAAGGATCTCCTCGTTCACTTCTGCGCCTTCACTCTTCTAATACCAAAATAAACGTCAACATCATTTCATTATACATAAAGTACCATTACAGATATAGGAGCAGCGCCAATTTTTCGTTCCGGGATAGAAAAGGATGGTAGAGAATCTTGCTCATACCTTACTCGCGCCTCCCTTCTTATTTTGCATGTTCGCCATGATGCTCTTCAGCCCGTCTTGGCTGGACTCTGGATTGTCTGCTCGCCCATCTTCGAAGTCGGTGATGCGTTTCCACTGCTTGAGCACAGCCTCCGGTGTCAACTTCTGGTCAACTGGGAAACCATGTCCACCAGTTCGCTGCCAGCGGGTTTGTCCGACCCATCCGCTACCGACTTCGTAGAGAGCACCGGTTCCTGGTTTGGGAACCTTGTCAGAGCAAAGTGCTACAACGAGTGGCGCTATATAGTCTGGCTTGAAGGCTTGAACCATCTCCTCTGGAAGGATGGTTCTGGTCATGGCAGTGCCAGCATTTGGTGCAATGGTGTTGACCAAGATATTGTACTTCGCTCCCTCACGAGCAAGGGCGCGCGAGAAGCCGAGAATACCGCATTTCTGGTTCCGTTAGCACTACAAAGACACATCAGAAAACGAAACTTACGGCTGCAGCATAGTTGGCTTGTCCAAAGTTGCCGTAGATACCACTTGTGGAAGTGGTGTTTACGATACGGCCGTACTTCTGCTTAAGCATGTATGGCCAAGCAGCCTTGGTAACCTTATATGTACCTCTGAGATGAACTGAAATGACTTGATCCCACATCTTATCATCCATGTTCGTAAAGGCTTTGTCGCGAAGAATACCAGCATTGTTGATAATGATATCAATGCGGCCGAATGCATCAATTGCTGCCTTTACAACGGTCTCGCCATCTTCAGCTGAGGCCTTTACACCAACTGCCTTGCCACCGAGCTTTTGAATCTCCTGGACAACATCGTCTGGGTTCATCAAATCGTTGACAACGACAGAGGCGCCATATTTGGCGAATGCCAAAGCGTAGCAGCGGCCAATACTAGCAAAAGTTAGTAGGAACACCTCAAGGCATCATTACTTTTACGTACCCAGCACCACCACCGGTGACCAAGGCAACCTTGCCCTTGAAGTCAAGAGTCTCGCCCTTGTCATTGGGTTTCATTTTCATGGACTTCTCGAGCAGACCCATGAAGTCCGCAACACCAGTAGGGTATTCAGCACCTTTGCTGAAGTCACCGACCTGATCCCATTTCTTCAAAATAGCACCAGGCGTATAGGAATCATCAGCCTTCAAAAGAAGACCGCTGGAACGCTCCCATCGAAGCTTGGCAACATGGCCACCGCCAACCTCGAAAATGGCACCGTTCTCATCAGAATCCTTGTGCACCAAGACAGCCACGAGAGGAACAACCCAGTCTGGCTTGAGGTTTTCGAGAACATCGGGTGGCATAACGGTTTGTGTCATTCGGCTCGCAGCTGCGTTTCCAGAATTAGCATGTGAAAATCCACCCTTCTGCGGGAAACTCACCAATTGGGGCAATAACATTGGCGTGAATGTTATATTTCGCACCCTCCTTTGCAAGAGTCTCTGTGAAGCCCACCATAGCCAATTTAGCAGCTGAGTAGTTGGTCTGTCCGAAGCTTCCAAAGAGACCAGCCGCAGATGCCGTGTTGATCACTCTGCCGTACTTCTGTTTACGGAAATATGGCCACGCTGCGCGGGCGCACTTGTATGAACCCTTCACATGGACAGCGATAATCAAATCCCAGTCCTTGTCTGTGATATTCTTGAAGCTGATATCACGGAGGATACCAGCATTGTTGAGGAGGATGTCGATTCGGCCGTAGTTCTGGATGGCGGTCTCGATAATCTTCTCGCCATTTTCTACACTGTCGTAGTTGGCCACTGCTTTGCCGCCTGCGGCCTTGATCTCATCGACGACGACATCTGCTGCCTGTGTTGATATCTGTCAGTGTTGTGCTGGTTAGCTTGCATGTGTGCGGGGGCCGTACCTTTGTCGAGTTGCCCTCGCCCTTGAACGATCCTCCGAGATCGTTTACAACGACTGAAGCGCCTCTTGAGCCGAAGAATAAAGCATAAGCCTTTCCTGGACACGAAGTATCAGTAGAAAATCCTCTCTATAGCTCTCAGCGACTTACCAAGTCCTCCTCCAGCGCCAGTAACCACCACAACCTGGCCATCATACCGTAATTCCGACATGTTCAATCAATTGTGTTTCACTGCTCTATGTCCAAAGCAATCGGTCTGTCTCTCGTAGCGGATCTCAAGGAATGTTTACTGAAGATAATTAGGAGGAGAGGAGAGAGGAAGTAGAGATTCGGGATGATGTAGTGTTGAGGAAGTGAAAGACTTTAAAGTGGTGGACAGGCCTGTTGACAGTACCATCACTCGGCTCTTGCATGCCTCGGCAAGTTGGCACCGACGACATGACGACCCTCCAAAGCCGGGGCAAAAGAATCGGCGGGCGGGCATTTGACACTCAGCGACGGGACCCCACAGTTCTAAGCCCCACACGAGTTGGCTGCTCTCCAGGAGTCCAGGGCGGATGGGCTCCAGCTGGGCTGGGCTAGCTTTTGGGTGCGGGAAATTCACATGCAAAGCAGGGGTAAAGGAATAACAGACCCCGTGCCTCTGTACAGCTTCAAACGGGACATTTGGCAAGTCAGCTGTTGAGACTTGAGTAATCAGACGAAACCAGGAGACAATCCCCCTTTTTTTCTCATGTGAAAGTGCTGAGGAAGCCAAAAAAATGGAGCCGAGTCATTTGATGGAGTCTTGTAAATAAAGCCTCGCCAAACCCACCCGCAAAGGTGATCGGTTTCTCGCGGGGGAAGAGCTGAGCTTCATCCCACTTCCAACGACGAACGGAAAGTCCTGGACCAAGACCAAGACCAAGACTCCACCAAGTCAAGGCTGGCAAGCCTCAACAATCACGACAATGTGAACCTGTTTTTATACAGTGCATTGCACAATCCAAACTACATACAATCCGAAACTCGAATGCCCAAGTACTATCAGCACCAGAACCACTACAAAATGTCAACCTCCAAACCCACGATAATCGACGACAAATCGCACCATTGCATCCCCTTCATCCTCTCCCTCCTCGAAGCACAAGATGCAAAGACACAGACCGATTCTACTTCCACCACGAAACCTTTCATAATCGGCCTCAACGGCGTCCAAGGCGCCGGCAAAACGACCCTGGTAACCACCCTCTCCTCAACCCTCAACGCTCGCGGCCTCCGCACCCTCGTCTGCAGCATCGACGACCTCTACCTGACACACGCCGACCAAATCTCCCTTGCACAAGCCCACCCTTCAAACCCGCTCGTCCAACACCGCGGTGAGCCGGGCACACATGATATGGTTCTGGCGCGAGAGTTATTCTCTGCATTGATGGAAGGAAGGGAAGTTCGTGTCCCGGAATACGATAAGAGTTTATTCTCTGGACAAGGCGACCGTGTGGATCCCAAGGAGTGGAAAGTTGTCAATGCACCTGGAGAGGAGAAGATCCAAGTTGTGATTTTCGAGGGGTGGTGTGTTGGATTCCGAGCGTTGAGTGATGATGAAGTGCGGGCGAAGCAGAAGGGGGAGAGTAGGACGTTAGGGGAGCATAGGATTGAGGATTTACTGTTTGTGAACGAAAGGTTGAGGGGCTATGAGGTTGTGAATGAGTGCTTTGATGCGTTCGTTCATGTGGATGCCGAGGAAACAGAGTATGTGTATAAGTGGAGACAGGAGCAGGAAGAGGCGCTGAGGAGGGAGAAGGGGAGTGGCATGAGTGAGGAGCAGGTGGTGAGGTTTGTGGATGGGTACTATCCGGCCTACGAGCTGTACACGGATACGTTGAGGGAGGGGTTTTTTGAGGGAAGACATGGGTCGGATGGTAGGCAGTTGAGGCTGGTTGTAGGGAGGGATAGGAAGGTTAGAGAGGTTGTGAAGATATAAGCGAGGCTAGTTGAAGCAGGATCCTCTGAAGGCCTTTAATCTGAAAAGGCTCGTTGAAATTGCTATAATGCTAAAGCAAATGGGTATTGTATAACTCCTGAACTATGCACTCATTCCCATTTCATACCGTAGCCATGAATCCATGCAAATGCTAATATCTTAACGATTCCATGCGCGTAACTTTTCTTTATCATCCGTGCCAATCAAACCCCAAAACACGATGTAAAGCGAGCCCCAATGCAATGTTCCCATATTTCAGCCATTCATATCAGTACCTTCTCTGTTCCAGGGCCAGCATGCTATCAGCAAAGGATGCAAACACAGCGTAGAGTCCTGTAATTTATCCCCTACTCCTCTTCTTCTTGGTTCCTAGGAGGGACTGTCCAGCAACCTCCATTCCTTCAAGCTGCGTGTCGAGCTTAGTGGCATGGTCTCGTACAGCCTTCTCTCTTTCCTTGATCTCATTCTCAAACTGCGATGCAGTCTCACGCTTTATTCGCTTCTTTTCTTTGAGCTTTTTCATCAGTTCCGCAAACTTTCCAATGAAGATATCTCCAGCTAGCTCCCACTCCTCTGTCGACAAACTTTCGTAGAATGGAAGCTGTCCATGCTCTGGATCTTGCTTCAGGTAGTGCTGGATCTTCGTCTCCATTGTGACTTTGCGGCCCTGAAGCTCAGTTGGCAGCTTGTATGCCTTTGCCTTGGGTACCATGTCCCAATCCTCTCCATCAAGATCGGAGTACTTCATGAGCTGGAGCTCCGGATCCGAATAGTCTGGAATAAGGCGATCGTCAATCCCAGTGTTCTCAGGTGCTTGATGCGTCTCGGGATCTTGGAGGTGCTGGGAACTCGGAACTTGTGGAAGTGTCCGAGACTTCCGTTGACGAATTGGACTTTGGACTGGAGTGGTCTGTTCGGTACCATCGCTGTTGAATTGGACGTCGCCCAGGCGAACAGTGGCGTCTGCCTGCCCACCTTGAGACTCCATGTCATCTTCTTCACTACCATCAATAGAAATTTCTCGTCCGTGGCCACGAGTATTATGAGCACGAGGTACAGCACCGCCGGAGCGAGATCGCTTCTTGGAGCCTTGTTCATGGTACGAGTCAGAATCTCCGCGGCCATTTCGAAGTTGGAGATCCTGATGCTGTTTGTTCGTTTCGAAGCGTCCAGCGATAGCCAAAGGTTGTTGTCTTTGCGTTTGGGGAGCGGTTTTAGTAGTTCTCAATGGTGATCGGCTTTGCTTATACTGGATGGTATGAACCTCTTTGGCACCGGGAAGCTCCACATGAGGACGGCGGCCGTGAATGTAGTCATTGCCATCATCTGCGGAGTACCCAACATCATTGTATTCATCGTACGGTTCGGGTTCGAAACCAATGTCACTCTTGGTGCGGTCAAAATCCGATCCCACGGTAGTTTCCTCCAATGTGTCTTTCTGAAATCGAGCCGCCTTGTATTCATCCAAGCCTTGGCCGTATTCTCCTTGCTGGTATTGGTTGTGGGAGTATAAATTGGCATCGTTGACCTGATTCGAAGCGTGGACTGGAGTAGGTTCACCATTTGTGACCGCTGTGTTGCCTGCCTTTTTTGCAAACTTCAAATTTTGAGCAGATAAACGATCCACTCGAACACTATCCCCGTTAACACCATGAGGCAGTGGTGGTGTCGGTACACGGCCATTCTGGCCGTTCTGGGCGCGGGTTTGGACGAAGCGATTCATTATTAGCCGGCTCAAAATAGAGATCCTAGACTCAAGCAATGGCTTGGAGGTTCTGTAATCGTGTGTGGATTGAACAAAACTTCGTGGGGAGGATAGGGGACTTGATGGCAGCTGTTCAGCGTTGAGTGGCAACCTCGCAGCAGCTGTGACCCAAGTGATCCACCAGTCGATGCACTGTTGATAGCCTGGAGGTTGACAGTCCAACCAACCAGAATCAAGTGCCTCTCGGAGTAGGATGTTGATTGATGTTGGAGTTGAAAGGCAACGACGCGCTGCCATGATCTACCAGATCGCGCCACTGGCTACGCCACGTGACGACGCGAGTTCCTTATCTGGTCATTTTACGAGGTTATGAGGTACGTCCCTAGCAGGTAGCTACGGTACCTTGGTAGGTAAAGGTTCACCAGCTGAAGTACCTGTGACTTTGACTATGATGATGGCACCCGAGATTACTTTCACGTTATGAGTACTTATTGGAGTGGATCAACTTCCCACTCCAGTAAATATTGGCCAGCTCTACCAGCTATCTCTGTGATCTAACGCAAGATGCCAATGTGTACGACGAACCCCGAATCTGACTTCAGACCATCAATGAGCTCTTCATCTGGGACTCGCCAGACTCGAAACAATATGTGGAACTCTTTAAGCCAGCCTTCAAACACTTCCGATGAACGAAGCTGCTGTGCTACAATGCAGACAGATGGACTTTTCTCCAGATCGTCCGCCACTCGTAGCTTGCAAGCATCGACACAAGTCTGTACCAAGGGTCTGATCAGGGTATCGTTGTAGATACAATCACAAGCTATCACAGCATCAAAGCTCTTGTTTGAGTCACTACCTGTAAGCGAAGCTGTCACCTCGTCCGTTTCCCAGTCCAATGGCCGAGCAGTGATGTTGCTGGTGGCCTGCAATGGGTTTGTTGGTACGGAACCTCTCTTGGGCTTCGATAAGCTCTTCCGTCCTTTGTTGACAGTAGACGTCTCTTGTCGATTTTGTGTCAGATTTTGGTTCAGGAGTTTCATGACATAGTCCTGATCTGTCAAAACGTAGGACTTGATAAGTGGCCCTAGAGACAGCCCAATGATCCCCGATATGCCACAGCCGAGCTCTAGTACCGTGGACTCGCAGTCAAGAATGCCAAGTCTGAAGAGGATGTTGGTGGAGGTTATCCATCTCGCGAGAAGAGGGGTAATTTTCCAAATGACTACAGAAATCTGTCAGTTTGATGCACCCCGGAAATGAGTTTCCCACAAACCTGCACCAGTTGTACCACCACCTCTATTTGAAGACAATATCGTCGGTGATTGGTTGATCGACAGGTCTCGGTCACCAATTGTTAGCTCCAGTAATGTGGCCTTAGAGTCGACAAATCCAAGATTCTGTGACGGAATGGATTGTGAGAAGAGAAGGAAAGACTCTGTTTCAGGGTCGTCTATTTCTTCGCCAAGAGCGTCCATAAACATTGAGCTAATCATCAAGAGATTTGGGACGCGTGAGCCAGGCCTCAGAATCCTCAACCGATACTCCTGGCCATTCACGGACTGAGATTTGAGCCTTTGTCTTGTACAAACACTGTGCAGTTCTCCAAGGAGCAAGGCTGAGCTCGGTTGACCATTTGCCCAGGGCTTGGCTACACTCAGTCAGAAATGGTTGATATGGCGAGACAAAGGATATTGCCGTGGCGGTCCAGAACTGGACACGTCGGCGTCCTTGGTAGGCGAAGGCTGAGACTACGACTCCGACTCCGACCGCGCTTCCCCAGCTCTTTTTAGGTTACCAGAGAAGGACAGGGCAGAGGTAATTTGCGATGTTGCATGTTCCGCCCAGAGCTTTGAAGTATATGGAATAGATGGTTGTCTTTAACGAGGACTAAGTACGGTATTTATCTCCAGGCCCCATCTCCACCCCTCAAGGTGGCCCTGATAGGTAGCTACGCCATGCCATGGGCAGCGGAGGCAGAAAAGGGCAGCATCCCCGACATCGTGCAGAAGAAAGACCGGGGAGAGATCAATGCTGAGTGAATCTTGGCTAGTTAGCTTAGCCCAGTCTGGGAAGTGGCCGGCCTGCCGCTGTGTTGACAAGGCCATGACGACTGGTCCTGGTCCTGGTCCTGTTCCCCAAGCTCCCCCAACTCAACTCTTTCTCAAAATCCATCCGCTTTCCCCCCCCACAACGCTTCCTCGAAGTTACTCTTCACTGTGTGTGCGAACGTGCATCGAGTCGCATTGCTCTTCTTGTGCCTTGTTTACAACCATAACACCCCAACCACCGAACTCGAGCTTCCCAACAACTTTCCATCCAAAATGTCTCTCAAGAACATGCACCCGCAGCCTAAAATCTACCACAAGCCGCCCTTCAGCGTCGAGGTTCCTGGATATGAGGCAGTTGAGGGTGAGACGATTCCCCGCAGACATCCTCTGTCAGAGAAGAAGCTCCTGGACCGCCCAGCCGAAGGCATCGCAACCCTCTTCGATATCGTGAAGCTCAGCTCGGAGAAGTATGGCAATGCCAAGGCCTTGGGCACTCGGAAGCTCATCAAGACGCATCAAGAGACCAAGAAGATCAAGAAGATAGTAGATGGGCAAGAAACAGAGGTTGATAAAAAATGGACATACTTCGAGCTTAGTGGATACGAGTACCTGAGCTTCCACGACTATGAGAAGTTGACTCTCCAGATTGGTGCAGGTTACAGAAAGCTCGGACTGACGAAGGACGATCGGGTACATATCTTCGCAGCAACCAGTGCTCACTGGTTGGCGACTGCACATGGCGCTTTATCGCAATCAATGCCCATTGTCACTGCTTACGACACCTTGGGAGAGGAAGGTTTGAAGCACTCCCTGGTCGCAACGCAAGCCAAAGCTATCTTCCTTGATCCCCATCTCCTACCAACCCTCATCAAACCACTCCATGAAGCTACCGAAATCAAATATGTCATCTGGAACAGCCAAAATGAGGTCAAGCAAGAAAACATCGACGCTCTTAAGAAGGCACACGATCGTTTAACAATATTGAGTTTCGAGGAGCTGCGAAAGCTTGGAGAGAGCAACCCAGCCGAGCCTGTACCGCCCTCTGCTGATGACCTCTGCTGCATTATGTACACCTCCGGATCTACGGGTCCACCAAAGGGTGTGCCTCTCAAACACAAGGCTGTCGTTGGCGCAAGTACGTATAATCCCGATTCCTGTGAGAAAAGTGCTAACTGAAGCAGTCGCCGGTGTCAGTGTTATTGTCCAGCCATACCTTGGTCCCGGAGATGGCCTATTGACCTACCTACCACTTGCTCATATCCTCGAATTCGTCTTCGAAAATGCATGTTTATACTGGGGTGGAACTATGGGTTACGGAAATCCAAAGACGCTATCAGATACATCCGTCAAGAACTGCAAGGGCGATATTCGCGAGTTCAAGCCTACAGTTCTAGTTGGTGTCCCAGCTGTTTGGGAGTCCGTTAAAAAGGGAATTGTCGCAAAGGTCAACTCTGGAAGCCCGATCCTGAAGAACCTTTTCTGGGGGGCACTCTGGGCCAAACAAAATCTTCTCCACTACGGACTGCCAGGAGTTGGTGTTCTTGATAATGTGGTGTTCAAAAAGGTCAAGGATGCGACTGGTGGACGATTGAGAATTTGCATGAACGGAGGTGGCCCAATTGCCAAGGACACGCAAAGATTCATTTCGATGGCTATCACTCCTATGATCAGTGGGTACGGACTGACTGAAACCACCGCTATGGGTGCCTTGATGGACCCTATGGAGTGGACTGACGAGACCCTTGGCGACATTCCTGGATCCGTTGAAATTAAGCTGGTTGACTTCCCTGATGCGGGCTATTATGCGAAGAACAAGCCAAACCCGCAAGGAGAGATCTGGATTAGAGGTGTTACCGTCATGGAGGGCTACTACAATGACGTGGAACAGACCAAGGAAGCTCTCAGCCCAGATGGATGGTTCAAGACAGGTGATATCGGAGAGTGGGACAAGAATGGCCACTTGAAAATCATCGACCGAAAGAAGAACCTGGTCAAGACTCTCAATGGCGAGTACATTGCTCTCGAGAAGCTGGAGTCTGTCTACAGAGCCGCAACCGTGGTGGCCAACATCTGCGTTTATGCTGATCAACAACGCACTAAGCCAGTAGCGATCATCGTTCCTGCTGAGCCGGCTTTGAAGAAGCTTGCAGAGAGAATCGGTGTTCAGGGTAATGGTATCGAGGATTTGGTTCATAACAAAAAGATCCAAGATGCAGTTCTGAAAGAGCTGCAGCAAGCAGGCCGAGCCGGTGGTCTGAGCGGCATTGAAATCATTGAGGGATCAGTATTGGCGGACGAGGAGTGGACACCTCAAAATGTAATAACTCCCTAAGCCTTGCTTCAGACTACAATGCTAACAAACATGATAGAACATGGTCACCTCGGCCCAGAAGCTCAACCGAAAGTTGATCTTGCAAACATACAAGAAGGAAGTCGATGCTGCTTACTCCCGGAATAATTAGGTAATGGTCTGTTCTTTGCTACGGCAGGATTCTGTATGGTTGGGAATCGGTTGGGAATGGGTGAAGTGGAATAGTGAAAAACAGTGCTTCGGTTTGAGCGTCTTTTTGATTGGTTTGGGGTCGGTGCTGCTTGTATGATATCTGTCGTGCCAGAAATCCAAGTTTCGTTGAGCTAGTACCCGATGTTGACATATGTACCTGGCCGTAATAAAGTTACTTGATTCGCTTGGAAATTATTTATTATCGTTACGAGTGCCGGTTGTGTAGGCATAGCTCAACTGCCATGGTCGTTGCCATTCCTCATGTACTCATCATCAATCGTATCATAAAGCAAGCTCATCCTCACTATCATCAATAACATCCTTCTCAATCATCCTTCCCCTACCCTCCGCGTCCTCACCAATATCATCGCCATCCTCGCCATCCCCCATCCCCATCCCCAGTTCCAGCAACTCCTCGTCTCCTTCATTTTCCTCTATCGGCGGCGCCAACGCATCCTCGCTCCCCTGCCACTGCGGTGGTGGCGGCGGGAGCTCCTCTTCATCTTCTTCCGCCCAGCCGTAATCCTCGTCATCTTCGGCATCGCTGTCGGGGATCTCGAGGTCTGTAGCTGAGAGCTTGCGTTTCTGGGGGAGGGTATTTTGAATTGGTGCTGTATGAGGGGTATTTGTGTTTGTGGTGAAGGACTGTTGATGTTTCTGGGGCAAGGATTGGGTGGGGAGGACGATGAGGGGTAGGGAGAGAGAGTGGAGGCCAGTCTGAATGCAGGTCTGTATCAGTGATCCATAGAACTTTCATAGAGTTACAGGAAGCGATGGAGATAAACTTACATCACGAATTGCGAATCCAACCAGTTTCGTCCCACCAACAGCCACTCCCTCAGCCTTTAGAACCCTTACCAACCTCACGCCATCAACCATACCTCCCTCCTCATCCTCCCAGCCCCAATCCCGCATCAGCTCAACTCGACACCCGAGACCCTGTTCCCAGGCTGTGGCATTGACAGCTGGGACTAGCACGGCGCCTGCTCCTGGTCGCATCTTGGTGACGCACTGTGAAGTCACGACAATGGCGATGTTGCGGGTGGTGGCTAGCTTGGAAAGTGAAGAGATTAAGTGTTGGAGAATAGGGAATTTACGTGCCGAGGGATTGGGTGCTGTGGGTAACTACTTAGTATTGAATGAAACAAGATGAAAGAGATGCGTGTGCTGTAGGGCTCGGCTCTTACCACCTGGTTTCCTAGATGTGCCAGTGGAGTCTACAGACCGAGGAAAGGCGTTGGCAATTAATGTTGAGAAGGAGTCGATTACTATCAGGCTTGTGTTCGGAGGCGGATGTAAGGTTGTAGGTTGTGTTAGGAACGCAAGCAAATGTGCAAGACTTGGTGTGGAGAAGTGGGTGAAGTTCGAGAGTAGGGATGTGAGTGTTGCTGGGTTGGAGTGTGGTGAAGTTGCAGGGGCTGGCTGATGTGAATCATGTGAGGTTAGAATTTGACTGAATCGGGATCCGGAGATTAGATGTGAGGCATCTAGTCTGAAATTAGACAGCTGACATTGTTGGGTTAATGAGAGGGCAGAAGTCTGGGAGGGATAGAAAGGCGGATAAGATGAAGGCCGCGATCATGCCTAATATTGAAGCAGAGCTGTAGTCCCATTGGGTAAAAGTCTCAGTGTAGAAGAGAATGTATCGTGGTGGGAGCGAAGTAAACAGAGCCCAAGCAACAACAGGATAGCCGAGCCAATGTCTGCTCGGAAAAGGATGAAGATGATGTGATATAGGACTGGGGATACTCACCAATCCAGACAACTCCTTCACCAGCATGCAATACACTAGCAGCCAGTTGCATCCTAGACCTTGGTCAGAATTAACTCTTTCCAGTATTTAGTAACCACTCACCCAAGCGCTGTCTTCCCAACACCAGGTGGGCCATAAATCTCAGTCACTTTCCCTCTGGATATACCACCTGGGAGAGCTTCCAAATCCGAGAAAACTAGTTCTCTGTTCTGCAACATACAGTCTAAAAGCTCCAATCCTGTGGAGATACATCGCGTCGGTGATGTCTTCAAGTCTTGCAATGCCTGTGCTGCTGAGACTGTGGGCATGCGATCTGGGATGGTCAGCAGTGCTCATATTTCTGTTTATGCACGCTTACGAGCTATAGGAGACGAGAAGTTTGATTGTCCAGGGCCATGGATAGAGTCGTAGTCCATGATTGCCTTGATATGTTTGTTCAAGTTCTAGGATGGTCTCCTCTTCGTACTAAATTGGACGCGTAGGGACCAGGTACAGGGGGAGAGCGAGATCACATGACCGTTTCCGAAAACCAAAAGCCTCATTTCGTTTACGTTCGATTCAAAACTTCAACGTCAAACTGTGGACACGAGCTGTCGTGGCTGCAAGTACACCAGACCTCTCCGGAATCATGCCGTGTCGCGTTGCCTCGTCATGCTTCTCCTATTCTGGATCCGTCACACTGCAACAAACATTCTGCAACAAACATTCCACGGTCTAGGCATCGTATGGAGCAGATGACTACTCTTCACAAGGACCGTGAGTATCACTAAGGTGATAATGCAGCTATCGAAGTCAGCGGCTTTGGGAGGGTGTGAAGAGTACTGATGACTGTAGCACGAAGTTCATATGGAATACGAGCAATCATGGAGACCCACTGGATCATTATCGCATCTGCATTTTTCTTGGTCTCGGAGTTCCGGATCCACCAAAACAGCATTGGCATTGTCTCCTTTCAAATCAAATATCAAAAGCCACGGTCGGTCAAATATACCGTATTTATCGGGGCAATTGTTACAATTCTTTCGTGTCGAACCTTCCAAAGGTTCGCCAGGTAAGCAATGTTCTCTATAATTCCGCCACAGCTCTTCTGGTCAGAAAAGTCTCAGCGGACAAGCGGCGCCAACCTCTCGTTTTCAATACGACACAACTTGATACGAGCTTCGCGCAGACCCAAATTCTGCATCCTTGGTGTTGATCGAAAGAGAGGCGGCTGATTGGCAAAGCCTGAGGGCCTTTTGTGGGTTTGGTATGCTCTAAAATAGACCCCTGTCTGGGAGATCGCTCTTTGATGCGGGTCCTGCAGTCTTTCAGACGAACTTGCTGATTCACGAGCTTGGTAGAATACCTCCCTACATTCCTTCCCTTTTCTTTTCACCATAACCTGGCAGTTCTTCCTCTCATCAGCATGCAACGATAGCACAAATTCAACATGAGGGTACTTCTTGCAGCATCTGCTGTGCTTTTATCAGTACTTACCCCGCCGTCTGCAGGTATCTTCTTGAATGTCACTGATGATGGTATGCCCCGCCACTGCGCACTGCTACGAATCCTTTCACTGACATGATCCAGCGTCAATTCGTGAAGCAGCCAGTACCATCGCCTATGGGATGGTGAAATACTACGACGGCAACGTTACGAACAATCCATGGACGATAGCAGTTCTGCCAAAGCCATACTATTGGTGGCAAGCGGGTGCTATGTGGGGATTACTCCTCGATTACTTCCATTACACGGGCGACGATTCCTATAATAATATTACGACCCAGGCTCTGCTGTCACAAGTTGGTCCGGAATTTGATTACATGAATCCTATATACAATCTGAGCGAGGGGAACGACGATCAAGCTTTCTGGGGTTTCGCAACAATGTCTGCTGCGGAGAAAGACTATCCCCAACCAACGATCGGCAATTACTCCTGGGTAGAGCTCACGGAAAATCTATGGAATACACAAGTGCGACGCTGGAATATGGAGTCCTGCGGGGGCGGCTTGAAGTGGCAGATTTTCGACTTTAACAAAGGGTATGACTACAAGAACTCGATATCAAACGGCGCATTTTTCCAGCTTTCTGCTCGACTTGCAAGGTTCACTGGAAATCAGACATATGTCGACTGGGCACACAAGGTTTACGACTGGACTAGGGATATTGGTCTCATCACTGACGACTATCGGGTGTTTGACGGTACCGACGACCTGAAGAATTGTTCAGACACAAACAAAATAATCTGGACCTACAACACGGCTGTTTTCATGTACGGAAGCGCTGTGCTGTATAACTATACAAATGGATCATCTCTCTGGGCGGAGCGTACGCAGGGATATCTGAATGCTTCAGCGGGATTTTTCAGTCCTTACGCCAATTCGACGAATATCATGTACGAGCCAGCTTGCGAGACAGTCAACACATGCAACACCGATCAGTTCTCTTTTAAAGGCTACCTTTCGCGATTTATGTGGGCGACCGCACTTGTTGCTCCCTTTACAGCCGAAGCCATAACGACATACTTGACAGCATCATCCCTAGCCGCGGCCAACAGCTGCACTGGCGGGACTGATGGGGTCACCTGTGGAGCAAGATGGTACGTACCTGGTTGGGATGGGAAGCTTGGTGTTGGGCAGCAAATGAGTGCTCTGGAGACAATTCAAGGTCTCCTAAGCAGCAAGAGTGTCCCCCCCATGCATGGTAACAGTGTCCACTTGAAGACATTACCCTCAGAGACGCCAGCCGCAGCTCCTTTACCAACAAAGACGGAGACTGCAAGTCCGACGACTTCCAAGAAGAGCGATGCAGTCAGCTTTAGACTATTGGAGAGGCGTGTGTGGGTCATGGCCGCTATTTCCCTTGGTGTTGGTTTATTGGGAGTCTTTTAGATGGTTGCTAGATGGATGACTACACTCGACGATCGCATTAGAGAGGCGTTTTGGGCACTGCCGGATACACAATACCACTTGAAGCGTTTATATAGTAGATTAGACATAGAATGATGATCGTCCCAGCGCACCCTTCGGGGCATTCAGCACTAAAAGTCAAAAACTCGAGTGATAGCTGATCACCTCCTTGGGCATTCTAATAGATATGTGTACGTCTCAAACGATCAGTGTTGAAACAAGCACGGGAGAAAGTCATCAACAAGGTTTGACGGCTTGAAGCTTCGCCTTTTTGTTATTCTCACAGCCAATGCAATCGCTGGGATGTTGAACCCTGTAGCTGCATGGCTGCGGCGCATTTGTTACCATAGCCATGCAAGATCCACAATCCATTGAAAACGGCGAAGCCCCCATATTCCTTCCACAGAGCAAAACTTGACTTTTTGCATCAAGTGGATTCTATCTTTTTGAAGCTGGAGATTCTGTCCTTGGCTATCCTAAGTTTACGTCGAATTCCATCGCCGGGCCCACGGTACCTTTGCCTGCCTGGCCTGGGTTGATCCATCGGGCAACAGTCAATAAACTTCAGACTTCCGCAAGTTCTCATACAGATAATTTATAGCCGAAATACGACCGTCTTCTATTGAGTCGTTGATCTCTTCAACTCTTTCAATATGACATCTGATGGGTCACGTTCTCAACCAAACAACCACCCAAATCATGGAGCATTGCAACCGGCTATTCGCCAAGACACCTTTCGAAGATCAGATGGCTTCCATCAAGCCAGTGAAATACAGTAATTGACAGAGACCGAAAGATTTCTTCATCTTAGAACACCCCGAGACGATGGTACCCAAGAACCTCTTTTGCAATCCTCTGTTCAACCCCAACTCACCCCAGCCCCATGCGACGAAAGCCTCTTCCTTTTCGAAACAGTGAAGTGCAATACTCAAGATTGCCGAACAAGGAGTCCTTGGTACAAGTCTCGTCAGTATCATTAGGGTCCAAAATCCTCGAGTTCAGACCAATCATCCTGGATACCCCTCATTCCGTAAGTTCAAATTGGCGATGGTATCGACCACCCCTACTCACGTCATTATGCAGTTACGATATCCATGTCAGCTCTGTGGACGAGACAATTGTTCCAATCTGAAATTCCTGTCGAGGTATCGCAGCTGTTCCAGGTTCGGGATATCCCTTGTGTATACTCTGGAGGCGCATATTACAAGACGGCCAAGTACAAACAGCCTATCTTGGGGAACAACACTTTACTCCCAAGAGAATTGCTGAACATCGTGATCATTTCAGGGATGTACAGCGCTGCTCTAACAATTGACCATGAATGCCTCGCGACCGACGTAGAGTAGTGATGGCTGGGGCTTTGTTCCAGTTTCACTTTCAAGCTCACTAGGAAACACCAAAAACCGCACAAGTTCAGGCAGTAATGATTCTGGAGGTAGACTTGCTCTTGCCACTGTCAACATACCAGCTGTTTACGCTCGGCTACAGTGCTCACCTCTGGCTCCGGACATCGAGGATAGGTGCCGGCTTACAGAACTCGACCTGACCGGAAAAGGCATCTGAAATCAAACGCTCAAACCTCGGCCGTTGGAATCAGGTTATGTGCTAGGGCGTAGTGGCAATTACCGGTCTGCATTCAACTTCAACCCGAACATGACTGATTTGGACGATCCCTCTAGCAATTGTAGCTTCATCAGCGATATGTTGAAATGAGCGTCCCTTTTCAATGCACTTTCCTAGACTTGTTGCAGCTGTCATTACTGTGGCTCGGCACACCTCTGGCAGTACAGTTTGAGGCAATTAATGCTGACTTGCGTCTAGAATATACAACCGTATTGTCTGATATATTCGTGACTTGCTGTGCCCAAGAGTCTGAACACTTTCCGGAAAATGCGTCTATCGGATGTTGAAGCCCCGTGAACGTGATAGTATAGGATGAGGGATCGCAAATAATGCACCAAATAGACAAATTCACTGTTAAATGGATATATGGCTCAGCACCTGTCGACTATCTTAGTATATCCGGTCTCAGTCCTCAATTTGTCTTGCCAGAAGCTCCACGCCTAGCCATGCTGAACTGTGCTCCTATTGTGAAACGGCCAATGCGAGTGTAATTGTGGATCTGGCGACCAATCAAGAAATATGCCCTACTGGACAAACCACGCTCACATCCCGAAGCATTCTCGGATAAATTCGTCGCGCTTGTGGGTGAAGATCGAACGGCCCTCTTCAACGTTACCGCAAGTTTTGGCACCCTGTTTACAGGCGCTCTTCTCGGTGCCGCTCAGATACATTATATTGGAGGCTGTGTGCAAACAGGAAGGAACGACTGCCAGGAAGATGCCACTGATCGGACATTCAGCTATCGAGCTCTTGGCATGAATCTTAATACATGTCCTACTCCATGCTTCAGCTCGCAGGAAATAGCCAAGAAGCGTCGCTCAATCGTACGAAATTCCAAGAGTTGGCTGAGTTCACTTCCACGGCATTCTTCCAGCACTTCGCCAGCAACAATGTTCTGCTCGACGGTTCCGGTGGCTGGGTCTACCAGAGGCCTGACGAGACTCTGCCCGCCAACCTTGCTCCTCCAGATGCCCAGTTTGATGCTATGGAACTCGGTCCAGTATAAGCTGCTGTATCAGCGAGCCCGAGTATCACTGCGGCCGTTTCCCAACCGGCAGAGGTATTGGGAAGGTCTGCGGTAGCTGTATGGCTCTGCATCGTATTCCTCGCCTGGCTGATCATTACCACAATTGCGATCCTCATCTTGAAGAAGTGATACTTCTCGCCACTTCTTCGTGGTATTGATACGATTTCAGATATGGCGATGATGGTAGCTGGGAGCGATAGGTTCTTGGGGCTTGCTAGACAAAAAGGCGCGTCGGGGCTGGGTGCCGGTAAGACCTTCAGAACAAGACTTGGGTGGTTTGAAACCGCAGGGGGAGAAATTAGATGGGGTATAGAGCTTGCGAATGATGATTCCGTGCAGTTTTTGAGTGACGCGGAAGTAAAACTGTTATATGCGACCCACTACTTTGACGAAGAATCAATGAGTGAGATGGTGGGAAGTGACGAAAGATCACCGTCGCCAGAGCAGCGTCAAGAATTCATCTGAAATGTGAAATGACAGTGAGCAAGAATAAAAGAATGCGAATAATGGAAGAGAAGGAAAGATACCCCTGCGCTAGAAATATGCGGCTCGTGATGAGAATTTTGCATCACAGGCATGTTAAATCAGCAAAATAGGAGTCAAGTTGCAGGTACCCCATTGATGGAGTGAAAATTCTGTATTCTAAGCTATATTACACGATTCTGGCATGTGAAGTCGTAAGGTGGTCCTGATCAGGCTTCTTGGATTACATACAGCAAGTTGAACTCGCTCCTGCCCAAAATTCTCCCTCTTCTTCAACAGCACTGGCACGCCAGTTTCTGCGATGAAAAGGTGGGCGCTGCGCTTGAGGCAGTGTAATACAAGGCAGCACCCGATGACAAAATTGATCTAATTATTTAAGTCCTTAATCCTCCTCAGCGTTTTTTTAGTTTTAGTTTTTTATTTTCGTTAGGTACTAACCACTGGAAGGCTGCCCTCCCAGCAGCTTTTAGCATCTCACACGTACCGCTTGCGAGAGCGAAGTTACAAAGATTGAAGACAGGTAGGTCCTACTTCTGTGATTGTGCCCCTAGGCAGGTGTAGTGTGAGAATGCAACTTAAAAAGACGTTGCAATTCAGCACGATATGGACCTCCCACATGTATGTCTGTGAGGAGGTAAGTAGGTATGATGTTGCTACAAGGCGGAAGTGTGATACCATGTAGCAGCTGAAGCGATCTTTAGAAGAAAGCTGCTTGATACAAAAGATTGTTAAACATGCTTCACCTCGATGAGTGTAAAGATGTGCAGGATGGAAGGAGAGAAAGAGGATGTCAGGGGATGCGAGTGCGTTTTTGTACTTGAAATTTGGTTAGTGTGTGACCCATTTCTGCTAGTCGGATTGATTTTGTGATGAGTAGGTACCTTAACCTTGGAAGGTATAGGTTAGGTATAGGTAAGGTACTGGGTGGGTGGGGAATCGAGTGCTGTGATGTAATGGAATGGAAAGAACCTGACGGAAGCAAAGATCGTGGGAACACTAGCGCAGGGAGCAATATTGGAGCGCTTACAGCTGTTGCTACAGAAGATGTATGAAAGAAATATTTTTTCCATGGATGCAGCCAGATTTCAATCAGATTTAACTTGTTAAGATATCGCTGTCATGCCAAAGTCCAACCATGCACAGGAGTGGCATGTGGAGCTAGCTCCGACGTACGAAGAACCACAACTGGAGGACTCTGCTTGCTGCAGCGCATGCTCTCCTATTCAAGTTCTCGAGCATGAAAATCGAGCTTTCCTTGCAAAATAAATCTTGCTTATGTCCAGAGCTCATGGAGTAGCCGTTTGTTTACATGCCCCACATAGAACTTCAATCCCGCACCCTTCTCCTCATGCTTAGCGAGACGAAGTTGCCCCACATATTGTGACAAGGTACATCTGGTGTCCAAATTTACTGCACGTCTTCATTGACTGTGTTAAGATCCAACCAAAGCGATTAGGCATTATCTTAACAAGTATTAATGTGGGAGATATGGGGAAGTAAAGTCATGAACTCGTAATTCTCGTTATCGTACGTGGAACAGAGGAGAGAATCGGACAGCTGACTCCATCAGAAAACAACAACCGGACCTGCCACGTTAAGCAACCCGCAGTTTGTCACCCCACATAATTCAAGATCCTCGGCTACAGGTGTGTCGCTATTGCACTTGGACCTAAATGTTCTCCGATATTCAAACATCATTGACCACAAAAGAAATTGATGGATGCTCACGCAGTGAGCTGTCCCTTTCCTTGTCCCTCCCTTGGGGGGTCCAGAGATCCAACAACGTCTTCACGACGTCGTCACCCTTCTTCAAGTTCAATTTTACCTGAATGACATCCTCCTCAATTTCACTACCGCTAGCTTCGGTATCACTATCGCGGTTCACAGCCCTCTCCTTCTTGTTCATTCTTCGCTTCATCTTCCGGGCCCGGTCTTTCCTCAACATCAGTCTGAATCCTCGCTCGCTGCCAGAATTGGGAGAACATAGTCGCTATCAGAGCCGCTACTATCACTGATATATGGGCTCCGATGATTTTTAATCTTCTTCCGTTGTGGGCTTGGGGGTCTCATGACGAGGACTGGAGGAGGTGGCTGGGGTCTTGGAAGTGGAGGAAGAGGCTCCATGAGAGAGTTATAGACATCCAACGGCTTGCAAGATAATTTTGGCATTCGCTTAGCAATGAGATGAATTGTTGTCGCTGTAGCGGAGTTGGCTTGAGACATGAGCAGGATTTCGCCAGCATCATTGTACAAGCTGATCTCAGCCCAGCACCATTCAAAGCGCGCCGAGTCTCGCTCCAAAGCTTGAAGCTCGTCCATGAGGCGAGTTAATTGCCTGTTCTGATCGTCGTTCATCCGGAGTTTCTTTTCGATGATGTTGCCGCCTTTTTGTTGAAAAGCTTTGATGCGCTGGTGCAGGACGTCGTGCTCAGCGCTCTCTGGAGTGATAGCTACTCGTGCCCATGTGCGTGGTGAGCTTGGATTTAAAGGATCCGCTGGACGAAGAATGAACTCGGAGTAATTTATCAATGCCATCGTGGCAGCATGATCGGTCAGCGGTCTCTTATCACTGGTACTTCTTGGGCCGAAACCCGGAGGACCTGGTGGTCCCCTTCTGCATTGGGGACCTGGCATGCTGGGAGGCATTGCTAGTGGTGGTGGTATTGGCATTGACAGATCAGATATTTTAGATACCAAGTGGTGATTTGGCGGATTAGGAGGTGGTCGTATCATTGGAGCGCCAGGTGGGCTACCAAAGCCGGGTGGAGGAGGTGGTGGTGCCGGCGGATAGCCTCGAGGACTGAACGTTATTGGCGGCAAAGGTTTGCCATCTATTAACTGTTCACGCATAATCGCTAAGATCACACGGTCATAAGCGCCTTGTGATGCTGGGCGGAACGTAGAGACATCCCTTAGCAACCACATCCAAGCATTTGGCTTATTCTCTTGAAGAACCTTGAGGGCAATAATGTCACGCTCGTACATTTTACCCATGAAAAATGGATGCACGAGACGCTCCACGGTCTGATGGTCCACCTGATTCAGCGTCGTAAACGTTTTGTACCAGGTGTTGTCGTTTAGTTGTGTCAGGATGGTGCACATGTGAGTGGATTCCAGACTATGAAATGTTGAGTGGGGAACGAGCCTCATTTCGTGGCCTCTGATGATGAACGCCCTCAAGTGGGAGTCAGAATCGCCCAGCGACTTTTGAATCTCCGTAGCTAGTGATTGCCTACTTCGAAAGATGCTTTTGATCTTGAAAACGAGACCATTCGAGTTTGTTTTGAATAGCCGGGGGTCAAGAGTAGTAGGCCTAGTGGTATTAAAAATCAAAATCGAGGTTTTGAAAGACACTTACGTAGTACCATCTTTCACTTCTGGGCTCACCGCTTTCTCGGGGTGTAAATCAGTAGCCTTGGAAGCATACACAGTCTGAGTCGGCATGGTCATGGATTTCGCACTGCCATGTACAACTCGCACAGCCGAAGACCCCGAGCAGGGGCTACCTCCTGAGTGTCCCGTCTCGTGGTCTTCAGAGTAGGCCGGAGGTTTGACCTGTCGATATTAACTTATGAGCCGCGTTAACAGGGGGATACTAACAGTGTCGGAACTTGGACTATGCATGGATATTGGAGATGGTCTAGGTGCTGCCGGCTTTGGATTTCCTAGAACAACCCAGCCAGGAGGTGGCGGTGGCGGTGGCGGTGGAGCAGCTATGTTTCGAGCAATGGGACGTTGAAGGGGTGGAGGAGCTGGTGGTCCACGGCGTCCTGGGATGGTCCGGGATGAAGGAGACTTCAGTGAGGATTTCTTGTAATTCTTTGGCTTATAATCGAATTCGTTGCTGTCGGTGTCACTATCACAATCACTAAAAGTAGATGTGCTGTGGCTGTCACTGGAGGAGTCTCTACTAGAGCAGTTGCTTCTCTTTGTGTGGTCTGGTGACCTGATACCGATGAGACTTGCTGTGCGTGTAACACGCACATGAAAGTCGACTATACTTTTGACGTTGACTTGGCTGGAAGAGCTATATGCTGTAGGTCAGGATCCCAAACAAATAGGTACTTCTTACTCTATCCACGATAGTTGGCCCAGTGAGACCACTTGATGAACAAGAAGGAGATATAGTTGAATTTCGTGGAGTCTTTCTATGACATCTTCTAGAGGATCTCCTGCCAAGCGCCAATCTGAGTTCTCGATGGACCATTTTAGCAATTAGCACTGGTCGAGCTTGAGATTATGAAGTAACATAGCCCTGGCCATCGTACGGGTGAAAATAGGACTGCTACATTGAAACAAAACTTTAGGGAATCACTACTGACCTCTGTGAAGGCAGCCTTGTTCAGCTGTAAAGCATCATTGTCTGGTTTGGGACCATCTCCATTGGCAATCAATTTCTTCTCCAACTTGCGCTTTACTTTAAGCTCCTTAGAATCCAGACACGCATCAGCCATGATTGAGGGAATCTTGACAAAAGTAGTAGCGCATTCTGTGGCAATGAGCTGAACGTATTCGAGACCTTGGCGACTCAAACACTGCTTTTCGTGACTTGGGGAAGCAGCGACTTCGGTCGAAAGATGACTTGACACTTGCTGGAGAGTCGAGACGGTTGCACTCAGAATATTGATAGCACCTTCGAATCCCCTCGGGATTTTTCTTGCGCTAATGGCATGATTGGTAAGTACGCTGGCAATTGCTCCTCCGTAGCCAGCGATTTTGGTCGTCAACGCGAGCACATCATCCATAGCAAGTACGTCCATTGCTCTGAGCTTGGATCAGTGAGACCAGAATTGTGTATTCTACGCAGAAAGGTCTGCAGGTATATATGCTCTTGTGATTTCGAGCAAGGGAAAAAGAGATGGCAGGAAAATAAGGCAAACAGCAGTGATACTGTAAGAGTGTTTTGCTCTACCCCGCTCCGAAAGAGTGAGGCTGGCACACGGTTGGGATATTTCAAAGCTTCGCATCGGAGCCCCAATGGTATCTGTTGAGGCCAGCAACATACGATACCTCATAGCTGTTGTAACTTAGCTTTGACCAATCATCAGATTTCAGAAACTGCAATTGGCCAACACAGCTCGTTATACAATGCCTGCGAGAGACGCAATGAGGGCGAATGGGTTAGGCGAGACAAGCCTGCTGCAGTCCGCACTGGTCGGCATGCAAGCAATTCTCGATGGAAACCCCCGAGCCGCATACGCGGTTTCTTGTGTACATTTATCAAAAAGGTAAATGAATGACTGCATGTACAACCTCAACGCCAAGAAGTGGCTTGCTGCAATGCAGAAGAGGTGTCCAGCAATGATTGGATTGAGGCCAGAGGATGAGGATAAGCCAGTGTAAGTCGGCCGATGCTTTCGGCTTCAAGGTAGCAATAGCCAACCAGGAAGATAACATACCGAGGAGTTGCAATCAGAGATACGACGGAGATATAAAAGGAGTGTGATATAGACGTCGATGTCTCCAGCACGAGTTTTGTTGAGAGCCACAAATGAATATTCGGAAGGGCAGCCTCTGATACGAAGCTGACCATCCTCGGTGGCGAGCACAACGGTCTCGGTAGCAGCTCACCTACCTAAATAGGAACTCGAATCGATAATTCGTAACATTTATGGAGGATGGATGATTCAGATCTCACGACACCATTTAGCCATCACCCCACTTAGGCTATCAACACTTCCCGTAATCTCCTCAAGTCCAACATCGATCTTCCACATCCGGCCTCCTGTTCCAAAGTCCCTGCCGCCCCCACCGATTCCAGCAGGGACAAGCAGTCCATATTCCGCGAGTTTCTCCCAAGCTCCCAATGCAACGTCGCGGCCCCACACCTTTGCACTTGCCCCAAGAGCCGTGACCCCAGTGCTTGAAGTCTGAATCTTATATCGAGAAGTCAAATTGCTGTATTCGTCGTAAGCCATGGCAAAATTGCAAGTATCCGTGTCTAGGATAATGTCGAGGCGCGCAGCGGCAATGAGAAGTGCAAGCTCTAGCTCAGAGAGACCTTGCAAAGTGTGAAGCTTGGAATCAGGGGCGGCCAATGTATTCGTGAAGAGCTTGCCTGTAAGCGGCAGCTTCCCGGGTGCCAGGTTCGCGATTGGGAGAATGCATGATGTGAAGAATGCTAGAACGGACTTTGATCGATAGAACTCTGATTGGACGTGATGCTTGAAAATTGCATCTTTATTGTATAGATCCTGAATAACTCTATTAGCATAGGAATGATGGATCGTTAATAGAGCTTCTCACCTCGATCATTGACTGCCAGAACAAGGCAAACTCTTTCTGGCCAGGGCCCTCGTGCTCTAGCGCATCTTCTTCAACGATGAGACCACCCTTGCAAACATCCCAAAATGCTGGAATACTACGCGGTAACGATAGATGCACATAGCGATGACTAAAACGACTCTTGACCCTCTTTTCAAGACTCTCAACCACATCTACTCGTGTCGTCAACCCAAGGACCACGATCGGAGCTTTCCGCGCTTGTGCTATATCAAACAGATTATAGAGTAAGGTCTGCCGTGGGTGTGTTGTGAAGAGATCAAACTCATCTAGGATGAATATCACAGATTTGGCAGTCTGCTCAGGCTCTGAGATGGATATTTCCGATGGATGAGATAAGAGAGCCAGAAGAGAAGCCAGTGTGTCGGAGTAGTTGCTCGTCTGTAACATAATTAGCAGTGTGCAAGTGAAAAGTAGCAGTATCTTACCTTCCCAGCAATCTCATCTTCCAATTCCATCTCACGACCCAGTTGTCTCCAGGTCTCCTTCAAGGCCAGCTTATCATCAGTGTGTATGAAGCCATTCAATCGAACAACATGGAAGTTGTCTCTGTGATCTCTGCCAAGATCTGATATAACAGACTCCACAAGCTAGAAGTACATTAGCCAGACCTGAGAAGATGAACATTAGACATACCGTTGTTTTGCCACAACCTCTAGCTCCAATCACGAGCATCGAGTTTCCCTCGCCAGCCAGCACTGTCTGTTCAACGACCTGGTGAACCTTCTGCATCTCATCCTCGTGACCTCGTAATCTAGTTCCGCGCAGACCAGTCAACCTGTCCAGAACAATGCGTTGCATACATCTCAAATGGCCATCAAGTCCTTCAATGTCAGGGACGTTGGAGTTTTCAACAACCGGGCCAACAGCTTCTAACTGCATAGATTGCACCTCTCCAGCTTCAGGCTCGCAGTATCGGCAAAACCAATCCCCTTTTGGTACTTTCACGACTGGGTAACATTCTTTATGAACTGCGAGCTCACAATCTTTACCATCACAAAATAGTATGGGGTTCTTTTTTGTTGACTCGAGGCCGGAACAAATTTCGCACATCTCTTCATCGACGTCATCCAACTCCTCTTCCGCTTCCACTTCTTCACCCTCATTCTCTGCAATTCCCTTCTCCTGACTCTCTTCTTCGGAGTCTACGGCTGGCTCAGCAGCTTTGGCCTTCGATTTCGAAGCGAGGGTTCCAGATGGGCTCTGGAGGGATTTCTTGAGTCTAATGGACTTCGATGTGGCAGATGATGGCAGGTCTTTGAACCCCAAGTCAACTCCACCACCCGCATCAAAAAGCACGCTTTTCCTTCCCCTCCCAGTCCTTTGCTTGACAGGAGTCAAAATGCTCTTTGGTGCCTGTCTCACCTCAACTTCTTCTTGAACTTGCTTTGGTCGGCCCCGTTTCCTTGTCGTAGACTCTTTTCCAGATGTGGGTATTGGCTCAACTTCAGTATCTTCCTCGGACTCCCCCTTTCTCCTTCGTCTTCTTGAAGGTGTTGCAGTGTTGTCCTCCTCCTCGTCCTCCGATCCATCAGCAGCTGCCGACATCATCTTCTCTCGTATAGCTCGATTAGAGAGCTTCTTCGCATTCTTCAATATGTCCGATTTTCTAGGTCGTCCCGGTCTTCGTCTCGGTGGCTCGGGGCTTGTTTGTCTTGCTGGAGGAGCCAAAAGAGCCTTCGCTCGCTCTGCTGTAGAAGCACTTCTGCTGGGTCTTGGCGGAGACTCTGGTACCTCCCATATATCATCTCCCTTGCCGTCAGATGCGCCCTTGTCTCTTCTAGATTTTGCGCTGCCCTTTTGGGCCGACTTTGCGCCTGTCGGAGTTGCTTCCACTTTATTGCGCCCAGAGCTACGTGTCTTCCCAATTGCCTCCTCATGCCCTGAATCTTGGACATCCCACATGTCTTCAGCGGGTTTATCAGCCACGCCATCGGTTTCCATGTCCTCCTCAGCCAGTTCATCTTGCTCGCCATCGTGTGGTAGGTTCTCCTTTTCAGTCTTCTTGAAGCCTAACAGACCACCAATCGAGCGCTTGATGGAACCGAGCCTGCCCGCCGTGGGAGGGGATAAGCCATCGGCATTCAGCTTCCTCTTCTTGGTACTCGAAAGGGGTGCAGTGTCCTGCTCTGTTGCTAGCTCGTCTTGCTCCTGCATTTGCGCTCTACTACGCTTTCGAGTCACCGCCTTGGAGGACATACTGCGAATTTTTGGTTGTAGGCAGAAAATACACCCAAATTGATGCGATCGTATGATATAGCAGCGTGCAGAGGCGTAAAGGGACTTGTTGCGCGTACATGATTTCAGTCGAGGGAAGAATAGAAGCTAGCCAAAGCGCTTGAGGTTCAACACGTGATCACGTGAGGCGATCTTACCTACTGTAAATCAATTAGCAGATAGGATAGGCCATTCTTCTGTCTACTAGATCACGAAACTTTCGTTGACTTGGGGAGTAAGAAAGATAAGCTTATTGAAGTACATTTCACTTAACTGGACGACACTTGGCATTGCGAGTCAATCATTCTATCTATCTTTTTAGGATTGGCGTCCACATACGCACAAGTAAGTAAACACTGGACACTTCTTCTTAGCTTTTACCAGGCTTCCCACATCTGCTTTCCCATAGTTATGAGACGATTAAAGAGCTCTTCCCGAAGCTCCATAGCTGTGAGTTGCTTCTTGTTTCCTTGCTTGTCAATGATGAGAATGCCATCAGCGATGTCTCTCGACGTTGCCCATCCAACGACAAGTCTAGTTTTCCATCCGAGACCTCCGACTTTTTTGATTTCCTGTGATACAAGTCAGCCAATCCTTACAGTCCAGTTCTACTGTAACCAACCTGAATGTCAGCGATTGCAATCGAGAACACAGGATTGATGTCCTCTTTTTCAGTTGTCCAACTCAAAGCCGGTGTAGTAGCTGTTGAAGTAATATATGCATGTCCTTTCTTTCCCTTAAATCGGCATGGAAAGTCTACTGGGCCTGCATGGTTAATTCCTCCCGACTTAAGAACACCAAGTCGATTCTGGGCATGTTCTGCACCCACCGCAGCCTTGAGGCGATCGGTGCCCAGCGCTGTCTCAACGCCACCCTTTGCCACACCCCTTATGGCAGCAAGAATCTTACGTCCGTGTTGCTTCTTCTTGGGTGGTGCATCTGTACCACTTATTACGGCAGCATCTGGTTGGATGGCATTGGCTATCTCCTCGTCGGGAACACCTTCTGTGGATGTGAGTTCAAGAAGAGCTAAGAATAGACAAAGTTTACATACCAAGATGTTCCAAATTCTGACCGGCAGTCTCATGAGCGGCATTTGGTGGGGTGGGTCCTGAATAAGGGGGTGGAGGGAGGGGCGCTTTGTTTGCTTCGCCTATGCGAAGAAGGGTGACTGTAAGTTGGGCATTGGTTGGAACACCTTTCAGTAGGGTGTTCCTGATCTCGAGAAGCTTTTGCCAGTGGGGGAATTTCTGGTTTAGGTATGTGGCCATCCTCCAGATTATAGGATCTGCAAAGAATCCGAAACCAACAACCAATCCATTCATCTTCATGAGAATGTAAGAGTTTGTGAATAAAGAGATAAGAAAAACTGGTGCAAGAACCTGTAAGTCATTAGCAAATGCTCGAATAAGTAGCTTCTAGTTTAAAGGTTGGTTTTGTGGACTTTTCGACACAGAAGCCTGGGTTCGAGGTCATGAGCAGTAAAGACACGTGAGGACATACTGCGGCCAGTTTAATTCGAGGCTTCTCTTTTGGAAAAGGTGCTGTTGGTGACAATGCGTTGCCGAATCTCTCCCAGCCATCACTAACATCACCAAGAGCATGCATAACAGGTCTCGTTTTCGACCACATTGCAGCTGACATTGGTTCCTTGGTCTTGTCATGCACGGCATTTGGTTCTCCTCCAGCTGCCTTATCCTTAGCATCCGCTGCTCCCAAGGCGAAATTTGTAGGATCGGGTGCACGAGATTCAAGGCTGTCCGGTGCTGCTTCATCGGTTTGATCGCCTCCCGGGTGCTTGCCTGTAGCGCTACTAATCGCGATGGATGTAAAGCCATTGACAAAGTTGCTAGCCTCTTGTTCTACAGCTTCTCCTTGGTGTTTCTCTGGAGCTCCGGTTAAGCTGTTATCACTTCCAAGAACCCCGGCTGTTGGCTTTTTGATCCCACCAGTCTTGGAGTCGATCAAGGCAATCGGAGCAGGTGGGAAGCAGTACGTTCTGGCTGATGGATACACGATCAATACAATCAGAAATGCGATGATTGTCGGGACTAGAAAGTCAAATACCCAAGTCCCAAAGTACACGGCGGAAAACGCCAATGTTCGTTTTCGTTCTCGCCATGATCGGAGCCTTGCAATATGTTTCCAGAATCCTACCATACCAACACCAACGGTCATGTACAGTCTTTCAATGTTGGCTCTCAGTTTGTCCGGAGAGAACTCCTCTTCATCTGCGATGTTGAGATCGAGTCCGCCGAGAGGAGGCTCAGCAAGAGCCTTGACATGATACATTTGCTTGAAACATTAGCACATATGTTTTCTGTTTTCAAAGTTGTGCTTATGTATATCATGAAATACCTTATTGAATCGTCTAATAAGTGTCCATAGTTCCTCATTTGGCAACCCTCCTACCAGAGGTGCTGGCACATCTGATGGATGGTCATTCCATCCCAAGTCTTTCACTTCAGTGTGCCCGTGATCAATCTGGGCAGCTCCCTTTTCATCATGGTCCGCATTTGCGAGTGCATGGCTATCTGTAGGAAGGTCTTCTGTTGCAGCCTCTGTAATTTCTGGCTCGTCGATGTTGGGCGTGTTCACAACCTCGAATTGCTGTGACGCCGTCAGCGACGGATCGCTGTTTGTTGAAAACATTCCGCCTAGTACTTGATAAACACCAGGATAGAGAGGAACAGTACAAAATATTGAGGTTAAGTTTCGGGAAGAAAGTTACTTTACTGAGATGGCTGGCTGGACTCTGGATATATTGATTTAGATGGCGTTGAACCTACGTCATCGGGGCTTGACGCAAGGGGTCCAGCTTTCGACCATGTGCAACCTTTGCTTTCGCCTCTGAGACATCAACACAAGTGTTGACAAATGCCAGGTTGATTCTTTTCTTCCTCTTATTTTGCTTCTCAACATGTTCCCGCTGTTTTGTTTGTTTACGCAAGGTATATTGACGAAGGAATTATACTTGAGATCCCTGGAAGATTTTTCCAGGTTGGCGAAGATCTCCACAGGGATCCATGACCCTTTCAACACTTAGATTAAGAATTCGTTCTTGCGCGTTCACGTAGAAGGCAGCATAGATACTTGTGTCATGTCCAGGTTCGACAAAGTGGACTTGAACAGAAGACAATAAAAGTCTGGCAATCTGCAACGTGCTCTGCTCCCAAGTTGAGGACGATTTGGTAGCCTCGGAAGGTCAGCAATCAATACTCATTGTATAGCCTTTACTCTGATTGCTTGAAGGTTGTCCCTTTATCCGAGTGCGAACCCATGTCGGCACAAATACTGTCACGTTTCTGGTTGTGGATTTGTGGCAATGACATTTTGCACGGATACAGATTGCTTCAGAGCATTATCTGACAGGTGGCTGAAATACAGGTCTGATATCTGGTGCACAGCTAGAACATAGTGCAAGGATTATCTAGTACGCCAGAGTTTTGGGAGCATCTCTGAATCTCAATTATGTGGCTCTAATTGTCCATTTCCATACTGTTACTGTTTCTATTCACAGAACCCCCGAGGACTTCGGCTGTTTAGCGATCGAAATCAACAGACGGGATGTGAGGTCGCACATCTCATACTTATGAAACGTGATGGTGGTCTCTCCGTGAGATAAGTCTCCAACAGGACGAAAGATATCACTCAGGTCATAAGGTGGCGGCGACCTTGCGGTGCCAGGTCGATGTAGAACCATGTATGGCGCAGGATCGATCAGAACATATATCCGCACATCACCCCAGGGCACTTGAGCATGGCGCTTTCGATTTCACTGTTATGGTAGGTGCCTATGGCGTTGTTACTAAGGAAAAGCAAGAGGAAAAGAGAGATGCCTCCATCGCATTGTAAGGATAATGAAAGTCAGAAACGACAAAAACAAAGAAAAAAAAAACATTTGGGTTGGGGCTCAACCGGGATTTGACTGAACGTATTCATTAATACAGCGTCTTTGGCGGTTGGCAGTGGAGAGAACTTACACCCGGGCTATGTTCAGTTAGCTTCGGGTGGACACTGAAGTGTGTTCTTCAGGAGACTTACGCCTGTCACAGTCATTCTCTAGAGAAAGAGAGGGAATTGAATTCCCGAAGCAACAATCATACCACTAGACCATTGAGCCACAAATCAGATTGATTTAACCTTTTTTTTCTTATTTAATTACACACGAGAGCTAGTAAACTCTGCGGTAAGACGCTGGGGTTTTCCCCACCTTTGTCTAACCATGATTTGTGATACGCTATCCAATTCAGCCTTGACCGGCACATGTTACGTAACCGCCTCTAGGGACCACCAGGATTCAGATTTTGGCCAAATATTGTCAAGGATATTGGTTTGATTGCATTCGACGAAGATGACGAACGAAGTGGACTTTCTATACGGCATCCTTTTTTGTTCTCATCCTCGAGCTATTTGACAGATGTGCTGTACTGAATTTGATGGTCCATAAACCGCATCTCGGAGCAATGTTTTGTTGTGCTTTGTTCTACAACAGAAAGTGAAATTACGCAGCTCATTTTCAATCGTTGTCCTACTTATCTGTGCAATGACTCATCTCCAAGGTGCATTTTGGCTTGCTCTGAAGCAAGTTCCCTCAACCGTTATGATGGTTCTGAGCTCTGGAAGAGACATGACCTTCTGGCTGTCCAGCGGCACTTGGTGCTCTTACGCGGGGCAAACAAATCAGTCGTTGTTTTCTGCGTTACAGGTGTGTCATAATAACATTCAATTTACGCCCATAAGCGATGGAAAGATGTTGATGGTCCTTTAGATGCTGTTGATGTGGAAAATAAAAGTTCTGATTCTGATAATTTTTAGGTTGGTTACCCTGCATGCGGAAAGTACTCCGTCCATTCCACAGTCCGAAATATTGCAGGCTCCATAGCTCTCATCCCAAAGAACACTTCTACAAGCAGATACATTCGGGCCAGAAAGTAAATCAAAGTTGCAAACCAGTACGGAATCGATTTTATCCATCCACGATTCGGCAGCCACCAAGTCAAACCAGAGAACGGCACCCAAAGGTAGATAACTCCCAACATGATACACGTTGAAATCTTCCAAAGCAAAGATTCTGTCGGCGTTGGGAAGTAAAACTTCCAGGCAGCGCAGTGAATTCCGTTGAACAGTGTGCCCACCAGAAAAACGCAGACATGATCCCAAGGACCCCACTCGCTGCTGTGGCTTTCATTCACTGCAGGCATGTACCACGAGGTTATACGTGCATGTGCTGTGAAATTCTCCTTCACGACAGCCCGCAGATCTGCTGGCACTTTGTCTTCTTTGCCGATCACCTTCAGACGTTTGAGGATCATCGGCTTCTCAAACCAAAACCAGTCCCAGCCTTGATCATGCGCTTCTTTGGGAGGAGGCCGATACCATTCCGAGACCTCGTGAAGGAGACATATGCTTTTTGCCAGCCGGCATAGTTGTGCGGACGTCAGACCTGGGTCCGGAATTGCTGTGAAGGTTTCGAGATCCATGGGCTTATGCCACCAGAAAAAGTACATGAGGCCTGTACAGCCGATAAATGCAACTGTTGCAAGTTCAAGTGTTGTAATGGGTAGGTGTTGATTGACACGAGCACATATTTGAAGCATGAACCATGTCGACTGTACCAATGCTATACCTTTCACTAACCAGTCTGCATTGCTTTTGTCATGAAGCTCGTCGGCGCTAATCTCAGGAATAGTCAATATTCCTTGTTCGGTCATCCTGGCGAATAACGTAAGCAGGGGAACATCTCTTCATTGCCCCGAGTTTCTCGAGCGTCTTGCTGACAATTATTCGCTTGTGTAGGGGTATACGAGACAGAATGCAATCTTTGTAACTCACCATATAAGTTCTTTCACACGAAAGATATACATCTGCTCACTGGTACTAGCCGACACAATCCTGTAGCCCCCCATTTCGGCATAAAACCCATGCGTAGTGGTCCACCACGGGTACGTCTTTTTCAGAGCTTTCACAGACCTCCTCGCATTCCTCCACTGTTCGCAGGAGCTCACTGCAAGACCGTCGGGGCAGATCATCGCGATTATCCACCACTTGACTTTGTGTAAATAATTGCGCCATGGTGTGCTGTGTGGAGGGATATTGAGGTGTAGGACTGTCCATGTGTTGAGCAGGAGGACAGTCAGACAACTGAATAGGATACTGAGAGTTCCTCTGCCATCAGGCTCTCGCACGAACCCTGATATGAGATGCTCCTGAGATGCGATTGCTTTTGGGTAGTCGATCATGCTTGACAGGGGCACGAAACAAACTTAATAGCGGCGTCTTTCTAGCCGGGAATCCTTGAGAACATTTGTTTGCAGGGAAGAATAGCTGTCATTTTCTGAAGGCATACCCGTCGAGTCGTTGGCATATAAGTGAACCAAAATGCAGTAAGGCTGGGAGCTTGACTAGGTATGCAATGAGGCTCCTTGGCTTGGCTCAGTTCCGCTGTCATTGCAGATCGAAGGGGTCTGACAACTGTTCTAGTGGCATATCCACCTATTAGAGCGCGAAGAATATCAAATACATAGTGAGGCTGAAGATTGGCATGCATTAAAATGCCCTTTCTGTGTGAGATATTGTTTGCAGGACGAATAGAAACTATCTCTCGCTTAAGTGTGAAGGGGAGAATGAGACGCTACGAGCGCTTGGCCCCCATGTTATTGGCCTGGTGACCGAAGGGTGGGTGAACTGCATATCGGCCCCCAACTTATTTACTCTTTTGTCAGAGCCTGCTTTCGAATGATGATGTGTGTGCTTCACATCGAGCCCCACGACTTCACTATCAGGCTGCCTTTGAGTGAGTCAGTCGCTCAGCCTCAGCCTCAGCCTCAGCCTCAGAGAGAATCATTTCCAAAAGCAACTCGACCTAAGAGGCTCTGAAATCGTATCGATTCCCAGCCTCGAGAATCTCGAAATCAAGAAAAGGTACTCTGATATCTTGATGACCAGTAACGAACCTGAAATTACAACACACTGTCAAGATGCTTCCAAGCTCTCCGGGCACACTCATCTTCTCCCGAATCTTCGCCTGGTACTTCCGAAGTATTGCACCTCTCAGCATCGGATATTGGTTCCTCGTAACTTTCAGTCTGCTCCCATTCAGACGGCTTCCAACTCCGCTGGAGATATGGGTCCTTGCCGAGTCCTTGTTCTACTTGGCGGTGTACCTGCCTATGTCACACACAGTACATGGAGCTGCCCTGAAAATCGAGACCAGTACCCGAAGCCAGCGCCTTGATCTGTACAACAAGTGTATCTCGACCATCACCGACCCAGTAAGATACGTCTCGCTCTGGCATCGAGGTGCGCCGATCGAGAGTATCGGACGCGAGAACATCAAAGAGTGGATTTGCTGGGCTTTCTTAGACATAGGATTTGGAGGGCCTGATGAGAATGAAGAACTCGAAGAGTATGTTGATACCATGGAAGGCATACTTCCAGACGGCATGAAGTTCCGCCCTGGCAAGAATCCGGCTGTGAGAACGCTGAGGTTCTCGTTGGATCCAGTCAACATTTCGCATAAGCCACTTCTATTCTATGTCTTGGGCGTTGGAGGAGCTGATATTTATGCTGCTCTCATCATGTGGTATCATGGATACCAACACTACGCAACCAAGAAATGGTTTGCCAGTTTTCCGTTTCGTCCACAGACACTTTTGTCCCCTCAGAAGTCTCCGGCAAAGCACATATCATACTGGTATCGTCCTCACACCTCTAAAACCAAACTTCCAATCCTCTATATCCATGGCATTGGCATCCTCCACACTTACGGAGACTTCTTCGCTGAGCTCGCCATCACCCTTGACCAGGAGTACAGTCCTGAAGATGGCCAAATCGGTATCATTGTCCTCGAGATCCTTCCAATCTCGTTTCGAATGACCCATGCAGCGCTCTCAGCAGCAGACATGCGATCCGAGATTCGCTCTATCCTTAATCAACATTCCTGGTCTCAATTCGTTCTTATGGCGAATTCATATGGCACCATCATTTCGGCACAAATGCTTCGCGAATCGTCACTGAATGCCCGAATAAGCGATGTGATATTCATCGACCCCGTATCCTTCCTTCTACACCTCCCAGACATGACTTATAATTTCACACGGCGTCCACCGCAGTCAGCTTCGGAGCATCAACTGTATTACTTTGCTTCAACGGATATGGGAGCAGCCCATACACTTGCTCGAAGATTCTGCTGGCCTGATAACATTCTCTGGAAAGAGGACCTGAAAACTCGTCGCTGGACAATCATGCTAAGCGAATTGGACATTATCGTTGCAGCGGATGCTATTGGAAAATATTTGACTCGACCCAAGGGAGTCAAGGCAATCGATGATGATCGAGACGGAAGCGAGTGGAAGACCACAAAATGGACTGGTGGATCACTGGATGTGATGTGGCTCAAGGGACTGAACCATGCTGAGGTATTTGACACAGAGCGAGACAGGAAGATGTTGATCGATATTGCATTAAACTATTCGGAAGGCAAGACTAGAAATGTTGCTGAGAGATCAGATGAGTTTGCGGACTTTGTGGAGAAGAGCTTGCTCTTCAAAGCATCTCCAGCGAGGTTTGCGAGTACTTTTGGTTTGGACCGAACCATGAGCTGGAATCCAGAGGATGATGGTTCATCAATTGCAAGGGCAAATAGGAGTTTAAAGATACATTGTAGCTAGAAGTTGTGTGTCGATTTGAGCTAGATAATTGCAGCAAGAGTCATGGTAGTTCACCAGGGGAGAGGATTGAAGTATGTGTGGAGGAAGATCTGAAGACGAGTTTTGCTCAATTGCTTGAGCAGAAAGGTTGCGGGCGATTCGTAACTTTCTGCCACTACATAGATAGTAAGGAGCTCTACTTCAATGTCAGTTCGGACGAAAGGACAATTACTGAAGAATTTATCCCTACTAACAGTCAACAGGTCGTCTGTTCATTCTCAAAGATTCCCGTGACCATTCTCTAGAGCAACAGCGGTTTGCTAAGTCGACTTCCAGGTATCTCTCACTCGCTCGCATCATATATCAGGCCGACCACAATCACCACAACAGTCAGTGGACCTCATCCGTACACGGTTTACCACAGTCGTTGACAATACTTTCACGACCCGATAGCACCTTCCACAACTCTTCTCCACATGCGTCTAAAATTCTCATCCACACACGTGAAAACCATCGATTGTATTATCCGCCCCAGTTATCCCGATTACCATCACCAGACGTCTCATTTATAGCTCAGATGCCTATGACCAACCTACATCGACCCATCTACCACGGTGGCGCTGAACTTCTGCGTGATTCCAAAACTCCCGCCGGCCCATACAGCCGAAACGTTCCGTTCATTTAACTTCACTGCTCTCCACTCATAAAACTGCCTTCGAATTCTAAGATCGCGATATTATCCACCCCTTTGCTATGCTGTGTAACGATGAAATATAGAATAGAAGAAACTATGTCCAGAATGCTTAGGAACTAAATCGGAATCTCTCCGGTTCAAGTCTGCCCAAGCCGTCTCGAGGCGCAACGTATCGTCTTCGGTAGTTGTTGGTAAAGTCCTGGAGCAAGCTGCGAACCTTTCGGACGCCCTCACGGCCTTCCACCAAGCGGGATCTGATACCAGCCATCAAGCGATCAATTTCGGCTTCGCTCACAGTTCCTACAGGTAACATGCGCACAGTCTTGTCGACCCAAGAGGCAGTTGCCTCGGGCATTAGCTCGAAGAGTCCAAGCAAGGCTCCACTACCATCGGAAAAGCAGTCATCAGGGAAAGTAATCATCATGCCTGCAAGGATTTGCTTGACAAGATCTTCGCCGTGAGATAAAATGAGCTGCTGAACCACGCTCTGAATTTCGGGGGGGTTGGCAGCATTTGTTGAACTCGGAGGGTTCTCACCACCATATCCGATGACATCGCGAATATAATGAAGGACGGCAATCAGTGGATCTCTTTGCTCGAGAGCTAAGGCTGAGACACCAGCCTGGAAAATAGGTGTGAAGAGGTGAGAGTGCACCAGCTTGTGGGGATAGTAAAGCAAGGCATCAACGAGGAGACGATAGAAATCCTCGATGACGTCCGGCGTCTCTTGGGGAAGCAAATCGTTCATGATACGGAGCATATTCGTGGACTGCGCCTCAAAGAATGTGTATATGGCCTCTGTTGTTTGATCATCCACATGCTCTCGATCTTCGGAGAATTCGCGCAGGATAGCACTCGTAGCCCAGAGGAAGCAGCCTTGCCTTGAGGTCGCAAATCCGCTAGCAAGTTTAGTTGCCATTGCAGGAAGAAGTGGCGCGATCGCTGTCCGGTATGAGATAACCATGTGGCGCCAATTCCGACAAATCCGTTCACAGATTGGCGTAAATGTCATATAGGTGTCGAGAATCGTTGATAGAATAGGGAAGATTTCTTGGCAGTATCTAACTGCTGGGTTCTCTTGATCTGGTTCGACATATGGCTTCACAATTTGTATCAAGAGTGTAATCAACTGGAGATGGTCTATGAGATGTTAACATAACACATCCCTGGGAAAGTGAAGCATGCCAAACTTACCCGCCACTGCCAATTTACCCTCATCGTCCGAAGCCTGGTTAGCAAGTGCCATTAGTCTAGCCATGAGAGGGTCGCAGTAAAGCTTTAAGAGATCGAAAATCTGTCCGGGAGGTTGGACAGCAACGACTGATGCCACACCTTCAGTCAACTCCTCTTGACTGACAAGAGGCAATTTATCAAGCGTTTGGTTATAGAAATGTTGTAGCTGTACAACCTGCCCACCTAATTGATGCTTGCAGTCTGTGCAGAAGAACTTCATTGCCATGGCGGCGGCTCTGACGATTTCTTTCGAGTCAGTTTCGAAAGAGGAAACGATGTATGTGAATTGCGATTCGAGAAGTTCGGGATGGTTAGAAGTCCACTCGGTATAACGACCAAGAACCATAATAGTGGCAAATCGTAGCTTCTCGTGGTGGGGAATTTGAACAATCAGTGGCATTATCTGCGGTAGGATAATGTCTTCATCTTTGTCGACCATTCTACCCAGAGCTCGCATGCTGAAAAGAGGCGCTTCGAGTTGTTGCCAATGAGGGACGGAATCGTGCGTTGCCATGGCAGCATACGAGCTCATCCAGGCCTTGATTCGATCCAGGACTTTGGACAGACACTCCGTCACGCCCATAATTTCGCAACAGTCCTTCAAAACGTCCCCCATGTGGTGTCGAAATTCTCGGAACTTTTCTTCGGCTTCACGGTCGCCATCAAAGAGATCCAGTGGATTTGGTCCATCTGCTGACGGAAACTCAAGCTCTTTCAGCATTACGTCCACGAGCTTGGCATAAACGTCCATATATTGCATACGAGCCTCAATATATCTCTCCAGAATGAGATATAGCTTCAGCTCATACCAGAAAATAAATGTTAGAGCAATCGAATCTCTGTCCAAATCCCTGGCAGCGCATTCCAAGACAGCCTCAACAAGAGGGCGGAAAACTCCAGGGTCACGCGCGATTAGGACCACCCATGCTTCGCCAGCTTCAGCGAAGACGCGGGTGATGCCCTTGAAGAGTTCCGTATCTTCTTGTACCTGGGCTTGTGCAATTCGAGGTTGTAAGGTGATTACTCTTGGTAAGAGTACCTGGATTGTTTGAATATTATCGTCCACATCACGAGTTTCCTTGAAGATTGCGCAAATGCAGTCTGTTGCGGCCTCGAACGATCGATCGTTGTCTAAGGCACTGAAAACGATATTCAGAAGTGGAGAGTTCACAACGTCAGCGACCGGAACCTCACGTAGCCATGATGTTATTACTTCGAGTAGTTGTGGGTTGGTTGCCGCAGTATCTTGCACAAGCCGTTAGTCAACAAGAACTCCGCACTTTGGGGCTTCCTTACCTGACGACTGGCTGTAGCTGATGAGAAGTTGTACGACGATAGCAGCATTATCCCCCAGGAGCTCCTGTGTCCTTTCTTGCAACTCAGCTTCCTAATATAACGCATTAGATTTTGATACACGTATTCTCTCGCCCACCCAACGTCGTTGTAGATTCTCGGAGGATGGTGATTCTCGGCCCACATACAGTCAAATTGATTTTTCGTCCCTCGGTGACTTCTTCGGGAAGAACTTTGAGGAAATCCAGGATGCAGGCGTGGCTATCGGGGTTGTTGCCCAAGGCGGAAACTACAGCTGGTACTACGTCTTTCCAGCTGGTCATCTGTATTGCAAGAATAGCTAAACACACGCACAGCTGAATTCGAATAGGTCGTGGCCCAGTCGCAAATATCTTCAAAAGCTCCAAAACTTGGTCTCTGAGTGATGGTAGTGCCTCACTTGGTATTTGGGAGACGTCGTACGTTATCTAGTACCATCAGCCCCGTCTGAACCCATGTGTGCCGTCTGGTTGTCCTACCTTTCCTCTCAACGTTGTAGCCGCGAACAATTTAGCCTCTGCATCTGCGGTAGACTGAAGGATGCCGATAGTGACCTGCCATGCTTCCGCCTGCAAAATCGGTGAGCCTCATGAATAAACGTCCCAGCCTCAGCCCTGTCCTCCTACTACCTACCGATTTTTGAAAGCTCTCTAGATACGCGTGCGCCGCCTTCTTCTGTTCCCTTTGACCATCGCGCATGGTGGACATAGCAGTGAGTACAGGCGCGAAAGCCCCCGCCGGGCTGTTGCCGTTCGAGACCATGACGACCATCTGGTGATGGAGGGGTAGTGTGGAAAGTGGAGTGTCGGAGCCTTCAAGTGCAAGACAGCACGAAACAGTAGCAGAAAACTTCTCGGTCACTTGTGAAAAAGCTTCGAGATACCGAGTAGTCGAGAGGTGATGTGGCGTGGGAATGGCGGGGGAGGAGTCTTGTTTGTTTTTTTGGGAGGATGGATTGTGCAGCCGAAGTTCGAGTCGGTCGTGCCTTTCCCCGCTAGCGCCGTTCATTTTTGGCAGCCTCGTTCAAAGGCTCGTGAATCGCGACTGGCACCTGTTCGCAGACTTTGAAGCAACGCGACGACCCTAAGAGACCACTCTCAACTTCCCAAATCGACAATTCCAGGCTTGGGACGCTCTCAAATCCCGAACCAATACCCACCCTTCAGCAATCATGAACAGAGGTGGAGGCGGTGGACGCAAGGTCCTTTTACCCCCAATCAACTTCATCTTCAAGCTCCTGCAGCAGCGATCGACGGTCCAGATCTGGTTGTATGAGCAGTTGGCTATCAGAATCGAGGGCAAGATCAGAGTCAGTGGTCACTTATATGCGATTTTGCTGGCTCTAGGCTGACAGACATGGCAGGGCTTCGACGAGTTCATGAACCTTGTTATCGATGACGCTGTAGAGGTCAAGCAAGCAACAAAAACAAGTGAGGAGAGCCGGAGATCATTAGGTGAGGGAACTGAGTTTTATGCTGGGCTTGCAGAGAGCTAATATGCACCAGGGCAAATACTATTGAAGGGAGATAATGTTTCGTTGATCCAGAGCTTGAATGGATAGAGGGTGTCAAAAGGCGTTATCTGAATTCAAGTTGGGCTTAGCAAGGACAAAAGAACCGAAGGGTTGCGCAGGGAGGTTGGGGGAGTATCGACTGCTATTCGGCTTCATTCGTCCTCGAATTCTATTCCCTGAGAGGGCCTTCCAAGAGTTTTCCATCGCCTACCACCAGACTGTGTAACAGGTTATCATGGTCTCCTACGGGAACTGAGGATCTGGTCTGGGTACCCAGAAATTGCTCCTGAAGAGCCAGACCACATAAAATTACATCTGTTCCTGGGCTCGTCGGTCCCGTCGCCTGTGATTCTCGACTTTGCATGTATCTGTATAAGAAGTAGTCGTAAAAGCCCTTTCCATGACCTAGCCGCCTGATATAGCCAGTCTTTGGGTCAAGGTCAAAAGCCACACCGGGCATGAGTATGAGATCAAGTGGCTTGTTCTCTTGAGTTGAGCTTTTGAGTATATGTTCTCGTTGGTCCACAGTATTCGGACCGATTGTTGGTATTCCCCAGCTGTCTCTTTCCAGAGAATCATATTCAGATAGAGTCCTTAAATCCACCATTTCCATTACGGAGCGAGGAGTGTCAGGAGGTGGATCCTGAGCCTTATGAAGATACGGCACAAAAACCTGCTTTCCAGACTGAAGAGCATGGCGTACAATGGCATCCGTTTGGACCTCGCCTATTGGCATTGACAGGTAAATACCAATGCGCTTTGCGTCTTGGTATGGCTTGAAGCCTGTGACTGTCTCAAATATTGTAGCACCTGCACCTATGATTAATTCCATCTTTGGGTAGCGTCATGTAGGCTTACTTTGGGACTCAACCGACGCTGAGGGTACACTTGAAAGCTTCTTTTTCATTAGGGTTCTCAGCTCTTTCTTCGCTATTTTCAGAGCCACTGATGTAGCCATTGCTGTGCCCACGTCGTCGGGAAGCCCGACTGCGCCCATAGAGAGTCAGTGATTGGTTTGCAGCTTTTGCGAAGGCTCAATACGTTCTGTAAATGCACCACGCCAGATGATCTCAAAAGTATATACTCCTGCTGAGCACACAAGCGAAAGAAAGTCCGCCGAACACAGCTGCACGCCAAGTCTTGCGACAGATCTTCGCAGGGGTTCGCCGTTGTGGCGCCAGTCTAAGTGGCTAGTTTCGGGAACTCATCGAAACCTCCTCCTGATAAACTTAATTGAACGAACGTCTTTGCGAACCACGATCACACTCTTTCAAACCAACAATGTCTTCACTCTCACTACACTCGCTACTCATCGCAGGCGTGTGCATCATCTCCTCGGCCTCAGCACTTGACACTAAACTCGTCGGAACATGGTCAACGAAATCCGCAAAGGTTTTGACGGGATCGGTACGTTGCTATTCTTGGAACAGGGAGAGGGGGACACAATCAGCACCGGCGACCACGTAATTTATTGTGTATATGTGCTGATTTGAAGATATAGGGCTTTTACAACCCCGTTAATGATAGTTTTATCGAGCCGAAGCATACTGGGATCTCATATTCATTCACGGCGGACGGGCACTACGAGTCGGCATACTACAGAGCAATTGCCAATCGTGAGCAAGTCCAGAGTGCAGAATTCGAGGGGCAGTACTGATGATGCTTATAGCTGCGGATCCAAAATGTCCAGGCGCAATCCTACAATTCCAGCATGGCACGGTTGTGGAGAACGCAGATGGCTCTCTTGACCTGACCCCGATCTCTGTCGATGGCAGACAATTACAATCTAGTCCATGCGATGGCCATACCTCGACCTACACACGCTATAACCAGTCGGAGAATATGGAGGTATGTTCCGACTTGCGAGACCCATCCAGTCATGAATCTACTAACAAACCCAAGAAATACCAAGTCTACACAGACCCCTACATGAAGCTTACCCGCCTCGACCTCTACCAATTTAACGGCGCCCCAATACAGCCCATGTACCTAGCCTTCACGCCCCCAAAAATGCTACCAACCATTACCATGAACCCAACAACTACTTCTGCCGGAAAGAAGGCCAAGCGGACAACTGGAGCGGAACCAGAGGTCAACCACGGGTACGATGTGCCACTGAACAAGGACGCTATCCACATGAAGCGAGACTTCGAGCAACCGTTAATTCACCGCGTGGACCTGAATATGGTCTGGTGGACAGGCGTAGGGCTGACGCTCTTCGGGGGCGTGGCGTATTTGTTATAACATGGATTTTGGTTTTGGTTTTCTCGCAGGTGTCTTGTATATTGATTGTTCTGGTATAGGGGTTAGACGGCAGGCACATGTCATTGGGGGTATACATTGATTTACTTGCCTTGGATGTGCAATAGGAGTATAGGAGCTGGAATCGATTTGGGTATCTGCACAAACAGAAAGGCATTGGGAGCATTGAAGCATTTTAGGCGTATTAAGGGGTATCATTTTCGCTAGGAGCATAATGGTACACTCTATGTAACACAAGGTATCCTAGAATAGGATTCGTTTCTCGAGCAGTCTTCCTTCCAAGGCCTCATCTAAAGAGTGCGATCTACCATAGCAACTTCCACGTGCTGTTGTCCGGCTGGAGGCGTGAAACAGCTATCCCAAAGTCCACCCGCCCTTGCAAACGAAAGACTCTTAACCCAAGCACTCAACGTACACCTTCCCAGCGCATCGCCACCACAAGTATCCAGCGGCATAACCCGATCATTAATGACCACTCTCACTAACTCCTCTGCCGAACCAGTACAAGTCATTTTCTCGAAATACGCACGAGAGCTGAAAGGCACGAGGCGGTTGACGGCGAAACCATGGGTTTCTTGTACTGTTTGGAGCGTGGTGTTTGAGAGGGGTGTGGTGGAGTTGAAAAGGCCCATGGCGCTGAAGATGGTCATCATGTCATTGTCGTGGCTGAAGTCGGCGTAGAGGACTGCATCAAGAGGGAAGGTCGTTGAGTTACCGTCTAGTGTGGAGTTTGTAGTCGTTCTATCCACTACAGCAGACTTGGTCATGCGTGCGATGAGCTCGTTGGTAAACCCCACACCTTGAGTTGGGCCGAGTGGGTTTCCAATAGAGTAGCTGTAAAACTTCCCGACGGTGGCGAGATAATCATACTGTTGCCATTCAGTAGCAGTGAAGAGGCCGCAGAATGGATGTATGGTGCCATTATCGTTGGCGACGGTGTTGAAAGGGCACATATCCATCAGGCTGACAGTGTCATCATCTGTCAAGTTGACACCTGGAAGGTTTTCATTTAGACGGGCGGTGATAGGTGGTGCGAAGACAGCTTGCCATTTCGCTACAGCGTCGTCACCAATATCACTGAGGGGACCTTCCTCAAAGTTGTTGCAGAGGTCGTGGTTGAGAGTGTTGTTTTGTCCCTGATCTTCACTAATCTGGACTATGTTAAAAGGCAAGCTTTCATTGACAGTCGAGCTAGCGTCTTGTAATCGAGCGGTGTGGAAGCCTTGAGTCCAGTTTTGAGCAGATTCCACAACTCGATCTTGTCCAGATGCACGAACAAAAGGGGTGATGCCTTGAGCAAGTGGCCTATATCTTTGGTAGAACTTGATACCGGAGTTGATAAGCTCCTGTTGCCCAAAAGTGGTGAGCTGGTCGGCTCCAAGGGTGTACTTGTAGTCCTTAATGAAAGCAAAGCTGTCGCTATACGACGTAGCGTTGGCGTGGATTCGATCAATCAAAGCTTGATACTTGATAGTCTTGCCTGCCGTCGGATCTCGAGCACCATGGCGAGAGAGGATTTGCGCAAATGTGATTTGACACTGGTCCGGGACTTCAGTAGCGATTTCTGAAGCAACTGCAAAGTAGGGAGAACTTTGTCCCCAAAAGTGGGAGATCTCAGGCGAACAAGTGAAGCCATTAAGACCATCACATTGCGCATTGACATGATGAATAGTATGGTCTCTACATCGATGTCAGTGGCGATCTCACACAACATGGAAGTTTCGCTGATTCACGTCTTGCAGATCTATGCGAATGAAGACTTACGCAATCGCCAAGTAGAAGAACAAGAAGACCCCAAGAGCACCCATAACAACGATCCAAGTTCTATTGCTGTTATTCTTTCTAAACTCTCTGAGATGCTGTTCTAGAAGAATATGATGCTCCGCGTCTAAGTCGGTACTGAATCGGATTTCTTCCTGGCCTGGTCCGGGTGTCTCTTCCCTGAGGGGCACAGGCACATAGCTATAGTTGTCTCTGTCTCTTGCCTCGTCGTCTCTAGCAGTCGAGGTCCTCCTTGAATGGTTGAGGACCGCGGCATAAGCTGCCGTCTTCATCCTTGCAGCTCCGAAGCATCTAGATTAGGTGGATAGAAGCCGATCAAAAGTGTCCTAAGTGATTGGATGCAAAGTCCGGGCTCAGGATTCGCTGGGAAGGCAAACAGCCCTACGGAGTATTCGAGAGCCTGGTGATGTTTCAACTTTGAGAAGCATCGAGGCTGATGTAGAGATGAGGATATGATAGGAGGCGGATCACCGAAAGAATGTAAATGCCGAGGCTGAGATTTGGTCGATTCTCACCAGCGTGAATTGAAACGGTCGCCACGCTTTCGCTGAAGTTGTCATCGGCAGAAGGCAGGGGCAGCCAGCACATTGTCCCTCTGAGAGCGCTGACTGGCTGGGGCCAAATTAAGCTTCAGAGTGGAAGCTGAGCAGCACATGTGGGGAACCAACCACCAGGTTAGGTATGTAGTATGTACCTACTTTTAAAGTTGACGTTGACTACAGGTTGACAGGGTGATTCTAATCATCGGTTGGGGCTATGACCGGGCAAAAATCAGAGACGTCAATTTTCGAATGGTAATAGTCATGTCCACAAAGTAGATTGTCAGACGGAGGAGCTGTGATATTCTCTCTAGCACGACGAGTCTGTCCCCCCCCCCCCCCCCAAAAAAGAGATCTATGTAGCTATTCCATCTCTTTTGCAAGAGGCATTGCTTCTCTGCTCAAGTTCTAGATCTAGCTAACAACTATAAGTGCCTATGACATCGGTTTAATCATACAGTAAATCGTACAGGACCCTTGATATGTCCCGATGGTGCGGTCTCTACGCCCGAGTATCCAATAGAGATCAGACTCTCATCCCGAGAGATCTCATCTCTTAACGAGGCTACAGTACCAATCTGAACTTTATTGGGCTGGAGCTACGCATCGACTACTACCTTATCAGCCTTCCTTATGTCATGGGTCATCCATCATGGTGAACTGTAATAGCGGGTATCTCAAGATACTGCATCACATCAATATATTCTCGTGCTTGATTGTTATGAGAAAGCTACAGCTCCCAATAGATCACAGGGAACGCTTTATCGTCTTTCTGCCATGAAGGCTACACGACCTGTCATGTGAATAAGAATTTTGACACATGTGACTTCATACACAGTGTTTCAACTTCAAGGAGAGTAGCCAATTGGGGTGAAGTTACAAAGACTCGAAAGACCTCGGAAAGACATCTGGATCTGTCTCAACACTTAATTGGCACCAAGTCACTAAAACACATTTTTTGGGATAGAATTCCATTTCCTGACTCCACTGACGCTGAAGAATACAATCAAGCGTCCATACAGCCCCCCGCAGAAACGAACTATGCATTTATCTCATGGTACAGTCTACAACCCAGGAAGTGGGTATATTTACAAACGCTTAATAATTGCACCGGCATACTCGTGTGTCTTCGACTTTCCACCCAAATCACCGGTCAGTGACTTTCCTTCCGCCAGGGTATCGAAAATAGCCTTCTCTATTCTGTCTGCGTGATCATTCAAAGCCATGTGTCTCAACATCATGATGGAGCTAAGAAGAAGCGCAGTTGGGTTGGCGAGAGCCTTGCCAGCGATATCTGGTGCGGAACCGTGGACGGCCTCAAAGATAGAGCACTCATCTCCAATGTTGCCAGATGGAGTAAGACCAAGACCACCAATAAGTCCAGCACACATATCGGAAAGAATGTCACCGTAAAGGTTGGGCATAACCAAGACCTTATCGTTGTATGGTGCGGGGTCGGTAACGATCTTCAGGCAGGTGTTGTCGAGCAGCTCGGAATCGAATTCGACCTTAGGAAAGTCCTTGGCAACTCTCATAGCGGTGCTTAAGAAGAGACCATCGCTCATCTTCATGATGGTAGCTTTGTGAACGGCACGGACCTTTGGTCTCCCAATATCCTCGGCATACTGGAACGCATATCGGAGCACGCGCTCACTGGCCTCGCGAGTGATGAGTTTGATGCTTTGCACGACACCATCTACGACGATGTGCTCGATACCTGAATACTCTCCCTCGGTATTCTCTCTGATCAGAACGGTGTCTACACCATCGTATGGCGTCTTGTATCCTTCAATGGAGCGGCATGGTCGGACATTGGCAAAGAGGTTGAAGGTTCGGCGGAGGGTCAAATTGAGAGACACATGGCCTTTTCCAATGGGAGTCTAGACGATTATGAGCTGTGGCGCAAGAATGGTTCGCGGGGCTCCTTACAGCAAGAGGTCCCTTGAGAGCGACTTTGTTCTTCTTGATGCTCTCAATGGTCTCTGGTAGGATAGAAGTCTTGCCATCAACCAATTGAGGGGTGACATCAACTGGCTCCCACTTAATTGGTGTCTTCCCATTCATTAGCAAGCTTCTTGAACCCATTGACGTCCCCAGCCTACCTTCGCAGCCGCAAAGATGTCCTTCACAGACTGAGCAATCTCCGGTCCGATACCGTCACCTTCAATCAAACTGACAGTATAGAGTCCCTATAATCTTATCAGCCAATTTATCTCCAATAACATATCTCTGCAAGCCCAATTGGGTTCATTGCTGAGCCGTAGACATTTATTCTTGGGCTGTTTGCTTTTGCACCGTAGGAGTGGGAGTCGTACATCTGACCCTTTTTGTCCAGTGAATTTGGCAACTGGGTCCTTCCCAGTCGCATATTGACGGCAAGCCTGTACAGACCATACAATTAGCAAGTCGGACTATAATGGCATTGTTTTTCTTTCCTGGATTAAGGCTTCTCACATGGACAGAAGTGGGAACCCAGGCACGGCGGGATGCTTGCAGACACTGTCGCCGCGCTGGCGCAGCAAAAGATCGGACTGCTAGCATTGTGAAGGAAGAGAAACCAAAATGTCTCTGCAATATATGTGCAGAAGTATGTTGGAGGTAGTTGTAGGAGGTTGGAGAGAAAGGAAGGATTTGCGAGATAGAGCTCGGCGCGGCAACAAATCGAGATTGGCGGGTCGGAGCTTTGTGGTCGGTAAAGACCGGGAAGAGCTCAAGTGTCAACAACGACTGCTCACGTCGAGCGAGCCAAGGAATGTAACAATCAGAGCAATATGAAGACAGGAGCTCACGACACCGTTGGCAACATTATTGATACGAGGCTAGAGTGATCAACGACCGAGAAATACGGGCAACGATTTATCGCAATGGCGGACTACGAGCGTACCGTCTTGGAGCACTACCAGCTCTCTACCGCGTATCCAGTGGAATGGCCTGCCGAGAAGGATATGAGCGATGCTTCAGATGAGGAGGAAACAAAGCCTGCGCGAGATGCCGGGATCAGAAGGTCGAAGTCGAGATACTCTGCGCTGGAGCGGGCTGCCAGTGACAGGAAAAGCATTCTGCCAGGATCCCAAAGAGGAGACAATGGCGTCGAGACCATGGTGCAAAGGGACGAGCCTGATCCCTTGGGCACGACGGACAGTGTCGTTAGGATTTTACGGCAGCTGGGTCTGCCAGTACAAGAGGATCCCAGGCTACGTCGGTGCCTCTTAATGTTCCGTAGATATCCCTGCTAACATGGTAATAGGGAATCGATTTCTCCTATCTTCGACGACTTTCTCCCCAGCGCTGTTCCTCTCTCAAGTTCATTCTACGGCTTCTACGCAATCTCTTCTAGATGGTTTAGATGTTCTTTCGAGGTCAATTGACCAGAAATCAGCTTCCTTGAAAGTTTTAGTCGAGTCTAATTTCGAGCGATTCGTCCGGGCGAAGGCTACCATCGACAATGTATACACTGAGATGAAGTATCGTGGTGTAGAGCCGCCTCAGCCACAGCCACGGCGGACACATTCACGACATGCCAGTAGAAATAGCTTCCGGACAAGCAGTGGAAACCAAGCGGCCATGGCCTTGTCAACGCCAGATATTAGGAAAAAGAATGCATTGACGAAAGAGAGTGAGTATGGAGTGCTGGGAATCAAAACACCACTTCTGGATGTCTCTGCTAAGGCAGAAGAAGTCTGGGGTCCTGCACTTGGCGGGCGCGAGAAGGAAGACAGTCTGAAAATCATGGGTGGCACGGTCGAACGATATAAGGAGTTGTACGAGGTCGGCGCAGCTATCACAGACAGTATCAAGCGGAAAGACTATGAGAGTATAGTGGAAGAATATGCAAAAGCACGGCGTTTTGTGGATGATGCAAGAAAACTGTCGGATGCTCTGGGATCCACTCCTCCAAGCGACATTCAGATATATCAGTTGTTACTTGCAGCACGTGTCTGGAATGATGTTGAAGACCAGATTGAAGATTTCAAACGCGAAATTTGGAGAAGACTTATTGCAATGCAAAGTGTTTCGACCCGAACTAATGTAACAGGTGGCCCCCAGGATCAGCATATGGAGCTGATCGGTGTCTTACTTGAGCTTGGTGTAACTGACAATCCAATTTGGGTGTGGCTGCTAAGTCGATACGATCATCTTAAGAGTAAAATCCAGACGACTTCTGAGCGCTCCAAAATTGAAATCGAAATTTCACGAAGACGGCTCGCAAATAGCGAGAGGCCAACGACACAGATCATAGCATCGCATTTGAGATCACTTGGCCGACAAACCGTTGAAGACAAACCTACTTCAGTGGACTCAACCGAGATCATCGAGCTCTGGGAGAAGATGCACATGTTCCTGAGCACGATGTTGGGTGGTGACGGTATTCTTGGGGAGGTTGTGGAATTCTGGCAAACAGTTCAGAGTTTCATTGACGGAAAAGCACAAAAGGCTCTTCCTGTTGGAATCAATGGAGAATCTCGTCAACATCACAGGCTGTCTGACCAAGGTACTCTCGATTTACAGAAGGGAACAGTCGAGCTGATTGACATGATCAGGGAGAGTATCTTTGCATTCTTCTCCGAGCCGCCAATCGAAGATATTTCCTCCCTGTTTTCGCCATTACCTCCAACTCCTCGGACTCCATCATCGTCTGCAAATGGGCAGCTTACTCCATCTGCGCTTCGAGATACCCGGTTTAACCTAGATCCAAATAACTTGCCACCACCATCTCCAAAGAGAGGCGAGGCGTGGGAGAAGCATGCTTTCTGGCCCCCTTGGTCTAATTCACTAAGTGGAGTACACTACCTGGGGAAACTTTTGGTTCTAGTGGGTACTGGTGCGAGCGAGATGGCTGCAATTGCTCCTGTCGGCAATGGCGATGGCTCTGCTCTCGAGCGGTTGAAGGGTCTCGTTGGCGAGGCTCGGGAAAGATGTGTTATTGCCATCTGTGCAGCATGGAATAAAGACGCTGAAAATATTAAAGTGCTTGAGGACTGGAGACGATCTCCAGAGAAACGAGATCTTACCAGGATGCCTGCTTATTTCGGCGCTTTCGAAAGTGCTGTGTTGACAGGTATGCAGAAGATTCTGTACATTTCCGAAGCGATGGCCAAGTCAGACTCTACGAACGTTGTCTTCCCACCGCCAGCAAAACTTCTGCAGATGGTTCGTAGTCAATTTGTGACTACACTTTACAGATCCTTAAGCGGAATGGTTGAGAATGCTGAGAAGTCAGTGAAGAAGGCTGAGGATGACTGGACAACGGACAACGATGGGCTTGCAAGCCCAGTGGCTATGGTAGTTGCTACCAGCATTGGAGCCGGAACTGTCAATGCCAGTGATCGGGTAAGTTCCATGTCCAAATTCTTATTCTACAAACTAACTAGAGTAGAACGTCCGCATGCTCTTGACTTTAAGCAATCTTCAAGCACTCCGAACAGACGTCGTCCCCAATCTGACTACCCAGTTCGAAAATGCCTTCTCCGTCAAGCTCACCGAGGAAACTAAAACCATCCGTGACGTCCTCGGGCAGATTGACGCACGTCTATTCCAATCATACACTCGACCCTCAGTTAATGCTCTTAGCGTCACCATCCGCGAGGGCATTTCATCTCCCAGCTGGCCTCCCCGGCCAAATGAGAAGCCCAAGGAGGTTCGTTCATATGTTTATGAAGCACTTCTTAGCCTTGTGCTGGTACACTCTCAAGTATCCACCACAGCATCAACGCTCACTGCACAAGTCCTGTCCTATCTCCTTGAGCAAACCTCGCGTGAGCTCCTTGAAGCATTTAAGGCCCGTCAGCGGTATAACCTTGCAGAACTCATGCAAGCAACGCTCGACCTGGAATTTGTAGCCCAAACTCTGAATCAATACACGACAGAGAGAGCAAGCGAGATACAAAGCCAGATTTACCAAGAGTTAGACAAAGGCACTGACAATGACGCAAGAAGCAAACTACAGGGCGAGCTTCCCGAGATGAGGGCTGTGCTCAAGAGGCTGAGAGAAGGCAGCAGGAGCGAGTTTGCTTGCTTCAAGAAGTCGAGGCGCCAGGAAAGGCCACCAGCCGTACCAGCACCATCTCAGCCGCAGTCACAGGAAGGCCAAATGATCTAATAGAGAAACTATCAAGATGTTCCCTTAGAAATACTCTCAGCTCTAAAGATAGTCGAGTTGTTTCCCCTAAATGCTTCCGTAGGCCCCTCGGGCAAACTCAGTCCATGTACTTGTTGTCATTCAGTGTCTTTTAGTCGCTGCCACATTATACATTTCAATCCCAGCATGAGAAGACGTGGCTAGATGGCTGACTGTCTGTCAGCGTAACCTCGTTCAAAGTGAATCATGAGGTGCTAGTTGCTCTCAAGGTTCGAACAACCGGTGATTCGTATGTGCGTGCTGCCTGTGGTTTTTATGGTACAAACTGCATGATTATGTCACATGCGAGGAAACATATTCATCAGTTTATTAATTGATTCTCTACTCTTGAAGTTCCTAATAGCCAGGTTTCATGATGCTATGCTTTCTCAGATGCTTTCCAGGGAGTGAGAAATGCGGATCTACTGGAATGTCCCTGTACAGGATATCTCCAGGAGCAGCTGTAAAATGAAGTCTGCCAAGCAAGTGCTTTAGACTGATCACAGGTATTTCGCATATCGTTCATTTTCTTATCACAGTGTCACCCGCCCATGGGGATTCTGGAGAAACTATCAGCGAATCATCCTGGCAATGGTTTCTTTCACGACGCAAAACTGTCAGTGGACGGAGAAAGTATGATCTCTCGGCCAATGACAAAGCCACGACCCACGCGACATATACGAGTCATTGTCGCAGGACATGAATATAGTCGCCCAGTTAGGCACCTTTTGAGCCACAAGCATGCCAAACCGGGTGGGTAAAGAGGCTGAAGGTCGCTCGCCACCGGGTTAGCGCCTTTCTAAAGGGAATTGAGACTTGAATCTTTCTCTATAAATATAGACAGACTCGTTGTCTCGAAGCCTTCTCTGATTTCATTCCATATCGCAGATCTTCGAAACACCAACTTGCATTCGAGTGTCATTCTTCGACTTTGCAAAGACTTTCCTACACTTCCGCTTCGTATTAAAACAACAAGGAGTACTTCACACTCTTTTTTAAACACTAAAATCTTCAGGACAAGTTCGCGTTCTTTCAAATATCAAAACTTCACATACGTCCTCTTTCCTTCAACATGTCGAATAACACTTCCGTCTCCTCTTCTGGCTTTGCCGCATGGCGCTTCTCTCATGAGACCAGTCGCTAATTCCCCTTCTGTTAGTCAATTACCTTTCCTAAATACTAATTCTCCTGCTAATTGACGCAGTCAAGCTCTGAACGGTCTGGCCCTGACTACCGCCTTGCGCCATTGGGTCGAGAGACGGTGGATCAAAGCGATCAAAATCAACCAGCCAAATCTCAGGGCCGACAAAAGAGGATTGAGAAGTGGCAGACGCTTGACTTTGCTGCGGCTGCTCCCCCTGGTCCGTCTCGATCAATTATACGAGCTGGTTCTTGCACCGACGTTACGCCTCGTGGACCTCGGATTTTACAACAGTCGTCAGAGTAATAATCCAAACTTCAACAATGCTCATCATACAGCTGCTCGAGCCCAAGGCCCAGGACGTCCAATTGGCATGAATGGATTGTCCAGAGGTGTCAGCAGTTTGGCAACTGGAGGTCTCAGAACTCTCCCAGCCCAAGAGCCAAGGTAATTGCCCTGTATATCGAGCCAGTCACGCATGGCTAACAGACAGTAGTGTTCCGTTGACATTATTTACCAATTTTGGGAAGCTTCCGGCTGAGATTCGTCTTAAGATCTGGGGTCTAGCTCTCAATACTGAGCGCGTTCTAGAAGTCATCTGGGATGGTGCTGACGAGGATCCTAAACACGCACGCCACTACCACTATCGCATATCCCCACGTTCGGGCGCTCGACCAGCACTGATGGACGTATGCCACGAATCACGAGCTGAGGCAGAGCGATTTTACCTCTTTGTAGATTTCACCACTACCATTCAAAATGCAGATCAGGACTTCAAGAAGTGTGGTCCAATCATGACCTACTACAATCCAGAGTGGGACATTATTCTATTCGGTGAATACTCATGCATATGGTCAATCGTCCGTGTCATCCAGGACCAACGCCGTGCGAATGTAGACATCCACCGCATCGCCATTATGAGCAGTGGTCAGCTTTTGAGATGCCACGATTGGAATCACGATGGTCCTATCTATGGCCCTGACCAGACGGAAATCGACTATGGCTATGCAATCGCTGGAGGATGCACTGTTATGCAGGCTCTCCACGGAATCCATAAGGATGTTGCATGGACTGAGATGGAATCGGGAGTCAAGGGACTGAAAGAAGTGTTCTTTGTTGTGCCCACTCATCTCATTCCTGGCATTGCTGGGAAGGTGGATGAGTCTATCGGCTTTCGCCCAGCTCGAGGAAGTGGCCTGACTTCTGGTCAGGTCAAAGTCAAGAGCAATCTCCAGAAGGAAGTCGACTTGATTGAGGCAGGCGGCGTCCTGCCATACTGCTCGGTCGACGACAGCATGAACAATTGGTCTGGATACAACAAACCAGAATTCAAGTTTGTTACGTTCACACCAAAGTCTCGCATTGGTGGCAAGATCTTTGACTCGATGATCGTCTCTTCTGATGGCCTTCCCAGGATCAACGGCAGAGATTGGAAATTCATCAAGGATGTTGAGCGAAAGTCAGGATGTCATATGGAGATCCCTAAACGTGACTATCCAACTCAACCATCGCGAGAGATCGGGCTCTATGGCACAAGAGCTGCCATTGACAAGGCCATCAAACTCATCCAGGGTGAATTAGTAAGCTGGAAGGTAACTCTCTTCTTTTGACTTCTGCTAACTGAAGCATAGGAGCGTTTATCAGGAACTAATTGGACTAAGCCCACATATGTTAAGATCGCACCTGGCTACTCGACAAAGCTTGGCTTGGAGTTTTACCACCCTCAAGCTGCAGCCACCAAGTATTGAGCGGGAGCCTGATGATTGATTTGATCCACAGCATATGGAGGAGCGAACACTCTACTTGAGAAGCTGTCTCGTTTCATTTCGCATTGATGGCATCGGCGGCGAGATTCATCTGGTGAGCGGTTGTCCTTTGCGACACATTACATTTCACTTCACATTCTTCTGTCGCCTGGCGCAGGCATTGGGTAACAAATTAAGAAGAGTAGGGTTGTGGGGGTCTTGTCGCGCAAACACTAGTGATTTTCCATCATTTCTTTGCGGTATCAGTTATCAGAGGGTCTTCTCCGCGTTACCTTTGCTTGGTGTGTCTGCCAGCCAGGCTATTGTTGTGATCCACCATCATTCACGTCGACCAACCGGTTGACTATCTTTTTCGCATCTAACCTACGTGAAATCACTGAGATGCCCGTGATTGTATCTTAGCCATTGGGAAGTCCTAATGCTTCGCCTCAATGATAGCAAAAGACTTCATAATATCGTGCGTAGGGGCGTGTCTATGCTCTGTTGTGATCTGGTCACATCAACAGCTCATGCTAGGGGAATATCATAGCTAACCGTCCGCCACGATAACGACACTGTATTCAACTGGTAAAACAGTCAATTTCTGTTGCGTATCTCTAGCCAGACGTATCAGATGAGCATCCGAAAGCTCTAAAAATAGCTGATCGGTGATCGGTGCCGTGACGAGTCTCAAGGAGGCTCAGAATGTCTTGTTACGCGTAAATTGTCCTCTCCTCCTCACACGTCTAGATTCCGGTCAAAAGAATTAGCACCGGCCTGGACTGGTACCATCAGGGTTGGCTCATCATAGCTCAAGAGTTGAGGCAGGGTGCAGACAACTGTACATTCATGTGTCCTTCTCGGCAAGGACGTGAACAATTCGAGGCTAGTCACAATTCTGTGGTAATCTCTACATTCATTTCAACTGATATTACTTGGTTCTATTAGTGTGATCACTTACATCTCTTCACATTCTGCATGTCAGAGCAAAATCGTGAATGTTTCCAATACCGGAGGGCCAAGTTCTTAAGAAGAAAAAAACACACTTTTCTCAGCTCACAAACCTCAATTTACAATGGCCTGGCAGACTCTGGCAGTAGTCATAATTCTGTGGCTCTTTAAGGTCTACTAATAGCAAGCAATATGGGCTATATTGAAGCTGAAATATCTCCTGCCTGTTCTGATCAGAAGAAGGTGGATGCAGCTCCTTGAAGACAGGTGACCATGTTGACATAGTGTTGCAAATGATCTTCGGGACCACTATTGCTGCTGACGATAACGGAAGTCTTGGTATTAGCATTAGGGATGATGTCGAGAAGCTTCCGGTTTGCGAGATTAGTATCAACTTCACCAGGCTACCCAACTGCCAACTGCCTAGGTTGATGCCTGTAATTCCGCTTGATTAACTGTCACAATTCAAGCGGATTAGTTTTATATTCTCAATTTGAAACCTCACAGAACTCAAACTGGAATTTTAGCTCATGAGGTTTCCTACCGGTCAACAACATCTAGAATTACATCACAAAAGCATGATTAGGATCCTTGCACAAATCAACGATTTGATAATCATATCATTAAATCATATATCAATTCCATCATGATCTCTGTAGCATACAAGGAAGTTTTGTAGGCTTCTCTGATAGGTCCCCCTATGGGTGATATGCCACAATCAATGGAACCGAAACAGCCACGCAGCAATGAAAAAAGTAGGAGGTGTTTTCGAAGTTTATCGTAGGTCTCGAAACCCCTGTGACCTGCCCAATTTCTACATTAAAAGTAACTTGTACTCCAAGGACACCTTGCTAAAGCAGAACAAAACTTCCAAAATCCAATGAACATGCACAAAGCCAAGCCTTGACCACTGAATGCAAGCGCAAGTACCGCAATACATCATATGCTCCGACGCAATGCCATGCAGATGGCTCAATGTCAGTGTAGCGCTCGCCGATCATATCACATATCTCGTGCCACATTGCCAGGCAGACAGAAGGTATACAAGAAAAGAAAAGATGGGTAGTTGCGTTGAAGGACTACTTAGTGGGAAGAAGAAGCTGCGAGCAGAAGCGTAGCTCATAGCAGTGAGTATTGGAAGTATGGAAGGTATGATTTGCTTGCTTATTCAGAACTTCGACATCTGTGGGCGGGTTAGACTCGGTGGAAAGGTCTACCAGAATGAGGAACTTACAGTTCAACTGTAACTGATTGAAGTACTCCTTTGTGATTGGATCAAGATCCGTGGCAATGATACCGTCAGGATTAACGTATGTCTTGGGTATAACTTGTCGCATGTGCAGAAGCATTTGCAACAGATTAGTGAGCTTCTCTCCCTGTGTGGCATAGAAGTTGGGAATCTTGTCCAGGGGCCAGCGGGCTTTAAAGTGGTCTTGCTCCCAAGATTTGAATAGCCAGGTCGACTTCTCGACACAGTTCAGCACGATAAGGGCAATGAGAAAAGTATCGAATTTCGAAGATGCCGATCGGGCTAGTAGACGGCGCTCCAGAACACTCAACACCTCTTTGCAGAGCGTTGATGCCTTTTTCTCGGCTGCGGCATTAAGTTGAGACACAAGTAGGTCATAGCTAGGAACATTGACGGTTGGACCCTGCCCAGCTTGTGCGTCGATATTGACCCGCTCGGAGATCGTCCATCTGGGATTGTGATCAACAAGCATCTGGACGACTGACCACAATTCCAAGGCTTGTCCCAGAAGTGGATCGTCGACGGCCAATCTCTGGGCTGTATTGAGTGTAACATTCATGAAGTGAGAAGCTTCGCGCTCGATGAAGACATTAGCAATGCGCTTCATGTACGCTTCGAGCTTCATAGGAAGGTCGTCATTCTCGTGATCGAGGATGTGAAGGTCATGGACGCTGAAATCGCTACTGAGATTGGGATCGATGCTTCCTTGCGCAGGTGTCTGATGTCCTTCCAGTGCGTTGAAGGTGGCGAACACAGTTGTTTCTGGGTAATGCGAGGCTTCGATCTGATGTGCGGAGGGTTGAAAAGTGATTTGTGTCTTGGCATTTGTGATTTGTTGATGTGCTAGTACAACGTGGAGACCAGCCGAGTACATCTCTAGCTCGTCTGCCAGGCGAGTACGGACACAAGGTTGCTTCCATAGTCGAGCACTCTCAACACTCTTGCATGTTGTGCAAGGCGTTCCGTCTGAGCATGGTTTCTTCAACATTCTGCACCGAAGACAAGCTCCGATGGATCGAACTTTGGAAACTTCCTTGCGTCGAACCCCAGAGAACTTGACTCGACCTTTCTGCTTAGGCGCCTTCTGGCCATTACCAAACTCTGCACTGAATTGTGTGGTCATTGGTACCTGCGAACCTGGGTGCATTGCCACAGATGCAGCAATAGGGGTGAATATGATAGCTCGTTGCGGCTCAGACTGTTCCATGGCATGTTCAAGATGACCGCCCTCCTGGAAGTGGTTGACACCCGATCCATCCAGCATGGGCCATTGCAATTGCTGGTCTTGACCACCATTGAACATATTCTCAGCAAATGACACATTAGCCTCACTAAGAGCTTGTTCAATTGTCTTTGCCGGTAAGCTAGACTGTACATTCGCATCATCTGCAAGGAGCTGAGGGTCAACCATTGATGGAACGAAGCGAGCTGCCGCCGCAGCCATATTTGTCGCAGTGGTAGCCATTGCTAAATTAGGAGACGCGGATCTGGATTTATTCAAGTTCGAGCTGAAGTTGGCATTATTCGCTGAGCTCTCGCTCTCCCGTCGCAGCTTTTGGCCGAATGCTATTACGAGTCAGTGGAGGTCTTCGATTCGAAGAGGAGCGAAGAGTGATAATTTACACTTCTTATCTCGCTGAACTCTTTGCTCGTAACTGACGGGAGGATTCTCTGGAGTGTAGTGTTCCTGAAGTTCAAGTCTTGTGCTGCGAGGCGGTTCTGAAGATCTGCCACCAGCAGTACTCTGATTATGGACTGAGCGATCATCGTGCTTCTCCTTCGAGTCAATTTGCCTCGAGACTTCTGCCAGGACGGATAGAGCAGACCAGTTTTCTTGGCTCTGATGACCGATAGGCAGCTCCATTGTTTGACCTTTCATGAGCATCTCGCCGCGCGCATTCTCTGGCAAGTGAGGCAAGTTGTTGAGCTCGAGAGCGGCCTTCTGCCGATCTTGCGTGGAAAGAGCAGGACATTTCTTCGTAAGATGGTTCGAGAGACTATCGATTCGTCCTTTGGGAAATTTTTCACCGCATGCTTTGCATGTATGCTCGTAACGATTGCTGCTGTCATTGAGCTTCGCGCCGCGCTCAAAGTGCTGGAGGATTAAGGCGTTTGGTTTGCGGCCCATCGTGAGTGTCGTCGCGGGGTTGAGGTTGATGGAATTCTGCCTGGTTGAAATGCAGACCGCAAGTTCACCGCTTCGAAATTGGATCTTCAAAATCTTTCAGCTTCCCTTAGCGTCGGAAGGATTTACTTTAGTCCTAGTGGTCCGAAGAACAACCAAGGGCGTACCGGAGTTTATCCGGCCGTGAGCACTTCGTGGGACGACCCCTAATATGAGTTTAGAAGTGAATAGGCCTAGCACTATGTATCGACGACTACGCCAAGTATTAAGTTCTTTAGTACAGTAATTAAGTCATTAGTATCGGGTATTAGGACTCTGCTGTTATCAATGTCTTTAAGACATTTGCTTCTCAATATCGTCACAAGTCTATGATACATCATGTACAGTTCTCCAATCCGTGTCATAATTGCACCTTTGTGCATGGATGAGCGCCTCTAGAATCATTATGCAGATCCAAATGCTCATTGAACACCCCAATCATCGTCAGCAACGTCGTAATCCAAGTTCTCCTGGTGTTCATGGTTGCCTTCAGCCGCAGCAACCCCACGTGCTGGGCTACCCGTAGCCATCGCATCGCCCTCGTCCATATTTGTGTCCTCGTCATTCTTGGACTGGATGGCCTTCGTTGCAGGTGTAGTGACGGGTGGTAGAGGGGTCTTGACCCAAGCTACCTCAACTTTGCCGGCGGAGGGTATCTCTCCGCCATCTCTAGAGACACTCGCTAGAAAGTTCTCAGCTGTCTTCCGGTCCGTGAAGGCAATCTGGGCTCGAGTCGGGGTGGCTTCTAGACTTGTGAATTCGCCGATGTGCTGGGACGTGTTAGCAATAGCCCCTGTATTCGAAGATTGTAGTAACTCACCATAAGATATTCCCGAAGGGTCTCATCTTTTGCACTCTCTGTGAAGTCTACACCAGTCAAGCTAACAGTCTTCGGGCGATTATCGAGGTTGAATGAACGACCAGCTGCTGCAAAATGCGTAGGTGCACCACGACCTCGGTATCCTCCACGGTAGCCACGCGGTACATACTCTCCTCTACCCCGGTAGCCACCTCGACCTCTCCCTCTCCCACGACCACCCCATGAATTGCCATCTGTGAGCGAAGTATCAATGCCAAGGGATTGGGCCTCAGCTTCCAACGCCGCAAGTTGTGCTTTCAAAGCTTCGGTCTGAGACGTGGGCTTGCTCTCTGTCGCAGGTGTACCATTTGGAGATCCATTCGTTGAAGCCGACTTTCCACTCTTCGCAGCGATTCTCTCCATCAGTTTGCGTTTCTCCTCTGCTTGTTTCTTCATCAGCTCTTCCTGACGCCTCTCGAGCTCCTTCTTGGCAGCTTCCATTTCCTGTTTCTTCTTCATCTTCTCCTCATGCACCTTTTGAGCTTCCTGCTGCTTACGGGTAAACTCTTCGATGTCAATCTGAGGTTCAGATGTTGCTCTAGCAGGAACAGGTGTATTGGGATCGGTGCTTTCCTTTTTGAATCCATTGGACTTGGAGGCTGGAGGCGGCTTCGGTAACGAGTCGTCACTGGAGTACCAGTAGACCTTCACAAATCTGTTGTCAAAGATGACAGCTGGAGATTTGTACGCCGTGTTGGCACTGTTCCAGTCGTCATATTTGACGATCGCCAATCTCTTGTATGGTCGCATCGATACATCCACGATGTTGCCAAACTCGGCAAAGAAACCTCTGACCTCTTCCTCAGAGAACCGTTCCTCGGGAATGTTCTCCACCACGATTGTGGTATTGCTCTTGTCGTAATTTGGCCGATCAGAAGAGAATTCTGACCGTCCATTACGCCCTCCACGACTTCCAGGTTGCTGTCTATCACCCCTGAAGCAACCCCGACCTCTTCCTCTATCACTGCCCCGAAACTGGTTGATGTTGGTCGCACCAGGACTTGTGTTCTCGATACCAGCCATAATATTTGAATTCATGGGATCGTATTCGTCGGCTCTGCTCGTAGGTGGGACCCATATTGAGTGCTCACCATGTTCGTACTGGCATGTATTGCCTCTAGCACAGAAACCCTTTTGATCGTAGTCTCGACATCGCTGCTTCTGCTGTGGGGGAGGCGAGGTTGATCCGGGGAAAGCAGGCATGCCAGGAATCGGGAACCCCATAGCTTGCATAGCCAGAATAGCTGCCATAGGATTGTTTGGGTCCATAGGAGGCATTCCTGGTGGTGGACTGGGCATACCAGGTACCGCAGGGAATCCTTGTTGGGGCGTGCCTTGAAGATTCATTGGTGATGGTCGTCCGCCCGAAAAGCCCCCTCCTCGACCACCTCCCTGGTAGAAAGGGTCAAAGCCGCCTCTACCCACTGCAGCTCCTCCGCGTCTTGGTTGCTTGAAGGCTCTGCCATTCGGGTCTCCCGTCATATTCCCTCTATCCTGCACATCTCCGTCACCTCTGTCGTTGTAGGACCGCTTTCTTGAGCCATTCTGAGGTCCTGTTGGAATACCCATTCCGAGATTTCCATATGAGGATGTAGAGGGCGCAGATGGACCGCTTGGTGGCGCGAAAGGGAGGGAAGGTCTACGTATTGGAGGAGCTCCTGGGAGATATGATTTGTACTGAATTGCATCGAAGACATCTCGTACAAAGATTGTTGAATCCTCCTTCAAAAAGTCGGGAATCTCAGCCTCGCAGAGTTGTCGAACAGCTTGTACATCGCCATCATGTCTTAAGAGTGCAAGAACATAATCAGCAAGGACATCGGCATCAGCATCGGATCTGGAAATCGAACATGGTTAGTGACCAATAAATTTATGGGAGGTGTTGGAGGTACGAACGTGTTTTCCAGACGTTTGATGATCCACTTCTTCAGAAGTGGCGCATCTTCTTCGGAAAATAACATCGTAGCAATCGCAGCGTATGCAGTGCAATGTTGCTTAGAAGTTATGGTGCTTGAACTCAAATAGGCATTGCTGGTTGCCGGTTGCGTTTGTGCATGTCGATTCGTGATCCAGCAAAAGCGCGAGAATCGAAGTTTGGGCGACAAGTACAAAAAGCGGTCCGTGCGGCGGCGCTAGTGTGACGGGGGCTTACAGTCACTGACTGCGATTTTCAAGACTGCAACCAAATGCATGGAAGCTGTAGAAGTCGCTGTGTCATAGCCATACAGATGTTCTTCAAACTTCTGCAGGCCATATTATTACTTTCATTTACTTTACTTTACTTTAGAGCTGGGTCCACAACACAATCTAAGCGATTTCCACCCCTGAAAGTAAACAATCCATGGTATTGCTTGCAGACAGCATCACGACTTGGGGGAAACGGTATGAAGTCATGTATCAATTCTTGAGGTGAAAACCCTCTTCGCAATTCCTCAGGGAGATACTGTGTACCTCGTTCATAATATATCTTGCGCTTTCAAAAGTCTGGTGTCGCATAACTAATTTTTTGATCTCCGTACGTATTTCATTTGAATATGATCACAAAGTGTCGATTCTTCTTAAGAGACCACTGCTGCGCTAGATCCATCAGATTCGCTCTCTTTCGACAGCTCAACTGCTTCAAATATCCTCCTCCTCCTCCTCAGCCACCATGTTGCGACTGTTACACCGCCCAGCAGGAAAAAAACGGCGCCCATGACTCCCAGTCCTACATTTCTCCACTTGGTAGATTTTCCATGCGGGCTATCACCTTGGACTGTTTCGGGAACTTCTTCGGGTGGCACTAATGGTCGTGTGGGAATCGAAGTCGGTACATTGTAGTTCCCGAATTCACTAGCAGGAGTAGGTGGAAGAGGTCCAGTCGCCCAGTTTTTTGGTTCAGGGCCCAGCACAAAGTTCATAGTCCCACCATTGGCAAAGACATCATCCCAGGTTACCCAGGATTTCGTCCAATTTTCGCCATTGAGTGAGAGTGACTGCACATAAAAAGACGTATCTGAGGCATTGACTGTTGTGACAGTCAAGGCTTTGCCAAATCCCAAGGAGATGGTGGTATTTGCAAACCACGGAGATCCGACGAGGAAAGTTGTTTGTCCAACCATGGGATACAGTCCCAACATGTTCCATATCAACCAAGACTCCATAGCACCTGCATCGCTATTCCCAGGAAGACCACCTGGAGTGGGAGAATAGTAACTCTTCGCGATGAAACGACTATGTTTGACACTCAAATCCTGTCGGTTAATGTAATTGAACAGGTACGGTGTGGCAAAACTCGGCTGGTTCCCAGGGTTGATTATCGTGTTGTTGAAAGCCACTGAACGGCCAGATGTATTGATCCCAGGCTTGAAGCTCGTTTCGAGACGCGACAGAAATGTTCCAGGTCCGCCGCAAAGAGTGATGAGGCTACTCATATCATGATGAGCGTTGAGGCTGTATTCCCATGGTAAAGCCTGGTAGTACGCATCGGCCCAGTAACAACCTCCACAGCTCAACGGGTCCTGCTCGATGAAACCATCGATCGTGCGTGGTACTAGAAAGCCGGTAAAGTTCAGGGCAGTGGCATTTGGGTTCCAGTGGTTCTGCCACTGCCGACTCCGCGCCAAGTACTTGTCCAGATCATCCTGTTTCCCAAGCCCAGCTGCAACTTGGGCCAAAGAGAAGTCGTTGACAGCATACTCCACTGCTCGACTTACAGATCGGCCAAACTTGGTAGTAATGAAGCCGTGCTCAAGCCAGTCAGAAAGAGCTCCTCTACCCTCCTTTGTGGAAGAAGACATGTCTCGAGGGTCGTTGTTGGGAAGTGGGACTACTTCAGCATTTTGTACCATGGCTTCGTACGCTGTCGTCCAATTGATGACTCCTCGAACGCCTTTTACATAAGCATCTGCGAGGATGTTGTCTACGCTCGTCCCACCTTGAACGGCACCGTTGTAGTTTGATGACCTTGCGCCACCGGTGTAGCCCTCAAAACGAAAGATATCGATGAAGGACCTGAGGTATTCTTCTAGAAAATCAGGTTGTAATACGTGCCAAAGTGAGGTTGTACATCTGAAGAGATCCCCTGTACATCCATTAGGTTAGTTACTAAAAGTTTGCGACTGGTCTAAGAGAAACCCAAAGATATCAGGATGTTGAGTTCAAGGACGATTCTCAAGTACTTACACATTGTGAACGTATCGTCGAAGTACGGCTCGTCAGAAGACCACAGAGGGTTCTCACCTGTCCTGTTGGAGGGAATCAAGTGCATATGATATATGGAGCTGTAGAGCAATTGTAGATTCTCCACATTCGTCTCAGTTGTTGTTATTTTTGAAAGAACTTCTTCGTTCCAGACCTTCCGTGCATTGTCTCTGACTGACTCGATTGTCGCCCCATTTGGAATTTGTGAATTGACATTTTCACAAGCCTGTGAGCTAGATATGAAAGAGATGCCGACTCTAGACATTACAGATGTGGTGTTGAAAGTGAACACCGAGCCCACGCGAGTTTTTGATACAGCTTGAGGCGCAGTGCTATAATCAGCAATGATAGTTTCGTCATCATCTTGCGCAACGAACGTTGTCGCGGCCATTGGCTGGTCGAAATATCCACAGAAATATATCTTCCAGTCTGGTGCTCTATTCCATCCATTGTCGTAGACGCCATATCCTTCATAATGATCCTCCAAAGTAGTAATGTTGCCACCGCGATAATTTTGTGAAAGACCTTGTCCTCTGAATGATGGGAGGACATGTGATACGTCCACAATAACGTTCGGCGTATTTTCAGGGGGAAACGTGTATTGGTAAATCCCTGCGCGGCTTGTAGCACTGAGCTCGACCGTGATATTGGAGCCTAATGAAGCTTTGAAATATCCTAGGGAGGTAATGTCGGGAGCCGATCTGATGGCATGTAAGTTTGCCAAAGGGTTAGGAATGTCGCCTAGCACAGGCAATTGTGAGACAACTCCATACTTTGGAGCTCCACCAGTTCCACTCTCGTGCATCATCGAGAATCCAGTGAAGTTTCCCCATGGCGAGTTTCCAGAATAATTGTCAACCCCCGAAAACACGTCCGCACCTAATTTCACCATGCCAAATGGCAAGGCAACACCATCGAAAGTGTTACCACCGTTGATGGAGCCAGTCTGGCAAGTTAACTGATGATGGCAATCGCAGGACGTGCAACATACCGATGGAAGGACATAGTCCGAAAGTTCTGCCGACTGTGCTCTTACAAAAGCCATGGCTATGAAACCATACGGCACGAGTGTATCCTTCCAGCTCAGACGCGACCACATTGAGATGTTTAAGATATATTTAAGCCTCAGATGGCTTTTATCTGAGCTGCTAGTAGCGAGAATACTCGGATGTTTTCCATATACCAGAGTGATACGTTCCTTCAGATGAGCCACAAGTGATGGAATATTTGAAGCTCATCATGGGGACGACGAGGGAATCTTTCAGACCAAATTCCTTGGCCTCTGGTCAACAAAAATAGCAGCGCGATGCGAAAGAAGGAAGACACGGCCTCAGGGAAAGACGCGTCTTGCTGAATAAAGGATTGTGGCAGGGAATCGCTCGAGACACGATTGATACTTGCCAGGAACTGAAGCAAGAAAAGGAATGGGAAAAATGCGCTTGGGAGAAGCGCAAATACCTATGATGAAGGTCCGGTTCATAAATCGTATTGCACCACAAGGCAGTGGCCCCAAGATCTAAGCCATCCCATGAGATGCCCTAGAATCTTGGGGGCGCTGGTTGGCAGTCTTGTTAGTCCTACAGCGCCTCAATTGCTCACCAGCTCATTGTTGGGTGAGGTGAGTTCTTGCATTGCTGAAAGCCACGCTCCATTGAGATGAGCCAAGAGCTGAGTATAATAGCAGGGTCAAGGCAAGAAAAGGTCCAGTCTGCGCTGTTTCTTGGCCGGCGTGGCATCTTGGTAGGCTAGCAAGTTTGCTGGGCTCAATATGACGTCTAAAATCCGAGATCTTTGAAGTGCCGTTGCGTCCCGGGTTTTTGGAACAGGGGAGATGGGGCAAAGAAGCTTACCCCATGGAGATTTAATCTTAGCGAGCTGTTGTTTAATGACCCGAGGAGTTGGACTTCCATCTCACATCCATGACCTCAATCTAGACGGTCACCCAGGGACCGCCTCGATGGGCGAATATTTTCAGTGACATTCTTCGTTATGTTCCCAAACTACTTCCAGACGAAGAAATCGATCTTCCGTTCAGGCGCATCTCTCCAAGTTTTGGTGTTGCGACACTTAGTGGCTAGTCTCTGGTTAGCATGTCTTGGAATTCTTGTTACTGCTCAGCCCAGCTCTTTGCAATAATCTAGTGGCAAGCCTTCTAATTCTGGAACATCTTGGGCCACGTATCACCGAGTGATTGTTCATCACAGGACTTGCCACGAGACTCAGCAATACTTCGCCATTTTGCCACGTATTTCTCACGAAGATCCATCTCTCAAGCTTCCTTCTTTGGGGGTCAAGACTGCCTGAAGAATTCTGTAACGAATTGAGCACAGAAATTTGTTCTACACGTGAGTCAGTTTTGTTCTTCATAAGCCTAATAAGTTTTTTTGAAAATGTGGTTGAAAACATTTGTACCTACTCCTCTGCGCGTTTTGCTTTTATTGATTTCATTGCTCACCGGCCAGTCTTGGGCAGCGTCGTAGGGAGATGACGCCGGACCACAGTATTCTCCAAAGCTCTGGAACTAAAATCTTGCCCTCCACCCCTCCCCGATAATTTGGCAGTGCGGAAGATCAAAGTCGTCAATATGTTCCCTTAAAGCTGGTGGAAGTGGTTTTCCGACATGTTGTCTCTTGAGAGGTTCGCCGCTCATTTTAGCGAGGCGAGCTCCTGAGGCCAACTCGCCTCCAGTACTGGTCTAGACCGTTACACTCCTTAAGAAACAACTGGCTCAACGAGCTCTGGAATGTGGACGTGATTCAGCTTCAAACATCCAGATCTCCGTATGCCTATGACCGGCTTTGGCCTGGAGGCTGGGAGGCTGGAAAAAGCCTCGGCAACGATCGTACGAGTCACGTGCGGTATCAGATTGGGCGGCCGCGGGCTCTGGAACACTGCACGACCATTACGAAGTTACCCCATCATGAACCACACCGCACCTCAAAGAAGCGTTCATCTCGACCCTTTCAACAGTTCAACTACGCTTCAAGTCCGGCGCTGAGACTCGATAGTATGTACCTATAGGTAATATCATTGGGCGGCAAGACGTGATATCAGGTGTGGCCAGGAACAGCATCCAGCCACTGGTTCCGCCTGTTCGGCCACACCATAAGCGCCCTCCTCTCTAGCGGCCATGGACGTCGAATCAAGTTGCACAAACGGCTTCTGATGGAGGATTAAGGACAGGCCAAGCATCGCCATCCTCACTCATGGGCCTCTCGCTGCATTGCATACCCGCTGTCAAGAGACACCAGCATCATGTCGTTCATACCGATTGGTACAATTTATTTGCACCTGGGGTGCGCGCGTCGACAGATGTGCTGCCCTCGCATGTCTTCCAGACCCCTCATGACATTGCGTGAACGAATGGCAGCTCCCATTTGTACCTCTCGTCCCCCATTCCTGCCCTCCCCTTTTCTCCAATGAAGAACTTTGTTCCTGGAGCTTCTTCATACCTTCTCCATCCCTTCTTTTGACGCTTTCTGGTGTGCATGTTCGGAATGAAGTCGTGGCCATGAAACTTTTGACAGGGTATCTAGATGATGCCTACAGTAGCTGGCTATCGGCTTCCGTCAACTGCTGTTCGCCTTTGAGGGAAGAAGCGCCTAGGCGTGGTGAGTGAAGTCCTGAAGCCTCCTGCATGTGTGTTTCTCTAACCGTGTTAGCTGTTGAAAAGCCGATGAGAATCGAACATCATCAACCACGCTTGATTCCTCCGCCAATTCCAGAACCTCAAGAAAGACCATCAACCAGAGGAAGAGAGTGGGCGACTCGGACGAGAAGCTTTGCATCCCGCGCATCTAGTCGCGGAAGCTTCTCTGTGAGAAGAAAATTAAACGCTTATAATGGACCGCGCCGGCCGCGAATAGGACACCCTTCGAACTTTCAGCATCTGGAGAATGCTACCACGAGGAGAGCTCCTGGACAGGAGAGGTTCCGACCCTTAGAGTTGAGTATTTACATGCCAGAAAATCAGCTTTCTCCAATACTGCCACACTTTGGCAACATCGATGATCTCTCATTTCCATCTCGATACTCGAAAGAGTTGCCATTTCCACCTACTGCTCTTGTCCATTCGCGGAGTGAAAGCTCAATTTCGTTCCGGATCCCCCGGAAGCCTGTTCGATCTGGTTCTGGTACGTCGTCAGAATGGTGTGCACAGTTTAAAGGTCGGCCAGGATCTTTGAGTGCACAGGAGTTACTGTCTGCATTAGAGACTCAGCTTCCGCAGTCTCCACCACCAGCACGTCTTCGGGCCAAAACAGGACCTCCTGCATATGAGCGAGTAAAATCCGCTTTACATGAGAAGTACGAGCTGGAACAACGCTTGAAAGATATTGAAGAAATCATCGAGGAGCGAAAGAGTGTCTATTTTAATAGCCGGCCCACCAGTCGACTTACAAGTCGACCAGACAGCATTTACTCCGACTCGCAAGGTAAGATATGATCCCTGATGTCTTGGAGGTCCCCATTCTGATTTAATCTTTACAGAACCGATGCCAGCTCCAAGTCTCCTAGCACCATTCAACCCATTGCCAGTCACGCCACCAGCTGCCCCGTCGTTTGCGGAACGTGTCTCTTCTCCTCTCGGACAACGCCCTATGACTGCCCCATCCAAAACAGTTCACATCCCTTCACGCCTGGTACCATTTACAGAAGCTTCAGCTACTTTTACAATTCAGTCACTCGCATCGTCGCAACAACAATCTGCTTTACCACCACCTCCGCCACTACCTCTCGTTCTTCAGGCACCTCACCCACCTCTCAGAAAGAAGAAGTCTTTCTCGCGCGTCTCAAACTGGCTATTCCCAGCTTCTGGAGAGCACTCACGAAATATCTCTCTCGACTCAGTAACCAATACGCCAAAACCAGTAACGAGCAGAGAGGGCTTCTACCAATGTGTTGACCTCAGACCCACTACACAGCACACGCGTACCAGCTCCCTTAGCACTGTTAGTACGCTTGAAAGTGAATTAGATGAGCCTAGACTTCCGACAACATGGTCACCGAATTCGACTCCCGGTAGCGAACACCGCAAACAGCAGCAAGTTACCATTAGAGAGCTTTCAATGGACTCGGACAGGAACGACAAGAGCATTGAGCTTACGAGGGTGAGAACTTTTGGAGAGAAGACTCTAGGCCATGATGATTGCTGGAGGATGGATCCTATGCCTGGTTACGTCCCGGGGCGAAACAGTGTTGGCGTTGCATTTTAATTGATACCATGTCAGATAGGGCGTTTGTAAGGACTGGTTGGCCAGTGGATTTGATACTAATGTTCAATGTGAGAGGATAATTATACCCATTAGGAAACTTGGTCTCGGAATGGCTGTATTCACGTCTTGTATTTGGTCGAAATGAGACGGGGAGATCTTCTTTCTGAAGATAAAGCTACTGTAGTCAGCTGCATCTAAGACAGCTCCGAATCCCATAATATTTCTCAGGTCTGATTTGCTCGAAGTATGAGATGCTTATTATCCTGTGTAGTATCATCTCTCCAATAAATGAAGATGATCACAGTAAAAGGTTTTTGCTATACCAGGTGGGAAGTCGTGAATGTGAAAAAGACAGGGAGCATTCAGAGGCCCACTAAAGTTGAAGAATTCAGAGCTGTAGATTCTCGAGATTCTGCGAATGTTTCTGTTTTCGATCTTCAATCTTATCGACTATTGATTTGAGACAATAATGAATAGCCCTTTCAGTTCTTAGTGCTCAGATTTGATGGTGATCGGCGAGTAAGTGTATGTGAAGCTGAAGCTTTTCATTGAACAGAGTACTGAACGTCTCTATGTTGGACTGCAGTTATTTCCCCAGCAATTCATCTATCATTTTACCGTCAGCAAATTACTCCCGGGTACAGCGAAACGCGTGTGAATTGCTTGAGTCGTGCGGCCTGATTAAGTGTTGCATTGGGCCAGTCGGGACGAATTGCATGGGTCCGCCCGACCTCTGACGCGCGATGTTGAAAGACCGTGTTATCCCTAGAACCTGCCTATAAGTCGAACAAAATAACTACAACACATTCTCCTGAACACCATGCCAATAGAAAGGTAGATGATCCAACATGCCTAGGGATCGACCCGCAACAACGGGCTACGCTCGAATAGCCCAGGCCGAAGAATCGGACTCAGAAAATGATGATCTGGCAAACAGCTATGCCTCCCTCCAACCAGCAGGCGCACCACGCTTTGCATCCATCACACAACCCCGCGCCCATGGTGGCATGTACACAGATGGAGCGAACTCTCCGACTACCTCACGCAGACCTCGAAATCGGAGACGCATGCGGAGCAATTCCTCGGGCGTAGATATCAAGGCTATCAATGCAAGGCTGGAACGATGGGCGGATGAAATAGCTTCGAAGTTTAAGATCAATAAGGTCAAGGGCAAAACGGAAGAAGAAGAGAAGCTGGAGATACACCATTCTGTTTTTCAGGCTCCAGATGGCATACGGCCTGCGACGGCCGAAACACTGGCCTCCGATGCTGATAATGGGAGGATGACGAAAGCGGAGTTCGAGGAAGTCGTGGAGAGTGTTCGAATTGCCATTGAGCAGGGAATGCATCCCAAGATGATTACACAGGGTAGTTCCGGGAGCTACTTCGCGCGGAACAGTGATGGTAAGGTTGTTGGTGTCTTCAAGCCCAAGGACGAGGAACCATATGCGGCGGGCAATCCTAAATGGAACAAATGGATTCATAGGAATCTGTTTCCATGCTTCTTCGGCAGAGCGTGCCTTATTCCCAATCTCAGCTACGTCTCCGAAGCTGCTGCATATACACTGGACTGCCGGCTGCGGACGAATCTCGTCCCTTACACAGACATTGTACATCTCTCCTCGAAATCATTCCATTACGACTTTTGGGATCGGCGGAATTTCTACAGAAAGAAGAAGGCATTTCCGCCGAAGGTTGGCAGTTTTCAGGTATTCTTGAAGGGTTTCAAGGATGCGAATATTTTCTTGCGAGAGAATCCCTGGCCGGATCATCTCAGTGCAGGCTACAGACCTTCAGATGCTCCAAGGAGAAAGAACAAAGCATGGAGAGAGACTTGTAGACCTAATGGCGCTAGGTCAGACGACGAAGATGATGAAACAGAGAACAACCCTACACCTCCTTTAGATGGACAGAATAGACGTTTCATTTGGACAGACACACTTCAACAGTCTTTTAGGGAAGAGCTCGAGAAGTTAGTCATTTTGGATTACATTATGCGGAACACGGATAGAGGATTAGACAACTGGATGATAAAGGTGGATTGGGAGACCCAGGATGTCTCTATTGTGTCCGAGCCTGTTCAGATGAATCCTCGGGAGGAGGAGCGTTCACCGCGATTGGTATCGGCGGACAATTTGGGGGCTCATCCATATCGTGTTCAGCAGCCCATGGAAGCTACTAGCAGATCTGCAACTCCTTCGAAGGTTGGCGGCCCAACAATGTCCATTGGCGCCATTGATAACAGTCTTTCCTGGCCGTGGAAACATCCAGATGCGTGGAGAAGTTTTCCATTTGGTTGGCTCTTCTTGCCAGTATCACTTATTGGCCAGCCGTTCTCTCAGAAGACTAGGGATCACTTCCTACCACTTTTGACCTCCAAACAATGGTGGAGCGAGACTCAACTAGAACTGAGGAAAGTCTTCAGTCAGGATGCCGACTTCCAAGAGAGGATGTTCGCGAGGCAAATTGCAGTCATGAAAGGGCAAGCATGGAATGTTGTCGAAACCCTCAAACTGGCTGATCATGGACCCCTTGAGTTGACCAGGAGAGCTCGTGTCTGTGTCTGGGATGACCTTGTGGATATCCCAGTTGCAGTACCCCTGCGTGTCCCGTCTGCAGAAATGCGGAGGAGACATGATCTGGGGCTGAACAAAGATCTCCACGAGACTGAAGAGATGGATATCAGCGCAGCCAACTCCTCAGCACCACCACCTGCCGACCTACTTGGCCTCGGTCTTGCAAGTCCATCGACAGAGCTGCCAAATCCCAATCGTTTCAGTCTCTCAAGTCCGAGAGCAAGCCAGGAGATCTCATCACCTCCAGCTGCAGATTCTACCATTCAAGCAGATAGCCGTAAGAACAGTCAGGTCAAATTCTCAGACCGTCCAATATACAACCATTCTCGAGCCCGGATGAGCTACGATGGACCACCGAGATCACCAGTCGCCACCCGGGAGAGACGATTTTCTTTCACCAACCGTAGCCGAAGAGGACCGGTGTTGTACGATGACGATCTGGAAGGCGATCTGGGGTATGCGGCTGCAGAAGGAATGGAAGGCAATCAGCGGAAGGTTATTGTAGAGCGGCTGGAGACCGTGAAGAGTAAAAACCCGGTGTTTACATGGTGTTAGATGAAAAGAGAGTAAATTGGTTCAGTTGTATCATAACAAAGAATAGGGTTGGGAGTACATGAGGCGAGGCGTTGGTTGATGCGTGTTGCATACGGCTCTAGATACTCAGCATGCATGTATAATTGAATTGGGTGTTTCGGTTTTCTTTCAAGGCATTTGTTGTCTGCTTGTAAGACCTCCTGCAGTTACTGGAGAGATGGTCAGTCTCTCAAGTCCAAGACCTGATCATTTTACCCAAACTGATGTCGACTCTTCCAGCCCCAAGTCGTACAACACGGATGCGAGGTCTTCAATTGACAAAGACAATTTGCCCACGTTCAAGGAAGTCAAGCTTCGAAAATACGATACGCGTGCGAGTATATGAGACAAGCCCGTACTCCTTCTTCCCTCTCTCACGACCGATCATCTAGTAGCTAGCTAGCTGATATCACAATGTCCTACGATTCAACTCACTCGTCACGAATGGTAGACATACCTTCCATGGTGTCTGCTAAATTTTTCTGTTCTGTTGCAATTCTTACAAAGCAGTATCCGAGATACATCTGCAGCGCGCCAACCTGCACTTTGCCACCTGTGAGTCGAGTGTGAATGACGGAGTTCCGCTCAGAGGTGTGGATGGGCTACTGTGAAAAGGACGAAGAGGCTTCATGGCAGGGTGGCAAGATCGAGCCTTGAGTAGGTCTGTTGGCACGGCAACTTACCTTCTTTCTGTTTGCACAGGAATTCCCAGCTTCTTGAGATTCTTGATTCGATACTTCGTGACCAGGCACAAGAAGAAAGACAACCTGCGCTTCACATCACTGCTTCTCTTTGCTGCTCCTATCACTACTTGTCAACGTTACCGAGGACTATTTACAACGTGGCAAACTCGCAAGGCTCGGTCTCGACTTGCACTTAAAGACAATTCTCGGTGTTTGAAAGCCAAGACGAACTTAAGTACCATTGTCCAGGTTTCATTTCGCCTTTCCCGTCTTCTTCGTCCTCTCTAGGTGAAATGCCCCGCCGTTCACCTCACGCAACACAACGCCTTCTGGGATTCTCCTGTAGGTAGCTCGCCAAGAGACAAGCCAAGATACCTACTAATGCATCTCCTACCTCGCCTCTCGCCTCTCGCATCTCACGCACTGGTATTCGTTCACCTAAGCGCCTGTGACTGGGATTGGCTTGTGTATCTACTTACTTCCGGCCGTAAGTATCCATGAAAATCACGCAGTCCTTGTACATTATCTAGGAAACAGACGATAAGGGGGGGGGAGCGGGGCTTGAATAGAGAATCTCTGCAGTGTCGATCTTTTGCCGCGCTCTTGTTTCATTCACACGACGACTGGAAATCCGGAAGGTTATTGGGAGAAAATACGATACCCGATATCCCGGGCGACTTCTTCTGGGACGTCAAAAGCAAATACCTTGCCCGTACGCACGAGGCGAGGACGATGGGAGTTGCGGGTCTATGCATAGGATGATATTAAAGATCTTGGAGTTTTTTCCGGTGAGTAAGGTACGTAGAAATCCATGAAGATATGAGACAAGACATCTAGAATTCTGGGCTAGATGGCTGTGCAAAATACCTGTGAAGATATTGTACCTAATTTGGCTGGTCGACGAAGTCCCATTTAAGTGATGAGATGACATGACTCAGGTCAGAATGCTGTGTCCAAATCTGGGGACTGGCGAGACCCCAGACGGGGAGGAGGAAACTGGATATGACCTTTTCGGCAGTTAGTTGTTCATTTTAAAAATCCAGTTTAACATGTTGTTTGACGTTATAGAGGTCAAGTAGGAAGATATCAAACGTTCCAGTAATTGGCGAAGCTAGACTAGTTGAAGTCTACAACTTCGTTCCTTGGCGTATGGAATGTTCATCCCATCTAGGGTTCACTACTCTGAAGTAACAATCCATTCCTTTTTATACTTTCGCGTTCGGCTTCTAGTGGGGGACTGGCATATTGTTGCCTCCTTTAAGACTGGTGTGGCACAATGCTAGATTGGAATCCTAATTTGAGGAACACTTTGAGAGGTATGTAGCTAAGTTGTCATTCAAAAAAAAAACAAAGGAAGCGCAACGCTAACCTGTCACCGTTAGCCATTTTACGAACAAGCAGTACCTAGTAGAAAGTCACCGAGATACAAGTCGCAGTTCTGCATTTCCAAAATCCCATTGGAGGCAGGGTCATGCAGCATTGCATCAGTATTCATGGACATTTACGTGAAATTCCAGTGCAAAAACTGAGCGTGCCCTGGCTATGCTGCTCCTGTAGGAGACGAGAGGAGCTCCGTATTCTCTCCCTCACTTCTTTCGCGCTCTAGACCAGACATCCATCTACCTGCATCTGTGTGTGGTTCGGAGATACGACAAGTAGCGTACCCAATCCCGCAACCAAGGACCACGAAGCACGAGTTGAATTCCATAAACTTATGTCCGGATGTACTCCGCCGAACTGCGTGTGGGTGTGGCCATGGGCCATGGTTGTAGCGGAGCGCGGGCGGATTCCATCACGACCCCGCCACACTCACGCTACCTTACATACCTTACAACTCTGTTACTGTAACTCCGTACAGACCTTGTTGTGGGCAGGGCGCGCGCGCAGCATCGAACCAGGGACGTTCGGATGCCTCGCACAGCAAGCATGCATGCGTGTGATTCCAGTCAGAAGGTCTTCAAATTCGTGTTCACTGACGTACAAGGCGCTCCCCTTGTTGCGATTGTAAATGCATGCCAAATACACTGATAGGCAGGCGACGATCACTTCTCTGGTGTCAGGAACACTCAGGATCCCAAAGCACGAGGGGAGGTAACTTTCCTCCGCCCTGGATGTGACGAGTAGACGAGAACCTTTGTGCGCGGTGCTCGGAGGATAAAGAATTGCGGATTCGCGTCGGTCGGGGTCTTGGGTGCTGGTGACGCAAGTTAACCCCCCTGAGCCAGAGAACGCGACGGAAGGCAAGGCTGCGACTTGCTTCCTACCTTAGCATGGGCGACCAGGCTGTCAACAGGGCTCCAGCTTCCCAGCGAGTGCCGGAAAGGCTGGAGATGGTTGCGGGATTTGTGGAAGTTTTAACTTTTTTAATTCTCATGTTTGGGTTTTGTGTTTCATCACGATAATGGTTGCGATAGTACGGACTCGGGGAGAGAAGATTTGGTAGTATTCAATTTTTTGGATTCGTTCCACCACCGCGATTCAGTAAAGTACCGGAAGTAACTGCTAGAAGACGAGTGTGTCCACCCCAGGCTCAATGCGGGGGTATGTACAGTTACCACAAAGAGGGAACAAAAAACACAAGAACGTAGTAGTAGCAAAAAAAAGATGTCCCAAACACCAGACGGCCATGCTTTCCAATTCCTTTTCTTCAATATCCAGTTCATATCCAATCTCAATCATCAAGTCCCATCCTCTAGAATGAGTGTCGAGCGCTTCGAACTCTGTTTGTGGTATCCTTCTGCCCCAAATAAGAAAATGTCATTATTTGTTTTTCCCTTCCGAACCCTCATATCTGGGACAGGAGTCGTGGGGACGGAGGCATCGAGAGAGGGGTTGAGGGGTAGTTGTATCCTGACTCGGAACAGGTTGTTGAATGCTCGTAGGAATGAGAAAGAGGGGGTGTCTGCAGCTGTTTTGTTAGCACTGATACATGTTCCCGATGTGCTCTGAAGCTACTTACATGAGGATTTGAGTCTTCGTAGCTGTATTGTCCTTGGATATCAATGGCTGGGAGACCTTGATAGGTCATATTGAATGGGCTCATTGTGTCGTCTTCGCGCTTGATAGCTTCGTGGAAATGCATCATGGAGGGAAGAGTGACTGGAACTGGTGCGGGGTAATCCGAGTATTCCGAAGTTGAAACTGGGCGGTATGGCTGTGATTGCGGGTATGGCGGATAGACGATCTCTTCTGGTGCTGGATATGAATGGTATGCGAAAAGAGGAGGTGTTCTGGATCCCTCGCGCTCAAAGCCATGAGAAAACATGAGGTTGTCCTCCATTGGTGGGGTGTACTGATTGTGCAAAAGTCTGGGAGATGGCTGGCGTTGCATGATTTCTGGGCTTCTCCTGTACTGTTGCTGGACGTTCTTCTCAACTCGTTGGTGCTGTTGCTGTTGTTGGAGCTCAGCGTGGATCTGAGGAGGCGAGGCTGAAGAAGATCCGGCGCGTCTCTCGAGGTCTTCGAGACGTCTCTTTAGCTTCTTGCCTGAAAGTAAGTCAGTTACAGCTCTAGCAAAGAAGTATCTTGGAAGTGCTCACGATAGTTGCGCTGAGCAATTCTGTTTTGGATTCTCCTCCGCTCGGCCAAGTCGGAGATCTTAGTCCAGTCTTCATCTGGGTTTGCTGAACTGCTGAAAGCACTGCTTGTGCCGTGGCCAGTGATATGCCTCGTCGCCGGAGCGGTCGAGTATGAGTATGCTTGTCTGGACATGGTGGAGATGTTTGTTGACTTTGGTCAACTCTGGTTGCTTTTGTATAAGATACAAAGTGTAAGAGAAGTCAAGTCTTCGAGAAGTATGGACGTATGTTGCACAGTTGAACGAAGACTTGTTTGACTGTAGGGCTGGATTCAAGGCGTCTCAATTGGGGGTTCCTCCTCAAGTATATATGTGAATGCGGCACCACACATCCTCCGCCGCAGGCATACGGACTTTACCACAGCCATGTCCTGCTAATCCCTACACGGTCCAGCTCAGCTCCAACCGGGGACAGGGACCCGGGCATGGTGATGGACAGGGAAGACCAGGGGGAGCAACAGGGCTGGCACTCTGGCAAGGAGGTGTGGCAGCCCCGGCCGCCTTCGACCGTTGCGTTGCGTTGCGTTGCATCTCTCTCTCTGATGCTCTGCTCTGCTCTGATGCATCCCTGATGCTTCCCTGCCTGCATGCAAGCCATGCTGCCGGGGCCGACTTTCTGCAAGAGCCGGGGGCACTGCAGCCACTGCGTCCCAGGCTCCTTAGGGCCTAGCTCGTAAATTCACTGCACCTTTGACCCGTTCGACGAGCGGGTTTCTATTGTTGGCTAATTAGCAGCATTTAAGAATAGACGGGCCTTTCCCCTTAGCCCGTCTGCTCGTAAGGCGGCACCAATTGCTGTCATAGGCACTGGAAGCGATTTCACCACCTATTCCCATTCCCAGCGCAGCGCTTCAAATAGAACCGCGCTACTCCAGCGAATCCAGATAGGCTATGCGGGAAGCCCTATGACAGCCAAGCTTTTTCGACAGAATGGCCGTTAATTATTAATGGCAGCAGGAGGAGGAGAGAGGAGTGGTGGAGGAGCAATGTGGCGGGAGCCTCTAGCTGTTCCAGAGAGGCATACACCACGTATTCTACGTACAATACACTCCTCTGATGACGCTGGTGCTCTGATGAGTCGACGCTGGACGTTGCAACTCAGCATAGTACAGTAGTGGGCAACCTAACCTCCCTTGATGTCTTGCGGAAATGGCTTCTCGGGATGGCGCCGCCAATCACACTAATTGAGGCATCAAAATCGTCTAATGCCGGATATACAGTTAAGTTAGAACAGATACAGGGCCCAGGGCTCATCACTCGCTCCTGGTCCCATCTCGCATCTCGCACCTCCAGCCCAGCAATACCAAATCATCACTGCAAGGACCCTCTGTAGGGGATGGAAATGGGGATGTGCTGTTCTGCTTTGGGAGTTACACCCTGATCGTCATCGGACGGTGGAGCAATCACAGGCCTCGCCGCAGTGCGAGCGCGACAGGTTTGGAGATCCTTGGGGATCCTGAAAGCTCAAAATGGGGTTGAGAAAGAGATTTGAGTTTCGCTTCCGCTTCAACAGGCTGGAATTACGACGAGCTCCACAGCTCGGAAAGTGGAGGCAGAGAGTGGATTGAAAGAGGCTCATGTCCATCGTCTGCTTTGGTGAGTGATCCTGCACGAGATCACTCACTCACTCCTTTATCGAGTACAGTAACCATCATTTAGTGATTCGGGTACTAGAGTATGGTATGGTAAATTTACCTAAGGCATTGTATGGCCCCATGGATTGCCTTCCGGATACTTAGCGGGTTGGGTGGTGAGTGAAGGTAAGGTAAGGTAAGGTAAGGTAAGGGTAGGTAGTGAAATGGAGGAGCAAGTGAAAAGGCTTGGCTGCACAGAACCTGGAAAAGGGGCCCCGCACTGGAGCTTTGAGCACGACCGTGCCAATGAGAAGACAGGATACACCAGAGGGGCCATTGTTTTCCTAATTTGACCTCAACTCGGTGTCAAATCTAGACTGACTGCAAGAATCTCCGCTGTTGCTTTAGCTGCAATATCGCAAGTCACATTCTAACGCAACAATTTACGGAGCACAAGAAAGATGGCCAATCTAATTATTAATCGGAGTCATGTCGTGCTGTGGAGGCTGCAAGAATGGGCGGGGGAGAGCCTCGCTATGCTCGCTTGGTAGTTGAGGGTGTACGGAATTTGATGCTTGATAATTACAAATTCTACAGTCGAAGGTTGAAGATTACAACTTATAGATCATTGATGGCGACAATATCAAAGCACACAGCATGCACCAGCATCCCAGATGAGTGAACGGCAAGCAGCGATTCAACCTGGCAGTCTTGCCGTCCCGAAGCCAGGGACTTTACAGGTGTTCGCTTCTCGTTATTCACAGTTGGTCTTCGCCGTCTCGTTCTTCTCCCTGGGTAATGGGTATCAATCTACAAGGTGAACCCACTGTACCCAGCCTCTCCACGATCAAGCGCACAGAGGTCACAGGCTGTGAGGTAGCATTCTTCAGGTACCTTAGGTACCGTCCCTGGTCTCTTGCCTCTTGCCTCTTGCCTCTTGCCTCTTGCCTCTTGCCTGTGCTCGCACTCTAAACCCACGTGCTTTGTAATAATTTTATTTTGGGGGATCCGCTTGCTAATCGCTAGACTCCTGGGCGGACAGGGATGGCATCAGGCATCTCCCCAAGGACCAAAGACCAAGGACCACCATCCGTCTGCAACCCATCTGCACGATTTCGCGAGCGAACCCACTCAAGAGCTTCACCGCGATCTTGACCCTGCAGGACGTACGAACAAGGTATTCTGACCACTCACAGCGAGTCTGTCGTATTTTAGATCGGGTGTGACATCTGAGCGTGCGGTGAGGACCTCGTGGAGGGTCGGGCATGGCGACGACAGGTTCCCCTCTCCTCCACGTCTCCTCGAGCTTCATTTACACCACCACGATCACGGCCCGAATAGCAACCACGCGCATGGCATGGCACCAGCCAGGCAGCATTGGCACCGCTGCATGAGCTTCGATCGAAATTGTTACCACCCACGATACTCAGCCCTACCCGGTGTCTTGTGTTCCCGCAAAGGGTGCGGAACATCATCATCTGTTCCAAGAATTCGTCTTTGGGCATGTTCAGCTTCAGGGATCACGATTTCCCTTCTCCGTCGTTTGTCAGAACTCCGCACTTCGTACCACAGAAGCTTCATGCATCACAATGGAAGTTTCATGATTCTCGTTGGTGCTTCGTGGTGCCTCGCCAAGTCATGTCGATTCTGGATGGTCAATTAAGCCCAAAGGCTCTTTGTCGATCCCGTCGTGGGCAATGCGACGTGAGACTGCGCTTAAGGCTCTTGCGGTGAGCCAACTTTTCTCTCCATTGATGTGATGGTCGGCTATTGGGAACAATTGTCATCTCCCAGTGGGTTGGTAGAGCTAAAATCCGATTGTACTCTTGGGACTTGGGCGAGTGTTTGCCCCTGAGCGTCAGCCCATCACGTTCAATTACCCGCTTAAATTTGTCATGTCCTTTGAATAGCATCACGTATCTTCTCAAAGCATGCTCTACGAGTATGTTTCTAACGCATGATCGCTACTACCGGCTCTCGCCACGCCATTCTTAGCAACAGACGAGAAGGATTGAAGTACTTCGAGGCAGCGGAGGAGACCTCATTCCTTATCGACCTCTTCATGTCAAGCAGAGCTCATCTGTGCCTGGCGTTGTTCCTTGTGGTGATTGATACTAGTCTTCATGGCCTATCAAATGCTCCAGAGGCATGTATCTCTCTTTGATCTGGAACGAACAGCTTGCCCCCGCCAGCACCAAGCTTCAGCCATGACAGCTAGAAGACCCCATCACGCAATCACAGCTTTCAGGACCAGTCCAGCTCTCCACGGAGAATAAACCGCCCATCCGCCACTACACTGCAACCTGCAGCCCAGGGCCAGATTAGGTCCAGCCCAAGAACGGATAGTAATGCAGATGTGTTGAATTCTCAACGGTTCAGAAGTTTCATTTCATGCCCAGGACGAGGAGCGGAAATTGCAGAAACTTTTCTTCAATATCACAATGGCGGATCAGACGCTGATTCATCTTACGAGCCGACAGGTGGGTATGAGGTTCTATGACATCCTACTGAAGATGGCTTGGCGCCCCTTTATCACACTTGACACGACACGACTGGCACCCAGCGCCCAGGTTCAGCGAATGCTCTTTCCGCCTACCTCCCGCCCGTACATTCTACAGGGCACCTCCCCCATGCCCTTCCTGTCGCCCACTCATCCTTGTTTTGAGGACTCCCTTTCGATGCGTTGTTTTGTGCCGCTCGGGTTCGGGTCCTCAGCTTCCTGTAATAATGAAGCAAGAGTAGAAGTGTCTATCACAGACTTTCTTTGTCTCTTTTCTGAGCACCTTGCTTAACACTTGGGCTTGTTCATGTCCAGTCTGGTCCCAGTCATGTCATGTCTTGTCAGGGGCAGATAAGGTGCTGACGACCCCCGCTCTGACGGCTGTGTTCCAAGAACATAGCTGTGGGTCTGTGAAGGGCTGAGTGCCTGGATGCTGAATGGCCTTCGCTTACGAGGTTAGTTGATGGCTCACGCAGGCGCTTGCTACGTCTGCCAGATTGTTGTTTTGCAGCTTAAGCGCCATGAAGCTGAACAAAGACTCACATGGAGTACGCAATGTACGTACATCGGACTGAGGGCTTTTTAAAGTTCTTCAAGCGATTCACACAGGTGTTGAGGACGGAAATACTCAAATGATGAAGTCATTGTCCGGCAAAACCTGTTCACTCGAAGACTTTGACGTCCAAGGGGAAGTCAAGGTCATAAAGATCTCGTTTGATAGGAGAAATTGTCCGAGGGTGATGAGATCACTGCACCTCCCACTTTTGGGTCCAGGACCCTAAAGGAACATTTTTGCCAAAAGTGTGTTTACTATTCGATCTTCCACGGGCATGTTCAACCGACGGAACAAATTTCGCGCGGATAGATTCAGTCAGTGCTGAGACATGAATCAGATCACAAAACGTTGGACTTGCAGCTCACAGAAGTCCTCATAACGACCTTCCATTCGTTCTTCGCCTTCCTATCACATTTTCCAGAGCGTTAGTGCCGGCCATATCGGTAAGGTGAAAGGAAGCATTTTCAGGCATTGCATGGGTTACTAAATGCTGGTGCCCAGAGATCTCTAAACGACAGCCTCGTTGCCATTGGACACCTCGATACCTCCTAACATGACCCCTAAGATGGACGTATCTACAACTCAACGCACTGTACGCAAGTGGTGCCAGCACGTCAATGCACTAGAGATAGCTGATAGCTGGCGAGCTGTCTCAGCCCCAGAATGCTTGAAGATCACAACAAAGATTCTGATTGGTCCAAATCACGAGAGATATTAGTACCAAATTTTCCAGGCGTCGAAGTGAGGGCCGGGGCGACACAAGGGCTCGCTATGCCTGAGGCTCAGGCAGGAAGTATATTGTTCGAAAGAATTACAGCACGATGCGTCACCGGCCACAATGGTTGTATAGCAGTGTGGCTGTGAAGACATTCATTCACATGCAGCAAGCTCTCCACCTTGAATTTAGCCTCTCATTCTGCAGCATTGCTACATGTACGCAACGTGACAGCGGATATAGTGTTTTGGAGACTCACCGCCGCAAAATCGGCAGATTTCCAGAGTTCAGGCTCAACAGCCAGTGAAAGGCTGTCATCTCTGTGGTGTTGAAGGTCGGGACCTCCGCAATGGCGGGTGAATCATAAGGCTGAGATTCCAGGGGTGGCGCATCGATGGCTGCTGCAAGAAGAAGTTCGCTTAAGGTGATTGGCCGAGAAAACGACAAACGGAGTGGAACAGCACCAGGGATCTTTAGTGTGTCCGGCCGGGTATACACAGAAGTCGGCGTCTAATATGGGACCAGGATTTCTGCTTCAAACGCGCAGCTGGCACTCACCGCCGTGGATGATCTCGATGAGGTGGAAAACAGCACAGGGTAGTCTGCCGACCGGAAAAAAATAACCGTCTTGGTGCGATGGTGGAAAGTCCTCGCTGGCCACTTACCTCCCCAGATCCATTGAGACTTTCAATTTCGCGATCCGGTATCCCCAAGCAAGCACTGGCACCGGCGGTGATGGGCAAGGTTCCGGGGTACCGGGATCCCTGCCAGACGAGCGGATGGATCTGTGCTTCGGAAGCAATCGTCCAAAGCGGGCCTGTCTTTCTCGAATGGTGCGTGCAGGCTCTTTAGGCTAGCCCTTTATGGACAATTAACAGCAATTGCCAGCCACCATGCTTGCTTCAGCCCTACCTAGTTCCTATGCTTTGTGTGTGAGTGGTGGTCGGCCGCCCCTAACTATTTGCGGCTAGGAGCTCATGGTAAGGTTCTGACTACTATCGGTCGCTGGGGTTGGCCATCCTGCCTTTTGCTGGGCCTTAGCTAAGAACCTTAGGACAAGGCCAAGTACGTACGTACCTCGAGATCTGCGCCTCTCCATTTCACAAGGCTATCACTCTACTCGTCTGTCGTATTTTGGACCAATGACTTGCTCGAGGCTGTATCTTTTGCTGGGACCTATCAGGGTCCCAGTATCGCATTTGAAGAAAAACCGCCCCCACGATGATCTCTCTGTATTTCATTCCTCTACGGACCTAGCAGAAAACTTTATTTTCATATGCTCTGGTCCTAAGATCTTGAGCTCCGTAGTATAAGCTTAACTCCGCGGGTTTTGTGTCGATGTTCAATTTAGCGGTGGACTTCGCGGCGTTAAACCCCTCAATGCCGTTGCCCATCACCAGATTTTCCAGGTGGATCTTCGTCTGTTGTTCTCCCATGAACTCACTGAGTAGTCTCCATCATTATGTTCCACAGAGGGCACAGCGCCCGCAATTACTGGGTCCAGCAAAGCTCTCACCCACCCGAACCCGACGCATGATATTTCTCCTACGCCTCAGGCTAGTCAAATTGACCTCTTTCCTATCTCGACTACCCGAACCCGATCTTGGCTCCCGGTAGCTGGTTTCTTTTTTTGATTTAAAACATATAGAATTTCTCGGTGAATACTATTTCAAGTGGGCACGATCCAGGATCGTCGAACCTTGTCCTGGAAGCCTACCCTTTGTTGTGGATCCACGATCCCAAGTCGCAATGTCTCGAAGTCGCTAAGTCGCTACTCGTACTTGGCAGCCAATGAGAGCCTGCCACTCGAATGCTTCATTGCTCCCCTGACGACGATGGCTGGTGCCAATAATCGCACGTTTCTGCGCTGCTTGTAGACACTAGTATTCCTTGGAACTTCCATGGATCTGTCTGGCGGCACATTGTGCCACTTCAAGAAATCGGTAACAAGCCTCCGAATCCTGCTGCCACTTCAGACGGTCAGTCCCACCCTACAACAAAGAAAAAACAGATATTTTGATTTGGCGAGCCGTCACGAAATTACGACAATCGTAAGTGTCAAAGCTGGCTTGAATTTTGTTTCAACAGACTGCGCCCGCACTGCACTTCGGAAATGTGCTCAATCACAATCACTGCTTGCAATTGATGCGTTGAGATTCTTCCTTCGCTTCATTCCATTCTTCCGAATGGGGGATGCCACTTACTTGAACGATCCCACGTCGTGGCTTTACGCCTCCCAAGCCATCGTCGTGTGTTCAGGAGGTTGTTTCATGTTTTCATACGAACCGTTCTGCCTTTGTCCCTTCCAATGTGCCGGTCGTGTGTTTGTGCGCACCAGGGCCCAGGTCCCAGCCTCGCATTCCACGAGCCAGCCTTGCAGAGAAACCCTGAAATGGTGTCACGGTCCCCCTGGTCCTAGCATAGCATGGCCCTTCGCCCCCAATTCGCATTGCATACTCGGTTGGGGGGATGCAAGGTCGGATTCGAAAGACACCGACCGATGATGCGCTGTCTAGGGTCTCGACTGGATCAACACTACGAATCCTGCATTGGATGTCCCGTCAAGTGATTCGGACGTTCTGCGGCACAGCATGTAGTCGACGTCCTTCCTCAAGCTCTCGTCTCTACCGTACTTTTGTATCTGGGTATTTCAAGTCTTTGCTGCGGCCAGTCACACGTTGCGTGCAGATCTGCATACGAATTTACAGTGCATTCTTGGTGCCTCCTGTCGGTGTTCTCGCAGGCTGTTCCTTTGGCCCACTTTCTGGCTATGCTGTCGTCTACAGAGTAGGAAGTTTACGAAAGGGGCCCCATTGGGCCGAATTACAGGCTCTAAATGAGTTTGCAACTCGGGCACAATATTTCTGCAGGAGGACAGCTGTTTAAGTTTCAATGGGCCATCCTCCTGTGATACATATTGTATTCAGGCAAGAATACGGACGTACTTTGGAGGCCCAGCGTTTGATACTCGCCGAATTCGCATGCTGCACATGACTTCCTTCTTTTCATAATCAGGGCTCAACATGACTCGAGGCGCTCGATGCTGTATCTATTGCTGCAACCACTCAACTATTGCGCTTGGAAGAAAATACACTGACCCGCTTTCATTTCACGAGCAGACCAGTCTGGTTGCTCATCTCTGCATCGGTCAAAGATTCACAAACTTCTTGTCTTGCGTTCTCCATCTCAAATCTGGTAAGGAGCACTTTTGTATCTTCATCGGCACTTGGCCCTAATAATGCCTGTTCGACTCCAAGCTGCAAAGCACTACAGGAGACGATTAATCTGCCTTTATCCTCGCGTTCGCATTCGCCAGGCCCCTTACAGATTTCCAGCCAGCATTGGCCATCGGTATATGGGCGCTTATATCGCTTCAATGGCGGCAGGCCGGGAGTATTGAAGCCCAAATTCGATGCCGCATGAGACCCTTGTCAAAGTGCCATTCTGCCACGACCCGCAGAAAAGGGGACTCCACCAACAATCGAGATCGCTGCAGGTGAACATACCCTTGCGAATGCTGAACGCTGATTGGGTCTGTCGTATCAAAGGTCAAATCGCAAAATGGCGCAGCGCAGCCATGCCAGCAATCAAACGCTCCCCCAGATCTAAGATCTGCGACTGCGACTGCGTGTCTTTCTCGTCCTGGGAGGAGAAGGACAGGTTGCAGGCTGGCTGGCTTGTAGCCTGTTACGAGGACGGTTCTTTTGAATAAATGTTCTGGAGCGGCCACCACCTTGTAACTTTCCGCTCGTGGAGTCAGTCGTGCGTGATTCACAATAATGGAGGAGCTTCATGTGCAAGGGTGCGGACTCCGTGTCCGCAGTTCCAGGTTTGGCAGCCACCGCGGGAGACTAGGACTAGGACTTGAACTGGGAATCTGCAACAACGTTTCATTATCCCTTCATTCGGGAAGAGGAATTGATCCCGAGCGTTGATCGGGATTAGTGTTCCACGAGGACTAAACATCATGTGTTGTTGTCCTCTACCGAGCGTTCCGTCGGGAGCCGGAGTTCATGGTTATCCCGGATGGTTCGATGACCCGATGAGGTGTGCAGTACGGATTGATCTGAAATGCGAACTTCAGCACGACGGTTTGTAGATTGTGGTGGCAAAGTATTTGACGGAGGATGGGGACTCCGCTGGCACGGCTGTGTTGTTGTTCCGGATCACATTGGGGATGTGAGAGGCACAGGATCGAGGGCTTGCCAGCTCAGAAATTAGTCTTCCTGCTGTAGCTATTCCCAGATATCGAGTGTGCTGCGGATAGCTTGGCTTGGTTTCCCCTTGTAGCCAGTAGTCCAATCTTTTCTGTTGCAAAATAGCATTTGGGGCCATTTGGGGCATAGCAAGAAATGTTTGTACTCTGCAATCCGTCGGTATCAAGTGATGATCTCGTGGATTCAGTCGTTGAGAAGCTTCGAGGGCTGAGCGTCACGATAGAGTATGGATCCAAATCTGGCTCTTCCTCTTATTTATCTTGATTTCATTCCATCGTTCTATCTTTCTCTTTTTTGTAGAAGCGACGCTAAAGGGTATCGGCGGCCAATAGGCAGTAGTTGGGCGATGTCGAAAATGTGAAGGCGAGAGCAGTCAACGAGAGAATCCGATCGTTGTGCTCTTCGTCATTAGGAGGAAGCAAGTGACGAGATACTCCTCCGTTATTCTGAGTCGGCGATCGTTCTTTGGAGACATCGTAAATGCTCTGGGAATCTGCAAAATGAGTTGCTTGTCAGTCAATGTTTCTCAACGAATTATGCTAGACTTACATCTCTCTCTGCCTCTGCCTCCCACAAACACATCCCTAGCAAGAGCTCTTTCTGCTTCAGCGTAGCTTCTTTAAGTCTACGAATGACCCTACTAGTCCTCATCTTCCGAACTCTCGACTCACTCTTGCAGAATCATACCATCAATCTATCCCGAAGCCCTGCTCTCCAGATTAGCATCTCGAAATTCATTCCAACTCTCGTCAATTTGCTCCCCGTCAGCAGAAATATCAACGAAAGTACCACGTACCTCACACTCAAGCCCACTGCTTCATCAGCAGGTGCAAGTCCACTCTCCACACCTCTCAGCAGAGGCGACATCATCAACGGAATCCCGCTGCCTTCTGTTGTCAGTAGTCCTTGTACACTCCATCCACTCTCAACCGTCGCCACGAAAGATAGATGGCCAAGGTCCACAAGGTTTCCGAGATGTCTTTGAGAAGAAGTTCTCGGCGCTGATGACTAGAGTGGATAGAGCTTCAGGCGTCAGCTTATACCCGCCGGCGGGTGTTCAGCTCATGGGTTCGTGGCTCAGCTACTGAGTAAGCTCTGTTCAGCTCGAGAGAAATTTCCTCTGTGTATGGGGGATAGAGAGCTGGTGTATTGAATATGCTTTGAGGAATGGGGTCTGGTTTGATGAATTTGTGGTTTTGGTGGATTTGAGTGTTGTAAACAGGTAGGCGATAAGAGTTGAAGAATGTTGGCAGATAGAAATTCCTTTTCCAAGAGTAAGACTTGTGCTCGACCAGCAAGTACAGGCAGATTTCAGCTGGTAATTTGCGGGTTGCAGCAGTTTTGGTTGGATACAGGCTCTCGATGGTTCACTATTCGGAGTTTTTCACTGCACTTCCACCCAAACAGCTTCGAGGCTCACCTCGCTCATGTCTCCAAAGAGTGTTTAATTCGTTCTGCGAGACCTTCAGCAGCGACAAACATCGCTACCTCAAGAGAGTCCAGTGAGCCATGATACTCGAACAGTGTGCATGTGTATGCCCGTATGATTCTAGAGTGTTGAGAAACACCGCGTTTGGAGTGCTCCAGATCAAGATCTCCAATGCTCTGTCTTCGACATTAAGCCATGCTAGGCAGCCGGAATATTTACAGAGGGCTACAAAGCCTGTATCTTGTGTCTTGTGGATACTTCATGAAACTCCAGTCAGAGCTTAGTGAGGGAGAGCATTGCAGGAGGGTGGTTCTCCTCCTCAAATATCCACTCGCTGTCTTCATCTTTACGTATTAATCTTTCTCGCTACAGGAGCAAGTCGTGATCCCTCGCCTTTCTCCGGTACTTCCTAGCACATGAAGCTGTTAGCGCAGCACATTGTAAAGTTTCTTCATGGAAGACCCAATTTCTCGACCAGAGTTAGGACAAGCTCCGCAGACATCTTGGGAGATTCAACGTCCTGTGGTCTTCCACCGTCGCTGCGACAAGTTGTCAATGTAGGATTTGGTCACTACCATGACGCATGCCACTATCAAATTCAGCGCAACATCTCCACAATCGCAAGAGAACACAACTCTCGGCGATCATCAGTAGGATGCGGAGACGAGATGAGGCATACAAGGCATGTCTGCTTTATAGATTGAGCATTAATGCTGTTTCTGAATTGGTGTTCATATCGGCTCTCAATTTTACAGGATTGGCTTGGAGAAACGATCGTTTCTTCTGTTTATTGACTTCACAAATTCGCTTCCCTCAAGACTATATCTCACAACACATGACCCGGAACAAAGTCACCGACATATCTCATAACTATTTAATGTCCAGGACTCTGTTATTCGAGAACTCTCCTCTTGAGAACGTGTTCAATAACATGAAATAGCTTCTGCATCTGGAGGGCTGGTTCCTGGGAAATATTGCTCTGCTCAACGTCGGCTAGCCCCAGTTTCAGACATTTCATAAAAAACAATGGCATACACCCAAACATTCATTCCACTTCTCTCCCACGGCCATACCAAACCCTAATCCCCAAAGTTTATATTGATAATGTTTCTTGGCCACCGGGTTCACTCCTTGAAGTCATGGCTGGAAGTTCGAACATAATCTCGGCAATGATGGTCTATGAAGTGCTGCCGGGCTTGTGGGATGCTTTGCCATGGCTGACAAGACCGAGGCGGAGCCGAACTCTAAAGTGAACAAGAAGATCGCAAGTGCGAGGGGTGAGGAGAGGCGAAGGCGCCAACCTTGGTCAAGAAAACCAAGTAGTAGATGATATGCCACCCACAAGAGGACCTTAACGACTTACATTGTGATATACAGCGCCTTGTATTTTGCAGCGCAATAACAACAGAACCACACAAACTATTCTCACGTTTTCAGCCTTCAGTTTGATCTGGCAGGCCAGGACGACCTGTGACTGGGCTCTGATGCTATCCAAAAAGACTTGTGGCGGCAGAATGACATCTGAATACCTAAATGTGTAATCGCAGGACAACACGGAACAAAAAAGCCCACTCTCACACAGCTACATAGTCCTCGTGCGATCAAATAGCACCAAACTGCCCGAATCGCGAGCATTCTGTACTTCGCTACACAGGGAGAAACAAAGTAACAACGATAGTGTTTTTGCGGAAGATACAAAATGTCAGGAAATCTGGAAAATGGATCTGCGAAGATGCGTATTGGAAGCTGCACCTGCCAGACCCAGAACATTTGCACTTTGGAAGGTGTGAAAGCAGTAGCTTCAAAACGGAATCCAGATGAAAGGCAAACGAATGCAGCTTCCTGTGGGAAGGCAAGATGGCGAGACGGTGACAAATGCGATGTTAGCTGTTGTGCTTCAGCTCTCCCATCTCATCTGTCGTGTCATCCGAAAGGACAGAAAGACGAGGATGCTTTAAAGTGAACTTGAAATGTGGCAATGTTTCGCGCAGGGGTACCAATGGAATGGTAAAAGAAAGGGGACAGGTGGATGGGTGTTTCGGCTGAACATGCTGTGCCATATGCTGTGATCGGCGTTGTGTTTGTTCCATTAGTAACTTGTCGACTTTGTGCTCCCACAACACTCTGATTGCCTTCTACACTTCTACTGTATAGGTCTGCGGACTAACAGTATTAGTAGTAGAGTTAAAAGGGAGCTTAGTCTTTAGTTAGTATAAAGCTGACATTTTAAGAGGATATGAGTTTACTAAGTTAGATAAGATAATCAGGTTTGACTTAAACGTGTATGTATGTGTAGTTTAAGAGCAAGGGATGAAGAAGAAGGAGGAGAAGCGGTTTTAAGCCACAGGTGGCGAATACATTGATATGGCGCAGCTCTGAAGATAAGTCACCTGATGCAGCTCACATGACGCTTCGATTTCTTGTCTGGGACGGGAGAGTGCAGGTTTCCGTTGACAATCTCTGAAGAAAGCACAGTAACAGTTTTCTAGATCTCTAATTTGCCATTTTAGCGCTCTTGACTCAGCGCTTAACTGCCAATAATCTGTAAATCTCGCGCTTCTTCTTCATTCTCTGGCTTGGCAACAGTTACCGAGGCAGGCGATATACTTCTACTGCCGCTTTTACATCCTCATTCCATTAGCCCTTTGTGCGTTTTGACGCAATGCGCCATGAAGAGTAATTTACTGTCTTTTTCTTCCTTCTCTCTCAGACGAATCGTACCAGCGTATATTGATTGAAAGCCTCCATAACAAAATGATACGAGGATACCCTGGAGACAGAAGGAGAGGTCGCCGATGACATACATGTTGTGGCAGCGGTGCCGAGAAAGTGCATTCTGTGGGTTGGAGAGTATGGATTGGATTGGGATCATTGGATAGGGTAGGATTGGCTGGGTGAGGGGTACGGAGGGTTCTTTCTCTCTCTCTCTCTCTCTTTGGACCCCACTATCAGTTGATTCGGAGCTTGATGGTGGCGTTTGGTAGCCTCGTTTTTTTGGCTGGCTGACTGCAGTGTGTATGATGTGTGGTGTGCTGTGGTGCTTGAGGCCGCTGTGATGCTGCCGTGGTGGTGGTGGCTGAGAGGAGGGGACGGTGAAGGGCTTTGAGGGCTTTTGATGTTGGATAATTAACTCGTTCTTTTGAGAGAGTATGATTGGAAGGGGATGCGTGGAGGTCGACGTTCTGTGGAGTGCTGGCGTTGAATACCTTAGCTGCATACAGGCTGTTGATGGCTGATGCATTTTGGTACGGAAGGCTTGGAGATGTGGTTGAGGATATCAGGCAACAGCTTTTGGTACCTACCCTTACCTCTCGAGCAGAGTAGATCAGGGTCTCTATGCACTTTCTAGAAAGGGCCGATGCAAGATGAAGCCATCCATACATGCTCACTCCATGTATATTATTCATCTCATCACATCAAAATCTTCCTGGTTCTTCTAGCACAGGGCACAGGAAAAGTACAGCACCACGGTAAAGGACTGTGCACCTGCAGCAAGGCTCCTTCACAGCCTCTGCTTGTCCTTGACCTTGACCTTGTCTATATTGTTGTTATTGACTGTTCGGCGCATAAGAAGGGTAACATGCCATCGCTATCGGCGTGTCCGTTGCCAATGCTCAGGCCTCAGGGGAACAATTCGTCAACTCGACTGATTAGGATCTTTCGGGAATAGCTCCTTTCACTTCCAATTACTGAAGCCCAGAAGTCACAGCTCGAAGGTGCATCCAAACAGATGGTTGAACAGGCGGACCGAGAAAGCATACCTCGACATGTATGGTCCATCCGAAGCTGGGACAGACGGACTGATCGAATCGAACTCGACCCCATCCCAGCACCAAGCATGCAACTCGATATCCGATTTGCTAGACGGATAGCGAGAGGGCTATCTATCCTAGCCTGGCCCGCCGTCGAGAAATACAAGGCTGCTGGATTTCTTGGACGTAACTAGAAGTCCAAGAAGCGCGTTGGCACCTGGATAGCCTTCTCATCCAAGCACGCGGAACCAGTCTCGTCCTCGGTACAATAGCACCAATCACGACATCTTCCTTGGCGCGTGACCATTATTTACACCACCTCCACAGATGTAAGCAATTTTGGAGAACTGAATGGCACGAAATCAATTCGCTTTCGCACGCCCTCTCCCTCTCCCTCTCCCTCTCCGCTTGAAAAGCAAAATGCCAAGTAGTGGCAGATGGGAATGGGAATGGGAATGGGGTCTCCTCGCTCCCAGACCCTATCCTAGGTACTCGTACTCTTCCTGTCCTCCAGGCCCTCTTCTTATCGGCCACTGGAGGTGTCTCTGCCAAGGTGGGGAACAGAAAATTGACCGGGGGAGGGGGAGGGGCAGAGGGGCAGCAGCGAACGAGGAGGGGAGAAAGAGGAAGGGATTTGCAAAGCTTGCTGGAGAAAGACGCTTCAAAATTTGCGATAGCTCCGCGACGCAAGCTCCCACAAGCAGATCTCACTGGAATGCAATGCCAACCTAGTACCAGTCTCCAGTACCAGCTTCCAAGAACTTGGCGAGCGTGCTATCGTCCTTCCAGCTTCCTTTTCTCCTCCTCTTAAAGGTCGTGCTTTCCTCTTCTGTTCATGTGGTGTTCTCTTGAGTTGTCTCTGATTTCTCTTGAGTTTTCTTGACCTTCTCTTGTCTGCTATTCTTGGGTGGCTTGACGCTGAGCTGCCGCGTGGATTGGCGAGGCTTGTTTGCATTGAAAGGACTCAGTATTCATTGCTATACAATTGATATCTGTAAAGCATTATGGCCTCATCTGGAATCGATGTTCCTGGCTCTGCTGTATGTGCCCCTCTCTCCTCCCACTTTTCCCCTCAAAAAACACCAAGAACGAGTTCGGCCAAGACACCCGAATTGCTTCGCAATTGAGCAATGAAGGACCGGGGCTAGAATTCGAGCAATCGCTAATTGAATCCTGCCTTACAGAGCGCAGACTATGTCATGCACGAACGAGACAAAGAGTACGATGGCGGATACAAAAAAGAGGTCCACGAAGAAGCCCAAATCCCATATGATTCAGACTCCCTATCGCAACATGCCGTCAGATCAGACCAAACGCACCGACAGCTAAGACCCAGACATATCCAACTTATCGGTATCGGAGGCACAATTGGAACTGCTCTCTACGTGCAGATTGGTAAGGGACTGCTCAATGGTGGTCCTGGAAGTTTGTTCTTGGCCTTCACAATCTGGTGTACCTTCATCCTCGCCGTCACGAACGTTAGTGAAATCCTCACATACCCTGCCCCAAGCAACTCCTCCCCAATGCAAACAAGCCCAAAGCAACTAACCCCTCCTCAAGTGCATGAACGAAATGGTGACTTATCTGCCAATTTCTTCGCCATTTATTCGTTTTGCTGGCCGCTATGTCGACGAGGCTTTTGGTGTCGCAGCTGGGTATAATTTCTTCATTTTCGAAGCTGCCTTGGTGCCCTTTGAAATTGTGGCTTGCAATGTCATTATCCAGTACTGGAGTGATGCTGTTCCAGTTGGTGGGATAATTGCTATCATCATCGTCCTATATGCGTATGTATTCCTCGGCTTTCCCAATCTGGTAATATCTTGAATGGAGTCTGACCTCGTCCTAGCGTGATCAATCTATTTGCTGTCCAGTGGTACGGCGAGAGTGAATTTTGGTTGGCTCTTGGCAAAGTGCTGCTCATTGTCGGACTTATCATCTTCACCTTCATCACGATGTTGGGAGGAAATCCTATAAACGATCGGTTTGGCTTCCGGTACTGGAAAAATCCGGGGGCCTTTTCTGCATTGTACAGAGAAGGGAATCTAGGTCGTTTCCTAGGCTTCTTGCAGTGTCTCATCCAAGCGTCGTTCACCATTGCTGGTCCTGATTACGTCTCGATGGCCGCAGGCGAAGCTGAGAATCCTCGCAAAGTTATGCCCAAAGCCTTCAACGGTGTCTTCTACCGTCTGACAGCTTTCTTCGTCCTCGGCAGTCTCGCAGTCGGTATCCTCGTCCCACACAACGATCAAACCCTCAAAGACGCTTTCGTCAATGGCCTTCCTGGAGCTGCTGCATCGCCATACGTCGTAGCCATGGACAGGCTGAAGATCGTAATCCTGCCAGATATCGTCAACGCTATGGTTCTGGCATCTGCTTTCTCCGCTGGAAACAGTTACGTATACTGCGCATCCCGATCACTCTTCGGTCTTGCACTCGAAGGAAAAGCACCTAAGATTCTGACCAAGTGCACCAAGAGCGGCGTCCCGATTTACTGTGTTGGCGTCACTCTGGCTATTGCTCTCTTGTCCTTCCTGCAGGTGTCTAACAACGCCGCTAAAGTCCTGAGTTGGTTCGTTTCGCTTGTAACTGCAAGCCAGCTGATCAACTTCGCTGTTATGGCATTCACGTTCATTAAGTGGAAGAATGCTTGTGATGCCCAGGGCTTCGATAGAAATCTCCTACCCCATAAGAGTTTTTGGCAACCATTCAGCGCTTGGTATGCGTTTACTGGGTGTACAATTATGGCTTTCGTTGGAGGATATACTGTTTTCATTGATGGTAAGACTCTTTCTTCTTTTCTCCACTTCCTTCCCCCGTCAAGTCCACAAAACCCGAACGTTATTAACGCCACGCAGACTTCTGGAACGTCCCTGACTTCCTCTTCTCCTACATGATGATCGGTGTCTTCCCCGTCATTTTTATATCATGGAAGATCACCAAGAAAACCAAATGGCTCAAGCCTCATGAAGTACAACTCCGTACTGCCGAGGTAGACGAAATTGAGGAGTACACGAGGAATTACGTGGAGAGGCCGCCGAAGACGAGGTGGCATGGGTACTTGGATAAGATCTTTAGTGCGTAGGTCTGTAGATTGGAAGAGCAGGGAGGCGTGGCGTGGTGTGATGAGGATGAGGTTGGTGGGGAAGGGTGAAAGTGCTCTGAGTTGAGGAAGCAAGTGCGTAAGTAGCTAGGCAACATAGATAGGTATGGATCGATACGTATATACGAAGAACGATCATAAATAAATGCTATTAAGTACTGTATTTGCCCTGTCACTTTATGAACGCGTACATGCCTCTTTTCCCTGTCTGACCCATGCATACGAGCCAACCAAACCACATTCACATCCATCTAGACGTTGCAGCCCGCTGTGAAGGGGTTGACATCTCCATGACGAGCTTAGAATCCTGTGTATTACGTCGCAATAGACAGACGTGTCAGTACTTCCACATTCAAAGACGTGTGGAAATGGCATATACTATTTTCCCCCTCGTGTTTGCATACTACATGTCCCACAATAACACAGAGCAAAGAGTGACAGCTTCGGGGGAGAGAGATGTATGTGCAGAGGCAATGGATCGATAACATTACGGTGTGTGGCTTGGTCTTTCGACGCAGTGCCATGACAATCATGATGGGGATTGATGATGGAGAATGAGACATGTTTCACATCACATGAGCCTGGAGGAGTGTACCAGAAAGTGTACCAGCATAGTGGAGAAGATGGTCATTTGATTGAGGGATAGGAAAGGAGCTTTCATTGCAGCTCCAACGGCCGCTATGGCGAGCTAATAAATGCTCAGAGGCCAAGCACAGCATAGCATAAATCAATCACTCTTCACTCCAAACATCCTATCAAGTCTCCTCCAATCACGTCATCAATCACACGATCCGGAATCGAATTCTATAAGAACCAAAGTCAGTAAACTTGTCTCCCAACTTGGTTGAATGTTGTGTTTGAAGAAGTAGCTTGGATCAGAAGGAAGGCAACGGAAAATCTCCACATGGGGTTTGCGCTCTCGGAGGTATTATGATTTAACATCCGAAATTCTTTCATCATATCGGGCTTGGGGAGGGTTTGTGCTGAGGTGGAGAAGAGTAAAAAGGGACTTGCTTACTTTTTAGTATGGTGATGAATTTCTTTGCTGATGTTGACAAGTTGGGACGCGTTGCTGGTCGTTAGTAGACGTGTTGTGGGACTGTGCAATATGCGAGAGGAAATGTATGGGTGATTTTCAAACTGTTCATTAGATCACTCAAAACCCCAAAACATACCATCACTCGAAACTCCTGATGCCCATTTTGTGTCTTTTTTGCTTTGTGATGTCGTTTCGTAATTGCAAATCTGATTACAAAGCGCCCATAGCAAATACCATTGCCCCAAGGCCAAATGCACGATGCGACTTGTCAATCCCTACCCACATCCGATGGTCTAACCCACGATTGCCTGCCTGCCCCCACGAAAAAGACGATTGCTTTACCAAGCCATCTCGTGTGGCCGGTCACCCTTTCGCAAGCTGAAGCTGCTGCTGAGGTATGCGGCGAGCATTGGCTCCTTCTTGATGGTAGACAACAAAGCCTTGTCGATGGACTTCTGGTCTGCGGCGCGGCTGGTAGATGGCTTCTTCTTCTACTCATTATTAGTTCATGTCCGGTTTGTCTCCTTCCAAAATGCTAGATATCCCATACCTCTGCCTTCTCTCCCTGTGCGAAGAAAGCGTCCTCTGAACTCTTCTTCTCACCCTTGGCGGCCACGAAGTACTTTGCGTCGGAGGCCTCCTCAATCTTCTTTGTGTCGACACCGGCGAGATCAATCTTCTGGGAAGTGGCGATAACGTAGCGGGCGTTGACTCTGCGGAGAGGGACACCGTTGATCTTGAATGGGCCAGTGACGAGGAGAACGCCTTGGTCGAGTGTGTTCAGGAGGACAACACGCTTGCCACGGAATCGGCCAGCGAGGAGGATGAGGATGGTACCAGGGGTGAGGGAAGCGCGAGGAAAAGAGGTTCGGATGGTTTTGCGGACCTGTTTCTTCATATTAGCCTTCCATTGTGCGTATTGTTCCCATTCCCAGTATCTCCTAACGACCCGGCACCAATTCCAAACGCGGAGTCCAGCAGAACTCTGAGAAGATCACAATTGCGCCCTAGCCTTCCCTTTCCAATCTCTTTTTTCTGGATGTGACGGGCACAAACCTTTCTTGCGACGGCCTCGTCGTCCGCAGGATAAAACTTGCGGGCCTTCTGAGAGTGGTGAGGAACCTCTCTGGTTGACTTTCCGAAGGTCTTGGTTTGACCCGCGGGTCTGGTGGCTTCTAAGACGGCGGACATCGTAAGAAGCTGGTCGAGTTTGTCGTTGAATCGTCGTGCTCGAAATCGGTGCTGCAAGTTGGGAAGGAGCAGTCAAAATCATTGTGCGGGAGCCAGGATAGGGTAAACGAGCCAATCATTTCTTAGTGCACTTTGCTGCCTAAGGCGTAACATAGGCAGCAATCTTGGAAACTCCAAATTTGGCCTTGAAGACTGGATGTACCTGGTCAGACGATTTCTATTAGTGACAATTGCACGGTAGCGATACCTGTTCAATGTCACTGAAGAATGTTAATGCATTGCCTCTTCTAATTGCACTACATACGGATTCCATCCATGGATTGAGTATATAATCACGTGACAGTGCTCCCGCTGGTCCAAGTGGCTCCAGGCCGCGGCTCACTCTCATGTCCCCAGAATTGACGAGGACATCGAACACAATCTCAGGGCAACAAAAGATATCATCTCCCACGAAGTTGACTTTCAGGCTCTCCCTCAAGCCCATGCCGATATTCCAAATATGCCATCAACCCTGAACCTGCTGAATCCTATGGAATTCCAAAATTATTAACAACTCTGCAACCCCAAGTTTTCCTTACCTCAAAATTCCCCCTAAATCTGCTATGCCATGAATCTTTACACATTTTTACCGCTGTCCATAGGATTTTAGAAGCCACGCGGAACACCCTTTCAGATCCCGATCAACAATCCTGGATTTATCATACCTAAAACCACAACATTCCAGACGGCAGATGGATATCTTAGAAGGTAGTAGAAAAGTTAGTATAATTATCATTATTTAAGCCCCGCAGTGGTTTTCTCAAAAACCATCCATAAAGCCAAGAATATCATAGGCTGTTGCTATTGATTCGAAAATGATCACAGGATTGCGAACCTGGAAGGCGGTATATAATCATTCAATGTGGATCACAAGTCATGGATGAATCTGAGGGCATTTGTTGATATGTAGAGCTGCCGATGCCCTATCAGTAAGGGCGGCCTGGTGCTTCCTCATACTGAATTTGGACGTGAACGGCACCTGACATATGTCAGTATTATTGTCACCAATCAACCTGCTGGCTTCAATATTCAGAAACGCAACATGATTAGCTGCTGACGGGGTCTTGCCGGATCAAGGTACCTCATCCAGAAATATTGCGGTTGCACACTGCACATAATATGGACTAAGTTGTCTTGATTTCATACTCGATCATGGCTACAAACCACTCCAAGCCCAAGGTAATCCCTCCACTGATTCATAAAAAGACGCCCTCGCTGTCAAATCGACTAGTGAAAAAAACATCCCCGTCGGACATTACCAACCTTGCCAACAGTATATTGCAACATGATCATAAAACCATGCCGACCAATTAACGTAGCAATGAAGCAATTTACTCCTCCTGCTCCAATGGAGCCTCCTCTTCGTATTCCTCCTCACCCTCGGAGATCGAGGCATCCTGGTATTGTTGATACTCGGAAACCAAATCGTTCATGTTGGACTCAGCCTCAGTGAACTCCATCTCGTCCATTCCCTCACCAGTGTACCAATGCAAGAATGCCTTTCTTCTGAACATAGCAGTGAATTGATCACCGATACGCTTGAAGAGCTCCTGGATAGAGGTGGAGTTACCAACGAATGTGGAAGACATCTTAAGACCACGTGGAGGGATAGAGCAGAGGGCGGTTTGGACGTTATTGGGGATCCACTCGACGAAGTAGGAGGAGTTCTTGTTCTGGACATTGCGCATTTGATCCTCAACCTCTTTCATGGAAACCTTACCACGGCTAGAAATAGTCAGCTTTGTTACATTATCAATAAAGGAGAGCAACCTACAAGATGGCAGAGCAAGTCAAGTAGCGACCGTTGCGGAAATCAGAAGCGGCCATCATGTTCTTGGGGTCGAACATTTGCTGGGTCAACTCTGGGACAGTCACGGCACGGAAGGAGTGGGCGCCACGGCTGGTGAGAGGAGCGAATCCAACCATGAAGAAATGGAGACGAGGGAAAGGCACCATGTTAACAGCCAACTTTCGGAGATCAGAGTTAAGCTGACCAGGGAAACGAAGACTGGTGCTGACACCGGACATCACTGCTGAGACCAAGTGGTTAAGATCTCCGTAGGATGGATTGCTGAGCTTGAGAGTTCTCATACAGATGTCGTAGAGAGCCTCGTTATCAATACAGAATGTTTCATCGGAGTTCTCGACCAACTGATGGATGGACAAGGTGGCGTTGTATGGCTCGACAACGGTATCAGAGACCTTGGGGGATGGAACAACGGAGAAGGTGGCCATCATACGATCTGGGAACTCCTCACGGATCTTGGAGATCAAGAGCGTACCCATACCGGCACCAGTTCCACCACCAAGCGAATGGGTGATCTGGAAACCTTGGAGGCAGTCGCATCCCTCAGCTTCGCGACGGACAACATCGAGAACTTGGTCGACAAGCTCAGCACCCTCAGTGTAATGACCTTTGGCCCAGTTGTTACCAGCGCCAGATTGCCCGAAAACGAAGTTGTCTGGGCGGAAAAGCTGGCCGAAAGGACCAGCACGGACAGCATCCATGGTACCTGGCTCCAAATCGACGAGAACGGCACGAGGAACATACTTGTTACCAGAGGCCTGATGAAAAAGTCAGAACTTGTCTATCGGTTGGAAATATCTATACGAACCTCGTTGAAGTAAACGTTGAGGCGCTCGAGTTGGAGGTCGGAAGTACCGTTGTAGCTGTAAACAAAGTCAGCCAGGTGTCAACAGGCAGCCGTAAAAAGCCCTGCAAATGATATGTAGAACTTACACGCCGGATCCATCAAGACCATGCTCTCCTGAGATAATTTGCCTGGATGTTTATCAGCATTGGGCTCTTATGTGTCGCGTTCGTGTGGCAGGCAAGGCAGGTCGCGATGTTTGGGGTTCTTACCAAAAGGCAGCACTAGAAGAATCGCCGAGTCAGTAAATATTCTTATAGAGAGAATTGAGGAGCAACATACCCGATTTGGTTACCACATTGGCCGGTTTGAAGATGAACCTGTAGCAGACAGTGGTCAGCAAAGAGGTCGTGGTCGTCGCCCCCTTGTGAAGTCGAAGGTGGTGGGGTAGTTCCATTCAGGGGTTGAGCCAGACGCGTCGACTGTGTGCTGGAGCTGCGAAGAAAAGAGAGAACTCACGATTTCACGCATATTGAAGGATGGTCGGTTTGTGAGTTGGTTGGAAATGTGGTTTGACGAGAGCTTGCGAGCAGTTGTGGAAGAGCAAGAGGAGGAGAGCTTGTTGTGGGTTGTGTTGAAGTGGAGTGGAAAAGCACGGCGGTGAGAAAAGACGCTAGCCTTGTTTACCTGTGCGCAGGTGCCAGGCGCGACCACTGCAGAAAGGTAGACACCCTTGCACCGTTCCGGCTAGTCGGCTAGTCCCAACTGGGAAAGGCAAATCGTGAAATCTGATATTCCATCCAACTTGAAAGTCCAAAGCATCACGGAACATCCCTCTTTATCTTTCTTACTACTTCTCAAGTCTTCTAAAACCATGGAGTCTGAAATCAAGTCTCTGCTCCCCGGAATCGATCCGATTCTCTCAGAGTATTCCGTGGGATACCTAACACACTCTGCCAACGCCTATGTGCCCGATGACTCTACAGCAGTGTCGCCTCTTGCTGAGGCTGCTACATCTATAACAGAGCTCTTGGTATCAGCATCAGGCGATCCCTCACCAGAGAGTGAGGCCAAAATCAGCCAGATCGTGCAGAAATGGGTGGACACATTCACCGCCTCTCAAGCAGCAAGTGGTAAACGGACTCAGGTATCGTCAGCTGCAAGACGGCTGGACCAGGCCATTCAAGTTGGAGCCCAAAGAGGGATGTCATCTACCCTAGGACTCTCAACTGGAGGCGTTGATCTTGAATCAGCGAACACGAGAAAATTGGAGTCAAAGGTTGACAAGAAGAAGTTAGAGAAGGCTGAAAGGAAGATTGCCGCTAAGCAGAGCAAGAAAGTATTCAAGAACGTCGAGTACGAGGCCTCGAAACTCATCAATCAAACTGATGATGCCTTGTCTTATGAAGAGTTCTTCATGGCTGTCAATCCTCTGCAGCTTGGATCAAATGCCATGGGCCAAGCCAAGAGCAAGGACATCAAGTTGGATTCCATCGATGTTTCTATTGGAGGCTTGAGAATCTTGACGGATACAAACTTGACCTTAGCCTATGGACGCAGATATGGTTTGGTTGGTCAGAACGGTATCGGTAAATCTACGCTGCTCAGAGCTCTTGCCCGAAGAGAGTTGGCAATTCCTACTCATATTTCCATTCTCCACGTGGAGCAAGAGGTACTGCACTCCTTATTCTTTCACGCCTTCGAAATGCTAATACGTGACTAAGATATCTGGAGACGATACACCAGCATTACAAGCTGTGTTAGACGCAGACGTATGGCGGAAGCATTTGCTTGCAGAGCAAGTTGTAAGTTTTCCCCATGACTTCGTCGATGCAGTCGATACTAAGCCATGAACTAGAAAATAAGCAAGCAATTAGCAGATATCGAGGCAGAGCGATCTTCGATGGCTGACACATCCGTGGATGCTGAAAGACTTGATCGTGAGCGAGAAGGCCTGGATCAGACTTTGGGAGACGTCCAGGGCAAGCTAGCCGAAATGGAGTCTGACAAAGCTGAGTCTCGAGCTGCAACCATCCTGGCTGGTCTTGGATTTTCTCCAGAGCGACAACAATTCGCTACTAAGACATTCTCTGGTGGTTGGCGTATGCGATTGGCCCTTGCAAGGGCTCTTTTCTGCGAACCGGATCTTCTACTTCTTGACGAACCGTCCAATATGTTGGACGTCCCATCCATCACTTTCCTCGCCAACTACCTTCAAGGTTACCCAAGTACTGTACTCGTAGTTTCTCACGACAGAGCCTTCTTGAACGAAGTCGCAACAGATATTGTACACCAGCACTCCGAACGTTTGGATTACTACAAGGGCGCCAATTTCGAGTCCTTTTACGCTACCAAGGAGGAAAGACGGAAGACAGCCAAAAGAGAGTACGAGACTCAAATGGCACAGCGTGCACATCTCCAAGCATTCATCGACAAATTCAGGTACAATGCTGCGAAGTCATCTGAAGCTCAATCTAGAATCAAGAAGCTTGAGAAGATGCCAGTCCTCGAAGCACCTGAGAGCGAGTACACCGTCCATTTCAAGTTCCCTGATGTTGAAAAGCTATCCCCTCCTATTGTCCAAATGACCGATGTCAGCTTCGGCTACACGAAAGACAAGCCGCTCCTAAGGAATGTGGATCTGGATGTCCAACTCGACTCTCGGATCGGTATCGTTGGACCCAACGGTGCTGGTAAAACAACTGTATTAAAGCTTCTCATTGGCAAATTGACGCCTACCCAAGGTCTTATCTCCCAAAATCCTCGACTTCGGATTGGTTTCTTTGCTCAACATCACGTTGATGCGCTCGACCTGACCACCAGCGCCGTAGGTTTCATGGCCAAGAACTACCCCGGAAAGCAAGATGAAGAATACCGTCGACACCTTGGAGCCTTTGGTATTACTGGCATGACTGGTCTCCAGAAGATGGAACTCTTGTCTGGAGGTCAAAAGTCTCGTGTCGCATTCGCATGTCTGTCTCTCACCAATCCTCATATCCTTGTACTTGACGAACCTTCCAACCATTTGGATATCGAGGCCATGGACGCACTGAGTACGGCACTGAGGCAATTCCAAGGTGGAGTTCTGATGGTTAGTCACGATGTCACTATGTTACAAACTGTCTGTACCAGTCTTTGGGTTTGTGATGGCGGAACTGTGGAGAAGTTCCCAGGAGATGTGCAGGCGTACAAAAAGAGAATCACAGCTCAGGCCGATGCAAGTGGTGTAGTTGCAGCCCACTGAAGACAGACGGAATTAAATACACATCAAATAGGCTTCCGGCATAATACGGTGAAACAACTCCTAGAGTATTGAGGTAACTATTATTGAATGCCCTCAACTGCCTTGTTTCCCTATCACTACCTACGTGGGCTACTCTTTTTACCCCGCCGTTCGTTTGTTTAGCATCAACAACAACCTAGCCAAACATCACGCCAAATCACGAAACGAGCTTAAAATACATCGGGGAGTCAAAGTCAATCCAGTAAGAGCTGGTTATCCTGTAGCTTATTCAGAAAAAGGCTGAGCCAATACGCAGCCGTTGAAGCAAACCCAATCTGCATAAATTATCAATAGCTCCGAATGCTTGCATTTCTTGGCTGATCTGGAAGCCGCCAAAAGCCACCAACCTAAAAACTTACACAGTTTGGAAACCTTGGCTTGACCTATCAACTACTCTCGTCGAATTATCGTTAGACCTTCAGTGAGGCATAATAATTGGTAAGCCAGTGCGCTTGTCGATATATCCTCAAGGTCAACCTTCCACTCTCTCTTTGCGTTCTGTCTCACGCATATCATATGTGTGAGCAGCCACATGGCGTCGACTTACCAACATGGCAGCCCAGGCTTCTCTCCGAACTATTCTCCATGCAACTCATATCAATCAACGGGACAATGGGAAGCATCTCCCAGCCCTCAGTATCAACAGCATTTCCCAGGTAGGCCACTTTCTGGCCGGCCACCCAGCAAGACTTCTCTCCAACCACTGATACACGACTATGGACCAACTCCACCATACCTCAATCCACCACCGTCAGGTTTCTCCCGCCTCATGATCTTCTGCTATGATTGGTGGCTCTGCATTCTCAGTATCCTGGTCAGCGTCGTTTCCATTGCGATCATAGCAATTCTCCTCTTCTTAATCAACAATCGCACCATTCCCACCTTGCCCCTCAATATAGCACTCAATACCTACATTTCATTCTTTGCCACAATCTCCAAGGCTTCCATGATTTTCGCCTCCGCAGAATCCATCTCGCAGCTTAAATGGCTGTGGTTCCAGAAGCCGAGGAATTTGCACGATATCGAAATCTTCGACGATGCAAGCCGGGGACCGATGGGTGCGCTGAGATTGGTGTTCAAGATGAGGGCGAGGAGGTTAGCTGCGATTGGTGGCGCGGTGACGGTTTTGAGTATCGTTATGGAGCCTTTTACGCAGCAGGTTGTGGCGTATCGGCAGAGGGAGGTGGTTTCTGGAACAGCGAGGGTGGGAAAAGCTCTGGCTTATGATGCTGGTCTTTCTCTTGATACTTGTAAGCATAATGAGCTTCTCTTTGGAAATAAAACTAAAGGATACAAGTGGGAAGTGGACTACTTATTGGTCCAGAATGGGGAATGAAAGCAGCTATTTATGACGGTATTTTCACCCCCGAGAAGGTCCAAGACCTCGTCCCCATCTGTTCATCTGGAAACTGCACCTTTCAACCCTTTGATTCTTTGGCTTTCTGCAGTAAATGCCTAGATGTTTCGCAGAATGTCCTAATCAACAATCCACCGGCATACCCCGACGACCTTACAGGAACCCAGCAGATCAGCTACACGATCCCAGGGGGTGGCATTGTGGGATTCTCTGCTCTATTCGAAGAAGGCAACCTAGTCAAGGGTCCTGCTTTCGTCTCAACTTCCGTGCTACCAGAAGACCTTCCAAAACAGGTTCTGAATATCCAGAATCCGCTTTTGGCACTTGCAATCTTGCAGTTTCCGCATGTACGGCAACGCATCGAGGATGGGAATTATTTCAGCTCGCTTCCAGTCACGCATGAATGTGCATTATACGTCTGTGTAAACACATACAATGTATCTGTCACCAATGGCAAGGCAAACACAACCGTATTGTCAAGCTGGACAAGTGATACCGGAACACCAACGGTGGGGGCAGCGTTAGTTGGTATGGACGGTACTCCTGACGCCGTGCTGGACCCGTCAGATGAATACAGTGAGAGCAATAATACATATAGGATCCCAGCTGGCAGTCTAGCCAATCTGAAAACATGGCTGAACGTCTCTATGCAAGGCTCGATGAATACCAGCTTCAGCAAAGTCGACCGAACCCAATGGGTCAACGACGACATCCAAGCCCTGAACAAGACTACTGACTGGTCATTCCTCATGAACGCTCTCGCCAAAGCTATGACAGCTCATATCCGCAACTCAGGGAACCCTGATGCCGTGAGCGAGGTGGAAGGTGTTGCGTATCAAAATGAGACATATGTCCATGTCCAGTGGGTTTGGTTGGCTTTGCCGGCTGGTTTGGTAGCGACGTCGACGTTGTTTTTGTGTGCTACTATGCTTAAGAGCAAGAAGAAGAGCGCGCTGGCATGGAAGTCTAGTAGTCTGGCTTTATTGTTTCATGGCTTGGATGGAGTGGGTGCTGGTACTGGGGAGGGCTTGAAAGAAATGAAGGCTGTTGCGAGAAAGACGCGAGTGATTTTGTCGAGAGGGGAGGATGGGGAATGGAGGTTGGTGAATACCGGATAATTCTCAGGACTTTTGGTCAACTATTGTTTTGAATTCATGAATGCTAGAAAATGCTCGAGGGAAACCTGGGAAGCAAATCAAAATTTTGGAGTTTGGAGGGCTATTGGGGAATGAAATGAGAGTGCACTTTCCATAGTCTTGAACACCCTAACCGTGATAAGGACTATAAGATAGATGTTTGGGTCAGGAAAACAATTGAAGAATGATATTTCCCCACAATCAGATCCACTGTTCCTGAGATAAAGTTTAGAAGATATATGAAGCTATCGACAGGGGTTCAGGGACACTGCTTGAAGCGTCTAAGGTTGCATCAAGGTTGAGCTTATATTGAGCTCAACGACTGAGTAAAACCGCATTTCATATGTAATTGCTTTTGTATACACTTAACTTCATCTAGACCCCTACTTTACAATTCATCTCTTGATGGCTTGTTGACGAGCTACGGAGTTATTTTAGCCGATGCACCAAGCCTGTCGTGGGACATCACCACAAGGTTGATCGTGATTCTCCAACCCATCCCCATCCTAACAACACGCAATTGAATCACCTCCTTCTGCCAAACCACCAGATCCCACGAGCTGTTGACGCATCACTCGCAATCACGTTGTCAAATACGCCAGAAGAAGCCGACGACTCCCAACCCAGGGGCGTTGAGCTAGCGGGCGGATCGAAATTGGGAGTTACGCGCCCATCATCTCCTCCACCGAATTACCCAGTCTCTGAGCCCTCTGAACCATCAGGGAGCTCACCACGACCACCGCCGTTCTCATCACTCTATACTTCCACCGAAGAAGTCGTTGAAGCGTACAAGACAGCTGTCACTGAAGCCGGCGCTTCTGCATCAGTCCCTGCTTATTCGCCCGCTGCATGCGAATCACACCAAGCTTCCGCCTCTGCACAGGACGTTGACGTCGTTGCGCAAACCAAGAGTTGTCTTCCGCAGGATACAAAAGGGGAATCTTCCAAGAAAGACGACGATAGCGAGCCTCCGCCTGCATACTCAGAGGGTTCAAGCCCGTTAGAGTCATTTACATATCTGATGGCTGCCGCGGGAGGTGCTGCGAGTATTCTTACTCAGGTGCAGCAAGGTGGTCCGCCACCGATCAATACATTAGGAGGTACGATAAGAGTGATCGAGGGTATTCAAAAGCTAAATCGAATCTGCAGATGTCGGCGCCGATGAGAATATCACGATGGACCTGCGGTATGAGCTACAATTGATTGACGTGGAGACTGCATACTGATATCATATAGGGGCCAACGGTTTACATTGTCGCGAGACGAGCTCCTTACTCTCCCCGAATTTGTCCTCCTTTCGCTATTCCCCAACGGTCTACTTCCAGATGGGCATATGAATACCTACCAAGAAGGCGACGCTTTCCAAGTTGATGTCCGTGAAGCTATAAATATCCGCAATATATTGCACAATATAGATTTATACATAGCTAACCTCACTGTGCAGTATGATCCTGCATCGTTACAATACATGCTAGAATTCTTCCGCAACGTCGCGCAAACAATACCTTCGGGCTCAAACTCCCCCTCTACGGGCCCCGATGCCGATACGGTCCCAATTGAGCCAACGACAGGCTCGGCGCGAGAGATGCTTCAAGATAGAGCTGGCATAATTGTATTGAGAGAAGATTTGGATTTTTACGTCATACCCCCGAGACCAGATATCGAGCAACCAGAAATGATAGAGGTGAAGAGATCGGCAGGCAAAGCATTGTTAAAACAGGACGGCATATTCTCTGGCTTGAGACGAAGCGAGGAAACCGGGACAACTGAGCAGCATTTGATTGAGATGCTGACAGCTGGGTATGTTCCTTAGAGATTGGCCGAATAACGCCATGCTGACGGATTCTAGTGGATTTAATCATGATGATCATTGGGGACACAGAGCAAACGAGCCCAACAAAGCAGTTATTTGCAGTCTTGCCCTTGCAAGATTACGAACTGATATCCGAGGCGGCGAGATGGGAAACAATGCAGTGGGAATGGCTCAGAAGTTACTGCTATTCTGGAGGAAACCTGCTCGAAGATGCTGGTGGGAGGGTGTGGAGTTGGAGAATGTCGATGGAGTAGATGGCAAACTCAAGGTGTGGATTCGAAGAGTATGGACACTGGAGATGAGTGTAATTGGGCTTAGATGATAGCTTCTTCTACCCGTTGTCCCTTTTGTCTATTATTCCCTTGTTTTGTCAGATATCCGAAACAATAACTGAGGTCTGCGGACTCAGCAAGCGTCATTTGTTTGTTATTGTAGCATGGCTTCACCCGGATTTTTCATTTGTAATTTTTCAGTGCGGCGAGCGATGGGAAACATTTAGTAATTTCCCTTTTTTCAATTGAATTAGTTTTTTTTTTGGCTCCGTGGAGTTCACTGTACACGAGAAAAAAGCGCTTAGTATCATAGAGAATTGCACCTCAGTCTCGTCCGGCCCAGCTGTTTATTCTAGTAGCTGGGAGCACTTGCCGCTTTCTGTCGATTCTAAGCCTACTTTAGGATTTCATGGTTGGTCGTTCTTTCTAGACTCTAGAAGCCAATTCATTTCATGGTTCGCTGTGTGATCTCTACCATGTTTCAAATAGCACCAATCCTCATGATACTCGGTAGAGCATTATTCTTTTATTATTCACTTAGTGCCAAATTTAGCCATCGCACATGAACCAACCTAGATGTCCACTTTCGGCTGTTCCTCAGGTATGTCCCTCCCATTCTTGATCCTTCTTCAGTGTACCGCAAGTGCATGCTAATATGGAGCAAGAGCCTGGAAGTAAAGAGTTCGTAGCCAGCAAGAGCAACGGCAGAGGCCAAGGTGTTCCAGGAGCTCCCACCGAACCCAAATCTATGCGTGGAGCCCAAGTTATGCGTGACCCTCAAGCACAGGATCAAAGATCCGATGTAGGACATTTCAGTGGCGGTGGAGGGCAAGAAAGAACGCCAAATACCGGTGCTCTAAAGGTTCGTACTCTACAGCTTCCTTCGTTCCCTACTTGCTCTTCATGGCGGGCATCTGACCTTCTCGCACGCAGCACAAGAGCATCATTGGTGCTCCAGTGCATGCTGTGACGAGCAAGGCTGATTCCATCATGTCTAGGCTCACCACCTTGGCCAATGGAGAGAAACTATTGCTCCCTTCATACCTGTCAATACAGAAACGAGCCATGTGGTGGATGCCGGACAAGAGGAAAACGACTTTCTCGTGCGCTTTAACGCTTCACTTCAGAAAGCGCGTTTTCGTTATGGATGTAGGAAATCAAAGGCTAATATTCAGGCTCCCTCTCCGCCTGTGTCGAACTTTACAACAGGATCCAGCCTAGGAGAGCAGTCCTCGGAAGGTGCTGTCACACCTCCCGATGATTTGAATGTTGTGGCGCTATCATCGGCAAAATATATTCGCAACTGGAGAATTCCTCCAAACCCAAAGGTCAATCAGGTCTCCTCCGATAAGGAAGATCGGAACGTGTATGCAGATCAAACGAAGTCCAGAGCACAGATTGCAGACGGCTGGAGAAGACCAGAGAAGGAGAACAAGGCAACACCGAAAGAACTCAAGGAGAAGGAGGAGCAAGTGAACCTGTAGGTCTCTTCATCAGTCTCTAAAGGCATATAGAAGCTGCATCTTGTATCTTACTGACATAAAAGTAGTCCACGGTTGCCAGAAAGTCTTGACTTGAGTTTTGCGTACAAAGATCAACCTTCTACTGGTTGGGTACTTGTACCTACCAGAACTCCGGTCGTTCCAAATGATACTCGAGGACATCCAACCCGCTGGCCAGGGGTGCCAGCCAAAGTGCCTGCATTTGGATCTCTTCGCCCAGCGGAAGTAAGAGGGTTTCGAGAAAGAGCCAACGCACGGATGAACGGAAGAGGGATGACCTTTTGAAGACCCTGAGTACACTTTCAAGTTCGAAAAGTCGTCAAATCGGCTGTATTTATTGCTTGTCGTCTTGTCACATCGAATGGAATTACGGAATGATCTTGGTGTGAAGAGCGGGCAGGGAGGTAGGCAATCTTTACTCTACGACACTTGCAAGATGACCTGACTTCGACAGGAACCTGCATGGGAAGCGATAGATACTTTGCTTGGAATATCGGGTGGGAATAACTGTAGATTGGATTGGGTTCTGGTTACCAGCGTAGCGTACTTACGGCGAAGTCAGCATTTGTATACAAATAGCTGTATCCACTGTACCAGCGAGATCAGATAGCATTTGCCCTTTCTTTCTGGTTGCTTCTGAAATTTGCTCCCATGTGATTTTGACCCAAAGGAGCATAAGGTAGGTACGAAGGGCAGTGGCAAGATAAAAGTAGTCGGTGCTGCCAGGGCAGTCGCGATGCGGTAATCACTAATTGATCACAGCATCTACGAGCTTTCCTCCCCAGTCATTACGGATCTCGAATCAAGCATCAAAACGCCTCCCTATTCGTTGTCAAGGGTCAGTCATTCGATACTTTTGGATCCAAACATACCCTACCATTTGAACTTTACAAGACACATTCTGTCAAACAATACGGAAATGGGAGAAGTCGTGCAATGGAGCTAGCCAACACGGTCGTCTCAAAGAAGAGGATGCGAGAAGTTTCCGTACAGTTTACAGTCCCATCAGACGCGGAAAAGGAGGGGTGGCAAGCTGTACAACGGCACGCTTCTCACCAAGAGACGGCTGTGAGTGCGTTCCATTCGAACGTGCCTCTTTCGAGAAAGCAACGACGGAAACATCTGAGATCGGTATCGAAACAGTCCAGTTCTCAACTACTGGAACCTCGACAAGATACCCAGGATCGAGCTCCTTCCTGTAGTTCAAGTGGTGTACCATCTGCCACAACATCTCCAGAAGATGAACTCCTTTCCGATTCAGATGTCACCACAGAGGCTTCCAAAGCTATAAAGGTTAACGAAAAAGCTGGCCCAGAAGTCCTCAAACCGAAAGGAATCAAACATCTGCGACCTGAACCTCCAAGGCGAACACAAACAGATGGGCAGCTTTTCTTGACTTCGGTGTTGACAGCTAGTTCTGTCCTCAAAGCCATACATTCATCGCCTTCTCCTCTCCCGCAGACTATCAGTTACGCCGCTGCATTGACTGGAAGTAAGACTACACAAGAGAGTAAAGTCAGCTTGGACTGGGTTGATGCCACCAAGGACAGAATCGGGAGAGCTAATGCCTACGAAGAAGCTCTTGTCCAACCTAATTTTGACAAGCAAGAAGAAAGCGACACCCACACCAGCCCTCAAGATCTCAGAAGGAAGAAGAGAATCCGGATACGAAAGCGGAAGAGCCGACAGAGTACTACTGAGTCGACCGTCACAAGTAAAGAGGACGATCAAATCACATTAGCGGATACTTCTGCAACCACGCCTACAGATCGTGGCAGTCCCATAAAGGAATATAGAACACGACAACACTCCATAACTTTCAGCATTGCAGATACATTAATCGAAGAAGGAAACTCAAATTTGGAAGAAGACGCTGGTCCGTCTAACAGAGAAAATAACAGTCCAAATAAGAGAAGTAGAAATAGGAAGCATCTCTCTCCAATCACCCCCCGACAATTCGTACAGAAAAAGGAGGAGTTTGTCCGCACTTCTGTCGTTTCAGAGAAACATAAATCTTTCATTGACACTATTAGAGAGATGCTTACCCACGATGGACAAAAAGAGCACAGAATTACTTCACCACCCCCCCCGCAGATCATTTCGCCTATTCCCAAGAAGTACATGTCGCCTCCAAAGGTTCTTGTCAACTCACTAGATGATGAGTTTTCCTCGGAACTCCAGGATTCCGTTCCCGAGCCTTGTCCGCAGACAGCTCCTCTAATGCCAAGAAGTTGGACCGAGGGTCGTGACTGGGACATGACACCACCAGTCCACGGAACCAAAAAAGTATACACGGACCCTACCCAACGTCAAGCAGAAGAAGACAGGTGCTCGAAACCATCTCAAGATCTCATAGTCCAGAAATATCCACCGTTGCCGGTCCCACCATTCCGAACGCTCTGGACGGTTTCGCGATACTTGGACCTGAAGCAGAAGATGATAAGTGAACATAGGAAAGAGGCAGGTAGGCGCTGGGCTATCATGAAGGCTGTTGAGAAGAATCTGGATTTTCAGAAGAAGCGTGAATCACCGCTGTGGCCGCATAACTGGAATGTTTCTGTGCAGAAGGATAGGGCATATATGGAGAGGATGATTACGAGGGTGAACTTCTTGATGAAGAGGCCGGAGTAGAGGTAGAGGTGTTTGCTTGTGCGAGTGGGTGGGAAGGATGATTGGTATTGTTAGGAGAGGAGGGTATTGTGAGTAGTGGGGTGTGTTTATTAAGAATTGAATACCGACTTTGAAGCTGCCTTTCTTTGACATCCTGTCATCATTGTGTCGATGGTAATAGAGGTATGAGAAACTGGCAAGACCATGTTGACATCCCAAATAAAGCAGGTGATTACCGTAAAGCGTTTTTTCGAATACTGAGTGGTCTCGACGGGGAGAGTTTCAATATTTTGCATTTTGCTTAGAGCGCCAGCGCTCAACTGGAATACTTTCTCTGCTATTCAAGAAAAAATGTGCTTGGCGCATGTACCTAGAGAAACCAGACCTTATGAATGTGGCCAAGGACCTAAGTAGAGTTCCCAAGGTTGTACCTTTCGTAAACAAGACTTGGCTATCCGCTGCGATGCTCGAGAGAGTGAAAAAAAAAAAAAAAAGGGACGCAACGAGCATTTTATTTTCAAGATTGTGTTTCTTCTCTTTGCTTTCTTCTGCTCTGCTCTGAGAAATGTAGACTGTAGTGCTGCCACGGATAAACAGAATTTGAAATTGAGTTTGGAATTGGAATTATATGACATGATATTTGTAGTAGCCGAACTCCGTCCGGTGTCAGGATGAACTAACTGACTGACTGAAGATGGGATGGGGAGAAATTGCATGGACGCCAAGTTAGGTGGAGGAACACCCAAGATTCTTGGGGTCGCGCTTTCTCCGCACTTCATGGCTCGGGTGATGTGATTGTGGTAGACTACTTGTAGTGCAGTACGCAGGGTACAGTGAGTTTATTTTGAGATGAGATGCGAGTTGATTTGGTTTGGTTTGATTTGGCGGAGAGTGGGCTGGGTTGGAGAGTGGGTTGGGTTGGTCATAGGACGGAATGGCTTCTTGGTGGGCGCTGGGCGGGAATGAAGAGATGATGAGGAGGGGAGTTTGGCTGGGCCACTTGGATGGAACGATGCAGATTGAGAATAAATCGTGAAAAAGGACAGGAAAGGTGGTGGTTGAATTGTAGATGTAATATCGCAACCTGTATGGGAATTTAAAGCAGCAGGTAGGTTACTTTTTGTTGAGCTTCGGGTGGAATAAACAACTGCTGCCACTTTTGTGGTCGCTTCAGGGATGAAATTCTGAATCCACCTGAGGAGCGAGAGCTGTTAGCGAAGTGAGGGCCCTGAATTCGAGACCTTGGTGAAACTTTCGGTTGCTACTCGGTGAACCAGCCAGTGAGCAGCACAGAGCCAGGCAGAGCAGTCGAGTTTAGGCTGTTGGTGGAAGAAAGGCACATGAGGAAAAATACCCTTTCTACAGCATGCTCCATTGCTGCATCGACTTGGAGATGCCAACCCGTGAACGGAAAAGGCAGAGGCGGATAGAGAGCATTCCAGACGATGGCAAGAAGTCAGGAGGGCAATTAACAATTACATAGAAAATGATGACTATTCTTAACATGTGATGTTCGTGTTGTTTGTTGCCACTGGTTACCACCGTAACCACCCACTGTCGCATTCTTCCATTCAGCCATTCCAGTTTTTCTGGTGGTGTCTCTGCCTCTGCGCAGCCACACTCGCTAACCCCCCAACTACCTACACACCATCGGCCTTAGCCGACGCGCCGGCCGAGGGCACTAGAGTTCTGTCAGCGGGTTGTGACGCACTGAAGAACCCTACTTAGAGACCCTGAAGACTCCTAAAAATAGCATTTGCAGTCTGGTCTCTCAAGTTCTCAACCTACCTGCCTAGCCTAGGTTGGTCCCGTCGTCTTGGGTGTGATCGGATCGGGTACGAGGAGACTATTGATACCGAGTGCTATTTGCATGTCTGCATGTTCATGTTCACGAGATAATGACGATGGCGGATATCGAAGCATCGAAAAGTTTTTTCACTGCACAGCCTCTTGTTGGTTTATGCCCCCTATTATTCCGTTTGTTTGAGGGAGTGCAAACAGAATAGCCGCAAGGGTCGTCCTCGTCCTCGTCCTCGTCCTCGTCCTCACTCCTCATCCTCATCCTCATCTCAGGGGACGGCTCGCCGAGCCCTCTCTGGCCCTCCACTTCTGGCTTCCTGAGCCAATCCCAGCCACGCGGGCACTAGAGGCTCTGAATGTCCGACGTGCTCTAGTCTGCATTGGACGTCTTGTAACGATCCACCCGTGATAAGCGACAGCGCTTTCACTTGATGCGTACGACTCTGTTTCACCCAGCCAATTCCTTCCATTCTGCACAAGCAGCGAATGCACTCGTCCGGCCAAACGGGGGATTGAAGCATGATGGGATAGGAGGCGCGAATGACAGGTCGTAGCGGGGCTGCCAGAGTCTTCTCTGCAACGTAGCGAGGGGCAATGTCAGAACTTTGCTCTTTGTGTCTATCTCTATCTCTATCTCTATCTCAGGTAAGGTAGGTACATCCGCGAGTACGAAGAGAGAGTGAGAATAGAACAATAGCCAAATGACCGAAGCCTCTCGGCGACGGCCAAGCTACTCCTCTACTCCTAGCCCAGTCCCGGTGGCCTCGTAATGATCAATCTGTACCTGCGTTAGGTCCATGCCATGACTCCGTGCCGGCCAAATCAGATGGACGAGATCGCCCCATGGTCCCCTTTGGTCGCCTCTGGTCGCCTCTGGTCGCCTCCAGTCTCCGCCAGGGCTCTCGTGTTCACTTCGCTGTTTGGCTGGAATGCGACTGTGGGCCCCGTTCTTGGTAAGTCTCAGCCAATCACACACACCCGCTCATGCCCTCCTACATGGCCCGTTTGAGCAGGCTGCCAACATCCCTGTCACGTTTAAGGCTGTGCCACCTGGGTCCTCGCTCCTCCCTCCTTTGCTTTAATACCCGCTCACCTTCCCTCCGTCAACACAGTTACGTCCCCTTCTGTTCCTGTCACCAGCTTCACAATCTTCTGCCGACTTCGACTTCGACTTCGACTTCGAGTTCACTTTTCCTCTGTCTGTCCACTTTCGTTATCAGTTCTTCTTCCATTCCACACACTCGTTTAAGTGTCATAAACAATCAACAAACTTCTTCCTCTTTCTCATCGACTTTTCACCCTTCATACTCTCAACCTCCGCAAGAACACGAATCATCCTCACAAACTCCCATTTGGACACATACTCGAACACATCCTCCGAACAAACATCTGAAAAAATGCGTTCTTCCGTCCTTTCGGCCACCGCTGTGGTTTTGGCTGGCCTTAACTTGGTCAATGCCCAAACCTTCACCGACTGTGACCCAACAAAGAAGAGTATGTGTCTCGAGCCTTCTTTGTAGATCAGTATACTAACCTCTTCTCAGCCTGCCCTCCCAACCCTGGATTGGGTACGACTCTCGTAACCGACTTCACCAAGAAGAGCTCCGACTGGAAGGAGGCCGATGGCACTACCCTCAAGTATGGATCCAACGGTGCCGAGTTTACCATCAGCAAGAAGACCGATGCCCCAACCATTGGTGTCAACAAATACATCTTCTTTGGAAAGGTCTCCGTCACCATGAAGGCTTCCCCAGGTACCGGAGTTGTCAGCAGTTTCATTCTCGAGTCCCAAGATCTGGATGAGATTGATTTCGAGTGGGTTGGTGGAGATACCGCACACGTTCAGACCAACTTCTTCGGAAAGGGTAACACCACCACCTACGACCGTGGAGCTACCCACCCAGTATCTGGCCCCATGGACCAGTTCATCACCTACTCTCTCGACTGGACTAAGGAGTCGATCAAGTTCTACATCGGTGATTCGTTGGTCCGAACCCTCGCCTACAATGACCCAAAAACTCTCAACGGCTTCAACTACCCCCAGACTCCTATGCGCGTTAAGATGGGATCTTGGGTTGGATGTGCTGATGCCGCTGCCGCTGCTGATGAGAAGACAAAGTGGACTTGCGAGTGGGCTGGTGGACCATTGGACACTAGCTCCGCCCACACCATGTATGTCAAGAGCGTCAGCATCGAGGATTACGGATGTGGTGGAGACTACAGCTACACCGATCTTACCGGAAGCTACCAAAGCATCAAGTCTACCGGAACTTGTGATGGCAAGGCCGATGATACCCCATCTAGCAGCTCCTCTGCTGTTGCGTCAAGCTCCTCTGCTGCCACCAAGCCAGGTGGAGTTTTGATCGAGACTGCTTCTGGTGCCGGCTCGAAGACTGTCGGCGCATCCGCAACCGGAACCGCAGTATCTGCCACCACATCTGCTTCCGCAAGTGGATCTGCTGCCACCACTTTGAGCACCGCAACTCCCGCATCAAGCACAGGCACCGCCGCCTCAGCTACAACAAGCGGCCCTGCCACAGTCACTGCCAACGCTGCCTCTTCGATGAAGCCAAAGCACAAGTACGGTGTCCTTGACATGGGTGTCATGGCCCTTGGTCTCGGACTTGGATACCTCGTCATGTAAACGGAATGACCTGGGAACTTGTTCTGGCAACATTAGAATCATCAATCATCATAGAGAGAAAGTCAAGGGGCAGGGAGTTCATTTGTTTCATGCTTGCATTTACAGCGAGGCGTCGCCTAAACAGGAGTTTAGTTTTTTTTACAATCCATCCTATACGCAATGTTCACTTTTGCTGAAGATACCCTGAGCGTGGGGAAGTGGAGGGCTTTGTACTTTTTGAATTCTGTGTGCTTGTGAGAATAGATGGGGAAAGGATGGTCGATTGATTGCATCAGGGAAGATAGATACCTGCATTGCAAAGACAGCATAGCATGGATGGCATGAAACGGAACCGAACTGCATCAGCAATGGGAGTTTACTATTGTGTAGTATAGTTTAATAATTCAAAAAACAAATCATAAAATTTGTCCGCTTCTCTCCCTGTCTTTGGTAGTTCGCAATATATCTCTTTCTATCAACCTTTGTTCATGCTGGTGCCTTTCTGTCATGTACGGACTGCGCCGAAGCAAGGCGGCAGATTCTCTTCACTCCCTGCCCTATTCTCAAGTATCTTTCCAACCTATCAAAGTCTCACAGCTAATAAATATCTCACAACTCAAACCCCTCCTCCCCCTCCCAATCGCACAACCACCTCGTCTCGATCCTCTCCTCCCTGCCATCCAACCCCTTCACACCAACGCGGATCTCCTCCCCTGGAACTAGATCAATGAAGTTGTCGTCCCAGACTGCATCTGCGTCTTCATCTTTATCTTTATCTTCATCGGAAGGATTGCATTCTAAGTTTGCGTTGGAGGAAGTGGATACCTTTGGCGGGATGGACAGCACGACGCCTTTAAGCGGTCGATCTGCTGACAGGAGTACAGAACTACCGTCTGTAGATGGCTTGACGGAAACAGATACATCTTTTGCGAAATGGATGAACTTCAATGGTTCTGGCCAGTCGACCCAGCGCGCTAGTTGGACTTGCTCTCCTTTTAAGGCAGACTCGGACTTGGATCCAGGGTTGGGATCAGAATCAGGATCAGAAACCAGGGAAGCATACAGCACAGTCGTGTCCGCGCGCGGTATATCCACCCCTTCCACAATCTCCGTCGTCTGATTCGGCCTCAGCACAATCTTCCTCTCGGCTACATCACCTGGTAGAAGAATCTCCCTCCCCGTCTCGATATCATACGCTGAAAGATGCAATACCGCTGCCAAAGCGGAAGTGCGTCCATTGACCGCCCAGATCGCCGCGCGGGTCCGACTCGCTGGGTAAGACGTTACCATGTAATTCGGTTCGCTGGTGACGAGTCTCTCTATCCCGACGACGACGGGCGCGAGCGCCCGCTTGGTGATGTGGAAGCTGGGTTTGAGGGACAGGGAACTGTCGACCAGGGCCCAGGATGTGCCGGGCCAGATGTCGTTTAGTTGCCAGACGAGGATGCCGGAGCAGAGTTCGGAGCCGGGAGGGCCGAAGGCGCGCCGCCAGTGGTTGTAGGCGTATTTCATGGCTTCGGCTTGCAGGAATTGGGTGCTGTAGATGAAGTCCTTGAGGGGGTTAAAGCGGAAGCGGAAGTTTTCGCCGGAGTACCTGGGGAGAGGATGGGGTTAGTGGGACGTTGGAGGATGGAGGATGGAGGAGGGGAAGGGGAGAGTGAGGTTGAGGAAGGGTCTGGACTTACATTCCGTAGCGACGTTGATGGTTTGGACCTTTGTCGTGGGCATCGAATGTTAGGGATCTATGACTCTGGTTAGCAGCTCGTTCTTGGTATTCCGGTAGAGGTTTAGTGATATGCAGCGAGGTGTGATAGGCATATGAAATGGGAAAGATTGAAAAGGATAAACAGCTAAGCGAGTCCGGCTCTAGAGCGTTCAAGGTGCTCATAATTCTTCCAACTCTTTTTTTGCAGCATGAAAGGAGAGTCTTATCAAGGCTTCAATTAATGGTGGAAAATGTACTTACTGCCAATGTCTCTCTCGTGGGTTGGTGATGGCTTTGTGTAGTGTGCGTATTGAAGGCGCAGATTCGAAACCAAATTCCGATACGAAGCGTGATGTGTAGGCTTTGTACTCTTGATAAGGCGCCATGGGGCCGTGCCATACTGTGTTTAGTCAGTTCTACCATCCAGCTTTCCATTGCCCCATTTTGACAACACGGGGGCACACGCGAATCCTTCCAGTACAAGATTTTAGATTATTGTATGGAGGAACAAGAGGAGATAGGTCTTACCATCCCAGATATGTGTATCTCCCACTGTGATATCGTTGCTTGTCTTGCCTCCATATGGACTACTTCGCCAATACGGCACGTCTCCAGCTAATCGTTCGCATACCTCTGGTAGAACTCTCTCGTATATCTTCCTAGCTGGGAAATTTGTGTTGTCCCATGGTCCCTCCTGTACTGTGTTAGAACTTTACTGATAAGCCATCATCCTTGAAGGTTCGCTCAAAAGAAATCATTTCCCAAAAGTGCCCAATGTGCGAGATAGAGTACCAGGACAAACCGATCCTATCTTGGTGACTTACTTGATCATCAATATCATACTCCCACCCCCACCTCTCCGCCAACATATAATCCTCATTGTTCCCCGCCCAAATCACCAAACTCGCATGATGACCCACCCTCTCAACTTGCTGCTCCGCCTCCTTCTTCACTAACTCCACAAACCCATCCTCAGCCGGGTAATCCCCACATGCAAACAAGAAATCCTGCCACACCAATATCCCCTCCTCATCACACAACCTATAGAACTCGTCGCTTTCCACTATCCCACCGCCCCAGACGCGAATCATGCACTGGTTTCCGGACTTGGCGAGTTTGAGCCAGGAGGAGTACCGAGAGGGTGTCATCCGTGGGAGGAGATAGTCGCCGGGAATCCAGCAGGAACCGCCGCAGAAGATAGAGACATTGTTTATGGAAAAGAGGAAAGATGTTCCCGGTGCGGAGGTGAGAGGGTGTTGGAGGAGTTGGAGCCGGCGGAGGCCAATGGTTCGGGTTTGGGTATGTGATGTGGAGTTTAGGGCGGCTGTCACTGTGTACAGTGGTTGAGCACCGTATGTGAAAGGGTACCAGAGTTCTGGTTTCTTGACCTTGAGAGAGGTGCTGAATGCTCCGGTGGAGGAGACGGGTGTCTCTTGTGTTAGAAGAGTAGATCCTTCAGGGGAGTTGACTGTGAGGATGATGGTACTAGAGGGTTTGGCGGAGGATGTGGTACCGTTGATGGTGATGGTTGCATTGGAGAGGTCCTCAGACACGGACTGGCGAACGAGGAATTGGGAGATGCGTTCTGTGAAGGTCTCGAGCCAGATCTCTTTCCATGGTCCACTGGTGTTAAGGGCTGGGCCCCACTATATGAATATTAGTTGAAGTTCATCTTCAGGTCAAATTGCAAGTAAGAGGTGTAATAGTATGTGCAGAAGTACCGAAGTTACAGAAGCATTCGACAAAGAGCAAGAAACGGGCGGAAGCAGGATAATCGAATTAAACGTAAGAGGAGAGAACACTTACATCCCACCCCCAATGATATTGCGCCTTCCTCACGAACAGCCTCTCCGGTCCTCCAAAATGTACATCTGTCCCATTTCCCTTATAACCAATCCTCTTCATCTCACTCTTCGCGTACGCAGGTGCATTGCTGAACCTCAACTCCAACTCATTCTCCTCTCCATCTTTCTTCAGAAGTCTCGTGACATCGACTCGGTACGAAAGGTGCATGTCACGACCTTCGAGCACTTTCTCGCCGTTGAAGTAGACGGCGACGATGGTGTCAAGCCCGTCAAAAACCAGCTCGGCATTTGACTGGGAGAGAGCTGAGGAATCACTGGAAGTGAGAAGAGGCGAGGGAAATGTGGTTCGATATGTGAAATCTGCGTCGTTAACCCAGAGGCAGTCAAGCTCGTTGGTGTCGAGGTAAGGATCGGGGATTAGTTTGTGATGGAGGAGGTCGATGTGAGCTACGGTGGGAAATTGGGATACAGGTAGCCATGAAGATGCGCAGGAGGAGTTGAGGTTTGTGGTTTGGCGGAATATCCAGTTTTTGGCAATGGCTGTGCGAGTGAGAGGCGACATGTTGAGAAATAAGAGGAGAGTCCGAGAAAATTATGTTTGGCGAGATATATATTTGATAAGAGGCACTTGACTTGACGAATTACGAAATAACAGGGCAAGATCATTCGGCTCAGAACCTCAGAGAAAGGGCAGGTGTAGTATATAAAAGAGAAGCAAGTACAGAGCCTAGTTCAGGGTATCACACATGAATGGCGGGGTTGTGGTTGTAGCGGGGTACGAGTACGCCCGAAACCCCCCACCCCAGTTGTTTACCTGGAACTCCCTTCCATAAACAGAAAGTGGGGGTTGTAATGCTGTGGAAAGAGCCATACATTGTACAGCGAATATGCGCACCCAGAGTTGCTCTGAGGAAGCTTGAGCTTGATTGTTCTGCGGCTTGCCGTATTTGGAGCGGAAGATTTGGGTCCGTTGCGACTGCGGTTACTGCATGTAACAAGTCAATAGCCGGCTTGCTTTTGAAGTTGAATTCGTTCGGCTATCCAAGAAGGAATGCCGTGGCTCTATCAGACTTTGTATGAGAGTTGAGAAAGTAGAGTGACTATCCCCGTAAGATCTGTTTGTAGTGAAATGGGGTGCTAGTTGACTTGACGCTTCTTCAAACCTGCGAATATTATTTCAATCATGGCTGGGCCCTCTCGATAGCGACCTTCTTTTATTGTACAATATCCATTGTACCTGTGGTATCAAAACGTCAGAAATTTCCATCACATATGTTGAATCAATTTCCAAGCCCACCGCCACTGTCTCGAAATGTCCTGGCAAGCCTGCTCCTCAACCTGATCCTAGCTCCAAAGAAATAAACAAAGTATATCAGAGCACATAAACCAAATGATATGAACCCAATCGTAGCCACAGCCCATTTCGTAGACATATTCTCAAACATGAGCACGCCCAAATGAGCGAGTCCAGCTGCCATCAGGAATGAAGGAATCAAGAAAGCAGCGATGGCAGAGCCTGCTACATTCGGATATGAATCAGTAATGTAGTTGAGCATACTGAGCCAAAGCAGGGGATCGGCGAAGCCCAGCACGCCACCAGCCACTATTGGAGACCAGTATCATGTCTTGCCATCGCTCGTGAATGCAAACCAGAGAAGTGTGACAGGGAATAGCCAGACTGTCACGAGTGACACGAGGAATTGCGCTTCTGGACGGTTGGTGCCATGCTTCTTCCTGTCGCGGGTGTAGAACCAGGTCTGGACTGGGATGAAGCAGAACATGATTAGAACACCGACGACGAAGTTCAGGTATGTGAGATCCGCGGAGATGATACTACTCATTGTCAAGAGGTATTTTCCTAGGGTACGAGGGAGAACTTACAACAGCCCGTTGTTGATGACAAAGACGTCAAAGACTCCATCCAGATACAAGAACAAGATACCATATGCGAATCCATTGTATATTCCCAGGCAGAGCACAATTGGCTCGCTCAGCATGATGCGGAAAGTCATCGTAGTGACGAACCGGAACTCTTTCCAAACATTAACTCTGCTTGTCAGAATAGCTTTCTCATCAGAATCAACATCTTGAGCTTTAGAAGCGGCCTTGGCAATGACCACTCGAGGGAGAGTTTCCGGGACAAAACACATAACGACTGCGAATCCAAAGCCGATTATAACGTTGATGAGGAATATCCATTTGAGATCAAGAGAGGTGTTATTGGTGATCCAGCCCCCGACAGGTGATCCAATGGAAGGCCCGACGTTGGCGCTAACAACAAAAAGGGCCATTGCTTGACCTGCGCGGTCGACATCGCCAAACAAATCCGCAATTGTACCAGCTACATTCGAGAGAGCAGTCGATCCGGCGATGCCACTGAGAAACATGAAGATAACCAGCATGGGTAGATTGCGGGCATAAGCAGTACCCTGTCCCGTGATTAGTCCCTTTACTGTATTGAAATCATCCGAAGCTTACTCACGAGGTTCAGAATTGCATAGCAAGCGATGCTCCCAACATAGACCCATTTGCGACCACCGATATCCCTATTTGGACATATATTAGCTCGGTAATGGATTTAAACGTGATACTATGCTGGACTTACGAGAGAGGACCCATGAAAGCTGGGCCGACCGCATTACCGACGATAAATAGACTTTGACCGAGGGTGACAACTTGTGTGCTTCCTCCCCATTTCTCCTGTATCAACCCCTCTGCGCCAAGATATGTTGTACTAGTCAAAGTAACAAAGACCTGGAGCCAACAGTAGATGATAATAATTCCCCATCGTTTCCAGGCTGGCCAATGCATAGGATGATGCACATCTTTTGCCTTCACAAGTTCGAACATCGCCAGTGTCGTATCTTCGTCTCGAGCTGGAGATATGGGATTTTCTGATTTGACAGTTCCACGTTCTAGCTCACGGCTTGGAACCGGAGCATTTTCCTTGTCCAAAGACTTCTGGTCGCTATGTGGAGCCATTTCATTTCCAATTGAATAAATAATCACGATTATCAATTATGGACACTACTAAATGCCTTCTCCAAGAATCGAGAAGAAATAAAGAAATTCCTCTGAGTAAAGGTTGCAATTGAACGAGAGATACGTAACAGGAAAGGGGAAGGAAAGAGCATTTACATAAACCTGCCCAACCCACCAAGCCCACAGATAGGCATATTTGGGAGTTTGTGAATGACGATTAGCACTCGCTGTACCAAACCATCGTCGAGGTGTGCCCTGTCAAGCATCCCAGACGAACTGCTAGACGTTCCACTTAGGGCATTGAATGGAGCGGGAGTCCACAAATCCTGTAGGTGGGCTCGGCAGAGGCTCGAAGTCCACTCGTCAATCTGCTTTTGCTGGAAGCGTCGGCTTTACTTCTGATTCGGGGTCTTGGCCTTATTAGGACTCTCTGGAAGGTCGCGGGTTGAAAGGGATGGGTGTTCAAGGAATGATTGTTTCGTCAGCGATGGAAAATCCCGAGAAAGCAAGTGTGGCTGATCAAACCTGCATTTGATGACTGTCAGGACTCTACTCTTCCTCGTCTGGGAAGCTAATGCTTGATTCCACTGGTCATGATACTGGGATTTTCGCTTCGGATTGGGGATCATCTAGGAGGGCCATGACTTGATATAAGGATCCAGCTGGGTATCAAGGATTTGCTGGAAAGGTGCTAAGCTTTTGCTGGATTTTCGGTTGCAAGCTCAGCGCCCAAGCGGGCGAGGATCTTGGAGCGTGTGCACGTGATGCGTTACTGTGGCGACGACGAAGCGAAGACGGTATTGATTCAAGTGGAGGTGAGTTGGCCAGGTCGATGCTAGTATAGTCGAGACCTACAAATTGTTCTCTGAACTGCCTTTGCCCTTCATTGCTGCTCATGCATATCTTGATCAAACAAAAGTTGAGCCGCTGAGGAGAAAGATCGCAAATTCATCGATTGCTTAGAGAAAATAGAATAACTTCCGTACAGAACACTCGATGGCTTATAATATGCCAGGCTAATTTGAATCACTATTCAAGGAAGCAGCAAAAGCAGTGAGAAGGTGATTTTGTAGAGCCGGAAAATAGTCGAGAAAGTCGTTGGCGTACTTGACCTGTGGCACGTATCAACGAAGTCCATGCTACTGAGCTTGAGCTTAGCTGCTCTGCGCATAACGAGAATACCTTTCAACCAGGAAAGAACAAATTGTCTATAACAACTGTGATTCCCATGCTTGTTGGGGTTTTCTACATTAAAGTGAAAATAGATGGTGTTGAGTTACAACTCTCGGGAGGCAGCCATTCCTTTCCCTGGGCCTCTTGAATCTTTCCCACATTCGTACGTTAAATCTAAAACAGCATATCCCACGGAGTTCAACAAGTTCGCTACTTTAAGATAGTCCTGAAAAGTGCGTGTGCGAGGTGATTGTCCGTCTGGATTCGGAAGTCGCGTCTGTTTAGGTTGGCGAAAACGTCCTCAATTCATCCTGTCCTGTTCCTTCTGTTCACTTTCACCATCATGCACTCTCCATCACTCCCAAGACCCAGCCCGCCTTCATTGGTAAAGACATTCTTAAACACCAGATATCGACAGACTTGCCAGTGTCTATTGCAGAAACATCGTTCTTACTGCTCTGGAATCCACCGATTTCGCACCTTCATCATCGTATTCACCCATCAACATCAACCCCAGCCCTTCCTGGCCTACGCGCGCTCCCACAACCACAACCCCAATTTTTCATTTTGTTTCACTGTCTCAAAGTCTCCCAAGATTCATCCATCACCATCCGCCAGAGTGTCCTGAACACAGGCAATTGTATTTTGGTAAGTCAGTCGGTCACCGGCCGGCACCTGCTGCAGACCTTGTCATTGCTATTAACGTTTCCAAGTATCAGACAAGCTTGCTCTTCATCAGTCCAATAATTGCTTTTGGCAAATCATCTTGCTCCTTACAATCATCCTTCAGCCGTCGGAGGCACTGCCGTCAAGCATCGACACCAAGTGTCCTGTTTAACAGCCACATCTATTGTAGGTCATCCACCACCTTACCGGAGACAACCACTGACCCATTGCACATTCAGAAGCACCCAGCTCCTACCATCCAATCGCACTGCTTAGGTAGAAGTACCACTCGGTCGTCATGGTCCGAACCAGATCCTCGCGCCATGCGCCTTTGAAGGAGAAACCAGAAGAGAAGTACCGCGCTACCGAATATGAATGGGACGAGGAACCAGACAAAAACCACCCCGCAAAGAAGCTAGAAGTCCGTAGAGCAATCGTCTCCCCAAATTCCAAGAGAGGTCGCGAATTCACAGGTTCACATTGTGATGATATCGAGGATGAGGATCATAAGGGAATTTGGAGAAAACGCGCCAAACGATTCAAGCGTAGTTCTTCGATCGAAGTTCAAGAACCCGCTGCTGGGAAATTATTCAAGAGCATTCCAACTGAGGTACGTACTTTCATTCTCTCAAATTCTCTATGAGCTCCCACACATCAAATGGAGGCACACTTTCACATCACTCATCACACGACCATGGCACGCAATTATCCACACATTCGCATATTAAGGTCCACATGCAAACTTGTGCACGAATCTACCATCTTCTACCCCAAGTCATTATAGCACTCTTGACAGCTTTGGGCACAGCTGATTTGCCTTCGATCCAGATTCACCAGTACATCGCTTTATTCCTCCCCGAAGACAACGATATTTTCCGCTACAGCTTAATCTGCAAGAAAGCATACTCCTCAATCACAGACAGTGTCTGGCGTAAGCGCTTCGCCACGGTCTTTGATGATGTCAATGGTCTCAGTCCGAGGGATGCTACTAAGATATACCGGTTCCGAAAGAATCTCTGTTTGAAGTGGACTTGCTTTGACCTCAACCAACATGGAATTCTGTTAAACAAGGATATCATAGCTTATCAGGCCAGCAATCAACGAGATGTCCTCAACGCTTTCCGAGGCTTACTTCTTGGTACGTCTTGACTATGAGTATGTACTGCCAGCACATGCTGACCGTATTTGACAGAATCGAATGCCTGCCAGGTCAAAAATCGATACTATGGTCACGTCTTTGTCGAGGGACGAAACTTGAAGTTCATCAAGCACCTACTCGAAGATGATGTTGATATTGTCGACGCGATCTTCAACACGAGCTTTGATAAGGACACCAATGATGCCTCCAGCTTCAAAAAGATTGTAACGGCTGATGCAACAGACTCGCTCATTTACGTCATTCAGCTCTTACTCACTCCATTCTCTCTGAATCGAGGCTGCTGCAATGGCAAGGTTGGACATTTCGATATCTCTCAATACCAAGCGTACTCCACAGCAAAAGTACAGCCAGTTTTCAAGGGTCTTTATAAGCAACAAGTCAACATTCGTTGGCTCCTGCACGTTGTCAACTTCTTCAAGTTCCACCTGAAGTCGGAAGGTGAGGGACTCCTCGCGCATGAGTATCGACTCCTTGAGAATGACGAGTTCCCCCAATTCTGGTCCGGTCATATCAAGGGTGGAACCCAACCACTAGCGCGTCACTGGAAGAGTGCACACAGTAAGTACATGTCCGACACTACATTAATTTACTGACACGATACCAGTGTACATGGAGGAAAGAACTTTGGCGAGCTTGAGAGCATGGGATGGCCACAAGAGCGTAGTCCACACAGACTCCTTGGATGGTAATGAGTCTTTCGAGGTAGGGGACACACATCTGCAACCCTGAATGTAGCTAATCCATACCCAGGACATGGATCTGTTTTTCGACAAGGACACGAGCCCGAAGTACAATTGGCCCAAGAACTTCGAGAATTTGCTGTGCAGCAATCCGTTCGAAGATCCAGCTCAACAACGCAAAGCAAAGATAGCTCATGTTTTTCTGGAGAACACACCTGGTGCGAAGCAATTCTGGGGCAGCTGCAGAGGCTCGCAGACCGGACATGTTTTTGGCCGAGTTCACGCTTTGACAACTCAGCAAGGCTTCCATGGTTTCCAACGCCTGACAATGATGAAGTACTACACTGAGAAGGATACCAACGGTCACGACATCTATGATCCATTCCAAGTTTGGTGCTACGAAGGCTGTGTTCTGCCAGGTGGTCGCATTGTTGTTGGCCGATGGTGGAGTGCGCTCGGTGATCCCAAGTCTTCCACCACCAACTCAGGCCCTTTTCTCTGGTGGAACGTTCATCGAGGCGGTGTTGACGAGATTACGGAGAATGAAGCTATCGAATTCATGGACACTTACGCTGATCTGATGTCCTCTCCCATCTAGTCAACCAATCCGCCAACGATACGAGGGGAGAGTCAAAATCCGAGAGCAACAACACAGTCCCAGTAGTCAAACTAATTACTGAATATCTAAAACATCACCGTAGACCATGCAGACTTGATTCTGTCATCTGTTGTGTCAGGTCTTTGGCCCCAAAGGTCAACGAGCTTTTGTCTAAGATTTTATCTTCGCCCTTCGACACTTCATGCAGTCGCATAGGGCTCCAAGCTTAGCCATATGATTTTCCATTTGAAAGTTGCTTATCCGCTCCTTCATGGAGCTCTGAAGACCGATAACCAGCTGCTTCACAAGCATATAGCCCAGCATGTTCTTTCCTTTGAAAAGTTGCATTTTGCAACCCACTCTTTTACATTTTCTTGTCATATTTTGACGCACACACTCTTTTGATTTATGGTTGCATGATGGATAACGAAAAAAAGAATGAATCTGGATAGCGGCAAGATCAGTGGATGAATATACGCAGAATGACTTGGCTGATAGAGAGAGGTCATTGGAGTTTGCTTGTAGCACAGCATGCTACCCGTAGATTCCGTTCTGGAGCCAATTGACTTCTTCTTCACATCTCAAAGCTTCATGATTGTGATTTTTGTGAATCTGATTGTGGTATGTTGATAGCCTGGGCCGATCGCTTCGTACACGCCTGGTTTGAGGTACTGCAAAGTAAGCTGCCATGGTGATCTCACTAGGTAGGTAGTTTGGGTCGAAGTGGGGCGAGTGGTCAAGTCTCGCTTAACGGAAAATTATAGGAGAGATCCCAAAGGCCCAAAAAAGTTCTGAGAGGCCAAAAACTTTCTAAGAGCTCTGTCAAAGTATAAAAAGTCCTTAAAAATAGCCTTATGGGGCAGATGATATTTCTGGTATGCTGGAGATGTGTTTTAACAAGTCAATACACAGTGAAGAGGGTCGAGGGTGGGTTTTGGTCACCGTCGCTGGCTTGCTGGCGACCTCAGGGACGCAACTTCCCTCGTCGACGAGTATGCTGGCATGGGCGGGTGCAGAAAAGACACAGTTGATAGTGAGTTGGTAGATGGGGCCCGAAGTCCAGGATCGGCTGTAGATTTTATGGGCTGATGAGGCAGCGACTTCATGGCATAAGTTGCTGTCAGTACACTCCAGGGTCCATTCCAAGGCAGTACAGGAAGATGGGCAAAATTATCAACATAGCTGGCAAGTACAGCAAGCGGACAGTAGAAGAAGACCAATACGGAAGAACAGCAAGGAAAAAGAAGAGCAAAAAATTGGAGGGAATTTAACCCTTGAAAACCCCCCGAAAGAGGCTTCGATCAACACCAGTTCCCCAAGCCAGCTACCACCACCTCCTCACTGCCCTCTAACAGCCATCCCCTTCCCCAATTCCTCACTACCACCACCATCTCACTTCCAATCCTCCCAACCTCCGCTCGGGGCTCAGACGGCGCCTTGCTTCGAAGTCCCTATCACTCTCCTCCCCTGAAATCCATCTCACTACCCTATAACAGCCCACCCACTGACCCCTATCCTGCCTACCACCACCGCCTCACTTCCAGTCCTCCCACCCACCGCTCGGGGCTCGAGTGCGCCTTGCATCGTCGGAGGAGGATCGTTCGTTCGTGGTCGTCTCGGGGCTCGAATGCGCCTTGCGTCGGGGGGAGGGAGTCCCTGTAACATATCAGCTCACTCACTGAAGGTTAGCCTCCAGAGCCTGATAGTGATGACCGCCCAACCTCAAGACAAGGTTGGTGTTGCGCGATCCTTACACCTGGCTGTTTTGCTTGGTTTGTTAATAGTACTGTCATATTTCGATACATATTTGCTCTGTTTGCTTGCCTGGCGGCGTTATTTGGGTACTGAACTCTGCTACGGGAATGGTTCTTGCAAGAGCCCGTGAAATGCCGGGTCTAGAGGGAGATGGGTTAGGAGAGGTTGGGTGAGGCGTAATAGGGGATGATGTAGGAGGGGAGGAGGGTGATGGACCGTGCGTGTGGTGTTGAGGCATCATGGGACGGTGTATAGGACGAGAGTGCTATGTAACATGATTAACGATCGAGAGATGTGAGGCCTTGTTTGTCTGGAAACTCCTTCCACGTATTGCTATTACAAGAGGGAGACGAGGAGTTATAAACTTAACTTTCCATCATGCTCTTGTGTGCGCACATGCTTCGGGAATGGCATATTACTGCCGATCGCGACTCATGGAAGCTACGACTGGATAACGTAGAGACAACGTGCTCTCATGTGCCTGATCTGCAACAGGGCTGACATTGCTTTGCAAAAAGTCATAAGATAGAGCATAAGCAGCTTACTTGCCAAGCTCGTAGCACTTATGGAGAGTTCGATCGTAGCTGGCAGGACGTATGATCCACGATAGTTGGCATAACACAGTGTGATAGGGACATTGTGGTCTTGAAAAGTCTTTGATTCTACAAAAGGTTTTGACAGAATGACATCTCGGACTGTAAAGAAATAGGGAGGAAGGTGCGCGCAGTCCATTTACAAATAGTATTTCAGTGTTAGTGTTAAATCTCGTCATTGGGATTTGGACTGGTAGCGTCTGCTTAATACAGATGAACAGAAACTCCATTGCGTACTGCTGGCAGAACGACGACTAATTTACGGTACAATAATACGAGAGGAGAGTATGTGACAACCTTGGATACTGGCGATAGAGCCATAGGGGCAAGACTGATGTACTTGCTTCATCACAACTATCTGGCGGGATAGGTGACGTGCTTGGACAATCGAATACAATACAAATTGCGCATTGTCTAATGCTCGCACAGGTGAGAGCAGGATGGAACTTTACTTTGCATTTATTTTGGGTTCACCTGTTGAAGGAACTCAAACGGAGCCATCTTTGATGATCATTGCTTGCGAAGTCCATCAACACAAGTGTCCCAATTCAAAGTAAGAACTCTGCTGTTCTAAGAGATTGTAGGCTAGCAAGGAGTCGCGCAGAATATGGCATGGGAACAGTCGCCCAAAGAAGCAAGCCATACTACTCCAAATGTATCCCTACGTCTGACTAAGAGCTTCGAGGACTGCTAAAGTGACTCCTTGGAAGATGGCAGGTCCAGGCCAAGACTAAATTTCTAAGATCAAAGAGAAATTGACGGCCCAATTCAAAAACACTGGCAAGAGGAATGTCTGAAAAATTAGGCATATAAAATAGCAGATAAATGGCAGTAAATAGTAGCATGATGTGTGAAAAGCAACAAATATATGGTGTTAAGTAGATATACCACGCCTCACTACGTCCAGATGCCTTGCACCGGGGCTTTCATAACCTCTTGTCATTCAAATGCTAAGCTTACAAGCTTTTCGTTCCCCGAAACGCCATGACCTATCCTCCTTGCGCGGATCTACCATGTTCTATCACTCCTCGATAGTCTTCACACATTCCCACTCTCCCCTCAGGTTCTCCTTCCACAGACTGACTTTATTATCTCCTGCACTGACTGCCAATACGTTCCCGCTCAAACTCCAGCTAACTCTCCAGAGTACCACGTCAAAATTCAAGACCTTGCTGTTCCACACACCTGGTTGGCTAGGATCACTCGTCCAGATCCGAACCGTCTTATCCTGACTGGCAGACGCGATATAGCTCTTTTGGAGGACTGTAGGGGACCAGGCTACGTCACGAACCCAATCTGTATGACCCGTCAATGGCTCTCGCTCCTGTGTGTAGTTCTGCGACGCAGCATCGAAGCTCCAAAGTCTCAGCATATTGTCGCTTCCTCCTGTAACAAATCTTCGTACGCCTCCCTGACCGCCTGCGCTCGAAACCAGCGAACCAGGACTTGTGCTTGGTGCCCAGGAAACAGAATTGACTCCAATGCCGTGCGCGTGGAAGATCTTGTGGTCCATCGAGTTATCCTTGAATTCGAGAACAGAAACCATGCCATCAGAAGAAGCGCATGCAAGCAAGCAACCAGATTCGTGTGGTGACCAGGAGATGATGTTTACGGATGCAGTGTGCAAAGCGAAATCGAAGACTCTGGTCCACGTCGTGCCTTGTTCGCGCCAAATGAAGACTTTGCCATCGTAGCTGGCAGATGCGAGGATATTGCCGTACTTTGGATGCGCCCATGAGACCGACCAAACGGCGCCTTCGTGACTTCGAGCCTGTTAGCTGTTTGTCGGACAAAGTGAGTGGAGGTAAGACTTGCCCTTTGAGGGTTTCTGTGAGACGATGCGATTCGCCCTCTACCTCAAAGATCTTTACTGTCTTATCGGAAGAGCATGTTGCAAGTCGCCGGCCGTAGTAATCTAGGACTGCATCGTGCTGGAAAGGCCGTTAGTCTTCATTCGTCTAGAAGACTTATGGATGCGACAGGGCTTGAGACGTCCAATTTATGTGGGATTCAAAACTTACAATCATATCATCATGCCCGGAGTTTGAAATAACTTGTGCCATCTTGACCGAAGGTGTGGAATGTTGTGGTCAAGGTGGTCGTGGTATCAGAGCTGTTCGAGAAACGATATCAGAGCTTCAAGCCAGGTTGTCTCCAGAAAGTCGTAACGGAGAATGCCGAACGGCAGGGCCAGGTCCAGCCTTCCGAGCCCGAGGAAATCCCGAGCTCGGCTTGTGACTTTGGCCCGTTCGACTTCATCCACTTTCGCGGAGTGTATCAACTGCACTTCACTCAAATAACATATTTCACTTGCACGCAGCTTTCAACTGTATGTTTAAAGACCATTGTATATTACACTAATAGGTCTATTCCTTCCTTAGCACCCACATACCACCGCCTCTGGATAAACCTCGGGAATCCGGACAAAGAGACAACGTGCCTCGGCTCATTTCCACCGCGAATTCGCCTTCGAATCAAACAACCACCACTTCCACACTTCGAACAAATCTTCAAGTAGCTCCTCGAACAACTTTTTGATACAGTGGAGACATCAAGCATTCACCATGGCCGACTCCATGTGTGGACCTTCAAATGCGCTCCAGAACTTCCAGAAGCATAGTACCGTAGACCGGACATTGCAACAAGACCGCCTAATCTCGCGGCATTCACCTGCGCAGGTAGAGTTCAGCTTTGATCCCTTGACGCTTCAGTGGGACTGACTCCTCTAGGGCTTTCGTTCCTCTCCTGGTCCCAATGCCGGCCTTCTAGATCCAGATTTCGAAGCGTTCCAAGCAGGGCAACTACCTCTTGACCAGAGCCACCAACCACAAGGCTTCTCACACGCTCCCCAGAACTTCCAACAGCCCGTACCCTCAGGCTGGGCATCCGACTTTCAACAACTACATATCTCATCTCCACCTCCTCAGTTCCAACGACAACCGTTCAATCCACAAGTACAACAAAGACAAAATGAAGGAGGGTGGCATGAAGAGTTCGCACGGCAGCAAGGCCAGATGTCGGGAATGGGTCAGATGCCTAGCCAAATGAATCCTCAATTTCGGCCTATGGGTGGGCTAAACATGACATCTCAGTATATGGGAGGCTTTGCGCAACCCCAAGCAAGCATTTCAGCGTCTCAGCAAACACAGCAGCCTATAGAGGCCTCCGATGAGGCATTCGCTCGGGCATTCGAGGAAGCAGAGAGAGCAGCGGCTCTCGAGGCCGGTCAGGAGACGAGTCAAGAGCAAAGTGTCGAAATGGGCCAAGACATTCTTATCAATGAATCTGCAGAGAGACTTATGGAGGATTCTTCCGATTTACTGGACCAGCAACGAATTGGCGCAGACACAATCCACGATCCTCTAGATCAAACGTCAGAAGCACGAGAGCAGCAGAATAATCCAGATGATCTGTCCAAGACTGCCGGTCAGTTGTTGAATAGTGTGCAGAAGGACCAAAGTACCAAGTTTCAAAACAGTCAATTTCTACAGTTGATGCGTTTGTTTAGAGACAAAGAGGCTACGGTTGAAGGTGATCAAGTTGTGGCGCTCGGGACGGGGATGCGTCAAGATGCTCTGAAGGTCACACCTTGACCTTATGTATTTTAGGACAATCATTCTGACTTAATGCGCAGAAACAAATATTAGAAGTTTCAAAAGCACTTGAAGACATTTATTGTCAGCGAGAGTGGCCAGACTATGGGGAGATGCGGCTTGCTCGTTCCGTGTTCTATTGCTTGTTTGAAATTGAGCGCCTAGGAGCTCTCATGGAGCTAGAAACACTCAAAGACCTTACAGCGCCATTCAATGCCGTCCAGCGCACATTTGACCAAAATTTCTTCCAAGACAGATTTCCTTTCCTCGTAAAAATGGCCCGTGTTGCCACACACAACACCTTTTACCAGCTCCGAAATGACCAAGCAAGCCTCCCCTTCAAGGGAAAAGCTGCAGATATTCGAGCAGCAAACACTGAAATCGACAACAGTCTTTCGACATGTCTTTCTGTCCAGTCAAATGAAACAGCACCCGAACACGTTACCTACCTCCTCTCTGCCAGCCTTCCAAGCGAAATATCCTCCGTCCTCAACGTTCTACCATATACTTTCAAATCAAGCCAACAGCCTGAAGAGATGAGAGACATGGCGGAGGAAAGCATTGGAAGGGTAAGAATGAGAGAAGGTTTTGTGGCTTGAAATCGCTTCATTTGGAGCAGCGAACCTTGTGTGTTTAGAAAAGATTTGGATCTGGATTTGCTTTGATGGCGCAGCCAACCTTGTAAAATATCAATGTTACGGTGCACAGATCTTATTATTGGACTACATAAGAAGGGAACGTTTCAAGTAGTTTACTACAGCTACGATCGGACGTCAGAATACGTTTGCTATCATATGGGAAGAACATTCACTCGAATGCAATGTTGAGGTAGTGCAGGCTTGCATACAGCTTTATGGTGGGACAGTCGATTGTTTACACTTCAGGTTACGAGTGAGCAGCTACAAACACACGCCCAGCGGATTCAGACTCCCCGTAAGTACGACACGCCGTGTGTCCCGAGACCGAGCATTGAAGCCGCATCGACAAATGCATATAGTCTACTCTCAAGATCTGGTCCCAAGCCACCAGGTGGCAAGTTCATCTATCCAGCCTTGGCGAGAGGGTTTTCCAGACGGAAGTGCAGGGGAATTCATCCAGAATTAAGCGAGCCCCTGTGATTTCCTCCTGGACATCGCGGGGGAACTTCTTCCTGTATGCTGCGAGGCTGTGAGGCCAGCAACTCGGAACATTATGAACGGTTTCTAAATATACATTGGAATCCGGAGGCCAAATTGAATCTTGGTCTTGTCGATGTCAAGCTTCATGCGCCAAATGCAGTCCAAAGTTTGGATGGACAACTCAATTGGATTGGGCGGCTCTGGGCTAAGGTGTCAAGATAGGCTGATATGCTCGATGGGAAGGTTACATGGCATTTTATACGATGTGCGTATATTGCAGTGTCCAGATCTTCAGTCTTCTCACCTTGCAGTCGGGCATCAGCTTCCGGTGCGGAGATGGGACAAGTATGAAATAAATACTTGAGAACGGGAGCTTTGGTGACTTCGAAAAAGCCAATTCGTAACACTGTCTCCCAGTATCTAATTTCCCAGCGGTGAGGATGAAGACTCAACAATTCTTAGTTGGAGCAGCTCTCCTGAGCTCATTGGGAGACTGCTTACCACAGATTCTGATCCCCAACAGATCAACCGCCAAAGTATCTATCATAACAGGTGGCGCAACACTTGGAGATCCTTTCACACTTCCACCGGGCTTTAGTCTCCCACCCGGTGTTACACTTCCTCCAGGTTTCACTATTGGGACTGAGATAACAAGATCCGGGACTTTGCCAGGCTTCACATTCGGGACACCACCAGGGACAGTAAATCCTCCACATCCAACATCCACGAAACGGCCGACAAGCTCAAGCATCAAGACAACGTCTAGCACGAGCACAAGCACGACGTCGCCTCCTCCGCCAACGACGAAGAGCACGACCAGCACTACGAGCACGACATCTTCAAGGTATTTACCACCAACTTCTACAAACAAAAGTGGTTCGTCGACTAAGTCAACCCGCAGTACCTCGCCCCCTCCGACGCCAACGACTTCGAAAACAACTTCCACGAGCAAGAGCACCACCCCGCCGATTACGCAGCCCCCTACGACGTCGAAAACTTCGTCGACGACCAAGACCACGTCTCCTCCAGTTACGACAAGTAAGTCTCCGCCATCCTAAATTTATGTGCCCCGATAAGAAGGAGAAACATATGCACTGACACCCTCGCAAGCCGCCAAACTCCCCGCCTCGACCAACCCCTACAGCGCCGCTTGTCCCATCCCCTCAACTTACACAATCAACAACTTCATCTCCTATGATGGACCAGGAGGCGATGTAGCTTTTACCATCAGCTATGGTGACGGCGTATTCACGTGCCCGAATAAATTCGAGCATTCGACTTCGTCTAATGGACGGTTTACTTTGGACTGTGATGATGACGGCTTGGTTAGAGTCGTGACAGATGGATTCTCGTATGTTTATGTAACGGAGAAGTTCTGGTGTGGGGAGGTACCAGGGTGAGTTTCCCATGTCTCTTTACTTTTCTTCCTCTCCATTGTTCTCATTAAGATTTCCGAGGGAGCACAGAGGGGTGAAAAGTACAAAGATAACCGAGGAAGTACTGACAAGAGTAAACAGACCGGCGGGATCATATGCCACCCTCCAATCGTCAGCAAACTACACCTTCCCAGCTGATACATTGTTCTGCGACACAGACGATATGTAAGATTCCCAAATATCCACCTTAGATATAGAATTACACTAATGTCCCCCAGCAACATTCGCACCTGTCTCCAACTCGACCCCGACATCGTCATCCCAGCCCAAACTTACAGTGCAGGTGGCACAATCTCGTTCACTCCTCTCGACACCGAAGGCAATCCACTTCCCCAATGCCCGACGGTCGTTTCGACGCAGCCGGTTGTGACTGATCCGGCGACGTGTGGGGACCCTGAGCCCACGACGACGGGGAGGGGAACGACGAGTGTGAGGTTTACGCAGACGAGTACGGTGACTATCAATGTGTGATTTGGTAGGCTGAAATGCAGGAACTGAAGCCGGGATGGAAAAATAGTTGGGTGGGGAATGGGGGAATTGTATATACGTGGAAATAAAATGCTACCATGTTATTAGACAATGCGATATGCTATGGGAACGTAGAGCTTTTTCATGGTCTACTTATGACTAGTTGCGTGCTGTGAATTCGGGTTGAACTTTATCTGCGATTGAGTTTCTCGCTAACTTCACTTGTCAACAAAGAACATCACACTCGACTGCTGCAAGCCGAGTGATTAAACAGACGATGGAGTTACGGCAAGGGAGTCTAGTCACTGTGCTTTCTTATTGTAGATTCTTCTCTGAACGTACGAGTCGTCACAAGAGGATAACGAAAGTAATCATTGTAGGAACAGACATTATCAGAAAGCATTTCATATTCGTTTCCGACTCTCCACTAACCGAAAACAATGTTCCCCGTCCCGGCCTCGACAATGTAGTACTTTACACAACCATAGCAGGGATGTTGATCTTATCAATAGACCAAGTCTTGCCGTCAGCAGAGTTCTTGAGTCCACTGTAAGTCGTTCCTTGGGATGTGCTCAAAGTCTTTCCAAAAGAAGTGTCCGAACTTGCAAGGGTAATAACGGTATTCTTGTAGGTCTGAGGTGCGATAGTCCCGCTGCATCCATCGTTACATTCGGTCCCAGTACCCCATCTGGAAGCAGTCAATAATCTGTATAGATCGAGATTGAGGACGAGGAGATCATACCCAGTCATGGGGCCAGATGCATGGCTGAAAGTAGACAGAAATGCACCAGTGACGGCATTAGTAACATTTCTAGTTTCCACGTTAGCTAGAGAACTTTGAGAGCAGGAACAGGAAGCTTTGTACTGGTTCCAGATCTTTCCATCGGCACTGCGGGAATACTCGATGCGGACTTCATCGTTGCTCTTCACAACACCAGCTACACCATCTAGCTGACCAAAGCTGCCGAATAAGGAAGCCCGGACACACCTTCCAATGAACCTCGTCAGCATTATATTCCAGATTATCATTCCCTTCACCAGTCTGCTTGCCTATGAAGAGGTATGAGGACAAAAAGAACTTACCATTGCCCCTTTGCCGCACCACACCATGAATTATCTGGCCAAGACTCAAGCGTCGTCTGTATCAAATCACCCGTTCCATTCGACATCCCAGGCCAAAGGAAGAGCACCCCGTTCTGAGGGCTGGGAGCTTTGCCTGGCACGAGAGTGGTGACTGCGTGGACGATGTTGGATTTGGTGGGTCCGAGGGACAGAGCACCTCCCCAGCTGTCACGCTGGATGAGACGGCCAGCGGAGGCCTGGGTTGCGAGGAGGACTGTGAGGAGTGGGAAGATCATTTTGAGGGGTTGGGGGATTGGGGAATTGGGATATGCTCAAGTAGAAGAGGGGTTTGGATTGACGGGGAAGATCTATGTACAATGGAAAAAGGAGGTGGTGGGCGAGGAGCTGGATCGTAACGAGTGTGATGTGTCTTCAAGACTTTGGAAACGAAAGGAATCTTGCTTATTATATACTTACTTCGTCGAGCCTCCTCGTGGTGCTCACTGCTTCCAATATCCGCCAACGAACAACAATAGGTGAGTACTGTGCCTGCGGAAACGAGATTCCACCCATCATACAACATACCGGGGAAGCCCAAAAACAGGACTCTGTCGGTCACAGCTCTTTCTGGATGATCGCTTGATCATTGTTTGCTCAACTGCTGAAGCTTATTTCACATGGTGTCCAAGTTTGGAAGGTGCAACTTTTAGCTGCAGTTGCAGGCTGAATTCGGACGGAGAATCCGATGTCCACGTTCAACTTGGGAAGTTCAAAAACATCCAAAAGAGAAATAATATGCAGAACTACTGCACCCCGCTTCACGTTTCCCGGCTTCCAACTAAATGCCGTGGTTTTCTACGTAATTTCAAACCCGGATGCGGCACATAAAGCTTAACCGCAGGGGAGCCTCAATTCCCCTTCAATCTGCCGATGCCAGCTCGAGAGTCATAAATTTTCCCCACCTATCGGGGCTGTCAAGCCTGTCATGGTGGTTGGACTTTTCAGCGAAACATGATTCAAGGATAGGTCAGGGATTGCCTTGCGAGATGAGGGTGGTTACTCCGAGGAATAATATGAGAATGGAAAATTCTGCGAAGATGATCCACCACTCAGTGGTAATTCATCTGTGAGGGCTTGGAAAGACTGGAGAGTGGAGTTTTGGAAGGAGGGTTCTTGGATGGTCGGATTGTTTGGATTAGGAAGAGCGGAGCGGGGATGTCATTGTGGAGAAATACCTGTCATCAACGAGAAGGAGAAGAGGTAGAGCCTAGAAGGCAATGTAAAACGGGGAGGAAGAAGTAAAAATAGATAATTTAACTGAGTAAAACATTTGGAAGTCGAATTTGGTAATGAAAGATGATGGACTGAGAATGGATCCTCTGCACTGTACAACCAGTAAATCAACTGTCCTTGGGAGAGGATAGCCTCATTGTCGGTGCAATGAGTAAGGGAGTAGACCTGACATCCAAAAGGAAATGTTGTATGCGATCTTCTCTAATTGCTCGATCCTAGATCTATGGAAAATAGGAGGGCAGTTTCTAGAAACCCTAATACACACTGTCTGAAGTTGGTCAAAGAACTTTGATGTTTAATAGTGAGTTTAGCAAACCAAGCGCTGCAAGACCTCTCTGGCACAATCCACCCCCGGCGTTGGTGGCTTTTCAACAGTGTATCGTGCTTTGAAACCAGATCAAGATTCAGCTGACGATCTATCGATCCTATTTCTATTTTCCTCTCACGAAAACTTAAAGCAAAATAACGCAACTGGGTAGCCGGGTGCGGTCCCTACCATGATGAGGTTCGTGTTGATCAGATATTTCATCTTGTTGGTCCACGTGTGCCGTGATAATGATATCCGATCGAAAACACCAACAAACAATGTAACACAATCACAAAAACAGCAAAGCCATTGTCGTCCAAGTCACTTGCTCCGATCGCCTAGATTAGGGGTCTCAGAGGAGATATAGTTTTGAAACATTTGGGCAGAGTGAGGCGGTCGTGCCGTATGCACCCCAGTTTTCCCGTCACCTTGGAACGCTGGTTGATATTTGCCAGTATGCTGTTGGCATAAGTACCACGATCACCTTTTGGGGAAGGTATGTTTTGTTTTGGAGGATCGCCCGGTTATTGAATCGTCGTTCTAGCGCAAGGGATGTGACACCGGAGCTGTCTCCGGTGTTCCAATTGATGGATGTCTGTCTGTGTCTCATCGCCATAGATCTCCTAGAGATCTTATGTGACTGTCATAATTACACGTGGAGATGCCACTGCCGTTCGTGGTGAGATCTGCGCGCCTCTTCCATTCCAAGTTCAGATCCGGAGAAGCAATATGTGGAAGCTATCAAGACTGAACCACCGGGCTGGGAAAAACAAAGCAAGACGCAAAACGCAATTCGATAGGTATCACAAATGACATCGATCCATCACACAAAACGAGAAACAAAACACGATAATGTAAAATTGGCAACCGCGCGCTACCAGACGTCCGGTACGACAAGAGCAGCACAAGCAAAGATAGAATTACAAGGAAGAGCCTTTTGGCTTGGCCACTGACTCAAACTCAGTGTGAGCTCGTTCGTGGGTCCGGATCATCATAATGAATTGCAAAGCGGAACGCCGACCCTGTCTGTGCCATTCGGGATGCGTTTCGGCTGAAGATCTCGGAGGAAATGAAATGAGCTTCCCAGGAGAAGTATGCAGGTACGCGTTGAGGAATGGGAGCGGATTGGATGAGAGAAGGGCAGAGTGTGGTATTATAGGAATGGAAGCGCGTGATATGTGGTACAGATGCTCCGTTGCACGTGGGAAGAGAAAGGGGCTGGCTTCCTTCGAGGAAGATCCATAGTACCACACGTGATCCGCCTCAATTCTTAATCCTTCCATGATACCGTGCCGTCTTATCACAAGGAAGCAGGAAACAATGGGGAGGCAAGTTCTGGAGGGATGTCCGATGTGACTTGGATTGGGCAGACTTTAGGGTCATGGCGAAAGATAAACCTAAACCGTCTGATTTGGCAAGACGTAAGATTGAAGAAAGAACCTCCGCAGGAACAGAACGTCAAAAGTCAAGACATCAAGGGAAGAAAAAGTCTAGTCAGAAGTCCAACTCTAAATCCCCTGACATCGGCATAACAAACGTCTTGTATTCGCAACGATGTTCTCTTCTGAGTAAGATGTGGGGGATCCGAGCACCATCAATCCTTGAGGCTAAAGGTTCAACATTGGGGCTGATCCGGGTGGCCTCCTCCCATTCGACCTGTCGGGACAGGCAAGGCAAGCTAAGCCAATTGCTGGGATTGGGATTGTCGGATCTAAAAATACTTACACAAATAGAGAAATGAAATAGCGATTTGGCTCGAAGACAGCCGATCCCTTGCTTCAGGGTATCGCGTGGTTCCTGTCGTAGAGTCAAAATTGCGCACGCGGCGGAACAACTGATTGGTGCATCTGTGTCAGCTTTCGATTACCTTAAGGATTGCGAATTGCGAAGAGAGTGAAGAGACGCGAGAAGTGGCGTCGAATGATAATGCTGGCTTAAAAAGTCCAGTGATTGCTGCTGAAATGCAGCGGGCGGGCTTTGGCGAGATGACGCCGTTATGCCCTGCCCTGCCCTGCCCTGCCCTGCCCTGCCCTTTGGCTTCCTCCTGCCAGTTTCGGTGGGAATAATAATGTGATAGGGGTTCACTCAGTTTTACATTACCTATTGAACGGCAACTCCGTGCCTGCCTGGCTGCTGCTGCTGGGCGAACAGACCAGACCAGACGGGGAGGAGAAAATACCTACGGCGGTACGAGTAGTCGCTTTCAATTCTGAGGTGCTTCTGCGGGTTTGACAGAATGGAAAACAGCAAGAATCCAAGCCAGAAGTTTCCCCTCCAAGCATGATGCTTCTTTTAGGTCTCCATATTTTGGCTTTTGGAGCTGGTGCCGGGGCTCCGTGCCTTGGTGGAAGGGTGGGGTAGAGTGCAGCTCTGGAGAACTGTGGGTTGCGCTGCCTAGGTAAATAATATTTGTAGAATAATAATTGTTGTGAATTTGTGCAGGCCGGATGACATAAGTCGTGTATGTTTCGTGTTGCTCTACAAGTTGATTGGCTGCTCTAGTACATAAAAGGGGTCGTCTATTTCACGCGCATCCTGGTCGATAGCGACATCCAGCCCAGCCCAGCCACCAGCAAGATCTGTGAGTGCTCATCGGGTTATAAAACCTGCAAGGTAAATCTCAGACCCTGTCAGATCCTGGCTCAGATCATACAGAAAGCGGTGGATGGGGATGCGTACGGTTAGGTTGTTTAGTCAAAACCTGTTCTTGGTGGCCTTAGCTTATGCCTAACGCTCGTTGCTTTTGAGCCGATGAGGAAATGTTTGCTGGTGTTTAGATTGCCAATTGGCCGTAGCGTTCACGATGTCTACATGGGCGTCTGATGGAATTTGGAAAGTGTGGTGTGTTCCGAGGTGGTGTTGTGCGTTGTCAAGCTCCATGCCCTGTCCCAGACTGACGGACCTTCGGCAATTTGGAGATATGTGGTACTCATCTGGATGCTTCGAGCAGCTGAACCTCCGAAGGGAGGAGTTTTCCTAAACTTTGCCGAGCAGCAGCGGAGGTGTTTTGGTGGACGAGCTTTGCCTTTTGAACCAATCCGTGGCGGTTGTATGAGAATGTCTCGCCATTACTTTGTCCACCTTACGTCACATCCACATAGATTGTATTTTGCCTGTGCTCAACCTGTAATAATGTCTCAACGGACATTTTCTTCCCCGTGGTTCATGTAAAGGGCGTCCCCGCCGTTGAGACTAGCTTGAGGTCAGAGCGAGGAAGAGATACTGGCGGGTCAGATCCAATTGTCCTGATCTGGTGTGTGAACGTTGCATACAGACAAACGACAATAACAATGCATTACTATGTCTGAGAACAGCTCCTCAATTTTTCGACCTTGCTTGGCAAGCTGCAGGTTGAGAAGCGCCTCGATGTATCTTGAGCGAGTACATTCCCACCGGGCTAGATAGCTTGGTCATGGTGCAGGCCATGGCAGGGAAACGAGGTATTGGGCCTCTGCAGGATGGGCGATGAGCAATTTGATTGGATTCTGGGAACACGCGACTCGGCGTGATCTTACAAAAGTGACGGGCACCTACTTCCTAATCCATATACGATAACACTGATTGTGCTGCGGGTGCGGGCATTCCACAGTCGACGGCGATCCGGTGAGTCTTCACGTCAACTTCTCAATGGAGCTGCAAACGGGTTGATATCAGGTTCCGAATACCAGTACAAGCTCTCAGGGCCGGACCTGGTTTAGATGCCAAAGCCATGATTGAGTTTCTCGAGAATCAGAGCTGGTTCGTTGCACATGCTTGAGAGGGCAAGTTGAATGCGTTTAAAACCAAAGGAGGGGTCGTCTGGGCGGATCTCTGGCACAGCATATCCGGTCTGGTGGAGTGGAGACTTTCGAAACTAGTTGGGGTCAGCGGCTGGAGGTGGAGATACTGCTAGAGCGCAGTTACATCGTCTACGGGAAGGACGCAGGTTTCTTGTTTTCAGGATGGACCAAGAGATTCAAGAGCAGCGCTTTCTTGATGGCTGATTATCAGACGATGGCTGCATCATGCAGTCAAGAGCTTCTTGGGAAGAGATACGAGATTATTGTTGTTGTTGTTGTTGTTGTCCTTCGGAGGTGGGGTACTGTTTAGACGACTTTGCATGAAATGTTGGTCTCCTTGACCTCTCGGGTGCCTTACCAAACATAGTTTCTTGTCCATATATCTCGGAACTATTATTAAAATATGTTTGCTGATGAGACCACACCTCTGGCTGATTGGAAATGGCTCTTGCCGAAGCGGGACGGGCTTCCTCGATCTGAAACAATGTCCAGCAGGCAAAGCTGCACCCTTTGTCCGCCTTCTTGCACTTCCACTGAAACATATCCAGCACATGAGAGCCGCCGGCAAGCAGTACATATGAGTACATTACAGTACAGATCCAGCCTGTCTGACCGGAGCCCCACAGGAAGCAAAAGCAAGAATCAAATATAACATGCTTCCCTGCCCTATAATTCCACTGCAATACGGTCAAGGTGTGGATTTGCTCTGCTCAGCGGGAATATTGACAGTGACACGACGTTCAATGTCTGATTTGATACCAGACACAAAGTTTTCAGTCTCTGGTGCCGCTCAAAGATTGGATGTAGTGATGTGTGGCATCTGCGAGTTGCCCACGGTCGACAGGATCTTGTCCTCCATTGTAGACAGACAGACAGACTGACAGTCCGCAAAGTGTGGCCACCCGTCTGCCCTGTAGATGCCGAACCCGAGAACAGAGCGAAGGTAGACATCCGAGTTTGGTGCAACGAATATCTGATGCGGTGACCATGGAAGTGACTCCTGCGACATGCCCGTACATTACTTTGCGGACGTCCCAAGCCGATGCAGCCCAGGTATATATTCCTTGACAGCCAGCGGAATCCTTGTTTCTTCGTTCGGTCGCGAAGGAATTGCTTGAAGTAGAGCTTCCGTCTCACCAGGTCGGCGGACAGGACAAGCATGAAGGCATGCTTGCAGAAATACCAAATGGAGCAAACTCTATGCCGCCTCCCCCTCTCTCCCCCTTCTTGGTCTCACCTCACCTCACCTAATCGCCATGAGGCGTAGCCAGGCGAGGGTCAGCAAATGAAAAGCCTGAGAGACAGCGAAGCTGCCGTAATGCAATGATAAACCTCTCACCTACGGAGGTACAGCGGTTATCTTTTACCCCCTGTTTTCCTTGGCATAGATTCTCCCCCTTGTAACCCCAACCACAACTACCACAAATATTTGAAAAAATTGTACCGTTAGAATCAGCTAGACTTCAGTAGTCTAACAGTACTTTTTTCATTCGATTTGGACCTGTTTTAAGGAAATTGTGCGGTGTTGAAGTTGAAAAGTCCTGGGGACCCTTGTAGCCTGGGGGGAAAAGATGACCGCTGTACCTCCGTAGAAACCGGCTCGCGTTGTGGGATTATTGCCCATCGGGCCAGCTCAAGTGCTCAGATCAGGGTTGTTCCTAGCCCTGGAGAACTAGACGCGGTCGTAAACATGTAGTGGCAGTTGCCGGGCTGGCATTAATAGGCTGGTTCAAGGAGGAGGTCATCGCTAACAGCCCGCTAGAAGTCCGCGCTGGGGCGACGATAGGCTAGCCGGAAATCTCGCTGCAGCGCTGTAAGCCTGTAACGCACTGAACAGCACTACTGTAAAAAGTCGCTCTCGCTCGCACCGCCGGGAACATACTTATACTGTACTGTACCTAAGGTAGGTAAGCGAGGCAAGCTTGGGCTTGGGCACGCAACCTTGCCTATCTCTGCCCAGCCCGGACACCTAGACACCTAGACACCCAGACACACGCAGGACGGGGCAGGCTCACAGGGCGGGCAAGCACGGCCACGGCTCCTCATCTCAACTGTCTCGTCTCGTCTCGTTTCGTACCCTACATTCTCCATCTCCAATCCACCTCGTTCTCGTGGAAACATTCACAACTCACCACCCCTCTTCTCCTCTCCTCTCCTCTCTTACCAGCACGCCGACTGGAGTAGGCTGCTGTCTCTTCTTCTCCCCCACCGACATTCAATCCTCCAATCGGTCGCAGGCGCTAATTACGCAAATCGAGTCGACACGCTTTGGAACGGAAGTCTGGTCTGGTGTTTACTTCGCTGTTTTGACTTTCTTGTCACCACCATTCCTTTCCCCTCCCCTCCACGTCTTCGAGAACAGCTGGAATGGACCGTCTTCTACGATGCTTCTGAGCTCCTTCACGATCACGACATTCTTCTCCGTCTTTTCCTTTCTTGTGGGCCGGTGTGCCAGAGGGGATAATTCATCATGAAGACTGTTCCGAGTGTGAGTACTTCGAGAAAAAATAACAACCTAAACCTTTCCCCGCGTTAAAACATCTCCACTCGAAGCCGCAATGTTTTCCACTCTGCAATTGATTGCCTGCACTGTCCTCGACTCCCTCCAACGGTATATGCTGACATTCGTAGCTCGTTGCTTCGAGTACTGTAGGGATTGCTGCCGCTGGGCTGGCATTGGGAAAGCCGGAACGTTCAAGTCCACCACGGCCTTCTTCAAAGAAAAGAAAAGCTGGAGATATCGCAGGCGTCGTCGTTCACAACAGCCCGGAAGCATTTTCACCCATTTCGCGGCCAGGCACAAGCTCGACTGTGATCACTCCGGAAATGAAACCCTCAGTACCCTCTCCCGAATCTACACAAAAACCGCCCCCAACCCTCCGTCAACGTCCATCGAATACAAGATCCGAACTGCAGAATAATAATAGTGGACGAAAATTGTCAGCGTTCAGGCACGAGGAGAGTTCTGGGAATCCCGAGGAGGAAACGCGAAGGGAATCAATTTCTTCGAGGGGTTCTTGGATGAGGAGGTTGTCGACGATACCCAATTCTCACAACAACAGCCCGAGATCTAGTATTGGGCCAGATTCACCATCACTGACCGTTTCATACGGTTCAGTTGTTCCCATTCTATCTAGTTCAGGAAGCAGTCCTGCACAATTACCTCCAAACAAGCTGGTGAAGCGGACCACATCAGGAAGAGCAACAAGCGGGCCAGTATCGAGGAGTGGATCCAGATCTCAAGTACCCACACTTCGACGGCCAGCGACAAGTCACCAGCGCTCTGTTACGCTGCAGCAACAATTTAGGGACGACTCCATAAAAATGAAAGAGCCGATTCAGCAAGAACCCACGACTCGAGTGCACATCACACCCATCAAAAATGGTTCACCAGCCTCTCGTCATGCATGGCGCCTCTACTTCGAGTCTCGACCAACCAAGTTATCAAAGGAAAGAGCATCTGGGCGAGTGAGTGACGGGGGCATACCAAATACCCAGGCAACATCCAGGAGGATCATCTTAGACGATTCTGCGAGACCTACCTTGGTGAAGCCAGGTATCATTATGGTATCGAAGTCCAGCAACGCGGTCTACTACGATGAAAGTTTCGAGCTTGACGATGACGAGTTTGAAGGTGCAGGAGATACGCCTCTGCCTTCTACAGAGGTGGTGGAGGAACCACAAAAACGAGCTCGCCGATCTTTATCCATGCATTTCAGCTCGCCCAGCTCTTGGATACAAAGGTCTGGCAGTCTGAGAGGGAATAAGAGAAGTGCTGATGGCAGAAGTGGGGGTAAGCGCTACTCATCAGCACCTGTAGTGTCCACTATGCCTGGGCGACGCATTTCCACAGCACATGGTTCTACAACTAGCAGGCATCGTCCTATCATGGACCCGAATGTCTTCCAAAGATCGCCCGTGTCACCAACTGAGGAAGCCTCCCCTAGCGATCCCTTCGCCTCCAGTTTTGCGAGACGGAGCCGCAACAGTTCGTCTCCATTACCGCCACTAACTAGGTTGTCGAGTTTCAACGTTGATCTCGCTCGACTCGGATTGTCCTCATCATCCTCGTCTGCTCCTCGTCGGAGTCCAAGCTCACCCGTCGTACACACGACCACGGCATCAAGCACGGTGTCATCTACGGGACATGCATCACCGGCGTCTATATCTTTTGTGGGCTCCGCGATGTCAAAACCTCCACGAACCTCAGAACTTACGGATCGTGCCTCGACGCTAATTGGATCAGACAACGACATGAGAGGGTTCACTTCCGGTGACGAGGATGATATGGACTTCCAAAGTGAGACTGTCTTTGACTCGTTGAGATCTGGAGCCACTGGCAGCTTAAGGTCCCATAACGCACCACTTGATTCCATGTTTGACGAATCTCCACCAAGTTTAAATGGACATCCAAAGAACAAGAGACTTTCTATTCATGAGATGTTAGCTAATGGAGGGTTTCAAGAGGGCCACAACAGAATCGTGGAGGAGGATGAGGGCATGTCTACTCCTGTCAAAGGAGGGCGATCGTCACAAGAGGACAATTTCCAGACGCCTATCCGAACTAGTACTTTGGATTCCGAAAGGGTGTTTCCCTCTTCTCCGCCAAGCTTCTGTCTTGCTACTAAAGACTTTAGCCGCCTGTCCTTAGATGACGAAGAAGAGGACGAAGATTGGACCCGGGATGATGAGAATATGGATGTCAGCGGCCAGCTATCGCCACCTTCAAGCTCCCTGAATTCGCGAAGGGTGAGTTCCAGTTTTCGAGCGGCACTCGCAGATTTAACCTACAGCGGATCGACCAATGGAAACAGTGCGGAACGACCAAAGAGCAATCTCTTCGACTGGTCTGAGCCTTCGTCCGGAGAGAAAGTTGATCTGATGGGTAATTCTCCTAGACCTAAGACCGCTCATGTCAAGAATATCGCCGATGGCAGAGGTGGTCGCGCTGTTGGACGACGAGGACCCAGTGCGCTGCATATTCGAAGTCAGAGCGTACCAGTTGTGCCTGATGTTGCTGGTCAGCGCGACCATTCGAAATTGGCTCCGAAATTTGGAACATGGGGTCTAGGAGCCAAAGGTGTGAGTGAGGATTGGGATGGAGATTTCGAATTCGAAAATAATGATGTAGAGGATGGAGATGATGGAGATATCAAGATGGAGAATAGTGGCATGCTGGTCCCACCAGCAATCCAGGCAAGCCAAGCGAGTGTGGTTGGGCATGTAGGACAGATTCGGGAGGTGTGTCTTCTTGTGGAAGACCTGAAGAGATTGCGACTGCTGGCCCGGGAGAAGGGTCTATTGAATGGCCCATCTGCCACCCTATGGAAGGAGGCGGAGGGAATCATCGCTCTTGCAGTACCTGATGAAGAAGATCCTGGACTATCTCCACCTCAACACTCTCCTGCTTCCATTGTTTTCGAAACGGAGGCGTCGGAGGACGATGAGTATCACGAGAGTGGGCCTGATGGTGAAGATTTGGAAACTCCCGATGCGCCTTTCGAGGTCCTGAATCGTCATGGCCAACCCACCGGTTTTGTTTACGATGGAAACACCGTTCGGAGGCGATCTGTGTTTTCCCCTGAAGACGACATCTTTGGAGCTGGGCTTATGAATAGTCCACCAGTGCGAGATCATTTGCGGCCACCTTCAACATCTCCACGGCACTCAAGTATGAAGAGTGCCTCTGATGTAGCTCGGTCCGTCATGGAGACTATGCACCAACATCGATCCACCTCAGACCCTCTCCTCCAGACCTTGGCCAGCCAGTCTCCCAACAAAATGCCCTTTGATACGACAAGTCTCCGCGATCTCGTCCATCGGGCCAGTGTCCTTAGTCGTACCTTGGCCGACTTGATCCGAAAAGCGAATGGTAACTCGCAAAGCCCCGAGGTCAGCCCTCATCGTGAATCGAGCCCAGCCTTCACACGAGTCTTCACCGATCCTAGTGTAAGCCCGCCCAAACACCTGCTTCGAAGTCACAGCAATAATTCAATTCTCAGCGGCTCGATTGACAGCTCCCCTACACGCAGTCTTGGTCAGCGGATGCATATGATGGCCGTCGTTTGAGCGACCATTTTGATACGAACACGAACGTCGAAATCCCTTGTTCTTGTACATGCAACCCCGATTCGTCATTTTTCTTTTTTGCATAGCGACGGGTTTTGTTTCGGCCCCGGCATGAAGCGTTTTTCTACTTCTAATACCTGTATGTGCTCCTCTGAATTAGACTTGGGAGGTGTAGCAATCAATCCTTGCAGCGATTATTGCATCTGCATGCACCAAAAGATGTGCAGCATCACTTTGATGTTACTTTACGAGGACTAGGGTCCTTACGGTTGAGACAAAAACGGATAGTCTTCAGCAAGAAGGCAATAAAAATGCGTTAATGTTTGCATGAAGGGTTTTTATTTTGTTGTCTTTCCTTCGGTTTTGCATTGGGCTTTATGTTTTTTTAAATGGTGCGGATACATGCAGGCGAAAAGCAACCATGCATCGACGATTGTTCTTCTAGTATAGAGAGTGAGAAGAGACGGCGGAGGCCGGCTTTTGTACGAGGAAAAGTGCTCTATGGCCCTGCGCGTGACAGAGGGATACTGTGGGTTTGAGCGTAAAGGTTTTTTCCGGAGCAGACCTCGATTCGAACACAACCAATGCTCGATGGGGGCTCGATCAGGGATGGCATGGGTATGGATGGGAATGGAAACAGAGGTGTGAAGCTCGCTATGATTGCAGGCTATCCCATTTCTCTTAACGAATGGATTAATCACGCGGGCACATGGTATATGTGGGATGGATGGGATGAATGGAAGAAATGAAGTAATGGCTTCACGTACCACAACGGTCTTATTGGAAATACTGCGTGATAATTGCAAATTGAGTGTGATATGAAACTGATGGCTAAGTGGCCCTCAAATCTTCGCAGATATTCAGTTGTCGATTACATATTGGCTTGTCTACAAACAGACGATCACTCCATGCTTGTGACGGTTTCCGTTATTCCTCTAAGTGTTTACAATAATCTGCTCCACCTTACAGCATCTGCAGTGCAGATGTGTGGCCAACGAGGCGAGGTGAAGAGTCGCAAAACCACTTCGTCACTCGAAGGCTGTGTATGAGAGGTCAAGCACGTCTCTTGTCCTCCGACCTTCGGCTCTCGAAATTTCAGTCTTGATGTTCAGGATTAGTGAGGTCATTCTTGCTCTTCTGTGATCTTGACTCATCCGTTATAACCTCTCGCTCCTGCTGCCCAAACTCCACCATAGTCAAGCTCTTGACAAAGTGTAAGGGCTACTCGTCTTCAAGGCACTCACAATGCCCTTCAGCAACTCGAAAGCTGCCGTCTACTGCACTCCGTGAGTATATACCCATTGTTGCCCTGAGTGTCGCACAAGTAGGAAGCCAAGATCTCCATGGAGCATAGTGGTCTACCCAACACATAAAGATCTGATAAGATAAAGACCGGGGCACTCCATTACAGTAGGATTGTATCGCTATTATAGCCAATCAGCAATCTTTCTAGCACCCGAAAGATTGGGCAAGGGACGTTCTGGCATGGTGGAGTTTGGCCTCAGGCCGTAGCACTTCCGAGCATTAAGCGTCCCTTTGTACTTAATCTCTCAGACATCCTCAGAATCTCGATACACTCGTAGCGACCAAAAGTCTTTCTTCTTAGTACACAACGCATGTTCATGGCGCCAGAATTGATTAGGAACGGCAAGATTCAGATCCTCTGTCAAACCATCGACAGCGTTGTGTATGCGTTTGCCGATGGCAAGTACGGATGCGCGAGAGACAACCCGTTGGTTCTAAAGGTGGCACAGTCTGGTATGAGAATCGTGAAGCTCTTGGACCTGGAAAGGGCGCGGATGAGTCAGACAAGAGGGCGAGGAAAGAAGCCACTATCTATGAGGCTCTTGGTCAACACGATCGTATCCTCCCATACTTTGGCCTCGAAACATTCTCCGTCGGTCACAAAGGAACAAAGCCCATGGCCTGGGCAATTCGCCTAGGGCGTGCTCTAAATGGTGTCCTCAGAGATCATATCGTCAAAACTGCAACAAGCCCACCCGCAGAGCAAACACGACTCAAGCTAGCAGTCCAATTTGCTCAAGGCGTTGCGCACATCCACAGCTGCAATGTTATATGGGGTGACTTGTCCACACGGAACGCGCTCCTCTTCGACGACGTGTGTTTAAAACTCTGTGATTTCGCGGATTCAGATCTAATGGACAACTATCCCGGTGACTGGTACGGATGTGAGGATAGATACTGTCCACCTGGCTCGGAGCGGCCTCAATTTCACGATATCGGGACTATGAATCGTGAGATATTCGCTCTTGGCACTGCCATTTACGAGATTATTGAATGGAAGGTGCTGTATGGTCCAGAAACTGCGGAGGATGAGGTTCTTGATGCGCTTGTAGACGGCATATGGCCTCAAATCAGTAGCGACAATTCTGTTGAAGGTATCATCCGCCGGTGCTGGGAATACAAATACGAATCGTCGCAACAAGTTGTCAATGATTTGCAGAGTCCATTAAGTCTGAGATTTAAAACCGAGATTACTTGAGATTCTGGCACTCAGACGTGCCAGCCTTGCCATTGTCGCATTTCTCATCGAGGGGGTAATCGATAATTACCTTGATATAAGAGCTGCCCAGAAGACGATCCTTACATCTGAAACCCGTTGCTATTTCCGCACGTTGTGGCAGGTTTCTGCCATAAGGTTTCGAGTTGGGTATGTTGGGACTTATGCTAGAACGGGTGGGTTGAAGAAGAAAAGCTGCAGCAAGGTAGACGAGCGAAGTCGAGCATCTTGAATCAATGAGCTGATGCCGTAGAGGCCTCCTGCTTTGGCGGCATATCGAGCAGTGACGTGTTCTCGTGCAGAGTCTTTCTGTATGTAAAATATTCCCCTGTATCCTTCCCACATCACCGACCTGCCTGTTTACAGGCCGGAATTGTATACCAAGTTACACTGCCCAGTCGATAAGGTAATGCGAAGCACAATCCGTTCGGCCTAGCTTCTGGCAGGCTTCGGGAGGAAACCCTCCGCCCCTCCTCACCGCAATAGAAATATGTTCCAGACAGCCTGCACTTCCTCAGCCAATCTGTAATTCTTTGTATCACAGAACGATGGACCAGGAACAAGACTAAGCTACTTGTCCTTGCGGGCCCTCGCGGAGAGGAAAGGGCGAGATTCACATATGACTGGTGGTGTTGCGTTCTAGTCGCAGCCTTATTTATGCTTAAATTCTTCTTCTATTTCTATTTCAAAGTTAATGTGAAAGTAAAGTGTACCCTTCCTATCATGATAGAGTTATGGTACAAGGATCTTTCATCAACGTCAGTGGCGGTTTGGTGGGGGCGGGGTCGACTCGAAACGTATGCCAAGACTGATCGTTATCGGGATTGGGTCTTGATTGCTTGCTTGCTTGGACATCTGCTTTTGATCATGCATAGTGACAAGATGTATTGGAGGGCTCTGGTAAGTGAAGGTGAGTAAAGATTACTCTCGAGTTTCTCTTGGCCCTTGTCTTAATCTCGATTCCCACTGCGCTCCTCCACTTTCTTTCTTCTTTATCCACATACCGACTTGCTAGCTGTTCTACCCCGCAATCATGAAGCCTGACACCCGCAACATCTTGGCTCTGGGGACGGTCCTTCTGGGAGTAGCAGAGGCAGCGACATGCGACTTGACGAATAACTTCGCGGAGCCAGTACTTGCGAAAGGGTGGGAACACAAGCTCATCGCAAAGGGCCTCACGAAGCCGAGAAGCATTCTGTTTGATAGTGAGGGAAACCTTTTGGTTATCCAGCAGGGAGCGGGGTTGATCCACCTTGCCTTCGATGATGGAGGCAGCACTTGCTTGGATGTAGCTATGAAAACGTTCCTGATCAATTCTACTGATGTAGGTTTTACATATCTGCCATATATGGCTTGGTTTCGCAATTTGTGCGTCTGGAGTTGACAATTAAACAGCTAAACCATGGCCTCGCGCTCTCGAACGACGGCAAAACTCTCTATGCCTCCTCATCTGAAGCAGTATTCTCGTGGACCTACGATGCTGCCGCAGGAACCGTCGGTGACACCAAAACCACATTGATAATTGGCATGGATAACGACGACCACACAACTCGCACACTTCTCATGTCACAGAAAGAACCTGGCACACTGATCGTCAGCAGAGGCAGCAGCTCGAACCTCGACTTCTCTGCCGAGAGTCTGGACAGCGGACATTCCCAACTCAAAGCCTTCGACCTCACCGCACTCAAATCTGATTCCGACCCTTACAACTTCAACACCGCTGGTCGCCTCCTTGGCTGGGGTCTGCGCAACTCAGTTGGTATCGCAGAAGAGCCTCTTACAGGTGGTATCTACTCTGTTGAGAACTCCGTCGACCAACTCGAGCGCAACGATGTTGATATCCACCAGTCCAACCCAGGCGAAGAAGTCAACTTCCACGGCTTCCTCAACGGATCGACTGAGAATCAGGGAGGGAATTACGGATACCCATTGTGCTACGCGTTGTGGAATACCAGTATCCCGAACGCGGATAACTTGACTGTTGGCTCGCAGTTCACCAGTGAGCAGAATGCGACTGTTGATAATAACTTCTGTGCGGAGGAGAGAGTGCCACCACGCTTGACATTCGAGGCGCATGTTGCGCCGCTTGATATCATCTTTTTGCCCAATGGGACGAAGGCTTATGTTTCGTTCCATGGTAGTTGGTAAGCCTATCCTTCTCTGAATTTCTCCACGCCTTTGCTAACCCTCAAACAGGGATCGCACCCTCCCAGCCGGCTACAAAGTAGTCTCCTTGGACTTCTCGAACGGCTCTCCCGTCGCTGAAAGCACAAGCATGACTGCTGCTCAAGACATATTCGCAAACCCAGACACAACCGCCTGTCCAGGCAGCTGTTTCCGGCCCGTCGGTCTTGCGCTTGATGGAAAGGGACGGCTGTTCGTATCGTCGGATTCGTCAGGGGAGTTGTATGTTCTTGCGAAGACTGGAGAGGGGAGTGATAGCCCTACAGCAACGAGTCCTGCACCTGCGGCAACGAGTTCGAAGGAAAGTAGTGCGGCGAGAAATGGTGTGGTTAGTGCGTTGGTGTTGGCTGGGGCAGGTGTCTTTGCTTTGGCGATGCTGTAGAGAGAATCCAACGGAAGGAGAGGGAGGGGAGGGGAGGCATCGTTTTTTGACGTTTTTGAGACTTTAGGAAAGGTGAAATTGATGACGAGGCACATATGAAAAACAAGACGGATAAATCTAGGGTTGAATATGTTCAAGGACAAGATGGGATATAACGACAAGGTTATGACTTGCTACGACGATACAAATCTTATAAAAATTTCATGGAATCTCTTGAACCTGAACTGGCCGTCACTGCACTCCCTTACCAGTGGCCCAAAACGTCTTTCTGTGATCAACTGGTAATGCCATAGACTCACCTGAAAGTTTATCTCCACATTTACATACAAGACCAGTGAAATATCTTTAACTCAAATCGGTACTTGAATTTTAGCTCAACTTTGGGCAGCGAAATTCTCGTATTTACTTTGCCTCGCGAAGCGAAATCGCTTGAGGTGTGATACATGTACCCAGCACATCTTTCAAGCTCAACTCTTAAAGTTCCCTTCCCCATCTTCTCTCTTCTTCCCCCTCCCAAACGTCGAAGCAAACCTCTCCTTCATATGCTGCTCCACCGTCAAATGCTTCCCATCCGCATCACTACCATCCAGCGGCCTCAACACACAATCCACATTCCCATCAAAGAAAAACGGCACCGAATACCGATCCCTCCCCGATCGATTCACAACCCGATGCAAATTACTCTTGTACTTCACCCCAGTCCACATCTGCAGCATATCCCCCACATTAACCACATACGCATCCCGATTCGGCACAACATCAACCCAGCCCTTCCCTTCCCCATCCCAAACCTGCAACCCCCCAAGCTCATTCTGTAATAACAGCGTGATAGCACCGAAATCTGTATGTGCACCCGCTCCCAATTGCCTCTCATCATTGGACTTGTCAGGCGGGTAATGCAGCAGGCGAATCGCAGCCACGGCGTCATTGTCACAGAATTCGTCGAAGACATGAGGGCCGTAGGGCATGCCTGCTGCGAGGATGGCCATGACTTGTAGGATGAGAGCGTACATCTGAGTGTAGTATTCTGTCATGGGGGTCCGGAATAGAGATTCGGAGATGTGCGAGGGATTGGGCCAGAGGTTGGGACCTATGAGGAAGGCGTTTCTTTGAACGCGGGGGTCTGTGGAGGGGATTTCTTTGCCGATGTAGAATCCCTGTAATTGTTTGCTTTACTTTCTGCTTTGTGCTTGGAATACCAGATATGGATAGGGTGTTAGGTCCTCACCTCCTTCAAATCCGGTAATGTATCCTCCTGTAAGCCTTGGCCACCAATCACCTCATATCCTCTATTACTAGCTCCAACACTCTGACTTCTATCCATCTTCATTTTCTCATCCATGGGTAATTTGAAAAGTGCTTCTGAGCCCTTGAACACGGCGTCTTGTAAGGATCGTGGAATTCCGTGTCCAGTGAGCTGGAAGAATCCTGTTGTGGTGCAGGCGGTTCGGACGGCGTTGATGACTTTGAGAGCTTTTGGGGATGAAGGTTCGAGGAGATAGGGAGCTATGTCAATAGTTGGGACGTTGAAGGTTGAGCTTGGTGGTGCTTGTGGGATGGTCATTTTCCAGACGTGTGGGTTGGTAATATGAAAAAAATCTCAGATCGAGAAGAAGAAATGAGATAAGACTAAATTCAAAGTAAACTATAGCCAACATAGTCTTAAAGTTTTCAACAGTTTATGCAACATAGAACAGCCTTGGCTCATTCTGTACAACCTCACTCCGACCCCGCCTTAGAGATATGAGATAAGACATTCGGTTGTCGGCGCCTTCCATCCCGATTTTGTGCTGATAGACTGTGAATACCTGGCTTGGATGATGGAGGGAATTGGATAAAGATATAAATTGGGGGAGAATGCCGATAAGTTTGAAGTTTGCAGTTTGCAGTTTTGTTCTCAACCTAAAGAGTGAGGTTCGTGGTAAAAGAGGGGTGGTGGGGTATTTGCCCAGCCCAAGATCTTACATTTCCAATGGAGGGGGCAATTGGATTTCTCCTCCATTTCAAACCTTCCAACGAGCTACAGGTGTCCATCAACATCCGCGAGTGATCTTCCAGGATGACTGTAACATATGAGTCCGCTTCCCACCTGCTTCTTTTGAGAGTTTAAGCATCCTAAAATTCTGCTTCTCCATCTTTCCTTAGCGCGGTGAGTCACGACCCAAGCTTCTGGAGCGAATTGCCTAATCACGGCGTCAAGCGATGTCTTGCAGATCCTTCGAGCAAGCTTTGTATCCATGGAGTCTCATATGCACGTATCTACTCATACTCCGTCATAAGACACTAGTACATATCTGTCATGTCATTCTTGATGATTTGGACTCCCCATGTAAGGTAAAGTTGGGTTCCCAGTCCCGTGTTACCACCGAATGTTAAGCGAGCGTGGAATTCTGACTGCAATATAGATACAGAATATCTTTCTTTAAAAGACACTTGATAGATCTCATAATCAAAGACTGTATTGGATTTCTTATCAATCTTTTATTTCCTGGTTTATTGACTTGATCTCACTATGTCAAGCTCATCACCATCCGCGGCTGCTTCGTCGGCCTCGTCTCAATATACATGCAGCATCTGCAAAACAACTTTTCAGAACAATACTCTTCAGCGTACACACGCCAAGTCTGATTGGCAGTAAATCCACTCTTATTTTTCTACTGTCTTCATCCCAAGCTTACCGAGATGTAGCATCTATAATCTGAAGAGACACTTGACATCGCTTCCACCAATATCCTACCAAATCTACAACGAGCGTATCGCAAATGTTGAAGAAACCCCTCCAGCGGAAGACGCAAGCGTTGATGGCTTCCACCAATCATGCGCGATTTGCAAGAAATATTTCTACAAGTCAAAGCCCTATCAAAACCACCTGAAATCAGCAGTCCACGCTCAAGCAATCGCTCACCTAGTAGAATCCGAAAATGATTCCGAGGAAGACCAAGTGGAAATCCTCACATTAAGCGACACCGAAGACCTCAGTTCACAAGACGAAGGAACAGGTACCAATTTGTGCCTCTTTTGTTTATACCCTTCCCCCTCCCTCTCATCAAACCTAACGCATCTGCACACCGCCCATAACTTCTCAATTCCCAAACAAACCTCTCTAATCGATCTTGCTACATTCCTCGTCTACCTCTCAACACTCATCACTACCTTCCACGAATGTCCGTTTTGCGGGCAAATCAGAGATACAGCTGCTTCTATCAGGCAGCACATACTTGATAAAAGGCATTGCCGTCTACCTGAGGATGTGATTGAGTCGGAAGAGTTCGGGGAATTTTGGGAACTTGACAGTGAGGAAGACTGTGAAGCGCAGGATAGTTCTGGGAAAGAGGGAATGTTTGATGCACGCTTCGATTCAGACACAAAACAGCTCCATCTCCCCTCCGGCCGAATCCTCGGTCATCGCTCTTTCACCCCCTCAACCCGAAAACCCCATCATCAACCCAACACCAAACCCTCCTCTCCGCAGAATACCATCGAAAACACCACCAATCAGCCCTCACCCTCACCCTCATCCGAAAGCAGTCTCAGCGCCACCGTCCAAACACACAGAGCAGCCAGACGCGCAGCCATGGCGCTCACACGGAGTGAGAACGCTAATAAAGGCTTGATTGGTTTGTCTGATGGGGGGAGGAGAGCTGTTAGGGTCATGGAGAAGAAGATGTTGAAGATGGAGGTTAGGGCGAGGAATTTGTATGCGGCGAGGGTAGAGAGGGGGGCGAATAAGCAGAAGTTTTTCAAGGTGAGATATTGTAGATGAGGAGTTGTTTGGTGAAATGGTGGGGTGATTTGCTGACTTGATGTTTGATGTGGTGTAGCCTGATGTTCCGGGGCCGAAGAATGGCTAGGATGACTGCTTTGAGTGCCGCTTTCGTTGATGTGGTGGAGAGTGGGTAAACCGTGGGCAGGAGTCTGGCTCTCTTGATTACGAAATGAGATCATATTAAGTAAAAGAACTTTGTGCTGCGACGTAGAAATATGCAAGCGGCAGGTGTGTTATGATAAGAGTTGCACAAGAGAAGCTTCAAGCACGACGAGTGTGGAGTTCATGAGTTTTGAGTTTACGATCCGACATGACAATGTTGAAGCCAAGGGGAGGTTTGGGGAAATTAAAAACGATCGAATCACGGACATATGTCAAATATCTTTTGTAGGATACGACTAGCTAAGGAATGTCGAAGACTTGAATAGATATCTTTGGTGTTCGCTTAACAAGTAAACAGATGAAGCCAAGGAAACTGACCAAGACAAACCCCGGTTTGAAGGACTGAAGGACGAGCAAAGACTTTGCTCTAGAGTAGCTCACTGGTTATATTGGACTCAAGACTCCGAAGATTTTGAACTCCTTTAACCTCTAGCCAGATCTCGAGCTGTCTGCTTGGAATCCAGACAACCCCCCCCCCCCCCCTAGATCGTGTCTCAACACACCCAGTCCTCTCTCTGAATCACAGTTGAGTTGGCATCTATTGACCTGCTAGCCACGCCTTCGCATAGACATCCATCCCCTGAACAAAACTATACTTCTTCGGCTGCCATCCTAAAATCTGCCTTGCTCGTCCAGAAGTAGCGTTTGCGCTACAGCCCATAGCCTGGGCAAACAGATCTTCTCCAGCACCAGCCAATTGCACTGTGCCCATGAAGCCGAATTCTCTACCCGCAGCAGCCAGTATATCGCGCATGCTCTCCTGACTCGTGACGAGATCGAAGAGAGGATATACGCCAGTGCCTGAGATCAAAGGGAGCTTGTCGATGGCAGCGTGGAAACCGCTTGCGACGTCATCGACATGCACGAGTGCTGGCCTGGAATCAAGTTCTGCAGCAACAGATACCGTCTTTGAGCCACTCTTAGCAGCGGCGTGGATGGGTTCGAGGAGAGATGTCCAGATTGCAGATGATCGACCGTAAACGAGTGCTGGGCGGACGACCATCACATCGAGGATATCCGAAGACGCGAGAACCTCTCTTTCAAGGACAGGACGCCAGGAAGTCAGTGCTACAGGAGGTGTTGGTGCGTTGAGTGCTGCGACTGGCATCAAGTCATTGACTGGGGCGTTGGACGAGCCAGGTACCCATGTTCCTCCGCAGTAAATAAATCCGAGCTTGGGAATGTGGACTCCGGCTTTGGATGCTGCTGTGAGACGCTCGCCGCCGATGTCCTTGAGGAGGGCGAGAAGATTGTGCGATTCTTTGTCTGCGCCGGCGACGTCGACTACGATGTTGATGTGGTGGATTTCAATGGCTTGCGTCAGGGCTGTGGTGGAAGAGATGCTACCTTCGATGGGGATGACTTCATCACGCTCGAGGGACTTGGCTTTCTCGGGTGTTCTGGCGAGACCAAAAACGCGATCTGTAACACATGTTAGCAAGTCGAATTTGAGGAGAGAAGAGTTCTGTCTTTTCGGGAGGAGATTTTTGGAGTTACTTACGGTCACCACTGCGAACGAGACTTTGAGTGAGAGCTTGACCAATGTAGCCAGTGGCTCCAATTACGAGAACGTTGACCATGTTGGGAACGAGAGTTGAAGAGTTGACGTGAGATGAGGCTAAATTGCTGAAATTTGTAGAGGAGGGTTTTTTCTTAGTGAAGATCGAATCAAAAAGGATTTTGAAGTTGTATTTGTCAGAGAGGGACTTTTGGTGGTGGTGTTGTTCTAGATTGGGAAGGGGCTATTTGCCGACGAGGACAGCAATGCGGTGATACCTGAAGCTCAAATCAAAAGTACCACTTTCTATCTCCCAATGTAATTGCAATCTGAGGTGAAGACTTCTAGATTCGAAGGGAGTATCTTGTGCTTTTATACGCAGTTCGGCTCCCAAGCCTAGAATAGTATAGCATTCTATACCAAACTCTTTATTGTCGTCACCACCAATCTGCAAGCATCATGATGCAGACCGCGGTACAATAAGTCCTTTTTCATTAGCGAGACCCTCTATTGGGATGGAATTAACATGCTGACATTGCATCCTTGGCGGACTTTACAAGCAGCTCTTTAAACCCGCCCCGCATCTCCCATGTCACAACAGTGGTGGGTACCTACACCTACCTACCTATGAGCGGGGCGGGTTCTCATTTGACGTAACATTATGGTTTCGGGTATGTCTTTTGAGATAATTCAGTTGGAAGGCGCGTATGTCCATGGAATTGATTATCTCCGATGGAGTTTAACGTTTGCTGGAATTGGACGTTGCGAATCTTGTCACGGTTTCCCGAGAAAGGCAAAGCCAAACATGATTACTTTCTGTTAGTTAGCTTAGACAACGCCGCCAACTGACAATAGCGTCGACTGTAGGCGTCGACTGTAGAGTTTGTTCATATTCCTTGAGCAGGATATCACTCTTGTAATGAGTAGCCTACATCGGTGTTCTCAGCTCCCAGCTTCGTCAACAACTTTCTCATCGCCACCGCTCTCTCCTTCTCAGCTCCCTCAAGCCCGCTCAGATCGATGTCTTGAACCCACTCCCCAATACCATGCTGCAACACGTTCCTCGCCCTCAACCGACTTCCACCTCTGTGTCCAATACTTCCATGAAGTGTCATGCGTTCCTTACTGCTGACATACGCTCCCCGATGTAAGATATTGTTGTTGTAAAACACAACATCTCCTGGCTTCATCTGCACTCTGATTTCTCCAGGGATGCCCTTCTCGAATGGGTCTGCATCTCTTTCTACTTGGGTTCTCGCTCGTTTATGACTTGCAGGCACGACGATGAGACTGTCATCTTCATACAAGGCAAGATTCCACTGGGCTGACCAGGCAGGCTGTCTTAGACGCTCAAGTTCCTCTTCAGCGGTCGCTGTGGCTGGTATATCGTCTCTGTGCCATCTCAGCTCAAAGTCTCTATCTGAATTGAATGTTAGCAGATGTTTCTTTACTTCCCAGAATGCCTGGAAAACAGTTGATGTGAGAAACTTACCTGGTCGAATCAGAAGATTGAACAGTTCCATAACCAGATCATCGTCCTCACACTCCAACAATTCTCTGACCACAGAGACGATCGGTTCAGAAAAGTAATTTGAGATGAACTTCTTGGAGTTGGGAAGGTCAGGATGCATAAGGAACTGAACACCCCAAATTCCGCCTGCAGCTGGATTCGCTCCAGGTTCTATGTTCCAGGGAGGAAACTGTTTAGGAAGTGTGCGGACGAAGGGCCATTGGCCGGACCGGGCAAAATCAATGACTTCGGCGCTGGCATTGCGTAGTGTGGAGAGTTGTTCCGGTGTGAGGATGGAGGGAACGAGTACGAAACCATCCCGATTGAGGGAGTCGAGATGCTTCAAAGGCATGTTGAAAGCTGAGGTGATTTCGATGTGTTGATTGTTGATGTTGAAAATGGTCTATGCTTTCCCAAGATTGAACCTGTTGAGTCACTGCTTATATCAGAGTTGGGGCTCTAGAATCAATAACACTAATTACACATCAGCAAGATAAATGTTGCGGAGGCACCAAGGGAAGGAGTGGTGTGCATGGATTGCTAGTTGCTCTGCTTTGCCTGGAGGCGCTTTGACATCACATGTGGGAGCCAAGGTTACCCCGAAGCTTCGAAAACGAGCTTGCGGAAGGATAACATGTAACGTAGCAAGTTTGTATGATTAAATGCTGGCTGGCTGGCTAAACCCGACATCTTACCTACTCTCGAAAGGTGGGGTACTGTAGTTATGATCACGTGGCAGACGAGGAGCTTCCAGGTTCTCATTTCAGGTGCTTCCATCATTTTGGCCTCGAATCGCTGGCCAAGGTCGCTAATACCTTCAGAGCCTCTCTCTCTTTGCCTAATGGTACAAAGCAATGGTCGTGGCTGCCGGAAAGGTCAATATGTATCCTGTTGAGGGGCTGTACACGTTTGACGACAGGTGTACAGCAACTCACAAAAACCCGCTGACAGGGTTGACGCCGATGCCACTCTCAGTCAACTTCGCGCTGATTGCAGCCATGAATCCTACTGCTTCCAAGCTTGAATGTAAATCTAAGGTGATCATCTTGGAAGGAAATATGTACTCCAGCTTATGAGCCTCGGCCGAGTCTTGTGTCGTGATGACGGTCAACCCCTCGTCCTGCCAGCGGAATCTGAAGTCAGCTCTACTGCTATCTCAAACCCGAATGTCCGAAATCATTGTGGATATTGAAGCCATTTAGACTCACCTCTCGGAATAGCATCTGGACAAAGAGTGATGGCGGAGGTGATTGTCCACCGGGAAGGGTGAGGAAGACAAAAGTGTCCGGTTTGAGTGCTGTTTTGAGTGTCGAGAGGAGGGCCGCGAGGCTCGTTTCTCCTGGGGCTGGACGGGCTGTAGCTGTTGACATTGCGAAGAGCTGTCTTTTTGTACTTGCTCGGAACTTGGGAGTTGGTGTCGGCCAAGTTGGGTGACACAAGTTTTATGTACGAACTCGGCAACTGCGAAGGGCGTGCAACCTCAAAATTCTAACATCGGCCCACGATTGACGACGGGCTCTTTAGATCGCCAATCGCCATCAATCGCCATCATGGGTTCAGCAATACAGACTATCGATTTGATTTGCGACCAGAATGATTTTGAGTCGTTACTAGCTACTATCAAAACAATTACGCCACCATGGAAGTATTTCGCTTTCCAAAGATTGACAGGAGGCGTGAACAACACGGTATGTCTTCCATCTGTCTCGTCGTGCTCCAGTCCTGCAATTGTGCCAGATTGAAGATATCTGACTATGAGTAGCTCTTTAAGTTGACGAAGAAAGAATCAGATATGGACGTGAATGAAACCGGCGAGGCTCTTCTGATACGCCTTTATGGTGGTAGCTCGGGCACATTGGTAGATAGGGAATGTACGGCGCCCTGCAGTCAGCCAAAGATGCTTCCTTTCTGACTGTGGCCACATAGGGGAGCTCGACTGCCACACGATTCTGTTCGAGCATGGGCTGGCACCTCGCATCATTTGCCGATTCAACAACGGGTATGCATATGGCTTTGTCCCCGGCAAAGTCTGCTCACCTAGTGACCTGGCTTTGGAACCTGTCTGGCGTGGGGTTGCTCGACGCAGTATGTACGATTTCTCTCCTTCGATGCGAGACTCGCGACCCAAGATTGTGGCTCAACAGAAAAATGCCTACCTAGAAACTGACTAGAGTCATGTTTAATACATTGCAATCTCAGGCTAACACTTGAAAAGTGGCCGAGTGGCATGCTACTTTACCCTTGGATTACCCACCCAGACAGAATATGTGGGTAGTACTGAGTAAATGGCTATCAGCGTTACCGAATTCAACAGAAGAAGAGAAGGAGTTGCTGCGCCGACTGGGTATCGAAGGAGGGCTTATGCAATCAATGTTCTGCAAGACGTATGTGGAAGGCATGCCGGAGGTGAGTTATCAAAATGCTGTGTAAGGACTATCACCTGATTGGTACTGATGTACTATAGCTTGTCTTCACACATTGTGATCTTCTAGCAGGAAATATTATCATTAGACCCAGGGATAGCCAGGGTGGTTCTTCGGAAGATGTCGAAAAGGTCGATTTCATCGATTTCGAATACGCAATGGCAGCACCCGCCGCTTTCGACATTGCTTCCCATTTCTCAGAATGGGCTGGGTATGAATGCGACTACACCCTTCTCCCATCCCAATCGTTACGAAGACGATTCCTAACGGAGTATACATCAACGTACAATAGCCTACGGAACCCCGAAAATGGCATGATAGACCTTGACGAAATGTGCGCTGAAGTGGACAAATTCAGAGGTGTACCGGGCTATGTGTGGTAAGATTGAGTGCGTACATTGAGTTGAAGGCGATGACCTGACTCCGTATTATAGGGGTGTTGCTGCTCTTGTACAAGCTCAGGTTTCGAGTACCGACTTCGATTTCAAATCCTATGCCGATCTTCGAATTCAGGAATACTTGGACTACAAAGCAGAGAAATTTGGTACAAGAGAGAAAGAAGGCAAGGAGTTACCTTTCAGAGAGCGATGTTGGGCCCGTGAAAATTGAACGCCATTGTCTTGAAAGCGAAATCCCACAGATACTCAAGTTCACCGACCGCCGCTTTTGCTCACCATGGCAATCCGAAATTCCTATTGGTGACGAAAATAGACAATACACGTGCAAGTATAGTTATAGCAGACAATTAAAAGCTTACAATGATAGAATGTGAATGGTCCTATCGAAATGCATTGCCCCCCAAAGCCCCTGGGTCACATACATCCCATCACATCCTTGGAGAAATGCTTTCAACCATCACTAATGCCTCTTGAGCATTCAATATCAAATCATGATCCACTCCTCCTTCACCAGCGAGATGAATGAGCAGATCTTTCCATGGTCTCACGGGGAATTTCTTTCTCATCAAGCTTTTATTCTGCTGCATCAATTCTGACCAACCCCCTCGCTGACTTACTGGCACAGACACCTGCTTTGAAGCTAGCATCCAGTCCACATAAGCTTCGGCCGCAGCCTTGAGGTCATGCGGACTGGATGAATCCAGTCGAATGACATTCAAGCCATCCCCGTAGACTTGATCAAGAGCGTTAAACTTCGACACCATACATGGAAGACCGGCGATGGACGCCAGAGCCGGACCCAAGCCGACGCTTTCAACATTCGTAGTATTGGGTGTGTAAATAACGCCGCCATGAGTAGCAGCAGTAAGCCGCAGCAGATCCTTCTCGTCAAGTATCAATCTTTTCCCATTGACTCCAGAAGCAAGGGGGACGCCGCCAAGAAACCGAATATCATCTGTGAGTCCCATGTGCCCAGTAAGGAGTTCTAAATCCGCTGCGTATTGCGGATCTTCTTCCGGATCTCCAAAGATCAACAGATACGGGATCTCCATTCCTCGCTTGACAGAAACCGCTTTGATAGCAGCCAAAACACGGACGGAGATCTCGATGCCTTTGACGGGGAAGATGCGATTCGGACAAAGCAAGATTGGACGTCCGCCAAGTACACCATCTAAGACACCGATACCAGAGAGAAATCTGGAAAAGATACTCGATGCTGGAATCGCAATGTCATGCTTCGGAAATACAGGTAAGACATTGGGAACAACAAGCGGCCGCAGGTCAGTTGGATATAATAGTGTTTCTGGTAGAAGCACATCCGACACAATCGCCCATAGATGCCACGGCACTGCCTGCGGAACAAGCGTAAACTCATTTGGTCTCAGTGGATACACTCGTTCGTTCTTCTCATGTACGGCATAACTACTCAGCAAGTCATGGTCCCAGAACAAGACCCCACCTGGTCGACCACCTCCCCATCGTTGCTCCGCAGCGCGATGAAGCGCCATTGTCACCGGCACAGCGTCAGATAGTGTCATATTGACCGCACACACCCAATCAATATCATTTTCCTCGAACCAGTTCTCGAAGTGAGTCTGATACGGCACCATAATAACATTGATTCTTTCAAGCAAGTCAAGTCTCTGCTCCTCAACTAGTGCGCCGGGCTGTGCCACTTCTCGTCTAATTCGCAGAAGATTCTTTCCATATCCAGGATACGATACTGGAGTTGTGTCCGTGACGGAGAGCCATGGTGGGTAGAATGTTTCTTTGGGGCCGTAGGGGAAGAAGGATTCTTTGTCGGGACGCCAGGAATAGCCTAAGTCTGCTGGGATGGGGAGATTGATGAGAGGTGGACAGGAGGGAGTTTGGGTTATGAGGTCGAGGACGTTGCGGAAGGTGGTGAGGAGGCCGCTGATGGGGAGGCCGTCGCCGCAGATGAGGGCGAGGTTGATGTGCTGCTTACCGGTAATGGGTTTGCTTGGTGCTGGCATTGTAGTTTATTTGCATTTGGGAAGTGATAATATCAAGTTTCTGGAGTAAGGTCTCATCAAAGCATGACTTCTTTGTAGAAGGAAAGACTTCAGCTACAAGTTCCATGGATTCTTGATGGAACAAGCAATCTGTATGCTACAGCAGAAAGCAGCCTCACTCATCATCAGTCTCTTGTCAATTTCCCCTCCCACTCTTTCCACTCCATCGCTTCACTCATGTCCCTCCAAATTCCCCCTCATAACCACCACAATTTCCTTCATCGTAGAAGAGACATGATAAGCTCGATCCTACTGATTGGCTATGTGGTGATTCTCGCTCACAACTTGGTGTCGCACGGCAGCTACGCTTTCGTCATGGGACGTTGTGCTACCTTGCCCTGTGCAACTTTTGACACAGAGGGATGAGTGTGCGTGGGATGCGAGAGAATGAAGATGGAAATGAATCTTGAACGGCCTTTGTGTAGTAACTTTGGTTTGGTGTTGGGAATTGTGTGGGACGTCGTGCAGGTGCCGGCACGTCCTGTGGTGGATTCTCATGTGACCTTCGCAGAGAAATGCCAACGTCCGTCCGAGGCTGAATTCGGCTTCGAAAGGTAGACGGTATCGTCTATCAGATGCCGTTGAGCTGATAGTCGAAGAGATAGACAGCGGTTCCAAGCTTATCACCTTGTTCATTTGGGTATGTGCCCGGGATTTCAAGTCGAGAGAATCCAAGACAGATTCCCTGTAATCCTCTTCCAAAACTCCTCTAAACATTTGAACTTCGCATAATAGCTGAATGAGAGACGTAGCATCATAAATAATGCTTGAGTTGGAGATTGAACCAGTGCTGGGTAGTCAACTTTGAAGTCTTTAATTGCTTTCATCTCAACTAAGCTTTGGTTCAGACTGCAAGAAGAAAGAGACTTTCGCACTCCTCAATCTCTCCTGAGCTCAACTCGGGATTGTTGGAGACAAGATGAGTGGTAAGCATTGACAGCCTCACACCATGTCAATACGGCTCACTGAAAGAAGTCATCTATCGGCGGCACCGGCTCCCCATGACCAACTCCGACTTGGGCAGCAGACCTCAGATGAAGCAATGAGCCTAGAGTATCGAGAGTGCAGAGGCTGGCAGTAAGCATACCTGTGGCACAGTTCATTATCCAGAAGGTATTCGCAGATGTGAGTCGGGAAGATAGTCCGAGCTGAAATCTTGCTCGCACCTGAGTGAGATGATATTCAGCTGCTTACAGTATCGGCCGATAGACTGCATACCAGAGAACTTCTCCGATACCAATGAGAATGCAAGATCTTCAACAACGGCCTCGACTCGAAACTGAGCAGGTGTGTACAAGAATTCCTGCTAACATCATGGGATATGAGAGAACTGTGTCTTAGTACGGGCCTGTAAGACTTACTTGAGTTCTGTTCTTCTGGGCAAGACCCACCATCCCCTCGAAATTTCCTCAACTGACCAGAATTGCTTGTAGCATGGAGGACTGAAACAAAGCAAGGGATTTGGGTGGGCATGGACAAACTTTCGGCAGGGAAAGCTCCAGATCCGGCCGGAAAGGTTAAAACCCCTCAATCATACGAGTTTCCAACATCTGTGACAGCTTCAATCTTGCAGATCGAGTGCGACGGAGACCAGCAGGTCAAATACCGTCGGAGCAACAGTGAAAGTCACCGGAAGGAGTACAGGTAACACTCTAATACGATGTAAACTGCGTAGCGAGAGCTAAACATAGATGCATTCCAAAGTTCCGTGACCTTTTCTAGAACAAATGACCCTGAGCCAACAGAAAAGTTGTTTCCTGCTATTAGGCTCAGCCGTGCCTACCTTGTCCCCCCAATGAAAATCCGGGGTATTGACAATTGTTAGATTTACTCCATTGGCTAATGTCACACTCCGCTTGCCAAGCTGCTCCTATTTGCAGCTCGAGATCAGCCTGGATAACCCGTCGGCAATATCTGCGGCAACATTCCCGAACGGTGCAACATACAAGAAACAGAATAAAGTATGGAATGGGATCAATTTAATTTGACTCTTATCTCAAGAGATCAGACACCTCATAAGGCCGTCCTTCTTCAAATTCCAAACTCTCTATCTGCTTCAACTTCAGACCTTGAAGTTCTGTACCTTATACCATGCGCTTCCAACCTTTGCTTCTCCTGACAGCATGTCTGACAGGCACGCTCGCGCTGCCTGGTCCAGGTCCTGCAACTTTATCAACCGGTAAGCAAATCCGCCCACGATCCCGTTTTTTTGATGCAAAACAGCTAATTTATCTCAGTCCCGAAACCGGTCAAAACGCCTGCAGGTGACTGCTCTCGATCTGGGCTGCTATGCATTGCCGAGATGCACGTTGTTTACAATCAGGCGACTGGCACGTGCGGCTGTGAATGGATTCCCGGATTCGAACCAGCGGTAACAGTAACTGAGAGACAAGATATTGATCCGAAGACTTGCCCAACCATTCGGTGCAAGGAGAAATACCATGCCGTCTACAATCCTGAAAAGACGCACTGCGCTTGTGAGCCAGATAAGCAATACCGGGATCCTTCAGCGTGTCCTCTGATCAAGTGCACTTCTTCAACACGGCCAGTCTACCATCCGGAGACACAGAGTTGCTCCTGCGAGCCTATTCCTCTCGAGTGTCCGAATACAATCTTCTGCGCAGCAGGATGCCACAAGATCTAAGATCCTTTGACGAAGAAATGTGCTTGTCAGGTCACCAATCCCATACCGAAAACATGTCCACAGTTCAAGTGCCTCGAAAACCACCATGTCGTGTACCATCCTGACACAGATACATGCGGTTGCGATCCTGACTGCCCTGATCTGATGTGCATCGCAGAGCAGCGAGTTACATACAACTACACCACCAACAGCTGTTTCTGCAAATACATCTCTGGTCTCGAACCAACCTTGATCCAAGATCGCGCCGCAGAAGCAAACCCCGCCACTTCCCCATTGCCAAAGCCTACAAAAGCAATACTCCCGATTGCTTGTCTAAATACCATGTGTATTTCCGAGCAACACGTTGTGTTCGATAAAGCTACTGGGAAGTGCAAATGCGAGTGGATTCCTGGCTTTGGACCGCCAGCTCCCATTAACCCCAAGCCAACATCTTCTCCCACTTCACCTGGATCCATCAAGCCAACACCAATCAAGCCCAGCTGCCCAGATACCTACTGCATCTCAGAACAACGTCCAACATACAACATTACTACAGGAAAATGTACCTGCGAATGGATACCGGGCCTCAAACCCGGCGTGCCCGCAACTCTCCTCGTAGCACGTGCCACACCATCACGATATCCATCACCCAGTTGTTCAGGTTCAGGCATCATGTGCATCTCCGAGATGCACCCCGTGTACAACGAGACAGCAGGTCGATGCGAGTGTGAATGGATTGACATCTTCCAGCCCCCAAACCTCAGTTGGCCTTCGTCTGTTCCGAGTGTACCGACAACTCCATTGGCAACTTCGTTGCCAACACCAACGACATTCACGCCGATAAGTCCTCGCCCGACACTTCCTCCCATTGGACCGAGTTGCTTGAAACCTGGGTACTTCTGCGTACCGGAGATGCAGCCTGTGTATAATGCTACGAGTGGGCAGTGCGAGTGTCAGTGGATTCCGGGGTTGGGTTCAGTTGCGGTTAAGGCTTAAGGTGGCATAAGGTTTGTTGTATGTGGCGGATGAGGATCTACTATGTTTGGCAATGTCTGACCTGGAGCCTAAAAATCAGTTGTATTGTTCTGACATGAAAAGCATTGATAGTGATTGCAGTATCATCTGTTGTTGTTGATATGGTTCCTCTGTCACCAAACGAGATGCTGAAAACTGTCCCAACCGTGCCTCGCTTGTATTCAAGGTAAATAAAGAAGCGCAACTCAGAACAGAAAGCTACAAGATGTATTTGGAGACTTGACAGGCAAAGCCATTAGGTCGCACAAATTTGAGGTCATGGTGAATTTAAGTACCTTGTTTCAAGCCATGAACAAGAGTTGCGACGGACCCGGGCTCTCACGAAGCCAGAATTTCTTGCCCCACATTTCTCTTCTATTCAGCTCGGCTAAAAGCTGTAAACATCCACCCCCTTTTGCATCAAAGCAAGTTCGTCCTAACAAGAACGGAAGCCCAAATCCAGATCAGTACCTAGAAGTTTGATAGACGTTACACAATGACGTGTAAGGATGTCCTGTGCCAGAATTTGCCTCACAATATGCAACGTGCTGACAGCCCAATCCCGGACTTAAGGTTGTTCTCTCCGGGATATGATGTCCACCGCGACCACATCACCGCTAGACCTTAGATTTTGTCAGTTGCCACAACTACTCGGGCTTTGAATGGTGTATATATATGAAAGATACACAGGGCTTTTTGGAACAAAGAGGACTTGTTCACCAGTCACTTGCTAATAACACCATCCATATTTCCACCACAATTTCCAAGACTACTTCACCGTCGCCTTTTTCCTTGCACATTCAAAATTCAATATCATTTCCTAATAATAACTCAGCATCCAAGAGATGACTCGTTGGTCCTTCTCCTCCACTGGAGACGAGGTAGTCGCAGCCTTCAAAGACCGCGTTCAAGGCAAAACAAGTAAGTCTATTCTCTCACCTCCCAACTTCCCCGCTGGTCCTTCTAACATACCCAACAGTACTCATAACCGGTCCCTCAGAAGGCGGGATTGGCGCCCAAACAGCCCTCACCCTCTCTTCTGGCCTCCCCTCCCACCTCATTCTCACCGGCCGCTCCCTCCCTAAAATCCAACCTGTTATAGCTGCCATCAACGCCTCCCACCTGTCGGTAAAAACAACATTCATAGCCTGCGACCTATCCTCTCAAGCTTCCGTCCGCGCTGCAGCTAAAGAGATCAATGCCTTAGTTGAGAAGATTGATATCCTAATCTGCAATGCGGCGATTATGGCTTGTCCGTATGTGAAGAGTGTGGATGGGATTGAGAGCCAACTTGCGACGAATCACGTGGGACATTTTCTCCTGGTGAATTTGCTCAGGGGGAAGTTGTTGGAGAGGGGCACGAGGGTGGTGGTTGTGGGGAGTAGTGCGTATGCTCATGGTGGTGTGAGGTTTGAAGATTGGAATTTTGGGGTTAGTCTGTCCGCTTTCCATTCCTGCGTGTGCAAATGATAGAGATGGAACATGGAGGAATGTTTTGGGAAGTGAGTTGATCTGTGCTGACAGTTGATGATCAGGATGGGAAGACGTATAATGAGTGGGAGGCATATGGACAATCGAAGACGGCAAATATGCTGTTTGTTAAGGGTCTTGCTAGGAAGATGGAGAAGACCGGTGGATTTGCGTTCTCGTTGAATCCTGGCTGTAAGTGTTTCCTTCCTTTTTGCGAATCAACAAGCCCAACACTCATCTTTCCCTCTTCTGACAACTATACAGCTATCCTCTCAAACCTCCAAGTTCATATGCTCAGTGATGAAGCCATCCTAGCCGACGGTCTCGCCCGAATGACAGCATCTGAAGCGAAGGAAGGGAGAAAATTTGTTCGTGCTCAAAGGAAGACTTTGGAGCAGGGATGTGCAACTACTCTGGTTGCAGCGCTGGATCCGGAACTTGAAAAGTTTAGCGGAGAGTATTTGGACGATGGAGATGTGAGTAAGGTGAAGGTGAGAGAGTATGCGACAACTTTGGAGAATCAGGAGAAGCTGTGGAAGCTTAGCGAGGAGTTGGTTGGGGAGGAGTTTGTATGGTAGAAGAGGAAGGGTTTGGGGGAGAAAAAGTGAAAATTTATTGCTGGCTTTTGCGTTCTTCTATTCTTTCTCGATGGAAACTTTGACCCGGTCTCATGTGCTCCAACATTTGTGTGCCGGTGATCGTTGAGACTTGGTCAGGTTGACACGTCGATACTCAGTCGCTCCCAATTATTTTTACTCCACCGGGTAGAGCAATGACCTGACTATTCACTTGGTCGAGACAAGTAGATAGTGTCGCAGTTCCATCATCAGCTTCAGTGAGACACATTCTTGAGATCCGACTCAGGACATTGCCAGAATAGGTGTAGTCCCATTTCTGGGCTGCTCTTCTTGAGCATCTTGCGAGCATGAGCGTCTCGCCACTAGAATCGGTCAGGCAGCTTGATGGATCAGCAATCGTCCTGATTGTCCCATCACTTCTTGCTTGCCAGACTTGCTCATCTACAGCAGTTGAATTCGCCCAACTTACTCCTTCAGATGAAGCAGTCAAAGTGTTGAGCGAGAATGTATTGAAGATCATGCCTGTTGGTATGCTACCACACCGCCCCTTTGCAGCTGAAAGTCTGAAGATGGCTGTTCCGTGCGAGGGAACGTCATGTGCAGTCACTTGTGTGAAGGCGCTTGTAGACTCCCCAGTCCATAGGTCCTTGATATGAATCGTTTTGAGATCCGGAATTCCTATTCGTACGAAGGAGACGCTATGGCTTGCCGTATTGTTTCCCCGATTTAGAACCGTGAGCAGACGGTCTCCATTTGCGAGATCTTTCGTCAAAACATCCCAAGTTCCATCTTGGCTGACAAGCGTGGCTTGTAAGGCTAGTGGATCTTGGTCAACCGCTATGATTTCCGCGTTACCCAGATATTCGATTTCGGTGGAGTTCAAGTTCGGCATCCAGGAACTGATGATGAGAGGTGCAGAAAATGACGACCACAGAGCAAAGTGCGATTTCCTCTCGTCCAAAGTGTAGTCGAAATGATCGACATTCAGGAAATCTGGGTCATTGAAGTACCCCGGGCGTTGATACCGAGCAAGTCGCACTTCCTGGCCGTAGTTGAACATGATTGAGTCCCATCCCGTGATATTTGGCCAGTACAGGGTAGAATTGAAGACCAGTGAGTCTCGCGAATGACGAGCGAGTTGTCCAAATTTAGGTACCCAGTTCATGACTTTGTACCATTCCGAGAGGCTGGTAGCTTCGGCAAAGTAGGCTGGTGCCGACTCGGAAAATATCATTGGATTGCCGGTGTCTTGTCTGATGTCCTCTAGGACATCGTGCCAACGGCCATAGACTGATTTGTACTCGGCTTCAGTTCCTGTGGGCATGTTGCAACCATCCAGCTTGACATACTCAAAGCCCCAGTCAGCGAAAGTTTGAGCGTCTTGAGCTTCGTATGCAAAGGCTCCTGGATATCCACCACAGCTCAACTTTCCAGCATCAGTGTAGATCCCGGGAATGAAGCCCAGCTCTTTGAGGTAATTTGTGAGCCAAGGGAGTCCATGGGGGAACTTTTGGGTGTCCCATTCCATGGAACCATTGGCAGCACGGGACATCGTGCTCCAACTGTAACGAGGAATAAGCATGGTTTTCTTTGAGGGTCTCGAAGCTGGCATTTGAGCGTAGATAGCTCGAAAGAACTTACCAGTCATCCAGATTAATTCTAGTATATCCTGCATCCAGGAGTCCATACTTGATCATTAATTGTGCGGTCTCAACAAAAACGGTTTCGTTCAAACCACACATGAGAGCTGCCCACTTAGAAGTGAAGAAGTCAGCTGAGGGTCTGAAAGATAAAGAGCGGAAGTGATTGAAAACATACATTGTTGTAACCCATAGGTGGTGTAGGCTGCAGTACCGGCTTGGAAGAAAAGACCAGAGGGAGAGCCCCAACCAAGACAGCCAGGTATCTGAACAGATTGGATGCCATAGTATCCAGACGACGAAGGGCAAGATTGAAACAAAGAAGTACTAGGTCTAGAAATGGACTTCTGGGCTCGTCCAAATCAAAGAATTCAAAAGAATGGAACGCCATCTCGTCCACGTTACTGGTGTACTGCTTATGAAGTGGAAGGTCCCTTGATCCGCAACTACCGGATTCTTACACTAGTAACACTACCGGCACAGCACATAATCTGTTTAATGAGAACGGATCGTCATATCCCACTATTGATACTGTGAGGCGTAGTAACCCTCTGTATTTCCTTGCAGCAATAGGTGAAGAAGAGACCAATTGTCTCTCAGTTGACCACTTGTCATGCCATACAGGCAGAACGTCCAGTGCGAATTGTTCAAAGTTGGGTTGATTGAAACGTTACTCGACACCACGTGGGATTCGGCTCGACCCTTCAGATATTACGATATAAATAGAAGCTCAGTAGACGCTGCTGTATAAGGACGGTTAGAACGGCTGTATGTTGATCGGGATAATAAAGGTTACACGACGGCAATACCCCCATCACACTTCCCCGCTTCTGAGGCTTGACCAGATCTGGGGCAGTCCTTGGCAGCAAATCCACGAGTTTCAATATCATTTCGCGTAGGAGGGGCGAGATGATGTTGAATTTTTCGCGTAGAACCTTCGCCTCTGATCCTAGCAAAATAGATTAATTAGAGTCGGGGCCATTTCCGACTGCTTAGTGTGGAGATTCTCTCCTCAAAATAACAGTCTTGGCAGTCGAGCACCAGCTTGCCCCAGATTCTGTCGATCAGACCAATGTCTATCGTAAGTCGCTGTCTCGATATCGAAACAACGCGCACTGATGCAAATAAACAGACACTGTTGTAATTATAGTATAGGAGGAAAGCTGAATCCACTAAAATGGCCTGCAAGTGCCGGTTCCAGGTCCTCTCGTCTGCTAAATCACATAATGTCGATATCGATCTATTCAGCCTGAGTCCTTCCTTTCTTCTCGTTCCCACGCGTGTGCACTTCACATTATTTCGCAATCGCGAATAGGCAAATACCATGCCAATTCCATGAAGTTGAAACTCTATTGATCTTTCCCATTGTCGCCCACTTGTTTTGATTCATGGTGTGAAGGTCCCTTTAACGAGAGTGGATATTGTGAACGTTTCGTTCATATGCACGCCCTTCGACAAGATGGTCAACCCTGCTTTCGTGCTTCTGCCTCTTTATGTGTATCCGTATAACGAGACGTCTTGGAGTAACATCACGGCATCGATCATCGCACATCCAAACCTGAACTTCCAGGTTATTGTTGCGCCGAACCTGGCAAACGTCTTTCCGGACAAGAACTACGAAGTTGCTCTCGATGGGTTGAACAGTTTCCCGAATGTCGTCACCCTGGGATATGTTCCTATAAACTGGATCCACCGAGATCTCGAGATGGTACTCGCAGATATCAGTTGCTATGCAGCTTGGCCGACACATACCAACCCGAACATTGCCGTTCAAGGCATATTCTTCGACGAGACGACTTCAGCTTTGACTGAAGAGACGTGGGCGTATATGAGCAACATAACGACTTTCGCAAAAGAAGCTCTCGGGCCTGGCAAACAACATATCTCGTTCAATCCCGGCGTAGCTGTTGATAGAGCTTTCTACGATTTGGCCGATACGGTCAATGTTTTCGAGAATGAATGGGCGGCGTTCAATATGTCGGTCTTGACCTCAACACCGATGGATCTGCATGCAAGATCCACGTACCTCATACATGACTTCCCTGGCGACAAATCACTTCAAGCTGAAGTGATACATGACCTTGCAGATGCAAACGTAGGCGGGATGCTGCTTACGACACAGCCGAGCTACACAGAGCTATCCGAGATGTGGGCTGAATTTTGCGAAGAGTTGGCTGATAATGTTGGTGGTAGTCTTCCGCCAGAGTTGTTGCCGATTGACTCAGCCAGTCCCTCCACCATAGCTGTCCAGATGTCGGAGTGAACGAGATGACTTTGCATGGAATGTCTGAATTGTACATACGAGGAGTATTTGGAAACACAGAAGTGGCGTTCGGTGACTGATGATAGTCAGTATGAATCATACGAGCGGTTCAATCATTCAGAGGCTGCAGCCAAGAGTCAATCGGGCAGGTATGCTCGACGGTCAATCTATCCCTACCCTAATAGACCAAGAGCAGTTTCGTTACAATGAACGATTGCTTGTATAGAAGAAGGGAACAGTACAATTCCAAATCATGTATCCGAAGAATACAAAGCCCAAATACCTGGGGAGGTCGGATAGACACAGGATTTTCGAGAACCTTGTTCGGCCGAAGTCCCCCGAAATGGAAACCCGTATTGTCAGCATTCCCGCACTGCAACTGCCCACAGCCCACCTCATTTGTTTCTAGCGAGATTCGAGTCAGCACAAACGGTCCACTTCTGTCAGCTTTTCTCTTCAAGTTTTGTCAGCTTTCGTCCTCAAACCACAGCGGCGTGACTTGGATCTATGCTTGGCGAAGTGGACTATCTATCTCTCCAAGTTCTCTGATGATGCGTGATCTTCGGAATGAATATCTCTCCGCGTGGAGCCTCATGTTTGGTGACTCAAACGGCGTGCCCTTGCTGCACATGCTCACAGTCCATGAGCACCAGTACAGCTGTTGCAGTAGCTTGTGAGTAGGCACGCAAAAGAAACCCGAGGCCATACCCGCAATCATTCTGTCTCTTCTTCGAAGAGGTCTGACTACTCTGATCAGCATTTGGAAGCAATAGCCTTTGCCCCTCCCCTCCCCTCCCCTTGTGCTCCCTCAGCCTCGTTGCTCGCAGGCGTCCACCCAAGAAATCATAGCCACTCATTATGACTCGGGAAATGCACAGATAGCCATTTCAACTAATCGCGTAGCGTGCCTGCTTGGCTATCAGTTACCCTTAAGTGGCTCCATCAAGCCGAATTGTCAATTCCGCAAAAGCAAATCCACCACGAGCGCCGTCCCCCACAACCCGAGGGCTAGTGACGAATAGCAAATGCAGAAAAGCACAAGGGCCATTATAAACTTACCTACTACGTACATGGTCGTCTTATGATCCACTTGGACAAGTCCGATCTTAATCCCGGATTGTGCAGGACTTGACCGAGACCTCAAAAGTCCCCTTGGAAAAAGTGTTTATTGTCAAAGCTGCCCGCCACTTGCATCGCCAACCACACAGCAGCACTCTTTCCTTTGCTCCTCTTCATTCCTTTCATACCGTGCCGAAGCTCTCTTTCCAATTCTTGAGGAGACTCTGTCACAGGCGTGTACTCTTCTTTATATAATACATCAGTTCTATTTCTTACGTAGCAAGGGAGCCTATCATACCCCAAGCTGTCAGCCAAACAGACTTCGGTCAGGGATTTAGGCGGGGAACGCCCTGTCGTGCACGACAACATGTCTGAGAAGGGAAACCACGAGCAAGCTCCCAAGGCGCTCGAGGAGTCGCCAATTGAGATTTCCAACAGCACTGCACGAACCTCAATTGATACGGCGGCAGATCCTGAGGTGCAGCGGGAGAATGTGCGTCACGCAAATCCCCATGGCTTCTCTTCCACAAGCACAGGTGTGGACGTGAAGGCCGCTGAGGAGGAGTTCGCGACACTGCAGAGGGAGTTGTCGGGCATAAGCCAAACCAGCAGGCGACTTTCGAGAACACAATCCAGGCAATCGAGACATTCAAAGAAGGGTGCAAGCGAAAAGGACGTCGAGCAGCTTGCGTCGGAGGATTCGACCACTGATGAGGAGCCGTTTGATCTAGAGAGCACGCTGCGGGGGAATCACCATGTATGCCATTCTCCAAGAATGCTCCAATTCAAAAGCTAATTTTTTTCTAGGCCGAGCAAGAATCTGGTCTTCGACCTAAGCATATCGGCGTCATTTGGGACAACCTCACAGTGTCGGGAACTGGAGGAGTAACCAACTTTGTCAGGACCTTCCCCGATGCGTTCATCAGCTTCTTCAATGTCTTCGAAACAGCAAAGAACATTTTTGGCGTGGGCAAGAAAGGCAGGGAGGTCAATATTTTAAAGGATTTCCGGGGTATCGTCCAGCCCGGAGAGATGGTTCTCGTTCTTGGCCGTCCTGGGTCCGGTTGCACGACATTCTTGAAAGTCATTGCGAACCAGCGGTTTGGCTACACTGGCGTGAACGGAGAGGTCCTGTACGGTCCATTCGATGCAGAGACATTCGCCAAACAATATCGAGGAGAAGCTGTGTATAACCAGGAAGATGATGTGCATCACCCCACTCTCACGGTTGGACAAACACTGGGTTTTGCATTGGACACTAAGACTCCAGGAAAGCGTCCTCAGGGAATGTCAAAAGCAGACTTCAAGGACAGAGTTATCACAACTCTACTGAAGATGTTCAACATTGAGCATACACGGAACACGATTGTCGGTAACCCCTTCGTTCGTGGTGTATCCGGAGGTGAGAGAAAGCGAGTTTCTATTGCCGAAATGATGGTAACAGCAGGCACCGTTTGTGCTTGGGATAACTCTACTCGCGGTCTAGACGCTTCGACTGCCTTGGACTATGCCAAATCTCTCCGCGTTATGACCAATATTTACAAGACAACCACCTTCGTTTCATTATACCAAGCTTCGGAGAACATTTACAAGCAATTCGACAAAGTCCTGGTGATTGATGCTGGACGCCAAGTTTACTTCGGACCTGTAAGTGAAGCTCGAGCTTACTTTGAAGGTCTTGGATTCAAGGAGAAGCCTCGTCAGACTTCGCCCGATTTCTTGACCGGCTGCACAGATCAATTTGAGCGAGAATATGCTGATGGGCGATCATCCGAGAATGCTCCACACAGTCCTGATACATTGGCAGAGGCGTTCAACAAGTCAAAATTTGCAACTGACCTCGGCAACGAAATGGAGCAATATCGAAAGTCAATCGCAGAGGACAAGCAAAGACAAGAAGATTTCCTCACTGCTGTGCATGACAGTAAGCGAAAGGGCGCATCGAAATCTGTCTACAGCATTCCGTTCTACTTGCAAGTCTGGGCATTGATGCAACGTCAATACCTCATCAAGTGGCAAGACAAGTTCTCGTTGGTTGTCAGCTGGATCACCTCCATTGTTATTGCTATTGTTCTTGGAACTGTATGGTTGAACTTGCCAAAGACTTCTGCAGGTGCCTTTACTCGTGGTGGTCTTCTCTTCATCAGTTTGCTCTTCAATGCCTTTCAGGCTTTCTCCGAACTCGCAAGCACCATGATAGGTCGCCCAATCGTAAACAAGCACAAAGCGTACACTTTCCACCGACCTTCGGCCCTGTGGATAGCTCAGATCTTGGTCGATCTGCTCTTCTCCGCAACTCAAATTCTGGTGTTCTCAATTATTGTCTACTTCATGTGCGGTCTGGTTCGAGATGCTGGCGCATTCTTCACTTTCTATATCGTTATCGTTAGTGGTTACTTATCCATGACCCTTTTTTTCCGCACGGTGGGTTGTCTATGCCCCGATTTCGATTACGCCATCAAGTTTGCAGCAACCATCATTACTCTTTTCGTTATTACTTCTGGATACATCATCCAATATCAGTCCGAGAAGGTTTGGATTCGATGGATCTACTGGATTAATGCTCTTGGTCTTGGGTTTTCTGCTTTGATGGAGAACGAGTTCAGCCGGCTCACACTCACTTGCACTGGAGAGTCTTTGATTCCATCGGGGCCTTCATATACCAATATCGACAATCAAGTGTGTACCCTCGCGGGAAGTGTCGCCGGAACGGATCAAGTCTCTGGCTCTGCGTACATCACTGATGGCTTCTCCTACCGACCAGAGGAGCTTTGGCGAAATTTCGGAATCATCGTCGCTTTGATCGTCTTTTTCTTGATCACCAACATGACATTGGGAGAGTGGATCACATTCGGTGCGGGTGGGAATGCTGCTAAAGTCTTTCAGAAGCCCAACAAGGAGAGAGATGAGCTTAATGCAGCTCTTATCGCTAAGCGTGACGAGCGAAGAGCAGCTAAGGGTAATGGTGTCCAAGGTTCAGAGATTAATATCACATCCAAGGCAGTTCTCACTTGGGAGGGCCTAAACTACGACGTTCCGACTCCGGCTGGACAACTCCGTCTTCTCACCAATGTTTATGGTTACGTTAAACCTGGAGAGCTTACTGCTCTCATGGGAGCAAGTGGAGCTGGAAAGACCACCCTTCTCGATGTTCTGGCTGCACGTAAGAACATTGGTGTTATCTCTGGTGATATCCTTGTCGATGGTATTGCTCCCGGCAATGCTTTCCAGCGAGGAACTTCCTATGCCGAGCAACTTGACGTCCACGAAGCTACCCAGACCGTTCGTGAAGCCTTGAGATTCTCAGCTGATCTTCGCCAACCTTTCGAGGTGCCACAATCGGAGAAATATGCTTACGTTGAGGAAATTCTCAGTCTTTTGGAAATGGAGGATATGGCTGATGCGATCATTGGAGATCCTGAATCTGGTTTGGCTGTGGAACAGCGAAAGCGTGTCACTATTGGTGTCGAGTTGGCTGCTAAGCCCGAACTCCTTCTCTTCTTGGATGAACCTACATCTGGTCTTGACTCCCAGTCCGCATTCAACATCGTCAGATTCTTGAGAAAGCTTGCAAGCGCTGGACAAGCCATCCTCTGCACCATCCATCAACCTAACGCTGCACTGTTCGAGAACTTTGATCGTCTGTTGCTTCTTCAAAGAGGTGGACAAACTGTATACTTTGGCGACATCGGAAAAGATGCCTGTGTTCTGATTGATTACTTGCACAAACACGGTGCTGACTGTCCTCCGGACGCCAACCCTGCCGAGTATATGCTTGACGCCATAGGAGCTGGACAAGCTGCCCGAGTCGGTGACAGGGACTGGGCTGAGATCTTTGCCGAATCCCCAGAACTTGCCAACATCAAAGATAAGATCTCACAAATGAAGACGGAACGACTTGCGGATGTCGCCTCACATGTCAAGAAAGATGAGCGAGAATTCGCAACGCCGCTCATGCACCAACTTAAGGTCGTCCAGAAGCGAACCAACCTAGCATTCTGGCGCTCACCCAACTATGGCTTCACGCGTCTCTTCAACCATGTTATCATTGCTCTGCTCACTGGTCTCGCCTATCTCAACCTCGATGATTCCCGCCAATCTCTACAGTACAGAGTCTTCGTCATCTTCCAAGTCACTGTCCTTCCCGCTCTGATTCTCGCACAAGTCGAGCCGAAGTACGCCTTGTCTCGAATGATTTTTTTTAGGGAGAGTTCTTCAAAGATGTATTCCCAGTTCGCTTTCGCTTCCTCCCTGGTCGTGGCAGAGATGCCTTACTCCATCCTCTGCGCCGTGGGATTTTTCTTGCCCATCTACTACATGCCAGGCTTTCAATCTGCTAGCTCGCGCGCCGGTTACCAATTCTTCATGGTCCTCGTCACCGAGCTCTTCTCCGTCACCCTCGGTCAGATGGTAGCGGCCATCACACCCAGTCCCTTCATTTCTGCGCTTCTTAACCCCTTCATCATCATCACCTTCGCCCTATTCTGTGGTGTCACAATACCCAAGCCCCAAATTCCTAAATTCTGGCGCGCCTGGCTCTACCAGCTCGACCCGTTCACACGCCTGATCGGCGGCATGGTGGTGACTGAACTGCACGGCCGAGAAGTAACTTGCACCTCTTCAGAACTCCAACGCTTCTCTGCGCCCGGCGGCCAGAACTGCGGAGAGTACATGACCGATTTCTTCCAGGCTGGCGGGCCGGGTTATATTGTCAGCAATGTGACCAGCGCTTGCGAATACTGCGCTTTCAAGGTCGGCGATCAGTTTTACTCTGGTCTTGGATTTGACTTTAGTAACCGCTGGAGAGATCTTGGGATCTTGATTGCTTTTATTGGCAGTAACTTGGTTTTCCTGTTCCTTGGTGTAAGTCATTCCTTTATCTTTTCCTCCTCTCATCATCGCAACTGTGTGAATTGCTTGCTGACCGTCTCTACAGTCAAGATACCTCAACTTCAATCGCAGATAAAAAGTCACATTAGCGCAGCGCAGCGGCACGCAACAAAATACGTCTTTCTTTATTATTTTGTCATTTACAAGCATATAATCAGTAATGCGATACCATCGGATTTATTGGTTTTCATTTTGTCACATTCGAACTATGTTTTAGAGGTGGCATGTATGTGTAGAAGGTAAATGGGGCCAGATGGTGGGTGTATATAAAAAAGGAGAGATCTACAAGAATGAAACTCAACATTAAGTAGTATTCGGGGCTTCCTCGCTTCTACGGCTTTGGATGATACCTAAGGTATTTTATGATTAACGTTCACCGCGGGAATACATCGGCTTGCAAGCATCTTCAGCTTCACAAGGGTCAACAAACCCAATTCTCTCTGCTCCACACCATTGGGCTGGTGGGAGCAGGGAACTCTTCGCCACCTTGCTTAATATGCCCAAACTCCAAGAGGAAGAGCAAGAAGTTATCGCCATTCGACTTGTCAATCTATTGTTTCGTCATGATCTAATAACGATAATAGCTTTAATTATTACATATTTAACTTCCCTTTCCTTGTGAAATCCGTTACTTACCTGGCTTAAAAGTGCCGGAGCTACCTACCTACTGTAGGTAGGCAGGGCAGGTACCTTATCGAGGGAAGATCCGACGCCACGTGCTCGTCAATAAATCCCTCCATGGGATTTTGAACTCGCATCTGTCCACGACTGCATTTATCAAAACTCGGATGGAGATTACTATGATGCTTGACTCGGTCTCAGAAGTTGCTTGAGCGATATGCCAAGAATGGGGCAACGAACCAGCCGTGTATGGCTATTCTCAAATGAGAATGAGAGTGAGGCAGAGTCTGCATGCAGCCCTTTGACCCTCTGCAAGATGTCCTCACTTCCAAACTTTCGATCAGATCAGATCAGAATGTTTCCCAACTCAAGTCCCCATAGATCTCTTTTGGCAACGAATCAACCAAAGCAAAGCGACCCCTCCAGTGAGGCGCCTCTCTGACATACAGGGTTCAATGCGCAATCGCCATCGACCGATGGTGTCCATGAATCGCTGCACAAACGATCCATAGTCACCTCACCTTGCAGGCTTGCAGCTGTCACAATTCAAGCGAAAAGTGGCCTGATTTTCCTCGCCTCGAGCAGGCTGGCTAGGCTTGCCACCAGAAACTCTCCTCTCTCAGCCACAGCTGCGATCTGAACCCTCTAGGTATCCTCTCTCGCCTCTGTGCTGCACATCACAGCTGGTACTACTACCACTACCACCCACCTCAGCAAGCTCGACCTCGTCCATCTGCTCCAGAACCATCTTCAAACCCTTTGCGCAAACTGGCCGAACGTCGACGAGGGGGTTCAGCCCTGCGAAGACTTCCGCCGTCAAAAATGCTAGAGGATGTCGAATATTCCGGGCATTTCAAAGCCTGTCGTCTTCCTTTCAAGTGAAGACTTTGCGGTTGAACGTGTATTTCCCATCAGGAATCTGGTCGGGGACGCGGACTCGACGCCCAGACCCGAGAATGTGCAGAATGCTACGGCAGATGTTGATCCGATAGACTTACCCTTCAGAATTGCAGAAGAGCTGGTCGCGATTGATGGGCAGGAAGAGACCGATGTCAAGAAATCGAAGGATCAAGAAGCTGGATCGCCATATCTTCCTCCGCCATACCCGCCAGTACCACCATCCCATACGCTTCGCAGGCTCCCCTCCGATGAAGGCGAAGCAGACTTATCGAAGTCGAACGATAGCTTGGGATTCCAAAGGAAGAGGACTGAGAGAACGCAATTAGTTCCCGCTACTACCAGGCCGCCAGGCGTTTTTCCAGGCATCATATCGGACCCCTCGCGCCAGAAGTTCCACCGATGCGAGGACGAGCCCATTCATACTCCAGGGGCAATTCAACAATATGGAGTTCTATTGGCTTTGAAGTACGATAAGGATGAGAATCTTGAGGTCCGGATCGTGAGCGAGAATTCTCGTTGGGTACTCGAGTACACTCCTGAACAACTGTTCAATCTCAAATCTTTCTTGGACATCTTAGATGCCGAGTCTCGCGAAAATATAGTTGCGCAGGTCGAGCATGCCCTCCACGAAACTCCCAAGGAGCTCAATGAGGATACACATCTCGACATATTCGATGTCTCCTTGATCGTGCCAAATGGAACCCTCAAGCGGCTCTGGTGTGCTCTCCATATTTCGAAAAGAACCAAGGATCTGGTGATCTTGGAGTTCGAGGACTTCTCAGATGTGTTCTATCATCCGGACGTTCCTGATAAGACATTACCTGACACGCCAACCCAAACCATCGATCTAGAGGTTCATCCTGAGGAGCGACTCAAGAGCATTACTCGCGAGAGCGCTCCTCTAAGAGTCCTCCAGATCTCGCGACACCAGAGACTGGTTGGTGTCTCTTCCATGAATCTTTTTAACGCCATGATACAGGCGCAGCAGCAATTGTCAGCAGCCAAGTCTGTACAGCATGTTTTAGATCTTGTCGTGGGCATCATTTCGGAACTGACGGGCTTCCATCGAGTGATGTTCTACCGCTTCGATGTCCATAAGAACGGGTGTGTGGAAGCGGAACTCGTTAATCCTCAAGCAAGTTTGGACCTGTATAGAGGTTAGTACTCCTGCTTCATGGTTTTGTATCTCGGGCGTCTCACTAACTTCGTTCTATAGGTCTCCATTTTCCAGGTACTGTTTTCCATTGACTTTTTTGGGGGGGAGGGGCACCATGTATCTAACATGTGGCATTAGCGTCTGATATTCCTCAACAGGCTCGTGAACTGTACAAGATCAATAGGATTCGTATTCTCTATGATCGTGATGCGGAGACAGCTCGTTTAGTAAGAATCTCTTGATTATCTTTTCATCAAATCGTAGTCCATTCGCTCAGTGCTGACCGTTTAGGTGTGTCGCGATGCGGAAGCTTTCTCAGTGCCCCTGGATCTTAGCCACTCGTATCTTCGCGCTATGTCACCAATCCATCTCAAGTATTTGGGCAACATGGGTGTTCGATCTTCTATGTCGGTTTCCATCGTGATTGATGATGATCTTTGGGGATTGGTAGCCTGCCATGGTTATGGAGATTTAGGTATCCAGATTCCCCTCCCGGTGCGTGAACTCTGCCGAAACATCGGCGAGTGTGCAGCAACAAATATCCAACGACTTCTCATGATGCAGCGCCTTGAGGCAAGAAGACCACCTGAGAAGGCTCCTCCTACTCAGAATCCTGCAGGTTTCATTGCAGCATCGTCAGCGGATCTGCTACGAGTATTTGATGCAGACTTTGGGCTCCTCAGCATTCACGACGAAGCCCGGGCTATCGGCAGACTTGAGCCATATCGAGAAGCGCTTGCCCTGCTTGCGTACTTGCAACATCGCCGATTCACGACCGTATTCGCTTCGCAACACATCAAACAGGATTTCCCAGATATTAAGTATCCTCACGGCATCAATTCCATATCTGGATGCTTGATTATTCCACTGAATGTCTGGGGTAATGACTTCCTGGTCTTCTTTCGCAAGGGGCAGCTTCGTGAAATCCGATGGGCTGGCAACCCGTACGAGAAAATCAAGAGGGCCGGAACCGAATACCTGGAACCAAGAATGAGTTTCAAAAGATGGACCGAGACAGTGGCTGGGCTGAGTAAGGACTGGACTGAAGATCAGCTGGAGACAGCTGGGGTGCTGAGTCTTCTTTATGGCAGGTTCATTGAGATATGGCGTCAGAAGGATGCAGCCGGCCAGAACGATCGAATGACGAGGCTCCTCATCAGGAACTCTTCACATGAAGTTCGAACGCCACTAAACGCCATTGTCAATTATCTTGAAATGGCACTTGAAAATCCTATCGACGATGCTACCAGAGATGTCCTGGGTAAAGCACACAAAGCCTCAAGATCCCTCATATACGTGATTGACGACCTCCTCAATCTTACTAAAGCCGAAGAGGGCCCCATAAATTCTCCCGATGAGACTTTCGACCTTGGAGTTACGGTATCAGACGTCATTACCCAGTTCAGGAAAGAAGCGATGAGGAAGAATTTGGATTTGACAGTCTCCACGCATCAGGGCATACCCGAGATGGTTAAGGGCGACGCTTCTCGTCTTCGACAGGTCCTATCAAATGTCGTTAGCAACGCCTTCCAGCATTGTATCGAAGGTGGGATCAAGGTGGATATTCGACCGATCAAGACTCGAGAAACTAGCTCTGTCATCGGCATTACGGTTCAGGATGCTGGAATCGGCATGAGTGAGAGTCAGCTAGATGTAAGTCAATGTACTCCGGCACAAGTCCAAATGCTTACAGGCTCTCTTACAGGAATTGTTCCAGGACTTTGAACAAGTTATCGACGAAGACAATCTCTCCGGTGAAGTGACATCGACATCGTCCCTGTCAGATGACCAGCCTCTGGGAGTTGGTCTTGCCGTTGTCGCTCGGTATGTCAAGAACATGAAGGGCCAAATCAGAGTTCAGAGCGAGCTTGGGAAAGGAACTATCTTCGGGATCGAAGTACCATTCCAGCATGCCATCGAGGAACCTGGTCAATCTGTCCCCATGGGCCCTCTTTTTGAAGCTAAAGAGCCGACCTTGCTCAAGGCCCTGTCAGACAATGGTAGCACGCCACTTGTGCCATCTCCTCGCCAGGAAATGGAGGGTATAGCGGAAGCTACGCCGAACTCTCTACCGAACGAGACGGTTGTGCCATCGCCGCACGAGGATCCAGCCTTTCCAGCTCCGCCGGACACTCACAGTGGAGAAATGTCTAGCCATGGAAATTCGTCGCGGTCAACATATCCTTTCCCAAATATGGGTGGCGACAAAGCAGAGTATATGAGGGATCCTCTTTCTGTACTCATTGCAGAGGACAACCCGATCAATGCAAGGCTCCTGATTAGGAGGCTTACGAAACTGGGGCATAGCGTAGAACACGTGAATGATGGGCAAGAATGCCATGATCAATTCGCACTGAATCCGCATTCAGTGGATGTAATTTTGATGGATATACAGGTAAGTCAGCAGCCCACTTTCTTTGTTGGTGTCGAAGACAAGTGCTTATGAACTGCAGATGCCACTGGTCGATGGAATGATGTCAACCAAAATGATCCGCATATTCGAGAGAGAACTCCAGGAGCTCAAAAAGATCCGACCGAGAGTTCCGATCATTGCTGTATCGGCCTCGCTCTCGGAGAGTAAAAGATTTGATTACATACAAACTGGGTATGTTTCGTTTCTCTTTGTTTAATTACGGAACCTTACTAACCGAACACTTTAGATTCGATGCATGGATCTTGAAGCCCATTGACTTTGGCAGACTCGATTTTATACTGAAAGGAATCAAGTATTCCGAATTGAAGAGGAACGCTCTGTATGCTCCTGGAAATTGGGAGGGCGGAGGGTGGTTCATATCCTGAATATGGGCCAGGGCAGGGTACCGAGGCGCTCATCCGTGGGAAACGTGTGAATAGGGGTATTAGAGTTATGATCCGGAAGACTAATGGGCGAGGATGGCATGACACTGATGACAGACACGAGTTGGACACGATATTATTTACAACATATACCACCTTTCAGTAAATTTACTACATCGTATACAGAGGAAACTTTATAGCATTGCCAATTCTGACCTGCAGATGTGAGTCCAGACTATCAGTGCGGTAATTACCTGGATTTTGCAGCACAGAAACAGTGCAGAACACTTCTGGGAAAACAGTTTTCCTAGCCGTACACGGCTATAAAAGGAAAGGTTGTGTGGAGACCTCCCAGGGACCGAGGTTTAATTACGTCTTTACAAGCTGTAGCTGTTCGCCGATATTCGTATTACTAGATTCGGTTTAACTTGTAATTAGTCAGCGAGCACAGACAGAAAAACTGTAACAGGTAAACAGAAAAGTGTTTTGCAAGAACACTTTTCAAACCTATATACAAAAGCTTTACGCTAAAGCTACGCGAGACTTTACTATTAACCTAGAGCTATCCACCTCCCTAAGTAATATTAGGTAAAGCGTGCACGGCTAGAAAAAGTGTTCTTTGCAAAATCCAGCTACTAAAGTACATAAGGTAGGTACTTTCCTCGCAGATTTGCAGGGCGGAAACTCACATGTTCTCCTTTTGACTGGGCTCGTGCCCGGCTTGAAAATAATTCAAGCGAGACATCGGACCACCTACAGTTTACGTAGATCGAGAAATAATACTGTAAGTTCCCCTGACTTTCTAGCTGCAAGGAGTTTTCCTCTTTCGTTTGTCTAAACATAGGAGAGCCAAGTTCTTTCCCGACAGGGCCGATCATGCGCTCCGAAAACCTAAATTCTAATTAAGCACATCTCATTTCGGTGCTGGAGAACTGTCCTGCGACGTAGTACCGGCGCCCATCACGCCTTGTAGCAAACTTTTTCACAGACTGCTTGACCACGAGGACCGGAAATTAGCGTGTTGACAACAAATCAGCGCGGGGTAGCGGGTACCTGACGACTGACCGACGATCCCCCTCTCTCTGTACGTATATATAAGATGCCGAGCCCAAGTTCGGGAGCGAAAGAAATGGCTGAAACCAAGCTCCTTCATTCGACGACGAGTATCCGGTCGAATATCTTCATCTACTTGGGAACTAGCTGAAGTTGGTAGACCGCACAATGAAGGGCTTCCAATTCACTTCGGGATTTCTGGCTACGGCCGTGGTTGTGGCTGTCGTTCAAGCACAATGTCCGGACTACGCGGATTACTCGAAGCAGCGACACGAGCCGTTCAGTACGGGCAAATATCAGCTCTCTTACATGCGACCTGCACCGGCATGTCGGACGTTCAACTCTTCGATCGTGGAGGATACGATCACGAGTATGAAGTCTGTGATCAAGGATCCCGATTTGTATCGATTGTTTGAGAATTCGTTCCCAAATTCGTTGGATACGGCCGTTAAGTGGAAGGGTTTTGCGGCGAATAATTCGAAGGAGGAGTTGACGTTTCTGATCACGGGAGATATTAATGTGAGTTGATTTACCTGAGGGCGGGGAGATTTTGAGTGTTGACTAACTGCTCCAGGCAATGTGGTTGCGAGACTCGGCCAATCAGATGCAGAGCTATTTGTCTCTGCTCAAAGCAAACTCAAGTTATGATTCCCTTGCAAGCTTGTACAGAGGAGTCATAAACTTGCAAGCTCGATACATCAACGAAGCACCACACTGCAACTCCTTCCAGCCTCCCGTCGAATCTGGCCTTGGACCTTCCCGGAATTGGGGCAGTCAGACACCAGATGTTTTTACACCTCCTGCCTCGACCCAGACCGTTTTCGAGTGTAAATACGAGTTGGATTCTCTCGCGGCGTTCCTCGAGATTTCGACCGATTACTACGAAGCTACCAACGACATTGAGTTCTTTAAGAACTTCCAATGGGTCGCTGCAGTTAATACAATCATTTCCACCACGGAAGCTCTTCTCATCGGAACTTACGCCTCGAATGGCTCAGTCAATGCGAGCCCATACACGTGGTTGCGAGACACGACGAGTGCAACGGAAACTGTTTCTAATTCTGGTCGCGGAAATCCAGTTCAAGATGGAACTGGTTTGGTCCGGTCGGCGTTCCGTCCAAGTGATGATTCGTAGGTCTCGCTTTCTCTTCGTTTGTAAAACCATAAACTGACTTTGGGATAGCACGATCTTTCAGCTCTTCATCCCCGCCAATATGATGTACTCGCGCTACCTAGATTCAGCATCCAAGATTATGGCCAACATCGGAAACCAGAGAAATCTCGCAAACCACATGCACAATTTCGCAGGCAGAATCAGAGAAGCTATTACCAAGTACGGTATCGTCAATGATCCAAAGTATGGGCAGGTTTATGCGTTTGAAGTTGATGGATACGGCTCAGGTATTTCCAGTTTTAATGATTACTGTATATCGTTTTCTAATCGGTGTAGCAAATCGCATGGATGACGCCAATATTCCCAGCTTGCTCTCAGCGCCTTTCATCGGCTACCTCAACGTCAGCGACCCTGTCTACCAAAATACCAGAAAATACGTTCTCAGCAAAGACAACCCCTATTTCATGCGTGGCCCCGTCATCAATGCGTAAGTCCCAACTTTTCCTCCCCTTCACATCCAATATCTCAGCTAATCCCCCCCAGCATCGGCGGTCCCCACGCCGGCTTCGGCCAAGCCTGGCCCATGGCAAGCATCATCCGGATCTTCACGACCGGCGACTCCCATGAGATCGAGAGTACGCTGAAGGAGATTGTCAGTAGCACGGACGGACTGGGCCTGATCCACGAGTCGATCAACTCGTTCAATCAGAGCCAGTGGACGAGACAGTGGTTCTCGTGGGCGAATGGCTTGTTTGGTCAGTGCTTGTTGGATTTGAAGGAGAGGAAGCCGAGTGCGCTGAAGGCAAGCTATCAGCCAGCGGTTGGGGGGCGTTGCTTGTCGTCGAGAGGGGGGAAGTGAGATGAGGAAATTGGTAATAGTAATGGGGAGGTGTTGAAATTGTTATTTTGCCTCGGTGAAGAGACCTTCTACAAGACTTTACTTTTTATTCAAGGGGATTTTCTGCTACCAGTGAGCGAAAATGAAAAGGGTGGAATTGGAGAGCAGGGAGGGGGGGTCCTCAAAATCTTCTCATGCTCTATACTCCATAGTGAGTAGAAGGCGCTAAATTCACATGTATCAACATGTCTCTACTTTTGATATCCGACACGAGAAAGGTACGTACTTGGGGGCCGTATTGGGGATCCGTAAGTTATCAGGAGTGACTTAGTTCATCCGCACGTCTCGCATTCAGTTCCGGCAAAGAAAGGGAATTTAAAACGGGAATGGATGGAGGAAGACCAATAGGTAAACACACTCTTGCACGATTGGGCACAGGATCCAGCTATTGTGACAGCGGGCTAGCGTTGCACCAGGTCTGTTTTTCCGACAAGGCGAAATTTATAATTACTTGAAAGCCCCTTTCAAAGCGTAACATTTCGAAGAAAGACCTGCTTCGCGGGCATAACTGGAACAGTGCAGCTTGGCGAATTAAGCGAGACGTCAACACCGCAGTCAACACCGCGGCCCAGACATTAATTCTGAACTGTTGAAAATGGTCAGAGTAGTGCGATACCTTGAAGAGTAACATACAAATATACTTCTACACATTACGTGATTAAATCAATCCTGTCCATCTTGCCATGCTTCAACGCTCACGTCGTGCCTGGTAACGTCAATCACGAGCTGGCTGAAAAACTCAGCCGTGATAGCATCATCAATTCTGTTGCTACCTGCACACAACGAACCGAGGTCTGTGATACTCAGCTGACGAGAAAAGATGTTCTTTACAGACTCACAACGCTGCCTCAAAGACCAACAAAAGTTAGCAATTGCTAGCTTACAGAAAGTGATGCAGTATGATGATGGTCGCGAAACCCATGTTCACAACTGTGTCCCAGAACGCATCGACAACAAAGCGTTGTTGCACTATAAGTCCACTGAAGTGGTGGCTGGACAGATATCTCTGTGGCTTTCAAGGCAGGTTCGAAAATCTATTTTTGATTTCAGAGCGGAAGTGGGCAAGAATGCAACAAATTGAAGAATTCCTGGTGGAAGTTCATGAAAGCAATTTGGTTCTGGATTCTGTATGGGCAAAAGAAACCATTGTAGAGAAAATACGTGCATGATCATTACGACATGGAACCATAGTGCTTTGTTTCCGATTGGATCTGCAATCAAGGACCAATTTCTCTTTATGTACTGGAAATGGATACCCTTTCGTTCCAATGAGCCAGTTGCAGACAGATGTCAACAGGGAAATCTCCAGCGCCTTCTGCGTTGGAGCCTGGGGACAAAGAGCATGGGCTACATGGTGTTGGAATGAGTACGGTTCTGCCAATAGAGCAAAATCCCGTTACTTCCTTCTTTGTTTGCTTATTTCTGGAGGTACTAGAATAGATCGCAACTTGATTTTGCAGGAAGAAAGCATGCTCGGGAACAGAACTTCCTGCCAGACTCATTGTAACACAGGTATGGGATGTGATCCACAAACGAGCTAAAATTAGAAGCTTTGATTTTTTGGAATGCTATTACTGCCCCTCAGAGCAGCTATCAATCACTTTTTGAAGGGTTTCTTTGAGGCAATTACTAGATTGACAATTATTGGTGCCCTTTGGGTGAATGCCCTTTGGATGAACTGAACGTCCTCAGGCGACGGGATGTGGAAATAAGATCAGGCTACTCCTCTTCGCAAACAGAACTTCTTCATCTCAAATCTCCAGAAGATCACTACCTATAAACATCCAGACCTAAATTAAATCGTCATGCCGTTGACTACTTTGCTGAAATTGTCGATCGCGCTCGCCGTTGTGGTCACGAGTACCATGACAATTATTCCTCTACCTCTCGTCGGAGCCTCTACGGTGCCAAAAGTTCCAGGCTCCATCAACATCAAGAACCTGTAATGCTTTCTGTCGTCTCATACTGTATCCATCACTGACGTTAAGCAGTTGCCCTTATTCTGTTTACATCTGGGACCGAATCACCGATGGCTGCCAGGACCAGGGTGTAAATACAATATGCAAATCCGACGGTGGTGAGCCCTACGTCGTAGCAAAGCCAGTTCCAGTGAGCGGCATGCCGACAAAGATGGTGATAAATGCATACACAGAGTTCCTGTCCGCCTCTGCGAATTGGGAGAATTTGCCACGCGCAATCAAGATTTCTCGGGATGGAGATATGTCTGCCGACCCGAAAGCTCACCTCGAGCTCAGCTACGGGCTCTCTTATGCTGATAAATTCCGTTGGGCTTTGACCTCTATTGGCCCAGCTTTTAGGGATGAGAACATAAAGGTTACTCCGTCAGGAGCCGGTGCCGGGCAGGGTGACTGTAAGACAGTTGCTTGCCCAAAGAATGACCCCAAGTGTAATGACGGGGATCGTTACTCGCCAAGGTTACATGTGAGTTCTGCCTCCTAAGTGTACAAGTTTCCCGAGACACGCATTACATTTACTCATGAGTTACTAGATGTGCGAGCCTCAACCGACCATAAATGTAGATCTGTGCCAGGACGAGGTCGATTTCAAAGCCAATCGGGTCACCTAACCTTTGCATCCTCAGCGGTTTGAATAATGGGCTGAATATTTCCATGGTTAAGGACTTTGCTTGACTTCAAAGTCAATTATTGTTTGTTATTTTGTGCTATTAAGTGTTTCCTGCAATGTCAATCATCGAATCGTTGTGTACGCTACCTACCATCTTTGTGGCTCCTAAAGTACTCAACTCCACTTGCCTGGTGATTTTCTTGATGATGTCTTGGGAGTAAAACTTCCCGTGGAAATCCTTCAAGAACACACCGTGAAATGTCTCTGAACCATGGGAACTTACCCAGGTTAGGTGGCAAGGACTGAACGGCTCCCACATGACACGAAACTCAAGAGCTCTCACCTCCTAGCTTCTCATGCCCTGCTTTCTATTTGTAGTCTTGGAGGGCTGCTTGTCAATAATTCGCTCACAGTGAAGGATTTTAAAGCTGATCCAAGAATTGTTGATGTGTCCCGCCTAGCCGTGTTCCAGTCTCCTTCCAATGGAGATATAGGTTGGGTAGGAGGTAGGGTACTTGGCGGATCCAACGGCATTGACGAACAAGAAACCCCACAAGGCTGTCTGCGCCGGAACTAAAGCCGCAAGACTTGAACTTCGGCTCATGAAATAGAGACTCCTAAATAGGGACTTTCCGCCAGCCCCTGTCGTCTTCGAATATTTCAGAATAGGGTATAGCTGCGACTACAATGCCACAGATCGACGAATATTCGCCACATATATAGGTCTAAATCACGATGAAATGTTCGTTTAGACGAATATTTGGATTCTTCCACGATACTCCTTTCGTTTACTATATCTAGCTTAATCGGCTTCGCTTATCCCTTTGATCTTTAAATCTTATATATCTTAGGATAGATCAGATAGGAGCTTGACGTAGTAACCTAACGATCTTTCAACTTAAAGAAACGTGACCAACTAAAATACCCTACATGTGGCATTCTTGAGTATTCGAATGTCGTTAGCGCATAGGGTGCGGAAAGTCTCTAATATCTGGGCACATATACCACAGGCTCTTAGATGATGTGACCCCAAGTTGACCATGACGCAGTGCCAATGATAATGCTATTATACGTGATCTTGTATCTGTCCACAGCTTGCAATTCTGTCATCTTCTTTGTGCAGTGAAGAAGGACCTAGACAGTGGAATGAATCCCTTACTTGCTCCGCATTCCTGGAGTCGCACCGAGAGTTCCGTGGCGCGATTAGCTCCTCAACTCCGTGCTCTGGGATATTTCCGTTGATCCATCCTGTATTCAGTCACAACATCAAATTGAGTATGTGATATGGAGTCGTAGAGAAGGTTCGCACTGTCCGGACATGCATCTTATGTTCTAAGTGTGAAGCTATTCATTGGCTTCCAACTGTACGGTCAAAACCAGAGACTCGGCTCTTTGAAAAAAGTAAATAACGCAGGTAAACGACTCGTGACCTGTTCCAACTCGGAAGCGCACCGGAAACCTTGGCTAGCTTGACATATCCATATTTCTGCGGTAGCTTCCATATGAAACTCAAAGTGCAGCAAAGAGCGGCCTGCATTCTCCATCATACGATTGTGACGAGCATCTGCAGCCTGCATTTTGCGAGCCAACACGCCAAGGCCTGGCCACTCTTGGACGGCAGGTGCCAACCGGAATCCATGTAAAGATGTAATAGACTTGCCGCCAGCAGTGTAATAAGGATGCCAAGGACACCTTAGATCTCGAAGATCCGATCTTGACAAGCTGTCCTTGTTTTTTCTGGAAGAATTATAGAAAAAATCTATTTGCCATTTGTGGCGCCAAGAAGCGTGTGGCCAACCTCCCGGGTAACGGCAACTTATGGACCCGTGGGCTCTCAGAGATGTGTCAAATCGAGTGGAAAGCAGTAGAGAGGAGATGCAGACAAGGATAACGGACGGACGAATCAAGCACTGAAATAGGCAGGTAAGGAGCTATATGATCCGCTCAACATCATCTACTCCTGCCTTTATATCCGAGCCTCCGCCCACTGGGGTCCTTCACAGTGGATGCATCGCACTGTCCGGCAATTGACATGTCAAGTTCCATTGTCAACAGCAATTAACAATCCGATCTTTTGTCTCAACCATCGTACTGTATCGACTAACACGTGGTCCTACAAGAAGAAATCATATTAAGCGGAAGAGTCGGGCCTTTGAATAATACTTTACCAATCCGAGTTTCGCTTCGCTTTTGTAAGTGACAATTCCGATGATCCGTACACATACATACACAATTTTTATTTCATGGCACAAAACTGTGCGCTGTCATGAGGGAGGGACCCCGAACCCGAAGATGGACAATTCCCGTGGCGCCACACCTTTCTACAGTAGTGGGGTTGACAGGGAAGCTCACAAAACGAAGACATGCAATGCAATTCGTTGACTCGGACAATCTTTCCGTGAAGTCTCTTGGCATCACGTCTTGGGGCTCAAAAGGCTGAAAAGCGTTGGGTAGGGGTAGGGGAAGGGGTAGGGGTAGGGGTCCATCGTCTGGGAATGACGAGATGGATGGATGGATACCTACTGCTTCTGCATGCAAGCCAGTAGTAGTGGACGCACTTTCTCCCCCTCAACAGAAAGAAGTCTTCCTTTCGAAACATGATTCTTAATCCGTCCTAATACCTTAATAGGTACACAAATACAGACAACGTGACCTTGCCAGGTTTGGAGCAGTGTTTAGATCGTGTAGAAGCAGCAACGAGCAAACATCCAATCCTGGATTTCGAAGCATCACTTGCTTCAAAACTCCGACCGCAAATTGCCCAGGAGCCGCACGCCATTGTGTCCCCTTCCCCTGTCCAGCTGGAAGTTACATGTCAGCCTTGTGAACGTGCTCGGCGCTCGCACGCAGTCTGCAGTAGTGGTGTTGGAAGCTCGCCTGCAGCCCCAGATCGTCTGTTTCCAGATGCAAAAGTGGATGTTGGTCGTCCACCATGGACACCATGGACACCATATCCAAGACTGGGCATCCCACTCGTCGTCGTCCTTGCATCACCAATTGTTATTATTGTGGCTAAAGCCCAAGCAAATTGAACCCCTTCGAAGCCCCGAGCTCGCCGTGATAGCCGATTCCCGTGTTGGCCGCCTCCTGGAAGCATGGATCCGTCTGGCAAGCGCTTGGCAGCGAGAGGGCAGTCTTGCAGTCCATACAGTAGTAGTAGAGCCGCTGCAAAGACCGCTGGGGTTCCTAGCTTTCACTGTCCTGACTCCTGGCTCCTGACTCCTGACTCCTGTGGCTGGAAGGCCGAGAAGGCCCAGTCCAGTAATGCCAAATGCCACTGTGCGCCAGCATCAGAAGGTACCCTTCGGAGCCCCCCCTTGGCCCCCCTTGCCCCCCCTTGCCCCCCCTTGCCCCCCCTTGCCCCCCCTTGCCCCCCCCCCCCCCCCCCCCGCAGAGGCACCGCGCGATATCCCCACAAGCAACAAGTCGGGACCGATGCAAGGTCCCCAAATACCTTAACCGTCCCTCCCGCAACGGCCCTTTCCCATTCTTCTCGCTCGCAATGGCATGTACGAGTACCTAGAGATGGAGGCTCAGAGCCTGTCGGCCTGCAATCAATGTGGAAAGAAGTTCCAACGTAAAGCTCATCTCTTGCGACACCAGCAACAACGTAAGTCGAGTCCTCTCTTCAGCACCTTCGGGGTTTCGGCGGGCGGATATAAGTTAACCAGGTGGGATGCGACAGATTCCGGAGATAGGCCGTACAGCTGTAAATTTTGCGCAAAGACATTCAAGCGCAGGTATGTACTTCCAAATGACTACCAGGACTGTATATTGACTGACGATACTTCAGTGATGTTCTGCGAGACCATTTCAGTAGGTGCGAACGCCGGGGAACTTCTGCCATTCCAAGTTCGCTCGAGAGGGGCAGAAAACGACATGCATGCGACGAATGCTCCCGGCTGAAGGTCAAATGCGACAACAATGTTCCATGCCGAAAATGCACAGAATTTGGGAGGAAATGTGTAAAGACACGGACTTCAAGTGTGTCTTCCCTATGCGCTGCGTTTGTGAAACCTGACAATCCTGATGTTGAGCCACAGCAAATGCCTCGATCACATCGAGCCCAGAAGAGCAACACTCGCAAACGCCTCCTCCTTCGACCCCTGAAACGACGAATGATCGTAATTCTATCGGATTTCTCCTGAATTGTCCCAGCGAGAATGATTTCATCAGAGAATTTCCGCAATCGTCAACGAGAAGTCCGAGTAGCAAGCCAGAGATATTGTCAGGCCAGTCATCTGCAAAGGAATATGGCGCGCCAAGCTCTGCCTCCAGCACAACATCGGTTTTCCAGCAGTATGGGCACATGATACGGGAGAACAATATCGACGTCTTTCTCAACCGGTTGGAGTTTCAGAACTTCGAGCAACAGACAAACAACTGGCAGATGCCAAATGAAAACATGATCCTGTGGTCTGGGTCCGACTCGCTCTTCCTGGACCGAAGGGTCTTGGAGCAAAGAGCTTTCGACATTAGAGAAAAGCTGCGATATACTGCAGCCGTACAGAATCCGCCACATCTACCTACCAAGGAGTTAATAGATGCTATTGAGCTGATTACTGCCGATAAACTTGCGGCTTACATCAAGCTCTACTTCAGGCATTGGCATAAACATGCCCCGATGGTTCACGAGGCGACTTTCAACCCATGCACTGCTGCACTCCCTCTCGTTTTGTCCTTAATGAGTCTTGGTGGAATGGTATTTAACCTAAGATTGTCCCGTGAAGATCACATGCTGACCTCTGTACCAGTATTCAAAAGAGTCGGGAGATGTTGCAAAGCTAAAGAGTCTCTTGGATACCATAGAAGGCTACATTTACTCCATTCCCGGCTTGAGTGATGAGTATGAAATGCCAGGCCGGCTATATGCTAAGCACGGAGAGACCGCGTCACCAGAATGGCAGCAGTACCAATTGGAAGAGCTGCAAGGAGCCTACCTAATGATTGTATTACAATACTGGACTGGAAACCCGACAGCTAGGACCAGAGTCCGCCAACAACGATTTCCAAAAGTCGTGCATGTATGTTTCGGTCGAAGTAAGACTATAATGTGTACTGACGATTTACAGATTTTCCATCTTCTAGAAGTGCTCACAATGCAACACTCTCCGACCTTTTTGATACACGACCAGACGTCCTTCCGAGCGTGGATACGGAAAGAATCGTTCATTCGGTTTGTTACCTTCGGCTGTCCATCGCGCAAACTTGCTAACAAAGTGACAGAACTGCTACAATGGCAACAATGCTCGACCATGCCTTCGGCATTTTCAATAATGTGTCTCCTCATTTCCAATGGGCGGAAATTGACCTCCCATTTCCAAGTGATGACACGTTCTTCCAAATATCCAATTTTGACGAAATGGTAGCGAAATCAGCCATTCCAAGACTTGGAATGAAGATTAAAGAAGCCTTTCTCATCCTCTTTTCCGTAGAGGGCGCAGAAGATGAGCTCGATGTTTTGAGGCGAGGGAAAGTGACTGCTCTTGACATGCAGTTGCTCGTCCATTTTCTTTACACTCACGTGTGGGCTTCCACTTTCTCAAGCCCCATGGCTTCCATACCCGGCACCAACATACAGAGACTCACAGCGCCATTCCACCTAGCTATGCGAAATTGGAGAGCCCTATGGGACGAGATCAAAGCTAGTGCAAGAGAGGAGGAGTGGAATATGCTCGGATTTCAGAGAACGGCAGAATCGTACTACGATGCTGTCAGGTCGATCTTGGGCGTGTTTGAGAGGAGGGAAGGTCGATTCCCGCCCATACCTAGCGATTGTGAGAAGGGCAGCCATTTGAAGAGGTTATTGAGTTTCTGAAATAATACTGGACTGGCAAACTTGCCAGATGGTGGTCATTCTGGTAGATTGTCTCCTTGAGACAATCATGTTGGACAGGGAGAGTTCATGGAGCATAGTTCAATATTTGCGAACGGTTGACGCTAATGGGGATTTTGGAAGAGAGGCGCTCTTGTTGCATTTCTGGGCGTCATGGCAAGGCGGTTATACCAACGAGATCGACTCTAGGCCTGAATGGTTGGCTACTCAATGAATAACATCTTCTACTCTCTGCTCACCCTAATCCTTCATCTTCATACAATCCTTCAAATCACATACCAAGACTCCTAGCAAATTCCTCCCGCGCCGCCTTCTTTGTAAGAGCAAAAGCATGGTAATCGTCATCCCACTCCTCACCGTCCTCCGGAATTGCAGCCAAGCGCTTATTCGCCAACTCAACGAGCTCCTTTAAGCGCACGGTCGATTCCCTGATCGCATTAACAGTCTGCTGGTGGATCTCGTGCGTTGCGGAGATGAGATGGATGTACTGCGGCACCGTCCTGTGTGCGAGAGCATGTGTGATCGGCTCGATGATGGTATCTCTGATGAGCTTTTCGCAATCGATGATATGCTGGCGGCAAGCAACTATGAGTCCTCTGATCAGCAAAATCCCATTTTTTTTTTTCAATACAATCTTCGATGGCTTGCTTCTCTGTAGCCCAACCCAGAAAGCGAAGTTTAGAGAAAATAAACTCACACTCAACACACTCCTTCACACCCTCACACCTCGCAATCTCCATCACAAAAGCCCTCGATCTATTCTCATTCCCGTCCGCGAAACAACTAAACATCTTCCCAAACTCATCAACATCCAGCTCTCCATCCTTCCAAAACCTTCTCAGTTCGCCAATGAGTCCCTTTTTGAGCGTGGCCTCATTCCTGGTCTTCTGACGGTTGAGGATCGTAGAGAAGAGCGAGGTTCTGTGCGTGATGTAGCTGGTTATCTTGGTGGCGAGCTGGAGCGAGAGGTGCAGATCCGAGAGCCGTTGGCTGATGGTGTTGAGTTCCGTTGGGGTCGGTGTGCGGTAGTCGATCTGTGAGGGGGATGGCTTGGGCGGCGCGGCATTGCTGGGTTCGGGGGTGGATGAGGGTGATGTGGAGATCGAAGAGGGACTGAGGTTGGAGTCGTCCAGGGTGGAGGAGTCTGGTGTAGTGGGAGTTGTGGGTGGTGATGAAGATGGTGTTGCCATTATGGCTGGTGGCGGTGAATGGTCTGGCTCTGGGCTTGACATGGCGATCGAGCAGAAAGCACGGCGACGATGCAAGTTCAAGGAATGGCTTCGCGAGACACGAGGCGGAGGTTGATTTGTTTGTTTGTTGATGCCACGCGCTCGCTAAAATGCCTTGAATCGGAATAGTGGTGTAAGTTTCTTCATAGACTTGAACGTCAACTTCGCCGCTGGACTCACAGTCAGGCATTTCGCTTTGCTGTCATACGAATCATTTTGAAGGTTTGAAGCTACTTTGCAGCATTCGAGTTATCGCTTCAGTCCTTGCAAAGGATCGTGATATCAGATGCTGAGGATATCAGATGCTGAGGATATCAGATGCTGAGTATAAAACGTTGTTTACGAACATCGGGATCAAGCCAAGGAAGATGAACATCCAAGGAGACTTGATTGATCAATCAACCCTATGAAATGAAAACAAAATCATGAAAAGGTCTAATTATACCAATGAAATCGAATAACCCAAGACCCACTACCGTCGAAAGCGCAACAGCCGGTCCAAAGCAAACATGGCGGCACTCGCGTTCCTACTCACCCAGCTTCTCAAGAAATCCTCCCCCTTCCCGCTTCATCTAACCAAATAAGCAGATTTCTTACAACCGTGGGCGTTTCCGGCTCGTTTTGTATACGCTCGCCCTTGACGCAAGTCTCTAGCTTCTACTCACACGCCCTTGACGCAAGTCTCTGGCTCTTTATGCATCACGCTCCGTTCCTGACGCAGACTCTTTGGGGTGGTTATGCGATAGTAGCTCATTACTTGTAGCAGAATTTCCAGTGTTTCCTTCTTTTTTTTGTTCATGTTGACATTGTCACGGTGAAGGCTGAAATTGTAAGCGAGACGGGCCACTTCGGTGGTAGGTGACGACAACAACAGTAGAGATCATGAGACAATCTCACGTCTAGTTGCTATGTTCAACACTTGAGTTATAACGACCCACATAGGATGAAGAGCCCAGGAATTGGGCACAAAATGAAACCGCGCCAACTACAGTTGACCTTCCGAAAGTAAACAGTGCAAGACAAATATGACTATCTCCAGCGTGACTGTGGATTGACAGAACCAGAGCGAAATCTATCATTAAGCACCCGGTATTCAAACATAGCAGATTGGTCATGTACGGTCCACGACTGGCTTATAAAGTGAAAAGCACGAGGTTCATTCTCATACGATGACAGCCATAGAGCGATCTCTTGAAGGTCTATTTCATTCTCTCCACCATGTACTCCGATACCGAAAGACAGGCCAGTCCAAGTATAATAGGTATCTCAAAAGGCCTGCAATACCATGCAATAGCCAACATAATATGCAACGTGATCACGTTCTTGCAAATGCGAGAGGTCATGTTCAATGAGTCATTATCCAAGAAACGCCATTCCATCCAATGCCAATACTCTACACTTACCACCCATACCCACAACCCATAGTAGCGTAACTCATGATGACGGTCCCCGTTTCATAGTCGGCGGCTTGAACCCCTGACCCTTCCTACTTGCCCATCCATCCATACTCCTCTTCAAACCCAAGGTCTTCCGCACACCACCGCCATTCTGAAGCAGAGACACTGTGGTCTCATGCTTCGACAAAGGCGGTCGGATCAGTGGTAACATAGCTGGTTTGGCAGTTAGCCCGACGGGTTTTGGTGGCACTTTGTCTGTTTGCGGGACAGGAGGAGGCTTTGACCTGGGTGGTGATGAAGAGAGAAAGACGTAGTCGTTCCTTGAGGATTGTACATCGAGATGGCCAGCCTGTCGCGGTCGTGTTCCCGGATTACCAGCGCCTAGACGGTGTTTCGATAATTCCGGGTCGATGCCAGTCGACTCTGTATGTGTCGGTACTGCCCTGGGTAGATTGAAATTCTTCGAAACTGGAGGCACAACAGATCTCGACAGGTCCACTTCTTTGCCCGTGGCAGGTATCTTTCTTGCAAGCTGAGGCTCAGACTTCCCAAGAAATCCAAAAAGAGTGCCCTGTCCCTCGGGAAGCTTAGATTTCTGCTTCCCTTGCTTCTTCGTTCCATTTTGAGAAGCATCTGCATCTTGCAGATCACCCACAGCGCAGTTCACTGACTGCTCCTTCAACACTTGCATATGCGAACCCGCGCTCACAAACCCGCTATGCATAGTTAAGCCAGCAGCAGTGAAACTGGATGCTCGGTCCATCGTGGTGACATACGTGGGCTTCCAGTTCCTCTCTGGCCCTTCTTCCAGGTTGCTGATACTTCTGCCAAGCTCAACTCGTCGACGCTTCGGAGCTTGTTGTCCCACATTGAAAGTAGGGTTACCTCCTTTCATGGAATCCCACCTGGATTCTTTCTCCTCTTTATCTTCGTCACCGCCTTCCGGAAATAAATCATCCTCTGTGCTTGTGAGTGTTGCAGAAGAAAGTTGGATCGACTTTGTTGACGGCAAATTTCGTCGCAATATTTGAGCCATGGACTGAACTGTAGAGGACCACAGTGAAGGGCCCTTCGCATCAAGCAATGGAGCAAGGCCCGGTGGTGTTAAGAATGGTGAGAGAATCGTGTCCTCGCCCTGAGAGTTCTTCAAAGGACAGCTCATATACAAAAGAGCTTTTGCTCTTGTCATAGCCACGTAGAGAAGTCGCCGCTCTTCATTGGTGTCTTCGGCACGGGAATGTGGTATCGATCCTTGGTAGGTAGCAGGAATAAAAACTACAGGCCATTCGAGACCCTTGGCAGCATGTATCGTTGAGATGGTAACTTGTGCGGTTGGAGCGCCTTCAGTATCGTCACTCTTGACTTCTGATGCAAGTGCTACATTCGCAAGAAATCTGGACAATGTTGCCGCATCCTCATCCTGTTTCAAACCATCAACCTCCGGGAGTGCTTCATCCTCGTATCCATAGGATATGATATTTTCAAAGTCGATAGCTTGTGTAATAAGCTCTTGTACATTGTCCCATCTGGCCTTGTGGACATCGCCTTGATGCTCCTCGAGCCACCTCTCATAATTCGTTTTGGTGAGCACGAAATTGATCAATCCGGATATCGACAAACGTTCGTCGCCTGACGCAGCCAGCTTACTCCTTCCCGTCAGGATGATGTTTACAAAACCTGTGAGGTTCTGCTCCACCTTGTTCTTAAGCTTCGTCTTCGCTGTTCGCTTTCCTTGTACAATCCCCAAAACCAGGGTCCACAAGGTAATTTTTGATTGATCTGCCTCTTCTAACAAGTCCTTAATAGTTGCTTCTCCAATCCTTCTGGACGGGGTGTTAATGATTCGCGCCAGCGCGTCGTTATTGTCGGGTTGGTTGATAACTCTTAGATAGTCTAATACAGTTTTGATCTCAACTCGGTCATAAAATCGAAGACCACCTGGCAAAAGTAAGAATTATACCAGGCTTAAGGTGCTGAAGATGTAGCAACTCACCAACCATTCTATATGCAATGCCGGCCTTCCCCAACGCAGTTTCAATAAGACGAGACAATGCAGAAGATCGAAGCAAGACAGCGAAGTCATATAGATCAAGTAGATCTCCGGTCATTCCTCTGACCCTCTGAATCTCTGTTACAATCCATTGTGCTTCTTTATGTGCTCCTGCCAGTCTTCGAAGCACAGGCCTCGTTCCAACAGTATGGGTCGCCAGGAGAGATTTTGCGACTCTGGAGCTGTCTTGCTCGATCACATTCAACGATGTCAATAAAATAGCCCCAGAAGACCGGTAGTTCTCCTCCAAAGCAATTGTGACCGTATCTGGATATTGACGAAGCATTCGCTTATAGTTCTTTATTTCTGCTGCCCGAAAGCCATAGATACTCTGGTCCGGGTCTCCTACAATTGTGATGCGTTTCCGGTGCGCAGCAAACAGCCGCATCAAATCGAATTGAACCAAGTTTGTGTCTTGGAACTCGTCAATCAAAACAGCCTCCACGTTCGAAACACAAGAAGGGTGATTACGCAAAAGGTCGACACATCGAAGGAGTAGGTCATCGTAGTCGAGGAGATTGGACCTCCGGAGAGCTTCTTCATACTCGGCGTAGCACTTTTCGAACTCCTGCTCCTCCACATGCTTCGCACCAGATTTGCTTCTCGATATTGGATGATCCACAGACGTCCGAGCCTTCAATCCGCTGATCCGCGACCGAGCAACCTTTGCATCTATCATGAAATCGTGCCTCTTGACGATACGCTTGATGATAGCCAGAGAATCTGCACTGTCAGCAATCCCGAAGTCCTTTTTGATGTCTATAAGATGTCCGTATCGAGCCAGATATCGCCGCGCAATACTGTGGAAGGTTCCAAGTATCAGTTTCGACTCCGTGCCATTCCCTATCAGCTTTCCAATCCGCTCCTTCATCTCACGCGCCGCCTTGACAGTGAACGTCGCAACGATGATATTCCATGGCTGCAGACCCTGCGCGAGTAGCCATGCTGTTCGCGAGGTGAGAGTATGTGTTTTTCCGCTCCCAGGCCCGGCAAGAATGGCCAATGTATCTGCGAAGGAAGATACGGCGGCCTGTTGAGACTGGTTAAGGTTGGTGAGAAGGCCGTCTGGATTCATCGTTTGCGGCACGTCCTGGGCTTGTTAATAATTTCGTTTTCCTCGCAGTTCCAGGTCCCATATCCCAACGGACTCCGTAGCCATTGATTTGTAACGGATTATCAATGCTGCTACGTTGTGGGGTGGCTTCGAAGCTGCTGGGTATTGGAAATAACAAATTACGAAAGACGCGTCTTCTCTCGCGATCAAATCTCGTGGTCACGTGGAGGACATTCTAATTCTTCCAAACATACCTTCCCTTAATCCAAGCCCGCTTGATCATTACATTCAAGTCAGAATGGTTGGCCATAAGAAGTCAAGGTTATCATACATTTGACAGTAATATTTGCTTGATAGACTTTTCAAGGTTAACAGGGACTGCTTGGTCAGAACTACTGGCATGGACATGGTTCTAACATAAATTGGCATTATCTTCAAATTTCCTCTATATCCCGCTGTGGATATTGGTCTATTTCTGTACTCGACACGTTCTGGGGTTTAGTTTCTCCGGAAAGATCTTGCTCAGCAACAGTCGGTAACACATGAAAGCTGCTTTGCAGACAACAATATGCTTCAAATCTTGTAGTCATGAAGTCGAAATACCAACAGAGTGTGAAAAGGATGTGGCACTGTTTCCAATCTTTACTGTCTTATTCGAGGGAAAAATCCGGAACGATTCCTCGAATCTTGGATTACCTTGCGTTTTACAAGCGTCAATCTATCAGCTGTCAACCTCCTTCATCATCATCACTTGTTGATTTCTTCTGTCTTGATCTGGATTCCTTTCGACGATACTCGGACAAAATCCTTACTCGCGCAACTCATTTTCGACTTGCTTGTCAGTTCCATTTCCAATTTCCTATTCTTTGACTTCTCTTCATTATATCTTGTTTCTCTATACAATAAATCCGTTCTATCTGGGCCACATTCAATGATGAGGAGGAGGACGCTTCATTTCTGAAATGGAATTATAGCTTCGTCCAACACTGTACAGAAGAAGTGACCCAGGGGAAGTGGTGGAAATGCTGGCCAAACGCCTCGGGCCACTGATATCCCTCGTGTGTACAGTTCTCCACTACTTGGAGGGTTATCCACGAAGCAGAAACAATTGACGCCGGATGATTCCAATTGTATCTGTCAAGAACTTGGTGGACTTGCATACCTGAACATCAGCAATGTACCTTGGGAATGAAATAGTAGTTGGGACGTCCGGCTTTCGATTCTCTGAAGCAACACCCAAATTCATGAGAATGACCATCACGAGTGAAATCCCGTCATCGAGTAGCTGTGACAACGTGTTGATGCTCTCTTGATGATTAATTTATAATCTGCTCTAAGCATTCTAGTGGCGTCAAGAGGCAACACTTGGCAAAGATGTGCCCAGAAGAGGGCTTTGCTTCATCGAATCATATCCAGGCACTCGTTTCATGGTCGTTCACCAGTAGTTGTCCCTATCAGGTTGCCATTATTCAGATTGAAAATTGACAGCTTGGCTCTGAAGGCTAACCAATGGACTAGATTTATGCTTAATCAGGGTCCTTATTAGCACGTTTTCAATCAATGCGCTTGGCAGAGGCTTTCGTATCGGCCTTTTCCCACCTTCCGCAAATTGGGACTTGCTGTTGACCAACGAGCCACGCTCATATCTCTAAGGCACCGCCCATGGGATCGGATTTCCGCTTCGGTCGCGGCTCAGAACTTCAGAGGTCGGATGCTGATCAAGGGCATATGACTTGTCCATTTTTTGTGTACTCGCAAGTATACCTGGGATTCCATGGTCAATAGGGGTCGTCCAAAAATACTAGAGTAATGAGGCAGTGATCACGGAGCAAGCCCCGAAGTAGGAAGATACGAGGTTTATGCCGAGCATCCGCTAGCCGCAACCAGATTCACGAAGCGACTGCCAGCACTTCAACTCGCTCGAGCCGACAAAACTCTTCGAGATGAATGTTCACTTTCCGACCGTCACCCGGACGGGGCAGATATTGACAGCGGCGCTCTGAGGCAACAGGGAGTTTCTGATTCCAGGAGTCATTAACATCCTCGTATCATGGGCGCAGTCAACCACGCGGGCTAAGCTGAACCTCGCTAGGTCTGGGCTTGGTGCGAATCTAGGGGACTCCGGCCATAAGGTAGCGTTCTAGCACCAGGTCGGTCCATGGCCCATTGATACGGGTCTCGAATTCACAGCGCGTTATTCAGCTGGTCTGAAGCTTCGGTGGCAGAACGAACATGATCTCTCTCTCTCTCTCTCTTTCTCTCCTGCCGGAACAAGCACGCCTCGAAGCAGCGTTAGGTGTCTAACCGCGCAGTTCAGTCTAGGGGTACGCCGAGACAACAACATCTAGCGACTGTACCAACTACCAATCATCAACTGGTGTCACCTCACGCGCAATCTTCACTTAGTTGTCAATCATTACAGTATTCAACGATCCACTGGGACTTTTTCTTACTCATCCCAACCTGACCCTGGCAATGTGACAGACTGATTCGCTAGGCTGAGACGGAAAGTCTCGAGGTGGACGAGGCAAGTATCGTCTCTAAGGTCTGCGAGAACCTTGCACGGCTCTTGACAGGCTACCTTCTAATGTATGTCTTATCCTTACTTCGTCGCTCCGCGAGTCCTCCCCCCTGTCTCTAGATGTCCTTGTTATTGAATTCTTCATGTATTGCAACATTTCTCGATACATGCTTTGCGTGTTCTGCAGTACCCATTCTTTTGACTTGTATTTTGTTTTTTAAGGTATTTTGGGTCATGCAAGCTAGCTGTCTAAGCTTCTTTCGTGTCGACTGTGTTTCTTCACCCTGGACAAACAGTGGGTTACTTAAAGGCCCTGCATAGTTCTTGACTACCCTGCATGATCTACTGAACGGACTCTACCCAGTATGAACTAGCTTACATCGTATCGTTCTACTTCCTCACCTTCTACGACCCACAGGCCCGCTTGTAGCATCATACGGCAATAAAACGCCTAGCGAGTCACCATGTCTCCAAATTGGAGTTCTGTATAAGTACGGTTGGTAGGTATCGTCGATACCTTCCAGCACGAAGACAATCACAGAGTATTGACATGCGTGTCTGCAAGATAATATGTTCGGTGGTGGCTTTGGCATTTACTGGTTGGTCTACAGCTTTATCACGCTTTCGACTATGTGAGCTAATTATCGCAGTCTCATCATCTCCTACAAGTTGGCTCAAGTCTCAACTGCTTGGTGAGCGGGCTACTTTTGCTTCGTCACCCGCGACAAATTCCCGGTTGGAGGGCCGAGATGGTGCCAAATTACGCATTCTTGTTGCTGGTGCTTCAATAGCTTCAGGTTACAAATCTACAGACGGCAATGGCTTCCGCGTTCAAATGAGGGATGCTCTCGTAGCGGCTGGAAACGACGTTCAAATGGTTGGGACCGTGCAGAAGGGCCCCAATAACGCTTTTGTAGGCGAACCTGGATTACGAATCGATGAAGTGATGGCTCGACTAGATGCGGCACTTCCCAAGATATCACCGCCTCCAAATATCGTTCTGGTACAAGTCGGTGCGAACGATTTAGGCCAGAAGTTCAAGGTCGACACTATGCAACAAAGGATCTCGACCCTAGTCGACCACGTCTGCACCGCAATTCCTGGTGTCAACGTCGTTCTCTCGACACTGCTTCCCAACGCGAAGTTTGAAGCTGGTGTAGTGGTGTTCAACTCCCATCTCCGTGCAGTTGCGGAAGCCCAGAGCGCGCAAGGAAGACATGTTTACATCTCAGATGTCCACTCTTCCGACTTCTCCTTGGCTGATATCCTGCCACTGCCAGATGGAACACATCCTACCGATGCAGGATACGCCAAGATGGCTCGAGTCTATGTCAGCACCATTCTCGAAATTGTGAAGACTAATTTCGCACCACCTCCTACCCCGTCGATCTCCTCTGCCGCTCCACAAGTGCAGTCTACATCGAGCATGGTAGCTCCAGAAATAATTAGCACCCCACCAAGTCCTGTTTCCGAAACCACTGCAAAAGTGACCTCAAGCTCTCAGATCCAGAGACAGCTAGCCAGCAAAAGTACCTCGACGACATTGGCAGCCACGGAAATCGCCAAAGAGCTACCCTCGAGCACGTCGTCATTTGAGAAGCTAGCAGCTAGCACAACTGGGGCAGCTTCAACACCAAGCGCTTCAACTCCAGCCAAAAGCAATTCAGGAGCACGTCTTAGCCAATCCGGCTCTCTCCTTACCACGGTCGGCATGCTGGCATGGACTGTCTTTTTGTTTACAATTTGAAGAATAGAATATACCTAATGGTAGGTTTACTTCCTATCCCATGTACATACCATACGCTGTACACACACACACACACACACACACACTCGCTCTCTCTCTCTCTCTCTCTCTCTCTGCCACATCACACCATTTGCTGTCGATGCTGATTATTTTCTTGTACCAGACTGGCGTACGCCTTTCCAATAATATATAATTCCGAAACCTTTACCGGCTCACGAGCACATGGGACACAAACCACATACTTTGGTCATACATACCACGTTCCTAGAAAGATGCGATGAATGTGGATGTGTTTCTGAAGCGTCAAAGATTGATTACGCAAAAGGGGTTGTCAATGCGCCTCTCAAACACTTTGACACATTTGACGGATATGCCCCACCAGTGGCCCGGACAATAAATGGTACGATAATTGAAGATTTGGAAACATCTTCAATACCCTTGTTCTAAAAACAGATATTCAGGCGCAGGCATTCAAGTCATACTATTGTCCTGTCTCGCGGCCTCTCCGAACTCCTCACGACAACAACTCCATCAACAACGTGCTTCGCATGTCAGCAAGCCTCTTCTCACAATCGCAAACTGCGGCTTCGCTGACGACAATCACTGTCAATTGAAGGTGCCTCGTGCTCTCTCACAAACATGAATACCAAGTGGCCAGACCCCCGTGTAGTCAGATCCGGAAGCACGTGTTTCGTGGCTTGCTGATGTTTGGCGGGAAGCGAGAATGTTTCTTTTTGGATGGCGTGAGACGGTGGCTTTTGTGGCTTGACTGGGGTTCTCGATCAGCTTTCTGGAACTTCTAGAAGAGAAACTTCTCCGATGCTGATGGCTGAGGATTGATCATGTGGTGGTGGTAGGCTGGGATGTTCTTTTACTGAGGGAGTGTTGGAAGAGATGCTGTGAGCACGTGGGACTAAGCAGCTGCAAGGCGCGGAGGAGAATGATTCAGCCTTCTAGACACCGAATAGACATAGACATGCAATAAGTATTAGCATAGACATACAGATGACAATCATAACTCGTAATGCATAATATTACCGAAGGTCCATTTCCAACCTTGCTATGTGTGTCTACTTTGTTAAATAACTCGAAGACAGAGGTGGAAAACGAATGCACCAGCGAAGCAACCTAATGATAGCAAATGGAATCATTGATGAAGCAAGCTTCACCATACATACCTGGTTTCTTCCTCTGTTCATGCACCAACCTATCTCCTCTCTCGCTGTGCGGGTTAGTCCTTTCCAATACACTCACTTTACTCATTTGATTCACTCCGAAAACCTTTCAATGAACAGGTCCACTTAAGGTATCTTCATACCGTACCATCCCACACTACATCTCCCCGGCATTACTCTCCTCCCATACATCTCGCCCACTCTACTCAACAGCCGGCCAAAACACCCTCTCCACATCCAAAACTCTCTTCCAAATCCCCTCCACCCTCTCTCTCCTTTCCTCACCACCTCTCCCCTTCCCCGTCCCTTCTTTCTCTCCCTCTTTCTCCCAAAGCTCATCCACCAACCCCGCAATCTCATCCACAAAAGCCGCAAACTCATCACTCGTCCAATTAGGAATGAATTCCTTGCGTAGCGCTCCACCATCCGCTTCTTTACCCGGTGGGTTTGCGGCAGTGGACGAGGAGCACGAACCTGTATATCGCCAGGCTGTGAGGTAGCACTGGAGAAATCGATCTCAGTCAAAAATGAGCCGATCAAGGCATGGGAACGACAAGAGCAGAAAGGAAAAGAAAAGAAAAACAAAGAGAATGAATAGGAAATACATACCACCTCCGTCCCCCAAAGCAACACCAGCCCCTCCAGCATTCCCATCTTGCCACTCTCAACCGCCTCACCAACCTCAAAGAACAACTTCCGATACATTCTCACGCCTTCACTAACTCCCTCTTTCTCTTGGACTTCATCATCTTTGACGATCGATGAGGTAGATGGAGATGAGATATCGAGATCATAGCGCGTGGCTACGTCTTCGAAGAATTTGAGTTCGCGCCGGACGTTGTTTATTGATGAGAGGAGGAGGTCGAGGAGTCTGTGTGAGGGGGGCGAGGGGGAAGAGGTTAGTGTGGGTTTGGATAATGATTGAAAGCGGTAGTGGTAAAGAAGGCATGAAGCTAGATGGGTTCTGGTTTGAGTAGACTTGTCATACAGAGGAAATGACGAGAGGAAAGGATATTAGGAGAAAGTTCGTTGGGATATGAGCTCAGGACTCAACTCAAGTGCTGAGCTCAAGTCTCAACACACAACCACTCTCGAATTCCCTTATATCACATCACACCACACCCAAACCCAAGGAGCAATTCTCAATCCCAATTCAACCACCTCGCACTCTCCCACCACTTCAAAGCAAAACAAAAAGACTCCATCCAAACTCACCTCTCCTCCAAAGCCCTCTCATCAACCCTCCCCTTCAACCCCACATTAGCAAGCAACAGCGCTGCAAACCGTATATAAGCCTGCGCGTACAACCTATCCTGCGCCAGCCATTTCTGCAATACGTTCTTTGAGAGGGTTCCGGCGCCGGCGTGAGCGAGGAAGGGTGATTGTGTTGCGAGGGTGAAGGCTTCAGGGTGCAGGGACAGGATATGGGTTGTGAGTTTGGTGGGAGGGGACATTGTGAGGTAGGGTTGATGAACGGAGATGATGAAGTTTGTAGCTAGAGGTGGAGAGAGTGATAGGAAGTTGGTGTAGGTGAGGTTTGGTGGTGATGTGCTGTGATACGAGATGGTGGGGTATGGCGGGGTTGATTTACAGTCACATCACAGGACAGTGGGGATATATATCTGTACAGCAACGATATCACGATGTTTGTCTATACCCCCAGATCTTGAGGACTACAGGCTGGAGTTTACGAGCCATCAAGCAAGCGAGCAAGCTTAGGTGTGTTGGTAGGTTATTTACTTCCAAGCGCACGTGGATTTCTTCAACACGTCAGATCTTCTTGCATTTACGAGTATTCGGACATCCTTAGTGAGGTACGGAGTTTACGGCATTGGAGGATCTAGACCAGGGACCGCGACGACGATCTCTGCAGATTGATATGGTAATCTTGAAATACGGTGGGCCGCGGTGCAAACGGATTTGAATTGCAAGAGTGGGATGGTGTGGTAAGACGGGTGAATTCCACTCAACTGTGGGACGACATGTGCCCAAGACCCCGCGTCAGCTCGGAATATGTAGGGGTTTTATTGTTTTCAATAGGGGGATGTGGTCACAAAGTCACGATTGGAAAGGTACAGAATGTTGTCAATGGACTGATTGTTATTGAAGTAGCAGAGTACATAGAGCCGGGTCACCATCCCAAAAGAGGGGAGACACCAAAGCCATCGCAAAAGCGCAAGACGCGAAGTAATAATGAAAGACAAGATCGAGTTAACCGTAATCCTCAAGCATCCGTCCCGAATGAAAAGAACCCTTTGCTGAAGAAAGTGTCGGTACCCGCGCTTTGCTTCAACGAAACAGAGAAACCATGGGAAATACATAAAAACTTTTTTATGTCCACGGCGAATAGCGTCATTGCTGTGCCCCTATGCTACAGCGTGCTACTATTGCCTCCAGAGGCAAGAGCCTTAAGCTCTTCCTCCCAATCCATGAGTTGCCGGCGGAGAATACCAAAAAGTGAGTCAACCCTGGTGGACGCCCGAAGGTCCGTTGCGACGCAAAGCAAGGCTCTTCCAGTGATCACGCTCCTCCTTCAACTTTGCAATTTCATCCTCGAGTTCCTCAAATCGTTGCATCTTGCGCTGTCGAGACTTACGTGCTGCAAGAGTGTTGCGCGCACGCTTCATCGCGACAGTGTCGTTAGGGTCTTCGACAATGATAGGAGGAAGAGGCTTATCCCGCTTTCGAACACCGCCAGCAGGTGCAGGTGGAGATGTTGCAGTACCAGAACGACGACGACGAAGATGTTCGGAAACCTCTAGTTCCTCCTCTGGGAGAAGAGGAGACTGCTCAACTTGCGACTTTGGCTGTTCGACCTGGTCATCCTGAGGGAAAAGAGGATACCATGGGTCACCAGCGAGCGCTTGATCGAGGTCTTGGTTGTCACCGATGAAAGGAGAAACATCATAATCTGCGAACTCTGGCGACTGGTGGTATTGCGAGTCGGGAGAGGTCAAGTTTGTGAAGGCAGTCGAGTTTGGAGCGGAAGCGAAAGGATCGCGGAGCAAATCTTGTGGAGAAACGGTACCCATGTTTGTAGAGCTGGTGGAGGAAGACAAGTTCATGTGTGGATCGTAGATAGTTGGCACGGCAGGCGAAGAGTATGCCGATGGGAACGAGTTCTGGCTTGTCGACGCACCGCCCTCGAAGGCGGTGAAGTCGTCGAAGAGATCCATGTCTGTTGCAGTGTGTGAGTCACGGCCGACGGGTGAAGAACGGTGGTGAATGTTACCTTGCATAACCATGTTTGGAGTTTGCGGGATGTTACCAGTGGATTGCGAAAACAATGGGACTTGAGGACGAGTCTGACGCTGTTGTTGCAAAGCAGTGGTAGATGAGGGCGCGGAAGAAGCGTAGAACTGTTGAGGACTCTGCGCAGGATTGAACCGATTGGTGAGGGCCGAAGTAGTGATAGAATGTCCAGTTGCTTGAATTATCGCGGCTACTCTCTGGTTCTGCAAAGACTGGGCAGAAGCAAGATGAGACGAGTTTCGACGATGAGCTTGATTGTTGGACAGACTAGGGGTACTGCGAACGCTGGGAGACCTCTCGAACAGAACGAAGTCCTGATGATTGGTTTGCGGATGAGACTCGGGATGTGAGGGATCCTGAGAGAGTTGTTGCGGAGATTGTGCCGGCAGGCTCGATGAAGAGGGAGGAAGCCATCTTGGGTGGGAATCCGTGGTGGAAGAGTTAGAAAACTCTGGAAATATGTTGGCGGTTTGGGAGTTGAAAGCGAAGCTGGAAGCTGGGCTGGAAGTCAATTCGTCCTGTGAAGGAAGAATGGTTGGGTGGGGAGTGGAGTTGGTGGTTATCTTTAAAGGTAGAATGGTGGCGATGGTGTCCAAAGTACTGGGGCCAATTGCTTAAAACATCGTGAGTGCAAGTCCGATGTTTGTATTGTGTCTTTGAGTATTGTGTTTGGTGAAGAAGAAGAGAGGAGCAAAGGCAAGCAAAAAATGGGGGTGGCTCGTCTATTAATGTCTGCCTGGCCTGGGTTCGTGTGCCAGAGCGCTAGTGGTTAGCGAGGGTGTGAGTCACATCAGGTCCTAATTTCTCAAGCACACAGCCCGCAGCCACGCTTACGGATTCATTCTTGCGTAGGTATGGGGATGAGGTCTCAAACCTCCAGCGCAACATGATTTCAGTATTGTTTGTTTATTTTCTTCGCTTCTACATTCTCTCGAATTTCTCTGGCTTCTCTGCTATTCTTCATTGTTGAGATGTCCTGTTCTGTTTTCGCGACTTTTGAAGGCATCCGAGACGGGTCGGCAGAAATCCGCCCTGCCTGAGAGCCCAGCCCTTTTTCTCGCCGTGCCACATACAGTTTAGCTTGCTTGCGCAGCAAGTGGGATCCTGAAGGAGCTCACCAGTAGTGAGCTTCAGCTTTTTCAAGAGTGAACATCTACAGGAATCAGGACTGCTTTTCTCGAGTGGATTAATTTACTTAAAGTTTTCGCGGAAGGCAGAATTGTCAGTCTCGACCAGACCACAAGTTGCGAATTTGTTATGCTTCTTTCGCAGCCATAGGTACATTCAGTATCAGTATCGCGATTTTGAAAAGTAACTCGCCCAACCCCGGATATACGGTTATGGATACCACCAAAGATCTGCCCTGGCCCAAACGCCACAACCCCTGGAGACACAAACGATAAGCTTTGTACTCTTCATCTCACCTCTTGCATCTGAATTCGTACTCGGCGAGGCAACATGCAACCCACTCTCCACGCCGCAATTATTTCCGCCTTCCAAATACGATACCGGTACCAAGTGGGTTCGCCGGCCGAAGCAAAGCGTTGAAGGGCGTGTATGTCAAATATGGGCGGATCAACTTGTCAATTTTCCGGCATTTTTTTTTGCCCTTTGCCCTTTGCTCTTCGCCCACAAATCCTGAAATCTTCTTGTAGCTTTGCAAAGGGTACAAATGCGAACCCGCCTCCAAGCCTCCTCTGTCCGCTTCACTCTCCAGATTTCCTTTCAAAATTTCCCCAAACCCCACGAATTGACCCAAAGCAGCGACTGTGACTCATTTTTCGAAATCTCCGCAGCATCAGTTTCGTTTGGTTTGTGCCCGTCGCATTTCTGAGTTTATGATTGGTCGCTAAGCTGCAGGAGAAAGTGCTGCGGAATGCAAGCTTGCATGAAACCGCAGCGGCCAGAGTTTGGTTGCTTACGTGAACACGAGAGGAGATACCGGAGTTCGAAATTCGAGAGCGGAATTTGGACGGCGTTCGCTTATTCTCGTTTGATGAGAAATCCATCTCAGAGGGGGTGAATCACGTGTAAAACAGGCCATGTGATTTCGTTCTCATTGAGAATGAGAGGGCTTGGAGTGGTTCTAAAATTTGCCAATGTATACTGTGGCATCTTGAAATAGTATGCGCTTAGTTACAAACGCGCAAATGTGGAGAATAACTAAGGTACCGAGTATGGGGATTTCTGCAGTTACACGGATCCCGTGATCGTCAAAGATCTTCAGATCACCTACAGGCAAGTAACCTTACTATATGGACCGTATCCTCTCAAACAAGACACGATAACACAAAAGATTTCCTACCTCATTCGAATCTAATAGCATCAACAAACCGATCACTCAGCACCTCAACTAGACCATGGTGCAGTCCAAATGCCCAACAGACAGTGTTGGATTACAGTATGTTCTCCGATCTCAGTACTTTGTCAACCGGTGCACCTTCCTTGGTATGATTAAAGTCCGGCTTCTGTGCTGAGTTGATGATGTCAATTCTGATAGCCCAAATGAACAAGATTCGATTCCGAGTATTGATGACTTTGGGGTCCGACAATGGTGTTTCGGAGATACTAACCATTCACGATTTGTGCTTGAATATTTCTGCATCTTGATGCCCTTGATGTGCAGTACAGTATGCCAGTTGATAAAAGAGATACTTGTAAGAGGGAAGGTAGTGTTAGTCAATGTTTGTTACCTGTCCTCAGCATCGTATACTCAGACGTCGATTTCGGGACAGCGGAGAATACAAGCAGATACCGTGTATGTGTTGGCGTTAAATCCTTATTCTGAAGCGGCTTGCATGTCAATTACTCACCAAGGCAGTTGATTCTACGAGATAACTTTGACAGGTATATATGAATGAATAGGAGTCAGTTCACGTCACGTAACATTACATTACATCACATCACATTAAGTCAACAAACACATGGATGGAACAACATCTAGATGCAAACGCAGTATATTCATACCACACTTCTATCTAAAAACCCGATTCTCCGCATACTAGCACGTAGCTGTGAAGAGAGCACACATGGGGTATAATGTGCTTGCTTATGATGGCCAGTCGCTGGCTCGCCCGGTCGTCCGCCCAAGCCTCGTTCCAAGAACACCAACGAGGCGCGCAGAACAAAACCAGACCCAACCGACCACCAGATCCAGCCAGAAGAAGATGTTGAAGTTCTCCCTAAACGCCAGATATAGTTTGCTAATGCTGCTCTCTATGGTGCAGAGATATTGAAAAATCAAATATCAAAACCGGGATATCAGAGTCTGACTCCTCTTCCTGCGAAGAGAGAGGAGACCCGTTTCCCGTTGATGTGTGATGCCCTGCCTGTCTTATCTACGGTCTATGTTGAAAGACTTTTATCTTCTTTGCGCTTTATTTTTGTGCACCTTGCTTGCTGCCCACAAAATAACGGTCAAAAACAGAAGAGAAAGCTTCGAAAATGTTGCGGATCAGAAAAGCATCGCGAAAGTTGGTAAATGTACCGATTATCGAATCAAGAAGGAAAAAACTCCGTTGTAACCCCGAGGTCGTTGAGACCATGCCCTTTTTTCGTCAAATCATTTCGCCGTGAGAGTCCCATAGGAAAAACAGATATTCTGCCTCGAGTAGAAGACGTTGAGTCATTCCACCATATTCATGGCAACGTGTAGGTAGTGTGTAAGATTTAGAGAGTGAGGGTCTTTGGCTTCTCCCAGCTGAAGTTCTGGTTGGTGAAGTGGCCGTTCTTGGCAGTTTGGAAGTAGATTGGGCGGGCCAAGTCGAGCTCCTTGACAATGACACCTGGGCGGAGATCGAAGTTCTTGTTGATGATCTCAACGAGCTCAGCAGAGGTCTTATCGGATGTACCGTAGGTATCGACGTAGATGGAGAGGGGCTCCGCAACACCAATGGCGTATGAGAGTTGAACGAGAGCACGGCGGGCAAGCTTGGCGTTGACCAAGGACTTAGCAACCCATCGGGCGACGTATGCAGCAGATCTATCGACCTTGGAGAAATCCTTTCCGGAGAAAGCACCACCACCGTGGGCTCCCCATCCACCGTATGTGTCAACAATGATCTTTCGGCCGGTAAGACCGGCATCACCTTGAGGTCCACCAATGATAAAGAGTCCGGAAGGTTGGATCTAAATGTTAGGTTAGTAAATGAATATTGCGGTAAGTTTCGAGTAACATACGTGGTAAATGGTCTTATCATCCAAGTACTTGGCAGGGATAACCTTCTTAATGATCTTCTCCTTGATCTCCTTTCGGAGCTGTTCAGTGGAGATATCCTCGCTGTGCTGAGCAGAGACGACAACAGTATCTACTCTGACTGGGACAACGGCACCGTTATCGTGCTTGTACTCAATGGTGACTTGAGTCTTGGTATCAGGTCTGAGCCATGGCAAGCTTCCATCTCTGCGAGCAGAAGACATAGCAGCATTGAGCTTGTGTGCCAACTGGAGGGTCAAAGGGAACAACTCTGGGGTCTCGTCGGTGGCATAGCCGAACATGATACCCTGGTCACCAGCACCCATCTGCTCGAGAGCCTTCTCGTAGTGCAGACCTTGTGCGATATCGGGAGATTGCTCCTCAATGGCAACCAAGATGTTGCAAGTCTTGTAGTCGAAACCCTTCGCCGAGTCGTCGTAACCGATGTCCTTGATGGCATTTCGGATGACCTTTTGGTAGTCGAGGTGTGCCTTGGTGGTGATCTCACCGAAGACCATGATCATACCGGTCTTGGTGGCAGTCTCGCAAGCAACCTTGGACAGAGGGTCAACGGCTAAGCAGGCATCGAGAATGGCGTCGGAGACTTGATCAGCGATCTTGTCTGGGTGCCCCTCTCCTACGGACTCGGACTAATGGATATCGTCAGTAAATGAACCTCGCAAATGTGTCACCAAGCCCCAAAGAGAACAACATACGGTGAACAGGAAGTGTCCCTGGTTGTGGTGAGCAACTCCATTAGTGGCAGCGACCATGATTGCGGTATTAGAATGTGAAGTAGGGGGAGACGGGGTGTGGAAGAAGAGTGGAAAGGATAGTTGTAGAAGAGATAAAGGGTAAATCAACAGGTGAGGGTTTTAAAGAGAAGTTCGAAAGGGTTGTTGTGCAATCGCAAAAGTTGTGAGAAAGCACGCTAGAGAATCGTCCGTGCACTTCGGGGGGGAATGGTGTGCTCGCTGGCTGAGGTGGGAGTCTCACCGCCTTTGACCCCTCCATTCACTCTGAAGACGCATAACATAACGACGGATTGGTCAACAGAGCCGGAGATAGGATATTCGCCTTTTACATTGATACCGATTTGTTGATTCTTATTATGGTAAGATTTCTGCGCCGGGCAGAAATCTACTATCAGCTCAACACGTATTCGCCGAAGCTGATTGAGGGACAGAAAGAAAGACAGGCGGGGGATAAGCGACATTTATTACTAGGTATCCAGGCTATTGGAAAGGATCACAAAAGATAAGCAGGATCAAGAATTCAAATTTGGGAAAAGCTCCGAATAAATCTCTACATATTCTATCATTTCTAGTCGATTCTAGTCGATTCTATTTAGTAGTTGTTGTGTTGAAGAGGTTCCAAAACAATACAGCATTTGCTCTTAGCTCCGCCGCGAAACATACTTCGGCGAATTTTTTCCATTCTGCCAGCTAACGTACCACTTCCTTTCTGAAATTGCAAGAGGCACAGAAACGGCACGGCAAAGCGAATACGCCACGTGCCTGAACGAATACGGAATCTCCATTGCGCCTTAGGATCAAGGCGAAGATCTCCAGCCTCGAGTAAATTTCTCAAGCTGAAGAAAAGGCTGAAGGTCAGACCGCGATTTCGAGTACCCCGCCATCTACACCAAAACAACACAACCTGATACCGACGACGCAATGAGTAAGTTCGGTGTTCTGGTTATGGGACCTGCGGGTGCGGGAAAGGTATGTCCCTAATTTTCATTCTCTGGTTAACAGCTTGTTTGTGTTGTCTTTATGTTTCGAGAATCATACAATTATATACAACAGTCAACAAGGCATAGCTAACAGCCAACCCAAATAGAGCACATTCTGCTCCTCCCTCATCACCCACCTCCGCAACAACCGCCGCTCCTGCTTCTACGTGAACCTGGACCCCGCCGCCGAAGAATTCACCCACGCCCCAGACCTCGACATCAAAGATCTCATCTCCCTGGAAGACGTAATGGAAGAGATGGGCCTCGGCCCCAACGGCGGCCTAATCTACTGCTTCGAGTTCCTCCTCGAGAACCTCGACTTCCTAACCGAAGCTTTGGACCCTTTGACAGAGGAATACCTGATTATCATCGATATGCCTGGGCAGATTGAGCTGTATACGCATATTCCTATCTTGCCCGCGCTGGTGAAACACCTGACAAGGACGGGAGCACTGGATATCAATCTGTGTGCGGCGTATTTGTTGGAGGCGACATTTGTGGTGGATCGAGCGAAGTTCTTTGCGGGGACGTTGAGTGCGATGAGTGCGATGATTATGCTGGAGGTGCCGCATGTGAATATATTGTCAAAGATGGACCTGGTGAAGGGTCAGGTGGGCAAGAGGGAGTTGAAGCGGTTCTTGGATCCGGATACAACTCTTTTAGATGATGATCCAGCGGAAGGAGCTGTCGATACTGGGGAGGGAGAGGCGGCAGATTCACAGACTGTCATGCGTGGTGCCAGTTTCAAGAGGCTGAACAAGGCGGTTGCGGGTCTGATTGATAGCTTCAGTATGGTGTCATACTTGAGGTTAGATGTGCAGGATGAGGATAGTGTCAATGGGATACTGAGCTATATCGATGATGCGATACAATTTCACGAGGCACAGGAGCCGAAAGAACCGAACGATGAAATAGACATGGAGTATGGTGATGACGAGTAAAAAAAGGATTGGTTTGCATCTGGCGTTCAGGCGGATAAGGAAGACTGGAATGCATAGCGTAGGCGTTTATTATGATATCCAAAAGCTCTGTAGAGTTGTCTGTCACTTGGGTTCACGTTCCCAGATCTTTGCAATGAGGTACTCGTGCTGGATATACATCGTACTGCCGTGCTCATCATAGTCCAAAACGTCCGTAAAGCGCGCATCATACCGCATCCAGTACAAGAAGACAACCCAAACTCTAATTATTATGCAACCATCCATCAATACCCTGAGGGAGCCGCCGTGCCCAAACGCCAAACCTGAGTACACTTCCTTATCTCTAAGCCACTCCAGTTCTCTCTCCAAGTTGACAAACCAGCCACTCTAGAATCCGACGTCTTCCAGTACCATATTACACCCTGACTTCGTAAGAAAGATCAAGTCAACTCTCCAACTTTCCACAGCACTCTTCCGACTTCCCCTCTGTCTCTCTCCCCTCATCTCCACGAACTCCCTGCATTCGTCCTCCCATACCCCCCCTTCCCACTCCCCGTACCACTATTCCCCCCACCAGCCTGATTCTGCACGCCCTCCCACCTCTTATACTCCCTCTCCCAGACCCTCGCCACCTCTCCCGCCCAGCCCACCAAATCCCCCACCGTCCTCTCCAGCCCCCTCTGCCAAACCACCGCAACCAGGACGCCAATACATCCCCAAACCACAAGCTTCATCACTACCCGGAACCAGAACATCATGACCCGGCGCACGAAATACAGGATCTGCAGGGCGATGATAAGGAGGAGAAGGAGTGCGGCGAGGGAGAGGATCGCGGGAGAGGTGTGTAAGGTGCGGAGAGCGGAGTCGAGGTAGGGCGTTAGGAGGGGGGAGTATTGCGTGTAGAGATTTGAGAGGGTGCGGAGGGGGGCGCGCGTGTAAGGTTCGAGGGTGGTGAGGGTTTGGAAAACCGGGAGTGCATATTCTGTTTGAGGAGTTAGCAGGTGGAAGACAGAAAAGAGGGAAGGGAGAAATTTACCTTGGAGTATATCCATGATGGGCAGACAGACAAGCGGAGGAGAATGCGATTCGAGCGCAAGTTTGCAATGCGCTGGCTTGGTGAAGATAGTTGTGGCTGGGCCAGACGTGGTTGGATGTACGGAGGAGTCTTCCTTTATCACTATTTGCGATGAGACGCGACAAAGAACTAGTGAAGGCGCTGCGCGTTGAATAACGAGAATTGGTGATGAGGAGGCGCGAAACTGTACGCTAGAAGGCAGCGCTGCACCCTGGTCACTCGCTTAGCGCGATTTGCACGTGCCAATTGCGACTTAATGTCAACAACAGCAACATCAGGCTGTTTTGCCAGCACTAGGTAGCGAGCCGAGGAATTCAGAAATTTATGCGTAATCCTTGTTTCTAGCATGTTAATGCAAATGCTATAATCTGTACAAAAACTCTCCGAGCGCCAACGCTATGCAGAATATTCGATCCAGTCCCAACCAACCCAACCAGCCAACCAAGCCCATCCAGAGCGATGCCCGTCGCTATGCTATGCAATACCCACCGACCCAAACTCCTTTCATAACTCATGCAAGGTCATCAATATCATCATTGTCATCCCATCCTAGTTTCTTGTAAATAGAGTCCTCTTTACTCAGTTCTAGACTTGCTCCTACACCAACACTTACTCCACCATTCTTTCGTAACTGCTCATTCTCCTTGTCGCTTCCTAAGCTTGCCATCATTGGATGGCTATGCTCAACGCTACTTGCGGGCCTTCTCTTGACAGGAGTATCTTCAATGCCATAGGACAGTGAAGTGGACAGATTCTTTACTGCCGAGTCTGGCACCGCGTTGAATAGCTGTGCACTTGAGCGGCGCACATGCAATGGTGAAGAAGGAATGCCACCAAGGTCCATTGTTGACATTGATCGTTTAGGGAAAGCCGGCACAGCTTTCCTCGTTGGCGTTGCCTGAATATCCGAAAACAGCGGATTGCTTTGGAAGCCACCAGATGACCGAGATACCGATTGAGGAATTCGAGGGATACTTGACGCGGGAATCATAGATGCCTCTTCAACCATACGTTCCAGACTCGACATCTGGGACTGCTGTGCAAACATATCTCTCTGGCGATTTGCCTTTGGTGTTGCTGAGATTTGAACTCCTTGAAATAGGGGGTTCCTGACAGGCTTCTTCGATTTTCGAGCGCTAACGGATCGTTTCTCAGCTGTCTCGGCTAATGCCTTTCCTGCCAGCTCGCGATTTGGCTTCTTTAAAGCTGAAATCGCCTCCTTTAGCTCAGCGTCGATAACCGCCTGCTTCTTTGCCTTTGCATTCATCTCTGGTAACATACTTCCGAGATCGACTTCTCGTCTGGAGAATCGTTTTGAGTTGAGTACGCCGCCTCTAGCTGCTTCGAGAGATTGTGAATCGGCACTAGGTATACTGGACAGCGATGGAGCCTCGCTCACTTCTCTCTTCAGTCCCGGAATGATAGGCATTGTGGCAGATCTCATTAGGGCAATTTTCTTGTTTGGCCCACGGGATATACTTCTTCGCTCTCGCTCATCAGTCAATACCCGTTTCAGGCTTCGACGAGGCTTCACAGGAACAGGTCGTTTCGTCGCAGCACCAGGCCTCGAAGGAGCACCGGAGAAGCTGGAAGACTTGACTTTTGGCTTTGGAGGCGAGACAACTACTGGACCTCCAAGCTTTCGATTTATGACTGCACAGCGATCAGGAAGACGCGATTGGAAACTGCAATGTTAGACATGACGGAGTATAGATTCTTTGGATTGACTTACAATGGTGCAATCACTTCAACACAAAAGTCCCGGAGAATATTGTCAGTATGCTTTGTTTGATTAGAAAGACCAAAAGGCAGGTCAGAGGTGGTTTGTGATTCCACAGGAGTAGCATTCATGGACTCAATGGCCAAAGACTGCCATATGCATAATCTGTCGATGTGCACATCTAGGAGCATGGTGAGATGGTCGGCTTTCTTTGATTTGGCGGGCTTTTCTTTGGAGCCCACCGCCTCGGTACTTGGCAAGGCGGTAGGCAACCCCTCTCCAATATCTTCTGTTGATGTTGCCAGGGGCTGAAGAGCCAGAATTTCGAGGATCACAACCATCTGGAGTTGAGTTTCTCGAATCCGTAGTTGAGAGATCCGGGTCTTAGTCAGTTCGTCACGAGAACTACCAGGCCCTCCTGTATCGGTATCATCATCGTGGGTTGCCCACCATTGCCGTATGAGGGGTTCCTCGTTGGGATAGAGTCCGTTCTTTCCAAGCTTCATCTTCTTACTAGCCCTCTTCTTTTTGGGTTTCCCGCCTGCTTGAGCTGCCTCGTCTGCGGTGTGGTCATGGACATCGATCAGAGAGACACAGGTCGGAACCCCATCTCGATACTTTTTTTCCAGGAGAGTACTCGACATAACCATGCTCTCTAGAAATGAGATAAGATCGTTTAGGTCGAGATTGGAATCATAGTCCAGGTGGAATGCAGCTCGAGCCCGAGACAAAGGTCCTTTGGCGAAGTATGCTAATGAGGCCTAGAGTAAGTTAGTAGTGAGCTAAGAAGGGCCGGGATCGAGGCATGCCTTCGAAAGATACAGAGCCTCCAGGTAATATGTCCGAACATTGTCAAACATATCCGTTGCTGTAGGTTGTGCAGCGACCTCATCCATGGAAAGAGCTGGAGGGACACATGTGGTGCTCGTTGCCGCGGTCGTTTCTTGCCCATCAGTTCTCCCTTCTATTGACAAGGGAGAGTCAACAAAGACTGGCTCTGGTCCGGATTCAACAACTGGAGTTTGCGAGTCTGACTGAGATTCCGTCAACAGACCGGTCGAAGGCCGCTTCACCATGGACTGTATAGCTTCGATTGCCAAGCGCTTCTTCTTGCTGTACTTGTTTACTTCCGGGGCTGCAGTAGGCAAGTCCACAGAGGGCTGAAGGCCTGCTCGGTCTGGCAACTCTTGCCTCGACACTATAGCTGCCGCCTTCAACTCCTGCAGATTTACCCATGAACCGAGCTGTAGTAGAACGTAGAGACCTCGGCTTTCTCGTTCCACTGCGTACAGTGTTCGAGTATCGTCGAGTCTTGCTATCAAAACCGTCGGCTGGTTTCCCATCCTCTCTTCTAATTCCAGTATCTTGACATGAGTTTCAAACAGCCGCGAACTGGCCAAACCTTTGCCAGTGGAGAGTATGTCGATATAGGAGAGCGGAAGGTTGGATCGTGGCAACAGCATTAGTGGCTGGAGGGAGTGCGACTTGAAAAAGCCAGACGAGGGATATGGCTGACTTCATATCAGCACTGCGTGCTAGTCAAGGAGAGTCCGTACTCACTCGCACAACAAATTTGTCTCCCAGCAGATCTTCCATAGTATTTCCATCCCGCTTGCGCTTCTTTCCTCCAAAGCTCACGCCATCGCTGAGGTTTAGTGAATTGTCTGATGCTGGTGTGAGAATCCCAGAACGCGTCGCCAACGCGACATTGGGCTCAATCTGGCTTGACATAGCAATGCAGTATCGATAAATGGTGTCATGAGGTCCTCATCACTTCATACAAGGACCCCAATTGTTGTAAGGCTGTTGATATGTTGCTGTTAGGTACAAGAAGAAAGGTCCAAGTTTGGACGTGCACAGGAACACGCGCTCGTCGGGAAATGTCCGGCATGCCCCGCCAAAGACAACGGGCACCCACTCGCCCAAATGAGATCACTGAGATCAGTGAGATCACTTCCAGAGCTCTATTTTTCAATTTAAGTCTTATACACACTCCAAACCTTAGTTGGGATGTCATATCTCCTCCTTGCTACTTATTAGGACGAAATGTGCATTTTTCTCTTTCCATAGCCTCTTCTGAATTGTTTTGAGCACACGCAAATAAATCAGCACACTTTGGTATATGTTTAGCTGCCTCTTCAGGGCGTGATGTGCCCAGTCAACGACTACCTATAATACCTTAAGGTAGATAGGCACAGTATCCTATGTGAACTTCACATTTTACAAAGTAGCCACCCCATTCCACTGACCGCCAGACGCCAACTTCTCTCTTTACTTCTTTTTGAATTGCTTCTTTGCCAGCAATCATAGTCACATTCGAGGAAGGCTAGTCTTCCAGTAAGGATTACTACTGTATTACTTCAAAAGGTATATGACCCGGCTTTAAAGCCCCGTTTCCGGATTGGCGGTACGACGCGTGAAGGTTATTCAAGGCAGAAAATCAGGTTCCCGGCGTGTTCCTTGGATGGATTTATGCTCTGCAGCAACTGAACCTTGGCTATAGCCTTGTCCAAGGATGAAGTTGAGCCACAAAGTCAAAAGCAGGCCACAGTCAGTGGCTCAGGACATCGCATTCGTTGTCCTTGGGTGGCGAAACCTACGCGTCTACGAGGCGTAAGGTCGGGTAACAGTCAAGAGGGTTTGGACTGTGAAGATCGCAGAAAAGGAATGTGAACGCTGAGGCTGCTTCGATATCAAAAGGGCGGGATCACTCATTCCATCTCCCCAACGTCGAACTATCTCTCATACACTCTGTTCCTAAATCTCGAGAGTTCATACCCTCGCTACTTAATGCGACATTGCGAGCAATCGAGATCTCGATATCCAGGCACGCGGAACTTTGCCTCCGCGACAAAACTAGCGCCCCTTCGGCAGCAATTGATACGTTGGAGCCTCCATTGCCCGCAAGTCCAATCGCACTGTACCGCTTCCCGTCGATATCCTACATATCGCGCGGTGTTCCCGGAACGACTCAAGGTCCAAAAGACTTCGAATCTTCTGGTTCAATCACTCTCCTTCTAGTTCGTGAGTATCAGGATCAGGATCAGGATCAGGATCGTGGATTCGCGGGCAGATCCAAAACTGGCTCTGGGCTGCCCTTGTCCGATACCCTGTCCCGGGCCTGGAATACCAATGCGGGTACGCTAAACAAATTACCTTACTTGACCGCGCTATCGTTGACAATATTGCCTGCCTCGCCTCTCTGCCCTTCTCTGCCATGAGTGTTGATCTGTCGCCGCGAGCAGTACGGTTCTCTCAAGGGGCAGAGGTTAACGACCTGGATATCCTCAAAACCCCAAGGGTGATGGAACGGCCGCATGCGCAGACGAGCGATTCGGGCGGCTCAGGCTCCTCTGCAGATCCAAATGAGGTTCTCACGGTGGATAGCAGACCCATTAACCAGCCTCCAGCTCTTGCGCTCCTCGACCCACGATCTTCCGTAACGAGTATCAACTCCAGTGTGCGGAGTCATCGAAGTAGCACAGATGGCAACGGCATGTATAGAGGGGAGGTGGCTTCCCCGTTTTCACCAAACACTCCCGTTCTCAACGGCGCAACAAGTCGACCCCAGAGACCAACTGCACCAGCGCGGACGCCTTCCAGTACATATGCTCCAGCGCGACGACCACCGCAGCCTCCGTACATTTCGATGGCAGACCGAAACCGATCCATGTCAACGTCTCGCTTCAGACAGGATCCCAACGCTTCATACAGAGCTCAAGAGAAAGCCTACGTACAACGGTTACGAGAAGATCAGCCAATGGAGTACTTCGAGCCATACACACCAAGTATTGGATACGGGACTGGGTCAGACACAGAAGACGAGTCGCCTTCGGAACCCCACTTCGATGGTGATGCATACGACCAGGAAACGCTGCTGTTCTATGGCAATGAGAGCATGCAACCAACCGCAGAAGATCTTCAGGATCCTGCCAATCGAGAACGGTTGGAATGGCATGGAATGTTAGCTTCGGTTCTGACGGGAGATGTTGTGAGACAGGAAAAGAAGCGTCTGATAGGAGCATCAGACAAACAAGGAGCGAATCTCAACACTGAAATATGGTTAGGAATTCGTTCGAAGAATTGCGGACGGACACTGGCTGCGCAACGAAGGCTGATAGAGGATACACGGACGACACTAGACACCCTGTTGGATGAGATCATCAGGTTCCAGGTCCAGGGGGAGAGTGAAGCTGGTAAACCACCGATCGACCAAGTACGGGACGTTGTCGCAAAGATCGAGAAGTGTGAAAGCCTTTACCCTTCTCGTATGGCTTTGGAGGTTGCCAACAAGCTCGCAGCTTCTCCTCAATTCCATGCAACTTGTGATGCTGTCATCTCATGGCACAACACGACTGAGCTCATCAACACGGAACTTGGAATCTTACAGAATTGGGTTGGAAATGCTGAATTGGATTTCACTCGGGCCAAAGAACGGTCTCCATCTGGAAATGGACTGTCAGACGAGTCGTCGTTCATTGATAGGCTGTTGAAGGAAGATGGCCTACGGTCGTTGCAAGGAGACAAGAGCATTATCATTGGTGTCTCTGAGGTCATCATGAAAGCCAAAAGAACGCTAATCCAAAACTCTGAAGGTTTCGCGAAAAGACATCTTCCGCCTTACATCGAAGAGCTGTTGACTCTCATCAACTTCCCATCTAGACTGATCGAGGAAATCATAAAAGTCCGCCTTCAATTTGCCCGAAAGATGAAGGATTCTGCTCAGCAAAACTCCATGATGCAAGAGCAAATGATATCGCAGTTCCAGATCCTGTTGAAGCTTGCTATACGCATCAAACAGGAATACTTGACAATATCCCAGCCGGAACCTGGATGGGATCTTCCTCCTTGCATCGATGATGAATCCTTCGATCAAATAGTACTAGATGCCCTAAAGCTTTACTTCAAGATGCTCAACTGGAAACTAGGCGGAAACAAGAACACATTTAAGGAAGCCGAAGTGTTGGAGCAAGAATGGGAATTTTCAAACGAGATCGGACGCCATCTTCAAGGTGGCGATGTGGAAGTTGCAGAGCAATTCAGCTCGCTTACTCACAAGGCTTTCTATCGACTCAGTCAAACTTTTGAGCGAGAACTTCAACGGAAGCCCAAGGAAACTGCTGCTGAGATGACAAAACGTTACAAGCAAAGTCTCGATTCTGTTCGTGTTCGACAGCGTATGCTGCAACGTTTCTCGCGGCAGCTCAGCGATCGTTTTGAAAACGCTACGGATTTCAGCATCTCTTTAAGACATGAAGCTCTACAGCAGCTTTACTCGCGACTGATAGAGACGGGTCACTTCTTAGTCTACACAGCTAGCATCGAGCATGATGGAATATTCCTAATCGCTTCTCCATCCTTATACAACCGGCCACAGGACATCCAGTCTATCCTTGGGACCTGTTACCACTCTGACCAGGTACAAGAAGACCCAACAAACCCTTATATTCTGGTTCTGCGACCTGAGAACGTGGTGCCCTGGGATGGAAGACAAGTTGATGCAAACATACGGGAGCCGGCGACTGATGTCAAAATGGGTCATCTGCGGCTCATTGCGGATGGCTCGCAAACGCGGCTGCAAAATGCACGACAGGCGTTCCTGGACTCGATTGATTTGCACCTGGATATGGTCGTGGAACAACGGTCCAACCTCAAGAAAGTCAACCTCAAACTGACAGAGATCAAAAAAGTCGTCTATAAGCTGTCAAATTTGATCATGGACAGTGTTGAAATTGTGAGAAAGCAGACTGTTGGTCTTGATTGTCAAGAACTCATCCAGACCTGCTTCATCTTCGCAACTGAATTCGGACAGCGATCTTTACTTTACATGGATCGCAACCGAAAGCAGATGAACAATCTGAAATTGACGAAGCTAGCTCTGGACTGGGTCAGCTTCGTATGTGACGATTGTATTGCAACCGACCGAAAAACGTTTCGATGGGCTGTTCAAGCTCTGGAATTCGCAATGAAGATGACACAAGGACAATACATACTTGCTCTTGGCGAGGACGAGTACACAAGACTCCGTGCCAAGGTGGCAGGCTGTATGTCACTTTTGATCTCTCACTTTGACATTATGGGTGCAAGATCAACTCTCGCTGCACAGGCTGAGAAGCAACGCATCGAAGCCATTGCAAGCCAGTTCAGAAAAATGGACATGAGCCGTATGCTGGATGATGAAGAGTCATCCAGATATGTCCGGGAGCAAAGACTTGAGGAGTTGGCGTATCTGGACGACGCGAGAAAACAAAAGGAGGCTGAAAGGCAAGCTCTGGGCAGAGTACTTGAGGAGTCGAGTGAAGCCGATCGGTCATTGACCTTCCTATCATCATCTGCGTCAAACGTAAACATGCGTTGGCAGCAAGGAAATTTCGTTGGTGGTGGAACTTTCGGTTCTGTCTACGCAGCTATCAACCTTGATTCCGGTCATCTTATGGCAGTGAAGGAGATTCGCCTACAGGATCCGTCGCTTATCCCGACGATTGCAGGACAGATCAGAGATGAGATGAATGTCCTGGAAGTCTTGGATCATCCCAACGTTGTTTCGTATCATGGGATTGAAGTTCATCGAGACAAAGTCTATATTTTCATGGAATTTTGTTCTGGAGGATCATTGGCTGGTTTGTTGGAGCATGGACGTATCGAGGATGAGCAGGTCATCATGGTTTACTCGCTACAGCTACTCGAAGGTCTTGCATATTTGCACGAGAGTGGCATTGTTCATCGCGATATCAAGCCAGAAAGTAAGTTTAACTTCTACTCCACATCATGAAATAGCTTACCAGTAACCCTAGATATCCTGCTCAACCACAATGGTGTCATCAAGTATGTGGACTTTGGTGCAGCAAAGGTCATTGCTCGTCAAGGCAAGACACTTGTTGCCGCTGAGCCTGGTAAGGCGAACAAGTCAATGACAGGAACACCTATGTACATGTCTCCTGAAGTCATTAAGGGCGAGAATCCTGGACGGGCTGGTGCCGTCGACGTGTGGTCTCTCGGCTGCGTGATCCTCGAGATGGCAACTGGCCGCCGACCATGGGCATCGCTCGATAACGAATGGGCCATCATGTACAACATCGCACAAGGCAATCCTCCACAACTGCCGACCATCGATCAGCTGAGCCCAGAAGGCATTGATTTCCTGAAGCGATGCTTCGTCCGAGATCCCAAAAAACGCGCCTCAGCCGCCGAATTACTTCAACACGAATGGATCATGGCCATCAAGTCTCAAGTTGCCATCGAGCCCAGCACACCTAGTGATTCCGGATCAAGTCATTCTCGCGGCAGTATCGGCTGAGCTTCATCCGAGGCGGTGAACACCTTCCTATATCTTCTCATTGTATTTATTAGTTCGGTGGATCCCGTATCAAACACCCGACGTTTCTTCTCTGTCACATCCATCCAAGAAACTCGGGATATCGCGCCGTTCCGCCACCGCTCTTTCTCGGCTACACTGCCGTATCTTTTGGGAGGAGCGGCACGGCACGGAATTCTTCGTTTTATCCTTCATTGTTCTCTCCTTTGTTTGGGGTCACTGTTTTTTGATACGATACCAATACGCAGCATACGAAGCGTTCTAGGGCCCGGGCATACACGGAAATGCATCAGCGATGAGTCAGGCGTTTTACTTTTCATACTTGTATTTGGCAGACAGACCAGAGGGAAGCATTCCCACTAGGAATATTTTCCTATTTTGGCATTGCAGAGGCAGGCAGCGAGGAGAGTCGAGGCGAGGCGAGTCCAGCTCGGTAATGCGCCATTGTGGTAGATATCCTGCTTTCGCTCTCACATCCGTCTGAGTGTAGGCAAATAGGAAGGACGGCAGTACATGAGGGTGTTGTGTGGTAGATAGATGATGGAGGAAGCGAAAGTGTAGTTGATAGTCGAATAGTAATCAAGTAAATATAATGGCTATCTAACTCTACTTTACCCGACTTTGCTATCAGATCATGTCTTTAAAGGTACCTGCTTCTCATGCGTAGGCATTCTATCCCTAGTCAGTATGCCACGACTGAGCATTACCTGCCTCTGAGAGTGGATACGGTAAATGAATTGCAGCGAGCAGCTTGTGTTGTCTTTCTCAAGTAGAGATATCAGCCATCGCCACGATACCATCCTTCCGATTCAGGTTACGTACCTCACTATCTTCTCAATTTCCTGGTCATAATTTACATTTCCCATCTATCAATCCATCTACTCACCCAATCCTTCTTCCCAGAAACCACCAGAGAGCAATCAATCAGTCGGTAAGTATCCCAAGTAAGCAAGCCTCGGCCTCAGAGGCGCCTCCATGAGGCTTAGGCGGAGGTTTTAAATGCACTGCACTGTAGACGCTGCATCTACATCTGCATCTGCGCCTATATCTGCAGAGCACATATCTCATGCCATGCCATGTCATGCCATGCCCTGCCGTGTCCTGATCTGTACAGTACAACTTTACCGTAATGTTTTTACTTCACCTCAGTCACTTTCACCTCAACTAATGTTTATCGATCTCCTTTTAAAACCTTAGTTCGTATCCTAGTTTTAGTGTAGCACAGCATGTCATTGTTTCTAGCCTTTCAACACACCCGCTTCCTGGCACACTAGTTCACTGCTTCGCTGCTTCACGTGGTACAGATAAATCTCGTGGAGGAGGAATGAATGCCAAGAAGCGTGAGGGTCAAAGCATGGAGGCGTAGGCCGTTGGCGTAGTGCACAGCAGGCAGGTAGGTGTCAAAGCGTTGCGGCTTGCGGTTGTGTTGTGCTGTGACGCTCGAGCTGATCAGATCAGCGATCGTCCCGTCCGTCTGTCTTGTCTAAAAGATGGCATGGCATGGCATGGCGAGCATGGCAGGTGGACGGGGACGGGAACGAGTCGTGCGTAGGTATCCATGCGCTCCCATCTACCTACCAACTAGAGATTGTAGACAATACGAGTAGTAGTGTACGAGCCGCTGTTGCCGAATGTTTGGCTTTGGGGAGAGTCGAGTGCTGGTAGTGTAGTGTTGTGTAGTAGTGTGTGGATTTTTTTTTATGTCAAGAGGCAAGAGACATGCTCATGGTGCATTACTCACGTCAAATCTATCTAGTAGCTGCCAGTGTTTCGAAATTGGTTTGGTGCAATTTAGTTTAGTTCAGTAGAGCTTCTGGGAATGGATTTGAGATTGAGAGGACAGGCAGGTCATGAGATGTACTAATTGAATGTTGGAATTGAGTTTGCGCAATGAACGAGAGGGGATGAGAGATTGCGAAATCATCTTTCCGAAAAGTAAGTGCTTTGATGTTTATTCTCCTTGCTTGAGGCTGCCTTTGGCTGGAATTGAGTTCGTCGTTGGGGTGGTCAGTGGTCAGTTGATGGTGTTTTGCGTTCTCGTTTTCCACTGGATTGGATTATATTTCCGAGGTGGAAGGGAAGGTTAAGGTTGCTGCGGAGGCAAGGAGCTTTTTGGGGACGGGATGACGAGATGGCACGGTTCAGAGGGGGAGCGAGCTCTGATGGAGCTTTGATGTTCAATTGGACGGTAAGGAGGTTCTGAGACTGTTCTGGGTAGTAAATTTGAGTTCTGTTCAGTAAAGTGGATTTCTTTCAGCAAAGTTTGGGAGCTTCTAGAGAGTGTTCCTTGGTCGTTCGTTCTAGCATCACAAGGCATACAAACGGCTTGGCTAGCTTGCTTGATTTTCTTTCCCACTTTAATTGTACGGTCGAATGTGGTCAAGAGCGAGTGTATGCGAGTCATCCATCCTGCTAGGAGGCTGGACTGGAAATTTCTCCACTCCCGCCTAAATGCACGGAAATAGGAATGGTTGAGGTTGCGAATTGTATGCATGGAGGTGGATTTAATGCCTGCCCATTTTTTTATTCCATGCCATTTCATGTCACGCACAGCACGTTTTGAATTGAATCTGCAGGTGCTCAGAGTGGGCTGGAGGGGTCTTTGAGTTGTGGCTGGTGGAGGCGAAGGGGAAGAACAGACACTGGAGCAAGACGGATGTAAGCGGAACCTTAGATTGCGAAAAAAGAGGGGGATCTGATCAGATCATCCCCATCGCCATGCTGAAAGGTCAGAAGGTTTGACTTAAGTTAGTTTGAGTTTGAGCTATCGTGGTGGACCTGGACCTGACTAGAATGCGAAGATGGGGTTGCGTATCTGGCGGTGTGTACGCACTAGGTGAGGCACGTCAGGGGAGACTTCTCGGTGGAAGCGAAGCGCGGTCGTGATTGGGTCAAGAGGAGGAAAAGTTGGATTTTAGTGTCTACAGGTTCTGCAGGTACTGAACTGTACCTTGGATTTTTAGGTTTGAAAGAAGTCTGGAGATCTGTAAACCGCCGAACTTGAGTTGTTATTGGGTGTAGTGCTTGGATACAGTCATGCAAGGAGAAAATACGAGGTGTTATTTTGGGGAGAAATTAGACGAGAAAATGCAAGATACTAGGTAGGCAAAATGCGATGCCACATGTGATCGCGCGACTGGAGCACTTTGCGAGGGTGGAAATCTTCAGCTTCAACTCTGTGTGATTCTGGGACTCTGGCAACCACATCCACTTTTTTGCCCTAAAATGGTTGTGGTGGTTCAGCTGTAGTGCGTTGTTCAGGAGGTGGGTGAGGTTTGGTGTTTCGGCTCGAGGACGAGGACGCTGGATGACTGGTCGAGGGACTGGTGGAGGGGTATGTCCCCGCCATCGATGAGGCTGCAAAATACCCAGTTTTGCAAAGCATTGAAGGATCGCGTCCTACCACAGCCATGGACAAATGATAGCTGTGAACATGGGGAAGAAGAAGAGAGGCGTTTTCAGGTACCAAGATTCGTGTGCGTTCGGCCTGCATAAGGGCTTTCTGCTAGGCCGATCGAGGGGTCCCCGTGCGATTCATGTCATGGTCATGGTTGGTAGGGAAGGATGAGGATTCCATGGAGGGGCTTGGGATGTAAGGCGAGCTTTGCGGTCGTGGCAGTGGGCTGGCCGTTCGTTGCTGGAGGCTCGATAATTGCTTTGAGTTTGATTGAATGTGCTTTGGGTTGCATGAGGTCCTGATGCGGTGTGTATCAATATCGTTAGGTGGTATTGGAAAAGGTCACTAATCCATAAGGTTGTGATGTGAGTCTCTCGAGGAATAATGGCTGATGTGGCGGGATCACACGGTATCTTCTCGGCTCGCTTCGTCCCGGAGGGCTGGCTCTTGGCTTGGAATGTTGAGATATTGTAGAGTCTCCTGAATCAGTATCTCAGGTACTCCCGCACACCGACTCATTCTCCATTCCATGTGTCTGACTTGTGTCATGAAGACGTCAATCTTCAACAGTCGGTGTTGCAGATGGTACAGTACAGTTGAGTAAAGCCGGTAGAGCGCTGTTTTCTTTTGGCAGAGAAGCTTTGTTCACTGGCCCCAGAACGACCATGTTTATTTCTTGTTCGGATGGGACGGCTGACATCTTTGACAGCGGCGTGGGGTTTCAAACTCCGTGCTTCTCCATTCCTCCTGTGTTCCCCAGACTGTCATGCGATAAAGTCATGTACATGCCGCTCAGAATGTTTGATGTCTGTGTGGACTGAACGGCCCGCGGTAGATCATAATCTTGTCTCTTATCGTGAATCTATCGCTGCTCGCGTTCACTTACTCGAGTACAGAAGGATCTGACAGTCCGGCTGATTCGATTAATCGGGAGGAACGTTTGACAAGTTGTGTCTTGCCATGTCTCGGAGGTTTTCCTCAGTTGACCTGTCTTTCAGGGGTGAGATGACGGATCTCAGGGATTGCAGTGGTCTGCTCCACTTCTTTGCAAGCCCACTCAGGTACCCGTACCCTGCGGAGCCTTGCCCTGAAAACACTACACTGCAGTGTAAGCACGATGATACGGAACGAGAAGGATGCTTTCATTCGTTGCGAGAAAGCATCGAAACTTCTCTGCGCTGGCATCACGCCTCTGTCTTCCCGTTCTTTGGAACCAACACGAGAGTAAACATCGACAGACGTATCCTTCGGACTCCTGGCTTCAGATCATTCAAGGTCCAGGGCAGGATTAAAGATTTTAGTTTAAGTTCTACAAGCGAACGAGTCTCCATGATGATCATACTCTCGCCCTCGTGGCCAATGATCGCGCGATCTTGCTTGCATTCGTTGTCGCTTAAATTTCTGATGTTTCGAATCGAGCTTCCCAAAAGAGGGGTTGGCAGTTGTGACATCCACGCCCACGCCTCAGCAGCGCGACTGGCTGCGACATCCAGAAGCTGTCAGTCATCTTCGCCAGCTAGAGAAGACGGTGCCGGGCAAACCTTGTTTGCAACGTTCTGGCCGGCAACTGTGGCTGGAGGTGAGAATGCAGATGTTGTTCACCGCTCTTACGGACAACTCCCGAGGCCGTGTCGTCGATTTCTCGCCGGTTCTTGCCCTGCCCTGCCCTATCCTACCCTATCCTACCCTATCCTATGGGTACTACTGACCGGATGAGCCTGCACAGGACATTGCGAGCGAGGTCGATACCACTCTGCATTACTGGTGATGACTGTGGTTCTCGCGGCGAAATGGCAGCCTTCATTTCCTTCACGCTGTTGGGCCTTGCCCTTATCAAGATTTGCCCTTGCTCAGTGGTCCTGGTGACCTGCCAAAGGCGCACCCTCCACCAGTTCACCCCCATCAAATGCTACCCTCTTCCCTCCGGGCCCTAGCATGTTCCTGTGCAAGGCCAGGTTTTGGTGGCCGCCGGTGGGCAGCTGTCGTGGCCACCTCCCAAGCTGTACGAGTGACAGCGGACCTCTCATCATCGTAGTCGGCAGTACTGTACTGTAGCAGACACTGCGGAACAACGCTCAAGCCCCTGACCTAGCATTTAGTCTCCGAACGAAACGCCCTCGACGCCCCCTCAGCCAGTCGATCTAGCTGGTTCTTACATGCCCAAGCTCCATGTCTCCCGTCCAGGGTTTCGCTCTTGCTCGGCCACGGCCACGACACCGCTCGCGCACAGGGATCATTTACAAGAGCTACCGCATCTCGCGAGCTTAGATGTCGAGGATGTCCACCACTGGTCCACCGCTGGTCCACCAGCAACTGCAAGCACACAGACCCTAGACCTGCTTCTGAATCCTATCTTCGGATAACGTGCTCAAAGTTGAGATAGTATCCTTTCATCCTTGCCACACGCGGGATGACAGGGTATGGCCAAGTAAGTGCCGTGCGGGCATCTTTATATTAGATGTGGTGCCAGCCATCTTCCATCGTGGATGTTGTGCGCCTTCGACGTCGTTAGGTCCTCTATGTGTACTGAGTTGGTCGATTGATCACTTAGTTCCAAGCTCTCACCTACGCTCTCTACAGATATTCTTCTTCTTCTTCGAGCCATTGTGCTATTCAATTTGAAAACTTTCTTCTCCTAGTCTGCTAGTGCTCGTCTCTACACAATAATGTGTTGACCGTTGCACTGGAGGTCTATTTTCGAACATGAGAGACATTGGATCAACCTTTCTAGCATGTATCGCCTGCTTGTCACTCGTTGTTCTAGGTGATTCATCGTCTTCCTCGCACCGGTCGATATCTACAGCATCCCCATCTGTTGCAAGCAAGAGCGTAGCTGCGAATTTGTTTGGACTTGCTGTATCTACGAATACCATTACAGCCTCGATTAAACCTCCGATTTCTTCGAGTTTATCCTCGCCGCCAGAAGCATCTACCACAGTCTTAATAGACATTTCATCCTTTCTCAAATCCGCAAATTCCTCAGAACCATCCACATCACGAGCAGTAACTACCTCCGAATCTGCTCTGCAGGTATCAAACATACCTATGTCTTCCTCCTCCACCACCGCGCCTTCTGAAGACAACTCTTCTTCGCACCAAACTCTGGTCATTGTTCTGGCTGCGGTTCTTGGTGCAGTTGGTCTAATTCTAATTGGAGCCATTGTTTTTCTTATATATCGCTATCGAAGAGGAAGGTTACCCTTTGGACATCGGGGAGTTTCGCCTATCAACGACGATGAGATTGCATCATGGCGTAGGACTGGTCAAGAGCAAAAGCTCACACTACCTTCTCCCGTCTACAGACCTGCGATCCGAGAGGTGACATCCGTCCATCTCAATTCTCCTGGCTGGACTTGGACAGCATCACCCTCTTCAATTCGAACAGTTTCTGCACATATCACAGATCATCAAGTTCAGGCTCAAGCTCCAAACGCTCGGGCCGGCCTCACAGATGAGGTTGTCCCTGGCGCCGATCCGTTTATTCCACAACCGAAACGACAAAATTCCCGGCTATCAAAACTTCCCCCTGGACATGCCAGATCGAAGAGCCGGAGGAGTAGCATGAGTGCAAAGAGTCTTTGGAGTCCAGATCGAACAAGCAATGACCTAAAGTACCAGGAGCAACCTCCTTCTACCTGGTATGCTGTCGATGATGCAGCGACCAGCCCTTTCAGGACGGAACTTAGCACCAGCTCGCCAGGAACTTCAGTCTTCGGTGAAGCATTCACAGGAGGTCTATCGCCTCGACCGGAAAGACGGACGAGGCCGTGGGAGCAAGAGGTGTCGAGGGATGACATAGGGAGAGCTATTGCATAGTTGTCTCCGGGAAGCGAGATTCTGCTGGACGAGAACAACATATCATATCATATCATTCGGTTCATCAACTACATGGGTTTAATCGATACCAGTCACGACTTTTCTTTTCTATTTTGGCGCACTGCGCAGTAGGGATGGCGTTTGGAGAGGCCAGGCTTCGACCTGAGCGGGGGCATTTTGGGCGGGTATATCACTATGCATACGGCGGCGGTCCTTCACTTCAGGGTGATTTAGATTCATCTCAGTCTTCACAATATGTATCGTAGAAACAAATACATGTAACATTGTAACTTCACTGCAAAAGTCCCGCTACATTCGCGTGACATCTGCAAAACAATCATATGCATGAAGTATGAAACTCTGCCCCGATATAGAGACTTACTTGAAAGCGTACGGCCGGTCCGATCGTTCAACATAAGCAAAGCAGCTTTCTTCATTCTACTATTCATGTGACCAAATTCTGAGAGCTCCAAGCTGTCCCCGATCCGTTCAGACGATCACGTGCCAAACACGCTCGCGTCCACCCTCGTGGTTCACCGCTTTCGATTTGTGCCCCCTCGAATTCTCCCAAGTCAAGTTCACACCTACTCTCTTCTGTATATACGGCGCTGTAATCCACCAGAGACATACAATGCCTCCACGAAAAAGTGACGCCTCTAAAGTAGCGACAGCCGACGAGGCCACGCCTGCGAAAGAACAGCCAGCCTTGAGAGATGGCATAAACATTGAGGTTGGTTCCCCCGCAAGCTTGAAATCTTACTTGGAGCAATTGCTTGCACTATGTTGGAGTTTGCGGTTCAAATATTGGTTCATATAGGGGCAAACTTGGATTTCGGGCTAATACATTTATCAGGACCTGAATCTACCAAAAAGTATAGTGACAAGGCTGGCAAAAGGTGTTCTGCCACCCAATACCCAAGTCCAAGGAAATGCTATGCTAGCAACGACCAAGAGCGCGACAGTTTTCGTCAATTACCTAGCTACGCAGTTCGTGATCTCTTCCACATTTCTTCTAGGCTATATACTAATATCAGCTCTTCTAAAGCGCAAACGAACATGCCTCTGCTAGCAACAGGAAAACGATCAACCCACAGGATGTCTTCATGGCATTAGAAGACCTCGAGTTTCCCGACTTCAGGAATAGGCTGGAAGCCGAGCTTGCGAGTGCGTCTAGAATCACCCTGCGCCGGTTCTACAGTGAGAGAGACTGATGTGGTTCACAGAATTCAACGAAGTGCAAACGGATAAGAGGAACGCATATCGCAGTAAAGTCGCGAACAAAGCCGCGGGATCAGGAGAGCAGGGCGAAGACAACACACAGGAAGATAGAGACGGAAGGCCCGCTGCGAAGAAGGCTAGGTTAGAAGGTGGGGAGGAAGCGCCGAGTGCCGAGGGCGAGGAGGAGATCGATCCGGATGAGACACAGGATGCGGATCAGACGGAGGATGATGAGGATGCACAGGATGAAGAGGACGAGGAAGACGGAGATGATGAGCAGATTGAAGCGGAAGAGCAGTTGGAGGATATGGAAACGAGGGAAGTGGAGGACGAGGCGCTCGATAATGGAGAGGATAGTGATTGATTGGAAAGCAGAGGGATTGTTTTGATATGTTAGGCTATTGGTGCATTGGGTGGGGTGGAGTTTGGGAAGGTATGGAGTCATATATGTCTGGACGACTATATGAATGATACCTGGCGTTCACGAAGCATCCAGATCCTGGATCGGCACCTCGAGCTTGAAAGGTTGTCGATTATTAGGGCTCCACTGTCACGGGTGCAAGAAAATCAGCTGGGTCAAGGAGTGGAGTAGCCATGCCACAGATATCACTCCTGAGATGGGGATCATCTATCCGGCACATTGACTTATAGCTCTCGACATCTTCACCTGGAATCTGAATCCGGGCTAAGACTTCTCTCCGAATCACAATCTAAGCAACCCTCCCTCAACCTCCAGTTCTTTCTCATCTCCTTCCCCCATCCTTATAATCTTCTCTCAACGTTTTATCCACCTCCCACTCACGCTACTCTCTAACCTGAGCTGTCTCCTTCTCGACGTTCTCAATTTCTTTCACCACTCTCCTTCCAACACTCCGGTTCCTCTTTTAGCTCGGACCGTTTTCGTGGATAATGAGAAGTTTCTGTGAAGACAGTATATCCAGCTTTTGATCTTGACACAGGTCTAGTCTTACACCAGCTCAGCTGCGGATAGAAAGAGCCTCGAAAGGACATTCTACTCTGCTCGCTTTGCTAGTACTCAAGTCGGAGTTGGTACGGGAAATGAATTGTCAGCTTCTCACGTATTGAACATTTTGGACCGAGAGAGAGAGGAGAGGCAGGAGATAAGAGATAAGAGATGTTATCAGAAAGGTATCAGTGTAGGTGTTATATTCTATTGCTGGAAGTCCTTAAGCATTGACTTGCAGCTAGATCTCGGCGAGTGATTGTGGGGTTTTCCATCATGAACGATCTCAGATTGGATTGTGCTGGGAAGTAAAGAGAAGTTGGAAACTTACATACGGACCCGAAGAGGAAATCTTTCCGCTTTTTCAAGACATACTTATACGGACAAAAAGAGAGGTAAAATTACGAGGCCATCGCTGGCGTAGTCTCCTATTCTGGCCTGTAATAAGTACAGAAAAAACGGGACACTCGGAAGGGAAGAAATGCAGTTTCCAAATTTCTTATATACTCCCGTCTTATCACTGTCACACCCAGGTGCATCCTCCAATTCCAACTCTTCGTACATCGTTTTTGTGACTCAACTCGACCATGCCATCCTTATTTTGGCAAAATCACGAACCACTCATTGCTAAGCGAGAACAACAAACCAATCATCAGTCCTAATGTTTTGTCACACAACTGCATGTCTTTGACTCATCGTATTGCAGCTCTGAAGTTTCAAACGAGCTTACTTTGAAGCTCTGTGGAGGCTTGCAATCAATTGATCTGGAATCGGTTCAGTACCACTGTGGTTGAGCAGGACTTAAGCCTCGTTCGTACTGAGCGACAGTGAGTTGGTGCATGTTTTTGGCGATATGTCGAGTAAGGAAAACACTAAATGAAGGAAGGGAAAAGGTTAGACTCATGAGGCAGAACTAGATCAAAACACTAAATTGGTGTCATCCCTCAAAAATTGATTTTTGTCGTTCTTTTCACGTTTCAGTTTGGGAAGAATGAATGTTAGCATCCCCTCGGTCACATCCATACCTTCGTAGCATCTCATAGTTTTTCAGCAGTTGTTCACACCCATAAGAAATGAACATAGCCACCTGATAACACAACTCCATAGGCATCTGTACCGCTCACCAAAACAGAAATTAAGCAACACAAAGGAAAGCAAAACAACTATTTCTCCAGGCTAAGGCAATCTACCAGAACGCCAGCAAATTAGAATTCCATTATATTTACTAGAGCTCATTGTCGCAGGCTGGATGAGCTTGAAAAAGGCCTGAAAGGTCTTTTGGGCATCTATTTGCTCTCGTCCTATGTCCAGGTGGTTGGTGGAGAGTTTGTATATTTGGATAAATGTGTAGGGTGGCTTTTAAGCGAGGTTGATGGCCAAGTGGGATGGATGGCTTGTTAGTGGGTGAAAAGTGAGGTTATGGAATTGGACTGACAGTAATTCGTGCTTTCGGGACAGTATATTCTGAACTCATGTTGTTTGTTTGCTTGGAGTGGTGGATGGGGCTGTGGGTAGAGGAGGGAAATCTTTTCAGAAGGTCGCGATCTTGTTTACACGTAGCTTTCACACAACACCGCTTGACTACAATCTTTCAACTAACTTTTCTGAGCAATAAATGTCATGCCATAAGTCTATCCCAGTAGAATGAAATCTGATTGACGTAGAAACCTATCCTTCCTCCTATCCTCACCTTCCCTAAATCCTTTCACCTCCCCCTCACCCCCCTCACACCCCTTCACCACAACCTCCTCCACTTTCAACCTTTCATTACTGCATCCTCCACGATCACCTTCTCCATTCCTACCTCCTCACACCTAAGCAATCGCACTAACACTCGTCTGCTCCACCAAAAACCCTTTGGGATACCCCCCAATCTCGACCGTCCTATTCCCACCCACAAAATACGTAACCGCCTCTTTATCAGTCCACGAATGCTGAATCACCAGCGTGAACTTCCCTGGACCGGGGAGAGAGTTTGCGGTTATTGACGGGTTTCGACACGCTTGCATGGTGCCGGCTACGTTTGTGCCGGTGCAGTGGGTGCGGAAGGCTAGAGAGATTGGGGTGTTAGTTTTTGGATATTCAAGTTGGATGGGATTGGATTTTTGGGTGAAAGAAACAGGGAAAGATGAAGAGAGGGGACTGACTTGGCTCTTTGAGAGAAGATGGTGTTGATGGAGACTCGATGTCGAAGTTGTAGATGCATCCACCTGGAGAGCAGCCTTCTGTGTAGTTGGAGACGCGCCAGCTGGGTTTGCTGGTGGGGTACGGCGAGGATGCTGGCGAGGGGAGGGCGAGAGTAGTGGCGAGGAAGGAAGTGAGTGTGAGGAGTATGGTTGAAGATGAGGTCTTCATTTTGGCCAGGTGAGATGAGGTAAGTAATTCAGAGGCGTTGGAGATGTGTCGTTCGTGGACTTGAAGACTGACGTGTTTGGGATAATTGGACGATTTTGTGAGGTTGCGATAACTTAAGTTGGCGTAAAGGACTGTGGTGTGCTGTGAAGGATTATGATCCTGCGCATCCCATTTACTTATATACCTATCCAGCAATACCTTTCTCTCACCATCAGCATACTTCCTCGTGTCTGCATGCAAGTCCATTTCGTACAGTCCACAATCGCCACCGTCCTGGTCCTCGGTACCTAGCTATGATGCAATTGATGCGGACCACCACAACGCTGAATACGAAATACTGCTTAGGCGAGATCGCCGTCATACATAGGCACAGCCGGCAGTGGTAAGATGTCCCAGAATAGCAGTCTTGGCACATCATCCTTAAGCGAACCTGGGGCTGACAAAATGCAACGACGATCGTCTTTTCCGTTTTGAGGGTGTGTATGCTGAATACTAGAATGCCCTGCATACAACGTAACCTTTGGCCATGACCCCTCACGTGGAGTACACCATAAAGATGGAACTCTGCTTTTGTCTAAGCATGGCGCTAGCTTGTATTGTCATTCGTACCGCTTCCCATGTAACTCTCTTCTGCACACTTGCTTGTAGGCGAGCAGCGGAAACCACGGGGTCAGCGGCATACGATGTCGTACAGATTGGCCATCGGTCCTGCCGATTTTTGTATCCGGAAAGTTTGATGTTACACTACTTGAACGAGGTGAGCTTTTCTTCTTCTTTTGCTTCTTCTGGAAGGAAAAATTCTCCTCCTACTTTCATTCAGGGCATTTGAGGAGCGAGAAGAAAGTACGTGTTGTGGCAACTTGAGAGAATGTTACCCAGCTGCAACGAAAGCAGGTTGTATTTGAGCTGAAGGTGAGCGGAGGGAAGTATTGAACGAAAGAGGCAAATGTCCAGGCGTCAGCTACTCGAGTATCTCCATACTTTCTCACCACAACTGCTGCTCGCTCGTCCCCTTACTTTCCTGTACGCACTTTCGCCAACTGCGGGAGATACACGGCCTCAACCACCGCCGGTCCACTCGACCCAGAACCCAAGGTGGTGATGTGAAGTCAGCAAACAAGTAGGATTGTGAGGTGAAGGGCGACGCGTGAGGTTTGTACGAATCATGCTTGGGGAATCGAGAATCGAAACTGGACTATTTGTTGTATCCTGCCTAAGACGTGGAGGACTTGTTCGTGAGGAACCTGCTCACAAGAACTGGCGAGGCTTCTCCTCATACCCCATTTCCTTCGCGACAGTTCTCCAGATGAGAATACTTGAGTGGAGAGAGGTTAGCCGGAATGAATGTATCAAGGACCAGATACCTCCATGTCTGCTCCCTCACCTCTCTCAGCAGGCAGAGGATTGGAGTCCTTACTTCTGGACGGATGGATTGAGGGGCTAAAACTGCGAGTGAGGCGGGACGTTGAGCTGGTACGCTTTGGGCTTCCTGATCCGAATCTGAAAGACTAATTGAAGTTTTTGTGAAGATAGATAGAGGTTGGTGAGTAGATGGATCGTGAATTTGGGGAATGGGACGTGCTGTGAGGATATCAGATGGAGATGAGGGACGATATGAGTGAAAGATGGTACATGTTTGTGATTCGAGTGAGAGCTTCGGCAGATGAAGGTGTAGATGGCGAGGTCTTCGGAGAGAACTCTAAATGGCTTGGTCATGGTGAGTGACCAAGGTGAAAGAGTGAAAAGGATAAGGCTTGAGACTAAGTGACCTTTTAATTCTTAATTAGAACAGCCAAGGAATATCAACGCCATAGCTTGAGAACTGGGACAACCAGATTCTGCCGACAACAACTTCGCCCATGGATTCCGGTTCACATACAACAGGTCACTTGATATCTCTGCTTCCCATGTTTTCCTCGTCTTTCACGAATTGCATAGTTGAACTGATACATGCAAACATTTACGCCGCTGAATTGTATTCACACTCCTGTTTACAGCCTCACTAGGAGTCAGGAGACTATACAAATTGGGGAGCGCCTCATAGAAATTGAAGTCGGAGCGCAAAAGAAGCAGACTGCTAATGGCAGAGGAAGAAGAAGAGGATTACGAAACATGCCTGGGATAAGATTGGCAAATTGTGCGAGGCTGAAATAATGTCGAGAGAGAAGTAGCTTCCCACGATGCGAGATGACAGGATGAAATTTATTCCTGCTTCCCTTTCCATAGTCTTGAGGTGCGCAGGGCCTCAAATTCGCCCTCGACTATCCTCCTATCTTCTTCCGCATTTAGAGATATAATGAAGGCGTGCTTCTGCCACTTCTTCTCTGCGAAGACCAGCGATATCGTCGTGAAGATAGGTCCATGCTGAACAATATTTTTTTAAGGATCTGATCTGGATCTGCTAATGGCGTGGTATGCGACTTCGTCAACCAACCTACCTCGTCTTCTTGTAAATCAGCGAGGCCTACCACTTGGTGAGACATCTTCGCAAGATGATTTAGTGTCCTCTACAGCAGGCCATGAAGGCAGGAGAGTGAAGGCACACGCAAGGAATCAGTAACTATAGATCAAGACGAACTCAATGTTCCTTTCCTTTTCGTTTTCCCTTTCCATTTTCCTTTTTCATTTTCCTTTTCCTTGGGGCGAAGAGAGCGAGAGCATAGGTTGAAGTGTGAAGTGAGTGAGGTGAGTCAATGACGCGGAGATACATCCGACTGAAACATACTACGTGGCTTGAGAATCATTCTGCATTCCTGCAACGGAGACATCTCCGTTATCTGCAAGACCGCGAATCCATTCGACTGGAATGTAAACGAGACCGGAAACAGGGAGGGAGTTGAGTTTGGCACTATTCTCTTTCTTCCAATAAATCAGAATCAAGCGAGGGGCGGCAAGCCTAACTCCCTCGCAACACAGAAAGTTCCGACTGGTAAAATAAACGAAACTTGAACACAATATTGGCCTTGGGTTGGGTTGGCTGTGTATATCCGATCCGGAGTATTGTTTTGTATATTTTCCGGAGCGAGGCATACGTAAGCTGTTAAACTGTAGGGGGAATAATGTTTTGTTTTATTTTCCGGAGCGAGGCATAAGGCGGGTAGGGAGGGAATAATTGACTAGGTAGTGTAGTTTCGCAAATGCTGCCGAGGAGGGAAACATTGAAAGAATGAAACAAAACGATAGGGGGGGAAAAAAAGGAAAAATAGGGAAAGTAAAAGGAAGGGAATTGGATATTGAGAGAAGTGGTGTTTATGAACCAATCACTTGATACAGCCTCTCCGTGGTCTCAGCGCCCCAGCAGAAGGTATTCATCCATGTGGCTAGAGCATGAATTTAAGGTATGGTTTGGAAAGGGTTCCCTAGGAAGTTGTTTCTTCGCTTAAGCTTAAGCTCGACTGAAGAATTTTGTCCCGTCGAACCAAACTGTCTGTCTGTGTGCTGTGCGAGGAGCTTAACAACCACGAATGAACGGTGGGCTTGGGTGAAACGGTATGATGGCACGCGCGGCGCGCATGAGGGGAGCGAAACTTTAATGATGTATTTTATTGTATGAAAGGAGATATAAGACGCTTTGTTTTTCCTGGTGAGGATGAGGATGAGAATGAAAGGGACTTTCAACCTATGGGGTATTCGAGGATTCGGGTACGGTTGGTGGTGTTCATGACTCGGTGGTTGCTCTTGTGGCTGGATATGGCGTGTGGTGATGAGATGAGCCGCTATGCTACACTTTCGGCTCTGGAGATCTCCAGGACCCGGGAGAGGGACGGTAATCTTATTTGGGTTTTCCTAGAATAATCAGCCTGTGTGACTGAATCCACATGATCTGTGAGTTAAGGGGTGATTTAGTCTGTATGCTTGGTATTTTTAGAAGGGAGTTCTGTTGTTCTATATTTCGAAATAGAAATCTAATACACGGATGCATTTGTTGGGGCCGCCTTCGTTATTGAAGGTGAACAGAGCATCAGCTGCATATATTATGGGTGGTATTGTGATTGTGATATCGATATCGAGTTTCCAAATCTGTTTTGTGTGGCGGAGGGGGGTTTCTTGGAAGGTAAGGTAGGTAGTATTCATGATGCAAGCGAGGGGGCGAGGGAGGGGCAAGCAATGGAACGGGGTACGGAATACAGAACACAAAAAGGGAAGGTTTGCATGTTGCATGTCGCAGGTTGCAGGAAAACGGTCAACTTTACTCAACGGTAAGCTGCAGCTTGGTGTTTCTGAATTTTCTGATATCATCAGTCTGATATGATAGAAACCGCGCATGGCATCCTCTTATCGCGAGATAAGAAGAAAGCAGACGGGATGATGCAGATGTAGAACAGAAAATGTAAGACAGGACAGGACTCAGGGGGTGACGACTGACGAAGCGAAGCGAACCCGAGCCGATGAGAAACCTTAATAGTATGCATTAAGACGTGAAATGCGGTCATCACAAATTTTGTGATTGATGGGACGATTGGCATGAATGATTCGCAAAGGTACAAGGATGCAGATGGGTACAATCTATCATCAGCTTTGAAGGTGTTGATGCGGTGGAGGTGGATGTGTTGTTCACGAGTTATGTTTGGATACAATATTTCTGTACAGCCAGGATCTCACTGTGTTGCCCGAAATTGCCGGTTGTGTTCAGTGACAGAAGTGGCATCCTCGTGGCTGGATAATTGGGCGGCTGGCTTGGATTGGGGAGGTCTCATTGGTCTGTCTTATCGATCTGGCTGAATCGTGTACAGTAGTAGTACCTCGAAATTGAGGTGAGGTTGGATCTTGGAATCCACATCCCATCCATGTTCCATTTTTGTTCCCTGCCCGCCGAAGCCCAGAACAAATACAGTACCTACAATCACTTGGAAGTTCAAGTCGACGGCCATAAGCGTATGCAATTGGATCATCGCTTTAGAGGCTGTTAATTAATACAACTCTAAATCGGCGATTTTCATAAACTTCCTGAGATTGTCATTGGTCTTTCCGAACAGAGGGCGATCTCCTGTACCGGCGGTTGATTGGCTTTTGGTGGCGCGTCCCTTCTTTCTTCAGCCCCTGCACGGCGCGTCTGTCTCCCCTCCAAAGTTAGTCCTAACCCTCCCAAGTTCCAACCCCTGGGTCTTTTTCCTGTTCTGTTCCTGCGTGGATGCCCCTGACACTAATCCTTTCCAAGCGCTGGGGCCGTCCTGGCTCCCTTCCTCCCCGGCACACCCATCGTCCTCGACTCGACGAATCCCGCCCTGGCTCGCGGGCTCTGTCTCTCCCTCTGTCTCTGTCTCCGTCTCCGTCTCCATCTCCATCTCCATCCCCAAACCCTTTGGAGGCTTCTCCCTCTCTTCCTCTTCGAATCCTCGATCCCTGGTCGCACCTCCACCTCTCACAACCCAGTCTTCACACCTCCTCGCTCTTGCTCTTATCCCTACCGTCGCCCCTCTCTTTCTGCACGCCATCCCCCTTCCGTCTGGCCTCCTGCTCACCACCCGATCTGTGCTGGGCAGTGGGCCCAAGAAGAGAGAGCCACTTCCTCGACCTTTCCTCTTACGGCGCCAGCCTCTCCTCAGCACCCGCGCCAACCAAGCCAGGGGCGTATCTTTCGAATTGCAATCTCGACCTTCCACCCAAGGACGAGCCCAAGTTCACCACAAGTCCCGTATCCAACGTCGCATCTGCTCCAAATGGAATAATTGCACTTGGAATTGCACATCTTGCCCTTATCCAATGTCGTCCGGTCCAGCACAATCTGACAAGACTGCACAATATATTCAACATGGCGTCCGCTCGCCCTCAGACCACCACCCTTACCCACCACGACCGTACCGCTGTTCTCCCTGATACATCTCACGATTCATCTGACCTTCCGAGCGTCAGCCCTCCTCCACACGACCAAGACTCTCAAAGAACGACTGTCACTCGCCCAGGGAACCTATCAGTCTCGGTCCGGTCCCGTACAGAAACCCTTTCATCCATCACCTCGACTAGCTCGACATCGTCGTCGCCGGTTCGCAGAAAACCACTACCATCAACAGCGTCCCCCTTGGCGACGAGGCTCTCTTCCGGAGAACACCTTGCTGCGACGTTGCAACCACCAGACCAAACATACATTAGACCTTTCTCTGTAGACAGTCCAACCCTCCACGACTTTCCTCCAACCTCTAAAGTGCCGTGTGCACCAGCAGAACATACGGCACAAAGTTTCTCGAGGTACATAGCCTATTCGCTCTCGTGAAACGACCTTGTTTCAACGTCCCCAAGATTTCGTTCTGACAGAGCTCGCAGATTTCCAAACGAACCGGTGGCTTTGACGTCTGGTGCAGCTTCTGACACGTCGTTGCCCAATCATCTCGCAAACTTGGAACAGCATCTACCCAGTCCTAAGAGTCCGAACCTCGCCGTCCCATCGCAGAGCTTCCCGCAATCGTCATCATCGGACTCAGAGTCGTCCAGGCATGCGAGGTTGACCAGTAGCGAATCTACACTTACGTCCGTGTCAGAATCGAATAGCCCATGGTACAGCGACTCTAGCTCGGTCTCTTATTCGCGATCTACTATGTCGCTTTTCTCCACGAAACCTGAACCACCACATACAATAAACGTTAATACCCGCAGCTTTTCGAACGATTCCACCACAACCATACAGAAGCCACAACCAAAATCACCAGGAGGATCAAAGCTTGGATCCTTGTTCGGTTGGGGCAATACCTCTCCAGCATCTTCAACAACCTTTTCTTCAGAAAAAGATTATTCTCCAATCCCGTCGCCGCGTCCGTTTGAAAACAACCTTACTCCCACTGATGTCTCCAAACCACCCGCCAGGAATATACCCAGAGCTATTGATGTGCCAAAGGCCAACGCCGATACGGGTGGTTATTTTGGCAGCTCATATCTTCAACTGCCATTGGCAACGCCAACCACACCAGTACAAGTCGAAGAGATGGAGAAGGAGCTGAAAGAGATCAGCTCCGAGCTGGCTTCTTCCATAAGGAGGGAGATGGACCTAGAAGATCTTGTCGAACGGTTACAATCAGAAGCGCTAAACCTATCCTCCAGTCCTGGGAAGCGGACCAGCGATTACTTTTCCGATTCCGGTACAAGTTCAGTCAGATATGGAGACCAAGACTCTAAGCAAGATGAGATGGACCGGCTACTCCGGAAAGCCGAACAAGAGAAAGCTCAAATGAAATTGGAATTAACAAACAAAGTTCAAGATGAGAGAACTAGAAGGAAACACCTTGAATCACAGATTCGCAATCTCGAAGAGAAGGCCTCCCAGGTTTGTTAGATCCATGCCCAGAATTGACCTTCATTAACAGATTATAGGTCGACCTCGCTTCAATGAACTCCATGGATGCTAATGGCCGACTTAGAGACCTCGAAGCTACCTGCGAAGACCTTCGAAGACGATTGGCTGAGGAAAGGCAAGTCAAGGATAATTTCGAGGATCTCCTCACAGCACTGAAGGGAGAACTACAAAGCTCCCATAATGAAAGGGATAATTTACGGGATGAGATCGTCCCAGGATTGAGAGCTCGGGTGGAAGGACTTGAAGCCCAAGCCGCCCAGCATGAAAAGCTCACCTACGAGCAAACGAAGACGCAGCAAGAGCTGCAAACTTTGAAGAACGAAAACCTTACCTTAATTAATGCCCAGAGATTGCAGATGGAGATGCAGCAACAGATGAAAAAATTCAACACCATAGCCGAGGAAGTCTCTCCTGTCCCGGCTTCCAGATCCTCAGGCTTGTTCCGTTCGAATTCAGTAGCTCAAGGGAATGGTATCACCAGGTCAAGACCGCCTTCTTTGACAAGATCGGCATCAGTTAAGACCGCCGAATCAAGGGATGCACTAGCAGAGCGAGTTAAGGATATTGAGATGCAAAGGGACGCTCTACATTCAGCACTCAAGAGTCTCCTTGAACGCCAGGAACACCAGAACCGCGAGAACCAGAAAAAGATTCGCCAACTGGAAATGGAACGTGATCGAGCATTATCAAGCTCCCCAAGGCGGGTTGGATATGACAAAGAAGTAGCCACCCTTCGAGTGGAGATCAACGTCCTTCGACGCCGTGCAGAGGAGGCAATTGAGCAGAAGTGGCAATGCGAAAAGGGACTCAGCGGACTTAAGATGGACTTGGACCGTGCTGAGCAGGAGATTGGTTCTCTACGATCCTTACTACATGAAAAGGACATCCTCATCCCAACCGGACCACGTGAACGGAGCGCTTCCGGCACTGTCTCATCAGAGTCACTCGAAAGAGCATACAGAGAATTACAGCAAGCATATGCCGAATCTCTGGATCGCGTTAAGAACCTGGAGACTTCAACTGCCAGAGATCAGGAGACAGAACAGGCTATGAAAGAGCTCGAGCAGAGCCTTGCAGATGCGCTCTCGGAACGTGACTTTGCCCAAAAGGAAGTCCAGGCACTTCGAGAGCAGTCGGATTCCCTACGTGAGGGAGAGAGGCTTCACATGGGTAACGAAGTTGCCCTTGCAGAAGAACTCCGTGGTTCGGCCAAGCGCGTGGAGGAACTCGCCGTCCAAGTTCGCCAGCAGCTAGCGACAAACTCAACGCTCCGAAAGCGCCTTTCGGAAACTATCGAGCGTGGAGAGAAGGATCAAAAGGCCAATGCCGAGAAGATCATGCTCATGCAGAGCAAGCTTAAGTCTCTTGAGGACAAGCTGGTGGCTGCTCAGCAAAATTCTGAGGATAAGGTATCCCGCCACGAGGATCAGATTCGTGATTTGAAGGAGAGTCACAACATCCAGCTCCAACGAATGAAGGAGGGTCTTCGCTCACCACGTCTATTCGGACCAAAATCTCCTATGTCGCCTATGTTCGCCAACTCATCGAAAGCCCCAAGAATCATGTCTACGTCATCAGGCAGAGCCATGACTGTATCTGAGGATTCAAAGATGGAGTTCCTGAAGCAACGAGTTGTTGAGCTCGAAGCCGCGCTTGCGGAAGCCGACAGCGAGATGGAAGAAGTCGTCGGACGCATGAACATTGCTCAGATTGAAGTAATGGAGTTGCAGAATGAGAGGGAAGAGGCCGTTCGTGAGACGAAGCGTCTACAACGCCAGATCGAGGCTGAGAAGAAGAGGGCTTTCGAAGATCGATTCGCTACTCTTTCTTCATGAACGACCAAGCATGACGATAGATGAGAGAGGTTGCATTTGAAATTGTTGTTTGCACTTTAGCGGATCCTCTGATGTCTGATACAGACAGATACATCCCACGCATTACGATATTGGGTAATGGCCCTTAATATCATTAGGTGGGAAAAATACTTGCATTCACTCTCTGGTTAGCACGCCGAGAGACGGAGTTTTTCACTTTTTGCATTTACATGGTTGGGAGGCTCGGGTTTCTTGTTTCTTGTTTCTTGATTCTTGAGCGAAGCGAATGTGTCCCGTTCTTACATATTATACCTTTTTGTTTATTCTGTATTGTATTATACTATTGTAGTACATGGATCGGCTTGGAGTGATTGGGAGTTGGAGATTGAAGATTGAGTAGAGGAGGAAGGATGAATGGATAGATGATCGATAGAGACGATGGGTTGGATACGGACTACTGTGGTGTGGGATATGTTGAATTGGTGGGCTGTGGTGTACAGTACATAGGATGAGAGGAGTGATGGACAAGAGAGATGTATGAGTGTCTGAATCGTGAGATGAGAAGACAGCGTATGATAGAGAGATGGGCGGGATAGAAAGGATACCCAGAATGAAAGAATTCAGACCCAAATTCATTTCAAAATATTCGTTTTATACCAAGTGTGAAGTCAATTCCTGGAGACCCTTTCTTTGATCCCCGGCCTACCAGATATACCAAGCATGATGAAAGTGAATCGTGTCATTCAGAAGTATACACATCACTACAATCAAATTACTTTTCATCACATCACATCAAATCTACATGACATGGCATCGAATTTTTTCCAAGTTTCGATGGCATATCCGGTACTTTGCTTCAACCTCCTCGTAACTAGCCAGCTAGATAGATAGGGCTGAGGTGGATACAAGCAAAGAATACGAAGTCAAGAGAAAGAAGGTTGGTTGGTTGGTTTATTGGTTGGTTGACTGACTGGGTTAAGCGAAACTTCGTATTTGGGTGGGGGTTGTGGGTTTTGCTTGGTTTTGTTTTGGTTTTGGTTTTGGTTTCTTTTTATAAGGGTGGGAGGAGAGGACTAGGAGGAGGAACAACGGAGGAAGGATATTGATTAGATGCTTGAGTGAGGTGGAAGGAGGATGGGGATGGGGATGGGGATGGGGATGGAGATGGGGATGGGGATGGGGATGGGGATGAGGATGAGGATGAGTGAATGGGTCGGGTACTGGATAGATATGGATATGGATGGATTTGGAGGAATTAGTGGAGGGTAGGAAAGATAGGTTGGAGGGAAAAGGAAAGGGAAAGCAAAGGAAAAGGGACAGGAAAGGGACATGAGGGAAGAGGTAGCTAGCTAGCTAGCTGGGTGGGTGGGTGAGGTAAGTGCATTGAAAGGGGTGCTAAATCATATCGGCACACCACCAGAAGGAGAAGATAGTTTTTATGATTTTCATTTCTATCCTCTTACCTTAGTCCCATTCCATTACAACACAACCTATCTCCTCCCTCCTACCCTCCTACCCTCCTATCCTCCATTCATCCACACCCACGCTCAAGCTCACACTAACTCGTTCCCCTACACCTCAAAAAGCGAGAGACTTTTGGTATCAAACCGCCTGCGCCTCCACTTCTTCCCTTCCCTTCCCTCCCTTCCCTTCTCCACCGACCATTTTAAATAGCTTTGAAAATCGGTCTCGGTCTATATACATTAAAACAGCAAAACATCAAGAAATAAAAGAAAACTAAAAAGGCGTACGTGGTATTTAGATTCGACAAATAGATGGAAATGAATGCAAGGACATTTGCAGCTGGTAAGCAAACAAGCAATTGGTCTAATATCGTACGTAAGTACTCCATCCATACTATTTAAATAAAAAACAGAATTGCGCCCTTTAGCTAGCCAGCAAAGCCAAACAGCTAGATTTCAAATCCTGATTTCGTAGCCTGAACTACTCCGAGATCGGACGATGTAGATATGTGAGATCGAGGAGGCTCAAATGCTGGAAATCGAAAATCGGAAACTGGTGTGTGTTTAGACGTGGGTGATGCTATCGCGGTTATTATCCGACGACGAATGGCCAAGCGCCTTCTCATGGTCATGCGAATGGCCAGCGGAGTACTTGCTCGCCGCATCATCCACATCATTCAGCACCTCCCTCGTCAACTCAACATAATCGTACGCAAACTCTCCAATCTCCGCATCGTCGATACCGAGGATCTCGGCCTCCTCTGACGCGCGCAGGGACAAGCCCGGGATCAGGTTCATCACGAAGAGGATGATGCAGGTCCCGAAGAAGGAGTAGGCTGCGCCGGACACGGAGTCCGCGATCTGGTAGCCGAGCTGCACCCAGTTCTTGTTGAGCCAGCCGCCGTCGATGGAGGAGAAGCCGTCGAGGTGCGCTATGTAGTCGGCGGCGAAGAAGGCGGTTAGGATGTTGCCGATGAAGCCGCCGACGGCGTGCTCGGCGAAGATGTCGAGGGCGTCGTCGATGCCGAGGACGAACTTGAGCTTGGTGGCGTACTGAAGAGAGGTTTAGTTTTGTGTTCTTTTCTTCAAAAGGAATAGAGGTGAGGAGTTGAGTCTGGGAGAGTACTTACGTTAGCACCTGCAGCACCAACAACACCGTAGACAACGGCAGCCCAAGCAGGAACGTAACCAGAACCAGGAGTAATGGCAACGAGACCAGCAATAACACCAGAGCAGAATCCAACAGTGGACCACTTGCGCTCAAGACGGTAATCCAGAACACACCATGTGATACCACCGACACAAGCAGCCAAGTTGGTAACCACTGCAGCCATGACAGCACGGAGGTTGGCGGCGAGAGCGGAACCAGCATTGAATCCGAACCAGCCAACCCACAGGAAGACGGTGCCGATGACAATGTGTGTTACGTTGTGAGGGCGGTAGTTCAGCTCGTGAGTACCGTGGCCACGACGCTTGCCCAGCATAATGGAGTATGCGAGGGCGGCGCATCCGGAAGAGATATGCACGGGGGTTCCTCCGGCGAAATCGAGACCGCCCATCTTCAATGACCAGCCTGATGCGTTCCATGTCCAGCAGGCGATTGGGTCGTAAATTATGGTAGTCCAGACGAACATGAAGACCTGGAATTTTCGTTAGATTTCCGCAGTAGTTATACATTTGGTGCCAAAATGGGGAGACGTACAATAGTAGGAAGCATGCGACCTCTTTCGGCCACAGCACCAACAGCAAGAGCAACAGTAATAGCAGCAAACATCCCCTGGTACACAGCGAACAACAGATCTGGGATCTTGGGCGAACCAACAGAGGGAGCACCGAGCACATTGCGGAAGCCAATGTTCTCCAAATTACCGATGTACTTGCCAGCGGTGTGGGAGAAGGCGAGCGAGTAACCCCAGAAGAACCATTGGAAGGAGACCACGGCCGTGGCCATTACCGAGAGCCATATCAGGGACAGAGCGGACTTTCTGCGCGCGAGTCCGGAGTAGAAGAATCTACAATCGACACAAGAAGGATCAGCTTCTGTTGCACCAAGGCCACGTTTTTCTTTCTCTTTCTACTCGGAGCTCTCGTATCTGTACCTACCCGACACCTGGAATCATGAGAAGGACGAGTGCGGTGGATGTAATTATCCAGGCAATATCACCAGACTAGAGTGGAAATACAAATGTCAGCTTTCAGTCCCGTGCTTTCCGGATTTCCCAGGCTCAAAATCGCGTGCATTGGAGATATATATCCCTGCGAGCTTCTGTTTTTTTTTCCTTTGGAAAAGCTCAGCTCACCTCATAGTAAATGTTGAGATCCTCAGTCAGGGAGTCACCTCCCGTCATGAGGGTGCTGTTGTATTCGGCCACCGCCATGTTGACGACTTTTGCGTAGAAGCTACTTGTTTGTTTCGGGTGAGATCGGCAGATATTAAGTTCCTGGAGTTTGTAGCTGAGCGAAAACGCAATTCATTAAAGAACTACGGTTTTTTTTTTCTTGGTGCAAGGAGCGTGTGATGAAGATAATGCGCGATTCGAGGTCGGCGCTCTCACTCTGTTGCAGAAGAAGTTGAAGGGAAGCAAGAGGTGTAGGTAGGAGGTGAAGGGGGAGGAGGAAGAGCAAGGTCAGGGTACGGTGGGGGTACGGATTGTATTTGAGTCGGGAGCTACTACTGTAGTAGCCCAGGCCGGCCGCGTCGCGAGAGTTGAGCGAGCCGGGAGCCCTGGAGAGTGGTGGGACCAGGCAGGGGAGTGGGAGTGAGAAGTGGATACAGTGGGAACTTTCGTGCTCGTGGGAATCAGGGGACGGGGGGACGGGGGGACGGGGGACGAGGGTCCTAATCAGGCGTTTCGTGTGAGCTCCGGACTTAGTGCTGCAGGAGGATGGTGGAGGATCTGACTGGACGACAAGGTGGAAAAAGCAATTCCAGGAGAGAGATCACTTTTGTTTGTATGAATCGGCAGTGAGGCGAGAGTGTCAAGAAGAAGAAGAAGAAGGAGAGAGAGGGTGGGTAATGTTTGGGGGGACCGCTCTGTTATCATGTACCTTTCGTACCTATGAATGTTCAGATTCCTCCTCTCTCGGCTGTTGCGGTCGTCTCACTCAACCCAAGGCCATGGCAGAACTAACCAATGAGGACTAGTTGGTTGTCTAGATCAAGGAACATTTCTAACTCCAATAAAGTATTATAGTAAGCATGATGTGATTTTGACTCTGTGAGGCCAGCCAAACATATCCCCTACCTCCCTTTTCATACTTCCTCCTACCCAGCCAGCCCTATGCTCCAATTCCACCCATCATCTGCGCCGCCCTGGTCGCAGTTTATCGCGCATCGCATCGCATCGCATCGCATACAGCCAAATCTTCCTTCCAAAATTCCAATCTCTCCAAGGCTGTCTGGCTGTCTGTCCTGTGCTGTCCTGTCCTACCCTTATCTGCATCCCATCCCATACTTCGTACTTCCCCATCCCTGCATGGCACTAGGGTCCTTTGGCTGCGGGAAGGGCCCACTGAGCCAGCTATTAGTGGGACGTCCATTCTCCACCATAGATAAGGACTCGGGGACGACCAATGATAGGGACCTCTGCCCGCGTTCAACCCACGCCTAGGCTTGGTCAATTGTTTGGAGTCGGGGCGAATGAGGATCCTGGTCTTGATACTGTCCTGGGCAGTATCTGGGCCAGATAACTTTACGAATTGCATCGGCCTCCTTTACCTTTTTGAAATGCGAGTAATCGCGATCGCGATCGCCATCCTGGCAGCCATGCCGGTACAGTATTGAAGGGAAAATAAGGGAGGGACAGTACAGCCTAGGCGACAGGGCAGAGACTCAAACAGAATATCTTGAAAGTGCATGATGTGATGCGATCCAAGACTCTGGGGAAGGCAGATCATCGTCCAATGAATATACTTCCCTTCTTGTTTGTTTCCTTTCAACGGCAGACTATCAGTGAGTGCACTTTGGACATCCAACACACCGAGCGAGGGTCAATAAGAGATTACAGAGCCTGGAGAAGCCTGTTCTGCCCGTCTAATTAGGTTTGATATCGGCAGTTCTTCCCAAGCACCCGAAAACACCGTTTTAGCCATACGGAAGAAATGGCATCGAGAGGCGTGGAGAAGCTTTGAAGAGGAAGCAGCTTCTGGAGAAACGGTCCGCACTTTACCCTTATCTGTTCTCCAGTCTCCAGAAAATCCAAAGTGCACATACGACCACTTTTGAGTTCATCGTCTGCATCTACAGATACTCCTCCGTACGTGCGTTTGAAGCCTGTATGAACTCCGTTTTATTTCTGCAGGAAATGGAAACAGTTCCGGAATATCCACTGTACTGCACGCACTACTGAACTTTGATACTTGACTACTGTCTCTTTTAGTGGCTTCGTAACCACATCATCGGGTTTCTTCTAGGGTGTTAGGTCTATCACTTGCCTGTTTTGCTCCATGCGTGCGTGCTTGCGTGCTTCCCTTCTAGAACAGTGGTCAGTGACCACTGGTCACCGATCTCAAAGCCAGAGTTTACCCAGACCAGGTTTGATGATGGAGTGTACCCGCAGTCACATGTGTCTGTTTACTTGATCTCATCTCACTTCAAGCTTAAATCTGAAGATACTCGGAGATTGGTGCTGCAAGTCATCTATTCCATACACTTTATCTTCTGATTCGCATGCTCTTATCTCACCTCAGGAGAACAATCAAGATTCTTAACCTTGAGTTTCGATTCTAAGAATCCATCTAATCATCCACTGTATCTGTCTCGCATCAACGGATCCATCGGATTTGATATCAAACCCCCAAAGTGCAGAGTCACAGACATCTCAGATCTAATCCAATCAAACCCAACAAATTCTTTATCTTGGCTCTACCTCTGGCTTCACAGACGGGCTGTCTCCTGCACGGCTACCACCTCCCTACCACACCCTTAAATAAACACCAACGGCAGAAGAAGAGTAGTAGTGCCACACCAACGGCTGGGCTGCCTACCTGCCTGCCCCCGCATGACATGGACATGAGCATGACGACTTTTCTGATGTATACCTATGCATCCAAACCGCTGTCTGCATGAAATCAAATTATTAGACCAGAATTAACGAATCAAACAAGCTTGATTAGAGTCGATAGTCTGGTTCGGTCTTTTCATCGGAAGCAACCGGCTATCTGGAAGAGTAGGGAAGGCTTAGGACTGCTCTGTTCGGGTTCATTCTGCACTTTTGAAAGAGTGAGTGAAGCCTTGCATCGAAAGTATGGTTCCGTTTCCTCTTCACCGAGAAACCACAGGTTCCCATCCACCACTCGATACAGAATTGTAGGATACGTTTTCCATCTCTCAAGGTATTTAGCTGCCGGTCCAATCGCAACTCCAGATGTCACATCCAACAAGAAATATATCATCAAAAAGAAATAAGTCAGAGTTCTTTCCCTCCAAGGCCTCCACCAGTCAAGTTCTCTAAATCGCTTATCAGAACCCCAATCTCTCCAAGAGACTTCCAAGCCAACGAGCCAACCAAACACTTCACTCACTCTCTTGTCCTCTAAACCAAAACCAAAACCAAAACCAAAACCAACAACAACAAAGACATCCATTCTTTTTCAAGCCCCAAAGCGAAAATACAAATCAAGCTTTCACCACACCCTCTTCCCTTAAACCCAACCCAACGACCGGGCGTCTGCTAGTCAAGGCTACTTGACCTGGCATGTGTGGCGCTTATCTAACAGGGGGTTTGACAGCGCCACAATACCCTAGCGTTTCTCGTCAAAGATAAGGGATTCCTCCACATCCACTCAGAAGATGGGATGGTTCGACGACTCGGATTCGATCGATCGCGGTGTTGTTCGGGATGATATGTGAGTCGGAATTTTGTTGACTGATGTGGTGATGATTTATGTCAACGATTCACTTATCTTTTTCTTTCAAATAGATACGGATGTTTATGGATATTCTCGGCGCATCGTGTGTTTTCGGGCCGGGATCGGATGATGCGGATGTGCTTCCATCCCATCTCTGTTCCCAACGTTGGCATGTCACTTATAATCGCAAAAGTAGAAGGCCAAACGAAGTCGGCAACCATACTCGAGGTAACGATCGAGTATCCTGGGTGCACATCATAGCACGATCGGCTAAGGTATGCTTAGCAGGAAAGTTACCAAACCAAAGTACCAGATCCTGTGTGAGGTGCATATATGCCAGGGTTGTACATACTACACACTAGCTCCGGTTGTACTTCAGCTGGAATGCTTTGTGTCACATTACAACACCACCTACACAGAGCACAGCCCAGGCTTGTACTACCTCAAGCTTTGCTTTCGGATCCTTCATGTGTTCGATGTCTCGGGCTAAGTCTCGGACTCACTGAACCAGGTGTTGCGCTGAACTCGAGCACTCACCCAAGGCATATTTCAACGTCAGTCACAGGATCAGTACCAGAGCCCTTTACAACCAGCATGACACGAAGCCAGCGCGGCTACAACCGCTGATCTACAGCATATCTTTCTCTACTCATTCCCCCATACCAAGAAACAGATCCTACCCAGACCAGCCTCGACCCCAACCTCGCAACCCCTTCCAACGAAGGCACCCTTCTCGGGCGTAAGGCACTCCCTGTGGTTTCCTGCATATCTGCACTTCCACCCTCTCCCTCTCCCTTACCTCCCATCTTCCCATGTCCCCACGATAAGGCGGCATGTGCTCGAGCTGAGCTGAGCGGAGCTGACCTCCACGTTCCCGAGCCAAGATATACCCCACGAATGCAATACCACCCACCCAATAATCCAACCCAACCCAAAACCAACTCAGCTCAGCCGCCTTCGAATTCAAACCCTGCAGTAAAGCAATGCGGGTGCGGCAGCTTGCAGGAAGATAGGCTCCCCAGCGTAAGAGACTGGAGACTAAGCCAGCTAGCTAGCCTTCCTAGCCTTTCTAGTTAGACACCTGGTTTTGGGGATGGGGATGGGGATGGGTACGGCAAGTTGCTGATACCCGTTGTGCGTGTACAGTTTCATTTGGTTTCCAGTATATTAGCTTCTTGCCTACGAGCCAGTGGGTATCTCATGGTTGTATGATTCTGAGGCTCGAAGGAAAGTGCAGCTCTAGACCCCTACCTTATTTTGAGACTGGAAAGTTTCGACATTGGTTGATGGGACAGAACGAAAGAAGATTTCTCAGAAATGGGAGGTAGGATACCATATCTCAAGCTCTCCTCTCTCCACAAGATATCCTCTCCTCTCCTCTCCGTATCTGTATCCTGCTCCACGAACGCTATCAGGATTAAACTATACATCCCTCTTTGCTCAATCCACATTATCACAAATACACGCCTTGTGGCCTTCCATCACGGCACTTCCCATCTACTTTCTCATCATCTTCCCGTCTCCCTTCCCACGCGTTTAGTTTCATCGATATCATTTCATGTACGTGTGTTCGGCACATTCATTCCGTTTCACTTGTTCGGGTCACTTGCGGTGCAATGGTAGGCTTGAAAAGGGGGCTTGGACTTGAATTTGAGATGTGCGACTGACTGCTTGCTTGGTAGGAACATGTATAAGTTCAAATTTTTCGGGGAGCATAGCAGGACAGCGAAGCTGGACCTGACTAAACCTCTTAAAGGAAAGGAACTCAAGTTACTAGCTGCATGTTTTCCACTCGATGAGAGACAATCTCCTGCTTTTACTACCACTCTGTTACTCTTCCATTTGCCTGTATCAGACTGGTCAGACTCGTCCTGTCAAACACGATATGGAGCTCGACGCCCTGGTTGCAGTACCAGAGTTGAGAAGCCGGTGGTGAATAAGGTACAGCGAACGTGCTTCATATTCCGTAGTTACAGTCTGAGCTCTGGTTGCGAATTTTCTGCTAGATATGATGGGATGCATAATCTCCGACTCTCCTTCTCCTTCCTAGAGCCTTTCACCAACGAGATCACACGAGATGAATGGTTTGCGCCTCCCGATCTTTGAACAACCTGTTCTCCCAAGGTAGCTCCGACGAAAACTCTCCACCTTGACCGAGGTAGAAAATCCCTGCACGATAATACTCGTTATCGTTGCCACCGGTCGGTAAGAGGATGAGGCCGGCAGCACAATTGTTACTAACAGAATCTTCAGACGGGGACCGAGGAGTGTCGCTCTCCTCTTTCCACGACCACCAGCTTGCCACCAATAACATAAACAAGTCAGAGCTAGAAGGTTTCAGTAACCTGCAGGTCCCTAACGCGAACTCGAGGATCCAATCTAGGTCCATAACCCCAAGGACATCTGAGCCGTCTACTATTCTCCTTCCCCCGTCGATGGATCTTTGAATTGCACCTGATACTGCAGAAATGGGTGCAAGTCTCCCGGATATGGATAGAATGGCGTTGCTGACCTCTCCAAAGGGATTATGACCTAGGACAATGGTTATTACATTGAGTACCTCGAGTTCCTCCACCAGTTTCGCTTCAAAAGCTGGCAGATCAAATTGACCTACACAACGGAAAGCTACGAATTCCGTTCGACTTGCCCAGCTCCATGATGGAGCGATATACGGATGCGGTGATCTAAGACTGGAGAGGAGATTGTCCCAAAAGCCTTTTGGTCTGGTATTCCACAACAAAAATCGGTGCAACTCGCTGCGCCAAATCCCAGCAATGTATTCATCTTTTGTCACTTCACAGACTCGTTGGGCCAGCCCTGATATAGCAGGCAGCTTATCCGTTGGGCAGGTAAGTCGCCGAGATGAATACCGCTGCACCATGGACCTCCAATCCTCGAGAACAGTCCCTTCAATGATCAAATTCTTCTGGAATGAGGAGCCGGACAAACGATATCGACGAGGATCGTTCTCCGATCTTGTCCATCTGACGCAGCGATAGAAGACCGATGACTGTCCGAAAAACAGACACCGAGAGCTCATAGCTTCTTCTTGACAGGTCCACCCTCGCTGGTTCCATGTCGACCTCATGATCTCCATATATTGCACACCATGAACTATGGACAAATTACCGTGATTATGAGCGCTTTGTGGAATATGTCGCAAGACAAAGGTGCCGTGGATCACTGGCTGTATCGTAGATTGGAAAGGGATCTTAACAACGTTTTCGTAAGGACGACTTAGAAATCCGTCATGACACGTGTGAGCTGCGACTGGAATGATTGTCACTAAAGCACTTTCATAAACGTCGCCCATCAGAGGCGCTTCTTGTTCCCAATCCTTCTCATCATCCTGAACAATACAGAGTGCATCTATCCACAAGAAATGAATAGAGAGCTTGTGACACACTGAAATAGCATCTTGGAAAACGCGTGGCATTTCAACCAGTGCAAATCCAGCAATTCTGTTTCGCAGCGACTTTCTCTCTGTCTTCAACATTGAAATGGCTTCCAATGGGGGACCCCAGCAATAACTCAGCGCAGCATACCGTATGTCTTCGCAAAGCAGGTCCTTTCGTGAATTGTGACGTCCCATCTCAATCAAGCAGGGAGCATCTGGAACCCTCAAGTCAACAAGTCTGGTTGGTATGAAGCCGCCATTGTTAGAATGGGAACATTTCTTGACACAATGGCTGATCTCTCTTTTCATCATTGAAATATTCTCTGGACAGAGAGCATCTGGCCAAGGAGTCGGGCGAAGATTGAGCCAGCTGGCACAGCTACCTGCATTTTGTTAAATAATACAGTTCACAAGCACGATGATACACACCGGACAGTGCTTCGGATCTAAAAATAACCGTATGGCGATGCTCGGATTGATTGGGTGCAAATATTCTTAAGCCTGCGAACAGAGCTACCAGATGCTCGGTACAATCATCTACGAGTCGTCCAGGATTTGGCTCCGTCAAATCATGCTCATCGACATCATCATGAAGCCTGAAACTCTCTGTGAACTCATATGACAGCTCTTTAATAATCAAGCTGCACCCACTCCCTGTGATGGGCTCCCATTCGGCGCGAATGCGAAGATCTTCCAGTATTGCTGCTCTCAAAAGACCGCACATTCGGCATCCGGCTTCAGCAGAAGCGGCCATTCGTGGCATGTCCGGGAGCTGGTCATGATGTTCGTAGTCCAGTTGAACGTCAAAAGAGAAGAACATCCGCTGAGACTTCCATGCATGACGCAAGACTTTGTTACCAAAAGAGTCCTCATGCTCGTAGCCTCCTTGATGGCTGTCGTTGAAGCTGAGAACTTTGCATGCCTTGCACAGGCTCGTCATCTTGGCCTCGTGGACTGCTGCTCGTGCGAGCCTCGTCCTGACAACAAGCTGGAAAGTGATGCATCACTCAAGAATGTGCGTCCAGGATGAAAGTTTCGGAGAGTTGAGAACAGCCCGTCAACTGTTCAGTTATTATCGGACGTTTGAGGATTTGCTGGGAAGTTGCGACCGGATACAAGAATGATGACGTGAAATAATGAGGAATTGATGAAGGAAGGAAGGAGCACGCCAGAAAGCCATCAGAATTTGCGTAAACAACCATGTATTTCAAAAGGATAAATGTCTACATGACTGGCAGAACATTTACAAGCAGTGATAGACATGTCTAAATGGCAATGCGGCAGAGATAGAAGGAGGATTTCTAGATAGTAGTCTTTAGCCTCGACAGCTGCCAGCTGGAAGACTCTGGTATACAGAAATAATCAGCGTCAGAGACACCTGCCAGAGGAATTGTAGATGAGACTGCTTGCCTAAGCTACCAGCTCCCCAGGCGAAAGCATATCCCAGAAGCCCGAACAGAAGCATCGTCTCTGCTGCATAACAAGCCACTGCAACGCCTGCCTCTGTGTCAACACATCCTCCATGACAGCCGCGCACCTAGCACACCTCCTCCACCTCGCGCCCTGTCTGCTCACCACGGCACTTGCGTTCCCGTCAGTCCCAGTCCCAGCAGTACCACCAGCAGCACTAGTGCCATTCTCCACCTGCCCCTTCACTGGATTCGGCAACCAAGCTTTTCTAAAGCAATCCATCGTCATTCCCTTCTCTTTCCTTCTCTCCAACATGACACCCTCTTCATCAACTTCCAGAATCTCAAAATCCGCAAAGAACAGATCTGCCGGCTTGATGTCCGCTTTCACAGCACTCAGCAGTCCTCCATCCTCCCTGAATAACTCCACAATCACACTCTTGAACGCGTCCGGGAACGAACTCCCGAAATGCATCTTTATTTCTAGGGCATTACGAGCCTTTTCGGCTTGGGGAGAACCGGATAAGGCAGGATTGTGTAATGCGTACGCATTTTTGATAGAGGACGAGAGAGAGGAGAGGAGGGTTTCGATTGTTTTGATGTCGAGGATAGGCGAGGCAGTCAGGGACGCAATCTCGACGTAAGCGGCCTTTAGGGCAGGTGACAGCGCGCTGGGAGTGTTTTGCGGGTTGGGAGTAGAGGTATGGGATATGGCTTTCCTTGCTATGTAGTCGAGGTGGGCAAGGCGACGGAGAATGGCTGTCAGGAAGCCGCGGGAGGCAGAGGAGAGGATGAGGTGTAGGGCGATGGTATTGGTGGAATGGAGGTAGGCGAGGAGGTCAGGCAGGGAAAGATTTGCGGTACTGCTGAGATCGACGTTAGGTGGAAGAGTAGCTGGAAGGTTCGTTAATGTGTCGATTATCCAAGCCATTAGGTTGAGAACCCAGTTCACGGAGCCGGCGAGGGAACGGATGACCTCTTTGATCTGGTCAGCCGACTATTAGGGTACAGCAGGAAGCAAAACAAACCTGGATCTTCAAGTGGCGAGGACTTCTCTGTTGCATTTGGGCCACTTGAAATGTGAAGGTTCGCAGCCATACTAACCAGCACTACGATGTTGCGCAGCTGCAACACAATCCAGGCGAACTTGCTAGAGAAAGTTCGCTGTTTAAACTGTCCTTTGAATCCTAGAGATTGTTGGATAGAGAGGCAAAGCTGGATCGATGTATTGCGGACCAGGACATCATGATGGGTTTCTTCGGAGTAGTCCAGGTTCACTTTGAGAATGCGGGAGAGTTCTGTGAGCCAGTCATAGGAGAATTCTAAAGCGAGTCAGAGATTGATCCTGATAAGGTGGAAGTGGGCTTACGAGGATTGACATGCTTGCTTGCGGTGGCTAAGATGTCATCGTAGTTGACGTTTCTCATAACTGATGTGGCACAAGACAGCGAAAGAGCTGTGATCACTGCAGAATAGAGAGCTGTTGAATTGTTAGAGCAACACAGTCCTTGGTGACTGGACACTTACGCTCGTCCATGCTCTTTCCGATATCTCCCAGATGGTAGTCAAGTTGTTTCCACTTGACCTTACCATCATTTCGTAACTGCACAACGGAGCAATAGCTTGGAGATAGAGCAACTTGAAGACCTGGCACAGTTTAGAAGACGGGTTTCAATCAAATTGAGCAACGTACATGGCTCATCCTCGGTGTATGAAAAGCCGATCTGCGAGAGATGCCAAACACGGTCTAGATTGTTATCGTTGAAAGTTTCCAACATATTTCTCCGATCTCGGTATTCAACTGAACTGTCGCTATAAGCAACAACGATGACCCTTCCAGTATTCATAGTCTCCATTGCAACAGCAATTTTATTGACTGTGATACTTTCCAGCTTCTTCATATAAGCAACCGGCTACAAAATGTTAGATACGCAGTGCGAGAATCAAGGTTATGTTTACCGGTGGAGCAACCCCAGTGCTGTTACGCCTGGAGCTGAGTTGCTCGAAAGAAGGATGAGCTCTTGGACTGGGCTCCTGTATTTCCCATCTATCAATAGTACTGTGGACATCCTGGTTATAGTGCGATGTCAAGCTAGGTAGAGAAGACCGGATGGCTACGATTGTTGCAGGAACTGGACTACCATTGTTATCTGCAGTTGGAGGAAGCAACTCGAGATGAGACAGTTGGACCATCGAAGAATCTGAACGAGAAACATTCATAGGATCGTTTGGACCATCGGGTACCCAACTTGTTCCTGCTAGATGCTTCGAGCGTATTGTTGGGTTGAGCGGTAATGCTTGGGGTGGTGCCTTTTCCACTTTTGGTTGACCCCAGTCTATTAATGCACGGACAGTGCGAAGCTGCATCGAGGTAGTAGCAAAGGCAATGAGCAAGGTTCCGCCTGGGTATGTTAGCAGAGGTATACTGCAAGGTAATAATCTACAAACTTTTGTCGGGACAGATTGCTGCATGGGTTATCAAATCATCCGAAGACACAATACTTTCCAATTCTGTATGAGACTCGCACCACTTGTTATTGTTCTGTTGCCACAATACCTTCAGTAGACCGTTTGTGGTCACACAGACGAGGGCAGACTTTGCCTGAACTGGATGGCATGGTCCTAGAACTGGCGCTTGAGACGCTTCGTAGCGATATACTGTACCCTCCTTGACTCCAGGACCATGCAATATTGTCTGTTGATTTCATCAGTTAGAGTCTTTAGCCTGTTATGGCGAGGCGTACCGGTCGACCTGGTGGATATGGAGCTTGGTTTAACCAGAAAGAGCCAACCACGGCATGCAAATCATCTATTGGATCTAAATGGCATGGTCTACTCAAAGCTGGTTTATTGATAGATGAATAGATAGAGAGGATTGTAATTCGACCGACTGCATCAATTACAGCTAGATCACTGCCAGTTGGGCTCCAAGCGAGATGCTTCAATGGACAACCTTCGAGTGAAGCTGAGAAGTTTGGGGTAGTGGTAGGTTCGCTGAGCGCCCAAGTCCCGTCGTCTGGATGACAGCGCAGGTTTCGAAGTTCCAGAGTAGTTCCATTTGAAGCGATGGAAGCGATACTGCCCCATTTCGACCAAGCAATGCTCCTGTGATGGTCAGCGACTGGAATGTCACATGATATTGTACTTACTGGCAACAACCGCTTGCTCTCAGCTCGTCCACTCTTTGATGAAGCTCTCTTGTGGGCGGTCTCGATGGCAATGATAGACCTCCGCCGTCACCGAACAGATCGTCCATATTCATCTCGTCGTCCATCATCAAGGGCATCTTTCAACCTCCGCCGCCAGGCACACGAGAAAGCTATAGAGCTATACAATATGATTAAATGGGAAGATGATTTGCATGAAAATATAAAAGGCTAAATATATGAAGAAAAAGTGGGCGCTTTAGAGCGACGGTTGATGTTGGTTGAAGTCTGCCTCTTCCGAGGTTGTTTGGATCTTCAGGCCTGCCCAGCCCTGCAACTTGCCAGATGCAGGGGTATGCGGGTAGACTAACCGCAAAGGCGGTAGCCTCGATCAATTCACCTTGACAACTGACTCGCTCAGAGCGAGACAACAAGAGGTAAACAAAGGGAGATGAAAATAGAAATGGAATGGATTCGAGATGGAGAGTCCGCGAATGAGTACTCGGTTATTTCGTGTAAGTATGCAGTATTTGAATGATTGATATCTTCTGGTTTGTGCTACTTAGGTACTTCCCGCCACGGTGCTGGCAGCCGATATCATGTTCGTACCCCATACAAGCAATCTTGGACAGGCGGAAGACCAACATTGTATACCGTGGATTATCGAAACTCACACGATGTGTAGAATGTAGTTGATTTAGTTCATTGTCGCAGACCATAGGACAGAAACCGGCGGACAGCAAAAATGTCCTTGTTCTACTCCGCGTTGGTGAGTCGTCGCGCATTTCTGGCCGTTCCCCGCCTCGCCGGGGCCTTTGGAATTGTGGTTCAGGGAATTAGCGGGACTAGCTCACCAGAGCCTCCTTGAATCCTCGCTCGGTCACGACATCAAGTCTCCTCACTCGATCAGCACAACTTCGACGTCTCCCAACCACCATCTCTCCCCGACGGAGATCGCGACCACCACAACCGCCAACACCAACCGCCATGGTCTGAAGACGCGCATAATCACAGCATACATCGAATCCTAGCTGCGCAATCGCGGTCACGACACGACCAACCTCGATCCCGCTCGACGCCATGACGACCTCAAGCGGTTCTTCCTCACCTCTCTCCTCCATCTCCTCCCCCCTCTCCAGCGTGGCATCGCGATCGCCATCTCCTCCAAGAGACTACCCGTCGCCACCATCCAGCCATGAGTCCGAGAAAGGATCCAAGTCAAAGTCGCGCAAGGCGCTCCACAGCTCAGATTGCGACGATTCTTCCCCACCCCCAAAACGACAGCGGATCACGAAAACCAAGGAATTGAAGACCGAGTACCTCGACCTCTTAGAATTGTACGACAGCGACGAAGATGAGGTGCATAAAAAGCATGATAAAAAGATGAGGAGATTGTTGGATGTTCTTCGTACAAAGCGCAGAATTGTGATAATTGCTGGGGCTGGTATCTCGGTATCTGCTGGTAGTACGTCACTCTCCTAATCTGCGCCTTGAACCACAACTAACAGAAGCCAGTACCTGATTTCCGCTCTTCGACTGGCCTCTTCACAACTCTGAAGTCACAGAACAAGCTCAAGACTTCAGGGAAGCAACTATTCGACGCGGCAGTCTATCGAAATGGCAGCTCCACGAGTTCATTTCATGACATGGTTCGAGAATTGGGACATTCAACGAAGAATGCAAAGCCTACCGCATTCCATCACATGCTCGCAACACTTGCAGAAGAAGGTCGCTTGATGCGTCTGTACACTCAGAACGTCGATGGCATTGATACCGCTCTACCGCCCCTCGCAACGACAGTGCCACTCAACCCCAAAGGTCCCTGGCCAAAAACTGTCCAACTACACGGTGGATTAGATAAGATGGTTTGCAGCAAGTGTGGTGATCTACAGGATTTCAAAGGCGCCCTGTTTGAAGGTCCTGAGGCTCCTTTGTGCACTGAATGTGAAACCATCGATGCTGTACGATTAGCGAGTGGTCTACGAAGTCACGGCATTGGCCGATTACGACCAAGAATGGTTCTGTACAACGAACATAACCCAGACGAAGATGCTATTGGGGCTGTCAGCTGCGCCGATCTAAAGAGAGTTCCCGATGCTGTCCTGGTTGTAGGCACAAGTCTCAAGATTCCTGGTACCCGTCGCCTGACGAAAGAATTATGTTCTGTAACTAGAGCTCGACGGGGAGGATTTACTGCTTGGATCAATCTCGACCCAGAACCTGTCGGCATCGAGTTCAAGGATTGCTGGGATATGGTTGTACGCGCTGAGTGTGACCAAGTTGCTTTGGCAGCTGGACTACCAAAATGGGATGACAAGGATTGTGGAGACTACGTCGTTGGTGGACCTTTTCTGGCAGACATCAAGTACAGTCGTCCTTCAGTTGTTCTCAGCGCAAAGCCTGCACCGATCGCTGCAGTCAAGGCTCAAGGGATTCTCACCCCTACGGACAGTCCCCGACAGCAAAGTCCGGACGCTTCGAATGGCCCACCAAAATTGAAGCAGACCTCTTTAGCATTCGCACCTCCACCTACAGGCGATCTGGATGCAAAGAAGAAAAAGACTGGCCGGCCAAGGAAGCCATTACCATCAAAGCCAACAAAGGCTATCAATGCAATCAACAATACCTTCACCGCTACCAAGGCGACAAAACGACCAACCGTCAAAGCCCTCGAGTCAGAGAATACTCGACCATCCGTCCTATTTCCTGGTCTGGCCTCCAAACCTTCCGATACAGAACCTACCACTCCTCCGAGATCGAGCCAAATCTCCGTCGAAATTCCATTCAATAGACACGAGACGATCTCGCCCAAAGGTGCAATTCCATCTGGAATGGCCAACCTACTCGACTGATCCCGTTCCTACTCCCACACATAAAAACCGCCCGTTTAGTCCTGGAACACCTCGGGACCATATATATTATGATTCATTCTCATACATGAAGTTTAGGCCAGGCGTTAGTGCTAAAAGACCTGTGTACTTCCGAAAGACATACTTCGGTTGAATAACTCTTTCTCGTTTCACATCCTGGGTTGTGGCAAAGGATTGCCCACTCTACTGCATAAATACGGCGTTTGTTCTTTCAGCATACAATTGGTGGCGGATCGAATCAAAGAGTCCACATGATTATTGCATGCATGTTTTCCGTCGATGAGTGGGATAAAAGAGCCATCGTATATTGTATTCCCGCAGCATTCGATTGTGGCATCAATTATTTCACAGAGGAGGAAGGAAGCTGTATTCATCAGCGCTTTCTGGCCCTGATGGCTAGACTGGTGTTGGCCCAGTAATCTATCCTTGGCATGGTTACTTGTACATAGAATCATAAAATCGCAATTATGATTCTCCACCTGGGTTCCGTTCATGCTTGTGATATCCGCCCCAGTGGGCTTTGTCTCTTTGTCTCCTTTACCCCAGGTTTCCGCGGATCGGCCTACATGCTTCGAGATATTTCCTTTGTACTCATCTGCAGTATTGCATTCCGCAACGGTCTCTTTCACGGGGAGCATGCGATTACACTCCCGCCTCACACGTCCTTTCTTGTCGAACCAGACGAATATGCAAGCCTCGCTGGCCCAGAGTCAATCCCGCCACTCAGTCTCCGCTATATATACTTTCGCTTTAGCGTATGCGAACACTCATCATCGCCCGCTATCATAATGCCGCCCAGAAAAATAACAACCAAATCCTCAAGAATCACCAAATCGAAAACACAAACGAGACCGAGTCTCCCACGCGCCGCGAAGTCGAAATCACCGTACCAGACTGTCGCTGTGCCAGAGAAAATCGAGGAAGAAACTGAGGATGAGGATGGAAATCTTCCGATTCCCAGAAGTGGTAATAACGAGAAGTCCATCAAACCAAAAGATATCGAACACCCTTCCATCTCCCTCCAACTCCAATTCACTCAAGAGCCCCTTAAACTTCTCATCACCAACACACCCACTCTAGACGTCAGTAGCATCCCACGCACAAAAAGCCCCGTAGCCACCCGAATCCTCCAGGAAGAAGAGAATATCACCGCAAAAGCCGACGCCGTCTGGGCTATCCACCGCAACCACACACTTACTCACAGTCCCTGCTCCAGTCCCCTACGCCAGTGTTACTCCCCATTCCCACCCTGTCGCCGCTCCTCTGGCTCATCCGTAGAGCGCATCCCTGGGCCACCACTCGCTGACCTGCGACTTAGTCCTACTTCTAATCGTCGCCTGCTAACTTCGAAAGCGAAGTTTGTGGCGAGGTGGGAGGCTGATGGTGTGGCTAAGGCTAATAATATCAAACTTGAGGAGTACACTGTTCTGAAGAATAGGCCGGGAGTCAAGGTTGGTGTGGATGGTGAGGAGGAGGATAAGGATGTAGAGAGATGGAGGCCGGAGAAGCCTGTTTTTGAGAGTTTCATAGGCGAGGAAGATATAAAGATTTGGAGAGAGGATGAGGTTGCGCAGAGGCAGGGCGTGAGTTTGTTCGATCGTAGGAGGCCAGTACAGACGGTTGGGAGCGGAAGAAAAGGGCCGAGGAATGATACGTCGAAGGATTTCGAGAAGGAGATACAGAGATCGGATTTCGGAAGAAGACCTCGTGGAAGGACTGAAAGTCGTGATTCGAGTAATAGTGGTGGGAGCCTGTTCTGTGGGCAGAGTCCTAATACGCCCGGAGCACTCAAGGAAACACAAAGAGGTCCAGAATATGCAGGACGAAGCTCAGTATCTGAAGCGGCCGAAACAGAAGTTACTGTTCAAACCCGAGAACATGATGTAGACTCACCGACCTTCGCCACATACTTATGCCTAGGGACTGAGGAAAGTGCAGTTCTAGAATTCAAGACACAGCTCACTGATTCAAAGTCTTTGTGCGACGATGGAATTCTGTGCTCAAGCTCCGCTCCATCCCCTCCAGACTTATCAGAGTGGACATCCCACCTCTTCACGCGGGAAGAACTTGCCACCATGATCGACCTCTCCGTCAACAATGTACATATCGATTGTCCGCATTGTGATCTGATCATCAGACAAGGACTTCCGCTTTCCTTGCCATTTTTGCTGAGGGAGAGATGTGTTTGTACGTTTCCGCAAATGATGGCTAAGGAGTATAGAGGCAAAGAAAAGGAAGGAGAGGGGAGAGGTGAGGTGGCATTGAAGGAGGAGGTTGAGAGGGCTGTGAGGAAGAAGATGGCGCTGATTGGGGAGGTGGCTGATAGGAGTATGGAACAAGGAAAATGTTGGTGAATGGCGATAGTGAAGGAAGAGATGGTCAGTGATATGGAACAGTGATTCCTGACCCAATTCAGAATGAGGACTCATCGCTACACATGCGAGATGTGGTGCGATCTAGTGCGAAGAGGAAGAGAGCTGCTTCAAAGCCATGCAAGCTGGAAGAAGAGATAGAATCGAAGAAGGAGGAGAGCATGGGACCCGCTGTTGTCAGGAAGACGAGGAAGGTTTCCCACGCGGCGAAGAAGTCGTCTAAACTTAGGAAGAAGATGTCGGCAAAGAGGCAAAGGGGTGTCGTGAAGTACCATTGAGTCTCCGGGTGGCAAAAGAGGTGACTGGGTGATCGTTCGTCCGCTCCGAAACTAGTGCTCGCGTACAAACGTTTTGTTGCACGTCGCAGGTGATTCGAGGAGGTCGAATACTAAGCGAAACTCCCCTTCGCGACTATCAATAGATGAAATCTTTTGGGAACAGCTAATTCAATTTTAATTGCGCACGGGCCATGTTAAAATCAGCAAAGCGAAAACATTCAATGATAAGAACAGAGTTTCGATGCACCCTAAAAAACCTGAGCTCTCAATATGTATTTTCATCTTGTTTTCTTGAGGCAGGTATGTAAGCAATGCATATGATTGCCTCACTTCCTGACTTCGTTTTATATAGTACACCTCTAGAGTACTATTCTGATTTCTTTATAGTAAACTGATCCGTTCAGGAAGTCCGCTGCCATTCACATCCTCATCATCGCATTTTATCCAAAACACAAACAAGCAGATGTAAACACCACGTGACTTCTGCAACATCAGCCTGCCCAGGTGGTACTGGACTTTTGCATAAGCTACCTAAATTGGAAGTGGCAGTTCTACCATTGGCTACCGTTTTCTATACTAGACTTGCAGATTCTTGAAGTTCTATTGGCTCTGTTTCGAACGCATATCAGGTTTCCTTTCCTTGCGCGTGGCCGTAATGGCTCAACCTCGCCAAACCTGCAATTGGAATTTGCCCTGGTCATTGCGTTGTCATTTCCATTCTTTCCTTTACTTCTGAACGTATCGAAGCTACATTGAACTGAAGTTTTGAATGATCTAAGGCTGAAATAAAGACAGAACGTCGGAAGAGGCCTTCCATTTGAACTCTTATCCTGCTTCCGACGACGAAGAAACGAAATTCTTCTATTATTCATCATGTTTAAACATCACAGTCTTTCATTACAGAAGAACCCCAAATCCACGGACGCTACCTGCATCTCACCACAGTGACCACACAGCATGGGTTGAATTTTCCAGGTCTTGGACTTCAGGGATTCAGGGGTCCACTCAATAAGCAAATTGCCTTCCAAGCTTTCTCAAGCCATGTGCGCAACACCACGGACGATTTCGATTCCCCATCCAGAAGGTCCAGAGCACTCCAATCCCCACACCTCCACGATTTACCCAATCTTGACTCTTCGCTACCATTCCGATTGGTTCTCGTAAAGAATTGAGCTGTCACGAGGGTGGCGTACAATATCAATATCGCTGGATGAAGCTAGCGTTTATATTTATGCGCCAAGCGCCGACTTCTTCATTGGAGGAACACCATTTCAACAAGGGGCGAGACCTTTTAAACGCCCTTGTTACGTTCCAGTCGCTGGATGATGGCCCGAGGAGTTTGATTCGGTGTTGCATGTGCGATACAAAAGATGGGGCACAATTTCGTCTTCAGACTTCACGATCCTCATTACGTCGCACTTTATTCGAGTCCCGTTGAACCTTTTCACAAAATACAAGCTTCTTATCAACTGCTGGCTGTCTGGTCGAGATGATGAGGATATGAAAGCCACAGAGTCAAAGTTGATGACGGCCCTTAGAGGTGCGAGATTTCTGTGCCTCAAGAAGACAGTGACGAGTGGCTGTACCAAAGTAACGTTTACTCGTTGTATATTTCACTGGAATCAGGTTTGATCAGCTCAAGAGCATTATATTCGTCCTTTAATTCGTTCACAATTAAAAGGCCCGAGTTTCTATTCCGGGTAAAGCACAAAAGTTGAAATAATCTTGGAAGTGCAGATTCTCCAAGTAATCCCCACAGGCTTGGTACCCAGCATATTTCAGTAGCGCTTGTATTTGAGCTCTATCTCCGCAATCCCACAATCGTTTGGCCTGGAGTCCCCGTTTGAATCTCTGAAGGAGCTCGAGGTAGCTACATCCAGCCTCTTCCGTCTCGACAGAACCACCCGCCCCTGTGTTTCTCCGTGCCACTCTGCTTTACTCCACTATACTTGACAGACACGGCTCTTTCTTGGTAATTTTTCAGTCACGTATGCACATGTTTGACACAACGGCGGCCAGAAACCGGTCCTCCCCAGGTTCTGAGGGGACCTGGCGGCATGAAATGTGGATTTTTCAAGTTTTATGCTCAGCCCACTTGCTCGGTCCACATGGCTCCCAAGCAAAAGAAGGACCGAGACATGTTGGACGCGTCTGGCGAGAAGACTCCTTGTTGATATAAAGAGACGAGGCGCCTCTGTTGGATTCCTTCATCGCGTCTGTTCTTCGTGTCCTGTCGATCATCTGAGCAAACATCTGGTATCCAGATAGACAACAGAACCTCCAATACAAACCTCAGATACACATTTCAAGATGGCTGGAGGGGCAGTAGTCGGGACGACCGATACGTCACGTATCGAGGCTCCTGTTACTATCAAGGTGCAATTTATACCTTAATCTAGCCGACTTCAGAGCTGACCTCCTGTTTGTAGGCCTACCTTATGTGCGCTTTTGCCGCCTTTGGAGGAATCTTCTTTGGTTACGACACTGGATGGATGGGAGGGTAGGATGACATCTGTGTCAAGATGAAGATTTATGTGCTGACAAGTATTCAAGCATCATGGGAATGCCATACTATATTCGACAGTATACTGGCCTTCCATACCCTGACCCAGATGACGCCGCAGCCGTTGCTGCGTTCGTCCTTCCTGGATGGCAACAATCTCTTTTGACCGGTATCTTGTCTTGTGGAACCTTTTTTGGAGCCATTGTTTCTGGTGACATTGCCGACAGAATTGGCAGAAGGTGGACGATTATTAGCGGATGTCTTATCTTCAGTGTTGGTTGCATCTGCCAAACTGCCTCCACTGGATTGGCCTTGATGGTAGTTGGCCGACTGATCGCTGGTCTTGGAGTTGGTTTCATCTCTGCTATCAGTAAGTTCTTCATTCCTTTCTGCTCAGTAGATTTTGTTTGTAGCGTTTCATTGCTGATACCTTGCCCTATAGTCATTCTCTACATGTCCGAGATTGCTCCTAAGAAAGTTCGTGGCGCCCTCGTTGCCGGTTACCAATTCTGCATCACTGTTGGCATCCTTATGGCCAACTGTGTCGTCTACGCTACACAAGACCGCGATGACTCTGGATCATACCGTATTCCAGTTGCAGTTCAATTCCTCTGGGCTATCATCTTGGGAGCAGGACTTTTCTTCCTGCCAGAGTCCCCACGTTACTTCGTCAAGCAAGGAAAGATCGAGGAAGCTACAAAGGCACTCGCCAATGTTCGTGGACAACCAGCAGACTCTCAATTTATTCAAGACGAACTTGCGGAAATCATCGCCAACCACGAATATGAGTTGTCCGTTGTTCCTGAGACTTCGTACCTGGGAAGCTGGGCAAACTGCTTCAAGGGTGACATTGGAAGAGCTAGCTCGAACATCAGACGAACCCTTCTCGGTATCGGACTTCAGATGATGCAACAGTTGACCGGAATTAACTTCATCTTTTACTATGGTGTGGTTTTCTTCAAGAGGTGAATTTCCAATCTTTTTAATGCTCATAACGCAAATCACTGACTCCATATCCAGTCTTGGCACGATCAGCAACCCTTTCCTCATCAGTCTGATCACCACACTCGTCAACGTTCTGTCAACACCAGCTGCATTCTGGCTCGTTGAGAGAGTCGGTCGCCGAAACCTTCTCATCTTTGGAGGAACTGGAATGGTTATCGCCCAATACATTGTTGGTATCGTTGGTGTTACAGTCGGTGAAGATAAGGGTGATGACACCAACACAGCCGCTGTTTCTGCTATGATTGCCTTCATCTGCATCAACATCACATTCTTCGCAACGACTTGGGGTCCTTGCGCATGGATCGTCATCGGAGAGGTCTTCCCGCTTCCAATCAGATCTCGTGGTGTTGGTCTATCCACCGCATCTAACTGGTTCTGGAACTGCGTAAGAATTCCCTTGTGTCTCTCTTGCAACCCTCGCTAACAACAGTCAACAGATCATCGCAATCATCACACCTTACCTAGTCGATGCTCAATACGCCAACCTCTCCTTCAAGATCTTCTTCATGTGGGGTTCGCTCTGCATGGTTTCTGTTCTTTTCGCCTACTTCCTCGTCCCAGAGACTAAGGGTCTGTCTCTCGAGCAAGTCGATAGAATGCTCGAGGAGGTCACGCCACGCAAGTCCCGTTCATGGGTACCTCACTCGACTTTTGCTGGTGAGATGGGTATGGCGAAGAACCATGGCAATATTGATGGCAAGCACGGTGATTCGACCGAGGAGACTGAGCTTGAGCAAAACACTCCGGCCGTCAAGCACACAGTTTAAAAGGCTGATGATGTCGTTGTATGTTGTTGTTAGGGTGATTAGTGAGTGGTGCGGGATGCTATGCTTATGGTAGCCAGGCATTAACATATATAATTGGCGTAGAGCAGAGTGTAAAGAGTAGACAGTTGAATATACCCAAGGCGATCCGGGTCCGTTTGCAGCTAAATTAGTTGCTTCAATATCACTCTCTGATGAATAGTGACATGATGAATAGTGATATGCAGAATGCTGAGAGATGATGAAGTTCAGGTAGCCGGCAGGTTCCAAGTTTCCATAAGGGAATAAGAGCTATTTGTAACAAGGTGGTTCAACACATGATCCCGAAATCCGCAGCTCTTGATCTTCATTTCGCCGTACAGTCATAAAAAACAAATGTCCCCATGTAGTAAATTTGCCGATGCTGTGGCTTGCAGCTTCGATTGTGGCGCCAAGCCCCAAATTCGTCAATCAAGCTGCGTACGACGGTTTCTAGGCTTCCACTTCAAAGCCAATCGAAGTCCATCAGTGACCTCCACCCTCTGTTCTACTGCGGCACAAATAACCATGACATACAATTCTTCGTTACGAACTTCTGCCAGAGGGGGCATTGCTACTCTAGATTCCTTCTGCGACATGCTGCGGTCGAGTACAAGCACTCTCGTTGACCGTAGCACCGACTCCACCGAGTGAGGACTTTCACGACTCCCAGCCACTTCGACATTATACAGAAGAGAGAAGGAAAGAACGAAGGGAAAATCTTGCTGGAACGGCAATCCGCGAATACAATGAGCACGAAATATATGACCAAAGTCGGCGAAGAGCTGGGCTTGGTTTCCCTTTGGTCCTCCACGATCGACGTGAAGCTTCTTTGCTCACAACGTTTCGTGCGACTCTTTGCCTATGGCGGCTCGACTCTCATCCTCGTATCTTACCTGCAGGAGCTGGGCATCTCGAAAGAGAAGATTGGATTGTTCATGACATTGACTTTGGTGGGAGATACGGCGATCAGCTTTGTCCTCACTCTGGTCGCAGATGCGCTAGGAAGAAAATCAATACTGGCGCTGGGGGCGATCTTGATGGCTGCGTCGGGTGTCATATTTGCTCTGTTTGGGAACTATTGGATATTGCTTCTTGCAGCTATTGTTGGAGTTATCAGTCCCAGGTATTTTCTTGCGAATCTTGCGGAGGAAGCAGTTTTGGGACAAATACTAATTCTTGACAGTGGGAATGAAATCGGTCCCTTTCGCGCAATCGAAGAAAGCACCCTCGCTCAACTCACGCCGGTCGCCAACCGTGGTGATATATATGCTTGGTATTCTTTGATCGGTACAGCCGGTACGGCGTTCGGACTCATGACAACTGGCTGGATATTGAACCACATGATAAACGATCTACAATGGGGGGCTATCGCGTCATATCGGATTGTCTTCTGGGCATATGCTGGTTTTGGGATACTAAAGCTGTTACTCACTCTTGCTCTTAGCGGAGCCGTAGAGCTGGAGAAGAAACCGACGCCCATTCAAGATCCGGAATCTGCGCCGCTGTTGGGAGATGGTGCTGAAGAGGTAGAGCCGAAGAAGGGGAATTGGCTCTTTTCGAAATTGCCGGATTTCAGTACGGAGAGTCGAGCTATTGTGATCAATCTGTGTATTCTGTTTGCATTGGATGCTTTTGCATCTGGCCTTGCTCCTCTGTAAGTGCTAGCTACCTTCAATGCCCTCTTCAACGATGCTGACAATTTCTCAGTTCCTGGGTAACGTTCTTCTTCCACGAGAAATTCCACCTCAAAGAAGGAGTCCTCGGCTCCCTCTTCTTCACAACCGCCATCATCGCCGCAATCTCTATGCTCTTCGCTTCCTCAATTGCAAAACGGATCGGCAACATTCAAACAATGGTCTTCACGCACCTCCCCTCCGCAGTGTTCCTCGCTCTCATTCCGATTCCCGATAATGTATCCGTTGCCATGATGTTTCTCATTCTACGCTCCTGTACGCAATCTATGGATGTAGCGCCCCGCTCGGCATTCCTCGCCGCTGTGGTGTTACCGCATGAAAGGACTGCCGTGATGGGTATGGTCAATGTCGCGAAATCCATGGGTCAGAGTTCTGGGCCGTTCATCACAGGTCTGTTGGCTGGAAAGGGTAGGTTCTGGATTGCATTTGTCGCGGCCGGTACGTTGAAGGCCTGTTATGATTTGGGTATGCTGGCTGTTTTTAAAGGGCATAAGACGCATGATGATCATGCTGAGGAGAGGAGAGCTGCTGAGGAAGAGAGACTGAGGGAGAGTGAAGATCCAGATGAGCGATGAAGGAGTGACCGGTGCGTGGGTAGAAGACAGTACAAAGTTCAGACAAAGGTCTGGAGAAGTATGTCACATGCAGGTATGTGCAAGAAACTCCTCATAAATCTTACTATATAATAGATATATCTAAGATCTCTGTGAGTCACAGTTCTCTCTTTCCGACCTTCACAATGGTGGCTTTACCATGTCCAGAGAATAGACTGTGTTGCTTTCTTAAATCAATTTTGTTATGGATCCCGCACCTTTCACCTGTTCTTTTTTGGTGGGTGCCAGACTGTCGCTTTGATCGTTCTTCACGATATATTCGATATTCCGATATTTCTACATCCAAAGGCGCTTTCCTCGTGATGGTTGATTTACGTGGCAACGGCCGGGTAAATTGGTTTCGGCCGACCCTGCATAATGGCGCGTGAAGAAGCGGTGGTACGTGGAATATTGTTTCGCGGATCTGGCGTTTTGGCGGTTAGAGGCTTGCTTATACCTGAAACTGGATGAAACTGGATACAGAATTGAAATAACTTAGGAAAAGCTGGTAAGTTGCAGTCACAGTCACAAGATGGAGCATATCACTGATGAAACTTATGATAGGGAAACATCTATATTAAAATGCCCCTTAAAGGACCCAGGCGAGCGAGCGTGACAAGACTCAAATCAACAATTCGAACAGAAAATTATAGCAGAAACAAAGACCACCTTTCGAGGCGATCTGCAAAGTCAGGCACGGGTATAGGGTATTCAAAACACTCCTGACAAGCATAAGATCGCCCAGTCTAAACTCTTCTAGAGATTATTTAGACGGTGGATTGATTAACGACAGTTGCGCGCTTCTCATCAATGGGATCATGCTCGTTGTGGATGTCCTTCTCAACCTCGTGGAGATCCAAGTGGGCAACCTCAGCACTCTCACCATCGAAGATCTTGGCGAGTTCCTCGAGAGTGGGACCCCGGGTCTCGACGTAGAAGAAGTAGACGAAGAGGAGCTCGAGGAAGTCCCAGAGGGTGTAGAACATGCAGAAGGTCCAGGCTTTCTTCTGCTTCTTGAGGTTGTCCCAGGCGATAGCGTTGGTGTAGTTTCCGAGCACCAAGGTAGCCTGGACAGTCAAGTTCATGATCATAATTCCCTTGGCTCTGAGCTTGTATGGGAGAATCTCGAGGGCGTAGGCGACGAGGAGACCGGACCAGGCGAGCGAATAGAAGACACCGAAGAGCCAGACGAAGACGATTTGAGGATATCCGGTGGCCTTGGGGTTAGCTCCGTTGGTCTTCTCATATTGGGATGCGACAATGGTCCAAGCGAGGAACATGGCAACCATACCAGTGGTTGAGGCCAAGAAGAGTGGGCGACGTCCAACACGGTCAACGAGGAAAGCGCAGCTGACGGAGACGATCAAAGACAACATAGTTTGTCCACCGTTGAGCTTGGAAAGGTTAGTCTCTATTTTTAATACTGGGTAGCAAATGAGCTTACTGGGATCTTCTGGTTCTGGTCCTTGATGCCGGCACCCTCGTAGATGAGGTTCATGTAGTTACTGAAGAGAGCATTGCCAGAGTATTGGGAAATGATACCGAGGGAGATGAGAAGAGCCAAACGATATCTGTTGCCCTTGGTGCGCAAGAAGTCGGCGTATGTGCTGGCCTTCTTGTACTCGAACTCAAGACGGAGAGTTTCCTTGATCTCACGGAACTCGAAAGCGACAGTGGCGTTGGTCTTGTCACCATTGGCATGGTACTTGGCAAGAATGGTCTCGGCTTCCTCGTAACGTTCCTTGGATACCAGCCAACGTGGGGATTCTGGGACCCCTTGAGTTATCATTAGCTGGATGACCAATTTGCATCAAGATGCTCCAACACTTACAGTAGATGAATGTCAATTGAATTGCGGCTGGGACGGCTTGGAGGAGAGTCAAAGATCTCCATGACCAGTTACCGTCGATCTCGATTGTTGCCCAAGCAAGCCATGCAACGCCTGGCCACAGTTAGTTCTTGTTTCGGATTACACTGTATGGTCGCCTTACAGAGGGCACCCAAGTTCCACAAGCAGTTGTAGATGGCAGTGACACGGCCACGATGTTGAGGATGGCAGATTTCGGTGAGCAAGACTGGGGAAGCCATCTGAGCCATGGAGTTTCCGAAACCGAGAACGAAACGACCGGCGGTATACACTGAAGTTCAATTAGTACTGCTGATACCAGCAACTCGCTCATTACTCACTTCCGTAACCATTAGCGAATGTGCCTAGAAGAGCCCCCAAAAGCATGATTGCGCAGCCGATGGCAATCGGGAGACGACGTCCCCACCAATCTGCCATGTATGGACTGTTTTCATGTCAGCTGTTTATATTGGTTATTTCGTATCAAGGTCAAACTTACACCAGTGGGAAACTGACGAGGGATCCGATTTGGTAAATGGCGTTCATGAGACCCAATTTACTTCCAGTGGGCTTGTTGAAGAAATCCTGCCATTGGTCCATGTTTTGGGAGGTGTTCAAAAGCATACTGTGAGCCACATTTGTCAGTCCTGGCAATATAATGGGTTGTCAGAGCCAACCTACCCATCATAACCTGTGGTGGCAGATGCAACACAAAGAACTGCGGCCCAGAAGTAGAGCTTCCTAAGACCTGGGTTCGAAAGCCAGTGAACCTTCTCGAACTGAGGGGCCTCGCCCTGCGCGACGTGCAGCGCATCCTGCTTGGTGTTTACTCCGATGGCCACCATATTGCCTGATTCAAAGAATGAATGTCAATGTCGATGAGATGACAGTAGGTGTTTGCTGCTCCGCAGTCAAGGGCCTTGAAACTTCGAGGATGAGCAAGTCTGTCGAGGATAGGATAACGACCACTCTTAAAGAAAATCCATCTGCAGTCAGATAGTTCACAGCAGGGGATTAGCCGGGGTGTGGCGTTAGGATAAACAATAAAAATTCAAGGGGTTTAGGTATGCTGCACGTCGTCTCGTGGATGCAACGCTCCTCGTATATCCTTTTCAGGACGAGATCGTGTGGGTTAGAAGCCCGAGGATCTAGAGAGAGGCCCAGGGACCAAGGGACCACCGATCTTCTGCTGGCCATGGGCGTTACTGTACAAACTGCTGTTACGGATAAAAAGTTAAACCCAACGCCACGGTCTGAAGAGTTTATCCAAACGTGTTCTTTTATTCCGAAGTGAGCATCATGTGAGAAGAGCAAGGTTCATTCTTGTGGGTCGCGCCAGATCCATTGGACTTTTTTTGATACAACCCCGCGTCTGAACAAGGTTTGCCATATCAAGGGGCCACGGCCGGGGAAGCAGTCTGGGGTACTTTGTTGGAGTACAATTCGTTCGGGAGACAGGGCTAAAGTGGGGAAGTATGTAAATAAATCAGGCTAAACGTGGGTAAATAGAAGGCGGGCTTGGGTACGGGCTGGCTAAGCTCGGCAGAGTGACCACGTTTAATCGAGCAGCCACAGGCTCTTGATACCGCAACCGCATCGTAACGAGCCGCTTGATCTGCCCATATTGCAGCTGAGCGTGAGATACTCTTGAAAAAATCCATTTGATAGGTCGACAGTCGGCGCGACGGGACGGCCTCCCCGCATTAAACGCACGGTAATCTTCCCTGCGGCCCAGAAGCTGTGCCCTTGACAGGGTCAACTGCCAGCATTGTCCATTTCCGCTCAACAGGCCACGACCGGCGTAGCATCGTGAATTTCCAGACCACAGGGAACGCTGTATCTCTTCCTGGATATGACTTTTCTCTGGATCTGGCCTCCGGCGACCAGACAGAATCTTTCTGGAATGCCAACTCGAGGCACAGCACCGGGAAATCGGTTCATACTTGCAGATTCCCCAGTTCTAGAGATCCCTTTCCCCGGTTATCATGAAGATTCTCGTTGCTTTACCCAAAAGACTCTTTATCTGCCTCAATCTAGACCAACATTTCGATTAAAGATTTCCTCTTTTGTAGGTCAAACCCGGGTACATCATTAGAATATCGACAAAAGCATCTGTGTAACTCCGGAAGAACCCATTCATCTCACGTTGGCTTCAATATCTCCCTTTCATCCGTCAAGTAAGTCTCTGGGCTCATAAAATGATGCTTGCATTTTTCCGCTCCCAGGCGAGACTCAAGCGTCAAAGAATAGTAGAACACGTGATGCAATAGTGCTGTTTGCACTTAGCAAGATAATCTGGGGTATTATGATCCACAATGAGATAAAGTCTAACGTTTCGGAAGAATGAAGCCAATCTAGGGCCCGTCCGTCTCATCTGTGGCTTCTCATTTTGGGTATTGAATAGCAGTTGATCGTATCCTGCGACTGGTCTGTCTGAATACGTTGGGCGGAGATCTCGACCAAAACATGAGAGTTGATCAACCAGAACAAATTCTGACGAGTCCCAAGACCACTTTCTGTAACAAAAGAAAGGTCTATCTTGTTGGAAAGGAACTGCCATATTAGTTCGAAGATCCAGCCAACATTCCCAGAAACAATCAACCAAATCATACTTACTTCCAACAACAAGCCCGCCTACTCGCATAGCGGCTGACCTCCTTCACAGAGAATGTGACTGCGACACTTCGTATCCAAAACATCTCATTCGCTAGACACCCTTGTCTATCCAAAGATTCGGAAGTTTGGCTCACGATCGCCCAGCAAATTGGGGCGTCCGAGCCTACGGGAAAAGTTCAAAGGCTGCTGTCAGCTGCAATCTGCCTCAAACTCTTTCCTGTCATACGATTCCAAGAGACGATCCTTCAGTTCAGAACATGGGATGATTCGACTCTTCCTCAATCTGTTGCTGGACGTACTCACGTGAAAAGTACCGTCGTAGGTACCTAACAGGTCAATGTTTAGAGACAACCTGTCAGCAAGCCATAAGCCATTGCAGGATGTAAGCCACACCTCACAGCATACTTGCCACATGGCATGCATGGCGGGAAGGGAAGGGGTAGGATGCAAGCCAAGTCAAACCGTACTTTCGATATACTGTCCCTCGGTTTCCGAATCCAGCGAGTGCATCCACACCACGGCGCTAAAAATGTCCCCCACAGACACTCGACACATCCCACAGCCTTGCTCTCGCACCCAATCCCCTCCTACGACCTTTCTAACCAATTGAGTCGGACTAGCTGAGTGGCGTGCATGATATGCGGGTCCACTTTCGGTCCTTTAGTACTGTCTCTGTGAAAGGTTTCGTCTCCGAGCGCGAACAGCTGTTATCTGTGTTTGGATGTAAGCTTAAAAGAAGCGGAGAGAAGGAGAGTTTCTCAGTACCGACAGCTGCTCTAGTTGTAGATCGTGCAACCTTAAGTACACTTGTACCTTTGTGCTATCCTGGAAAAATGGGGACATTTCATTCCAGACTCTGACGGGGCCGAAGGTTCGGACATTCCCGTATCTTGTCTGTTAGAGACTTCTCAGTTCTCATCCTGGGTGTACATGTGCCTCTCTACCTCGAATCTACGTTTAGTATCTGCTCTCAAGAGGTGAGACTACAACCTTGATCCACCATCAGACCAATTCAGAGCAGGAGTCCGCCGTCGTACAAGGGTAATCTGTCAGATATCCCAGACACTCAACCGCCTCAACTATCTCACAAAAGACTTCATTCGAATCCAAGATGCGCCAAAACAATACCCGGATGCCAACTGCAGATTCCGGCTCAAGACTGTACAACACCAGCGGCTTCATCCGTTTTAGCACCCGCCTCCTTCCACCCCTATCCTTTCGTCCTGCACTCTCGCCTCAAAATATCAGAATCCCATCTTCGTAATATTCCTGATCCTGTTTTTACGTACGAGTCATTCTATTTTGCTGCGACCAGTGTCCGATCCTACTTTGTTAACCCGTGTTATGTCAAGAGCAAGAATTGGAAGGCTGGAGGGAACTTGCCGTTACTCGGCTCGTAGGGACGGATTTCCGAGGGCTTAGTGAGCGTTGAGTGGATGAGTCTATTTGAAGAATTTGGGGTGAGTATTGGATGGTAGGGGCGGCCGATGAATTGAAGTAGGGGGCTGTAGGGCGTTATTCGAGGCTCTCGTGTTAGGCTTTCGAGGGTTTACCTTGGTGGGGGTTTGTTGACGCATCCATAGCTGTCTTCAACGACACAACATCATGACTTGTGCTTTGTTGCCCCTTTGAACATTCTTTTCGCCAGGCCCAGTTCTTCAGCGATGAATCCTTTCCACACTCGCCTTCTCTTGAACAGTTGAGTCATCTTGGGGTTTCGGTGGGTTTGCCAATTGCCTTTGGGGTGGCATTCCGCAGTCCGATGGGCAGGTACTTTCTCGTATCGCCGCTGGTCTCAGACATATCCCCCAAGCCTTCAGAATATTGTTCGGCCTTGGTCACTGAATCTAGGCACACCCTCTTCCAAGCCTCCAAGCCTACGAACAGTCGGCCGCCCAGCGAATAAGCCCAACAACTCTCAGAAACCAAGATCCTTCGGGCCCACCAAAAGCTGCGAATGCTGTAAAATTTACCCTTCTTCACACAGGGCTCTCCAGAGCGGTCCGAAGGATGGTGGGACTTTGTTGTCAATCATTAATTTGTCTTCGTAAGTACAATCATATCTCAAGTTATCCTAGGGAAGGGATCCTCCTCATACTTCTGATAAATCTAAGTCGCTCGTATATACATTCCCCCTCGATTCGAATCCACCCCCTGCAGCTTGAAGTTATTCCAATCTCTTACTCTGGCACAATCGGTCCAACACTTCTCCAAAAGTCACATCTCGTTCCTCTACCACCCTCCCATGAGAATGCATCCACCAGCGTAAAATTATTCCTCAACCCCGGATTTCGATACTGGGTAACATTGAGAGGCGTGCCATTAAAGGTAACTCCTACAGCACTATACTCCTCGCCCCCAGTCTCGTTCAAATTCAGTTGATACGGACTGGCATTCGTATATGCGGGCCAGTCTATGAGAGACTGGTTGTTGCTTGATGCCGTCGTGGATGAGTTGCCTGCTGCGATAGAGGCGGATATTGCTGGGTTGTCTTGGGTTATAAAGTTGCCGAAGATGGCTGTACGATTTAGTGAGATAAACTGGGAATATGAAGTTCAGAGAGGTACGTACTCATGAAGGCTCGTATGAAGTCCGGCCCCTGCTGTGGCATGCTCTCGGGACCGAAGTACCCTGTTTGGTCTGTGCCGTGGAGAGCTGCTGGAACTGAGTATTGGCTGAGTGAAGATCTCAGAATCAGTATTCTCTCACTGAATGATAATGGCGGGCATAGAAACTAATTCCAGAAAGGGGTCAAGGTGTCTGGGAAGGCCGATCCAGACCAAAATCCTCTTAATATACAAATGGAAAGGAGGAGAAACAGCTACGACCACTCACTATTTCCAGCCTTCACGGCCCTTGTTGGTGTACGCTTCGGCAAGCCAGTATGAAGGACATACGAATGTCGTCTCAGCATAGATATTCTGGTCAAAGTCAGTACTCGTTCAAGAGATTAAGACCAATATACCCACATTCGCCCGTTGCTGTTGACCAGTGGCAATTGAGCTCACGTTACTGGCTGTGGCACCTGTATACCCCGATGTCGCGTAATCAACAGCGTTCATGTCGTCGGTAGCATTACTGCCTGGGTAGTATCGAAGGACCTTTGAGATGTCGTCTTCAGTGAAAAGCGGGAAGACTTCTTGAATCCACGACACCAATTCATCTTCCGAGGTGATGTTCTGCGGCACAAACGACGGACCCTCGAGTGCATTGTTCTGGCAATATCAATACGCAACCACGATAACTTCATGACACTAGAGAATTTCACATACTCCAGATAGTACTCTGAGCCCATTGACCTGCTTCTTCTGTAACTGCACGCTCGGAAGTTGCTGGATAAACCTTCCATCTGTCACTGGCAAGAAGCCCCAACTGCCATACGTTCCTGATGCAGAGATGAATGCACTTGCGTTTTGAAGTATAGCTGTGTCTTTTTCAACCAAACATTTGAAAACCGACTTCGCACTAGTCGGGCTACCGTATGCAAACCCGGATAGACACCCAGCCGCCGCAGCAAATGCATAGTAGCTCTGACTTGGTACCCAGTCATTATAGCCATACTGCATCGGCAGGTATGGCGACGCTGCAATGGCCTGTTGGCAAGTTCAGTCACAAACACCCTGTACCATGTTGGACTTATGACTTACATTTGTGAAGAGCGATGTCCCCAGAGTACCTCCATAAGCCATAGCTTGGAGCATCACTGAGCCTCCACCAGCAGACAACCCAGCAATAGTGACTTGTGAAGCATTCCCGCCAAAGAGATGGATATAGCTCTGAACCCACTGCAAAGCAAAAGTTTGGTCCCTGATGCCAGCGTTTGGTACGCCAAATCGATTGACCTCATCAGATGACAAAAATCCAAAAGCTCCCAATCGGTACTGAATGCTGACTCCAATAAAGCTGTCGTTATTAGTTCGGATGATGTCTGCAAGATTTTGACTCCCATTTCCTTGGCCATAACCACCGCCATGGATCCAGACAAAAACAGGGAGATTTTGAGGGTTCTGTGTTGGTGCAAAGACATTGAGGAACAGGCAATCTTCAGAAGCTGATGGCCCATTCGCCTCCTCCAATGTGGCTGTGTCTATGCCGAAATTCGCGGACGCCTGTGGACATTGATGAGGAATTCCGTTGGCTGATATAATGCTGCTTCTATTGAAGGCTGGAGTTTGAGGTGCTTGCCAACGTAAGTTGCCTATGGGTGGAGCCGCATATCGAATGCCTTTCCATTCATTTACCCCGCTTTCTTCATTGGATAACCCTTCATAGATCGCGTATCCTAGATCAACTTGCAAAGACGAAGTATTGTCATTAGGCGATTGCCGTCTTCTGAGGGCTCCGTCGAATGGCCTGGGGTTGAAAGCAGCACAAAAGGAGGTAGCGAGTACCAATCCGGTCAGGATGGAGAGCTTCATTTTGCAGGACACGAGGAAAGTGAAATCTAAGATGTGGGAAGCAACAAGCCATTTTATACTTGCCATGTGGAAACTCCGTGCTTACGACCATCGTGGACATCCGGAGAACTACCCCGCAGAGCTTCATGGCACTAACTCGTCACACAATCCAGGAACAGCGGAAGATAAAAGAGTGTGTGCCAAAGAGAAGATCTATATCTTTGAAAGATAAGTCTTTCGAAATCCCTTTCCGGCGACTTCATGACTTCAAAGTACCATCATGACTTTGCACCTTCGCCAATTCCATATTTATTGCTCCCTCTGCCAGCAAGTTCAAACAGAAACTCAGAACAACTAGCTCTCGACGAGATAGAAACATGCTGATCCAACTCCACTTCTGGATATATCGGTATCATGGGAGTTGCAGAATGGTCGCATGCAGAGCAACGGTCAAGTGATGACGTTGATGCCACGAGCGGGGAGAGTTGCACGCCGTCACGGAACTAGGCCATTGGCAGCAAGTTAAGCGTTTCCGACAGGTACGACTGCGAAATGGTTGGTTAGAGTTCGTCCTAACTAAGATGCGTTACTGTTAAATATAGGCGGAAACTAGGGGGAGTTTTCGCATGATAGGAGAGGATCAAAGATGTCTGTATCAAGTGAGAGAAGAAAGTAGGTGGCTGCGATCTGAATGTGGTTCAGGCGTAAGCGACAGCGGAAAATCATTTACCCGCGATCGTGAAGCTTTCTCTGCCTCCAATACAACTACTCCAAGAGCTAATCCCATCTATTGGTAGAAATCTATGAAGAATCAAGACATTTCTTTACGGTCAGAACTGGCCCTGGCTGAACGTAATACCCCCCTCAATCGCACACCCTGTCACACTTACATGATCCTCTCTAGGATACTCCTTCTTCTCCAGCTTCTCAAACCTTCCACTCTTCTGCAGCCTCTCATACATCTCAATAGCATAATCCTTCTGCCTCGCAACCTCAGCGATCTTCCTTCTCGTCTCCCACTGCTCATCCGTCTGCAGCTTACCACGCACAGCAGGTTGCTCGTTCCCTCCCCAGAAGAGCGCCAACCTCCTCTTCTTCGCGCCCTCCTTCTCCGCTTCCGCCAGCCATGCCGTCTCCTCTTTGATGATATATTGCGAGTTCCATTCTACCGACGCGCTGGCCGCTATATAATAATCGAACATATCTGCGCGGGTGAACAGAGCATGGAGTGCGAATAGACCGCCATACGAGTGTCCCCAAAGAGTCTCTTCCTCAATTGTCACACCTGGCAGAGCTTCAGTCTTGACGAACGGCTTAAGCTCGTCTTGTATGAAATCGAGCAACTTGTCCGCGCCGCCATATAGTGTTTTGTGTGGCTTGCCGTCGTGTCCTGGTGGCCATTCGCCCATCTCGCATGGTGGGGTGAGGTCTACTCGTCGCTGCTCGTCCCATAGCCAAATAGTGTCTTTCATCTGGTATCCGATTCCGACGACGATTACGTCGGGTGCTTTCGGTGCGCAGCAGGCTCTTCGTCGTACGGCTTCCATGGTGCTGTAGAAGAAGGCGTTGCCGTCGGTTACGTAACTTATTGGATGAATTAGTACCTTGAATGAGGCTTTTGGGAGGGAAAAGCTCCTTCATACATTACGTTGGCTTTCTTTCCTGTGAAGTCACCCTCTTTCTCGAATTTCCATTGCATGGGATATGCGATCATGATCTGGTATTTTACGCCTTGGGACGACGATATGTTCCATTGTGCGGTGTGTTTCGGCACACACGGTGAAGCTTGTGCCATCTTGCTGAAGAATCTCTGGGGTATAGACAGTAATCGACAGTGCTGTCGTAGATGTCCTTGAAGTAATCCTGATGTTGATATATTCAAAGGTAGGCTTCGTACGCGGCACAGCATAGATAGGTACTAGAAAATTGCTCTCATAACTTGGCAAAACGAATAAAGTCTGGTTTCTACATTTTCAAAGTCCTCGTCGGCGATGTCGGGTGAGGAGGGTCGCCAAGTCTCGCATGTGTACCTGCATTACGCTATCAGATCATCTGATAGCGTTTTTGATGGACCCTCAATATCGCTCGCCACAATAATTGGTTGGCTTTGTTGACAGTGGAGTTTATCCGGTCTTTTCGAGTAAAGATCTGATAAGATTACTTCTTTAGTGCCCCTCTGTGCCCCTCTTCGCCCAATGGCTTTGGCACTGTGGGGTATGGGAAACAGATACCTGACTGTCCTAGGATTCTTTTGGTGCTGGACAGCTATGCTCCAGTGGTATAGAGAAATTTTATCTTCTATCTGTGAATATCAACATGATAGTTCTCGTTCTGTATGCAGTTGCATTCAATTTTTGAGACGAACTTCTTGCACTCAAGGCAGATTGGAAGTTGCTGTCACTGTCCTCCAAGCATAGGTATGTTAGATATGAAAGGCTGCCATCACTAGGACGAATGTCAGTAGTATGTTTCGTCGCCCATTATTATGAAGTTTCAATAGCTTCATTGCCAATACTGTCATGGTCATCACTTTGTCCAGGAGTCTGTCAAAGAACAAGGTTTGGACAGAATAATATTCTGGAATGACCACCAAGCACCCGAACAGAATAGGTTTCGAAAAGTTCCCTCACTGATGAGAACAATCTTCTTGGATCTATAGCATCTCCACTCACCTTCGCCAACCTTTGCATCAAGTCGAATGCAGAGATCTGCTCCTCTTTGCTCTCCGCCAGCAGAGAGGAGCAGGTTCTGTGTTTGAAGCTTCAATGTACCTGTCTAAAACCGAGGTCTAGGACTATTGAAAGTTACTGAAGCTATTGGTGAAACAGGTCAGGTTATCTCTAAAATATTAAGTATATGATGCCTGGATTGAAGATTTCCATTTTCTGTCCCTACTCGATGGAAGCTGTAATCTCAGATAGTTTCTGCTCGAGTCATGTTTGGACAGCTATGCATGGAAAGCAGGGCAGACTTCAATCTTGTGATACCTAAAATCTCCTTCATCAGTATGATCCATTAATGATCTTGTTGTGAGCTTTCAAGTGAAGCGATGATGAGAACATCTTTCCAATACTTACAACGTTTGAATCGCAACATGATCTTCGAGCTCTTACAGAAGAAAAGTCATACCACTGAACATTACACTCGTCCTGCCGGTACATCAACATTCATGGCTGAAAGTCAATATATTATATCTCGCGGAAGACTCCTTGAAGGGAATAGGTAAAGTTTGTCCTCCTCCCCCAAATGATACAAGGCTAGGCCGGTTGGAGGCAAGACCATCCATCCCCGCGCTTGACCCTTCTCGTCCACTTTTCGGCGGGGCCCAGGCCTCTGCCGTCGCGCTTATTGGCCTCTGCCCAACGCCTTGTCTGCTCTGAGAGCGACAACATCGTACGATTTTGCTCAACAGCATACGATGCTGCGCAGTCCTACCTAGTCGCAATACAAAACACATCCGGGCCACCATCCCCCTCACACTTTCCCGCATCGCGTGATTTATCCTTGTCTCGATCGATGCGTGCAGCCTGGATGTCCTCGGATCATTAACCATCAATCAGCTCATTTCCCTCCCTGACAGCATAGCATAGCATAGCATAGCATTTCTCACCCGCCTTACAGCCAGCAACGGACGAAAGATGGCTTCTGCTGCTCCAAGGGATCCCTTCGACCCGACTGCCTTCTCTGGCATTGCTGCAGGCTTCGACTCACTGAACGAATTCAACGACTCGGTACCTTTCACCGACACGCTGGCGCTGGACGACGACCCTCTCTTCCCAGCTGATTGGGATCAAGAGACGCCCCCTTACGACGGGAACCTCTACTCTACTCCCCTCAGCTGGGAGCCTCCCACCGAGCCTAAGATCGAGCCGATTCCATCAGCACCATACACGACCATGAACACGCTCACTCCGGCGCAGCAAGAGAAACTCCGCAATATCGCCATGCCCCAACACCTCCAGTATCGAAGCCACAACAGTCCGCACTCTACCGCAAGTACCAAGAGCCACTCTATATCCTCACCCGACAACAACGAGCGCAGCCGAAAGCGCAAGTCGTCGGCAGATGTGGAAGACGACGATGATGACGATTCGAATCAGCCTGTGAAGAAGACTGCACACAATATGATTGAGAAGAGGTATCGGACGAACTTGAACGACAAAATCGCTGCGCTGCGGGACAGCGTACCGAGTCTACGAATTATGTCAAAGAGTGCAAGAGGAGAGGACACAGCGGACGACAGGGAGGAACTCCAAGGCTTGACTCCAGCTCATAAATTAAATAAGGCGACAGTAAGTTGGGCTGGATTTTATTTTCTGTGTTACAGGGCGTTGGTTTGGCATTTAACCGCCAGAATCAGGCCATTTATCAGCAACTTTTAATTCGAGTTTTATGGTTGCACTGGCAGTGGGACGGAGGCATTGTTTGATTGTCTCTGCTGTTGCACCTCTCAAGTGAGGGATGAATCCGGGCGGTTCTCGTGGGACCAGAGATGGTCCTGGTGCCTGTGATGCTGCGGTACTCACAACCCACCCGAATTTTCCTTTCTTTTTCCATGACAGGAATTTCAATTGTCGAGATAGAATATCTGAGCGTCTACAACTGTGTTCCGGTTGATCCGAACATATAGCTGATTGCCCTCCAGGTATTAAGCAAAGCGACGGAGTACATCAACCATCTAGAGAAACGCAACAAGCGACTCCAGGATGAGAATGTGGAGCAAAAGGCAAGATTAGCAGCTTTCGAGACACTTTTCCGCTCTGGCTCGATGGGTTTCAATCCAGCACCGCCGATGAACAATCCATTCCAATTCAACCCTGATTACAGCACTCCGGGTCCATCACCTGGTGGTATGGAGCCACAGGGTATCATCCCAATTCCAGATGATATTCGAAGACTGCAAGGTTAGTTCTCTTGTTGATCCATATTGTCGTTTTCGCAGAACGACAATGAAAATGCTTGAATGTCTTGACGAGTATTGACTCAATTTAGGTCAAATGAGCCAGCAAACCTTCCCAGTTCCACAAGAGCATTACCGCCAAGCAATGGGTCCCAATGGATGGAACAACGGCTACTTTGGCAAGCTGATGGTCGGCTCTCTTGCAGGCTTGATGATCATGGAAGGATTCAGCGAAGCCGAGCAAGAGCAAGATGCTCCTGGAGCACGGGGTCTATTTGCTTTCCCTGTGCAGCTTTTGAGATCGCTCAGCTCAGCATTACACTCTTCGCTCGAGGTCAACACCATGGGCTATCATCTCTCTGCTGCCAGGATTCTAGGGTACTTGAAGCTCTTCTTCGTCGTTGGGGCAGTGATTTATGTTTTCTTACCATCTCTCTTCGCAAGCAAGCCAAAGGCCAAAGGCAAGACACAAAGTGCATCACTGGCTGCAGCACCCTCTCTAGCATCCTCAATTCAGGTGCGCCGCCAGGCTTGGCTCACTGCTATTCAGAGCGTTTGGGTACCACGACACAACTTCTTCCTAGAAGCAGCAGCTCTATTGCTGAAGATGGTAAAGCTCAGCACGAGAAATGTCATTGGAGTTCAAGGCTACACTTATATCACTGGCGTCACCCCACAACAAGAAGCAGCCAGAGTCAAGGCTTGGTCGATAGCTCTCGATGCACAGCTTGCTGGTGGAGATGTCGAGGTCAGCAAAAGTCGACTTACGTTGACCTTACTTGCCTCTGGCACTCTGCCCGATACCCCAGCTCGTCTCATGCTCAAAGCACTACACATTCGTGTCCTGCTCTGGGAGGTCGGCAATGCAGGGTTCAATGGCTTCTACATGTTCCATGAAGCGGCAGCCAAGATGGCTCGCTGGAAATGGAACGAGGCAAAGCAACTGCAGAAATTGGTATCTCATACCAAGGAAAAGCAAGAGGACGAGCTTCCAGAGTATCTTGCTGCCTTACTCGAGGAAGAGTGCGACGATGTCCTTGTTGATAGCATTGGACAGCGTGCATACAATCTAGCTTGGAATCTCCCAACTACTAGCAACGCTGAGGGTTCCAGCGACAGTATGGATGGTGTCGTCGATGACTTTGCCATTCGTAGCCCACTCGATGCTATTGCAGCTTGGTATTCCAGTCTTGTCCTCCAACGAGCTCTTGCCAAGAGTCTCCAGACCACAGAAAGCGATCTCGTTGCACAAAAGTCTGTCATCGACGATGTAGCACTTGCTATCAAGACAGCGCCTATCGGATCTCGGTCCCAAATCCGAGCACTCGTCGCCCGTGCTGTTTTAGTCAAAGAGAAGCGCGGCGCCAGTATTGCAGAATCAATAACAGCTCTGGATCCATTTGATAAAGGTCGTTCAAAGACTGCCTCGAATTTCATCAATACCAGTACTTCCGTGGTTGGATTACCAGACATCAAGATGTCTCTTCGATGCGCTATGGCAATTGCACATATCGACCGCTTCCCAGCACCAACAACTCCCAAGACAGCCATCGAGATCATTGGCACTATTTCCCCAGCCAACCTCACACTTATCGGTTTCACCGCGGCCTACAAGCTCATGGAACGAATGGACGGGCACGAAATTGTCGCGAATGCTTGTTCCCATCAGCTCGAGAAGCTAGCTGGTGGTTTGAGAATCTGGATTGGCGGCAAGAACGATGATACGGGTGCGCTAGATAAAGAAGTTAAGAAGGTCATGGTGGAGCGATGTTTGAGTATTTCGAGGAGGTTAGTGGGCATGAAGGATATGGGCTACGAGTCGATGAGTGATGAGGATGCTGGTGAGGGTTGTTGACTGACTTGATGCCTTTTCTCTTCCTCGTTTCTCAAAATACCTCCGGATCAGAGGATGGTATGTTTTATTATATACAGCGTTTACAATTTTTGGGAGCTTCAATAATGCATTCTCCATCCATCTATTTAAGCGTGTTTCGTTTGTCTATTTGTCTGTACATCGACAGGATGCTCAACAATCGTAGTCCATGAGGCATGATTTCGCATTTGGGTGAAGATGTTGGGCAAATTATGCACTGTCCTGCGTAACTGGACAACGCCAGTTTCGAAGCCAGCCAGACAATATCCGGCACTATTCCGCTGGCGTTTCACAGCATTCATACTAAATCTGTGACCAATAATAAAGACTTCAGGCCAGAACACCCACCTAGTTCATTCGAGCTGGTATCTAGCTGTGTCGCGCTAAAATTGAGGTCAACAACCAGATACCGGGCTATGTCGAGCTGGTTTATGGCTGCATCACGCTAAAATTGAGACCAGCAATGGGAGTACTTTTCCAGAATACCTCTCTGAGTCGAGCTGATATCTGTTGCATCACGCTAAATTTGAGGTCAACAACCTGTTGAGTTGAGTGGAGTTGATGTCTGGTTGCATTACGCTAAAATTGAGGCCGACTATCGCTTACCTCGCGAATCAAGGCGAGGCCCGGATTCAATACCAGCGGTGGAAGGGCTTCGTTTGTTTGCAATATTCCTCGTTCTTATATCGTTGAGTTTTTTCCCATCCTTCCTTTCAATCCCTCTCTCCATACCTTTTTGATCCTGAACTAGAAGTCTCCTGACTTTTGTCATGGCTTGGAACTCACTTGGGACATCCTTCCACTAGTCGGATGCGCAGCCTTTCCAGACAACGACATTTACCGGCGATGACTCTGGCTCGAATCACCAAGGAGATGTATCATATCGTTATGAGACAATCGATCCCGCATTGTTAGACAACAGACGTTACCCCTCGGTTACCGATCAGAACGAACTTGGCCCCGAGATCGAGCCACAATACGACTCTACGTACGACCGCATCCAAGATGTTGATAGTCAGGACCAGTCTTTACCGCCACCTTCTTTCCAAGACCCAACATTCATTCCTATCCAGAGCATTCAGATTACAGAGTCTCAGCCACAAGAAACCAGCGTACCACCACTCACCTGCGAGTTTTGTCCTTCCCTGTCTTTCTCCTGGCCCTATGAACTCAAGTTAGTTTTCCATAATTTTTGGACAGATTCTTGGCCTAAAACCGTATCTATAGCAAACATATGTTACGCCACACGAAACCTTACAAATGCCCTGATTTATCATGTGTCTATGCTACTGAGGGGTTCGGGGAAAAGAAAACACGCGACAACCACGTCAGTTCAATACACCCTGGTGGCTTTCCTGGTACTCAGCAGTTCTTCTGCACGATCAAATCTTGCCCACGGTCAGAGAATTACGGTACTGGCTTTCCGAGGAAGGATATGCGTCAGAGACACATGAAGTCTCATAAGGAATTGCGTGGACATGGATATGGGACTTGACTTGGTTCAGAGGATCACCACTCATTTTTTTGTTATGACTTAATGCATGATGATTGATGACTTCTGAAAAACATATACACGATATCACAAGTCAAGAGCTACTCTCCGCGAGGACTGAAATTGTGATATCTATTATTGTTCTGAGATGAGTGAAAGCACAGCCTCCGAAATAGCATGGTCAAGGTAAAACCCAATCATGACTCTGTCGCTTCTGATTTGAGCAATTAGAGTAGTAGCGTGGTTCACATTGCTTATTGCTTCTTGAACAGCAGCTAATGCAAAGCTGAACTGGAGTCTTAGACATGGACTGGCCAATCTCTTCTGATTGTCATGGATTCAAATTATCTAGCCCGCATTGCAGAGTGCTCCTGTATTTAAACCTCTCCTCTCCGCCTCATCCGTTACTACTTCTTCTTAACTATTTCCAGGATTGCTGCCTTCATCCTGACTTGAATCTCACTCCTCGCCACTTTTCAGCTCACAGAAGGTCAACTAAAACCATGCACAACAACGAAACTCAAGTTGGACATCCGCCAAGCAATGCTTCTAGCACTTGGACACTTGCCTCAGCCAATTCGGTCCATGACGAGGAAGGAGTTCAGCTGCTCGAACAACATTTGACTCTTCTTCGGAAGCCACCAAGTCAATATACACTTCCGGAGATAACAACCACTCCGATATTCGTCATGCCGATCTTGAGATACGCAGAAACACTGCTATCTCCTGACGATCCAAGACCATTTCCCCAATATGGTCTGTTGGGAGGCTTGTCTGAAGTCTTGGAGGCTCAAGAAGAGAGTGGAGCGTTTCACTCCCCGGATCCAAGAATTCTATTCAACGTTGCTTCTCCTTCGAGTACGTTTATTTGCGGCTCTCAGGGGTCCGGAAAGAGCCACACTCTTTCATGTCTTCTAGAGAACTGTTTGAGCAACTCTAGAGCAGGAAGGCTTCCGAGCCCACTGACTGGTCTGGTGTTTCATTATGACACATTCATTTCTGATCATGGAGGCTCGCCATGCGAGGCTGCTTTCTTGACTTCAGATCCAGAGATCAAAGTAAAAGTGCTTTGCTCTCCTACGAATCTCAGCACTATTCGAGTGAGTTCGATGCCAGAAGACCCGCTTCTATCTTACTACAGCTGCTAACCTTGAGATAAAATAGAACACATACAGACATCTCAATGTCGTAGTCGAGCCTCTGCAAATCAAGGAGTCAGACTTGAATACGAAAAGAATGCTCGAACTGATGGCCGTGAAGAGTGGAGAGCAAGTACCTCTCTACATCCACACCATCTACCGCATTTTGCGGGAGATGCGTATTATGCAGCAAGAATGCGGGACCCAGTTCAATTATCGCGAATTCAAGAGTCAAGTCACAGAGAGTGGGTTGGCTCCTGGCCAGATCATTCCATTGCAACAGCGTCTTGATGCCTTGGAGAGCTTCATGCCCAAGACACAAGTCTACTTGGGTAAAAAGGGGAAGAACAAGTCTTTGCTTACAGTGGAGCATGATTGGAGTTCGAAAGTATGTATACAATGCAGAATTTCCAAATGCTCTTACTAACTGTCCTAGCCTGGTCATCTCACTATCGTCGACCTATCCTGCCCCTGCGTGACACCTGAGACTGCATGCTCGCTGTTCAATATTTGCTTGAGCTTATTCGTCGAGCAAAGCATGGATCTGGGTCGTGTCATTGCTCTTGATGAGGCACACAAGGTACGTGCAAATCATAAACTACCTTCCAAATCACTAAAATCTACAAGTTCATGGACGCCTCTCCAGAGGCTCTGACACTCACCAATACCTTACTATCAGTGATCCGACTACAGCGTCACCTTGGTGCACGCATTGTCATCTCAACCCAGGAGCCAACAATCTCTCCACTGTTACTCGATTTATGCTCTACCACCATTGTTCATCGCTTTACCTCGCCAGGCTGGATGCATGCCATCAGGAGCCACTTGGCAGGTGGCACGGAACAGGAACCGGAGAATGAAACCGGAGGAGATTCAAGCTCGTATGAGAAAGTCCAGAAGGGTAAAACCTCAAAGATCTTCGATGAGATTGTCAAATTGCGTGTCGGACATGCGCTCCTCTTTTGCCCAGCTGCAATGATAGGTTTGACTCGGAAAAACGATGGAGAGACAGAGACGGAGAGGCTGGGGTCTGGCTACCTGAAGATCAGAATCAGGAACAGGTTGACGACAGATGGGGGCAGGAGTGTGATGGCTACTTGAGGGCGTGGGGTAAAAGATTTATCCTTCTTTGAAACTTACGATCAACAATTTTATACTTCCCCTTTCATTCCTTGATCCCCAGAATCTTGAGGCGAAACACAACTATCACAAATCATTGCCTCTGCGTTCCAGACACCCTCATTAAGTAGCCATTGTAAGCAAGCAAGAAACTGTCGCTCATTCCGAATCCGAATACTGTTGTTGACAAACAAGAAATCCGAGTCCCGAAACACAAGCCCGAAGCTGTCTTCTGAATTAAGGAGATCGAGGAGTTTTGACCATGACGGAAGTTGAGTGTCAGGATTGACTATGCTGTCAATCGTGATGATGTCCTGCTTCTTCTGGTCCCTTTGGTCCTTGAAACGAAAGACCATCGACGAGATAGACTTGCCGGACTCCGTCTCCAAAGAATTTTGCCTTGTACAAGTAGATGTCAAATCGCTGGCACTGCTGTATCGCGAGTTATTAGATGGTGACTCAATATCAGCCAGAGCTTCGTGACGCTCTGGAGCAGCGTCGCCAGAAGCAGAGGCAAAATCAATCTTGACTCCACCACGTCCAGCACAATCTGGGATCCCCGTTTTCCCCAATTCAGTCAGGCCAGAAAGCGACACACCAGCTGTCGAATCTGCAGGCATAAGTCTTTTCAGCCCAAGACGACCGATCAACTCCTCTCGTGCAATCTTCTCCATCATTACGCTCATGTCTAGCGTGATTTGTTTGTACTTCTTGTACACTTGAAGATCCGTCGATGGAGCAGGTATCCATGATGGATACAACTTCTGATGGCAAGATGAAACATAGAAGCCGCTTGGATGAGTCTGGAGGAATCGCCAGCACAGGTAACAAGACTTCTTGCTCACTCCTATGAATCTGACATGAGGTCGTAGCGTCGGATTGTGATCGTAGAAGCTGATCAGCTGTATTTCGGCGTGGGTAACTAGCATTTCCGGACATGAGTCTCGGAAGGTGGTCTCGGGATTATTGGTGCTCCAAATACTAGAAAGTCGAGGTATCGCGTCTTCTACCCTGACTTCTGGTACTCGACGCAGGACGCGATCAAGCGGTTTCTTGTCATCCTGGAGAGCGTAATACACCCTTGGAGGTGCAGATACAGCCTCAACTATCATCGAATCGAACAGAGCCGGAAAATTGATTGAGGTTTGAACGAAAGCCCTCGCAGCAATGCCGTACCGCCCGAGTTTGAAGAGTACTTTCACCCAGCGGGGTAGACAACCATTTGGACCGGCAAAAGCAAGTGAGAGATACTTGTAGTATGCTCGCTTTGCCTTCTGTGCCCAAACAATATATCCCAGCAACACCGTCGGTGTCAGCTCGTTGGGCAAATTTCTGATGGAGAAGAGTTGTTTGAACCAATCCAGAAAATTTTGAATTGATGGCGACGTCGCCTCCGACGCTATATCTACCAGTCTAGATTGTACTTCGAGGATCTGTACATCGAAGAAATTGTGTGAAGTCTTCAGACGCTTCATGTAATCTCGTATCTTGACAACGTCAAGTTGGATAATCTTCAACAGGACAGCTCTCTCCAATTCAGAGGGGTCAACATCTACACATTTACAGTGTTAGCTTCTCTACGAAATGGTTACCCGGAGAACATGCCTTTCATAGCTTTGTTCCCGAGCATATCCACAAGACCCTGTAAAGATCTGACTGTGTCCGGGGCTACACCGCCATTGCTAGCGATTCTCACTACCGTGCTTTCCGGCTGCCCTTCTTCTAGACATGCTGCCGAGACGGACTTTGGATCTTTCTTGATAGCGCAGATAAGTGCGAAAGAGTCAAGGAATTTGCGTTTCAAGAACAGCTCTTGGGGATGGTCAAGGAGATTGGAGTCTTTGTCTAGACCGTAGGCTGAGGGCTCGGCTCGGACGGGGTCTATGAGGTACAATAGGACGGCTCCCTGGATGAAGCGATCTCTTAGATTTCCGGTTATCTCGTTTGTGACCATTGTGTATTAGGACTGATTTGAACAGTACATGGGATGGGGAAGAACGGAAGAGTGAAGGAGGCAGAAGGAGACAATCCAAATTCGAAGCTCTTAAAGTCGCCTGCCTAATTTCCTCAGCCAGCATAGGCCTCATTCGTCACATCTCAGTCAATCAAAACGAGGCACGTCTTTGCGATGACTGGCATGGTGTGGGGTTGGTCGAAGAAGTGGTGTTACAGTAATTCTGCAGTTGGGACAGGACTGTCGCCAAATAACTGCTGCATTGCATTGCAGGACATTGTGCATTGTAGAGTTTAAGTGGGTTGGATCCAAAATCTGTGGGTGTGCTGATTTTCTGCCCTTTGGCGTATTTCGGCTCTGGAGGTGGTTACCCTCCAAATCGACGGAAACTTCACGTTGACGACTCCTTGCAAATCGTAAAATGGATCATTGATGTGAAGATGTCTAGCGTCCCCAGGTCTTTTCAGCATCTAATGCCCTTTCCTCCCGACTACTCGATAAACGGAAATCCAAAACCCGATTTAAATCCGAAGACAACCAAGAAACATTTTATCTCTTGTCTCATAAATTCATAGCATTTCTTCTCTGTTCAACCCATAATCTTGAATTTCCTTGGATATACCAATATCTATACCAATATCTATAACAAATGCCCTCTCTGTAACAGCCCCGTCATCCACACCAGCATTTCCTTCGCTTCTCCGAAGACTGGAACCCCTGTCAAGCCGGCTCGCCTATTGCCCAATGATTGAATGCCATACAGAAGCTACCCAATGAGGTACAAGGGATGTCTTATCGCGCCAGAACGATCCACTTCTCGCGATAAGATAAGAGCTGGTGAACTGCATTTCCTCGGTCAACTTGACTTGACGTCCAACCCACTGCAACGGAGCAGCCTTGGAAGATATTCGCCCAGACTGTCCACACGCAAACCAAACCAGACAGGCTACGCTGATAAGCAAAAACAAAGGCTCTTCCATGCGTATCTGCGTCTGCGGGTGCGGGCCAGCCCTTCCCTCTACTGGAGATTAAGAGCTTTGATGTTGCTTCTCCGGCGGCCTGGCCTGCAGACATGGTAAGAGGTGGTAGGTAATTGCCAATTGGATAAGCTGGATTGGGTAGGAGGGGTGAGAGGTGTTTCCGAGGATTTACGTTGCACAGGCTCTCCTGAATGGAGAAAGGAGGGGCGTTTGGGGATGTGCGGGAGGTAGGAGATGCTAGATACTGTGCTGTGGTGTTTTGGCTAGGTAAGTAGGTTTGATTGCGGGATGGTAACTAGGCTGGTGAGTTTATCTTGGATAGGTATCTTTCTGATCTTCTTGTATTTCTTTCTTTTCTCAGTTTTGCTACATCCCTTGTTTTCTGATTGTGTTTGTGCTTGTGCTGCCTGTCATTGTCTACCTATATGAGCCAGGAAAGGAATAAACGACAGATTAACAGGAAAGGAAGGAAGTACGCATCGTGTGATACTTGATTGGCTCATCGCCTACCTGCTTCACTGTTTAGGGGTTTATGATACAGCACTCGGAGTGAGGAAAGAAGAGTAGACGGTCCCCGGTCTGGAATATCAACATGTCGGGCAACTGGCAACCACAGCTGTCGGCGACAGAGATCAATGGTGGGCCCACTGAGGGCGGGCCTGATGGCGTGAATGGTTCCGAGAATGATAGCCATGGAGGCCCAAGGAAGAAGATTGTTATCGTGGGGTTGGGAATGGTGGGAATCAGTTTCATGTGAGTGCTTCTCACCAGGACGCGCAATTGGGCGAGAAGATTTCAGCGCTGACAAGTGTTGTATAGCGAGAAGTTAATGAAACTGGATGCGAAGAGACGAGAATACGATATCGTTGTTATTGGCGAGGAAGCACATCTGGCATATAACAGAGTTGGTCTGACAAGTTTCTTCCAACATCGGAAAGTAGAGAATCTATATCTCAATCCAAAGGAATGGGTAAGCGTCCCAAACCGTTCGTCCGCAACTCAGTAGGTGGCTGATTCTCTACCCAAATAGTACTCCGCCGTCCCAGAAGGATCCTTGAACTACCACCTCAACACCAAAGTCACCGAAATCCACCCGGAACAAAAGACCGTCTCTACCTCCTCCGGCGAAACAGTCCACTATGATATCCTCGTCCTAGCAACAGGTTCAGATGCCCTCCTCCCAAAACACACACCCGGCCACGATGCAAAAGGTGTCTTCGTCTACCGCACAATAGAAGATCTACAGAACCTCATAACATTCGCAGCAGAAAGAAAAGGTACACATGGCGCTGTGGTTGGTGGAGGTCTGCTCGGTTTGGAAGCCGCGAAGGCTATGATGGATTTAGAATGTTACGAAAAGGTGAAGCTTATTGAACGGAATCGGTGGGTGCTGAGTAGGCAGTTGGATGGCGATGCTGGTGGTATTGTGGTCGAGCAGGTCCAGGATCTTGGTCTGGAGGTTATGCTCAGCAAGAGGGTGGGCAAGATTGAAGTCACAGAGGATAACTGCGTAAAGGGAGTTGTTTTCGAAGATGGAGATCGTATGGATTGCTCGACTATCTGCTTTGCTATCGGCATCAAAGCGAGAGATGAATTGGCTCGCAAAGCCGGCATCAAATGTGCTGATCGTGGTGGTGGAATTGTTGTCAGTGAGGACCTCAGCACGAGTACCAAGCATATCTACGCCATCGGCGAATGTGCCAGTTGGGAGAACCAGACGTTCGGTCTCATCGCACCGGGTATTGAGATGGCAGATGTCCTGTCGTTCAACCTTACTCAAGCAAAAGTACACTCATACCGCAAGTTCAAGCGTCCAGATTTGAGCACCAAGCTGAAGTTGCTTGGTGTCGAGGTTGCTAGTTTTGGAGATTTCTTTGCGGATAGAGACGGGCCCAAACATCTGCCAATTCGGGCTGCGAGAAAGAAGGAAGGCACACAGAGTCCAGACGCACTGAAGAAGCTGACTGACGGTCCTGCTCCATCGCCTGTCAAGGCGCTGACTTACAAGGATCCTTTCTCGGCTGTGTACAAGAAGTACTTGTTTACATTGGACGGGAAATATCTCCTTGGAGGGATGATGATTGGAGATACTAGGGACTATGTCAAGCTGGTTCCCATGGTCAAGAATCAGAAGATGCTGGATGTTCCACCGAGCCAATTCATTCTCGGGGCTAGTAAAGAAGGGGATGAAGGCGGTGACGAACTAGACGACGATACCCAGATTTGCTCGTGCCACAACGTCACGAAAGGCGATGTAGTGACCAGCGTCAAAAATGGATCATGCAAGAGCATTGGCGACGTCAAGAGCTGCACAAAAGCTGGCACAGGTTGTGGAGGCTGCATGCCCCTCGTACAAAGCATTTTCAACTCGCAGATGAAAGCCATGGGCCAAGAAGTCAAGAACCACATCTGCCCGCACTTCAACTACTCTCGCGCCGATCTCTATAACATCATCTCCGTCAAGAAACTCAAAACACTCACCGAAGTCATGAAAGAGGCTGGCAACGACCCTAACAGTCAAGGCTGCGAAGCTTGTAAACCCAGCATTGGAAATATCTTTTCATCATTACACAATCACCACGTCATGGAGCGCCCAGTCCACGGTCTCCAAGAAACCAACGACCGCTTCCTCGCCAACATCCAACGTAATGGCACATTCTCTGTCATTCCTCGCGTCTCAGCTGGTGAGATCACACCCGAGAAACTCATCGTGCTTGGCAATGTCGCGAAGAAGTACAATCTGTACACGAAGATTACTGGAGGCCAGCGTATCGATCTCTTTGGCGCGAAGAAGCACGAGCTGATTCCAATTTGGAAGGAGCTAGTCGAGGGTGGCTTTGAGAGTGGACATGGATATGCGAAGAGTTTGAGGACGGTGAAGAGCTGTGTGGGAAGTACGTGGTGTCGATATGGTATTGGTGATAGTGTGGGCATGGCAGTCAGGCTTGAGGAGAGGTATAAGAGTATTAGGAGTCCGCATAAGATGAAGGGTGGTGTGAGTGGGTGTGTGAGGGAGTGTGCTGAGGCGCAGAATAAGGAGTGAGTGCCCCCTTAATCGTTTTATACTGGCTATCTTGAGCTCTATCCTCCTTGCTGGGGCTCAAGGAGGATTTGGCAGTGCAACTTGTGCAAGCGGGCATTGGAAAATTAGCAATCTCGACCTCTGGGACGTCATAACTGACGAATATCTAGTTTTGGTCTAATCGCCTCAGATAAAGGCTTCAATATCTTCGTGGGCGGCAATGGCGGTGCTACCCCAAAACACTCAGAACTCCTCGCCAAAGACGTGCCTCCTGATGATGTTGTTCCCGTATTGGACCGGTACCTAATGTTCTATATACGCACCGCCGACAAACTCCAACGCACAGCTCGCTGGCTTGAGAACCTGCCTGGCGGCATCAAGTATCTCCGTGAAGTAATTCTCGAAGACAAACTCGGCATCTGCGCTTCCCTAGAAGCTCAAATGGAAGAGTTAGTCGGTACTTTCTTCGACGAATGGGCTGGAGCAATCACAGATCCTGTCAAAAGCAAACAATTCACACAGTTCGACAACACGACGGAAACCCTCGAGAATATGGAACTAGAAGTCGACCGCGGACAGACAAGGCCCGTTTACTGGGCCAAAGACAGCGCAAAAGTCGACTTCAAGAATACGAAGTGGACGAGTCTTACTTGGCAACCTGTAATCGAAGCCTCTCACTTCCGCGGCGCCGACGATGCTCCCAACGGGATCAGCGCCAATATCAAGCGTGGCGATACCCAACTCGCCGTCTTCAAAGTCCGCGGCAAGTACCTCGCATCGCAACAAATGTGCCCCCACAAACGCGCCTTCGTTCTCTCCGACGGCCTGATCGGCGACTCCAACGACAAGCTCTGGGTCAGCTGTCCCTACCACAAACGAAACTTCGAACTCAACGGGGAAGATGCCGGACGGTGCCAGAACGACGAAGAGGTCAGTATTGCTGTTTTCCCTGTCGAGGAGCGTGAGGATGGATGGGTGTATTTGAAGTTACCGCCTATTCATGAACTGGATGGCGTGCTGGGTACGAAGAAGTGGATGGTGAAGAAGGGGGAGAGTGGGGAAGGGCCGTTTGAGAAGCTGGATAGGAGGATTGGGAGGAATGGCGTGGGGATGAAGGGGAGAAAGCCGTTTGAGGCGAAGAAGGAGTTGCTTGCTGCGGGAGGTGGGGAAAAGAATGGGGATATTGATTGGTAGGTGCAGTAAATTTGTAATGATGGAAGTTTGCAGGGTGTTTGTGTTATAGACGCGAAACAAAGACATTTCTATAAGAGTGTATATAGATATGAACGGAGCGATGGATCCCCTTGGTGCGCATAGTAGAACAAGCTGTTGTTTACACATTTCACTCGGTTATTCATTCTTGGTCGTGCATGCGTTATCTGCTGTATACCACTCGAGTCAGTTCACCCACCCTTAAAAGCGAAACTCCGCCGGCTTTAAACATGAAGCATCTCACGAGCCGAGCAGCTGCTCTTCAAGCAGTCACACATCGGTACGTCAAAGTGGTCCTATAGTCTTGGACACCACAAATCCAAAGTCTCCACCGACTGGTGACACCTATCGCATTCAATGACTCAAGGAGAAAAAAAATGAGTGACTTGGCTTACCATTTCAGGGCCGCCAAGTATCTGTGGCCGCGTCCCGAACGGAACATGCATGAAGTGATCTCCAGTAGCGGGGCTTGAGTAAGCGAACTTATCTTATTTCTACCTTGCTGGCATCGAGGCTCAAATATAGCATTCAGGCGATAGGAATATGATCGCCAAGCAGCGCATGGCGCGCTTCGCATGGGTTTCGATATGCATATTCTCTCTGTTGCCCTAAGCTGGAATTGAGTTCGTCTCGACATCATTGTACCTGTATTTGTACCACTTTGGTACAGACACAGGTGGGTGGTTATTTACGTTGTACGAAGGCGGAATAGCCTCATGAATAAGGTAAGCACGTCTATCTGGACATGTGACGGTTCCTGAAGCCAAGAGTAAAGTTGATACTTAGGGCCGGAGTCTGCTGTAACAACGACCTTTCCCGCCTTCTACGGCGGATTTAAGACTTCCGTGCTAGCAAGCGAGCCGCCAATGCGAATTCTTCGGCTCGGCTCTAAGGGGCGAACCTCTTTTTCTCTTCTCACTAGGTACCTTTCGTACCTACGACAGCCGACGAAGCAACGTCAGCTAAGTTATAACCTTACTTGGACCGAACAGGACGCGACAGTGTTTGTACATATGCGTATCGGCGCAGATCACACTGCCAGAAACTCTCCTCTCCCACTCTGTCCAGTGTTCTCTATCGCCCTTTAAGTTCTCACGATGTTTGCGCTGTGGATATCTTCAGCACGCACCTCCAGCATCACGCCACGAAACCCCAGATGTGTCAGTCGAAACAAGCACTCCCAGGGGTCCCAGCCCGCCCAACGGGGCATTCGCTCTCTCGCAACCAATACATTTATTTTCCCAAGCCAGAGCAAGCGAGGTCCCCTGCCAAATATGCATGCTGCGGCAATGCCGTGGCCTGTCAATGTCTGAGATCGAGTTCCAGCGTCGCTTGTCTGGCGAGACTGGGACTAGCCTGGTGCAGCACCGTTTTGATTTTGACGGCAGCTAAATCGAGATGGTGATGGTGACTGTTCGACGTTTGGGCGTTGGACGCGGCGCTGAGTGGATGGCCTTCTGGATGCCAGAGAATTTCCTCTTGGCTGCTTCCTGCGTACGTGCGTCTGTGGGTATCGTGTGGATACCAAGGTATGGAGTGGATGCGAGCCCGTGACCAGTGTCCAGAGCGAGTGGTGGGCGACTGGCGGTCCAGTCCAGTCCAGTCTCATAGTTTTTGTGTCTCTCTCTGTCTCTGCTTGCTCAACCCACTTCCTGGTATCAACAGCCTCTGATAGTGTCGCCGGCGGTCTACTATACTGTACTCTACGAGAAGTTGCTGGCTGCACTTGTACGAACGGCTCAACGATCGATCACGATGTCTAGTTCTTGAACTTTTAATTTCTTTCAATCCAGACCCCCATAGATTGGGCTTTTCTCTATAATATTACTTTCTTTACTTTGTCTACTTCGTTAATTACCCCTCGCCGCGATGGCTATTTCTGATGCCGTACAGACCCTTTCGGCGGCATTCGCTTTGTCAGTCTTCCTCCTTCCTGGACATGAGATGTATGTATCTGTATGTATGTCTAGGCTAACACGTTGTATCGTACAGTGGGATATTACTTCAGGCCGCGACGGGCGCTCTTTTCATATACTACCGAGGTCATGGCTCGACCATATTTCAGGACGGCCGGAGGCTGGTCCTCATTCTTTTCCTGTTGTTCGCCGCCCTGTGGGCGCAAATTCAATTCCTCAATCTCCTTCTTGCGGACACCATGGCGACGGCCTGCCAAGCAACCCTAATCATCTCGACGATGTTCGATCAGCTGGCGCGGGTCGGCATAGAGCAGTTTCTGATGTGGTCCATCGGGCATGGAACGAAGCTTACGGCGGAGCGTCTGATTCTTCAAGGCATATTACTGCTTAGGGTTGTGGGTGGTGGAGTGCTGGTGGGCTTTACGAGACCGCAGTTTAAGCCAGTGTGTGTGGCGCAGACAATGATTTCACCTCTTGCTGTGGTTGTCCTGGCGGTTGATGCGATTATCATTGGGGTCTTGATGGTGAGGGCGATGTCGCTGGGCATGTCCAAGGAAATGCGGGAGAAGAGCTCGAGTACGAGACAGGAGCAGAGCAAGGCGTTGATCTTCACCATCATTGGGCTTGCAATTTGGACCGCTGTAAGTGTATGGAGAGGGAGTCTGAAAACCGTCACTGACATGGCCGATAGACCAGTGTGCCCATGATCCTTGGGGTTCCAACAATCATACTCATGGTCCGAACGGTTGTTCCAGCAAACGGGTTGCTGATTCTCGTTGGTAAGTGAGAAAGATTGTTGATTATGAATGGCATCTTGACGAATTCTAGGTATCGTGACTATGTTCCCAGGGGCTTTGCTTCTGGCAAGAGAAGAGAACGGCACAACTCCCGAGGCGAGATCTCCTTTCGTGACACCGGCGCCACCACGCGAATTGTTTGGAGATAACGTCCCCAATAACGGATCTCCAGTCTCTACTAACAATACGTTCACCAAGAACGGAAGCTTGTTCGTGGTCAACCCATCGACTCCACACGACTCACCAACTGCTGTGTTTCAGAGCAGCTTTCGGAGGGATACGAGGGGATTTACGAAGCTTGGAAACGAGATTGATGTACACGAGATTGACGACAATCCTGTAGAAAGACCAGATCGTATTGGCGTTAAAGGTCCCGGATACCGTGGCTCCAGTGGAGTTTTCCCATCCATGGTTGCTGCTTCTCAGACTGGTGTTCAAGCAGCTCTTGCGCCTCAGATCAGACCGGCCGTACCAGCGAAGCCACAGCAGTCGGCAACATTCCTAGCACCCGCTGCTCAACAGAAGCGTTCCATGTTCAACTGGGGGAAATCCGCACCAGCAAAGCCAAATATCCGTGCTTTAGGAATCTCGAACCCGGTATCCCTTGATGTTGATGGAGCAGCAGCTCAGCCATTTGCTAAGATACAGACAATTGATCTAGCAACAGCGGCATCTATGGAGCGCGAACGTCGGGAGGAAGCCTCGGCCAGAGCAAAGCTTGTCGCAAACAGACCGGCTCCCCAACCACCTCAATTTCTAACGCAAGAAGCTCTGCGTCGAAGTGTCAGTGTCAAGCGGAAAGAGATGCCACCTCTTCCGAAAGAAGCAACGCCAACTGTACCAGTACCATCTATATCCGGAATTTCGGTGGTCGCTACAAACGGAACCAGTAGCTCCGCTTCGCTTTCCCCTGCTCGTGAAGAGGTTCGTCGGAGGTCACCCAGACAAGCTAACAGCTTCGACCAGACTTTCAACGAGAAGACAGTTCAACCAATCTTGCAGAGAAAGAGAACAGTTGGACTTCCTTCCAATCCTAGGTCGACAAGAATCACGATGGCGCACGAGGCTGCGATGGCTAAGCCCCAGACTGTTATGCTGATGAATGATGTCGTTTACGATAACCCAGGACTCGTCAAGACGATTATCCAGGAGGCCCCTAGTATTTACGCTGCTGCGCAGAAGAAGGATTTCGAGAAGTCCGCATTTTCTGAGACTACAGTATCCTTGAAGTCGGCGAACTCGGTCATTCATAGACCAAGGCCTTATAAGCGAGATAAACAAGATGATCGTGCTCTGTTCCCAAGCGAGCCATCGCCTGGCCACAGGAGGAGCAGATCTGGATCTTCTATTACGCCAAGGAAATCGTTTTTGACGTCTCAGCCCGGAAGCCCAACTCTACTACCTCGACTTCCGCCTTTACCACAACGTCCGATCACGAGCGCAGCTGGATTGAAGCGACTACTACCAAATGACACGAAGAGCATGACTTTTGATGAGAAGATCGAGTTACTGTTCCCAGCTCCTCCGGGATCCACTTCAAGGCATAGCCGACGATCATCAGTTCCATCGCTTCCTCGTCTGCCCTCTGTCTACATGGCGGAGACACCAATGATTCAAAGTCCAGTCGAGGAGGGATTGCAAAGCCGCCGAGCTTCCAAGCGCACAACTATAGCATCATTTGCCATTCCTGAGACTAATCTTCGCCCTAGATCACCAAAGAGGCAAACTACTCGTCCTGAAGAGTCCGAAGTATATCGTTTCAGTGCAAATACATACAGAAGTATTGCTGATGAGGTTGGAGAGATGTGGATTCCTGGTATTGCCGATGAAAACGTCGATACGCGAAACAGCCTTGTCAAGGATCCAGAAAGGCAGTCTGTTCTCGGTGACATGCGTAAATCGCATTGGACTGAAGCTAGTGATGAGAGTTCGCAAGAGGATGCCACGACTTACTGGGGATCTGTTCACTCCGAAGTACCGCAAATTGATCTTGCGAAGGCAAGGCAGAACGCCAACTCCCTCTATATCCAACGACCAGACGCTCGACAACAGAGAAACAGCTCACAGAATGTTCCTTCGTTGCCACAGCCAGACTATGATCTTAGAAGGTGTGAGGCTTTCGTGCCCTTGATGCTCGACGCCGAAGCACAAAGAGGATCTTTCCTGTTCAATGCAGATGACAACCGTAAGTCTTTCTTGCTTGATGCGGATCAATCGTTACCTGGCGACAAAACACCATCAGTCGTCAAGAATGAGAATGGATGGCACCATAGAATCGGTGACGAGCTTCCCACATTCTCAGAACGATCACACTCGCGGTCACGCTCAAACGGCCGCAAAATGCCACCTCCAACACCGCTTCTTCTCAACAAGACCGGAAAGAAGGCAACGGTGGTCGTTCATCCATCTGAGATTTCTCCTCCTACAGATTCCCCCGAGCGAGCAATCGCCGATATTCAGGCTCAACTCAAGCGATTTGAGGATGAGCCTAGCCGAGGATCAGTCGGCTCCCTCCTGAGGCGGATACCTGGTACTGAAACCGAAGCAGCTCCAGACTCTGGCCACTTCAGACTCCTCGAGAACTTGGAGAAGGAGATGGGTCAACAAGAGACACATTGGCAACGGATGCAAACCAATCTCGACCGTGACTCCATGTCTCAAGCCATGTCGCCATATACCCAAGCGCAGTCAGAAGATTCAGAAGGAACACTCACACGTGAATCTTCCCAAAGATCCATTCGTACCCCATCGAAGATCTTGGCCAGACGTGCTCGTGTCCGGAGCAGCATGACAGTATCCGAACGCACCACGTCTACGCAAAGTTCCGATAACTCTCGAGCCAGTATTTGGCAACAGAGACTCGCAGAAGCTCAAATGGAATACATGGACAACGCACCTGCCTTACTCCGCAAAAAGAGCTTGAACTTCCTTTCCGTCTCGAAAGGGCAGGCGACAATCACGAGTCCTACACCTCCCGAAAGTGTTAAGTCAGAGACCGATCTCGAGACCGAATCCGAGTCCGACTCTGATACGGAAGCCATGATGAAGTATCAAGCTCCACAGGTGCAGGCAAAGAAGGCCAAGGCGCAACTTTGGCAGCCATCGCTTCCATCGCCCAAAGCTGCCTCTGGACGTCTGTGGAACTTCCCATATGATACTCCAAGCACGGAAGCTGTTGCCCAGCCACCCGCGAGAGATGTACGACCAGCACAACGCCGTCTCGTGGCTTCCCTTTCCATCTCTACTAAAAACCTGTGGTCCAAGCCGCGATCATCGCCACACAGCATACCAGTTGTTGGCCTTTGGGGTTCCAAGCCTGTTCGTCCTCGGAGCATAACTACTCGACCTCTAACACAACGACCACAGCGCAAGTCTAGGCGTATCACATTCCTACCAGATATTGGTAAGTTCATTCTTCCAAGGTTGAAATTTATCTGACAATTTCGCAGTCGAGAGTCCTGTACCTCTACCAAATAAGAGGGACACTCTTGGTATCTTCCAGTTTCCATGGGGTGAGACTTCTGATCAGCCAACCTACCAACCAGCTTTCAACCCTGCAATGATTTCAGGTTCAGTTGGCCCAGCACTAGCACCAAATCTAGATGCTCGATCGAAGGAACTCGAGCCTGATTTCCCCGAGTACTCATCTTCATTCTTCGACGACTATGAGGAAGAAGATGAAGACTTGGATATCGAGAGCGATGACGACTTTGATGAGACTACCTTGTGGGAAATTGCAGACTTGTTGAACTCGAGAGATGTTCCTTCGAAGGACAGCCTTCTCCCTCAGCCTAGATCAATCATCGATGACTATGATATTGGCTCCGACCCAGAGAGCCCAGATGCTGCAGCTCCACCTCCAGTCAGCCGCCTGCCTATTCAACCACTTGCTGTGAAGACCCGACCTGTGCCACAATTATGGGCTGGAGATGTTTCTCCACCTGTTGAAAGTGCTGCACGAGGTCTTCCACAACCTGAATCTGCTGTCTGGAATGCTCTTGTTACAGCAAAGGATGATACTGTAAGATCGAAGCCACGCTCGACTTTATCCATGCCAGAGCTGTCATCCACGGATCTCTGGACTGTACCTGAGGCAGAGACTTCCCTGACACATGCTTCTTTCATGTGGAGTAGTGATGCAGCTGCCGACATTTCTTCTGTATCAACTTCTGCTTCTGTATCAGAAGTCAGCTCGCCAACACTGATGTGGTCCCCCCAGGCATTGGTCTCCAACGAACGAGCCTCTGGCATGTTTACTATTCCCTCAGAGGTCATCCGCTCCACAAATGCAAGCCCAGCTGCAATCGAGATGGTCAAAGCAGCCCGCCCATCTGCAGGTGGACCTCTCACTATCTCCTCAAAGAACATGTGGACTCGCCTACAAGACTTCGAGGAGGCTGATAGCTGGATCTCGAAGTCTAGCTTCCCAAGACACGTGCAACCCAAGAATGTCTCAAGTCTTATGTGGACTTCAGCCACGAAGACCTCAGATGTTGTCGTCCTAGGCCTCTTCGATGCTTCTACTCTGCGATCGGATTATCGATCAACCGAGGCCATGCCTGCTGCAATCAATATGATCTGCAAGCCACGAACATTATCGACACCCTTAACTAAACTTACCTCTACCAAGCTGTGGACTTGTGGCCAGGACAAATTTCCAGTTGAGCATCACTGGATCACAGAATCATCCATCCGTCCAGACAGCCCAACCTACTCGGTAACATCCTCTGGTGAATCATCCCCAATTTCAGACTCTTCATCAGTGAAGTCAACCAGCACTAAGGCGTCATCTATCTGGTCTGCCTCAGTCTCAGCCATACCTTCCTGGTGGGACCGAAAGGCAAAGAAGCCATCTGCTCCCTCCCCAGTAGAAGACTCGAAGCATCCTTCGAAGCTTCCGGTTCGTCAAGCACCAACACCCTTGGTTCCTGTCAGAGAATCAAGAGTCCTCGCATCACGCGATCTTTGGGAGTCAAGAGCACCAGTCCTCGAGAATACACCTGCGAAGAAGGGTCGTCGCGGAACGATGGTCCAGCAAACAGCCATCCCGGTGCTCAAGGCTGCTCCCTCTCAATACAGAAGACCTGTTGCTGTCAACGCAGATTGGGCTGATGCTCTTGCTGAAGCTGTTGCCGCTGGTAGAGTAAAGAAGACCAGCACCCGTCCAGTCACCAGTGAGGCTGATTGGGAGTCTGCTCTCTCTGAGGCTGTTGCTTTGTCCAAGCCCCGCTTCCAACGCTCAGTCTCAAGTGAATCAGATTGGGAGTCAGCACTTGCTGAAGCAGTTTCTCAATCCACACCTCGTCTTCAACGCCCTGCTTACAGCCAAGCGAAGTGGGAGGCCGCTCTCGACGAAGCAATAATTGCCAGCACTACCATGCTATCGTACGACCCTGCTGTGCTCCATCCGGTTTTCTTCACGAGCTCGCTCATCTCAAGTGTGAGTGACATCCACCCAGCTGCCATGGGTTACTTCACCCAGAAGTCGGCTCAACCAGCTATGTGGATGCCTACATCGGAACCCACCACTCGAAAGGAGACTATGCTCTGGTCCAAGAACACCATCGTCCCCCGCAATACACCAGTAGAGATGAAATTGAGCGGGGAACCTGTCCGGAAAGCTCCAGTTGCCAGACAAGTCGAGTTGCCAGTGTTGGAATCCAACTCTTTCTGGCAATCAAGCCAGATTGTACCAACTCAGCGTGACTGGTTGGCCCCTACTAGCAAGACATCGTTGCTCTGGTCAAAAAGCGACGCATCTGCGACGCCTATGATGAAGCTTAGCGGTGAGGCTCGACGCACAACACCAGTGGTCAGAAACATCGAACTGCCAATCTTGGAGTCCAGCTCTTTCTGGCAGCCAAGTCAAGTTAAACCAACACAGAAGAACTGGTTGGCTACTTCTGTTAACAATACACCTTCAGCTCAGACCTGGACCCCAAGTGTCGTGTCGCATGTTGTGGATGCTACAGAAAGTAACACCATGTGGACAGCCAAGAAGGAATCATCAGCATCAAAACCAGATATCTTTAAACACGCTAAAGGTGCTCATATCAGGCAGACCTCGCCAGCCCGACCAGCCACCCTTCCCCGTCTGAACTCCAACGAGCTCTTTGACTTCTCGATAACCGCTACACAAAAGGCACAAACAAACTGGCTACACTCGACCTCGGCTGCGGCACCTGCACCAAAGTCCCTGACCTGGACCACACCAACAGCCCAATCCACTGAGCCAGATACTCAGAAATTCGGCATGTGGCAACCCCAATCCACTGCCACGTTGACTTCACCAGCGTTGTTCACGAATCCTCACAGCCAGCCATGGGTCCGAACAAAGCGTACCGATGAGGCGCTAGGTTTGACTGGGACTGAGATTGAAAGTTCGGATTTATGGCGCCCGTCCATGGCTTTGCCGGAAAGTCCTAAGAACTGGCTCGTGAAGAAAAGGTTCTCCAGAGTGGAGTTCAGATATTGAATGAGTGTGCAAAGAGAGAGCGCGAACAGATGAGTGCATATATCGCACGTCATTACTACTTTATTTCTTTTGTCATGAATGTTTGGATATAGGAGATAGTGAAGTGCAGTGGGAAGTAAAGTCCTGCTTGCGGATACCCGACCTGTTGACATGGGGGGAATTGGGAGGAGTTTTTGAAGGGACTGGAGCGAGGGAATAACCACGAAGGAATGACATGCTTGAATGAATCTCGCTGTTGTGTGTAACATTATCAATCAATCAATATATGAATTACATTTTTGCATTGTTGCATTTCTGTTATCAGAAATAGTGAAGGGTCGCAGCTTGTGCTATGTCTCTTATCATCTTTCACTCATATGTAACGAAACCAGATCATGAGAGCAAGTCTCTGCAATTTAATAGTGAAAATCTACTCCCTACAGACCTCTCCTGATACTCACCAAGCAGCGATTGCCCAGCGGAGATCCTCCTCGCCCCTCAACATCGGTTGTGTCGGTTCTGCACGGCTACGGTTGCGGCTGCGGTACGGCTCGCGCTCCTCGCCCCTGAATACTGCATAGGTACAATACAGCACAGTGGGGGAAGCGAAGCGAGGTGCGGGGTAAGCAATGAAAACAATGAAACTGGGTTGCCGGCTTGCTGCAATGTCGATCATAGGTAGGTAGGTACAGATCTACTTTGCAGACATAATGGAGATGTGAATGTGAAAATGAAAGATGGGATTCTTGTGAATGGAACAGGATACGGCTGTCTGAACGAAGAGGGATGTCGTCGTGATTGACTTGGGTACTGTGCCTGGGAGGAAGCGGCATACTGTGAGGGAGATCTGGGGTCGACTCTGCAGGACGCAGAGGATGGAGTATCCTCTAGAGTTTGAAATCAATTTGGTGACTATGAGGGTGATAGAGTATGGAATAAAGGGTCTGGGTAATGTGACTAAATTCCGCGGTACGGTGTACGGATATTTTGAGATAGGATGAAGGGATAGCGAATCAGGAAGAGGATAACGTGGAACTTCACGTCTCGTATGCTCAAAAGAAAATTGGTAATGATTGAAAATGACAGAACCAAGTTTTTGAATTCAAAAAGTATCTTCTTCCGATGTCGTGGTGCTTATTAGAGAGTGTATGGGTTAGATGGTTTGTAAGTCCTGGCACGTTGTTACCTCCTACTTTGTTAATGAGAAGTTGGCAGAAATACGTAGGTTTGAGCAACTAATTACAGGCATGAAGTTTCAAATGAAGGTAATGAGTGACTACTTGCTCCCTAGTGGTTTGTGGAGTTCAAACTATTAATACCGTCTTTTGCTACTTGCCAGCGCTGAAGACAAGTTAATGGGGACGCGTCTTCAGGCGAACGATCCTTGGCAAAAGTGTATTTTCAAATTGCCATACTTCTTCTGGATCTACAACAGAGATCGCCATGCATCACTCAAGCCATTGAACGCCACTGACGGTTTTGAAAGTGCGGGGGCGGAAGATGGACCTGTCATGGCTTGTGGATTGGACTTGGGAGAGATCGGCAATCACCAAAGCCGACAACTCGGCGTTAAAGTGCGATTCGCACGCATACAGATCGACAACACCACGACAAAAATGCATCGTTTAAGCTTAAAAGAGGATAAACTTAATGAAATCTCAGCTAAATCTATGGGGCCGTGGACTTGGAACTGTCTTGGATGTGGGGAAGCGTGGTCGAGGAGATGGTGGCTGTTAAATATTGCTCGGTAGTCAGTCGGCATGCTGCGGTACAGAGCATACAGATCCTGGGAAAATCTCACATCTCAACGGGAATAAACAAATGTTAAGCTCCAATCTTCATGGGTAAAGTTGCCACTCTGAAGTGTATAAAATCACTTAAGCATCTTGCGAAGATCTTCATCGTTTGTTAATCCCGTACCACACACACAGAACATATTCACCCACGCCATTTAAAATTTTGTATTCCCCTCACTCTTGACAATCCCAAAAATGGTTCGTGCTTTGAGACTTCTTGTGGCTCTGCCACTTGCGGCAGCATGGCCAGGTGTCATGGAAACCAACGAACGTCTCCAGAAGCGCGTTGAGCCCGAACCGAGAGAGCCTCTCTTCAAGTCTGGAAGACCAAATACCAGTCAGCCACCCTTAGAATTTAACGCCGCAGAGCAGTTCGTCGATACCAGACCGGGAAGTGGGCATGAGTTTCAGTCTCCTGGTACTGGTGATCTCCGTGGTCAATGTCCTGGGTTGAATGCAGCTGCGAATCACGGCTATCTTCCTCGCAACGGGAAGGTCACTACAACGCAGAGTATGTTCTGTGAAATGGAAAGTGGTTGAATCGTGGCTAATAGCTCTACAGCAATTACTGGACTTGGGGAGGCATACAATATGTCCCCAGATCTTTCTCTTTTCCTAGCTATTGTCTCAATTGCTTTGTACATCATGAAACTCCTGGTAGTGTCTGGTTTCGGTATGACTGATCTGTCGTAGGGCAGGAGATCCTCTCACACAAACTTGGAGCATCGGTGGAGCCTTTCCTCCATCAGTCCCTCTCCTCTTCGGTAACCCGTCGGGTATTGCTGGAACACACAATCAATACGAGAGTGATGCTTCCATCGTCAGAGTAAGTTTTTCTCCAGAATGAGTCGCCTTAGATATACTGACTTGTCGATAGGGTGATGCTTACCTCAACAACGGAAACGTGGGAGTCTTCCAAATGAGATCGTGGGAGCACTTCTACAATATGGGCGAAGAATACACTTTAGATATGGCTGCTGCCCAGAGTGATTATGGTACGTACCATTGCTGCACGTAGGACCTGACACTAATCAGGCTTGTAGTTACTCGTTGGTCGATCTTGAACAACCCATACTACTTCTCTGCTCCGTTCGCTGGTCTCGTCGCCCCTGCAGCGCATGATTTCGTGATCAACTTCATGTCCAATCGTTCTGCCGAGAACCCAGGTGGTGTACTCACCCGCGAAGTCCTGAAGTCTTTCTTCGCTGTCACTGGAGAGCCTGGAAGCTTTGTCCACAACAGAGGTCAAGAGAGAATCCCAGAAAACTGGTAAGTAAAATTCTGGAACTCATCAATCTTTTTCATGCCATTTGCAATAGGCATGCTCTTTGATGTCTTCAGTTACTTTGAGTACTCGTACTGACCCCGGTCTTCAGGTATAAGCGACCAGCAGCCAACGCATACAACATCCCCGAAGTTGTGAACGATGTCTTGATTAACAATGCTATGTACCCAGGAATCGTGAGATTTGGAGGCAATACTGGAACAGTCAACAGCTTCGTTGGTGTTGATATTACGGATTTCACTGGAGGTGTTTTCCACCTCGCCGATCTAGCCGAGGGCAACAATGGCGCTTGTTTCTTGCTTCAGGCTTCGATGCAAGGCCTTCCGGATTCTACTGATCCTCTTCTTGGTGCTGCTGGATCTATCCTTGGTGTAAGTAGACTGTTTCTTGATGTTTTGGAAGGCAGTACTGAATTATTGGTAGTGGGCAACACAACAACTTGGTCCGCTGAGTGCAAAATTGGGATGCCCGCAACTCGTTTCATTCAATCATGCGTTCTTTGACCAATTCCCTGGTGCAAGCTACAAGACTCAAGGACAATGAAGGGGTCAAGTCTGATAGTTGAAATGATGTGGATGAAGTCATGAAGCTTTCTCGGCAACTTGGGACGGGATATAAGTACTAACGACTGATCAAGTGGTTATGCTGGCAAGATGCCATATTTGGAGATATTCTATACCACATAATGAAGGTAGGATTTTAGTTTGATAAAAAAAAAAAACGATTATTTTCCGTCATCCCTTAACAAGATAGCTTTGAGAAATTGAGTACCCATCGACTTGGCAGGTACATGCACGTGACGATCACGAAGTCAAAAGTCACTGGTTCCGTCCCGCGCCGTCCGGTGGTCTCAGAATCAATCACGTCCGTTCACAACCTACGCGCTTTGAGTAAAATATTCACATTCTCTTTCCATAGTATATGACCGGATCCAAACGCCTCGCTTTTTGTTTATGCTTTTTGAAGGGTCCCGTTTCCGACGCGCTCAAGAAAATGCCAAACATCGCGACAACAAGTCTCCAAGCTCTTTTCCGTCCTCCATCCTAGCTCTATCTCAGCGCGGGTTGCTTTTGCAACGCACTTTCCCACATCTCCTTCTCGCCGGCCTACGATTCGAGTTGGGATCTTCCTCTGCGAAACCTCTTCCATCGCGGCGACAAGCTCCAGCACCGAGTGACCACGACCACTGCCCAGGTTATACACCTTGAAACCACGATCTTCTCGATTCTTGAGCGCCGCGAGATGTCCACGAGCGAGATCTGTGACATGGATGTAATCCCTCACGGCAGTCCCGTCCGGTGTATCGTAATCATCACCGTAGATATTCAGAACGGGTAAAGCTCCGGTGATAACGCGCAGGACAACAGGCATCAAATTCGTGGCAGCATCTCGCGGATCTTCCCCAAGTTTACCAGACTCGTCGCAACCAATGGGATTGAAATACCTGAGTGCTGTGATGGTCCATTCGGGATCCGCACGTGCCAAGTCATTCAGGATAGCCTCACACATCCATTTTGTCCTTCCATATGGATTTGTCAAACCAGAACAGCCTGGTTGGATGATTCTCTTCTGTCCATTTTCGTCCACGAAATCGGTTGCATTTTGGCTGCAGTGTTCCTCTCTCAAAGGGACCCCCATATCGGCGACAGTTCCGTAGACAGTGGCCGAAGAACTGAAAACGAAGTTCTTGATACCGAAGTCACCAAGTAGAGAACAAAAGTCGACCAAACCACCAACGTTATTTGAATAGTATTTCAGAGGTTGTTTGATGCTCTCTCCGACCGCCTTGTGAGCGGCAAAATGAATGACTCCGCTGATACTCGAGGCCCTCGGGGTTTCTGGATCTATTGGACTCAGCTGAAAAGGTGCCGGAATTTCATAAGCCTCCAAGATTCTTGTCATGGCTTGCTGGTCTCTGTAGTCTGCTCTGTATAGTTTGAGCACTGGCTGGAGTTTTGGCGTGTTCTGGTAGTGATCAGTCACCATTGTCTCCAGTCTGTCAAAGACGGATCTGAATGCGTTGCTCAGATTATCGACGACAATGACCTGGAGATTGTCAACTCAGGGCTCTCGTCAAGTGATGGGTCATCGGCATACACTGTACCCTGCCTTTGCCAGCTCCCAGACTGTATGGGAACCGATAAATCCACAGCCTCCAACAACCAGAATGTACTGAACGCTTGTCGTCCTATGGACCGCATTGTCGATGTCATCGTCATTGAACAGAATTGATCTGCCTGTGAATGGTGTACTGGTATCGCCACATTCAGAGCCACAAGAAAGCTGCTCCGGGGAGGATGCTCCACTTTGCGTGCTGTAAGGCATTGTTGATTTTACCCGCACTCTCTTGACAAATGCTTGAACGCTCTTATGAATAATATCTGTACATCTCTTTATAAGACCAAGGCGCTCAGCGTGCTGTTCGGGTGGACGTTTCGTGCAGGACGATCCTGCTTGACCCAGCTACGCAAGAACGTGGTGGACTTGCGTGATAAAATGACTGGAATGATGCTTGCGAGTTTATTTGCCCACGATCCAGGCTATCTTCCTCCCTCTCAGCCGTGGAATTTCCTTCTTCACTTAAAGATGTCGATAGTATGGGAAAATGCAGAACGACGAAGACGCGTGTACTTAAATGAGAAGTTCAGCCCAGGTACCCGGATTTCAGGGGTCGTCTTGGGACCAGCGATTTTTGAGTTTCCCCAGATTTGACGACTTTTCTGCAGCGGGTCAACACTAAAATGAACTGCTTTATTGTATCGATCCGATTTGGATTAAGTCTGCGAACGGTGTTGTTTATTGGTCTCCTTTTTCCTTCAATGGTTTAGTTGCCGAGCGTTAGTTGAAAGCGGTTGAACGCTTCCTCCCTAGTTCGCAGCTGAGGCGGGAACATTTACGGCTCAAGTGGCGATCATATCCGTGCTGAAGCCCACAAGCTTCTTCTGAAAAGATGTCGCCATAACTGGTGTGTGAACCTAAATTTCGCATGGCATTCTGGACCTTCATCCGAGAAATATTCTACCTCGGCAGACATGAAGTTATGAGTTTCATTTGGCAAAGGCAAGCCATCCAGCCCTTGGGGAATTTCCATATTAATCGCAAGTCTTTATGCAGCACCCTAATTCCATGAAATCAAAAAAGCAATATTTGGGCAGTCAGTTCCGTCTTCGGCTGATCCTCAAATCCACTGCTTAAGATGCGGCAGTCTAGAGAGTCATGAAATAGCAGCTCACTAGACCAGAAATGCTCCGGCAGAGAAGTTGTCCTCTCCCCGAAGAGTTTGAGCATTAGAACCTCTGTTTTCCCTCACTGCTTGTGAAGTGTTATGCTGTTTATAAATGACCTGCCCTGACCGGATATGCAAGAGCGGTTGCAACCTTATCGCTAATCCTTCCTGGGCGAATCGCGATCTTTGGCAACTTTTTAAACATGGGTGGACGTAGCGTGCTCCACAACGAAAGATCTAGCCCTCGACAACCTCGGTCATACAACAACTCCACCTCAATTTCTCCAATGTCTCCATTCCGATTTCACCAGCTATATCTTGTGTTCTGGTCTCTCTGACGAAACTTAAAGTTATTGGGACTAATATGCCGTGGCGCGGCGCGCAAAATATTCCCGACAGCACCTTCTTCCCGGCTATGACGGACAAGAGGCTGAATCGTCCAACCGAATGTTAATCTGAGATGTAAGCGCAACTATATTCAAAAGTCTAACTATCTATCTCAAGCATTTGGATTCCACTTGGCGCTTTGTCGAATACCAATCAAACTGCCAGAAGTCGTGAAGAGGCTGGGAACCGTAACACGCTCGTTTCTGATGATCAAGATCAAATATCAAGACCGAGACGGCTACGAACCCCATTACAAAAGATGCGAAACATTCTCACGGCGAGGATAGTATTCCATTTTGGGACTGAAGTCAAGCGGAGGACAATTGGAAGCGCCAGAAACTCCCGTCGACATGAGTCATCTGACCTGCTGAGAGCAGGGCAAAAGCAGCTCACGGTCCTGCCATCCGGCGTCTGGAATTGCTTGGGCTCAGTATATACGATGGCGTCTTCTTTGGCATCTGACGGTATACTAATAACTGAATGTGTTTAACATGGCCATCTCATTTTCATAGTGGATATATTGTGATTGGGAGCTTGAAGAAGAGCATATCCCGGGGAAATGGCGAAGCATTGTCCTAGCCCGCTTTCCATACTTCAAGGATAATACCCCAGGAAAATAGCCAGATTAATCTGTACTCCCCGATGGCGTTGAGTGTTAAGCTCGCTCCCAATACTTTGGGTTACACAAAGACTTTCCTTGGCAGCTGGGTCGAGTTTAAGTCGTTGCTTAAGTACAGGCAGCTGGGAGATTAAGCTCATCAACGATAGATGAATATCACCCCACATTATGCAAGCGCATCTACGCTGTTCGATATTTCGTGCATGAAGCCATGATGAGCACGTTTTCATGGACGCTCTACCCGGCGCACGCCTGTGACGGGGGGCCGTACTTGTAATTCTCTAGGATACGCGTTCAGCATGTTGTCAAGCTCCTGGGGACAGCCAAGTGGCTGCATATCAGCACACCGCTGCACTGGATGAAATCTGCTTCTGAGAGGGTTCTGGTCATGTGTCCCGTCGTCTCAAAACAATGAGCTCTGCAGCTATGTGCAAATTCTGGAGCTTCATTCGGTGATGTTTGCGAAATTCTGAGTCATCTAGAACGTGTTACAGCATACATCTGCCAGAATAGCCTGATTCAACATTGCGCAGGAAGGCGAGGACGAGCAATCACCACCAAAGGATGCTCGGGGCCTTTCCAGCCAGTTGTGGAATGCGTACTTTTCCAGCATGTGGATGAAATCCATTGCTTGATTGTGATTCTAGATTCTCGGCTCTCGTTCTTGGATCTAAAGCAAACCAGGATATTCGATGGGAAAGTGTGGCACAGTTGCTGGTCTAATGGAGTCCATTGAAGTAGTCGAAGTATTTTGTGTCCTGAGGTTGTTGATATTCTCTTTATTTCGTCGTGGGTGCCTGTCACGATTGTATCTCATAGTTAAGCGGCAGCTCATCGCCCCCAAAACATCGCGCCGGCTTCCACTTCGAAGATGCTACTGTCACTGTCAAGCAGGCCGATTGATTTTCAAACAAACCTGGTATGATCTTTCGACCATGTCCTTGGGGGGGCAGAAAACAGAAGGGCTGACGACGCTTTCTCTGAACCATTGTCACGACTCACGAGGCTGCTTGAGTTCAAAGGCCAGCAATCACAATCGTATACACCCTCCCCGCTCCCCGATAATGGCGACATCAGTCGTATCACAGGGCTGAAAGAGATTGCGCTGTTTCTCTGCCACTTTGTGCGAGCTGTCTTAACAACTGCCGAAGATATTTGAGCTTCTAGACTAAGTCAATGAGACAATATCCATGTCATATATATCATGTCACGGGCGTCTGTCCGTGAAATCTGGGGAACCCGACCATCAGCCTGAATGCCGAGAGCTTTAGATTGCCGTAATAAAAGCTGCAGGTTGTGGCATTGGAAATGATGTTCCTCGATGAGACCCAAGGCAGGTACAAATTGGTAATCTGCAGGTACATGGATGGTGAAATTTGCTTTCGTTTTTCCGGAAGCGTGTAAGCGACCTGGGCCAAGCGAGGGCAAGAATTTGATCAAAACTCAGAGAACCATTTTCACAGACTAGAACCTGCTGGGAAACCTTGGAGACGAGAGGGCCTCGATAGTTGCATCACTTCTGATCACGTATCGGCAATTACTACAGCGCTCACCCGCGACCGGCGAGCGAGCTCTGGTGAAGACCCGCGTTGGTAAAGTTCAGGCAGTGGAAGACCACATCCCTTTCTGAAGCAGACATCCACACGCTGGGGCTGCCACAGCCGAGCCTAAGTGAAGAAAGAATAGAAACCACCGAGATAAATATCAGAGGAGACAATTGTCGTTGTTGGGAAGGGCTGGTCGATGTGGATGTCTGTGGGGTTGAAGATATGTGCATTGAGCAATTTTGTACTGAAGTAAGAGGAAGATAACATGAATAATCTACTCCAATCAATGAGATGGAGTATGTGCAGAAGCAATGAGCACCTTCCATTTCGTAAGTTCCTAGACTTCTCATAAAAAGACTGGCTTAGTGAGCTTGAAAGTCACTGGTTGACCGGTAAGCGAGACCCAGAGCGTTAACGGATCACTACCCAATTGTTCAGCTGTGGCTCCTTGTTGATTTGTAACAGTCCCTGGCAAAGTAACAGGAATAGGGACTGAGCATGTGTTGCGGTTGGCTGCCACAGTCACACCAGTGATTGCGTTGACCGTGCTGTCAACTTGCCAAGTCAGAGTTGGCTTACAGCTGTCCCTGGTCATCCTGGAGCGGAACCCTGCAGCTATCTAGACTATGTTAGGTCCCGATCCATTCATAGAATATCTCAAAGAAGATGCTCACATCATCATGCTTCTGAGAAACAAGAGGCCAGGAAACTCTGTGACTGCTGTCAGTACTACGCAAAAGGTTTTCAGAGAGTACTAACAGTCGGGTATACTCGCGAGTCACAACATCAACCCAAACTTCAAGCAGAGACATAACACGGATATCATCTCCACCGAAATCGTAGGTGTCTGCATCCTCGAACATCATATTGGCTTGATGGAACATGAAAGGGTCATGGTGAAGTCCAAGCAAGTGCCGTACATTGGTCTCCCGTTCGATGTCGAGGAGTTGATACATGTCGCCTGTGCCATTCGATACAGCCTTCCATTCAGAGAGAACGCAATCGGCATAATTACACTGAGTCATATAAATGTCAGCGGTGAGGTCAACGTTCTATGCATGGGAACACATACATTGTAGTATATGTTAGTAGCCCATCGCGGGGTGATCTGAATGCCCGAGAGCCCATTTAAAGAGCGAGTAGACATTAAAGGCCAGTGCTCGTTAGTCTGCACTTTATCAGTAATCTCATCTCTAACGAAAGAATGCATGATATTACCGGATTCAACAAAACTTGTCGAGTGTTATCTCCAACAACATGAATAATTCCATTGTCTGCCCACGCTTGGAGAGCGTCACCATTATGAAGGCCCGTAATAGCAGGCGGAATCAGGCCTGTGCTACTAAACTGTTTAGCTGCAGATATTCCAACAGCGTCAAGCCAACCCTTGTTCCAGGCTATCTCTTTGAACACGTCCGAATATGTGGCATTGTTCTGATCTTCGTGGGTGAAAGTATGAGACACGTGAGAGAAGGCGTTCAAGTTTGAGGATTTTTGCCACCAAGTGAGCAAGGCGTCTTTTCTCATACAACTAGAGCTGTAATTAGCGTAGTCTGTTGTAGTTTCTGGCCACAGAGGTGTCCCCGATCCTAAGGGCTTTTGGTATTCGAGAGGAGTGTCGACTTGGTCCGCATATTCAACTAATCATGGTTGGCAATACATTCATATCATTGCAACAATACATATGAGATCTATTCTGCTCGGATTTGAGAGACTCACTTGGTCCAGGAGCACAAACTCCAGTGGCGGCGGTAGTTCTCTCCTCATATTCGGGATCGGCTTCCTTTGGTTTAGAGTTAGACATGTTGACGCCAATAGTACTACGAACATGGATACCTCAATGTTTCCGTTTCCATTGTGCGCTACTTCAATGACCCACTTACTACCGGCTGGCAGGCGTTTGTTGACATCCTTCATGACCGTCACGTGATGCGCAAGATCATCAGTTGAGACCCTGAAGTCCTCCCCAGAATCAAACATTGGAGTCTGACTAGGAAAGAAGTCAGTGAATTTTGATGACTCAGAAAAGTTTACGCTCTTACAGGAACATGTCATCAACTAGAATCCTGTCAGCTTCTGTGCTCATACGTATCAACAGAAACAGGAGGGAAATTATGACCTTGAGTGCTCAAAGTTGCTCTACGATAGCCGACATCTGAGATTATTAGCCAAGACGAAAACCCAGGAGTAGAATGATTAACATAATCCTCTTGTTGCCCAATGCACCCAAGCATGTTGCAAAAAGCTAGACGCTAACGACCACTGCACGTTGAATGGGAGGAAGAACACCATCTTCAATTGATTAGTGCAGATTGGTAAATATGCTCCGCTAAACATACCTGCTGTCGGCCATCGATTTCGTTAATCACAGCAGCTGTTGAGATAGTACTGAATCCATCTTCCGCGGAGGCTGAAAACTGAGCAATCTCAACTGCCATGCTTGAATTAACTATTTTTGCTGGATAGTGATATAGACCTTTCGTAGTTACACCCGCACCACTGTATACAGTCAGAGGCACTATATTCTTGGAATGGAATTTCATTACTTACACCCTGAGCCCGGCTCCTGGAAAGGAGCTCGAGTTCGAGATCGACACGAGCTGAACTCCAGTCCCACAGCATGAACCCAAAGACTGTGTACCAGTAGCAGCTGACGGAGCAACATCCAATCTCACCATACGAACGCCAAAAGCTACTTGGTAGTTGTACAATTGTTGCCATTGCGCAGCAGTGAGAGCACTTCGAAACCCTTGAGTTTCTCCGAAGTTGTAGCTGACTTCCGACATGATAACAATCAGTCCGAAATTCCCATGCTTAGCTGTGTCATTGAGGCTTGGCAAAGCCACTCCAGTTTGCGGAACGGTCAAAATGGAGTACGGGATCCCTCTGTCATTTAATCCAGAATACGCCGAATACGCCGACGCTAGGTCTCTGGCAATGACCAGGGCAGTACTATCGATGGTCTCTCCGATGATGGAATCCGCTGTAGGATTAACAGGTAAGACAGCTGTTGTGTTTGTCTTGATGGACAGGTCATCACTGTTGACGTGAACAAGAGGAACCGGCGGAACGGCTATTGCCAAGGACTGCGAATTCAAAATTGGAACATTCTCGGATGTATCCGCGGAGTCACCTGGCGTGCTTCGATAATGGTGGTGATGACCATAGATCGAAGGTAGACACAACACCGCAGCCCACAGGCAAGTTTGCATGGGTGGGGTAAACATGTCGATGCCAAGATGTGACGTGCGAGGAGTTGACAACTCGGACAAGTTCTGGGTTTGAAGACGAGATCAGAATCAAGTGTATGAAAGAGAAAAGAGCAGTTGTTCTGAAAAGACTGTTGCCTGAAAATATTATGCAATCTGACATTGATCAAACATACGTGTTTGGAAGGGTCTTAGCTGTTGGTAACCCTCGTATACAACGAGGTTTAACGTTACGTCGAGTCCGGGCATCCTGAATTTTTGCCTTTAACCCTATATTTCGTTCCGGATTAACTCTTCGCCATGCTCTCAGATAGATCTAAATCCGATTAAGGAACATCGGAATGCAACAAAGAAGCATACCTCGCTTGCGTACCCCGCAATGTTCGCGGCAATTGAGGCGAGGTCGCATTTTATCTATATACACGTCATGACCTCGTGATAGTGTAGATACCTCAGCCTAGAGTACTCAATCCATCGTTCAGGTTTGAATGCCACGGTAGTGAAGAGAGGGGGCGCGTGAAGGTACTAACCTCTGTCCGGGAGATCTCTGAATGTCAGGACCCCCAAATTGCAGAACAGTTGCGTAAGATAATAACATGGATATTTCTGAGACGTAGCAGGCCGATGGGAAAAGTCAGGAGTAAAGCTAGATGATATGGATGAAGTCGGCAATAGTCGAAGGATGCTGACGGATAAATCAAATGCAACCCAAGGGCCTAAGCGATCTCATGCAGAGCAGACTTCTGCTCCAGACATGCCTCGAAATATCAGTCCAGCCAAGTACGGGTATATTTGGTAAACATGGGTGATGTTCAAACTCATGTAATAACGTTAAACAATTACGTATTCAAAACCAGGATGGTATCGCAACGTCAAACGATGAAGAAGCATAGAAATTGGGCAGAATTCTTCCATTGGCGAAACGTTGATATCAGCAGTATGAATATATGCTCTGGGTCTGAAAAGAAAGGTAAGACTAATAAATTATCAAAGGTAACAAATGAAAGCGCACTCCACACGGCCATACAATCAGTTCTGACAGGGTCCAAGCAATGTATGAGGTACAGGAACTGCCAGCAATCCATTTCGTGGACGTCTGCACAACTCAACCTAGAGCTCATACACGGTCCCCCAGAACGTGCCACCATCAATCCTCAAGACACCGGAATCAAGATTTTGTTTGATGCTAGGAGCTTTTACTTGGGCCGAAGTAAGGCATCGACATCGGGGTAACCTGCGTCTAAGTTCAGCCCACGCCTTTCCACAACGCGAAACCTGCCAGAGTCACGGCTACGACATGAGTTGCAGGATCTGAGATTGAGGTATCGTCCATCAAAGCGAGATAATCTCAAGTTTAGAGCGAAAATTCTGATCCTCTTGCAGTTTTCAGCGGAAATAGTCCCAGATTCTTACTTGATGGATCGCCAAATCCGTTCCTGGCTCAGGATCATTTCATAGCAATTGTGTCAGACTCTCAGACTGCTAGATCTAGTTCGTAGAAACTCCAAATAGACATTTAGAGCATTACCATCAACGTACATAGCTCATGCGTACTCCATGAATTCGAAGTGTTGCAAGAGCCATTCCGAAAATCTTCAAAACGAGGTGTTGTTGAGAATTAATCATCCCACACTTGTCAATTTCTGGAGCCGTCATAATGTACAGATTTGAGCTCTCCTTAAGTCTGTTTGGAATTTCGAAGTTGGCGATAGGTGGACAGGAGAAAAGAGATAGCAGTTGGGTCAGCGGGGTAGAAGTCCATAGCCAGAATGAGGGTTCGAGCTTTGATCTTTCGCTACCTCACATCCGTGAAAGGAGAATATCGATCCAAATGTGTTCATGCAACGCATGAATATTGGACGAGTGAGACTGATGTAAGTTAAGGCAGCGCAACCAGACAGTGATGGCCAAACTCCAGCTGCGCAGTTGCGGCGGATCCCGGAATGTCTGATCCGATCCAGAAGATTGTTGACAAAGCTCGGTTGAAGCGCGGAGAACCCTTCCATTGTACCATCATGTACTCCTGATAATCATATCATCTATACCATTAAGATGTATTGCCGAGTCTTCACCGCAGTGGCAGTGTTGGGTCCTTGACTGTGTTGAAGTGTTCTTATGCCTCCCTCCTCATCAGCCGAGCCATGTCTCGTTGTTGCAAAGCCTCAGGTCAACCGATCTATCTTCCCCATCCCCGCGTACAATCTTTCTGTGCTCTAGACACTCTGATATATCCCTTTGGTAGCCGTGGATACCCAGTAATACGAGTAGTCCATGTTGTTCCCCATACTCGGCAGAGGAGGTAGTGGAGTTCGGAAGCTGACCTTTCGTTGAGTGGTCCCTTGTCCACCACGCTCTAGTAAGTAGACATTCAGATGAAAGGGTGTTTTAGTTGGAGGGGCCAGTCATTGTTAAGTAGCTTGTGGTGTCGTCGGTCTCAAGCACGTCGGCCATGGCGGAACTGTAAAGTCTTCTCCCGGACAGTTCTGTGGGGTAATCCGGAGACAGAATATTCCACATTTCTCTGAAGACGACTCAGATTGCGCATTTGGAATAATCACTTCAAGGCTAGTCTCGAAGGAATGATTGTCAGATCTTGGCTCCAGTACCGACATGTTGTTTGCGTGTTGTGGTTGCCTTGGCATCGGTAACGAGGTCAGAAGGTGTCGAGAGTCTTTGGCTTCAACGCGATGCATTGGTAGAAATCCGTTTCACGTTGTAAGCTGAGTTATGTCATGGTATCCTGCCGGGTATCGAACAGGCAATTGCGTGTGGTGATCTTTGGGATTTGCTTGCTTCCAGCCAGCCACAAAACCATAAGCGAAGGATCAGAAACTCTGATCGTGTGACTTTCTGGTGAAGAACAGCAACTTCCCCACATTATTCTGAGAACGCTCATAAGTGATAATATAGGTCTATCCTCGATCGGACTGTTTCCAGGACATTTCCGATGTCGCCAAGTCGATGTTTGAGGATGATCGGATGTGGAAAATTGCTGGGCAAGACCTGAATGGTCTCCTCAAGCCAGAAAGAAGCCAGCCTCGAAAACAACGACGGACAAGAAGAACGGGAGAATTCCCAGATATCCCATCACAGGGCAACAATACATCTCCTGGCCTGCCATCGACAGATCGGATTGGCGAACGGAATCCTGTACCGGATGTTCCTCATCCTTGACCATGTACCAGTGACAGTGCCACGTATTGGAGTGGAAGCACTGCTTTTCAAATATCCGAACCCAATATGGGCATCACGAGGGCTGCTTCACAAGCTACAAATAATGGGCATGGTGCATACTTGCTGGTCCGGTCCGTTGTGACCAGTGGTGCGTTCATGCACGACACTTGACAAGTATGCAAGCCTCAACGATCGAGCCGTGCTACCGACGCATTGACAATGCAGATAAGTACAGCCCATTACCTCTTACGCTAAATAGTAGTAATCGTAGGATTTCATGCATGAGTATGGTAATATTTCCATCACCACACTGCTGGCACAAGTTCTTCCGCCAGCCCCAGCAACACTTCGTTTCTATGGACTTCCTGGCGATCTTCACAGTATCCATCGCAACACATATTTGCCACAAAAGGATGTATTATCATACGGGACCCCTTTTACAAACGAGAGATGAGGTTGTTCGGACAGAGGGATGCTAAGGGTGCATCACTCTTCGAGGCCACTACAAAGTTAAACAAACGGAAGCCAAATTTCTCAAGGAAATTCAAAATTCGGCGAGGAAAAGTCTCAGTGGAAGAGATCTCAATACATCAAGCCAATGACCTTTCCGCATCACAAATTTCTTATCAGCGAGCACATACAATACGAAGATAACGACGTTCCAATGCCTTCACTGGGGCTAGTGTCTTTTCGCTTAGGGTTGGCTCCCTCCCCACCTTCCATCTCATTAACTTCACCTTCCTGACATCGACTTCTTCACCTCATTCATCAAGAATTTCACCAGAGGCCATTGATCATCGAAGCTTTGTTCATATATCATTCATTAAGTCTATTACACAAGGCTCGCTAATACCGAGGATGTCTATGCTAAAATGCAGTGCGCCAACGCCATGAGCACCAAGGCTAGATTACAATACACGCGCCATCCTTTCAGGCCTGCACCTCCTTTTGACGAGCCAGGAAATTCATGATGTCTCTACAGCACGTTTCCAGCGACTTCTTTGTTTTCCACTTGAGTTCAACCTCCGCCCTCTGCGGCATCGCCACACACGACCCGACGTCACCCTCGCGACGTGGTACCTTGCGCATCGGGATCTTTGTTGATGAAGCTGCTTCCAGAGCGCCGACAACTTCATAGACCGATGAGCCCTTGCCGCTACCTAGATTGTAGGTTCGGAATCCCTTGGGCAGGGAGCCAGCCGCTGCCGAAGATAGCGCTGCAACGTGACCACAAGCAAGGTCAGTCACGTGGATGAAGTCTCGGACAGCTGTTCCGTCTGGAGTGGGATAGTCCGTGCCGAAGACGTTGAGTTCTGGGGAGACTCCGGTCATGACTCTCACTACCACAGGCATGAGATTCGTTGGAATACCCTTTGGGTCCTCGCCGAGGAGCCCAGATTCGTCACAGCCAACAGGGTTGAAGTAACGCAGGGCGAGGATGGTCCACTCTGGGTCTGCTTGAGCAAGGTCGGAAAGAATGGATTCGCACATCCATTTTGATCGTCCATATGGGTTGGTGAGACCGGAGCAGCCTCCCTCAGTCGTCTTGGTGGCGCCGTCGTAATCGACGAAGGACTCAGTCTGATGAGTACAATATTCTTCCCGCAGAGGCAAACCTGAATTTGCGACTGTACCGTACACTGTTGCTGAAGAGGAGAAGACAAATGTCTTGATGTTGAAGTTGCTTAGAACAGAGCAGAACTCGATCATTCCAGCGACGTTGTTGGCGTAGTACTTGAGAGGGTTTGCAATGCTCTCTGAAACCGATTTGTATGCGGCGAAATGGATCACACCCTTAATCGACGACCGCATGGGCGCGTCTTCAGTGTCATCGCCGTGCAGACTTGCCGGCTTGACATATGAACTCAAAATCTCTCTGATAGCTGCATCGTCGCGGTAGTCGGCTTCGCATAGGCGCATCAAAGGTGTTTGCTGGCATCGTTCGTCGTGGTACTTGTTGGCAAGGGTCGATATCCGATCATACACACTTCGGAAAGAGTTGCTGAGGTTGTCGACGATCAAGATATTGTGCCCTGCCTTCAACAACTCTAGGCATGTGTGACTTCCAATATATCCAAGGCCTCCAACAACTAGGATATATTCCGGATCTGTGTGCCAGACTCCACTGAAGTCCTCATCAAAAAGGATTGATCGACTGGTCTGTGGAGTATCGGTCGCTGATGTCGAGCTGCGAAAGGAGTCACTGCGACTGTCGAAGTCTGAGGTTGACATGTTGAATTGATGAATTGATGAATTGATTTGTGTATTGGTGAAGGGAGTAGCTGAGGTTGGTGAGTTATGGTTCTTTGGATTTTCTGATCTTGAAGCAGGAGAAGCAGCCTTTACATACTCGTCAGTGGATTGGGGATGGGGATCGTATGTTCTAGCTTGTGCAAGGCAGATGAGGCTCGGTCGATCATCTAACTGAGGGATCATGTAGCTCGTTTCATTCAAGCGCAAAGTCCAGAGAAGTCTGTCTGGGAACTTGCTGCAGATTTCTGTTACTGCCCCACATTTTCGAGAGGGTTGTCGTGTTTTCAAGTGCAGGTCATGTCTTCTACAGGCTTGGCCTCTCTTGCCTGTGTCCAGATCAGGTTTTCTCAGGCCTCGACTGCTGCATAACCACTGCCACACGGGACATCAATTGGGGAGTATCTTTCGAGTACGTCCCATGGGCCGAGAGGCGCGAGCTAATTGCCGCTCCATGACTCCCGTTACTTACAATTAGCAACCCCTACTTTGGACCCTCATGATGGCGACCGTAGTGCCTATTGTGGTACCACCCTAGAAGGAAGGGTTGAAACCCCCACTAGCTTGCCCCTTTGGATCCCTAGGCCAAGGTGACGGGGGGCCTTAGTCCTTTGCGACAGGTACCCGTTTGCCTGCTTCAGCTGGCTGCTCATCAGGTTCAAAACTCATGAGGGGCGGCTAGTTAGTGATGGCAGCACCGAAACGACAGAGTCTTTTTTCGGCTCGGTTCGCATGGCTGACCGCCAACGCAGAATACGATAAACTAGTGACCATGAGCCACAAACCCATGAACAGGATCTGGAATTGATCTGGTGCATGTCAGTCACTGGGAGTGTTACGAGTGGGGTCTCCCGCTCTGAGACCTGTTTAGGCAATATCAGGTTGGGATGTTTCTGGGACTAAAGCAGCAGCATTTTCCCGCCTCATAAAGCAGCAAGCAGCAAGCAGCCTCGCGTAGCTCCATGCACGCCCCTCCTCGTCATGGCTATGGTCATGGCTATGCAACCTGATGCAAGATCAGATAATCGCAAATCCCGACTTCGATTTTCGTCGCTCTCCGCATGGCGATTTTTTTTCATGTTCTGATGTCTCCGTAGTTAAGCGCCAGAGCCAGTCACCATGCGTTTGGTGTCTTGAGTGTCTCGGCTCATGGTCAGCTCATGGCCAGTGGCTCCATTACACGTGGGTTTCCCAGCTGGGCGAGAGCTGTCTTAGACACCCGCTCATTGTCTTGGAATTCTCACAGCATCTATTCGCCCCGCCGTCCCGACAGAGCTTGATGATGAACAAGACCCGTCGATTGAGTTCCAAGATTTCGGCCAGGATTCTATTTTGAGGGCAGAGCCGCACTTACTCGAGTAGATGATTTGCACTTTTCAATTACAATTCTGGTTTGACTTTTGGTCTGTGTATTAGCTGCTTGTACTTTGAAGTCTAAGTACGGCCTCGGTAGCAAACAAGTGTGTTCTATTGGTGCGACTGAGAGTCTTATGATGCGAATTAGCACTCGCAGTAGTTTCTCCGACGGCATGAGATCGGTCTTTTACAATTTTGAGCGGCACTAAACAGGCATATGCAGCAGGAAAAAAGCGTCTACCAAGACTTGGAAGAGAGCGAGATGGCTGATTGTATCATGATACTTACATTATGCCCGCTGAAGGACGGCAGCACAGTTACACAACATCTGTGTTGTAAGACAGTGAGATTTTTATTTCTTCTTCCGTCGCAAAATCAGATGGACAAGTTGCGAAGTTGCCTGTTGTGGAACGTCACGGGCAGGTGTTCTGACAGCGGAGACGAAGACCCATCGAATGATGTTGTCACACTCGAGACCCTGGACCTTACCCCTGGACTACCGGCGATCAGTCTACAATAGTGGCCCTGACCCTGCCTTGCACGATTCTCCCTTGCGCTTCAGCAAGTGTCGCCCCGCACATCCGATCCGGCGAGTGAAAGCGGCATGCTTTATTTAGTATCTCGAGCTAAAGATGTCAAGGGTCAACGGGCAGCACAACGTCTCACGACTGGACGGGATGAGAAGCCATTCGGCAAGATGGCGAATGAATTAGCTACATCGACTCTGCAGCATGACTTTGTTGGTGAGGCTCGTATTTACGCTGCGAGTCAGATGCGGGTAGGGCTTGGCGCAACGGCATATCCTGGTTGGGTCTTCTGAGTGGCGTTCGTGGGGTTGCAGGGGACGCTATGGGGATCAAGGAACCAGGAAAGAAGGTGTTTCTCGTCGATGTTTCTCCCTGTTTGCTGGGTGTTGGGTTGAGGGGACGGGACGCATGTTTTACTATTTTTATGGGGGGTCAATGCAAGAGGAGAAATCTCGTTGCTTGTTAGGTGGGGCGATCATCATGGTGTTGGAATGGGTGTTCGCTATTGGATTTCCTCTCTTGCGGATTTTTGGACGGCATAGAAATGCACTGGAGTCGAGATCGGGATGGGTATGGTGTGATGACCCGGTGACGATTGATTTTTGAAGATCTATCGCCATCGCAAAGAAAGCGAGATCTCGATTCCAAAGAACTCTATTCTTGCAGCTCGAAATGGCGAGCTGCTTTCGAAGAGGTAAGGACAGGGTACCGGTATACTTCTCGGGAGGAACTCCGGTGCTTTTGGCGTATTTGCTTTTCCCATAACGCTTATGCGGAGCCATAATAAAAGGTAGGTCTTTCTTCGTCTTCCGTACATCACTTTGGAATTTTTTCCCCCTCTTTGCGCGATATTGTAGCGTACTAAGCATGCAACATTAGCTCATCTCACTTTCGTGGCTTCTGCTCGTTCGTTCTGTCGCTCGTGCCTGTCCTGTGTGCTCTGGCTTCGCAACGGTTCCCCTGCCTGTCTGCAGGGGCAAAGTCGATTCTCAGCTCAGATTGTCAGGGCAAGAGGTTATGGCTTCAGCCCTCGACGCCACTGTGCGATGCGCTGGCACCTCTTCTCCCTACCAGTGTATCACGCCTCGCACACGTGATGGAGACGAAGGTGCCAGAAACATGCCCTGTCAGCGCACCCCGCTTCTCAGAATTTTGAGGCTTAAGCCACCCAGGAGCATTTTTCAAGTTAGGGCTAGGGTTGGCTTGGGGCTTCTACTTTGGGGATTTGAGAGATTTTGTAAGGGCTTGGGCCTACATTGGCATATGCGGTTGCGATGACACGCGGACCGAAGACTTGAATTGAGCTTCTGCGGTGTGAGTTGGGTTTCTGCGCGGACTGATTTGAGGCTGCAATGATGACGACTTGATGTGATGAGATTTCTCGACGCGGATCTATCAGAGAGACCGAGGTAAGCACATCCATACTGTATCGGGGAATGACAATATTTCTCGTCACAATCAGACTGCGCGAGAATACGACTGTCCTTAGGCATATCAGACTACGGCTAATACACTTGCCCAAATACCGACATGCTACGACGACAAATTCTCCGTTCTAGCTTCAATCTTATCATTCAAAGCTCCACTTGTGAAGAGACGATCACGCAAAGAACCAATCCTTCGCCTTTCTTTCTGTATCAGCCGGCGCGGTCCGAGGACTTCTAGAGCTATTTAAGAAAAGTCCCAAAACACTAGCATTTCCCCGGCGCTGGACCGAAAGCTGAAAGTCGGTGAGCGAGCTTTGCTGAATAGAGCTAATGTCACCACTTATGTCGGCAGATGCCAAGCCCCCTCGCTCTGTTGGCTCGCGCGCTTGTTTAGCTGGTGCTTGGATGATAGCCGAGCTGCGACTGATCGATCTAGATGGTGTGACGGGCCAGATTTTTAGGGCGGGTAGGGGTTTTCGGTTCCCGGGACCGAGACTTGGGAAATATTGAAGCAGCGAGAGCAGCACGGCTTGGTGGGCTTGCTAGCTAGCTGGTAGCTGCTCTGATGATGTCCTGATGTGCTTGCTGCCCTTGACAAGGGATGTACCGTCCTTCTACCCCTTCTTTGGGAGGAGCTAGAAGCTGGATTTGGGAATGCGACTAGGTCGCTAAATTAAGCTTAGATGCTGGACGCTTTTGCGCTGCGTCTGTGTGGCCGTTGTGTTGTGCTGAGTGCGCCGTGGTGTGCATGATTTGCGACTGCGAGGATTCGGAATCTTCCTTCCTTTCTCTATTGCTATTTGCTGGGAGGTATTACTGTGTGGTATTCGGGGAGGATTATATCGAAGGGGAGGAAGAGCAGGGGAAGGTTCTTGTGTTGAGTTGTGATTAAATGGAAGCGAGCTGAGTGCTTTCCGAGGGGCAGTATGATTTACAAGCGAGGACATCTGCAAGACCACGGACTACGAGAATTGGTGTCATTACTTTGACAATGCAGCAAGAGTGTCAATTGACCAGCATATGGCTTGCATGACAGCAGGTGAGATTGCAGGACTTTCTTCGCTACAAGGACCGAGCAATCGGGCGTTGAGCGTTGGCAGCGAGGGGCAAGTAAACCGTGCGTTGGTGGTTGTTGATGAGGCGTTTGCACTTGAACGACCTGCACGACATAGCGATGGCTTGAAGATGAGCGCAGTGGGCAGGTGCACGCGCGTACAGTACGCTTTTCGCTTGAAACAATTTGCGTCAGTTCTCAGGACCGACCTAAAACAGAAATCACTTGCCATTGTAATTTTTCTGGAATATACCGAGCGTCGAGGTAGTGGTGGTGCGGTGGTGATGGTGCTTGTGCTGGCAGCCTAGCTAAGCGCCAGTCAGTCACTGACAGCTGCACTGGGTCTGAAGGGACCCCTGGCGTCCGTACCGGGGGTTTCCGTCTTTTTCTTCAGAGACATCTTTCTTCAGAGACAGAGACACAAAAAACGTGGGTTCATGGCCTAGAGAATCGGCATCGAAAGGTCCTGATTGCCGTGCGTCTGAAACTTTGATAGGTCTGGGGTTCTGGACTATTGAGACGGGTAGGTAGTAAGTGTAAGTGCAGGCAGTCATGTGGTTGTCATGACGGCTGGCAGGATAAACATACGATATCCTCGTGTTGGATTTCAAAAATTCCTTGCCGTGTCCAAATATTTCTTTCCTTTCCTTTTTCTATTTTCCTGAATATTCTTGGGCGTTGTGCAAGGCAAGATGAAGCTGGTGGCGTTTTCGGGTGCGGGGAAAGTCAATAGTGGTCGTTGTCGTCCCAAAGCAGGTAAACAAACACGGCACGTCAAGCGAGTACCACCATCAACTGATGATTACACGAGAGCATACCATTGCGTTGAAGTGCTACGAAAGGGATGTGATGGGATGGTATGGAATGGAATCGCATGTGCACTATCGATATGCAATGTGTGCTTATGCTTATGCTTACCTCTCTGGTCTAGAGCTCTTGGATATAGCTTGGAGAGCTTGGGATTGTCAATGTTGCATCCCACCCGCGTTCTTGAAGATTTGCGAGGAGCTTGATGTTAGTGGTAGATGTTCAGTTTGAAGTGGAGACTGAAGTTGAGCTTTTTGGATTCTTGGCTAGGACCCAGGGGTGAGGGGCAGTGGTAAGGCCAAGCCAAGCCATGTTGAGGCTGAGAATGGAATGGAGCAAGTGGAGATCGGAGGGGAAGGGATGGATTCTGGTATGGTATGGTATGGTATAGTATGGATCTAAGGTACTTTTGACAGACAGGCGATTGTCATTGGCATCACATTGGCAGTCGTGCATGATATGCTGCCACTCATTGCTCATCAATCCGTTAATATGCAGCGGGTGAGTTGCTGGATTCGGATCTTACTTGCACCGTTCTGTAAGGGGGTTGACTTGGCGGGGAGTTTGTAATGTACGAATTGAGAAGAAGGTCCTTGGTTGGCGATCTTGGTGGTGGAGGAATCCTGATGAGGAAGTGTGCTTGCAGATGAGCTGGAGTATCCGAATATTCTGGATTCTCAAGAATGAAAAAATATTCGAATTAATGCTTTTGCATGATGCTATACCTCGCCGTACATATTTATTCAGTTTAATAATTATTTTTGAAGCTTGGACTGGGGTGAGCGAGAAAGAAGCTTGGACACTATCAAAAACCCAAAAGAGAAACCAAGTTCAGATAGTTGGCTGGCTGCATGCAGCCCAGCAGCAAGACCCCAGCTTTTCCAGTTACATGGAACTGTTGATATTCAGTAGATCAATGCATGATGCCAGCCATCACGACACTTCATCACTTGGAGGCCACGAGGTTGAAGGTCTGGCTGGTATCTATCTTGTCGTGTTGCGATGAGTGATTGCCTGGCTGGAAAGTTTGGATAACATCAGCTCGGATGAGGGGTGCAGGATCGGTTAGAACCTTTTACTGAGTTTGATGCTCGACAGGGCTTTAGTGAGTAAGCTGGGGAGTGCTCCGTGGGCTTGCAGACGAAGTATTGCATTGCATGGCTGGAGTTTTTTTTTTTTTTTTTTTTTCAAGAGTCAAGATTCTGATGGAGGAATTTTCAGGTGATGTCTGTATCCACAAGTGTCCACTTTCAATGCTTGCTGGATTCGGCGTTACCATGCAGTGTTGAAGTACATTCATTGTGTCGTATCAATGCTTTGGCGAGAGCTACAAGCGAGTTTCAAGAGGGATGACAAGCTACACGGCGATTCACAATGGCGGTTGTGCTTGCTGGTACAACGGTACCACGATACTGTGTCCTACAGTAGGTATCACAGCATATGGCAATGACATTGCGTGCCTCGGAAACACAACTGCGAACTGATGTCACGGTCCGCCACAGCCCGTGACGTGGAGTTCGCTGGGACGAGGCAAATGTATGTCGTGATCGTGAAAGTTGCCTGGCACCTGTCTGTCTGACATGACAGAAGCAGAAGCAGAGGAAGCACACCCGTACTTTCCGCTGTTCATGTCAACATCAGATGACAGGATAAAATTCAACACAACAACCAGACACAACATCTTCATCCGAACACCAGCATGACGGAATTCTCATTGCAGACAGCGTCATATCAGCAGTGAGTTGTACAATTATCGAGTATCCCAATCATCAACATCATCCATCCCGAAAATCTCGAAAATCTCGCTCATTCATTCTGCTTACTTCTCTGATAAGTCAGTCTCCTTCGAGTATATCGAGCGTCTCTGCATCTACAGCCTCCTAAACAGGAACAAATTTACGTAACAATTATCGATTCTTCATCTCGCTCTCTTGGCTACTTGGCAAGCAACGCAACGCAACTCAGCGGAGCAAAGGATTATTGCAGCAGCATGGCGAGAAGAACGAGAGAGAGGCCCACCACTGCACTGCACTGCAAGAGTAAGCAAGCCAGCAAGCCAGCAAACCCGACAAGACTTGACCCAGACTGATAAGCGAGCGGAAGTCTCAGAATGTATTGGATGGGGCATCAAGCCACGCCAGGCCAGGAACAGACAGGCAGGCACAACAGGAACCCGAGTGGGCGAAGAGAGGGGCTGGGACTGGACTGGAATGTGTGGGGTTCGGGTGAGGTGAGATCCGTAGGTGGGTTGGGTGGATTCGGTGGAGTTTCTCGGGACCGAGATTTCCCAGATTCCAGATTCCCAGATTCCCAGATTCCCAGATTCCCAGATGGCAAGCTAGAGCCGATCGGATCGGATTTGTTTCCTAAATCTGAAACAGTTCTAGACTTTGACTTGAAAGCTGACTGCTGGAGCCGGATACTCACTGGCCGGATTGTCCCAGAGTGTGGTCTAGGTTGCACGAATGCGAGGCGCTGTGCTGTTTCCGGCGTGGAGAGATAGTGAGGGAGTGACTTGGGGGATACAGCAGGCTGTCAGTGTCAAATGCCAATGTCAATGTCAACGCCGTCATGGTAGAAATGCTGTTCCTGTTCCTGTTGGTACGGAGGTACGGAGGTGTGTGTACAGCCCTGCCTATATGTCGGTACAGAGCACCTGCAGTACCTCCCTATATCACAGCACGCAAACACACTGTACACATACCCATACCCTGGCTGTGGGCGTAGCCTGGCAAGACATGGCGCATCGCTGTGTGTAGTGTATGTATGTGTGTGTGTGGTTGGTTGGTGATGACGAGTTTGTTGCTATCCGTAAATACATCAGATCCTTGATACCACACAATTCATCCTGCAATATCCTGCAGCTATGACAGCCTTCATGCACGAGGCTGATAAAAGATGGAACGGTGCAGTGCAGGGCACCCAACCGCCTGTCACCTACCTTGCCAGCCAGCGCCCAATCGCGGGGTATTGTCGGTACAGCGAGCGGTGGCGATCATCCATACATCAGTCCACCTTCCAACCAACCAAGTCCTCAAACCAGGTTTACAACATTTTGATGCGTTGTAGGTACTTGCGCACGAATTGGGGCTTGCATACATGCTTGCTTGCTTGCTTGCCTGCCTTGCGCCCCAGGATCGCGACATTTTTGTTCATCGCGAATCAGGTTTGTTGGTTGGAATTGGGCTGTTCTTTGCCACTTGCAGCTATGCTATGAACAAGAGGGAAGAGGTGCAAGGGAAGGGAGGATTGAGAAAGCGCTCGTAGCACAGAAGAAGGGAGGAGAGGAGAGGGAGAGGACAACAGATTCAATAGTTCCCTTTCCTGATGCTGGCCTGACTACTGTACATTGTCGGGCGGCCTTGCTTGGTCTTGGCGGGGTTGATACTGGTGCTGTTGCTGTTGCTGTTGCTGTTGCTGAGAGGAGTTTGGTATGGCATGATATGTTACCTACCTACTGTACCGTGCCTCGTGACCTGGGATGGTTTCGAGAGCTGGAGGGAAGGGGGATTCTTTCTCGTTGGTACTGAGTTACTGTTCACGTTGGAATTAGGGTTGGAATAGGAGTGAAGCAAGGCAAGGCAAAACAAAACATACGAACGAAACTTTTCGCCAACGCGGAGGTGTAAACCCGTCCTGTACCTCACGCCCGATGCGATGATGCGGCTTACAGGTTGGCAGCACAGGGCCTGGCAAAAAAAAAATATATTCTGGGGTATGTTACATTCCTTTCCAGGCTGAGCGCACAGGGCACTGAACGGGGACTGAACAGGCCCCCCTGCCTGCCTGCCTGCCTGCCTGCCTGCTTGTCCGCCCGGGCCTGTCCTTCCATTTTTGATGTCTTGCCACTTTTACTTGGTGACTTTTAATACAGCTCCTCACGAGAAAAGAAAAGGAGAAATTATCCACAGGGGGTGGGAGGCAGATTAAAAATCAAAAGTCAAAAGTTGAAAGTTGGAAGTCAAAATGAGAAAAAGTCAATTAATTGAATTATTACCCATTGTTAATGTAATGTAAATCACTTAAACCACCTGGTAACTTCGTAAGCGACCCTCCTCCCTGGCCTGAGGTGAGGTGACGAATGAGCCTCGTCAGCTCTTTCATTTCATTTCCGTTTCATGCAATGCAATGCTACGGAATTGATGGACGGGGGGTTGGACGAGGGGATGCAGATTGGAAGATGGGAGCTGGAAGATGGACGGGGGAGAATGGACGAGGGGGATGGACGAGGGGTTGTAGATTGGAAGAATGGAGGAGGGTTTGTATTTTGCCTGAGTTAGTTGGCTTGCGCGCTACGAAGGGAGGGATAGTCACGTTATTGTGCAGCGGGCTGCGATGCGCTGTGCTGGCAGAATTGATTGATTGATTGATTGATGGGGGTTCGGCAGTTGTGAAGTTGAGGTCTGATTGATTAATTGATTGATTGAGTGTTGATGTGCTGAAATTTATAGAGTATGCAGCAGGCAGGCAGGATATCGGATGGATGGAAGGTGGATAATAATGTTTGTGGAGTTTAGACGTTGAGATAAGAAGCAGAGGGTGAGTAGATGTGTTTGTTTTAATTTGATTTTTTATTTATTCAAATTTAGAAACTAAATACTAAAAATTCTCTGTTTGTCTGTCTGCCTGTCTTCACAATCACTATCACTAACTTTACTCCGTTCCCATGCACATACGCTTCTCACAGATGCTGTGTTTGTTATCCACGTGATCTGAAATGCCAATATCAACAAAATTTCCAACTCCTTCCTCCTTTTTTATCCAATTGCACTTCTGTTTTCGCGTTAAAAATGAATGTTGTGGTGTGTCATTAGAGAAACCAACCCCGAGTTTGCTTAATAGCTGACTGGAGTGGTGAGAGTGAACGAGACTGGCGACCCAGACATCGTGACCCAGATGGTGAGAGGATCGGAGCCGATCTTCTCGGTGGTGAAACCCTGAGTGCTGGTGACGGTGCCTGGGACCGTGACGGGGATATTGACAGAGCAGGTGTTGCCGTTGGTGGTGAGTGTGACGGCAGTGATGGTCTTTGCGGATGGGTTGGTGGTGTAGGACAGCTGTGGGGCGCACTTGTCGCGGGCCATGCGGTTGATGAAGTCTAGGGCGGTGTCGTCGTGCTTGAGGGAGATCAGGGGCCAGGTTACGAGGCGGGTGAACTCTTGGGTGACGGTCTCGGCCCAGGCTTGGATCAGGGACAGCTTCTTGGAGACGCCGTTGATAGTGGTGGTGCCTGCGGTCACGTAGTTCAGGTTGGCTTGGTGGAACATGTAGGGGTCGTGGTGGAGACCGAACAGGTGGCGGGTGTTGGTGGCCTTCTCGAGGGCAAGGAGGGCGTTCCAGTCTCCATTGCCGGCAGAAGTGTCGATCCACTCTTGGACTGTGCATGCGGGGAGATCACACTTTGATCTGTTAGCATAATTGCCTGTGGGGGTGAAAATGAGTACATACGTTGTAGTAGATGTTGGTAGCCCAGCGGGGAACAATGGTAGCTCCAGCGTAACCGTTGTCAGCGACGGTGCTGATGAGAGGCCAGAACTCGTTCTCCTTGTTCATCAAGACTGGACGAGTGTTGTCACCAACGACATACTTGATGCCGTTGTCGAGCCATGCCTTGATAGCATCACCATTGTGCATACCAGTAATCGCAGGAGGAATGATGCCGTTCGCGCTGAACTTGTTTCCAGCTGCGATACCGACTTGCCTGAGCCATGCCTGGTTCCATGAGATCTCACGGGAGATATCAAAGTAAGTGGCGTTGTTTTGATCCTCGTGTGTGAAGGTGTGAGATACGTGAGCAAAGACATCACGGTTTGCGGCCTTGGCGAACCAGACCTTGAGAGGGTCCAAGTTGGTGCAAGTAGTGGTGTATGGGTAAGTGGTTGGGGTGCTTGGCCAGAGGTTCTTGCCAGTTCCGAGGGGCTTCTTGAACTCGAGAGGAGTATCAATCTGCTCAGGGTACTCGGTTGGTCCGATACCGCATTGGGTTCCACCGAGATCAGCTCCGGCCTCGATGTTGCCATTGCCGTTGTGGCCAATGTCGAGGAAGTACTTGCTGCCAGCTGGCAAGCGGCTCTGGATATCAGAGGTCCAGATCCTGTGTTGATCCATGTCGGCAGTGGTGATTCTGTATGTTCTACCAGCGGGTCGGTAGATGTCAGAGATCAAGAACATGTCATCGACTATTGATACTAATTAGCCTGAATGCCTGCAATATATCTTGCTTCAAACATACCTTGATTGCTGAAGTAGGTGCGGCGGAAACCAGTGTCTGGAACATTGTTAGTCCATGCTGGGCATTTTGGCAGATATACATACATAAGCCTCGGGTGGCCCAGGTGATCCAAGCATGTTGGAGGTAGTTGGAGGTTGCCGACCATTCAGTAGCGAATCCGATGAAGAAAACCATCTATCGAGCTGTCAGTAAAATGAAGAAGTGTAACTAGTGAGTATCTTTACCTGTTGTCGACCATCAATGTTGTTGATGACACCAGCAGTGGACGCGGTTGGGAAGCCTGTAGCTGGGCCAAATGAGGCGAACTCAGTTGCAATGGTGGCATTGGTGATGGTGGCGGGGTAATGATAGAGACCAGCAGTGGAAACACCAGCTCCAGTCTTCATTCCTGAAGTTGGGAAAGCAGCAGTGCTTGAGAGACTGATGAGTTGCTCGACTCCTGTCTTGCAACATCCACCGATGGCAGTGGCACCATAGGCTGGACCAGGGAAGACATCAATACGGACCATGCGGGCACCGAAAGATACCTGGTACTGATAGATAGTTGCCAATTGAGCAGCGGTGAGAGCACTTTGGAATCCAAGAGTTCCACCATAGTCGTAGCTGACCTCGGACAGGATGACGATGGCTCCATAGTTTCCAGCAGTGGAAGAGCTGTTGAGCTGTGGTAGGGTGGTGCCTTCCTTGGGGACAGTGACGACCTGATACGGGATGGCATAGCCATTGAGACCAGACGTAGCCGAGTAAGCAGAAGGAGTGTCACGAGCAAAGATCAGAATGGTGCTCTTCGTACTGGTACCAGCAACTGCAGCAGCGTTTGGAGCTGCAACTGCCAAGCCCTGTACGGTTGTGTTGGCAGCAACGATCATTCCCTCAACTGCAGAGTGTCATCAGTGAGGCCCGTAACTTCGGACGAAGACTAGACTTACTTGTCTGTAAAATCTTTGTTGCAACTGGCGGAGGGGCCAAGGGACCTCCTCCTCCTGCTGCCTGGACCGGTTCGGATTGGCCATTGGTGGTTTGTCTTTTGTGAGGGTGCGCATATACTCCTGAAACGGAAGATGCCACAAGCAGAGCTTTGAAGAAAGTTTTGGTCAACATGAGGGGCAAGGGGCACGTAGCGAACGGAGATCTTCAAACGGAAACGAATGAGTTGAAGATAGGATTTGAGGTCAGAGTTGAAGTGTATATAAAGGAAAGATGACAGCAGATTGACGCTTGACAGCTGGGATTACACGAGGTGGACTGGAAAATCTAGACAATCAGGCCAGCCACAGCTGAGTACAAGACAAGAGCCCAGAAGGAATCGAAGCATTGACAAAGCCGTAATGGGTGGCATGGCTCGACCCTTTGGGCTGGCTGGCTCCCAAAGCGTCCATCTCCAAGGATTTACTTGGGAGTCTGGGTCCGGGAAGAAGAGACAGCGAATGACTCGGGATGGACTATCGAAAATTTGCAGCGAGCATTGAGAGTTCCGGTCAGCTTGTGGTAAGCTTTGGTAGAGTCTGTGCCGTAGCATTGGGTGCTACAGTACTACTGGTACAGACCGCCGGCGGATGGGCTGGCAGAGACATTGTGGGAGCACCATGAGTCGATCAAGGGTCGACGGTCTAGGATGGGGATGGGGATGGGGATGGGATGCCGAGTCGTGCGGGCGAGACGGTAAGGCTAGAGGGAGAGATAAGTGGGGATGGGATGTGCTCAGAGACGGGACAGGGAGATCTGTCGATGCGCGGCGGGCTGCAAGGGGTATCGGGGTCTGTGTTGTCATGTTTACCTTTTTTTAGACCTGAGCAAGAAAATCATGCGGAGGAGGCAGCGCTAGAGGAGGCGGAGGAAAGCGAAGGGAAGGGAAGGGAAGGGAAGGGAAGGGAAGGGAAGGGAAGGGTTGAGGAAAGTCGGGCTAGGCGAGAGCTCTTGCGGCGCTAGGACGATGCGATGGGCCGGAGAGGTCCTTCCAAGAGAGACAGGAACATAGACTAAGAAAGTTCGAAGATAGCCAAGGCCTCAGCGCCATAGAGAAGAGAATCGAGAGAATTAAGAGGTAGAAGTGGAGGGTGGGGGTTGAGAACGATAGGTTCTAAATCGGGAAAAGACCAAAATCAAGGTTGGGCAAACTCTGCTTGTTAGCTGTCATCGTGAAGCGAAGCGAAGCGAGACCTCGTCATGAACTCAAGCAGTGTAGTACAGTACAGTACTGTACCAGTGAGTGAGCGACCTCTGAAAATTCAGAACTGGGAAAAGCTGAAAGCAAGCCACAAGGCGGTCTGGCAACCGCTGTCAGAGCTCATGAGTGGATGAGTTGGGCTCCCGTATCTGTCGGTCGATATGCAATGCACAATGATCGATACGGATCATAATTGTGCCTGGTAATGGATAACTAGCATGGATGGTTGTGCAAGTTCAAGGCCAAGGTCGGTCTGCTACAGTACAGTACTGTAAGGTAGGCGAGAGGGGAGGGATGAGGGTTGAACTGTGGAGACGAAGCCTTTGCCGGGGGGCTTTTCCTCCGAAGAAGCTGCATAAGAGGAGGAGGGACAAGAGCCCAAGAGTCAAAAGCAGCAAGTACAAGTACATCATACAGTACAGTACAGTACAGTACAGTACAGTAGTAGTACTGCGCTGCCTCGCTGCTCTGCACGCAGAGATAAAATAATCTGATCTCCGCTAAATTAGCGCTGGTCGCTGACGCTGGTGCCATCGTGCATCGAACGACTCCCCTCACCACTGGGCAGTAGTCTTGAGCCAGTCCACGCTCTCGCCTGTCAGGCGTTCTTGAAGCGGCAAGGGGTCCAAGCCAGGCAAGCCAGGCAAGCCAGGCAAGGCCCCCCAGGCGCCCCCAAGCCCCCATGGCAAGCCAGCCGGATTCACGTGCACGCCGGCCGGCATGGGTGTTCCGAGCCAAGTCTCGTCTATTCTCAACGTCTTGTCCTCCTCTTTGCCTCTGTTCGTACTGCCACAGTCTATGAGGAGCCCACGCCCAGGAGCCAGGACCACTTCTCCGACAACAACAGCCAACCCACTTGCTTCATACACCCTCCGGTCTCTTCTCCGTTGGCACCAAACAGCGATACTACAGCAGAACCCACAGTACAGCGCAGCACAGACATGACATGGAAATCAGGACATGGGCAGGGGCGCCCGCGAGGAGTCCCCAAGAGCCCAGGACTTGCTATCCCGCAAACCCGGGACTACCAGTTACGGTACCAAATCCGGTCACCACTGCTTACCTACGGACTACGGTGCCCAGCATCGCCTTCACTTCCGATGCTCTGAGGAATGTGGCAGTCTGCACTACTGTACTACATCCAGTGCTATACTTTCCAGAGCTCGTGTCATGAAACTGAAAACAGACCACAGCAAACTTATCCAGAAATAGAGCTAGGTGAGTTCAGGCGAGCTAGTGCGAAGTGACTTCATGATCTACTGGTCCAGCAATATCCGAGCGTGTTCGTTTCTTCTCTTTGTTTCTTCGCTTGGTCTCTTTGTGCGTGCTCAGCGGGGCAGGGATCGGTTTCGAGAAGCATGGCTAGAGGGCGGCCGCTCTCAAATCGCTCAAGCAGCAAGCGATGATCTGCGACAACCGTTGTTTTATTTTTCCTTATGATCCTGTCCACCACCAACCTGTTGTTTCTGCTGGCTGCATTTGGGTAGTGCCGTGCATGCGGGGCATACAAGCGCCTCTTAAGACAGCCCTTAGCGTCGCCGCTAGGAGCCCCTCCAGTCTCGATGCACATGAGATGACCCCTGCCAATCCCAACCCGTCGTTTATGTCTCGCCTAAGGGGCCTGGTGCTATCACTGGGATATCTGCTGATGACGGTTTTCGGCTCAACTCAATTCTTTCTGTCTGCACTGCACTGCATTTCACCCGCCGGATCTGCCAGTGGACGGCATTCTTCGTTCTGGAATAGTAACAGTTCAGGCTATACGAGCGGCGGTCTGACCGATCTACTGCCAAAATGAGACGTGGCGTCCAACCAGTTCTGATACTCACCACCCCAGACGCCTGTTTGATATCAACATGCGGGCCAAGAATCTTCTTTGGCAAGCCGTCGGTCCACGTTGCTGCTTTCTTTCGTTCGTTTTCATACTCCGTCGTATTGCTGCTGATCTTCCAAGAATATTGAAGGCTTGCATGGTTCACGCTACTTGTTGATGGGGCTGAACTCAACCATGATATTCGGTGATATGATGATGTGCTTACTACTAGCGGAGCAAACTTCTTTTCGCCTCAGCCTTAATGTTTGAGATCTAGTGATCCCCGACGAGAGAGCTTGGGTTAGTAACTTGTCACTTGCTTCCGTCCACCAACCAGCGCCGAGGCTGGCCATCTCTAGGCTTCATTTTTACTCATTGTCTGAGATTTGATGCTGCTACTACTCTACACAACTACACTCGCTCGCCCACACCGTCGTTCAACAAGCCCCTCGCGCAATTTGCACCCCACTTCGCTCGCTCAAGGCAAAACATATCAGAGAAGTGTGAAGCTGTTCGACTTACTCTATGGCGACAACCCTCTGAATTTCTCCCAACCGACGACATGGCATACATCACGGGTGTTCACGCAGGTAATTGGGCTGAATTGAAGCAGCATTGGTGGCAACTGGTATGATATTCTATCGTACACACTTTCTTTTCTAACAAAGTGACAGGTACTTGTCAGCTTGGCTCTAGCTTCTATTGCAGTGGGATGTACATATTTTTCTTTCCTACTGTTGAGAAAACTTTGGCGTCACATAACAACAAAGGTATCCTGGACTCACCCAACATGAGTGATCATTTCTAACTTATGTTGTCCTGCAGAAAGGACTATCCGAGGGCCTTAGAGACCGTGTCTCCCGCCATCTGCAGAAGTATACCGTCTCGACGTCGCAGGATTCGACCATCGAGAAGCTTGACAGGAAAAAGCCGACATCTTTGGGAATATACTTGGGCACATTCGACTCTCCGATATCCGATGCGCAAAGTCAAAGGCTCTCGGAGCGGGATATGATAATCCTGAATCCCCTACAAAACTATATTCCAAGGGCACTGGCAGAGTTATCAGGGCGTCAGAATGTTCCACAGCGAATCATTGGGAGACTGGATTTGAACAATGTCTTGACGGCAACGACACCTACTCGAGCATCTTCGAAATTCATCCTGTCATGTCTTGATCGAACAATGAGCATGGTTCTTGCGGCATTCCGGACATCAGAGGGTGGCAAGAATGATTTTACTGGAATACTTCTAGCAGGCTGGGAGATATTCCCCACTCCCGTCTTCCACGAACTCTGCACTGTCATCTCTACATTCGGTCTTGAGATCTATGTAGAGACATCTGCGCCAGAGTTCCTTGCCGACGGGACTGCACTAGCTTGTAACGCTATTTCGGGTCTCATCATTCGCAATGGTCTTGTACTTCCAGATGGCGAGAGACGTGACTGCTTCGACATGGAGCCACTTCGGACGACCGTAAAGTCTTTCGTGTCCCAATCTTGCATCCGAGACTTCACTGTCTTCGTTTGGGAAACCTTGGATGACGATGTTGTCATTTCGAATGCAGTCTTGAAGAGAACATTCGCTTGGTGCAACTTTTACAGTGTGGTGTCTTGGATTGGATGTCAAGGCGCACTCACGGATGCGACAGTCGATATTGTCCAGATGGAGCCGCTGAGCGCATTCGCCTGGTTGAAGGAACCCAGAGTGATGGAACTCCATGATATGTGGAAGAGTAAGAAAGTTGTAAGTAGAATCGTTCGACTTATGGTTGCCATGTCGCTAACCTCGGCAAATCTAGATTCAACAGTCAAACCATCGACACTCTGTCATTGGACGCCTCAGCGCCATGCTTCCGACTCTAGAAACTGCAAAGAATGATTGCGCTTGTCAGCATGATGAGGAATTGATTGACCCTTCCTCGATCAATGCAGAATTTCAAGAGAACATGGAATGGTTCGTCTTGAGAGATGGAATCAGCGGCGATCCTCTATGCACATCGACAGCCGGCAACTCATATGATGGACTTGGATGTTTCCCGCTGGGGCTGGATGTTTCTCCCGATGATTTTCAAGAGGTTGTCTTTTCTCAAAGAAACTTAAGAAAGCTTGAATTATTAGATGCCGTGACGCCGGCTGAACTTCGGAGTTATGGCGCCACCTTCGCCAGATTCGTTGCTGCAGGCACTGTCCCTTCCGAACCATCAATGCCTGGTGTTCCATCTGTTCGACAGGCAATTGGGAAAATGGCTGATAAATTGCAATCTTCCCCTGAAGATGGCTCTGATGGTATCCGAGTTTTCCTCGGACTCCATTCTGGATTTCAGCGCACCATCGAGAAACAGTTTTGGGCCGTCTACCATGCGCACCCTGCCAAGGCTACTGCCGATATTTACATATCCAAAACCGTCAATGATGTGATGGGCACACTTTTGCACACATTTCTGTCGTGCCAGGGTCTTACGCGACGGGAGTGCATCGCAGCAGAAACATCTTTTGCTCGCTGGAATCAGACACTGGTTTCGTCCCACAAAATTCCACCAAGACTAATCCAAGATGTTGAACTTCTCTCTCCAGAAGAATGTCTCCAACTCTTGCAGCGAGTTTGCCTTGCGCCAAATGCCGAAGAGGACTTTCTCTTGTGCGGTATCAAATCTGCTGCTACGGAGCGATTGGTCGATATCCCGACCTGGAACCAACTGAAAGTTGTCAACACAGTCGGTTACTTGAATGGTGATGTCACGGTCGAAGAACTTCTCGATTCTCGTCTTCAATGGCACTGCCAATCAAAGCGCCAGCACCCAAGTCTCTCAGCAGCGGTTGCCCTCTTCCGCGATGTTGAAGCCAAAATTGAAGAAGCACTGCGAACTCGTAGTCATCAAAAGCTCCAAACCATCATTGATGCTCTTGGCAGGCTTCTTAACAGCACAATATATGGCGCCATTGGTGATCTCTATGCCCTTTCAGTCTTCTGTACCATGAGAAAATTTGCTTTCGATGAGGTCTATGTCGAGGTAACGGACAGAAACCCGCTTTTCAACGATCAAACAGACCAGTCTGCCGCATTTGCTGAGCTATTCGCTCTCGGATCTCGATGTGAGGCTTATTTCGACTGTTCTCCTAGCCAGTTCGGTGAGCTTCTTTCTGGAAAGTATCGCACGCACTACTCTTTGTCGGAGAACCAGCCTCCTATGTTCAAGGACACCATGGCTGCACTTCCATCGGCGTACGCCGAGGCGCAAATCGATGTGGATCCAAATTACAAGCCCACTGAGATGGCATCCTATAAGAGATTTACTTTCTTGAGCGTGTTCGCCATTCCAGCGCTGATCGATATTCTCATGCTCACAACCACAGGGCATGGATTGTATCTCAGTGGTGGAAAGGAAGGAGCAGAGTACATGACGCATGATGAGCAGCACAGTGCTACCACTGCATTGATGATTTCTCTCCTGCTCTCTGGTGCAATTGGGACCTGGATTACATGCGGTGGAACCTTCTACCTCGCATCCATGGCTTTCTCAGCTATGAACTATTTCGTTGTCACCCGCTTGCTCGGAGGTCTTGCTTTTACCCTCGTTGTAGGCATCGTTGGCTTCATCGCATTCGCTTGTACGGTCACCGTCTACCATGCTGGAATTTTCCTGCTATATCTAATGGTCTTGACGACATATCTATCGCTCCTTGCGGCACTTGCTAATTACCAATTTATCGGATCTTCGTTCCAATCAGTAAGTATCTACAAATCCGCAATCCTCTTAGTTCTAACAAAGTTTGTCAGGGTCGCGCAACTATCATAGCATGCATTCCAATCTTGTTCGTATCTCCAATCGTTACAATGTTTGTACCTCATCACGATGTCGCCATCTACCTGACAGTACTCTTTGTTTTCGTTACAATGCTCTTTCTCGGAGTCCGTCGCACAGGAGCTCAATGGACCACATGGTACCAGAAGATATCTCTTGTCGACGACCAAACTCTCAGAACCTGGTTCATTGAAAACAAAACTGCAGGTATGGATGGAATCGAGAAGATGTCCGACCCAGCTGTGCTCAGATTCGCACGAGACGCCTTACTTAAGGACGTTTTGGCGGAGCGCAAGAAATCAATCTTCTCTAAAAAGACTCGTGACCCTCTTGTTCTCAAGTTGGTTCGCTCATACGAAGCTACAAGTTTCTTGATGGTAAGTCTGTCTCCAAGATTCGACGAGTTTCATTTGCTAACTCAAGCAGAACTGGTATTGTCGCTTTACTGGAGTACCACAACCCATCATGTTCAGTTCGGCTTGGAACGTCCAAACCAAGGTTGCTCTCTTCTCCATGCAGAAGTCGCAACTTGGTATTCGATTCCACAACGGCTTTCTTCATTGGCGCCAAGCTGGTGATGAGATTGGCTGTACCATGCTGTATTTCATCGTCGCATTGCTCGACAAGTGGATCTCTCTTCTCAGTGGTGGCGACCTGATTGGTCTCACCAGCTCCAACGTCTCTTTGACAATGCCTGTTGGTTTCGGTCTCGCATACTATCTTGTCGGAGCCGTCCTTCTTGACTTTAACGCGAACAAGCTCCACGAGCTTGCTTCAAGGACAACGGAGGAGATCATTCCAACTGATGGAGACCTTGCACAGGCGCTCAAGCAAAAGTCCGATAACCGCAGAAAGGTGTACTGGAAGACGCTCGCTCGCTTCTTGATGCTCCATGTCTGGGGTCTTGCAGTCACTTCAATCCTCCTTTGGCTCTTTGCTAGCACCAAAGACAGCGAAGGGACCATCATCTTCTTGTCCTACGTCTTGGCTTATACCGGTCTACTTTGGTATCAGTATACCAAGATATTTTCGGGACCACACGCCTTGAAGCCCCTTCTTATTGCTGTTGCCATCGGTCTTCCACTTGGCTTCATCTTGGAATATGAAGCACCAGACTTCATCTACTCGAACGTTGTCGCACTTGGCGTGTCATGCTGGACAGTCGCCATCTTGTCACTCTGGGCTGGCAAGATCGTCGGACCTCCCGAGGAGAAGATGCAACCCCTGTCAGCCTCAAATGGAGCCTACAATGCGTACTCGAGCCCTGGTGCTGATCACGAATGGTCGCAGCCTGAACTCCAGAGTCTGTACGAACAGCTTTCAGATCTTTCTGAGAAGGAGCGTCTCTTGGTTGATCCCGATTCCGAGTTCGGAAGCCAAGTAAAGCTGATCCTCGAACAATGCAGCCATGCCGAGCTTCCTGAGATTGCAAAGCGAGCTTTCCCAGAAGCCGAGACTTTACTCAAGCTCAGCATCCAAATGTTCAGAGAACGATTCATCCACGTCGAGCTCATGTCTGTTGACCACTTCTCCGACCCCAGTATGAGGGCCATCAGCTCAGTTGAGAACGACCAGATCAGACTTCTCGTTGCTTGCGAGACCAAGCGCGTTTCCAAGACGGAAGACCCACTTCAGGGCTTCTACTGGGATGTCGCTGAGCTCCTTGTCCAAGCGACTGCTGAGAGATACCTTGGCTTCAATACCCACGATGCCTTGCTCGCGAGAACTCTCTGGCTCAGCAATGGCATCTGGAACAGCGTCAATGGACCTGATATTCTCGAGCGTCATCTCAAGATCCAGACAAAGAACCTGGCTGAAGTTCAGGCTTACCTGAAGACGCAGATCTTGCGAGATCTCTGCCTTGGATTCGATGCAAACTTGGACTCTGAGGACATGCCCAGCGAGCTTCGCAAATATCTCATCAACCGCTGTGTCGGTGTCGTCGGGCCTCTCAATGACAAGCAAATCGCTTCAATGAACAAGAAGCTCAATAAAACTAGAGGCTTGTCCTTTGAGACCTACGTGGCTCGCTGTAATTATGCCGTCGTCTCCGGTTCTCGTATGCTAAGCCGTGTCAATGTTTGGGCAAGTCGAGACCACTCAGTGATGTCCACGCGACCATCCAGCTTCCAGCAACGAGACAGCTATTCGCGGTCCATCTCATCTCGTTCCAACGATCTCGAGTCTGCTCAACAGTCTCACCTCCTTCTCGAGGCGGCATCTCCTGGTTCTTCAATTCGTGTCCTGGATCTGCTTGCACACGCTACACCTCCCAAGCTTTCATTGTGGGATCGTGTTCAGCACTACTCGGGTGTCGTGTACCATTTCGCCGGCAAACTCTGCAAGTTCTTCATGATCGCATTTGTTGCTGATCCCGAATACCAGAGAGAGTTGCGCTGCAGTTTCCCTGGAAACTCAAACATCGCAAATGTTGTCACCAGATTCTGTCTCATCTCCATCTGGCTATGGTCGAAGGCAATTCAGCGAATGTTCCTTCCAGTATTTTTGTTCCACAACAGAAAGAATGTCGTTACAGTTTGGCGGAACCTCCACGGTATGGAGGTTTCTATCAAGAGACGCCGTATATTGATTCGAAACCTTGATGGTACTTCTACTGGCTTCATTCATCCCGTCGATGGTGAGAGTTTTAAACTCCTCCAATACAAGGGTGACCATAAGACCGAGCCATCTACCAACCAGAGTCTGATCGCGATCAACATGTACAGTAACAACATGTCCTTAAAACGCCGCGTTCAAATGAACAACGGTAATACGGTGAACGATTATGTCTACGAGTACCGAAGCACAGACCCAGGATCCTCCAAACGCATCTCCAAGAGCGATCTTCTGAGAGCGCCGATCACCCGAAAGGGCATCGCTGGCAAGAATGTGCTTCAAGATGTCTCTTACAACGCTAAGGGACAGATTGACTCTGGTTCCTATCTCCTCGACGGCAATATGGTCCGCTTCAAGTATCATTATCAGAAGGCTAGCAAGCACGGCGGCGCACTTCTGCGAGCTGAGTTTGTCCTTCCGCATATGAGTTGTACCGTCGCATGGTGTGCGCCACCTCGACGCAAGCCCGAGAGACTCGACTCTTGGTTGCCTCATTCTCAAGTCACAGAAGCGACATTCGTCGTGGGTCCAGATGTCTGGGAGAGCAAATACATGTACGACCACAAGTTCCACCCGACCATCCTCACTACTTTGAATGGTCAGAAGGTCGACACGCCAGATCTGATCTTGTACGATCACTTGAACGTGCTGAAGAAGCCAGCCCATGTTTCTTTCTTGGATGACAATCCTCTCTATGGCTTCAGTACCATCAGAACCACAGCTGTGTCTCGCTGGCTCGGCTTCCACACTCGCCGCTTCCCAGTCTCAACCTCGCAATCTCGTTCTTGGCTCTGGAAGGCATGGAAAGAAGATCCTGCCTTCGATGGTGTCATCATCCGCTGGCTGGACGAGCGTCTCCTCCGCCGCGATGAAGTCCTCGCACCATACTGGCGAAAGCGAGATCTTGCCAAGCTGGATGCTGCGGAGCAATATCTCGACAAGAACAGAGATGCTATCATGGCGAGCACGGATCTTGATAACACTGTCTCCAGCTGGACACCTCTGGCGATGAAGATCAATGATCTTTACAGCTTCGGTCAAGGAGGTGATGCTTGTAGCCGCACTCGCTCGAATGTTACTACACAAGAGGATGACGAGGCTGCTCTGCATGTTATTGCTGTCGATACCGGAACTTGGCCAAACGAAGTAAGTTTTACCCTTTTGCATCCAATGATTCAGTTATTAACACTTTCTTCCAGGGTGGTGGTGTCTCTGCTTGCCGCAGCGATGTTATCAACAACCTCCGCACAATCAAGTGGCACATGGTTGCAGAGTCAGCAAACGACTTTGGCATTCCAAAGCGTCAAATCGAGCGTAATATCCACTCTCTCAAAGTCATCCCTCTGTGGGGTCTGGATCTCATGACACCAACTCACGGTTTGTTCAACAACCGTCTCGATTCTGAGGTTGAGCACGTTACCACTCACACCACACTCCTGGATATTGAGCGCAACTTTGTGCCTATCCTCACTGCTCTGGTTCGTGGTGCGCGATCCTTGGATTTCTCAATGGCAGATATCAAGCAAGTCACTCGAGCTCTCATCAATCTGAACGCCTACTTCGAGGATGGCCGTCACTGGAGTGCCGTCTGGCGCAGTGACGCCGTCAAATCAGCCTGGAGAAACCTCTGGCTTTCTCAGAACGCTGAGAATGCCACGCCATCCTCGCAATGGTTCACAACCGAAATTCCCACCCTCGGCCAGCTAGACCAAGGTCTTGAGCTATGGTCCAGATATCTGTTCATTTACTCGATTCCCATCCCCGAGAAGATGCCAGCCGTGTTCCAAGCCTCCCACCACAGTGTGAGCGCTTCCTATGGCATCGTCTGCAAGATCAAGCGTGGATGCCAATTGCAGATTTGGGATCACGCTATCAGTTGGAGAGAGACGAACTTGTATCTCTCTTCTGCGCTCTGTGCTCTCTCGCCTTTCACGAGGAACTCTCTTTTGGGTCTCATGAGGGTGACGAGTGTGTTAACGCTGCATCATGCGGATACCATTCTTCCATGCGCTGATTTCTTCAACCCTAACTGGGAGGTGGAGATTGGTACTTGCCAGGGGAAGATTGAGAATAGAAGCTCGTTCAAGAGAAAGATCGATCCTGTTGTCAATGGCATTACGAATATGGAGGTAAGTCTGCCTATTCTCCTGAACTTTGATGATTGATGCTAACAACCATAGCGATTTGCACCTGTTCAAGAAATCAAGACTCAGCAGCCCACTGTCACTATGCTGTCTCATCTTTGGTAAGTGATGCTCCATCAGTATAAAAGCAGATGTACTGACTACTTCAAGGTTCGCGAAGGATATTAAGACTGCCTTGCTCGCAGCCGATATTATTGTGAACAAATGGGGCTTCACGGACTACAAGCTGGAAGTCTATGGTGCTATGGATAAGACTCCATCATACACTACGGATTGCCAGGAGATCATTGCTACCAAGTCGCTTCGACACAATGTCGGCTTGAAGGGTGAAGCAGACCCTATCGCCGTGCTTGAGCGAACCTGGGTCTTCCTCAACTCCTCAATCTCAGAAGGATTACCCCTCGCCCTCGGCGAAGCCGCCCTCACAGGCGCCCCCGTAGTCTGCACCGACGTAGGAGCCTCCCTTCGCGTCCTCACCTCCCCCGAAGACGGCTCCTGCTACAGCGCCGTCGTCGCCCCCAACGACGCCCTCGACATGGCCCGCGCCCAAATCAAGATCCTCGCCCTCCTCGAAGAATGGGCCCCCTACGCGGACTCCAACAAATGCACTCGCGAAACAGCAGACGCGTCCTTCCCGCACGATCCCACCCCCGAAGACGTCGCTCGCATCACCCGCCGCATGTACGAGCAATCTGACGCTCGCCGCGCCCTCGGCATGCGCAGTCGTGAAATCGTCCAGAAGAGTTTCAGCGGCGATAGATATCTCCGCGAGCACGAACAGATGCTGTGGATTGGCAAGGCAAAGAAAGACATGTCGCTACCCAGCCATGCACGCCCTTCAGCACGCATCGTCACTCCCGCCGCGGTCCGCATGTCTACCCTGTCTGGCTTCCCTATCCCGCAGCCTTCTCTGCACCGCGAGAGTATCGGCAGCAAAGTCAGTATCCATCGCGGCACAGCCGGGTCTAGCAATCGCGACTCGTCGCTGCCGAGTCTGTCGTTCGCGCAGGAGAGTACGCTGCCGATTAGTATTGGGTCGGGACCTTCGTCGCCGGCTGCGTATGCGATTGGGCAGACGGAGTGGTTGAAGAGGCCCGTTGGGGCGGCGCATGTGGTTAATGTGAGGCCGGCGCACTCGAGACATGCGAGTGGGTTGGCTGGGAGCCCGCTGGCGACTGATGGGTTGTTGGCTGAGCGGGTGGTGTGAGTTGATGAGATTTTGTGGTGGTGAGATGGAGATGAGTGTGTATGAGAGTGGATGACCGGACATACAGACGAATGTGGTAATGACTAATGACACGGTCCGTCTTGGTCCTGGCGCTGGAGTGGTATAATATTTCTGTCTATCTTGCATGACATTGGCGTTCAGGAATTTAGGAGTTCCAAAACACTGCATTGTATGGCAGCTTGGATACGATACGATGTGATCGTTGGATGGGAAAATGTATGATTTCATGTTTGGAAGCGGGTGGTTGAACGGGACACCCTGCTATGGATAGTATGCGAGAAGCAGTGTGCTGCTTGTTCGGACGAGATCGTGCTACTAGACAGACAGACAGACAGACTATCCTTAACTTCTCTTGTAAGGAGGTAATCTAATTTTAATTTGATATCTATTTCACTCATATTATATCTATATATATATATATATATATATATATATATATACCTACTCGCTTCCTGGAATTGTGACTCTTGTGAGTGTTAACATTTATTTATTTATCCATCCATCCATCCATCTACCCACTGTCATTACCTGTCTGTCTGTTTACGATGAGACTTTGTCATCTTTATTGTCCTCATATTTATCATACTCATCCTCATTCAGACTCATCCACCTACAGCACCTTCCCCCTTCCTTCGCATATTGCACTCACTAGTAATGGTAAGTTGTCTTCGAAAATGTCTTCCTATAACTTCCAACGTATAAACGCTAAAGAAAGATGGTGACAGATAGCTCACACCACGCGCTGAAACAGAGGGGGTCAGGTCCTTCCTACTACTCGGAGCTTGATCATTTCATTTCCAATAGATACCTTCCTAATCATTAGTAGATACCCTTTATCATATCAACTGAAAATGCCCATCACAGTCACCCCACTTAAAAGAAAGAAACCTCTTCTTTTTCTTTTCCACTTCGACAACTACCCACCTGTTTCTCTGCCCTCGTAGCCATCCTATCCTGGCTACTTTTGGAAGTTCTCCGTCGTAGTACTAGTACTCCCCCTTTTCGACTTCTCTTTTGTAGTAGGTTTCCCCCTTGTCTTCTATTTCTATTCCCCCCCCCCCCCCCCCCCCCCCCCCCCCCCCTTTTTCCTTATCCCAAGGTAAACATGCCCCTAGCCCCTACCCAGCACAGAGAATCAAAAAATCAAAAACTTTCCAATCAGCTACAGCTAAAGAAAGGTCTTTCCCTTGTTTACGCTCAATCAGAATGAATTGTCAATCAATAATTGCTGAAGGGAGAAAATTGATTCGCCTTTGCGGGTAGACTGTGCACATCTCAATCAAGAAAGTGCGGCAAATGGGGGGGGGGGGGCAGGCAGAAAAGGAGAAAGAAACGAGTTGTCGATGGCTGTTTCCATCGATATCAAGGAGCGCCTGGTTGATGATATCAATACAGATGATCGATTGATTCACAGGACATGGGAGCACGAGCAACAGAAAAGTGAGAGAGAGAAACAAGGTTTATGTAGCCAAGGAGACAACCTCTTCGTCCCCACTCTGTTTAGGTGTAAATAGTGTGTAACAATATCTCCCTTTCTTCGAATAACGTTGCTAGAGAAAATCGATTTGCTAATATGACCCTCGATGCCGCCTATAATTCGTTCCTTGTTCGTGCACTGGAGAGTACTACTTTATTGTCCGGAAATGAAGTTGAAGTGGTGGATGATAGGCGACGTGTTGTTACTTCGTGGGAGAGAGAGGGAAGTAAGGCTTAGGAGTTTAAATGGTTAGCCTCCTGTCCTTCGAAATAGGTAATGTCCTGGTTTCACGACCAGTAGAATAACGTATGTGACTAGTGTGTTGGTGGTGTAAATATGTAACTGGCACTCACGCCAACGACAGACGATTTGATTGCGCGGAGTCATAAGGCATGCTGGCTGGGGACACAATGTTTTCTTGACATCTCCTTCGGCCAAATATTCAATCCAACCGCCTGTCTCTTCCAAAATATCTCACAATTCTCAGGATTTCGGCACCACACGTGATACGACATCGCAGCTTCCATTTCACTGGCTCCTACTCTCACAACAACGAAACAGCACAATCCGCATTATCAAAGCCCAAACACATCAGATAACACACTTCCAGTGAATCTCTCCGAGCCAATATCTCCTTCTCCTAACATGGACTCCCTCACCACACAAACATCCAGTGTCGCAGATCTCCGAAACAACACTAAGCTCTGGTATAAAATAAATGTTTTCATCTACGACCTCCACAACTTCCGCGACAAACCACAATCACAAGAACGCCTCAATAGCATTATCGACATATCTTACATCGGCTTACCCTACTTCACACCCCGCGAAGCGCATACAATAAAATCTACTCTGGTCGATGTCTCTACGCCTGTACATCCTGGGAAGAAGAAAGTCCAAAAGAAGGCACAGTCGCAACCGCAGTTCGAGTCACAATCAAAATCAGAAGTCCCAGAAAACAAACTGAATCTGGAGCGATTAGAGGAAGTAATCCAGCAAACCCTCAACGAGCGTCTAGAAAGGAGAATCAAGAAGCGCGAAGAGAGCGGCGATTTCCGAGTCTGCGCAGCGCATGATTTGGCGCCGATCTTGGAGAAGGCGTTGGGTATTAAGGCGAAGGATTTGCAGAGGGATCAAGAGTTCTTGGAGATTATGGGGAGGTGTGGATTGGAGTTGGGGGAGGGGGATGAGGAGAATTGGAAGAGTGTTGATGAGGGACGGAAGGATTTGAGGAGGGGAGGTGGTGGGGGTGGGGGTAAAAAGAGAGGGAAGGGGAGGAAGTGAAGATTGTGGGTTTTTTTCGTGTGATGGGTTGATGTGACAGTTGCTTTCTATATTGTAACTTACACAGAACAGCGATGCATTGAATGCTCCAGTAAGCAGTTTAGCTTCGCCCCAACGCAGGATCACAGAGATGGAGAAGAGGAGGAAGAGCACCGAGCGGTTATCAAAGAATTGATAGATCCATTGGCCATTCTTAATGCCCAGTATGAATAATGTATATCCAACACTGAGTAGACGAACCTCGTAGTGACTTTGCTCCGGTGAATCACAGACACAATGTAGAAGTCTAGCACATTACAACCCAATGTTGCAGGCTTGCAGATACTAGACATTATGCTATGAATTTGCAACCTCTCTTAAGCATCATTGCTAGTTTCGAAATCATGTGCCCGAGAAACCTTGATCCAGTGATTGCAACAATTACAATCTAACTGGGCAGTAAAAGCCAGTAGTCCCGTTCTCGGCGCCTCCCATCCCTAAGCCGGGTTGGCCTCGATTAGCGTCTTGAAGTAACATCCCCTCAACCTGTAAGGGTTTGTTGTGATGCTTCTCAACAAACCACTTCAGATCCGCCTTCAGATCATTGATACGTGAATCTTCTTCGCGCAGACAACCGCAAGCGCAAGAACAATCTTCTCTCCGCTGACTAGGCGGGCAAGCGGGATCAGCTGTACACGGTGGACACGCGCAAGCTTTATCCTTCTCAAGAGGCTGAAAACAAATCTTGGGGACCCAACCAGCTTGCATCTTGTAATTTTCCACAAAAGCAGCGGCTTTGACAACTTTCCGGACAATGTAAATGTCTCCCGCAGAGATATTTCTGAACCAGTGGCCGGGAAAGTCAGTAGAATCGTATTGCGGGTTGTGGAGGACCACTCTTGGCTCAGGAAGGTTTTCTGAGTCACTGGAGTTCTTGTAATACTGACTTTGTCCATGAAGTCCATTGGTTCTGGGACAATATGGGCGAGCGGCTGTTGGTGAGGCAGGGGCGTCTGTGGGAACTCCAAATGCAGGAGCCAAAGGACCTCGAGGGCTTGCATTGTTGGGGACTCCACATCGATTCACCATGTTAGACGTTCCGATTCTCGGTCCGAAATTTGGAGAAGCCCCAATTTGACCACCCATCTGAGGCTCTCCCATGCCAAAAGGAGGCATCGAAGGAGCCGAAAAGGTAGGATTTTGCCATACGCCGGGATGACATCCCATACCGAACTCTCCAACCCTATTTGGAGGACAATATTGATTCGCAGGATTACCACCTGACCAGCCATTGCCCATATTACATGCCATGTTCTGCCTTCCCACCATACTATTATTGTAAGTAGGGAAAGAAGTGGCTCGTGGTGAAGGATATGCGTTCTGGATTGCCTGGTGTTCCATGTTGTGGAAAGATCCATGTGGAAAACTCGGTGGTTGTGGTCCCACTCCATGATCATATCCACTCATCTGCTGGCTTCCCATTTGTGATGTATTTGTAGCCATAGTCATACCCATGCTTCTTCGCTCTGGCTTTAATCTCTTCATTTCTTCAAGTCGTTGGACAGCTCTGGGACTAAGACGAGCCACCATGGGATTCAATGTGTTTTGTGGCTCTTCTGCGAACATGATGCCCGGAATGGTACTTCTCTGCCTGGATCGAGACTTTGAATGTTCGTTCGTTTTGTCGTTGGGAGAGAATCTTTTAGCTTCAGGTTCGTTCTCTAATTGGTCTCGTCTACGTTCGTTGGAAGAATGGTTCGGCTACTCCTTTGCCATACCGGAAAGATATATCGGTTCAACTCGGTAGGCAGTCCTGCGAAAAGTGAGAGTCAGCATCTCTACCTTTCTTCTTTAATGTACTGATCTTTTTAAAATACGTGTGAATGTTCGATACATCTCTAACGATGACAGAATTTCCAATTACAATTGGGAGAGGAAAATATGTAGACATACCAAGACCTGACAATGCTACAGCTCCAAATCTAAGTGGTGTGTGCGTATCGAAATACACCTGCCTGACAACAGGTTTACCTTGATGGTTGACGAACAGACCTAATGGCGTTGTAGAATTAAATGGACAATAAAATATTGAATATCTGCTATTGTGCGTGGTTGGCTTGAATAATTAATCCTCTCAAAATATTTATTATTGAAGCCTCATGCACCATCTCCTAAAGGGATTGGCGCGGAAAGAACGACTGGTAGCGTACCACAGTTGCACAGAACTGTTACTATAAGTTTGGATAGTGTGTTCGAATAATCTAGTCTTTGATTTTCCATGTCTGCAGGTTTCTTGCTGAGTAGCATGGATGCAGATATGTCCAAAGCAAACACTTGCGCAACACTTCAAAGTTACTCCAGATTTACAAACTTGCCAGACACAACACTCACGTGAACGCCTCTAAATATATATGATCATACTAGACAAAGTCTCATCAGTCAAGCTGGATCGCTTTCCGATAAAATAGAATTGGAAAGGGCAGGTGTAATATTATCACGTGACATAGTCTTTTTGGGTCCCTGATGTTGTGGCGGAATTAGTGAAGCTAGAATGCTAGTTCGTGGTTCATTTCGAGGAACAAATCGAATCGAATCATTTTGTAGCCACTCACTGTCAATTAACAAGGAGTATTTTGTAGCACAGAACAATTAAATTCTCTACCTGCTTTAAAATGCCACAGGGTTGGTTTTTGGTAGGCTTGAGAAAAGGGCAATGAACAGACTTGTCGCAAGCATCAAGAATGCCAACCTATGGGTCCAGAGCTATGTACTTCTAATAGTCCAATGAGTTCCAGGCAGACATCATTCAAAAGGACGAGATGGGTTTTACTAGACGATTTCCTGGCTGGCAGTAAAGCGCCCACCAATCGATGTGATCCACAGCAAACGTGATTATCATAGACTGAAAATTAAGCTATAAAGCAGATGTGCCTGATGTATCTGAGGTACCTCGCGAATTCCGACCACCCCAAAAGGACTACACCCTTCTCTCATCGCTCAACAGCTTCAGTATCGCGCACCGCAGGGAGAAGCTTCAAGTAGTGTGAAGGTCTTGATTTATCAAGGCATTTTAGAGCTTCGCTGTAAAAGGGCACAAGCTCTTGGAGCTCTAGTTATATAAGCAGCCTCTGGTTGGCTAGAGCACCTGAAGTGCGCTGTCAGGTGCGCCGGGTGCACGATATTCAGTCATTGACCTCATATACTGTTATTCTCCATGACTTGCGAGATAGATGACGGGTATCTGCACAAGGCAATTGGTTATTGCTGGAGACACAGTTGATGGATGTAAATCTTTGATGGTTTGGACAATAACAAAGATAATGGTGTCCAGGGAGAAGTTCTATGATTCTAGAAGTAATTGATCTCTCATCTTGACTTTCACAAGTGTCACAAGTGTGCAAACTTAGATGTATTCATTTCACAGCTTCGATTATTAACTCCGCGAGCTCCGTTATCCGGCTGAACAAGGTTTGCTCAAAAGACAAATGAACCACGTCCGGACTTGAAAAGAAGAGTTCAAGATGTTTACAATATTAATGATGTTACAGTTCCTTGACAGGGCAACCTTGTAACTCTGTTCTCATTGCTCAGCCCCTCGCATTCGCCCCACCATCCAAACAGACGAGAGTGTTTCCGGCTAAATATAAATGCCTACCCGCCCCAACCTGTATCGGGCTAGTTACAGCATCCCTCTCCCCTCCCTTGAACCCACCTCCCCACGCCACAGTGTGCTCTTGGCTCGACCTAGCCAATGGTTGCCGTCTCTCACAACCACATCATGCCAATCAATCAATAATCTCGTGTCCTTGACAGCCGCACCTCCTAAACCTTACATTCCCATCACGACCACATTCCTAACCATCTAACCTCACGCGCGCCTCTCATCCTCGCTCGATGCTCAACCATCGACAATGGATTTCTACCACTTCAACTTCGCAGCCTTTGTCCTGATTAACTCAGCGCTCGCATACTACCAGACGAGATGTCGCCAGATACCAGCCGCGGGGTCGCTGGAGGCCAAGGGCAACACGGCGGGTGCTGTGAGGCGATTCAAGATGCGCTTCTTGCCGATATATTTGCTGGTAAATGGCGCGGATTGGCTCCAGGTATGCTTCATGATCAGATGTAACTCACGTGTCATTTGACTGATGGTTGATATCAGGGTCCATACATCTACCCCATTTACAAAGGTTCGTGATGAAACTAAACTAAGCGTGAGAGTGCTCAGGATTGACACTATCACAGAGGAGAAACAATTACCTGAAGAAGTCGTCGCCGCTCTCTTCATGATCGGATTCATCGCCGCAGCTGTCTCAGCAACTTTCACGGGCACACTAGCTGATCGCTTCGGGCGACGACGAGCCTGTCTCTCATTTTGCATCACCTACTCATTATCGTGCGCCTCCCTCCTCTCCAACAACATTGTTGTCCTATTCGTAGGTCGATGTCTAGGAGGGATGAGTGCTACTCTCATGTACACTGTATTTGAGAGCTGGATGGTCACTGAGTTTAACAAGGTGCTGCCTGATGAGCCGGCCGGAACTCTCAGTAGTATCTTTAGCACTATGACTTCTTTGAATACGCTTGTGGCTATTCTGATGGGTCTCCTGGCTGAGGGCGCTGTGAATGTGACAAACACTCAGTTGACGCCTTTTGGGCTGTCGGTGTGTTGCTTGATGCTTGCTTTTGTGGGGATTCTGAGTACCTGGGTATGTGGATGATATTTCTCGGGAATTATTGAACTAATATGATACAGGGTGAGAATTATGGTACTAGTGGACAGGAGGCAGGCGAATCTGCTCAAGGTCTTCTTGAACGACAAGAAGCTCCTCCAACGAAGAGTGTTCTCAAGCACTTGATGCATGGTCTGATACCAACCTCCTAATCAAGAACCATACACTAATTATGCACAGACAAACGTATTCTGTCACTCAGTCTGACCTCCTGCGTCTTTGAAGGATCGATGTATATCTTCATCTTCTTCAAATTCCCTGCTCTCATATTCTCACACAAACTCGGAGGTCTAACATCCGGTAAGTTTCCTTCCGATCCCATCAATTGAAGCCGTCTAACCCAACACAGAGCTTCCATTCGGCCTCATCTTCGCCAATCTAATGTGCGCCATGATGTTCGGCTCCATGATCTACAACTACGTAACGTCCATCAACGCGGTCATCACCACGACTCGCCTTCTCGTCACAACCCTCTCCCTCGCCTCCCTTTGCTTCTGCATCCCCGTCATCATCCGCGACGAGCGCACTACCTTCTGGTGTTTCTGCATCTTTGAGGTCTGTTGCGGGATTTACTTCCCGCTGATTGCGTATCAGAGGGGCAAGATCATTGATGATAGTGTGAGGGCGAGATTGTATAGCATCATGCGAATTCCATTGAACGTCTTTGTGGTGGCGGTTTTGGGGACGACACAGGAGGGTGAGTCTTTGTCCCTGCTATCCTCTTCGGGCACACACAGTGCATTCGGAAATACTTATACTGACTTCTACCACCAGGCGAAGCACATAGAGATCTAGTGTTCCTAATCTGCAGCGGGCTTTTGGTTGGAGCGAGTCTCACGAACTCGATCCTACTTTAGATTTATTTCTTGGATCTCAAGAATTCTTGGGTAGTCAATCATCTGTACAGTACTGGATACGTCACGATTTTTGGAATAGATGACCAAAATTTGGCGATAATTGCATAGAATAGAGGTTTCGGATAAAAACAGAAGACACCTACTCACCTACTCTTTGACGATACTGCGTGACATTTCAGCTCGATATCCAGACCAGAGAAGATCTACCTGCGGCCGCACCGTGCTTATTTCACATACAGTACAAGTCCAAGCAAAATCCCATTCGCTTTGCAATCAAATCAATTTCTCATCACCAAAATCATCAATGCCACAACCTCTGAATGAGTGCATCCGAAAAGTATAGGTATTCATTGTTTAATACTTCCTTCACGATTCCGAGTTGCTATTCCGTCACCATGGATGACATCTGATGTGGAGCCCCTATCCTATCCAGACCCACGCTCTAGACCAACCCGATGTCCCCTGCCCTACTACCTTGGTAGGTAGGCTAGGTATCTCCCCTCGAACCTCCAGCGGCGTCCGCACCGCTAAACTGACCACACCACACTCAGTCACTCAGTCACTCAATTCCAGGCGGCCCTCACAGGTACCTACCTAGGGATCCAGCATATAACTTCGTAAGAGCCCCATCTCGTTCTAAGAATTGCCTCTTTCTAGTATTCTACGTGTCCATTTCATTCCATCTCAATTCAATTCAATTCCTCTCATTTCCCTTTACGGAGTAAATTTACCTCAACTCTCCTTTCCCTGCCTTGCCATCGTATTATTCATCTGCGAAAGTTCCCAACACATTTAATTTATCAAAAGTCAGTCGTAACTTTCCTCTCTTGTCCGTCCGAACGTCTCGGGTTTCTATCTCGGGAACCTTTAGAGTGTCTGAGTGGAATCTTCCCAGAGGCCGAGGTGCTTACTTTAAGGTTGGAGGAGAAGGGAATGGAGCAGGGAACAGTCAGCAATACGGGCGGGTCTGGGGTGGTGTGGGTTCGTGGGGCGACGCAGTACAGGGTTGGGAATGGAGGGAGTGAAGGGGTTAGTGAGAGAGCAGGGTCGGGTAGGTGAGGTTGGTAGGGTAGGATAGGGCGCGGCACGGTGCAGTACTCCGTGAGAATGGCCTGTCATGTCAGATAGATAGGTATCCTAGTCTTTCAGCCTTAAATTCCGAGAAGACAAGTAATGAACGATGAACAACATCCAATATATCATGCCTATGCAAAGATTGTCCTGAATGCTATACGAAAAATCAAACAGCAGAAATAGGACAATCAAGTTCATCCCATCTTTGAACTGACACCACGTTCCAGGCTCCCTTCAAAGAAAAAGAAGAAGGTGCTCATCCCACATGCATCCTCCCAAGCCCTTGGCATCCCCAGACTTGCATACGCCTTCGCCGCAGCATCCAACAGCACCGCTCCAAATACGCCATACTTCCAACATAAGATAGGGGAGGCCTAACTGCTTGCAGACCTAGATTGGCATGTCAGTACTCAGTGTGACCTACAGCCTACCTACCCGTGCCCCTACCTGAACTTAGATAAACCCACGATTGGGTGGGTCGGGACCCGTGGGTGCATCTGGGGCTGGGGGGTAATCAGCTCTTTTTCAGCTTCTTGTGCTCCCCTCCCTGCCTTGCATCCAACACTTTTACCTTCTCCTTTCTTTCCTACGGGGAACTTTTGGTTTTTTGGGAAAGTACTTCTTCTTGAATACCGCAATTTTGATTGACGACCTCCTTTTCCATCATCGGACGGTCCTCCAGTCGATCAGTCAGTCAGTCCGTCCGTCGGTCATCGAATTCAACTTCTCGATTTGATAGGACAGACAGACAGACACTCGTTGCTTGAATTCAACCTTTGCTTCGTATCGTATCGCATCGCATCGCCCTCGCATCGTCATTTCAGAACACTGCATTCCAGTCCAATCCAGTCTAATCCAATTCGTACCAGTCCTGTCTCGCATCAGAACGAACCCGACCCGACCAACTTGTCAATCGCTGCTCAGTAACATCGCACAACACGTTTTGCTCATCGCACAATCCCTAACTTTTCCATCTTCGCACAACATCCGCCTTCCACAAAGCCTGCCACCAAATCCAGTATAAAATCAAGTACAAATACAACTCCAAAAACCGCCAAAATGCGTATTGGTCCCTCCCACGTCTTCACGGCTTTAACAGCCGTGGTGGTCATGGCCGTAGTATGGATGCACTACGGCACCGACGACGGACTGGCGACCATCTCGACCGGCATCTCAGAGACGCTGATAGGCGATAGTTTGAAGTCTACTATGGCGAGGAGCGAGAAGTTGTGGCAGAAGACTGTGAGGCAGAGACATGAGGTTATAGCGAAGTTTGGGGAGATGGGATTGTACGTTTTCCCCCTCTCTTTGAAAACCCCTCCCTTTTTCTCAAATCTCTTCTAAAGAGAAATTTCAATTCTGAATTGGATTGGATTGGATTCAATTGAATTGTATCCGGGGTTTCCTCACTCCTGCCTACTTACCCCACGAACTGGCAATGGATTTTGCGACTCCAATTATGTGGGGGAGCTGACCTAGGGTCATACAATTTACCCACTGTAATCTTATTCCACACAGACACTTCACTAACTCGACATCTTTCCCACCACAGTTTCCCCGCAGTCTCTGTGTCGACTTACTTCACGACTCCGTATTCCGTGTGGGACTTAGTGCCAGCATCGTACAATTGCCCTTTTGAAGTCGAGCGCATTGGACGTATGGGCGATGGTGGGAAGTGGGTGTGTGGAATGAGTAAATACGAGAAGAATACTCGTCCGTGTATTATTTATTCTTTTGGTGAGTTAGATCTTTGTTTTTGTGGAGCCATTGAGATTTGTACTTGATGGCAAACAGGAAAATAAGCTAACTCTATTGCAGGTGTACAAAATGAATCCAGTTTTGGTAAATCCCCCTTCACGACTACGAAGTTTCATCCAAAGTATCCGAATTCGAGAATTGATAACAAAAAGAAAGATTTTGAATACTGTCTAACAAATTAAAATAGAGGAAGAAATGCTCGAGCGAACAAATTGTCAAATCTGGGGTTACGACTTCACCGTCGACGCATTCGGACCCGCCATCCAAAACACATATGCGAGTCGCACACACTTCTTGAAGGCCGGTATCTCAGGTACCACCGAACCGAGCAAAGACCCACCGTTCTACACGATCCAGGATTTGATGGCTAAGAATGGCCATACTTACATGTACGTTCTTTTCGAATTCGCAGCTCCTCTGTCCAAAACCTCTCCCCCTACTTCTGGAGGATAAGAAAAGAAAAAGAGAAAGAAAAAAAAAAAAAACTAACCATTCTCTCCTCCTTACAGCGACATCCTCAAAATCGACATCGAATACGCCGAGTTCGACGCCCTCACCGCATTCGATTCTCACACCTCAGCAGACCCTGAATACCCTATCGGGCAGATGCTGATTGAGATCCATCTGTTCAACCGCGGGAAGACGATGATGGATTTCATTGGGTGGTGGGAGGCGCTCGAGGAGAGGGGATGGAGACCGGCGTGGACGGAGCCGAATCTTTTGGCTGTGACGTTGAGCTTGGAGGATAAGAATCCGAGGTTGGCGGAGGTATGTGCTGAACTCTTTTTTTTTTTCTACTCTTTTTTTTTATCAATTTCCCTTTGCCCTCTGGTTTGGTCTACTATTTGCTTGCTTGTTCCCCGTATTGGCGAGTGAGATTATATTTTATCGAGTACAGGCTAACGATGTGAATAGTATTCCCTCGTAAACGTCAAGGGGAAGTCAAACCTACTGTTCAGATAAGGCACCCAAAGAGAGAGAGCGCGCGAGAGAGAAAGTCATAATCTCGCCGGGGGCGTTGGAGAAATAATCAATCATACACGTCACATCTTGTATACTTAATTGTACACCACTGGTTCTCATTCCTGCATTTCCTCCCTCCCGTCCAACTATCTTCTTTAGTACGTACGCATTGCAGTGAAGAAAGAAAGATCTATAAACATGTTTTGAGGTTGTGGTTGTGCTTGTGATTATGGGACAAGGGGAGTGTGATACAGTCAGTGTATACGATGTATGGAATAGTACGTACTGTAAGTAAGTAGTGCTGACGTACTCTGTGTTCTCTGCTCCTCTCTTGAGATTTTTTGTCGGTTTGTGAGATGTAAGGGAAGTTTGAATTGATTTTTTTACCCAAGAGTGTGAAGTTTGGGGTCTGGAGATTGGAGATTGGGGGGGTAAGATATGGGAGGAGCTGGAAAGCGCCAGAGTTGTCTTCTCCTTTACTAATTTCTGCTTATTTTTCTCGTTATCTGAAAGATGATGCAGCATAATTACATCTTTCGGAATCGGAACTTTCAGTCTGTATCTCTAGCTCATCACTTACCTGGTGCACGTAAATCTCACACACTCGAAAACTTCGACGACATTAATGCGATGCTTGTCAGCAATACATATTCGAACTTCCAGCTCGTACCGTTTATCGCCTATCGCGAGATTGTCTCCAATGAGGGCAATCCCAATCTCAACCTCAACCTCAACCCCCCACCAGCACCAAGCAAGGCTCACGGCGGGTCCACCAGAATTCCTATTATGCAAACATTACCGTAAACACCCCTATTCCCATTGTCACCACTTATCCCAATCTCACCAGCCTCGCCTTTGTCCAAGGCCGTCTCGGACTCATCTCCGTTTACCACCAATCCTAATCCTAATTCTCACTTCCATACCAATTCCAATACCAATTTCATTTCCAATGCCAATTCCAATCGCACCCCCTTCCCGAGGTACGCTTTGAGACTACATCCAAAGGGACATGTGAAGTGTGAGGACTCGGTAAAGCTTGATTTGTTGTGTTTTGCTACAACTTCTCGCTTAACCTCTTAGTCCCTTTTCACCTCGCCTCCTCATTCCGAGTTACCACCATCGTCGAACTCTTTAATCAATTGTCCCCCAAAAATTAATCAACTAACTCCTACACCTCACTCCACCGGCACTCATTCTCTTCTCAAACCAACCCCACGCACCTATGCATGCATAATCTTCTGGAAAATCCCCACCCTACTCGTCCAACTCCTACACCTCTTCCCAAAAACATACATCGGAATCGCACACAAACAAATAAAAACATGCACACCCCCAATAATACAAAACACCTCTTTGGGACCCTGTTTGGTAATCCAGTCACTAATAAAATAGTTCATCCCAAACGAATAGATATTCCGCAAATTGATTGCCGCGAACGCCTCAGGCGCCTTATCCCGATGACAATCCGTCAAATACCCATACACAGCAATACTCATGAACCCGACGCCGAAATACTGCATGCCGTAGAATATGACCGGCGCGATCCACGGATCTCCGACGGAAATTGACCACCCGAATCCGAAGAAGGATATCCCGCCAAAGATGAGCGTGATGATTACTAGCACGAGGCGGAATTCAGGCTCGTAGATCCCGTTGTTGCGGCGGGACATGAACTTGATGATGAAATCTGCAATAGGACCAGATATGAACGCCCCGATTATCGAACCGATGAGCGGAGAAACAGCGACCAGACCAACCTGTGAGACGGTAAAGTTGTAAGGCGGCGCGGTGAAGACTTGTGCCAGGACGCCACCGACGACGATGAGCCAGGAGGTAGTGAGACCGTATGCGAAGAACGAGAAGAGCACTTGTGGGAAAATGAGCATCATCAAAGGTCGACAGAGGACTTTCCAGAACGGATCATCGCACACTCTCCCGTGGAAAATCTTAAGTTCGTAAGCATACGAATGTTTCTTCTCGATCTCACCACCAACACCCCTCTCACCACTCCCCACATTCTCCACCCTCTCCTCACCCTCCCTCTCCTCCTCCCTCACAGCAACCTTCTCCTCCAAAATCTCCGCAGTGCGGTTCTCAGTCCCTAAATCCGTATTCAGAATCGCATCTCGTCTGTACGCAGTCTCAGGACAGAAGAGTACAAGCACGGGGATCCACACGCCGAAGAATATCGCGCAGACGCCGTATGTCCAGTTCCACCCGAGGTCTTGGATGATGTACCCGGAGATTATGATGCCGCCGCCTACGCCGACGGAGAGGCAGAGGCCCCAGGCGGCGATGCGGACACCGCGTTCGTGGACGAAGTAGATGTCGGCTATGGTGGCGGTTACGAGGCTGGGCGGGAGATATTAGTTGGTTGGATGGTTGGATGGAGGGGAGGATATGATAGTGGGAGAGGGAATGAGAGGACTTACACTTCGAATGGGGACATTCCGATGCAGCCTACTAATCTGGAAGCTAGTAGAGAACTGTATGAGTGTGCGAAGTATGCCCAGAGACTGCTGATGAAGAGTAACAAGTTCCCGAGGAGGAAGATTGGTCGTCGTCCCCACTATAAACAATCAGTTCATGTTCATTTCATGAGATGATGGGAGTTTGCTTACGATGACAGCCAAACTGTTTGTAAAGAAACAGGAGACACCAATCATGAAAATCCCCCATCCCAAACCACCATTCAGATAATTATACGACACTCCAAACTGAACAGACATCTCCGCATAACCAGGACTAATCATAGGACCCTACATCACCCATTAGCCCCCTTCATTTTCCTTTCATTCTCAACCTCACGCCTCCCCATCCAGCATCCCCAAAAAGAAAGTGAACCAAGAACAAAACAAAATTACACAGTACATACCCACGCCCCCACAACCGCCGTATCAATACAAATAAAGAACAGCATCAAATCCTTCTTCCACAACGGCCAATTCAACGGATCATTAGGACTACTCGACGGCTGCGGGACGAGCACCACATCTGCATTTCGCCCTTTGCCGTGCTTGAGTATCGAGGTGTCGACGCCATCGTGGTGGTGTTGGTGGTTGGCGTCGATGATGTCGGTTAGGAGGGCGGTGCCGGGGACTTGCTCGAGGTGGTGGTCGTCGAGGACGCCGAGACCCATTTTTGATGATGGGTTGGGTTAGGGAGACGGAAGGAATTTGAGGATCTGGGAATAAGGTATGTGATGTGATGAGAGCTTGGGAAATGAGGATTTGTTTTGGGTTTTCTAGATGGTGGAATCGCACCCAGGGAAATGAGATGGTGTGAAATGGAGATTGAAAGGTTAAGTTAAAGTAATAACAAAGAAATCCAAGATCCAGATCTCAATCTCAATAAAAATAAGCTCAAAACCAAGCTCCAACCCCCAGATTATCTATCTACTCCACAGTCAATATAACCTACCTACCTACCTACCTACCACGTGGGGTAGGTAGTATTCCATCCCCATCCCCATCCCCATCCCCATTCTCAGACTTCCTCCCAGCCAGCCAGCCAGCCAGCCATCTTGACATCGGAACAATCAATCCGACCCGCCGATCTCAAACTCCCCCCTTCCCCCCTCCCTCCCCCTTCCAAAATCTCAATACGGAGTAAATCCACCAAATCAACACCCCTTACCGAACTCTTGACGTCGCGGAACGGGAACTTGGCTTCCTTCATGCAACTGCCTCACGCTCGATGGGAGAAAAAGCGGGGTAAACCCCCAGAATTGTCACCGGTAATCCCCCCCCCTTTGGCGAGCTCGCTCGCTTAGCGACATTTTTCTTGTGTTTTGGTTGTTTGGGAGGTGTGGTTGATTGGAGGGATGGATGACAGGGGAGGGCGCTAATAAAGGTTTGGGAAATGGGATGGGGAATGGGGAGATGTAGCGGGAGGAGATGAGATGAGATGATGAGAGGCTTGTGTTTTGTTTTCTGGGTATTTGGATTTGTAGAAAGGAGAATGTGGTGATGTGTTGCTAGTGGGAGGATTGTGGAAAAGGGATTGCAGTGACTTGAACGTCAAGACAGGGGTATCACTTTGGGAATTAAGTTGTCGTCACGGCAAGGTGGAATACAACTCATGAAGCAAAAAAAAGCCATTGCGATTTCAAGCACCTAAATAATCATCGATCCATGTCCCATAACGCCGAAGAGGGAATCCCCTATCGCGTACTCAATGACACCACACAAATCATAAGCACAGCCCAGAGCAAAACTAAGCAAATATACCGCGCATGAAATCCAGCCATGTAAATCTCCGAAAAATCAACACCGAGAATGGAAAATCAACACACGCAAGTAATCAGTCGCTAGTCGTGTCCCATAGTCAAAAACTTCCAAACATACTTGAGCGCCTCCCAAACCGCGGTGAGAACATAAAGAATCGCACTTAAAGTTCCGAACAACAGAATCGGCATGACAGACAAAGTCAGGTGTCCTAGAAGCCTCTCATTAGCGCCATTCAACTAGGTAGGTTCCGTCTCCGGGTGACGGTAGCCCAGATCTCAGTCTCCATGACATGCTGAGCTCCCGACCACTTCCAGGGCCCCACGAGTCTAAACTTAGTATTAACATTCGCACTCAAAGCCCAGCATAGTGCCAGCTTCCAGCCTTTCGAGGCGACGTCTGTGAAGGATGGGGCGGATCCCATGTCGAGCGCTAGCTGGTAGGCATAAGATTCGTGGTCAACGCCATATTGAATACGGCTTGATGGCAAAGGGTGGAGCTTGTAGTGGTCTTCAAACCCAAGTGGAGATGGCAGACGATTGAGGAGACTCATGATCCAGACTTGGCTTTGGAGTTCGGCAAGGGGAGGAATGGCACCTGTGGGATGTAGCATGGGCTCGAAGCGGCGCCACGACGGCATGGAGAACGTACCGAAGCTAGGTCTGACGAAGCCGATGAAAGCAATGCTCGGGTCGTTCAACTTCCAAATACTTCTCATTGTGGCGTCCTTTGGCTTGGGATAGCTGTCATCGAGAAAGCTGAAGGTTTGAGTGTAGCCTGTAGCCAGAATCAGAACATCGGGCTTGCAGAATATCTTCTTCATGGTCTCGGATTCTGGTCTGCCATTTTCAACGAATCGAACGACCCCTTTCTCGCTGATGGCTTGAGGCCAAGGTGCGAGGTTGATTGTGCGACCATTAGTGTCGACGATTGGGACTTGAGCGATACATGACCGAACTTTGTCTATCAGGCAGTTGGTGCGATACTGAGCACTGATGTACGGCATTGCTTTCGATGACTTGTTGAAGAAGACTGTTCCGCATTAGCCGAATGGCTCGATACGCTTCATTTTGGACCTTACTCTTGGAAGCGTGGAAGCGCTCTGGAGAGATTTCTCCAACCCACTGATCAAGACCAGCTTTCGTTCCAGATACCAGCCAAGTGGTGTACTTGGCGAATCTGTCATAGTACCACCATGGGAGGAATGAATCACGAAGAAGTGGGTGTACATATGCCGTGTCGAAGAGACTGGCTGCACCAACATCATACGGTACGTTGCCTTTGGGTGTCGTGGTTGACTTCATGCCGAACCATGATGGTTCTGGAGCTCTCTGGCCTTATGTCAGTTGAAAGTTTCTCAGATTAAGGAGTGAAGACATACCTTGGGAGCACACAGAAATCCGTCACGGTGACAAAGAGTGACAGACTTTGCATCGGAGTTGATGGCCATGTACGCAAGGTCCATACCGGTCTCACCACTGCCCACTATCATCACGTTCTTACCACTTCCAAATTGAGCTTTTTCTTTGAACTGAGATGAATGTATGACAGTGGGCACAGCCTTCAATCCACCGATGTCTGGGATGTTAGGGGTAACATGCAGCCCTGAGCAGATCGCAACAGCATCACACTTCCACTCAGCAGCCTCGCCATCTTCGCGGTAGTGAATGGTATGTCCGCCTTCCTTCCCTCTTTGGATGCTAGTTACTGGCGTCTTGAGATGTATGTGAGGCCAGAGACCGAATTGCTTGCAGTATCCTTCGAGGTAGGTGCAGTATGCCTCGGCGGAAAGGAAGTCTGGAGACTCTGCTGTGTAGCGGTAGTCTGAGAAGGTAGTGAGTTGACGAGAAGAGACCAGCTAGGTAACTGTTAGTGAGGGTTTGAACATTATATCGAGCATGAGAACTTACCTCAGCATCCTCATAGGCTCGATGCTTGAAGGTACCGCCGACAGAACCTTCTGCTTCGAACAACTTCGCCTCGATGGGGTCTACCCCAGGGAAGTATTCATGAGCAGTGATGAGATACTTGAGGGTAACCAGCCCCGAGGGACCTCCTCCAATAACAGCTACGCGCATGATGACTAGCTGAAAGAGAGGATCTACTGAACTAAAAGAAGTTGTTGATGTGGAACGGAATCACACAGTAGTAAATGGGAGATGAGGTATTCTGAGAAACTTTCTTGTAGATGGGAGAAGAAGAGGAAACATATACAAGACAGATGTTTGTTTTATAGCCATCGTTCCTTCCCAACCCCCAGGAGCGGCGACTTTGTCGTGAATCATCCACAAGGCTGGATCAATTCACTGCCGACCTCGCTCACAGTTCTCTTGCACCTACTTATTTGAGGTTTGCACATCTGACTTGTTCCCCTACCTAGGAAGAATCGTGAATATCGGCAAGGCTATACTTCCCATTGGTGATGATATGCGAAACCAAAGTTCTGTCACACCGGCACTGTTCCAGACTCTTGAAGACAATGAAGGTGTTGGTTTCTGACTCTTGCTGTTGGTGCTCTGATTGAAAGTAGTACGCAGCCTCTGGGTTGATTGGACGTTTATCGCGTTCGGTATCTGGTATCCTCTCCAATATGATGGTTCCAAGTTGAGCAGAGGCGCAGCCTTGCCACTCCTGTGTAACAGTTAGGTCACCTTATCAAATCAGAACCTTGGGATCGTGTTCGGCTTCCCATCACCGAGTAAACTCTTGCTATCGAAGGAGAAGTAAGCATCTGTGCTAATGTTCTCTGGTCTTTCAACTTGAGGCCGGTAAGCACAACTTTCTGGCATGTTAGCAGCTCAAACGTCTTCGTATTAGCCAATGACACCAGCTGGATATTGAGAGCAGAGAAAGAAGTCTTTCCAGATCTTTTCGTTATTTGGGAAGGAAACTTGGTCATTCAGATTGCAGCAGTTTGCCATGTGCTCAACATCTAATCCATGCAAGAAATGTATGGAACTGCGCTCTCCCGAATCGGAATACACAGCAAGTATGGCCAGACTCATCCCCGGGGAAAGAAGTCGCTTAGTTAGCTGGAACGAGTTAGACCCATTTGGTCATCCAACAATTCTGTGCGGGACAAACAACATAGGATGGAATTGGATGCGAATGCGCTCTCCCGCGCTGCTGTAGGTCGTCACTGAGTTTCCGTTCTGTAATGGAGCAGGAGCGTCCAACTTCTCCAACGCACAGTCTGGTGCAGCTAGATCGGACTTGCAACAAAAAGGAAGGTGATGACACATAATCAAACTGAACTGGAAGAGCAACAGCAGCGGTGGCAGTAAGAAAGTCAGAAAACAGAGACTCGCTTGCTGATAGTAACAAAAACACAGTCTCAAGAATAGTTACAAGCAGTATGTATAAATGACTGCGTCCGTAAATTCGTCAAGTTGAGCAAAGGTCCCGCTTCCATAGGAGGTAGTACAAAGGGCGGCCCAAGTATCTGGTACCGAATCGCAACAAACTACGATTTGTGATCTCGGCAACGGCCTGGTGGTCGATCCTAATTGATATCTGAAACAGGTTGCGAGTCGATCTAGGACTTGTTGGTTTGGGGTTTTGTTGGTAGAAAGTATTGGTCGTAAGTGTTCGACTCGTAGCTGAGAACTGGTGATTGAGGTACACTTTGAATTGGCAGGGTGCTGACAAATGAGAAATTGTTGATGCTGAAAAGACCTTTAGATAGATTTAATCAATGTGAGAGTCAAATTGTAGTTCAGCAAGATTGAAGCAGATTGAGATGCTGGCCATCTTGCTTTCTTTTGGTTCATTTGCTGCTGTACTCGTGCATGTCTCGGTGATGAAAAGGATCGGACTTTGCTTAAGCGTACTTACTCACTTCATGACCAGTACCTGCACATCGTCGGTCTTCCTCCCCACTAATGCCTCACCCTCCATGATCCCATCCACGTACGACTCGCCAATAAACTTGTATCCCCCTTCATCCAACGCCCTCAGCACAAAAGGCACAGAACCTCCTTCGAGCACCGTAACGATATCCCCAATCTCGGTTTTCAAAGGCGCGATTCCTATATATCCTTTTGAAGTGATGATGAAAGTTCGGCCGTGACTCCATGTGATACAAGCATCCGTGAAGGGCTTCACGTATAGCCTCTTTGCTTCATCCAAATCTGCGCCAGGAGGGAGGGCGTCCACCTCAGAATTAGGGAGCGGCAATCTACCCATCCACGTCTCAAAGTAAACATTCTCCTTCATATCTCCAGGAAGCGGCGCCCACTGCCCGAACTGACGATTAGCCATCAGTGTTCTCCAGAACGCCGTTCCCCTCTCTTGCATCGAATCGTAGGGACTTTCGCGCAGCTTGTTAACTTTCTCCTCCCAAATTTTAATATTAGCCAGCGTCCTAGCTGCTCTGTCTTTGACATTCTCGAGACGCTCCAGTGGATCAACACCTGTATACCGAGCCAATTTCTCATTCCGTCCAGCATACACAACAGAATCGACGATTATGCCTCGGCTGCGCAATTGTTGCAAGTCATTGCTGAATATATTGTCAACGAAAATCTTTCTTCGTCCCCAACAGTCTCGTCCACTAGCGGCGTACAGGCTTGGTGATAGACCAATATACGACTGTCTATCGGCCAAGGGGCTGCTTGAGGAATAGTCTCGAACCCAAGACGGTAAGTTGTGTTCATCGCTCTTGTGGTCAACGTCAAAATGCAACATGGTTAGGTCTTGGTAGCGAATGATACAGCGCGCAGTAACTGCTGCATACACCTCTGCTACTGAGGCGCTGTAATCTGGGATGATGTTTGCAGTCTGTGCAGGCGGAGACAGAGATAGCAATGCGTAGATCTTGTCTCGAGGATCTGTGGCGTGGAAGTTCTCTGTGGATACTATCCAGCTTTGAAGACTGCTTGGGTTGCCGGTCTTGATCTTTTCGATCTCTTCTGGGAAGTCCGTGAGGATGGACGCGAATGCATTGCCGGGAATCAGAGATCCTCGAATGTCAGAGTATTGGCAGGACGATCGGTGCCAGCCACGTCGGATGTCATCCAGACGTATGAACGCGTCAATTGGCAAAGATTTGTTACCACACTGTACGACAGGCGACTTGGATAATAAAGCTTCTGCAGTTTCGGGACAAATCAGCACTTGACACTTATCGGTAAGAGATCTATTATATACCTTGGATTACCCAAACTCTTGACCACCAGTCGCGAGCCTGGAGCTTTGTGATAGCTCTCAAGCCATCTTCATCAAGCTGATTCTTCTCACTCGCCAAATCCTCTCCGTCCATCTGAGCGATGAGATCCATTGCCAGATCACTTCCATCCTGCTCCTTGCCCAGCCAAATCCTTGTCCCAGTTCCACATCTATAGATGTCTCCCATCATCGCTACCTGTGCAGATTTCTCTACAATATCCTTCTGATTGATGCACAATGCATCTGCCCAGAAAGTCACGATTTCCGTCTCTGATCGCACGTGATCTAGAGCTGATGCAAGATTGAGCGTTACAGGGGATGAACTGCCATTGAAAGTTATCGGCGTCGTGATATCAGGCCTTCCCCAGACGTAAGATAGAGCTGTGTATGGAATGGTGTCTGGCTGTAGTAGTTTCGTATGTCGCACTGAACATGTGATTGGAGTTCCTGGTAAGCCAGGCTCGATGTCCAGGACACGGATCTCATGGTTCGCTGGGTCTAGGGGAGTATATAATGAAGCCGTAGTGATCTAGTTGGGTTAATATGGAGGGTTTCTCGGTCCAGGGATACTTTGGCATATATACCGCTGGGTGACTCGTATCGTCTTCAGTGGTGTCCGCCATTCTTGAATCTTGTATGTTGCCGAATGACACCTATCTGTCGATCAGAGACCTGCAAGTAATGTATGCCTTGTACAGCGTAGAAAAGGCAATTGAAATCATAGACTTATCAACACCCAACTTGAAGTTGCCTGTTGGCTCTGTGGTAAGAGGACATGAACTGGAAGGCTGAAATACGAAAGATATCCTTAGTCATCAATGTTCAGCTTGCTCCGGCCCTTCGCCAATAAGGATAGAGGATATCGTGAAGGGCGATCGTTCCGATCGCATAAATGAGGGAGGAGCTTTAGCATGTTTAGCAGATAATCTCTTTAATAACAAATAGAGTTCAAGATGCAAGAAGGTAGAGCAATGTTCAGATGTGATATCATGATTCATCGTAGTATACAATAACATATCCTACAAGACCTCGCAGTCATTCTTTTGATATTCAATCACGCATCCTATTTGCAGAGAATCGCTTCATCACCACCTCCCTAACCTTATATCTTCTCAAAACCCCATCAATACCCAATTCTCTCTCCTCTTGCACATCTACCGGCTTCGGTACATCCACATACGTCAAGATCAGCGTTTTCTTGACCTGAGTGATAACACGATTGATACAACTCAGCCATGCCCAAGTCCGCTGTTCCTTGCCCTTAACGTAGTTCTCCAGGAACGGGTTGCTGCGCCAGTACGGATCTGTATAGGATGGCAGGACAAGGATGGCGAATTCAGCATGTGTGAAGACTGGCCCGCGTGTGTACAACATGTAGTCGACAGAGAACTTGGTGCCGGAGCGGAGGACCCAGCCGAGAGAGCGGAAGTGGTGGTATACGACGTAGTTGATCATGAATGGGTCGTCGGGGGAGAGCGACGGGTTTGCCTGCGGTGGAAAGTAGGATGTTTTGCGGGCGAGATAGAAGAGGTCCTCGTTGGAGATTGGGGCATTGGTATTGGGATCCAGGACGGTGAGGGAGCCGAGAGCGTAGGAAAGGAAGAACGCCTCCTCAAGGGTGAGTTGGACATGTTCTTGGTTCTTGATGACTAGCCGTGCTTCTTCAATGGTCGTGGTGTTTGTGGCGGCTTTCTCGGGACTTGGTGGCTCGGTTTGGATGAAAGTGTTCTTTTCGACCGTTGGTGAGAATCGTACGCTCTTCCTGCGTTTCATCTTTGGGGTTGAAGGAATGCCATTGACTGGGGTTGATCCACCGCCAGTGTCATTAGTCTCTGTTGTTTGCTCCGAGTGAACGGAGCCGTCGACAGTCTCATCATTTGTCTCTGAGCCACCAACAAGTTCGACTTCTTCGAGGTGGAGATGTCCATTGAGTTTGAGAGCATTTGGTTGGTCTTCAGCAGGTATGTCCGACGCTGGCAAAGATACTTCCGGTCGATCCAATTGGCCAGTAGTTGCAGACTTGGTCAAGTCTGATGTGGATGGAGTCTTGAGAGAAGTGGGAATATTGGATAGAAAGGATTCGATTGAATTTGGTAGAGCTAGAAGTTCTAGAGGTCCGATGGATGGGGCATGGAATCTTTGAACAAACTTCCCGTCGAAGTCTTCTACAAAGCATTCAACGGTATTGTTCCACAGCAAAGATTCGAGATCCGCCAGCGAGTTTGGCAATGCCAGGAGTTCTAATGGGGCAACAGGGGCAACCAATTGATAGCTCGAATTGGCTGAAAAAATTTCTTCCTCAGCCAAGACTTGCTCTGGTGGAGCAAACTGGGGTTCAGCCGGAGCTTCCAGAGGTAGAGCATCCAAAGGGGCAATTGGTGTCTCCTCTGGTTGCTCTGCCGCAGCTTCTTCTTGCAAGGTCTGATCAATCGCCTCCCTCTCCTTTCTCGCTCTCTCCCATTTTGTAACCTGGCGCTCAGCTCTTCTTTGCCTTGTAACCTCTTCACTCGTTATCTTTGTCTTCGTTCCCAATCTTGTCTTCTCTCTACTGAGCCAACTGGGTTCACTTCTACTCAAGTTTCCCTTCCCATAGAATCCTTGCTCCCATAGGCCCCGGATCGACCGGATATCTGTTACATGAACAGACCGGGTTTCCGGCGAGAACCAACCTTGGTATGCAGGGCTAATATGAGATTGCTCGGGATGGACTGTTTGCGACAGCCAGACATAGAGAATATGGAAGAGGGAGAGGGGATTGTGAGGTACAAAGGTGGGAAGAGGAAAGGTTCGCAGAGGAGCTGGAAGAGCGTAAAGCTTGTTCAATTGCTCGAATCTCGACGGAACACGGGGTTTCGAAGTTGGAGGTGTGACCTTGGACTCTTTGCCTTTGTCGGCCGGTCTCATCTGTTTGGTGTCTGCCATAATGGGGAGACAGTCTCAAGGTGGTGTCATGTCGGGAATCTGCGAGTTTGAGCTGTCAGCAAGAGCTTGTACAAACGTCCCCAATCCCAGTAATTGAAGTAGTTGATTGCAATGCTCAGATACCGTTGTAGTCTTCTCCGAAGAGAATTGAGCCAACATCAGAGAACGACATAAAGTCAGAGTCATTCTCCTAGACATCGAAAGTGTCATCACCGCATGCAAGATAGTCCAAGACCATCGTTGTCGACCCACAGAGTAATGGAAGGGTAACTTACAGCTTCTAGTACTCTTCTCAGGGTGGTTGAGAAGAAGTGGTGTTGAAGAGAGAAGAATTGTCTTTGTATGGAGGAGCAGAGCTTTCTTTGACAGACTCACCTTTTTGGAAAATTTTAGTGACAGGAAACCCCGCTAGCGCTTGTCAAGTCCACGTGACGACTCCACCATTGAGCATTCGCGGATTTCATCGCAAAATCATCGGGAAACTCGCCGATGCAGACCGTCTGTCGCCGAAGGATGTGCGACTTTCTTGTCAGTAATTGCGAGTGTATTTGCGTGTATCTGCATGCATGTATCTGTCGCCCTGTGCACTGTATCGAACCAAAGCGACACTAGATGATACCATGGATTTGGATATCTCTAGTCAGTGGTCATCTGAACTGTGCAACGTTGCGCGATGCCATATCAGAGAGCATATGCCCTGTTACCTAGCTGGTTCGAGCTGAAGGCAACTCCTGGACCAGGCCACTATATATGAGGTTACAGAGGGAGAAATTGGTACACGAGTAGGTAAGTAGGAATTTATTCCCTAGCCGATGGGGATTCGAACCAGACGCTCTCCTGCTCGTGGTTCCTGAATTGTCTTAGTGACCGATCAGTTCCTGCTTTCTCCGCTCCTGGCACAATAGCTTCAATTTGACAGGACAGCGTAATCAAGTGCATATCTTATGGATCCAGCAGCCTCGATGCACAGCTCGGTGGCTTGGAAGTTAAGATAACTGCCGCAAAATAATTTGTCCTTGCTTCAACGCCGCCCGAGTTTCCGTTGCTTATGAGCATCTCCTCATCCCAAACAAAAAAATGCAGTGCAGCTTCTGGCTTTCATTTATCCTCCATTCATTTGAGCCTTCCACGTTAAGATCAAAATCGTTTGGATCTTCCCAGCCAGGTCCCGCTTGCGGCCATTGAAATGGAGATACACTTCATGATCTCCACCTCCTTTTTCTTTTGGCCAAAAGTCTTCTGGTGCAACTTTTGCTTTCGACATCAGTCGCTCGTCTGCAAGCCTAGTATACCTGATGAGGATAATCCAGGTTGTTAAACGACAAGCGACGTAAAATACATGTCGGCGTCGATTATCTCCTCCTTATACTGCAGCTCACAGTTCCTCGTGAGACAGTACTCGTGGCCTATATGATTATAGGCACAATACATATCTTCAAGTGACTCCCCCTGAGAAAGTGCTTTTCGGAGATCCTCGACACTATAGGTCCCCCTTCCGATAGCGCTCACTAAATCCTTGACATTGAAAGGCTCTATACAAGCAAACTCGCAATCCGTTCCAAAAGGGTAGTCTGCTGGAGCAGGATCGAGTACAGGATCACGGCCAAAACCGGGTTCCTGGCAAGTTCTGTCTATCCCTTTAAAGAGTACAGAGGGCAGATAGTGGTAGGCTATAGAGGCTTCTTATACGATTTATTAAGCGTAGTATATTAATATCAGTATAATCTTAAAAAGCAAGAAAGATACAGGAAGGAAAGTCGTTTTGCAGCTCCCATCACTTATAGCTCTCTAGTAAGTCATAGGAAAGTAGAAAGTTTCCTAGGAGTCAGTTAGCTTTATGTGATACACGAGTCTGGCCATATGTAAACTACGAAGTTTAACCCTTAAGCTGCCGTTAACACCCCCTTGGAGGGCGCAGTGCTGAACCGACGCGCTAAAGTTCTGGACATTATATGTATTACATTGTACGTGTGCTAGCTTTAGCCCTGGACAACAGTGCGGTCCGAACGGCGGCTTTGGGGATGCAAGGTTTTCTCAAGCCATGGAGCTCCCTTGGCCAGATTTCCCGCAGAGGCAACTTTGGTGAAGTACGCACTCGTGAACTTTACTTACTGCTAACTCAACCTATTCTGTTTTATGGTAGACTGTTGTTGGAACCACGCAAGTTACCCTTTTGTGATCCAATTGCCAAAAGTATACTATTCGGTGTCGAAGGAGACTCATTGGTCAAAGTTGCGGTGAGGTGCAAATATGCACCAGAACCACTCAACGATCTCCTTCTTGTCTGCCCTGTGCGCACAGTAGTGTCAGCCTTCCGTTAATATGCAGCTCAATCCTTATTTCCCTGTTCTCATGCAGGTGAAGCATGGATCCACGGCCAAATTTGGGTTGAAGTGCATTAGCCAGTCATGTGATCAATATAGTTTGAGCTGCTGCAGTGTTACGTGGCGATATTTCTGCGGGAGGTCGTGCAGGAGGATGAAAGTTGTGGGATGGTACTTTTCGAGTTTTAGATTGGGTACCACCGGGAAGATGATGGAAGTGGCGGCTTGGGCTTAGAAATGGAGGTGCTGATGTAAACGTAGTCTGGACCGTCGAAACAACAGAAGTCGAGGCTTGCATATCTGTATGCGGGAGATCGGTGCAATGGGGGGACCTGTCGAAGATGCATGAGCCGGTTGAGGGTAGTATAAGTATCACCTCGCCCGGGCGACGTATGTCAGACATGCCTGGGATAAACGCTCGAGCCGGGCGGGACACCCATTGACGATGTCCAACAAGAACAAGTCAAAAAAGCCGAATGCAAGCAGTCCAGACGTCGATAATGGCAGAAGAAAGGTTGTCAAGGGTAGTCCGGCGAAAGAGGAAATTATCGGTAAGAGGGAGGAGGAGCCAAGAGGCACATCGAAGCCTGTAACGGCAACCATTTCGACACCTGTACAAAAGCCTAGAGATACCCCAGTAGCGAAGCCGAAAGTTGAAGAGACACCCTGGTCAGAATGGAATTGGGACGAAGTGTCTGGGCAGTGGTACAGAGCCAGACTTGGCCCAGATAGTAGGCCTCATTGTCCCCTGAGTAACTTTGACTGACCAAGATAGAAACCTGGCAATATGACTTCCCAGAGCCTTTACCGCCAGTACTTCCACCCAGTCCAGTTCCTCAATTTGCCCCGGCGAAGAAATTTCAGTATTCTGAGCCGGAAGCTAGGGTCATATTCGCGAATGAGGTTGTATACCAAATACCAGACTCGAAAGGAGGGTATCTGTTGGCGGTAAGGCAGGATAAGACCATCTGGAATGTTGAGGAGACATCGAGTTCGACAAAATCTAAGGAAGCCCCAAAGAAAGCCGACAACGATACGGAGAAGAAAGATGGTAGCGTAGTGAAAGCTACACCTTCAAGTGCTGACAGCCAGAAACCATTTGCGGGAGAAAAGGCCCCAGTTAAGGCAGGCGCCGAAGCTATGGATATAAAACCGGCGGGTGTAGACTCAAGTCCCAAGAAGACTGTAGGTTTAGAGCGAGTGCATGAGTGGAGGGTGCAGGTTAATGATGCTGCGCAGAAGGAAGTAAATGGCTCCGCTCCAGAACCGACCAAGAAGCAGTGTAAGTCAGCCTCATGATCCACTCCCCGTAATGACAAAGACTGAAGGAATTAGTGCCCGAAATAAATAAGGAGTCGAAGCAATCTGTAAAGCCAAAGAAGGCGATATACATTGAAAGCGACGAGGATGAGCCGCCTAGACATCGAGGAAGACAGAGAGAGCGGAGAAGGTGAAGTCTGCCCTCAGAAGCTATCACCTAGATTTTTGTACCTTTGGATCATCTTTATGATGTCTCATAATGTGATCAAAAGGAATGTTTGAGAAGTCCAAATGCCAGTTTTCTTTCAACTTGGGAAGACTGGCCACCAAGTTACGTCCTCGTCATGTCTCTATTCACCATCCCGATCTCAAAGTATCGGTGTCATAGAAGCAGTGAATTCACTGCGCGCACAATGGAGAAGTTGCGGGTGAAGTCGAGTGCTCCTTTCATTCCACGCAGAAGCTGGTTTGAGGCACTAGCGCGATTGACACCTTCAACCCCTCCCCTCTTCTCTCTCCTCCTCTTCTCTCTCCTCCTCTTTCTCTCCTCCTCTTTCTCTCCTCCTCTTTCTCCCCTCCTCTTTCTCCACTCCCCTTCTCCCCCTCCCCTCCATCTTCTCAACAACAACAACGAGACAACCGCACTTTGTGGTGTCAACCTCAAATCTCTCAGCCAAGGATGTCTCCTCCTCCTTGCGACAAGGCGCCTAGCAGGCATCGTCCACTACCTGTTGTGCCATTCCCCGCTACTAGACCCACCTCTGCAAGCATCTCTGCCTCTGCTGGATCGCCTCTTGCCGATGATGAAGATGATGGAGATAATGAGGTTCAATTCTTGGGTTCCAGACCTGTACCTTGTACACCAACGATACCAGCCGCGTTAGTACATACTATCACATCTAACCTTACAGAATGCTAACTTCACACGACAGAAGTGGCTTGGAAATTAACATGACGGCTCGATTGACGGCGCTTAGGAGCATAAATGCTTCCTCAAGTACCCATATTTTGACGCCCAAGAACAACGGTAGTTCTTTTGACTCCAGAATCACGACTCTTGAGAATGTCAACGCTGCTTTGGAAGCAGAGTTTGTCATCATTAAGGACAGAATTCGAAGCCTGGAAAGCCAGTCCTCGCTCAATCCTCAGTCATCACAATCACTTCCAGCATCGACCTATTTGAAAGCAGCCAGCGTCGGTCGTCCGACCCAGAGGACAATCACGAACAACAGTGAGCATAGAAAAGCTACGATGCTCGAGCCTCAAACATCTTTAAAACTTGTTGCGTATAACAGCTTTCCTGTGATGTGTGAGATATATACTGATTTTCAAAGGGGAATGCAAGCTGTGGATCCAATGCCAAAATGTACAGACAGATCGAATTACTCTTCAAAGTCCTTTATCACCACCGAAACCGATGACCTGGACCGAGTCTCAGCTGTGACAGCAGAGCAGTACAGTCCCTCAAAGATGATTAGTGCGCATTCAGCTAATTCTGGATCAGGGGAGTTTCGCAGGTTGTCACAAGAAGCAATGTCTCACATGAATTTACGATTTTTGGACAGCTTCCAGCAGAACTTCGGACAATCATCTGGAAGCTCGCCACACCTGAATCTCGTGTCTACTCAATTCGCAGACCGAATAATGACCATGAATATCCTTATGCTGCTGCTGATGTCCACTCTATATTGCTCACGTGTCGCGAGTCTCGGGAGATCGGCAAGGCAATGTATGAAAAGAATTCCTGCGGTTTCCGAAGTTATAACTACTGCGAAGCTTACGACATTATCTATTTAGACAGCGTCGAGTACAGCCATTCAGGAACTTGATATATATCATATGATTGTTCCCGCAGCCTCGGAGCGATCCACTGTCTGGACACCATCAAACGATTCATGTTTGAAGTCGAGCAAGACGTTCAGCCATTCCATGACCTCACACGTATATTCAGCGGCAGTCATGACTTCTATACTGTGGAGGAAGTTTTACTGGTTGATTCGAGATCTAGCAAACCTACAAGGGAAGCTGTGCTGTCTGACTTTCGAGTAATTTGCACTCCATTCGACTGGCAGCGTGGACGAACCTTATTGAAATGCTGGGAAGACGAAGTAGCAAATTCTCATTGGCTGTCCATACCAAAGACGCTGAAAACCGTTGCTAGAGTTGAACATGTCAAGGCCTGAAAGTCCCGGGTTTGGCTTTTGAGTACAAACCTACAAGTGATACATTGTTAAAGCGAGGCAATAACGCCGGAATGAAGATAGCTCAGATGATATTTGCTGCAATATTGATATCACATCATGCAAGTCAGCTCAGTGCCGTCCTAGTGTTTCCATATCTGACTTAGCCAGTTTCTCGATTCACCAGAATATCAATAATAGTTCAAAGAGAAAGAAGACTTGGAGCGATAGCGCTAGTGTTTTTCTTTTATCTCGCTTGTAAACAAAACCGATCGGTTCTTGGCCACTTCAGCGCGTCTCTATGTAAGTAAACCCGGAACACCACCAACCGGCGCTCACCAACAATTTTTTCAAAGCATTTCTGGACTCTACCAATATGTCCTCTATATCTTGACACCCCATTGCCGACACGCACTGAGACTTGGTTCTGCAGTAAGTTTTGGGTTGCAATGGTGCCTTCCATTTTAAATGGTGTTGCAGCCTTGCTGACATAGAATAGCACGCGATCCCCAAAAATGAGAAATCGACACCTGACGAAACAACGGCAGAAGCCCTCCATGATATATTTCACGATGTTGGGAGCTGTTGATGCAGCAGTGGGCCATGTAAAGTGATTTCCATGTGCGGAATTGCTCGTGGACAGCTACTGACGCGGCAGCAGGGGATCTGTCACTTGGGAAGAATGGGAGGAGCTTGTCTGGCTCTTTGAGCAGCTATCTATTGGATCAATACCACAGGATGCCGACCATGTCAAGGAGAGACCTACTAATACCATGGATATCGATTTCGCTTTCGACAAAATATCCACGGCACCTCTCCGAACTCGCGCGTTGTCTAGGAAACCACCTTCTGTGCTCCACAACTTCAACCCAAAGCACTAAGTAATTCCAAGCTCGATCAAAATTTGCGACTAACATAATGTAGAAAGTCTGATAAAAGAAAGCCACGAGCTAGTGCAGCAGCCCACATCGACATACCTTTTTCGTTCTCGAAGTCCTTCGACCTACAAATCAGCCTCGTTGAACCAAGCCCTCAAACACCTGTACCTCGATCACCCATCAATGCAAGCCGCATGAGTACGATTCTTCCTCAAGCCAAAGCCGATAGGTCTTCCCCAAGATCGAAACAGAATTCCTTGAAGTCTGTACACTCGGACACAAATAGGTCTGTTCGTCATGACCCAGGGCATAAGTATCTTCTGAGGCGGCCAAGTAATCCTGACATGCGCTTTCAACGTCTGGTTGAGTATGCCGGTATTATGGTTTGTCAATCAAGGTAACTTCATGACGTTGTATTGTAGGCTTTCGCTGACTTCTTACAGAACAGCTCCAAAACCAGCAGTCGACATCAAGACCAACCAAGACAAACTCACCACTTGCTTCTCCGACCTTCCGATAGAGCTACGTTTGATATGCTATGAAGTTGCTCGACCTGAGGCCAGGGTTTTCAAACTCTCCCTCTCGAAGCATCACAAGCCCAATGATTGGTCAGCATGCTGGTACAGCGGAGCTATGGTGCCAAACTTGCTGCACGTCTGTAAAGAGTCTAGGGACCTTGCTTTGAAGTGGTATAAAGCTTCTTTTGGTCCCAAACACCAGCGATATACAAGCACCCGTGGCGGTCTACCTATCCCAAGCTTTTACTTTGACTGCTCTCGAGATTACCTCTATGCACAATGCAGCAAGTGTAATGGAAGTGGATGCGATTCCAGCGAGTTGAGCATGTGCGATATCTCTCTGCTTGATCGTGATCACAGAGACCTCACGAAAAGGCTCTTTGTTGAGTTTTCAGGATTTTCTATGACATTATGGCTTCCACTAATCTGGTTTCGAAATCTCGAGCATGTGAAATGCGTCCACTGGGAGAATGGGCTGCTCTTCCGTCATGAGGCCAAACTATCAGATTTCATTGAGACAGAGGGAAAGTATCACTGGCAAGAAGGAAAGACTATGAGGGAGTGTTTCGAAGCTCAGGGACATAAGATGAGAGAAGACGATCTTGGGGATTCCATTCGCGGCGTTAAGTCTTTCGCGGAGGTGGCTCTGCGTCAGCCAAATAAGCCCTCAGATGTTTTCCAGCATACCAAAATCCAGTGGTTTAAAGACAGAGCAACACGGAGCCTATGAAGTGTCTCGTAGAGAGATAAAGCTGATCGGTTCGCCTCCCGACAACTGGGAGGTCTGACTTGCAAATGGCTTCGTTCTTCTACGCCACTCTACTCTCTTACCTACTGGTAAGATCAACAATGAAGTTTGTTCACAGCATGTATATAGTGCAGAAGACTGGCAATTGTGGATTCTTCCGTTATCTATGACTTCTCTTCGATCACGGCGCTGTCTCTGAATAACATTGGGAAAGGGGATGTAAACAGCATCTTCTCAGTTTGACATACGCCTACATCTGAAACCTAAATCGTTGTGACTCTTCCTAGACCGGCCAGCACAATGGTGATGGAGCCATCAAGTTAAATTGTGTAAATATTCTGCTGTACGGCACATATCCTGCGCCCAGAAAGTCAAGACATGTTAGTAACCGATCAACAACGCTGGAGTTCAGCCATACATGCGCTAGGAACCAGTAATAAAGACAGAATCTTGGTGTACCAGTATTGCATCGAGACCAGCGCCTTCTAGCCTGACGGCTACAACTCACTTGCTTTGCCCCAAATAGATAATGGACGCCAAGGTACAAACCTGCCTGACCTTCCATCTTCTACCCAGTTAAAATTGATTGATAAACTGTGATGCCTCGACACAAGATCTTGGCAACCCGATTGTTTGGGTCATCAAGCTGGATTCGGATGAACTGCGCCTCGAAACCAACAAGACCAACAGAGCGAATCCTTAGGAACGGCTGCCCCAAAAGTCAGCTTTATGCTTACATATACGCTTCTGTGCATCTTTTCCCCACTTTCGCGCGAGCGTTAGAACGCGGTGTCCATTCATGATCGCAATCAGTGGTACAACATACGAGTCACTATTGATTCTTCATCATACTCTCTGCATGGCGACCCTTACACGTGGCTACTAGATGATCTCAACCAAGATGCATTGAAAAAATTGAGTCTCACCAACCGGTGGGAACCAGAAACGATGTGGTGAATCCTTGAGTACAATTCATTCTTCTACACTTTATGAAGTCAGAAATCTCTTCGGGGAATCTTCGTTACTGGTGGGGAAATACAGACAAAGCGAAAAAACGAGACCTAACCTTCTCAACATGCGAAAGTTTACACTGAGATTAGCTCCATTTGTTTCCTCTATCACCGACATTTATAACAGTAATCTCTCAATTTCATCGCGGTTTGAACTCAATCGAGGGTGCTTATATCGCTATCGACCGAATGCTTCGCTGACTGCGGGGTAAATTACCCCGCACCAATCATTCTCGCTTAATGGCTTGCATTGTAAACAAAGTTGTAAGCCAAGTGTACATCTCTCCGTGGATTTTGGCAGTATACAGTCGACCTTCCTGTCGCAGTGAAAGGATCTCGAACGATCGAGGCAGCACGATTGACAAGTTTCAGGGAAAGAGAATGTGATGATGACCCTTTCCACAAATCTTGGCTGCCCAGTGTCGCCGCCGCGCCAATCTCAGCTGAAACCCCTGCACCCTAGTCACCAACAGCACCAACAATTCTCAGAACCACTCTCTTAAGCTTGATTCCGCCCACCAATATCTTATCTCTCCCGCAGCGAACATCTGAATCAAAATATTTCACACTTGGTGAATTTGATTAGCGATCGCTGCCACGCATTGCCGACAATCCCCCATATGGATCCCTGATTGCTGGCAGGCTTCTATTTTGGTAAGAGTACCGGTGGCCTGGTTATGTTCAAGAGTCGACTGTTGGTTCTCCCCTGTCCGGGCTGTACCCCGCCGCCTTGATACGCAACAATCTTAAAATCAGGTCCTCATCTGTACTCCCTCCTGCATTCGTCTTTTCCAATCGAGTTGAGCCTCTCATTCCATCTTCCTTTTCGGACGACACAAATGGCCAATTTCGACCGCAACAGCTGGCACAAAATCATTGTTGCAGGGAGCCTAGATGCCGACTTTTGTTTCGTAGGAGGCCTGCTCGGCGACCAGAATGAGACCGCTGGTTCGGTGTTCTCGTGGAACAGCGTTCCTCTACGCGATGATCAACAGTGGCAGATATTCCCCTACAATAATACCTTCTACGTTCTCCGAACGAGAGGGTCCACCGCTTTAGGCTACCTAGGCGTGTTTTTCAAAGACATGGAACAAACGCCTGGCAAGACTGCTCCCCGTACAAGAACCGCGTCCCTGTCGGATGATAGCATGTTCTGGACGATTGGACCCTGGGGGGATGGGACTTTCTGGCTGAGTAATGCTGCGAATGGGTCGGATTGGAGGATGACTGTGAAGCTGGGATTAGTTATGAGGCGGTGATGAGTTCGAATATTACGGCGCCGCAAGATGGGCAGAGGTGACTCCGGCAACAACCATAACCACAACTATATCCACACCAACAGCAACATCACCGCCGCAAAGAGACAAAGGAATTTCTACAGGCACATCTGCAGCGATTGGAGCTAGTGTTGGAGGGGTCGTAATAGCTGCAATCCTGGTATTTGCATTCATTTTCCTAAGGAGGAGGAGACGAATAGAGACCAACAAGCAGCCAGCAGAAATTCCGACTGCACAGCAGTCACAGTTGCAGCCAAAAGAGCTCCCCGCAGGTCAAATGAGCCCACATCACATATCAGCAGAGTTGCCTGTATATACGACCACATAGATTAGGATTTTCGGTTTTACTGCTTTGGAGGATGGATCGCCAACTGCGGAAGAGTATTGGAACATGCAAGAGGCAGGATGATTGTGTATAATGGGCCATATAGAGCATCATAGCGTCGACTCTAGAGGAATAACCGACAATTATTGGTCTTCTTGCATTATCTCAATCCACTGGGAAACATGACTGAATATTCAATAGCAATCCTAAGATCGACAGCAAAACTCTAGAAAATGGCTCAATAGCTTTTTGATCGCACCTTCAAGTAACTTTATAGACCAGCTGACTCATCTCACCAGTGCTGAGTCCAAAATGCTTGCTCCTTTCGACATCTCGAATTAACAAGCGTGTCGGTTAACCTAAGACTCCCTCTAATAATTTACTGTGTATCAAACGGGTGGAGCATTAAATTAGACAGTGTTATTATTCGTTTCCAAGAGTACATGTACAGAAAGAGAACGTGCAGCTAAGACCCAGCCCCGCTGCCCCCTGCTCCCGCGCTCAGCAGAGAACGGGTATACCAAAAAACAACAAGAATAGCAACGCCTTGTACACTCATTTCTCATTTCCATAGTCGTAACTCATAGAACCATCTCAATCCACCTCTTCCCATATATTTCCCATCACCGGAATCGTCATGTCCACTTCCGAGTCCCTCCCATGTCGCAAACTCTGAAGCTGGTTGGGGCTTGCTCAACCACCCCACCCCGTCCACCTCCTCTCCACACCAATCGCGCCACCACCCTTCTTCTGCACCCCCATACCGGGTCTAATACGTCCCTTATACGCCTTCATCTTCGCTTGTTCCAACTCCTTCCTCCTTCTTTGCATCTCTCGTTCGTCCCATGCCTCTAATCCACCACCTCTACCGGCATTATCACTTTCATCCTCCAATCCGACCTCCCTCTCACCAACAATCATAACAACGTCTTTCTTGAAATTACTACCACCAGCGTTGGATTTTCTATTAGAATCTGCAGTCTTGTACTGAGAAGTAAAATCTCCGCTGTCACGACCCCCAAGGTCCCGAAGACGATACCCATACTCCTGCTCAACATCCAAACTCAACCTCACATCTTTATCTAGATCCCTAACCGTAACGAGTGCACGCTGGACTTTCGTGATGGTCGAGGTGGCGAAGCTTGATATACGGCTGAACTGTGAAGCAGAAGGGGATTTGGAGCGTGAGGGGCTGAGTGCGGGTGTTGATGCTCGGGAGTAAGAGCTTGTGACGGATCTGGATCTTGATCTGGACCGAGATTGAGAATTGGAAGAGTGCGTTAGCGGGGACGGTGTTAGAGGATGCATGTCCTCGAATTTGGAAAGACCTGAAATGGCGCTATCTCTCTGCCGACCTTTGAAATCATCGTGAGCGATGTCGAAGACAGAGTAAGGTCGCGAGATGTAGATATCTGAGCGATGTGGCGATCTCTTGGCTTTGGTACTCCTTTGATTTTGTTGAAGCATCTCAGAAGAAGTCAGGAATGGATTGAGGATGATAGCATTGCCGTCTTGGAACCCGGATCTCGTAGGAGGGAGGTGTGCTGACATTGCTCTGGCTCTCCGGGGGGATGTCTGTGGGAGGAGCTCAATTCCTTCTAGCAAACTCCCTGAGTACAGGCTTGATGAGCGATTCGCTCGTAATGGCGCAAATACTTGCTCGGGCATCGTCAATGGCCTTGAACTTGCAGATGCGGCCCCTTTCCCTTCATATGCGAACGCTGAAGCTGATGTAGGAAATTGCACTGTGCGATCTCTCATCGGCTTTGCATGTAAGCTCTCTCCGTCCCTTCCATTACCCCGATCTCTATCAACATCAAGCAGTCCCTCTAGATTTGCCATCGTGTTCCTCCTCTCCACTTCCTTCTTCTTCCAAGGCTTGTACATTGGAGCGGTGGACATATAGCCCAGCGATCGACGATGTTGTTTTCGTTTCATGCGGCGGCAGAAATAGAGCGTGAAAAGGACGGCGAGAATAATCACACCACCGATTACGCCGCCTATTATGAGCCCTGCGCGAGAAGAGACTTCATTCTTGGTGCTTGATGTTGAAGGAGTGGAGGAGCCCAGGCCTTGACTGGAGCCACCTGAAGAGTCTTCGAAGATTTCAGGGAACGCAGAGGGCGGAGTTGGTAGTGGTGTTTGTTTCGGAGGTTGCGATATATGGAGAGAGGAAAATGGAACTGAGGCGCTGAGTGCGATGTTGGAAGCTTTAGGCGAGGTCGGAGACGAGGTTTGAGACGAGGTCGGAGCCAGGGAAAATACTTCTGGTGAAGTAGAAGTTGTAAATGTCACAGGTGTCGTCCTTAGACTTGTTGTAGACACGTATGAAAGGTGCAGGATGGTAACATCCGCCACTGTTGTCTGGGCTGCAGGTGAAGGAGTGACGTTTGCTGGACTTGAATTTGTCGAACTTTGAGACGGTGAAGATTCTGGGGTTGCTAAGGGCTGATTTGATGGCTGTCCAGTACTTTTTGATGGTTCTGCAGAGACACCAGTAGATGAAGTTGGAAGTGTCGATTCTATGGACGCAGGAATAAGTGATTGTGTTTTTGTTTGTGGTCCTTGATCGCTGCAAGCGAGAACTGGAGACGCTGCACCTTGCAGACCCTCGAGAATTCCCCTGATAGTATCTGCGACCTGGGTACCAGCTGTCCATCGACAGCTCATGTCCCGGTTACCATTACGGCGTATTCCTGCCATGTTGCCATATTATCACCTGACGAATCCTTAAATCGTGCTGAGTTGAGAACTAAGAAGGAGCGTGGCGAGCTGATCTCGGCTGATCAACAGAACTAACAGCACCGAGTCACAGATGGACGTGCCTGCGTCCTTCGACAGACGAGTAGTCATGAGTAACAACCCGTGAAGAGATGAACCCCAGAATGGGAAGTCTATGTAGATATGGACGGAGGCTTAGCAGGTTCTCGGACACACCCAAGGAAACACATGACGCAGAGATATGTGGGGGACAGTTGTGCATAAAGACGTCTGCATATAACGCTTGGTGTGGCATAAAATAGTGTCTGAGTGCAAAAAGCATATGTGGAAGCACGCGGATCTGCATTTGAATTCGCGGCCTTTATGTTTTGCGGTGCGTTGTGTAGGTTTGGGCGGACTAGTAAGCGACGAACGATATCTGTTTCATCTATTGCAAAAGAAAGCAAACCGCGAAACCCCACGAAGAAATACCAGACCCGGCCGAATAGAGCACAATGATGAGAGAGATAGTAATAGCAAATAATCAATTTCCTCTACAAGGAAAGGAAGAGGCTTTGGACGTTTGACCAAGCTCAGCGACATTGGCAAATCACCCTCGTACCGTTGGGACTGACGTGTTTCCCCGTTGGGAAAGACCAGGAACTCTATGTCCCTCAAGCATAATGGTAGATCGTTTTGTGAAAAGTATATCTCGTCGCTGTGCAGGATATTCAACCAGCTTTCCGAAAGGACTACGCCTAGCAAGTCCAGATTTCTTCATGTTCGGAACCTTGATGATGCCAACTGTGGAATCGATCTCTCAACAGCTCCAATAGGCCTGGATGTTTTCCGCTCGGTTATACTCCAGTGCAGGTCTCGGACCGTTCGCGTGTGAGGCTAGTGGCCCAGCTAATGCGCGTAAATAACCCGGTGCCGGTAAGCTAGACCCTGCAATTTACAGCGATAGAGTTTGCGTTGTCTGGAGTAGAAGCTTGAACAGCAGACTAGGTTTGTGATTTGGTAGGAATGTTTGGTTTGTGTCGGTGAGAGTAGAGTGATGGTCAGGCCCCGGTAGGCTAGGCCCTCCTCTGTGGACGCTTCGTCTGAACTCTAAATGTACACAATTCTGCCCACTCAAAAAAATACACTGAGCGTGCATTCGTGCGACATGGTTGATGCAAGATAAGAAGGTGCTTGTGAGTTCTTATGATTCATTGAACAGCAATCGGGACTGATTGTCTGCACTCAAGGCCTGACGGCGGAGAGGTTGAATGGTACTTCGAAAACCCAAATGATAGTCGATGGTTATGAGCGCCATGAGCATGGGAATTTCACATAGCAGTCTAGTCTCCCTTGGAATCTAAGTTGATTGGAGGCTCAGTGAACAGATGAATCACTCGGTTGCATTGAACCCATGAACTGATAGTAGATGTGTATAATCAGCCTCTGGCGAACTGCGACAAAGTTCATTGACTAGGAGAAACTCTTCTCAGGCAAGTTTTGGGAGCTGGTCTCCGGAAATCTAATATTGATGATGGTACTCGCTGCTCTTTCGACGCTCCAATCGAATCTATGTTAGGAGCATCTGCTCCTGTCGAATCTGTCCATCAATCCAGCAATGCATATTTCGCCCTTGGATATGATATAATAAGCTCGACAACTTATCGGCGAGAATTAGCAATGGCAGCTAATTTTTAGTTCTAGAATATGAGGTCAAACGCTGCGTCCTGAGTGTATTCTGGGTTGAGATGTTCAAACAGCCATGATAGATACTTGAACAATACATGGCATCGTACAGGTGAGTGAGCAACGGAGCTACCCGATTTTCGTCTCTCCAGTCTATGGTCTTTGAGTTTTTCATCCTCACCCGTTCGCGAAACCGTCCGCATAGCAAACTGGGCGTATCGCAAGTAGCCAAACACAGAATCAGCGACAACAAAGACGCTCGACTCGACAATAGCCATACTAACAACAAACTGTAAACGATAAGTGCAGAGTTAAAACCGGGTTCCAACTTGGAAGACTTCTTCCCTTGGTGTTGTCTTTCTGCGGTCTAGATGCATCAGAGTTTGCGACCTAGTCTCGCAGTGGCTAGGAGCACCAGAACATGCAGGCCATGTGACCAGCGAGAAAAGGTGTTACTGCAAAATCAACTTGATACTTAAGAAAAGGAATGCTGGTTTGGACACTAGATACTTTTCTGCTTATGCTCTTAATATTATTCAATTGCATGTCGTGGGTGGAAAGGAGAGAGCAGAGCCCTGGAGGATTCAAAGATATGGGGCATCGGGACGGAAAGAACAAAGATCCGATGTGGCTCCAAATTTTTGCACACTAAGCCTCTCTTGGGTTGCTCTGGTACCTGCGCCACCGCTAGACAGGGCCATCGCCTGGCAGAATGACGAAAGAGGAACAGGGGCACGCGAGGAAGAACAAATCCTGTCCCGTCCCGCAGCTGAAACCCAATACTCTGGAAAAGGCCGAGGCTCTCTGCGCCCTTATCTTTTCTTCTCCGTCATGACGGTCTCTTCGTCTTCCTTTTGTACCCTTTCACGAACATCCAAACCTCACCCTAGCAACAGCTGATTCTCTCCACATACTCACAATCATCACGAACCTCTGCTCTGGGCTGCTGATAGCCACAACACCGCCGCAATGACCTCCTATCTCTCGCGTTTGAGTCCTGTCCCCGGATTCCCCGAATATACCGGTCCCTACAAAGTAGGCACAATCGATGTCGAACTACCTATCTCGGAGCTAGAATCACCAAGTCCTGCGCCAGAAGATCACATCTCTACTGTCCAGTACAGAATATTTTACCCCTGTGAGCCGGAGTCAAAGGGCAAGAGCGTCAATTGGATCCCAAACCCTCAACAAGGCTATGTCTCTGCGTACACAAGATTCCTGGGGGCTGGATCCTCGCTGGCAGAGGTCATTTCGTGAGTCTCTTTCAGACATTATCATAGTTGAACATTTTCTAACCTCAGCAGATATTTCCCTCGTCTGCTCTATTACATTTCCATTCCTGTACGAAAGAATGCACCGCTCCTCCAGCCGAATACCACAGACAAACGATGGCCGGTCATGATTTTCTCCCATGGACTTGGAGGATCTAGAAATGCATACTCGCATCTCGCAGGCTCCATTGCAAGTCATGGCATGGTCGTAATTGCCCCAGAACACCGAGATGGATCAACACCCATATCCTACATCCGCGACGTGCCCTCCAATAACTCTGTTACCGAAAAGTCCGCCGCGAGGAAGGCAAAGCGTACGATAGACTATATTAAGATGTCCCATACACCCAGTCCAGAGGTAGAAGCAGGCAGGAATGCTCAATTGCGAGTACGATTATGGGAGTTGGGGATCATCCACGACAGTCTTTTGAAACTGGACCAAGGCACCGAGCTGTCGAACCTCAACAGTTCATCCTCACCCCTCGCACCATTCAAAGACACAATGGATGTACACACGCCTGGCAAAATAGCTTTTGCAGGTCATTCATTCGGCGCCGCAACGGTTGCACAATTCGTCAAATCAACCTTCTACTCCCCGCGCAACGCCGAAGCACCAAAAGACTACGAGCCCCTCTTCACGCCCACCTCCCGCTCACCACTCATATCCCAAATAACCCCCGAAACACCCCTCATTCTCCTTGACGTATGGTGTCTTCCCCTCCGCGCAGCCTCAACCCGCTGGCTATGGAACCTGCCATTCCCATGCTACACTCCCAACGGCCCAGGCGGCTCCGCCCTCCTCGCAGTCGAATCCCAAGCTTTCTTCAAATGGCGCGTCCACCTAAAAGCCACCAAACGCCTCCTCTCCCCAGACCCCAGCTCCGACGAGTACACCTACAGCAACCCCTCCCCACCAGGTGAGAACCAGACCTCCTGGCCCCAACCCAACTTCTTCTACGCCGACGCCTCCGCGCACCTCTCCCAATCCGACTTCGGCGTCCTCTTCCCCTGGGTAACCAAACGCATCTTTGGCTCCGAAGAGCCCGAACGCGTCATGAAGCTCAACGTCCGCGCTATCCTGCAAGTCCTCCGCAATCAAGGTATTGAGGTCTCGAGGACCTCCGCGGAGGATATGGAGTTGGAGGAGGAAAAGGGCGTGGAGACTGGACGGGACGAGAAGATTCTTGGACGGGATGGGCAGGTCAGGAGGTGGCACTGGATTAGTACGGATGTTAATGAGGTGGATAGGGAGGAGGCGGTGGTGGGTGAGGAGGGGAAGGTGAAGAATGGGCCGAAAGGGGAGGTGGAGAGGAGTGAGGTTACGGAGCCGAGCAAGGCGGTTTTGGGGAATGAGGTGCTGAGTGGAAGAGAAGGGAAGGAGAGGTTGTGATGGGGGTAGTGAAGAGGGTTGGGCTGGTGGGTTATGATTTATGATTTTTGTATGTATGAGCATTGTTTTGCGTTGCATTGGTTTGGGGTGAGGTCAGCATGGCGTAATTCTCATAGACGGGTACCAGACTCGTGGGCTTGAAGAGACTCTAGACTATTTGGCTAGACGATAGATATCGAGTTCAATCGGTTGATTAAACTACAGGGCCAGAGATTGCCAGCCCCTCTTATTAAGCGAGTATACAATATATATACAGGCCCGCAACTATCCCCCCACACCAAATAAGTATAAAAAGCACCCCCTCAACCACAGACTTCCTCCTCAACTGTTCCGAATTGCCTAAAGTGGAGTCATAGTCCCCGGCGCCTACCCCATCTGGTCGAATTAACCCAGCCTTCACATAACAATGGATTGTACATAAACTCCAGCGGAAAATTAGCTCATGGGGGATCATTGCACTGTTTTCGTACTCCAGATCTCCCATTCAAAATTTTGTAAAAGTTGACTGATTGATAGTGATCTATTGTCGTTGGGGAAGTTGCTGGCCATACGTCTGTCACTGTCACTGTCATAATTTTGCTTTAAGGAATCACTGTCAATCACACCTCTTGCCTAACTGGTGAGGGGAAGGAAATACCGAGGGGAGGGGGTTGATTACAGATATGTGTAAGGAATGTGTCTTGGATAGATAAATATGGAAAACAAACATGAGGACACGAGCGTCGCAACTGGGTGGGACAAGTGTAAACTCGGTGAGTATCTCTTTTCTCTCACCTACCATGTTTTCCCTCCTCGCAATGGATTAGGGGTTATATACTCATCCTCCTCCCCTGTATTCACTCCTTGAAGCGTGAGGAAGATTGAGGCGTGAATACATCACTACATCGAGCATTGACACTTAAAACATATTCCGGAGCTATGCGTTCTTTGAAAGTGTCTGAGGCACAGGGGAGTAGGGGTGAGGCAGAGATATATAAGCCGCCAGTCTGTCAATAAGACAAAAATCTGTATGCAAGGCAATGAAACAACTTTCGGACATATGGTGGAAGTGTCCCTTGTCGAAGGAGAAGGCACGGTCTCTTGAAGTAAGTTCTTTTGAGCTACTCCTAGAGCGATTCGTCTTCTTGGGATCTGTACTGTTGTAATGGGAAGTGACTCATTGAACCGACGGTATTGAATTTCAAAGCTTGGTGCTATGATGTTTTGTTGTCCGGGTGTATGTTGCTGTCATGTTCTAGGCGGGTTACTTCTTGCTTTTTGACAGTGAGAATGGTGTTGACAACAAGAATTACGGTCGTGAGAGTTGCCTTGACATTTCTTCAAGCCATAATCGGCTTTTTCGACACATTGGGAAGCTAAAACTTCAAGGATGTATTCAGAGCCAATGATCTGTCCTTGATCAAAGTGACGAAGAAGTGCGACATGTATCTGACATTCCTACTCAATATATTGCACCAACGATCCATGTGCAGTCTTGAAGTTCGAAAAATTCAAGGGATTGAGGGAGGGTTTTATAGTTATCAAGTCCCCCGTTCGTAGCTTGATGACTTGTGGAGTCAGCGAATCATGCCAAGAGGTTGCAGCTGAAGGCTTTAAGTGGTCATGGAGAGAGTGATAGAGTATGACGAAAAATAGATCAAGGAGTGAATTAAATGAATCCAGCGACTTTGCTGACTGCTGACACTTTTGGGGATGAGGTGGGTATGCAAGGCCACAGTTTGAGGTGAGGAACCTCCAAGCTCGAACAACCCAGTAATAGCTGAGATGAGAGATTTGGAGACGTGCCGTCTCAGGGTCGTGCGTTCGTATATCAATTCTATTATTGAGCGTGAAGAATAAGATAGAAATATATCTGCACTGATTGCCGTAATTTGAGCAGAAGATAAGAACTTAAGAGGCGTGTAGCCGATGTCTGAACCCCTTGTAGATATAACCAGTATGACCACATTCTGAAAACTGACAGCAGGCTGAATATTGACAATAGACACAGCCTTTCAACACCCCCACACCTCTGGACTCTCTGCGAAAACCGCCACTTTTCGTCTCATGGCACATGGACTTGATATCACCAAAGATTATTCTCGCTCAGATAGAGTTTCTAGGTTAAAGATAACCAGAAATACCTGAAGAGGGGTCGTATCGGACTAATTTTCATCTGACTGCTCTCTTGGCTAGGAGCGTGGACCGTATTGAAATTGGTATTTAAAGAGAATGTGGAAGAAGTTCTTGGGAGACAGAAGTAGTTACGTAATTGTTCAGCACTCTCTCTGAGACGAAAATATTGACTCGTAGTTAGTTGTGACTGCAGTGGAGTGGTTTTCTGCACTGAATTATTCACCTGGTAACTTTTTTAGAAACAGAGCAGAGCGTTTTTGGGAAAAAGGACTGGTTTGTAAGAGTTGGAAGCAGATATATAACGGTAGACTCTGATAGCAGGATCTTAGCGGTGATGAGGACAGAGGATACAAAGCAAAAGAGAGTAATGTGTGTGAATGTAAGGTTTTAACGGCGACTTGGGGCTTTGGAGATGAAGAGGAAGAGGAAGCGAAACCACGTAACAAAGCTTGTGCAAGATATAAAATCATCTGAATTATACTTAGCAACAGAAAGCCAAAGAGACTAAAAGAGATGATACTCAGTCACAAGATACCTCAGGTCGATGACAGCAGCTAACTTAATGACAACAATGGAACTCGACTTGGCGCCTCAGCAGCACAACTCTTTCATTACTCAGAATTTACCCTCCAAGTGAGAATACAGTCTACTCCTGTCAGACGTACTCCAATCTAAATAAACAATATATACCAATTGTTCTTCAATGCATGACCAGTTCAGACTCAATACATCGACACAGGAGTACTTACCGTGTTGATTAGCAAGTTTGCGTTGAAGAGTTTACCCGATAAAAATCCGAATATTTATATGTTATATGTTGTGAGTTTGAGACATGAACGGTGATTGTACAGTCTCCACTATGTCTGGCATTATATCTAGATTGATTGTCGTGGTTTCTGAGACCAGGCTGGGTACTGATTACTGATGACCTGTGTGTTTGGCGCAGAAAAGTGGGGATTGTTAAGCGAGAATAAACAGACCGGGAGCGATCAGCGAACATGTCACTTGTTACTTGTTACTTGTTGCTAGCTGAGAAGGATATATAACTCCACTTTTGGACCAAACAGAGCACTAGGTGTATCAATCAACATGTCGACACCATCCAAGGAAGGGAACGTGGCCACATCTCTTTGGAAGTTTTTGAGTCAGAAGGAAATTGTAGGGACGTACTAGCCAATTCTGAGCGCCGAAAAGCGGTGCAAGATATGTAAAGTTTCGCAATTCAGTACCGTACAATTTAATGGAAGGAATTAATGCTGCTGTCATTGTGATACAAGTTGTCAATTTGAGATATCTGTCTGACAGCCGGATATTCACCTCTTCCATATGCAATCGCTAATTCGTACTGGGAGGTTCTTTACCTTGCCGCTCCATCCCAATGTTCTTTAAGTGATAACCGGTTCTGAGTCATGAAAGTGGGGACTTTATGTCCTTCGATGAATCATCTTTTCTTGCCCTGAGTAATGGTGGCACTGTAGCTTTATTGGATCTCTCCAAATCAGGATTCTCAAGTCAAAATAATACGAGATTGTTGCCAGAAGCACTGTTGGATGCATGATAACATTGTCATGGAAGTATCCTGCATGATCCCAATGAGTTGAGATAGTTCTGGGCCAAACGTTCATTCATCGACCTGGGCATGAACTCTAGATACGCAGGCCTCTCAAAACAGGATTGAAGGGGCAGAGGCTTTATATACAGTTCTTACTGGAACTATTTTATTTCACTATTCAGAAATCCAGAGTCTCGTCGCAAGGTACAGCTCATAAAAACTTCATGTCAGCACAAGGCGGCAGGGTAATGCGGGACAACTTAACATAATTTCACCATACAAACGTAAGTAGATATGGGTGAAGTCTCAATATATACTAAGCTTATCATTAAGACTATTTGTTTTTATAAGAATACTTAGGAGACCGGAACCTTCTCAGCGTCTGTTGACATTATGTGGGGTACTCGCTTCACACTAGTGGGGGCGCGAATTAGTCATCCAATTGATAGCTAACGCCTCTAGCTCGTTGTATCAACCAAGACTTCATTCCTTTGACTTGCCCAAATGTAATGAGAAACTGTTACGATGCCGTCCTTCATCTGCGGCTTCGAATATGGGAGCTTGCCTTTGGCCTCCACCGGCCCTTTCCGGCGGTTTATTGTATCCAAGAATGTGGAGGAGAATTCAAATCGAACCGGCCCGTCTCGCCGCTCCTCCACAGCTGCCGCGAAGCACGAAAAGTCTACCTATCTCACCCCCCTCGCAGAAAACTCACGTTCGACTTCGGAACTTACATCGACTTTAGCAATGATCACGTCTACCTCATCGACTACAAGGACGACCCGGACAAATTCTCCCGATTCCTGAACACCCCTTCTGTAAGCAAGATCCAGAAGCTCGCAATGCAAAAAAGTCTGGCATGCGAAATACCAATAAAGGGCCACATAGACGAGCAGAAGCTGGCTCTGAAAAGGGCTCTAAAATCGTGGATGGAGCTGGCAATTGTGTTTCACGATCATAGACCCCTCTAGGGCGCCTGATATCTTGTCGATACGCACTTCCGGGACTTATCCGCGAGGGAGAAGAGACAACGTGCGGAGATTGCCCACGCACGACTCTACTCAAGGACATTGAATAGAATGATGCGGGAATCTGATAATTCGAAAACGGTATACCTGTTAATTACTATCGCAGATGATCAGCCGTGCGGGGAACTCTTCGAAAAGTTTCGAGCCGTACCTGGGATACAGTTGAATTGCAAGGATCGGTTGCCCTCCATATTGAGAGGGAATACTCGGAAGCGGCGCTGCGATGGGCAAAGCAGCTTGGCATTTCCAAAGTTCAAGTTCCCTTCGGTTGGACACAGTTGTTGCTGTCTTCGACTATCAAAGCATGGCTGGCACAGAAGAAACCAATTATGACTTTCATATTGCCTTCTCTTACCTCAGCGACAAGGGTGTCCTTCAAGATATGCGAAAGGGAACCAAGAGTCTTTCGGCCACAAAATGACAAAGCGCGATCGGCTAATAAAGCATAGACCGTCTAAGAGGTCCAATATGCCATGCTTAGTCTTTTCCCATTGTTCCCCCACAACAGCTCGAGATAACAGTTCGCGGAGAAAGAAACTATCCGTTCGCTAGACTCATGTTTATCCTAGCGTTCAGATGTTCCGTCAATAAATAAAGTGCAGTTCTGTGTGAACTTCTTAACTTGCTAAGTGTTGACGATAACTTCGACCAGGCAGTGGATCTGATCATCAGTGTGATTGCGACTTCACGTACGACCTTGATTCTATTTTCGATCTTAATGTCACGAACCAGGCTCAGTCTTGGTACAAGTCACGGGTTGGCACCATAATACTGATGGTACTACCAAGTGGATGGCACCAGTCGGTGTTTGGTACCAAAGGGTTGATGGTACCATTGAGAGAATGGCACCAACAAGAGAATGGTACGAATTAGCGAGTAGTACCATACTCCACGCTCGTTGTCATAATAATAGTTATGTTGATCACGGTGGACATGGGTCACGTGATGTGCTAGCTTGCTAGACGGGCTTGCGGGCTTGCGCGCCCTGCAAGACGTCTTGCACGGCTTGCACAGGAAGTCGGAAGTTCTATATAACGAGTAGGTAGTTTCCTAGATAGTAGAGCTTCGTGCTCAAATCAAATAGCAAGTTTACACCTAGTTTACCACTGCTTGT